ATGTCATCGAATCCTTCCGACGACGGAAGTCCTAATAGAGAAGGAAGTTTCAGTGCTTCCCAGATGCCTGGTTTGTTGGAGAGTATCGAAAATAATAGAACATTTGTTTCTTGATTGCCTAGAGGCAAGGGCTTTATGGGATCATTCATGACTTGAATATCTAGGTCAATGTGATGCTGAATTTTAACCGCAGATCTACCGATATCCAATAAAGTAACGGCTGAGATGAATGTTAGTCTTACGACGGACGTCCTTTCTAGTGAAATTCGTAAAACAATCTTCTCAATAGGATCGAAGAAGGTCTTGGGATCTGATGGGTTCACTGGGAAATTCCTCAAGTCCTTTTAGGATATGATGGGTGAATCTGTGACTGAAGTTGTTCATTCTTTCTTTAGTATGAGCAGGATTCTCTGGAGTTGTAATAACAATTGGCTGACATTGATCCCTAAAGTGGACAATGTAAAAGACATGAAGCAAATCAGGTCGATAAGCTTATGCCAGTTTGTGTGTAAGATTATAACAAAAATTATGTATGAATGACTAGCCCGATTCTTGCAACGGATCATTTCGGAGGGACAAAATGCTTTCATCCGCGACTGACAAATAGTGGAGAATGTCCTACTAGTGCATGAGCTAATACACTATTTAAAAATCAAAACACGAGGCAAGAAATGGTATATGGATTTAAAGGTTGACATGGAAAAGGCCTATGATAGAGTCTAATGATTATTTCTCCTTGCGGTTTTGGACAAAATGGGCTTTAACTCTACCTGGAGAGGCTGGATCCAAGAATGCCTCCGCTTAACGTCATTTTCGGTCCTTATGAATGACACGCCATCAGAGTTCTTCACAGCCTCAAAATGTCTCTGCCGGGGGGGGACCAGTTATTCCCCCTCTTGTTTGTGATTTGCATGGAGGGGTTCGCGGCGCCCCTTCGAAAGGTAATTTCTGAAGACAAACTAGAAGGGGTTAAAGTTTACCCTAGAGCTCCATGGATTTCGCATTTATTTTCGCATATGACTCTTATTTATTTCTCAGAGATTCTCTACAGGAATGAGAGGATCTGATTGAGGTTTTAACTGAGTACGAGGAAATCAGTGGTCGAATGGTTAACTTGGCTAAATCAACAGTATGCTTTAGTAAAAATATTTCTCAACTGGACCAAGATTTTATTGCTCAGATTTTGGGAGTCAGGGTTGTGGGGGTCCAGGATAAATATCTAGGGTTGCCCACACTGATGGTCCGTTCTAAAATGGTTATGTTTCAATTTTTGGAGGAAAAGCAGTTGGGTCGGCTTCAGGGGTGGAAGCAAAGGACATTGTCTTGGGCAACAAAGGAGACATTGATTAAATCAGTGGTTTTAGCTCTGCCATTACATGTCATGTCATGTTTCAAGCTTCCTCTCTCTCTCTTTGTCGACTCTTAGACAAACACGTGGTCAGATTTTGGTGGGGGTGTTGAAGACGGTCATTCCCGGATACGGTGGATGTCCTGGCGGAATATGTGTCGGAGTAAGCACGACGGGGGAATGGGAATTCGCTAATTCGAACATTTTAATCAGGCGCCCTTGGTCAAAATTAGATGGTGCATCATAAACGAACCACATTCGCTCCTAGACCAGGTTTACAAAGGGAAATATTTTCCAATAGGGACTTTCCTCAATGCTACTGTGCGGTCTCGTCCCTCTTGTGGATGGCAAAGTATCCTTTATGGCCATCAATTAGTAGTTAAGGGGCTACGATGACAGATTGGTAATGGCCGGAAGACTTCTTTTTTCACTCAAATTGGATTCCTCGATTACACCCCCCCATACCCCTATGTATAATCCCAGGTGCTATCAGAGGGTGGTGACCCGAAGGTGGCGGAGGTGATTTGCCAAGGGGAGGACCAATGGTGTGATCTTAAACTTAGCCAGTGGTTCGACCCGACAACTTGTTGTGTCATCAAAGCAATTCCTCTTCCTTGTCGGGATGTGGAGGGTAGGTTGATTTGACATGGCACGTGTGACGGGATTTTCACTGTCAAATCTATCTATCATTTTGTAGTCTTGTTAGATAAGCAGGATGATAGGTGGTGATCCACGGCTATTTGGGTGATAGGTCGAGCTAGATCTACTTGTGGGAAGCTCATATTCTACTCAAATTAAAAGTTTTTCTATGGCAAATATGTCATCGAATCCTTCCGACGACGGAAGTCCTAATAGAGAAGGAAGTTTCAGTGCTTCCCAGATGCCTGGTTTGTTGGAGAGTATCGAAAATAATAGAACATTTGTTTCTTGATTGCCTAGAGGCAAGGGCTTTATGGGATCATTCATGACTTGAATATCTAGGTCAATGTGATGCTGAATTTTAACCGCAAACTCCTGATTTCAAAGCAGTGCAAGTGTGCAACTCTCCTCCTTTTCCTTTCTTTCCAACCCTTGTTGACGGTTGAGAAACCAAAACAAAAAGGCATTCAATTTTATTCTCTCAAACTGTTGCTTAATTACGGTATTTTTTTCTAACATCAAAATTACGCGTTGCTTTCATTGGTTTGAGGAAAATTACGTTTTTCTCGATCCACATCAAAATCCCGAAGGACCGATGTTGACCATTGACTTTGTCTCCACGCATAAACCCTCTTTTTTAAAAAAATTTTGTTTGGGCTTTGCTGTCGACTAGTCAAGCTTTCAATTCCCCCAAAACCGCCAAAAAAAAACCTCCCGCCAAATTCATGTGACGTCAAAAAACAGTGGGCCCCCACGACCCCCAAATTGACCGCCAAGCACGCAGGTCCCCACCACGATCTGGCCCACTTCCCAGTCGACGCCACGTCACCAAACCGAAGATGCCACATCCATCGCTATTATTCATTATTTTTATTATTATTACACGGTACGAGGGCTCTAGGAGGTGAGTGATGATGTCATCACTTGCGACCATCGCAGGTCACTCCCAACGCCGCTCGAATCCCGCCCCAGTCCACGTGTCGGCAGTTGAGGTCACAGCTCCCCTACTGTTTATGTCAGGGATGACGTGGGGGGAAGCAACAAATGATCCCACTCATTGATAATACACGTGGCGAGGAATCAGTGGGTCACGACAGAGGGCCGTATAAATGTACCGGTAACCGCCACCGAAAGTAGTGGGGGAAAAGTTGGGTGGATCATAGGGATCGCAAGCCACGTTGCTGGAGATTTGATCATCGGGGATGGGTAAAGTTCGATGGTTGACACGTGTCGATGGAATGTCGGTCGGTTGAATCTGGTGTAATCGATACAAACTGATATAAACTGATTGTACCCTGATCAAACTGTATCATTTGTTAAATCAGTACAACGATATAAACCGATGCGGACTTTCGGATTTGTGTTTTTCGGATTTGGAGGATGAGTGATTCCTCTTGAAGCATCCTTATCCTCGTAGAAGCAATGACACGTCAACCGTTTGGAAAAAAAGAAGAAAAAAAACTTACCCAAAGAAAATATGAGTTTAATTGATGGCCAAGAAAATTATGGGTAGTGTGTGTATTTTATTGTATGGTTGAACAAGAAAAGTAAGGAGGAGAGGGGAGCATGAATGTGGGCGTGCACGGTTTGTCGTGATGCAAAACTTGTTTCTGCTGAATTGGTAAGCATTCGTGTCAAGATCACTCTTATGGCATATTCCTTAGCTTTTTAGGGCATTCATATTGTGTTCACATTTCTTTCTCAGGGCTAAATATCTGCTTTGTGTTGTTTGCTTGGAATGCAAATGCACTATAGCCGTTAGTTTCACAAATCGTTTATGACTTTAGCGGTATACAACGATTGAACCATAAGTAAACAACGATTTTACTACGAATTATTCTGTTGTTGAAATTTTTTATGCAACATTCGATACGATTTCACCTATAAAAAATACAAAAGAAAAAGGACCGTTTTGGTGATTGCGTGTAGTGGTCTATCTCAGATGCATGCTCTTCCTAAATTTGGGAAAACTTTGAATTATGTGAGGGAGGCTACCAAATATTTCCTTCGTCTATCCACAAATTATGAGCGGGCAGGGCATATTTGTCTGGTCACATTTGCTTCGGTTCTCTTCTTTCATTGATTATCCCCTCATTTAAATTTTTTTTTTAACTTGAAAATTGGGAAACAAGCAAGAACCTTCGTCCTGGATAAGCACTGTCAAAAAAGTGTGCTGATAAATATCACCTATTAATGGAAAAGAAAATTCAAACTAGTGTGTAGCCGTCAACCATTTCATTAATTATTATTATTATTTTGGCATTTCAATTTTTGCCAATGGCAATGGGTCAATACTCAAGTGCATGAACTAGTAATAATTGCCGTAATTATCTCTTGGAATTCAAACCATCCCTTCGTCGTAATTGTCGTCTGTGTTTGAAGCACGTGCCTTATATAATTGCTGCTGCGGTAAGGTTTTACACACTCCACCGGTAAATATTACGCGCCGCCAGTAAAAAATTTCTGCCTTTTTTTTTTACCACAAAGCTACAATCAGGGATTAAAGTGGATTTTATTTAATCAGTCGGCATTTCATTTTTGTTGTATTTTGCAAAAAGGTACACCACCACACCCGCGCGGCGCGGCCATATCCTCCGGGCGGCTGCTAGTGGCGCCGGATCACCGAGAAAGAGACAAAAGTCACCACTGGACGTGGCTCGATCTCCTCGCTGACGTGTCCACCTCATCCACCGTTTAACTGTCGGCTCACTACCCAAGGAACAACAACAGACCCTACAGGAGAAAAAAATATATTTTGAACCTAGAAAAAGATCAGTAACGTGTCCGGGAATACCCAAATACACTTCTGGACTAGGAAGATATTCGATTAGTCGGTTTAACGGTTACATGATGAACTAATCGATAATTAATAGGTATGTTGATTTTATCCGTGAATTCATCTTCTCATACAACGTGCGAAAATGTTGTTTGATGCATTCTATCTCTATTTAAACCGACTCACCAATAATGTGTCCCCGTCAATATATATTAATTATCGATAAATTCATATTCTAATACGAACAATCGAACATGCAAAAAATGAAAAATGGTGTTTGATGCTTTCTATCTCTATCTAAAACCTACATGTATTGTCAATTATGAATTTATGCCACCAATGACAACTTACTTTTGGTTGGGAGTAGGGTTGATTAATGGTCTATGTTCACACAAATATAGGTTTAGGGACCATCTCTATTTTTCAGTGCGAGTTCTCCTTACTTCTCTTCTTTTGTAGGCTTTGTATAGAAGACGATTCACCAACTTACACACCTTAAGCTCTATTTTACTTGTATATATTTCCAACCTGTTTCTATATAGTTATCTAGGGGCCGGGTGTGCACGGGCATTTTTGGACTCAAATTGAACCACCCGCTCGTTAACGAGTTGATATTTTTATGATCCGTTATTCACTCACATTCGACATTAGAATGGGTTGGGAGGGTGGAGAATGGTTGTTCAAATCTATAGACTTTTAATTAATTTTTGTGACCCCCTCATTAAACATTTCTGACTCTCCCGCGATCCGATCTATACGTAAAAAATATTATTGAGTTGAGATTGCTCTATCTATCTTTCTTACTCGTCGTGGACAGTGATTTAACCATCTATTAAATTGTAATATTTTTTAAATATGAATCAATATTCTGGCAAGATAATCGTTGGATTTTTATAATCATAGTGGACAACAAAGTCAAAATAAACTAAAGATAGAAGGGCAACACCTTGCTTATGAGTTATGACCCAAAAAAAAAAAAAATACAGTACTTAAGCATATACCGAAAGCTCAATAATCTATTACCGCAATTTACTCAGCAACGCCTTTATTATTATTAATTAATTAAGTGGTAAACAATAGTACTTAAACAAAAGGACGAAAGCTGATTGGCTAGTTTAGGATGATATTAAGTTAGTCAAACAAATGGGCATGATCAGCCGCGGTGGTCTCACTCAGGTCAGGTCAGGCCTGGGCTGGGCTGGAACCGACTGCCGTTTTGGATGCCGCCTCAGTCCAAAATCAGTGGCGTAAGCAGTGACAAAATCGCAGCCCATGTGGGGTACGGACAACCCACCCAACCCCACTTCCCCACTTGCCACGTGTCCCGCCTCCTCCACCCCTCCCTCACTCAATCACCAGAAATATATTATTATTTAAAAAGCGAAAGCAAGGTTCTTAATTTAAAAAAAAAAAAAAAATTAAAAAATACATTGGCCTTCCATGGTAATGATGATAATGAAAGGCAGAAATGAGAAACGTTATCACCCACGTGTATTCTAGAAACCACACTTGCCACGTGTCCTCCCTCCCCCTTCCTATAAATTCCCACCTCTCCCTTGCGTTTTAAGTTTCAAGCGCCGTCGCGTAAGACTAAGCATATTCCATTCCATCTCCTCCTTCCTTCCCTTCCCTTCCCTTCCACCACCGCAAAGCCGCAGAGCCACCGCAGCCGAAAGTTAACCGAAAGACAACAGAGATTTTTTTTTAAAAAAAGCTCGATTGGAGAAGGATAAAGAAATGTCTCCGGCGTTGGATTTACCACCGGGATTCAGGTTCCACCCCACCGACGACGAGCTCGTCATGCACTACCTCTGCCGCAAGTGCGCCTCCCAGCCGATCTCTGTCCCGATTATCGCCGAAATCGACCTCTACAAGTACGACCCATGGGATCTCCCAGGTAAATTTCAATTTTCTGCCTGCTGAGGTGAACGATTTTGGTTTTCCTCCATCGGCTAAAATTGATTATAATTTTTCTTCGATTGGAATTTCAGGTTTGGCTCTGTACGGGGAAAAGGAGTGGTACTTCTTTTCGCCCAGGGACCGGAAATACCCAAACGGATCCCGCCCGAATCGGGCCGCCGGGACCGGTTATTGGAAGGCCACCGGGGCCGATAAGCCGATTGGAGTGCCGAGACCCGTCGGAATCAAGAAAGCGCTGGTGTTCTACGCCGGAAAAGCCCCCAAGGGCGAGAAGACCAACTGGATTATGCACGAGTACCGGCTCGCCGACGTGGATCGTTCCGCAAGGAAGAAGAACAGCCTAAGGGTAATTCCGTCATTTCACTCTTCGTTTTCTTTTGAGTCCGAGCCAGAAAAAAAGACTGCAGAAGACGAAATTCAAACGATTCGGATGGTTAAATTGACAGTTTTAACCTGCCTTTTCCGTTTCTGATTGAATTTTTTTCGATTGGCTTTGCAGCTGGACGATTGGGTGTTGTGCCGGATCTACAACAAGAAAGGCGCGATTGAGAAGCAGACGGGAGGGCAAATGGCCAGCCGGAGAGCAGAATCGACGGAGACGATCGAGGACAGGAAACCGGTTCTGATGGCGGCGCCGCCTCCCCCGCCAGGCCCGGTTACGGGAGGTCACCGGCCGGCCAACAACAACAACAACAACAGCGATTACATGTACTTCGAGACGTCGGACTCGGTGCCGCGGCTGCACACGGAGTCGAGCTGCTCGGAGCGCGTGGTGTCGCCGGAGTTCACGAGCAGCGAGGTGCAGAGCGAGCCGAGCTGGAGGGAGTGGGGGAGCAGCGGCGGCGGAGGGGTGACCAATGACCAAAATACCCTCGACTTCGGTGGGTTCAATTACATGGACGCCGCGTTGGAGAGCGAGCTGGCGTCGCAGTTCCAGGCTCCGGTGGGGAGCAATCAGATGTCGCCGCTGCAGGATATGTTCATGTACCTGCAGAGACCATTTTGAACGGAGGGAGAATTTTTAGTCTTTACGATCAGCATCAGGGATCGGTGGAAATCCAACGGTCACACACGAGACTGAAAGTCCGTGAGTGTGTGCGCGGTTGGTGTACGGTTCCGATCGGACGGCGGAGTATGTATTGAATCTCCGCCGTCGGATTTGGGAACCGGGATGTATAGAAAAATAGGTGAAGGGAGTAAGTAGCATTTGTGTTGTGCACATATGTGATAGGAGGAGTTACAGTGAACAGAAGATGTCATCTTCTTGGAGGGTTTATCGTTTGGAGTTAAATCATATATTTACCAATTTAATGATCCGTAATGAACCTTGCCTGTGAATTCAGAAATTTCCTCTCCTCATTGTAATTTGCCTTCCTTTTCCCCCTTTGTAATGAAAATATGATTCGTTCAAATCTTATCTTCGCTTTCCTGTTCCTGGGTTCGACAATTCGTTGTGGAGACTTGAAGTTTGTGAGAGGTTATTGAGAAAAGCCATGAGGCACAAACAAACCTCCATCATAGGGATGGGCCATTGAGAAAAGCCCATCAGGCTGAGCCCAAGCGTTAATGGGGAAATCCTGAAGGAGAAATTTGGAGAAGTGCAAAGAAGTACGGATTGTTGGTGGTCTCATGGGGGAGGCGCTTACTGCGTGTTAGAGGACTCCTAGCCCGACCAAAGTACGAAGCATTTTAATGATGTGCTGACGTGGAACTGGTTGGAAAGAGCCTGGTCCAAGACGGGGTAAGTATAAATAGTGCTAGTAGGTAATATTAATGCATGTTGGATTCTCTCACAAGAAAACTGGGACAAAACACTTCTCTCTATAGGATATTCACTAACTTGAGCGTCAGAGAATTAACGGACTCGGGCGTCCACCTCTGTATGCTTTGCGTGTAGGTGTGGTGTGCGAGGGAGGAGCTTCAGTGGAGTGGATAAGACTTCCGAGTAGCCAGGCTCAAATCTACCATACTTATAATACGCCGAAGGGAAAAAACGGGAGCTCCATTTCAAATTTCCTGCAACGAGAGTGAAAGTAGGAAGGACATTTTGGTCTTCACAATTACTTTTTTTTATTCATTAAAAAGACACATACTGGGATTCGAACCATGACCATTTTAAAGAAAAGCAAGGATAATAACCAATCACACTAAGCACATTTGTTGTATCTTTTTAAATTAAAAACATATAATAGCATGGAGGAAAAAACATTTCCCCCATTTCAAATTCCCTGCTCCATGAGCGTTTGTAGGAAGGGTAGAATAGGGAGTGTCAATTTTTTTTCTCTTTCCTCTGTGGAACGGGCCAACTTACCGTACAAATGTGAATTTAAAGGGGTCCAGGAGTGACAATTTTTTTCTTTAAGCCCTTTTATTTCTCCGTGATGATAATATATATATGAAAAGGCAAAAATAATACTCCTTTTTATTGTTAAAAATAAATAATTTAATAATAAACTAATGCATGGTAGCTAATGGGCTAACAGCTAACCATAAATAACATAAATAAAAGAGTTGAATGGGTCTAACCTACATGGGATTTGGCCATCAAGTAAAACAAATGAATATCATTGGTTTGTCATTCTAAAACAAGCTAATTTCTCTGGCATAATATATATTATGCTATTATTTTATATCTTAGTGGCTAAAATATAATGTATTTTAAAGTTATTCAATGGTTCAACCTCGACCAACACAATTAGTCCAATTTTTATCATTTCAAATATACATTTTATAATTATTTGATTTCATAATGATCAAATTATAGTGTATTTTATAGGAAATCGTTTGGTATTTGTTAGTAAAAAACTAAACATAAAGATCTATTTGGTTATTTTAAACATTATAACGATCCTAAACATTTTCAGTTCCTTTTGAATTTCTATGGTTTTATTCCCGAATAAGTGATGTGCAAATGGCGAATTGTAGTCGTCTCTTTTCTTTGACTATTTTTTATTTTCAAATAGAAAGTTTAAAAGTAAAGAATAATTAGAATTTGGCATGGATCGGTCAAACAGGCTGAATTTCAAGTTTTTGCCCGTTTGTTTTATGCATTGCAAATTTATTAGCATGTTGATGGAAATGGCTTGGAAAAAAGACATATAAGTTGTACCTTTGCAGAAATGTCCTCAAATGTTTGAATGCTTTGTGAATCAGGTTCCGTGACTTTTGTGATGGTGTATGTGCTTGACAATTGCTCGATGTTGTAACTGCTTAATTTGAGAGTAAATCTTTTGATTTTTCCTATGAGTTGTGATACCAGTTCTGGTGGTTGCAGCATGTTGTCGTTGTTGGCTTGTAAAAGTTGTTCCGCTGTGGTGCTAAATACCTTTCTTTCTTTTTTAACAAATTGTGTAGTAGTGCTATGAAACAGACCACCCATGAACGCTACGTTTATTATGGTATGTTCTTACTTCCGGTGGTGAGAAATTGTGAATTGAGAATCATATTCGCCTACCGCACTGTGTCTGGCTGGTGACTGCTTACTGTGCTCTCTAGAGTTATGAAACAGACTACCCATGAACGTTACCCTTAAGAGTCCATAACTTTGCGAAAAACCAAATTTAGGCAATCAAAGGTGGTGGATGTGTGATGATTTTTTATGGCTTAATTGTTTGTGAATTGGATATCTGATCTTTGTATGATTAGAGGGGATGTTTGCTTAATAGAATAATCCATTTTAATTCATGTTTATTTTTAACATGAACTTTAGTAACTCAAAACCTTCGAGACACATATCACCTACTGCATTGTATCATTTTGCCTGGGTGCTTGCTGTGTTGTCAAACTTCTTTGCTGCTGCTGCTGCTGCTTTTACACTAACAGGGGAGTTAAGAACCCATGAATGTTTCCGTTTGACACAAACAGGAGGACTTGCTTCTAAATCGTGCACTAAAGATTATTGGAGGAAACATCTCTATTGCAGTTGATATACTGGAGACTAGAGGTGGCAATTGGATCGGATTCGTGGATTCGTGGATTGGATTGGTGGATCCATGGATCAAATGGATTGGATCCAATGGATTGATGGATTCATGGATTGGATCAAATGGATTGGTGGATTGATCCATGAATCCAAAATGACATCCAAGGCTTTGACCAAGATGTAAATTTTGAAAAGTTTAGGTACTAAAATGTCATAATGAAAAATTTTAGGTACCAAAGTGTAATTTTCCAATGATATTTTTTGTATAAAAATATAAATTTTAGGTACCAAAATGTAAAATATAAAAATATAGGTACCAAATCGTAATTTGCCATTTTGGATTCATGGATGGATCCATGAATCCACCAATCCAATTGGATTTGGATCAAATGGATTGGATTTAAATGGATTGGATTAAGTGGATAATTTGGTGGATGGATTGGATTGGATTCATGGATTTGGATCCTAATTGCCACCTCTACTGGAGACCAGAACAAAAGCAATGTATAACATCAAAACCAACCATCTGAACTATTAGCATTGTTGCTTTACTATTTTTTTGTGGTTGAGTCTCCTTCAAAAAATTTAGTTTGATTTTAGAAAATTTTGCTTCTGCAGTCCTGTCTTGCCACCAACGCATTCAGTAGATGGAGATGGCAGAGGCGAAGGCTATTTTTGTGTTGTTGTTGCTGGTTTAGGGATCGGTTTGTGAAGAAGAGGGAGAAGAGAGGGGGAAAGGGAAATGTCGGAGAGGGAGGTAACTCTTTTCTCTGAAAAAATGGAGTGAAGAAAAGAATTATGATCAGTAAGTATATGGTTGTCTTACATTTACATAACGTCTCACTCATTTTTAGCAAATTATCTTCTTCGTTAGGCCTACCGTTTTTGCTTTTAGGTTCATTATTTTGACTTCCCAAGAGGTTACTCATCTATGCACTATTTCACCCAAAGCAAGTTACTTATGGCCTATGGATCTTTCACGTGATTTTTTTACGTAGTATATGAACCCCCACTCTTTGGTAACGAGGAGGTAGTTTTAAGTATGTTGGTACCACACACATACATAGAGCCTATGGTACCTTGTTTCCCATGTGATGAAGCCTTGTAAGTAAGTAAGCTGGTGATTGCGACAAAATACTAGTTAGGTTTAGCTCGAGCCTCGGGGTAAGGGTTCCCTTCCAAGAAAACCATTTCCAGGTAAACTAAGAATTTGAACACACAAGCATTGCATGAGCATGTTCCTTTTATGTTTGTTGAGTTGGTTCTTTCTCAAGTAAAACTCAAATAGGATTAGGTTTGACCCTCAGACGACTCACACTCAGGACTTTCAGAAGCACTAGGAGTCAAGTGTACTAGGGGAATCATCAGTTCATCGGGATGACGACTCTAGAGAACTCCAATAGAAAGATAGTCAACTTTCAATGTAACTAGTAGGACTTAGAGATTGGTGCATTATTAATTAAGAAATATATGAAGTAAACTATTGCAACCTTATGTTGGATGGTACTTAAGTTGCATGTTTATTATGTTGAGGTTTCTTTTAATTTTTAGAATTCTTTTAAGTGATATTTTCGCTATGCTTTTAAGTAGTTAATGTTCAATTTATTATGAGGTCATATAGTAAATTCAGTGCCCTACCGGTGTTGTGTGTTACACAAAATTACCCTTTTTGTGATATAACTTCTATGGATGATGGTTGATACTAAAAGTTGAATACAAAAATATTATAGCTTTGAAAGAGGAAGTTTGGCTTTACCATTGCATGTCATGTTCTGTTTCAAACTTCCTCTCTCTTTTTTGATTCTTAGACAGACACGTGGTCAGATTTTGGTGGGGGTGTTGAAGGGGATCTATCCCGTGTGAGCAATATGTCATGACAGAATATGTGTCGGAGTAAGCATGATGGTTGTATGAGGTTTCGCTGTTTTGAACATTTCAATCAAACTCTGTCGGCTAAGATTGGCTGACGAATCCTTATCGAACCTCACTCTCTCCTTGCCCAGGTTTATAAAAGGAAATATTTTCCTAGAGGAACTTTCTTTGAAGCCACTGCGGGGTCTCGACCGTCGTGGGGCTGGCAGAGTATCCTTTTTGATCGCCAGCTATTGGTTAAGGGCCTACGCTGGCAAGTTGGGAATGATAACTTGGCTCCCTGATTCACTCTTCTTGGATTCCTCGGCTTCATCCCCATGCCCCAGTATATAATCCTCCAGTGTTACTAGAGACTGGTGACCCTAAGGTGGCGGAAGTGATTTGCCAAGGGGAAGACCAGTGGTTTGACCCAGCTACTTGTCGTGCCATTAAATCAATTCCTCTTCCTCGTGATAATGTGGAGGATAAGTTGATTTGGCATAATACATTTGATGAAGTTTTACTGTCAAGTCGGCCTATCATCTTGTTGTTTTGTTGGATAAACAAGAAGGGCGGTGACGCTCCTTGGCAAGTTGGATGGATAGGTCGATTTGGATATGCATGTGGGAAGTCAATATTCCACCAAAATTGAAGGTACTTTTATGGCAAATTTGACATCGAATCCTTCCTACGATGGAAGCCCTAATTGAAAAGAAGGTCTCGGTGCTTCCCAGATGCCCAGTTTGTTCGGCCAAATCGAAAATAATGGAGCACTTGTTTCTTGATTGCTCAGTCGCTAGGGCCTTATAGGACCATTCAGGACTCGAGTATGTTGGCCAGGGCTTGCCTCATCATACGTTCCCTCATTTTCTTAAAAAAGCTGATGTTGCTGATACACCAACCTCAATTATTTATGGTCATTGTCGCGGTACTCTGGAGAATCTGGCATTCACGTAATTGGGTTGTTTTTTAGGACAAGCAATTTGGGATCCCTGCGTTGATGCGCCAGTTTCACCAGCAGTATCAGGAGTGGATTAGTTTGCCAACTGACCGGATACAGTGTATAGCCATCCCACTAGCTCAGTCACTGGGTGCGGGCACCATTCATCGGTCATCTGTAGATGGGATGGAGATACTAAATGTGGATCCCACTCAGTTGGAGGAATGTTTATCATTGAATCAAGGGGAGGGGGCACTCCTCTTGGCAAGAGGGATAGAGTTTTCTGTTATTGATGATCCTATGGTGGTCGAGCTGCTCGTCCTTCGGGAGACTTTTCTCTTGTGCCTAGCGAATGGGTTTACGGAGGCGAGGTTTGAGGGGAGATGCCAAAGTGGTCGTTGACAAAATTAATCAGGTTGATACTTGCGATAATCGGGTAGAGCCATTCTTGACGAGGTTTGGTGTTTGTCGGCCAATTGTCTGGGGCTTAATGTGAGATTTGTAGGTCGGAGTAGAAATATGATAGCTCATGTGGTGGCTAGAAACATCCGTTCATTGTACCACACTACGTGTCGCTTATTTGATTTTCTGGCCTGGTTAAATTCCAGAATGTAATGATCTTTTGGTCTACATGATTATCTTTTGTTTAAAAAAAAATTAGTATCACTAGATTAAATTAAAAAAAAGGGTATTATTTCCTTTCCTTGGCCTTTCTCCATGCGTTCTGTGCTCTCTATTTGTACAAGGCCACCATCCATCCAATCCCTTCATTTCCCACTCAGTATGAGACCCTTCCTTTTACGAAAAAACAATAAATTATAGAAAGCGAAAATCAACCACAAAGAAAAATAGTATGAAAAAGAAAATGGATTAGTCAAAACGAGAGAGAAAAATTGAAGAAAGAACTTAACACGAGAAAAGAAAAAAAAAAGGAATTGAAAGAAAAGGGAAAGCAAAATGAGCGAGTCAGACTGATATCCTCTGTAATCCGCCATTGATTCATCCTCCAGCTTTTCTCTACTGTCTATGGACAACCTCTTTCAGATATCTTCTTCTCTCATATCTTATTTCCCCTTTCGCTCGCCAATTGTGAAGGCCTACGTGCAACAACACATGTAGAGATTTTCATACATTAGGTAATTCCTATATAAATCATTCTCTGATTTGTGTGAATTTTGGATATGAGAAGCTTACCCAAGTGGGGAAGAAAAATGGGGGTAGAACAATTGTGTTGTGTTGATTTGCCCTTAGATTTCATTAATATATTTATCGTTTGATTCGATCTCACTGCTAATTCAATTATAATACAATTGTCACTGACTAGAAATCCTCACGTTTGATTGCATATTACTACATCTTGTTCTCAAGTTAGCAATGAGGTTGTGGTAGAAAATTGTTTAGTGTGCTAGTAGCAACGAAGTTGTTTAATCATTCAATTTTTTTTAGGTACGCAGAAGGGGAGAGAAAATTGGTATAAGAAGATTGTACCGAATCATCAATTTTGGTGGAGATGTCAAAATATCTCTTCTCTAAGTTGCACCAGTCTATCAATCCAAATGCTTCTCCAACTAGGTTACCATCTAGATAAAATAGTATATTGATTGTTATTGTTGTATGATCTGCTCTAATAATATATTGCTTTTACAAATTTTCAATACAGGGAATCAAATGGAGAGGCAACTCCCGAAAATGCAATGGATACGGTGTCTACCTTCATTGAGAAACTGCACGCCAAAGTGTCTTCTCACCATGAAAAGGAACTCATTACTGCGCGAGTCCTCGGTATCGCCAAAGCGCAGAAGGAGGCAAGGACCGTCATTGGTTCGCACGCTCAAGCGATGCCATTGTTCGTATCGATTCTGCGAAACGGTACTGATGGTGCCAAGCTGAATGTAGCTGCAACACTGAGTGTTATGTCAAAAGATGATGACTTGAGGGTCAAGGTACTGCTTGGTGGGTGCATCCCGCCGTTGCTATCGCTTCTGAAATCAGAATCACATGAAGCGAGGAAGGCTGCAGCAGAATCCATATATGAAGTCTCCTCGGGTTGGCCTTCAGACGATCACATTGGCATGAAAATTTTCTTGACAGAGAGTGTGGTGCCAACTCTATGGGACCAGCTCGATCCGAAGAACAAACAAGATAGAGTGGTACAAGGGTTTGTGGTCGGAGCACTGAGAAATCTTTCCAGCATCAAAGACTCGTGTTGGAGAACGATACTCGAGGATGGAGGAGCGAAAATCATCATCAAACTTCTGTCTTCTGATAACAGCTTTGCACAATCAAATGCTGCTTCTCTCTTGGCAAGCTTGATGCTAACTTTTAGCGACATTATCAACAAATTCATTGATGTTGGAACAGTTAAAACTCTGCTGAAAATGTTGGAACAGAAAAACGATGCATCTGTGCATGCTAGTGCTGCCGAGGCCTTGGACGCTCTTACCGCAAAGTCTGGAGATGTTAGAAAGGATGTTGTGGATGCAAATGGTGTAAATATTCTCATTGCTTCTGTAGTTGCTCCAGCATCAAAAGATGGTATGCAAGAGGATTCCATCCTGCAGGCATTACAGACCCATGCTACACGAGCTCTAGCGAATATCTACGGTGGGATGCAAGCTTTACTGCTACATCTCGGGAAACTCTCACAGTCGCCTCGACTATCTGCACCAGTTGCTGATATACTTGGAGCCCTTGCTTATGCTTTGATGATCTATGAGAATGAGTCTAATACTTCAGATGAAGAGGAACCCTTTGATGCAACAAAGGTAGAGGACATACTGATCAAACTATTGAAGCCTCGTGACACTAAGTTATTCCAAGAGCGTGTTCTCAAAGCAATGGCTAGCCTATATGGAAATGTCCACCTCAAAAAATGGTTGAATAATGCAGATGCAAAGAAAATCCTCACCTTACTTGTGATAATGGCTACGACGGGGGATGAGCAAGAATCTCTGATATCTTCTCTAATCAAGCTATGTCGTAACAAGATGGGCGTATGGGAATCGATTGGAAAGAGAGGAGGAATTCAGATGCTCATCTCGTTACTCGGGTTATCTATCGAACAACATCAGGAGTGTGCAGTTGAACTGCTGGTAATCCTGACTGAACAAGAGGATGAGAGCAAGTGGGCTATAACAGCTGCTGGTGGGATTCCACCACTGGTACAGTTACTAGATATTGGAACCCAGAAGGCCAAGGAAGACGCAGCTCTCGTCCTCTGGAACTTGTGTTGTCATAGTGAGGATATTCATGAATGCATTGAAAGTGCAGGAGCCATCCCAGCTTTCATATGGCTACTTAAAACTGGTGGACCAAAAGCTCAAGAAACCTCCACTATGGCTCTTTTAAGGCTTGTTAGAAGCGCTGATTCTTCCACGATCAATCTACTATTACCAATGCTAGATGACGAGTCCCTAGATTCGAAATCTCACATCATCAAGGTTCTGGGCCATGTGCTCACATTAGCATCAGAGAAGGATATTGGGAATTTAGAATCTTCTGCTAGTAAAGCCGTAAGATCTCTTGTTCAGGTTCTTACCTCTCCGAATCGAGAAACACGAGAGTATGCTGCATATATTCTTGCTGACCTATTCACCACACGACAAGATATCAGCCACAGCTTTTCGACTAGTGAGATTGTGGATCCCTGCAAGAAGATCTTAAATGGGAACAACACAGAGTCTGTCGTGAAACAACTAGCACAAGCATTAGCTGCATTGTCTCGTCCAAAGAAGACCAAGTCGAGCAAGAAAATGGCTCACATCACGCAAACAGATGTCATGCCTCTCATTGACTTGGCCAAAACTTCTCCGATGGAGAGTGCAGAATCCGCAGTTGCTGCACTGGCAAATATTCTCTCCGACCCTCATCTTGCTGCCGAAGCATTAGTGGAAGATGTTGTTTCAGGTTTGACAAGAGTTCTTGGGGAAGGGAGTTTACAAGGGAAGAAGAGTGCATCTCAGGCACTTCATCAACTTCTGAAGCATTTCCCTGTAAGTGAGGTGATTAGTGGGAGTGCTCAGTGTCGTTTTGTGGTTGTATCGGTGCTCGAGTCACTAAACTCGATGGAGAAGAGTGGGACTGATGTGACTGATGGTTTAGAAGTGGTTTCACTCTTGACAAGGACGAAGCAAGGTGCAAACTTAGAATACCAACCATGGGCTGCGCTAGTTGAAGTTCCATCAAGCTTAGAGCCTCTAGTTTATTGTTTGGCGAAGGGGTCACCTGTGGTTCAAGATAAGGCAATCGAGATATTGTCCAGACTTTGTGGTGAGCAACCTGTTCTGTTGGGCGATCTGTTGATTGCTAGATCGAGTTCAGTTGCTACTTTGGCCGGCAGAATAACAAACTCGTCGAGCTCAGAAGTGAGAGTGGGCGGGACGGCATTACTCATTTGTGCTGCAAAAGAACACAAACAAAAGTCGTTAGAAGAGATTGATGCATCAGGATACTTGAAGCCCCTCATATATAACTTAGTCAATATGATAAAACACAACTCTCGGTTTTCGGCTGTAGAGATTGAGGTTCAGAGTCCTAGAGGGTTTTACGACAGGTCAATTCGTCGAAGAAGAGAGGAATTCGATATGGTGGATCCAACTACTTTACTGGGAGATACTGCTGCATTGTGGTTATTGGCAATCATATCTTCATTTCGTGCGAAGAACAAGCTCATCACTATGGAAGCTGGTGGGCTCGAGGTTCTCTCCAATAAGCTTTCGTATTATACTTCCCGTCCACAGGCAAGAAACCTCAAAAATTGATCCATCTCTAACTTCTGAACTATTTTTACATTTCTCTGTTTAATTTTTTCCTAGCCTGACAAAAGAATCCATCTTCAATACTCAGACAGAACTTGAGGACAGAGAAGGAATATGGATAAGTGGATTGCTCCTAGCAGTGCTATTCCAGGATGCCAAAGTGGTACTATCTCCTGCATCTATCAGGATTATACCTTCTCTTTCTTACCTGCTGAGGTCCGACAAAATAATCGAGAGATTCTTCGCATCCCAAGCACTTGCGAGTCTCGCTTGCAATGGAACCAAAGGAATAAGCATCTCTATCGCTAACTCCGGTGCCATTACTGGATTAATCCCATTAGTTGGTTCTGATGAATGTGAGATGCCAAATTTAGCTACACTTTCAGAAGAGTTCTCTCTAGAGAAAAACCCAGCTCATCTTGCATTGCAACGCCTCTTTGAGGAAGAAGACGTAAGTGGTGGGGGGCCAACTGCTCATAAGGCTATCCCTTTGTTGGTGGATCTCCTGTGTCCCATTTCTAATAGACTTGGTGCCCTTCCAATTGCTGTAGAGCTTCTGTATCGCATTGCCGAGGGAAGTGATACAAACAAGTTGATCATGACTGAAGCTGGTGCTTTAGAGTCATTAACCAGGTACCTCTCATTAAACCATAGGGACTCAAATGAGGCTTCTATATCCGACCTTTTGAGGGTACTTTTCAAGAAAACGGATCTCATACGACACGAAGTGGCACTCAGCTGTTTGAACCATCTCGTTGCTGTCGTTCGCCTAGGTTGTAGAGATGCTCGATTCAGTGCTGCCAGGGCTCTCCACGAGCTCTTCAATTCTGAGAAGATTAAGACATGTGACCTAGCAAGACAAGCTATTCAGCCCTTGATCGACATGGTCAACGTTGCTGAATCAGAAAACGAGCAGCAATCTATACTTTCCACCTTGATCAAGCTTACCTCGGGGAACAACGCTTCAAAAGCTGCTCTATTCATCGACGTAGATGGTAATGCATTAGAGACCATGTATAGAATACTTTCCACTTCTTCTTCATCTCCAGAGCTAAAAGGAAGTGCTGCACAGGTTTGCTATGTACTCTTTAGCAATAAAAAGTTCAGAGAAACTCCAATTGCTCACCAGTGCATTGAACCACTTGTATCTCTCATCCAATCTCCATCAGTTTCGGCTATAGAGTCCGCAGTTTGGGCATTCGAGAAGCTACTTGAAGACGATCAACTTGTGGAGCATGTTTCAACAAATGATGAGGTATTGGACCTTCTCATCAGCCTTGTTTCTGGCACAGAATATCGACTCGTTGAAGGAAGTGTATCAGTGCTGATAAAGCTGGGGAAAGATCGAGTTCACCGAAAACAGGACATGGTGAGAGCAGGAATCTTGGAAAAGTGTCTAGAACTTCTTCCACATGCATCAATGCCATGTTGCGCTGCAATTGCTGGAATTGTTCCGCATACTGACCAACAGTAGCGCCATAGCAAGGAGTCCAGAAGCCGCAAAGATCGTTGAGCCGCTCTTTGATCGCTTGCTTCAGCCAGATTTCAGCTCACCGGGACAGAACAGCGCCTTAAACGCACTCGTCAATATCTTGGAAAAACCGCAATGTCTTACCACATTAAGACTCACACCAAGCCAGACAATCGAGCCACTGATCTCCTTCCTTCAATCATCAACTCGAGAGCTTCAACATGTCGGCACCCAGCTTCTCTCCCATCTCTTGGCACAGGAACACTTCCAGCAAGATATCATGACGAAGAACGCAGTCGTGCCACTCGTGAGGCTTGCCGGAATCGGAATCTTGACACTCCAGCAGACGGCGGTGGCAGCATTGGAGAAAATCTCAACCACCTGGCCACAGGAAGTCGCTGATACAGGAGGAATTCATGAGATCTCCAAATTGATCGTCCAAGACGATCCCGAACCATCTCTCGAGCTATGGGAAGCGGCAGCTCTAACGCTCTCAAATATTCTCCGGTTCAACGTCGAGTACTACAATAGAGTCCCTCTCCTCGTTCTAGCTCGAATGTTGCAGTCAACATTCGATAGCACGATTAAGGTTGCCCTCAACGCATTGCTCGTTCGCGATCGAGCCGATGAGTCGAGCGCCGAGCAAATGGTGGAAGCTGGAGTTGTCGATGCGCTGTTAGATCTGTTGAGATCTCATCACTGCGAAGAGATCTCCGGGAGGTTGCTTGAAGCTCTGTTTAACAAGAATAGGGTTCGAGAGATGAAGATTACGAAGTTCGCGATCGCACCTCTAGCGCAGTACCTGCTGGATCCGCAAACGACGTCGGAGACCTGCAAGCTGCTTGCTGCTCTGGCGCTCGGAGATCTGTCGCAGCAAGAAGGTCACGCGAGATCGAGCGATTCGGTGACGGCTTGTCGAGCGCTGGTCAGCTTGCTGGAAGATCAGCCGTCAGAGGAGATGACGATGGTGGCTGTTTGTGCGCTGCAGAATTTTGTGATGCATAGTCGAACGAATCGGCGAGCGGTGGCGGAAGCCGGTGGGATATTGGTGATCCAGGAGCTGCTGATATCGCCTAGTGCAGATGTGGCAGCGCAGGCAGCCGTGCTGATTAAGCTTATGTTTTCGAATCAGTCGCTACAGGAGTACGTTTCCACTGAGCTCGTCAGATCTTTGACAGGTACCAAAAATAAAAAGTTCACTTCAATTTTGTTAGGTAATAAATCAGAAGCTTTGTGACACAAACTTATACCTAGGGTTTCTCTCTTTATCCACTTGCTTTCATCTTCTCAAGCTGCACTGGAGAGGGAGTTCTTGTCCGCAGCAACTATGAACATTCGGATATTGAGAGCGATAAACGTCGTGTTCACCAACTTTGCTAAGCTCCACGCTTCGGAAGCAGCAACGCTATGCATCCCCCATTTGGTAACTGCTCTCAAGTCCGACAATGAGGCGGCTCAAAGTTGTGCATTGGACACACTGTGCGTATTGAAGGATTCGTGGTCTGCCATGCCGGTAGATATAGCCAAGTCTCAGGCGATGATGACTGCTGAAGCTGTGCCCGTCCTGCAGAGCCTGTCGAAAGCCTGTCCGACGGGTACCTACGACAAAGCAGATGCACTGTTGCGCTGTCTGCCCGGATGTTTGACAGTCACCATCAAGCGCGGGAACAACTTGAAGCAGGCGAATGCTTTATGTCAGTTGACTATCGGCAACAGCCCTCAACGGCAAACCAAGGTAGAGAGAGTTTCAGCTTGTTGCACGTTAACTTGAAACGTCCTTCCATTGCTGCTCTATGGCCATTTTGGTTGTATTCTTGTGTGGATTATAACTGGCATACCTTGTCGATCTTTTAGGTGGTAAGCAACAATAGCTCGCCAGAATGGAATGAATCTTTCACATGGGCATTTGACGTAGCGCCTAGAGGACAGCAGCTCAGCATTGTCTGCAAAAGCAAGGGGACATTTGGCAAGGTAACAAATCAGCATTTACCCTGACTAGTTCTACAGAAAGCCCTTGCATATTGCTTCTTCGTACGAATAATTGTTGCCTGCGGCGGAAGGCTCGTTTACTTGCATAACAAGCTCTCTTTTTTGGTTTTGCCCAATGTGTTGGGGTTGTTACAGACAACGCTAGGAAGAGTAAGTGTACGAATCGATAGAGTGGTAACAGATGGAATGTACAATGGAGTTGTGACCCTCACTAACGATGCCACCAAAGACGACACTTCCATAACACTTGAAATTGAGATTGTTTGGGCAAACACGACCTCGGAATAAAAACCACCATAGCTACAAGGAGAGAAATGAGACATAAATATTCTACAGCACCACAAGTAAAGCATTTTTGTTGGGCAATATGATGTACAGATGTATTTATTCAGTATTTTGTAAGTTGCAGCTTAGAATCAATCGGTACATTTTGTAAGGGGTAGGTTTTACTCTCATAAAGGAGTGCGCCCGGCAAGTCACGAATTGATCTTGCGAGCGGTGTATTATTTATGTAAATGTAAACTTATCTGTACAGGGTGAAAGTTCATCAGAGGAGAAAACCTTAATATATTAGTAATCAAGATTCAAAATTAATCTTTGTTTATCGTGTTTGTGATTAGCAGATGGAACTCCTAGCCAGTACTATTTCTCGAATCCGTCCAGGATAAATAAAAAAAAAAAAAAAAAAGGAAAACATACCAACTAGTTTACAGTAGGGCTTCATTCAGCTGCTCTACAATCTACATTCAATACTTGTTTGACCTCCAGAAGCAGATTTTCATCCAGGAGCGACGCCTGGGGAAAGGTTAAACAATGGCATTCTACTTTGCCACGGCAACTAGAGCAGATCGAGCTCCGGTGAAAGAAGCAATAAGGGAGCCAAGCTGCAACTTGTCATTGCACCCGAAAGTCAACCGGTACCTGCAATGCAGAGTGCCCCTTTATCAGGTAGGAGAGACCAAGAATCTCATGCCCGTTTATTGGCTTTGACGTATAAAAGAAGCATCCACACAACGGGCACAAAGCAAAGCAGGATACTTACTCTATGTCAGCCATATCATTGATCAACTTGACCCGTACATCTGATGGCATCTTGATCCTGAAAACAAACCTGTTTCGAGCAAAATGAGTGAAGACCTCGGATCAAATAAATAATAATCAGAATCGTTCAGAAACCAGCTTATTATTAGCATTTTTGCATTGCACTGACATTGTTACTTCTCTTACTATATCCACCATAGCCAATCCTTTTCGGTTCTTCATTTCAGCAATATCTGTACATCATCAACAGCAAGAAGAAGAAAAAGTTAGCAGCAAAACCCCCCATTGACGTTTTTCAAAGAAATGAATCATTTAAATAAAATGATGCGACGCTCCACACAGAAGTCAGGTCACTACGTTTGAAACCATCTGAAAACGGCTCGTTGAGAAGCCAGAAACATATTTGTTCAATGTCTTTAGGCAATGGATTTCCGGTGCAGAGGTACACAGCTTCTTCTGTAATGTGCTGTGAGGCCATATGTGTAGCCTGCACCCATCAAAATGATAGATGAACTGAGCTGTTAACAAAAATGTCAAAAGGAACCAGGGCACATAGTTCATATATTTGACCTTGCAGTCAGAGAAATTTATCACCATCTTTCTTGAAATTGTAAAACTAATTGAAAAGCTACCTAAATTACTGGTAAATTAATAAAAAAAAAGAAGAATGGGCTTAATTTTCCTTCAGAAAATACTAAAACATCGGGAAGTGAAAGCATATCGGAATGCACGTGAAAGGACAATATGAAATTCCAAACCTGCAAAATGTTCAATGCCTTTCTCATGTCACCGCTGCTAAGCCGTACAAGTGCTGCTAAGCCAGTTTCAGTCACATCAAGCCTGATTTGATGGTCAGAAACGCTATGCATAAGTCGAAAAATAACGAAATGTATCAAGACAAAAGGACATTATTAAATGGCTTGAAACTGCTCTGGCACTAGTCTCCCCTGCAAATTCATGTAACACTAAAAAGAAGGATAAAGAAAAGAGGTCACTCGAACAAGCATTTTTCTTCTTCATAACCTAAAGCACTCAATGTCACAGTAATAGGGCGTCCTTCAAGGTAAAAAGTACTAACAAAAGAGAGTTCTATTTCCTTCTATTGAAGCAGCAATCTGCTTGCATTCCACACCAACTATGTGAAGCTGTAAATACACTGACAAATTTTTTTGCCAGAGGAAGAAGTAGCTAACTACCTCACATTATTTGCTTCCTAACTGTTCAATCTATGTTCTTATACTTCGAATATTTTTTCCTAAATAAGGAACTTGGAAAGACTAGTCATATGACTCGCTTTAAAATTCAGACTAGACTAGTTCATGGAAAATTTTCCTACCAACATAATATAACTTGCTTTCAATGTTTTACCGAAAATAGGTCCGCTAATGACATCTAAAAATACTTTAACATCAACTAACGGGATTATTGTGGTAGTACCCACCATTTCCATATATGAACGAGAATGTACCCTAATAAAAAGGCACCATAAAATCACAAAGCAGAAATCGATATGAACGAAAAGAATTACCAGGCTTACCGTTCAGACTCTATGACGTGTCTCACTCGTCCAGTGACATGAACAGGATCGAGTGGAGCAAATCGAAATCGTGTGCATCGAGATTGTAGTGCCGGAATAATCTTGTTAACATGGTTACAGATGAGTGCAAACCGAGTACTCTTTGTGTATTTTTCAATCACTGTGGAACAACAGGCAAGAAAAGTAAATAAAGTCAGGAAACAAAAACAAAGCCAACCTTGAGCATGATTGATTTTGGTAATTTGTACCTCTGCGCAATGCGAACTGTGCATCCTTAGTCATGGCATCAGCCTCATCGAGTAAAACCAACTTCACAGATGCCCTAGGACTACAATAAACAGCAAACAAGAAGTTCAACCAAAACCTGCTACTGCCACAAATAACTGAACTCAAAGCAGAAGCTAAACTCTAAAGTCTAAGGAACCCTACCTTCTGGACATTTTTCTGTATAACAGACCATAGTAAGTGATTGACTTTAAGATATGTGCTCCATTGAGAAACAAACCATGACCGTTTTACCAACCCTTGAGGGCAAATGAAGATTGGCTGAATTGGCACTCAAGTGCTCGAGTCAAAAACAGAATCCAACAAACACCCCTCTTCACCTCTATCCCGTGATTCAAATTTCAAAACCAATGTGAACTCCTCAAAAGTGAACAACCATTCTAGGGCTTTCACTTAAGCAACTATCGTTTGAGCATTTCATTGCTTACAAAATGAATTAAGAGCGAAACCAGGTTATAAAGATTGGGAGCTTGCCAAGCAACTAAAGAGACATGGTAGAACAAAGTACCCGAATGAGAAGCTCTGACTGCTAGCAAAGTCTTGTATCTGCTGCCGCACAACATCAATTCCTCTATCATCCGACGCATTCAGCTCAAGAATCATCTTACGGTATTCAGAGCCGTAGAGCTTCCGCGCCACAGCGAGTATTGTCGACGTTTTCCCCGTACCAGGAGGTCCATACAACAATAGATGCGGCAATTTCTTCTCGTTCGTCAACCTTTCAACTGTTCAAAAGCAAACAGAAAGTAAACCCTAATGAAACTAAACCCGGAAAAAACGTAAATTCCTGGGGAAAGGCAGCTGGCAGAGAAGAAGAGAACGAAACCCTAACTAAAAAGGGAGGTGGGTAATACGAAAAATGATTACTCGTGTCGATAATGTCACGGTGAGCGGCGACATCGTCGAGTGATTGAGGGCGGTACTTCTCGACCCAGGGTGTAGACTTGGGATGAGCAGGAGGAGTGCCGTCGACGACGACGGTTTTGCCTTTTGATGACGAATTGGGTTTGTTCGGCTTCTCGCCGTTGTGGTCTATGTCCATCGGCGAGCTGACGTCTGCCATCTTTTTACCCTTAGCGCTCCTTTTTCTTCTTCTGCTGCTGCTACCACCGATGTGTAGCGTCGTTGGATCTTTGTGGTGATTTGCTGGCTGCTAGGTTCCCTCGAAGACTGCAATTGTGGAGTGAAAGGAGATGAGTGTGGAGCAGTGAAGGGAAGGGAAGTGATGCTTTGTGGCGCCAAACAGACTTTGTAGTTGGAGTTGGACAGCAAGGAAACACAAAGAAAGCCCTCTTGCTGAAATTAGGCCCGCATAGTGTTCAAAAATAGGCCCGCGTAAAAGCCCGCCCTAAAATCATCATCACTAAATCATATAAAGCGCTTTCTCTGGGAAAGCTTCCCCGCAAACTTCGGAGGTGACTTTTCCATTTTTCTTTTTTCTTGAAAAATATTAAAATTCTTTTGTATGGCGCCTCTTTCTTTTGGAATCGTCGTCTCCGTTCGTCTCTGTTGAAGCCAATGGCCTCCTTCCCCTCAAATCTGCAGTAACTTACATCCCCTTCAGTATTCTCATCGCACACACCAAAAACATCATCCACACCACAATAGACTTTTGCCAGCACCAGGCTTTTGATAGCACACACACCAACCAGCGTTACGACGACACCCCCCCCCCCCAAATCTCTCTTCCTCTCATTCGTCCAGCGAGATTTTCATTCCCAGATATGCAAACAACTTTCGTTCACTAATCACTACTCTCCAGTTATATCTTTCGGTGTTGGAGCCTTTTCATATTACATTGTCTTTCTGGCGGGGATTCGACTTCTCTCTGCAAACAGAGGCCGGAACCATCTATTAGCCCCAATTTCACTGACGATTTTGCTTAGTTGTTTCACTTCTGGCGTTGATTCCGCTACTCCAATCAGACACAATTCTATTCCATCAATTTATCCAAGTTCAACGTCAATTCTGGGCTGCCATTCATATTTCATTGGGGATTCGGCTGCTCTTACTACTAAGATGTCGTCACCGCCGCTTCGCCCCTTATTACCCTGTCAATTCCCGCCCGCTAAGCCAAATTCTACAGATGATTCGCATTTACCAACCACATGAAGGCCACCTTTCACCCATGAAAAAAAGGCCGCCTTTCAATCCAAGATAGTACGTCCTTCTTGCCTTCCTAAATATCTTTACGCAATCCTCTCAACTCTTTTGCGTTTCTCATGATTTATTTTTTTGTTTTCTACGTTTATGATGTTGCTCTAATATTGGATTTAAATGTAGCCACCCTTTGTGCAGAGTACCATGTGGGATGCATGCACGAAAATCATAATCAGTGTTGTGATCTTTCATTATGGTATTTGAATTCACTTAGATGCTTGCCTATTCCACTTTATATTATGTTATGTTCGATTGAATCTGTTTTCTCAAGTTTCAAATTGGGATTATTGAGTAGGTTCTTTCTTCATTGTACCTCTGCAGCATCCATCATGTTGCCTGCTTAGATTGGGTCGGGCAAATAGAGCCGACTTCGGATTTAACAAACTTTTCTAATCATTGTCGGATCAAATTGTCCTCATTATCCAACCTGAAATGTTGTACTTTCCTTTTGCAGTAGTAGGGTCTTTTCCCCCCTGCTCTTATTTCTTCACATATCTCTTAAAGTAGTAACTTTTGCTCTCTTTCTTCCTTTCCCCTCATTTTGTTGCTTATTTTTTCTATCTTCTTATGCTCTTTTGTCTCCGAATACTGCAACTACACGGGCCAGTGTTCGACATAAGGTTACAGTTCTTACTCCCTCAGTTTTCATGTTAGGTTCTAACATATTCAGAAGCTTTTCATCTTGAATGTAGTTCATTCGATGCTTTGAGAGTATCTGAGTTTTAAAGTATACATCTTCTCGCTGTGACAAAGCTTCCAACTGTGTTTCATTATATTGCTACCATGGATTTCAATCTTCATTTCATCCACGTGACACCCTTGGTAACCTAATTACTCTAATACTCATCATAACAATGGTGTATTGATGCTTCATAGCTAAACATGCTACTGATATCTCTGACACCACCATTTTAGATAAGATCCCAAACAATAAGTCCTAGAGTTTAGGAGAAAGCACAATTTTGATTCAAATGCCAACATAGTGGAACCATGTTCATCCTTGCTTGGCGTTAAGAAATTTACCATGTTCATTCTTATGTCATTTTGCAGGTCTGTGTCGATTGAAGGCATATGTACCTCTTGGTAGTATCTGTGATTCCCTTATAGGCTTATACGATGCAACTCAAAAACTTCAACATAACCTTTTCCAGCCTCACCTACTACTCACGCAAGCCAATTCTTCGTGGAAACTAGAACAATAGCTTTCAGCTAAGTGTATGTAGTTATCAATAAGTTCTGAAGGTGTAACGTAACGAATCATCAGTACCTAAACAATGTGAATAATATTTGGTTGTTTTATGAATATATATTTGTTTTTTTTATTTTGGTGTAAAATACACTTGCCAGTCACAAACAAAGATTCCTTTGAATATATTTGAAAAAATTTGTAGCACACGCAAAGCAAGACAAGTAAACAAATTATGCAAATAACACAATCACAAACAAATTCCTCTCACATCTCACACCCGGCCAAAGGCCGGGGGCACCAAGCTAGTTGGTGATAAAAAATAGTTGGCCTTCATAACCGCACTTTGTGGCAATAATAGTCAATTATTAAAAATATACAGATATAGTCACTCCGTGAAATTTAACGACATCGTGATTAATGCTTATTGGATTAACGTTTTTGATGACTTGGCGACTTTTGTATTAAAAAAAAGTAACAGGCAGAATCCATGTATGCCTTGCTTTAACAACGAAGTGAGTCGAGATCCGCATGTTCAAATACGGGTTGCATTTTATCCATCCCATTTGTAGGTTAGATCTGGTAAAATCCACCGAGGCGGAGCTGGTTTGCCATCCCTACTCTCTTCATAGGCTCATAGTGAAGTCCATGTCGTCTTTTCTGGGAACTTCTTTTATAGAATTTTCTTGAAGTTAATTTCCAACTTGTTTTCTAGTTTAGTTATTGCTTTCCATTTAATTTTTACAAAACATCCTTGTCAATCTCTGTGGGACGATAATATACTTATCTATACTACTCGATCGATAATTTGCATAAACATTTTATTGCATCACTTACCTTTTTTTATTTGACTAAAAATAAAAATTCATTTCCACCAATATTAAAACCTACTCATGCCCTTACCCATTTTCATTCATAATTTTTCATCTCTTTTTCTATCCGTTGAGTGTCGCAAGGGAAAAAAAATTTACAACTCCTGCCTCACAATTCTCTATACTCCGCTTTACCCTTTAATTGTCAGCATTGGACATACGACATCCTAATTCTCTTTCAAACTTTCACTTTGATGACTGCCACCACCCTTCCCGCTTTTCATTCCATCTTTCCCACTTTAAGTTAGTGTTGAATCTACCTCTTGCAACTACAAGTTGCAAAGAGGTAAAAATTCGTTGTGCTTCACTGTGAAAGACAATAAAATCATGAAATTTATGAAATTTAAAAAAAATATTTTTAATTATCTATTTAATATAATTTAATTATTATTTTAACTTATTTTTATCAGCTGACACACCTATCCAAAAACTTATTTGATCACATTCGAATCAGATGTCCATAAAGGATCAAATTTACTAAGTGAACAAACGATTGAAATGACATTTTTCGTAATGAGTGACTCGCGAAGCATCGTTATGGATCGAACGGATTTCAAAACAATGTATGATTTTATGCTCACTGAACTTGTGAAGGATAATCATAAGTTGTCAGTTTCTCCATGTTGTGTCCTGGAGATAGGTCTCATGAAAACAGTTGACTCTGTTAGTTGGAGATTCTTGCTCGCTTTTCTATATGTTATTGGCTCATTCCCTTACGATATTGTCGAACAATTTAAGGCTTGTGTAGCTACTCTAATTCTAAGTGTCTCTTTCAATGGTGGATCACGTGGGTATTGTAGACATCGAACGGGCTTCGTCAAGGCGATCCCCTCTCCCCTTAATTGTTTACGGTAGCCATGTAAGTTATTTTTTTTTCATCTCGCTCGAGTGGTGGCCGATGGACAAATTCCTTCATTCACATTAAATGACTTTAGATATCACTCATTTATGCTTTTGTACGATCTAATAGTCTTCTCAAATAGTTCAATCATGGTAATGTATGTCAATAAGAGGCTTATTGGTCAATTATATAAGGTTTTGAGGTTCAAATGCAACATGATTACATGACCAAGGGCCAATTTTTATTTTGGACCTTCGACCCCTTTAATTTTGGATAAACTCACTTGGAATATAGTTTTTTATGAATCTTTTTGAAATTTTGATAGTGGGAAAAAAGAGGTGTTATTACTTGGTACTTTCCGATTTTAGATACAAAATTCAGTGAAAGTTACACTTATTCTTATATATAAAGTATTTACAATTGAACTTTGACTTAACTGATTTGCACCTGCATGTGATTGATAAGAGGGTAAACTTCAATAAGAGTTAGAAAAATTGGTGTGTACAATTTACAATAAAGCGAACAAATATTTTACTTTTCGACTCTAGTTAGAAAGATACAAGCTTGCATTTGCTTAAATTCAAGATGCAAGCCACTTTAGGAAATAAAAAAAATATTCACTTCTTCCTTTATTAATTATCTTATAAAATTACTTGGACCAACCACATATGTAATTGCAAGTGAATATAAGTACTACTAAATTAATATGAATTTGAATTATAATAATATTAAAAAAGGCAGAATATAGACCGCATATGCCTTTTTTTTTTTTTGCAATTCTCTAACTCATATATTGGTCGTTGTTTGTTTAACATCTGGCCACAATATAATAAATAAACCAACCAATAAAAAACCATCGATCCAGATCAAACCGGTAAAAGCCAGACAAGACGAATATTAAACAAAAACAGAGAGGGCGACACCGTCTCTAATCACAGCCGTTCGTCAACTTCATCGTGGGGTCAAGCTTATTTGATTCTGTCTTTACTAATAAAAACAGGAAGTTTTTATTTTTTAAACTACTTCATATGGATACAGAGAAAGGTTAAAAAAATTAAGCAAAATAGCATATTGGCTACTGTATCAGTTGGAGCCTGGAGGTTTTGTAAAACGAGGGTTTTTACTTTTCAAACTTTTCTCGCTTCTTTGAAACATATTAATCTTTAAGGGTGGTTTGCTTGTTTGATTTGAAAAAAAAAAGGTTTTTGGTATAAAAAAATCCTTTCAATTTATAATAGATTTATTGTATTACGAATTGGAAGAGCTCATTATTTGTACGATAGATTTGAAGATATATTCATGAGGGATTTGTTATAAATATCCAATCGACATCAAGAATTTTATGTCCTTCCATCAAATTCCAAACATAAATATGTGATATTTACAAGTCTATATGAGTTCAGATTCATGACAAAAATTCAACTAAACAAACAATGTTATCTTTCAAATACAAAATGCAATAAATCCATCATAAATTCAAAGGTGTTCAAAATTCAAAAACCTTCATTTTCAAATCCAACAAGCAAACGAGCTCTAAATTTATGAACCCCACAAATTTAACACTCAACACTAAATAATAAGTTTGAATATAATTTATCAACCTCGAGATTTGAGTACCCAATTCATAATCCAAATTCGACTAGCAAACCACAGTTTCAATAATCTAAAAAGTCAAAAGTAACTTTGAATAATTATGTGGTCCTCGTGAAGTAAGTGAAGTAATGATAGTCATAGATGACCCTTCCATCCACATATATATAAGGTAATTATTAGGCTAGTTATCCGATGCCATTATTGAACTAGTTTTGGAAAGAGTTATCTCCATACTTTTATATCAACAAAAAGTAAAAAAATGTACTTATTTATTTGCTTCTAATATTTATTTATTTATTTGCTTCTCAAAAACCAAATATTTATTTATAAAGTATAATTTTAGTTCTTAAGTACTACTTTCCTATACCATGTTATATAAATTATTTCCACTGAAGTGTAAAAAACAATGACGGTAACTACAGAAAAGAAAAGAACGATACAAGACGTGAAGGCTTAAAATTTAAAATTGGAAAAAGATAGTAATTTCTCGGGACAGCTAAAAATTGAATGCGGAATTTTAAAATTTTCGGCAGACTCCTCCTCGCCTTCCTCTCCCTCTCTACTTTGAGAGAGCGCCAAACAAAGTCCAAAAGGCGGCACAACAAAGGCAGGACGACAGGACCAGACCAAGCAAGCAGCCACAAAAACTTCCTTTTCCCCCATCCCCACCTCCGGCTCGGATCCTGACCGTCGCCGCCGAGCCCCGAGTTTCCTCTTCCCTGCAATCGATTTTGCTCTCTCTCTCCTCTCCATGTCATCCTCATCCAGCACCAGCAGGTCACTCCGATCCTCCATCTCGCCGTTCCGTTCCCGCAAGCCTCCTGCTCAGCGTCTCCCCTCGCCGGCTCCGCCGCCGAAACATGGCGTAAGGCCTTCAACTCCTCCATCGGTTACTTCTTCTTCTTCGTCCAGGCCTCCCTCGAGGTTGTCCACCTCCACTGCCGGTCCCAGCTCAGCTCCCGCCGGCCAGACTCCTGACCGGCTCGATGATAACAAGTCCAGGGAAAATGTGACGGTCACGGTTAGGTTTCGGCCGCTCAGGTAGGGAAACAACGCAGAAAATTGCAAGAATTGCTTGTTTGGTGTTGACTTTGGGATTATCGTTGTTTGGTTTTACTTAATTTAGGTGTTTGGTGGGGGTGTTTTTCGGTGCAGTGCTAGGGAGCTTGGTAAGGGGGACGAGATAGCTTGGTATGCGGATGGAGACTACACAGTGAGAAATGAGCACAATCATTCAATTGCTTATGGTTTTGGTTAGTACTAGCAATTTTATTACATCCCCTATCTTCTAATCTCAGTTTTCAGTTCCATTTGTGAAATTGGTGCTTTTCGAAATGGGGTTTGTTGGAGCTTGCTGCCTTGGCTCTATTGTGCTTTGAGTTTCCTAAGTTTCAAACCCGGATGAAGAGATAAATGATACTCCGGCAAATCCGAATTTTCTAGTAAAGTATACTAGTGTAGATTTTGAACCCTGAAAGTTTCAGCTCATTTATTGCTACTGTAAATGGTACATCCTTCAGGATAAACGTCTTGGAAAGCTATAGTAATGGCAACGTATTGATGAGTGCGAAAATGGTTTTGGCTAAGAAATTCAACTTGCTATACGTCTAAATTTTCAAAAACTTGGTCCTTAAAGCTGGTGCATGTACACTGTCTATTTAGCTGTCTTGCAGTTGTTGCGGTAGAGTTTGTGTTTGATTTGGTTGTTTCAGATCATTGACAAGATTCCGAAGCTAAAAAGGTTTGCTCCAGTGTATGTCCTTGTCTTGTAAGATAATGTGACCAATGTATGGAGCAATTTGTGCTGACAATGACATTAGGGGACAGAAGCTTGCTTGAGAGCCAATGCAGTATAAATAGTAACTTGGATAATAATGTGCTGGAAACTTGCCGATATATATCCCATCTGTTCTGGGTCACTTGATCTGCAACTCCTTTATGTTAATACTCTATTATTGCTGATATATTATTGCTTTTCTGGTTTTGTGCAGATAGAGTCTTTGGTCCAGCGACAACAACTCGTCATGTATACGATGTTGCTGCTAGGCAGGTTGTTAGTAGTGCCATGCAGGGTATAAATGGTAATTAGCTTCAACATTACTACTCCAAGTTCTGCCTCCTTATTCAGCAGGCAGTGATAATGCTAATCAGATAGCTTGCCTTGTGACTTTAAAATTTTTGTTTTTGTTTTTTTTTGTCGGGAAATTTGTCTTGGGTCTAAGATGTAACCAGTAGTTCAGTACTGCTTGGCCAGGCTGCATGATAATTTTTTTTTATAGTTTGATGAATAATTTTGTATGGCAACATTGTAGTGATGCTGGTGAGATGCTGGAATGTGTTTCCATATTCAATCATAGTCGTATTTCTGATGTTTGGGGCAAGGAGTTTGGACTGCTGAATGCAAAAAAGTTTATGATTGTTTGGATGGGATCTCGCAGACATTTTCACTGTGATTCTTTGTTCTGGGCTTTCTCTTTTAACCCGCCGGAGGTGGCCATACATTTATTATTCCTTTTGTTTCCATACTCCGTAATAAGATACCACTACTGAACTCGGGTCTTTGCTGTCGTACTGCCCCTCTGTATTGTGATTGACTGATTGTTAAATGACTAACCATGACTAATCGGGATTATCACCTTTCTCCTTTTAGGTACAATTTTTGCTTATGGAGTTACTAGCAGCGGAAAGACTCACACAATGCACGTAAGTGATTGATTATATTGAAACCATCTTGGAATCGTCAGCTATTATATCTACACCAGCGTTTAATGTTTGCCGTAAACCTTGTTTAAATCATGCTTTTCGGTCCTTCCTGATGCTAGCATAGCCATCCATGTAAGCACATTAACTCTATCCCACTACACCAGTATCATCTCCCTCTTTACTACTCTTTATCAGAAGGTACCTATGATATTGTGCTATAAAATGATGCTGATCGTTCTTCATAGTGTCTTCAGTTTAATATTCTGTTTTGTCAAAACCATAGGAATGCATTTGTTTGAGTAATTGTCGTATTAGATGGTTTGAGAACTTAATGCTTCACCCAGAACATTGACAAAACCACTGGTTTTATTCTATAGCAGAATTGGCCTTTCCAGTTGTCATTTTCACTCGTGGTATTTAAAGGGGGGCTGAAACACCTGGTTCTTCTGTGTCTATTATTTAGTTAGATAATTTTTATTATTCAGCCTATAAATGATATGGTGAAATTCTCTGTATTTTAGGGGGAGCAAAAATCACCTGGAGTTATTCCACTAGCAGTGAAGGATGTTTTTGGGATTATACAAGAGGTAGTGGCTTAGTTAGTAGTCACATTGTTTTTTTACCCTAATTGATACCAGCAGCTATTGACTAATCTTGGGATAATGTTTCAGATGCCAGGGAGAGAGTTTCTACTTCGTGTTTCATATTTAGAAATCTACAATGAGGTAAAATACTTCCTTGCAAAATCGATGTATGTCTCTGGGTACTATATGTTGTTATAATAAAAAGCAAATGCAGTGGAAAGTCTCTTTCAAGATGATGGAGGTTATCATTGTTTCTATGATTGATTGGTCTGTACAATTCTGAACACTCCGCAGGTGTACACCTCTGTACGACTTTCTACCTTTCACCATCTTTTCAAAAGGAAGCAGAAGCTTTCCTTGTCTTCAACTATTTGCATCTGTAGTTGGAATTTGCTTCAAAACATGGAAATTGTGGTTTTGTTGTCCTTCAGCATTTGTCTTATAATTCATAGGTCTTAAAACGGGATTACTCATTCATATGTTTTGGTGTATACACGTCTACTTTTTCTACGCAGACCCAACAACCATTTCTATAGAGCCCCACATTGTGCCATGATTGGCTTCAGTAGAATTAGTTTGGTGATTTATTTTCTATTGCTGTTGGATATATTAAAATATTATGCAACGTGCATGATTTATGAAGATTGTTGCTATTGTCCATTATTAATATTCGCTCTCTCTCTCTCCCATGGTTGCTTGTTAGGTAATCAATGATTTGCTCGACTCAACAGGACAAAACTTAAGAATACGAGAAGATTCACAGGTAATGGTAGCTCTAATATGGAAAGTTCAGTGGTGTTGGCTTATGCTCTCAATGTTTCGAACCAGCTAGGTTGCTTGTGACTTAGAGGCCTAAGAGCCTGCTATTTGAGCTGATTGTCCGATCTTGTTTCTATATAATGTAAACTTTGCAGGGAACTTATGTAGAAGGGATAAAAGAAGAAGTTGTCTTATCACCAGCTCATGCTCTATCTTTGATAGCAACTGGAGAAGGTATTTTCACTACTACACATTTCTCATCTAGTAAAATGGAACCAAAGATTAGTTGGTGTTTCATCATTGTTTTCCATTGAAAATAATATAATAACTGAAGTTTATACACCATCCTATTTGTCAAATGATAGGGCATGGCTCTAAACCATATGTGGAGTTTGAGAACATGTCTGAGAAGATAGTATGTTCTTAGTTTCTCGAGTGCTCATAGTTCTCCACCTCATGGCGTCATTTACAAATTTCTTCTCTCGAGTTCCACTTTTTTGTTATTGTTGGTGTATGTGCTATTTGCTAGGGTTTTGGGTTTAATGTCTTACCTGTTTTTGGAGTATTATGTAGGCAGTAACAATTCCTTATCGTGCAACCCTACATGTTTATTGCTAGCATGATTTGATCTCTTCTGATATGCAATATGGTTATTTTGTGCAGCGCATAGGCATGTGGGTTCCAATAATATCAATCTTCTAAGCAGTCGAAGCCACACTATATTCACCTTGGTATTTTCAGTTGCATTTATTTGATACTAATTTTTTTTTCTTTTTTCAACCGACAATGCTTATAGGTCAAGACAGAACTTGTGGTTCACATTTAGTACCAATGAAAACTTCTGCTTCCAGTAGTTAGATATCTTAGCCCATCTGTATGATTTTAAATGTGGGAAGTTAATTGTGGTATTTTATTTCAGACCATCGAAAGCATTCCTAGTAGTGAAAATCAAGGGGGAGAGGATGTCACACTTTCAAGATTGGTACTTTTCCAATATCAATTTCTCATCTTTTGATAGTTTTGACTGCAAGTCCTGCTTATCCATTTTCATAACACAATTTTTTACAGCACTTAATCGATCTTGCGGGATCTGAAAGTTCCAAGTCTGAAACAACTGGAATGCGGAGAAAAGAGGGATCATACATAAATAAAAGCTTGCTTACTCTTGGAACAGTGAGTTGATAATTTTTTTCTTATTCCTTCTGATTTTGATAGTCATTGAAATTCAAAGGAACCTTGACTTGTTAACAGCCGAATAAATAAACATTAAACTGAAGGTTATGCAAAGAGTAACTTAGAAATAATATGATATAGTCCATTCTCATTACTGGACCATGATCTGGATTGGACCCTGGAGCATACCTTAAAATCATCTTTGGTGTGCGGATAAATCTTTGCTCAACAAGTTGAGTGTCGTTTTTTCCATTAACCATGGATCCTCATGCTTTTTTATTAGTTATATGAACACTGAGTTGCACATGCAATAGTGTCGATATTTTGAGGTCTGTCTTATCTTCTTATGCACAGTCTCTCTAAGTTACAAGATTGCTTGTTGTTTCAGGTTATCTCTAAACTGACTGATGGAAAGGCAACTCATGTTCCATTCCGAGATTCAAAGCTCACACGTTTACTGCAGTCATCGCTTAGTGGCCATGGACTAGTTTCTGTAAGCTCCATAGAGCTGCTCTGATTTCCTTATTATGTTGCAGAAAGAACAGCGAAGCTTCGAATTTTTGTTCTTACTAGCTTAATTTCATCTATATCATGTCCATTTGTAATTTTCATGTAGCTTATATGCACTGTGACACCGGCCTCTAGCAATAGTGAAGAGACACACAATACACTTAAGTTTGCCCATCGGACCAAGCATGTGGAGATTAATGCTTCTCAGAATAAGGTGAAAGGTGGTTTTACTTTTAGATGAATCTTGTGCATGCTTGTAACTGTTATTAATTTTGTACAAACCTTACTTTGCAGATTATTGATGAGAAATCTCTCATAAAGAAGTATCAGAAAGAAATTTCTTCCTTGAAGCAAGAGCTTCACGATTTAAAGCGTGGCATGATGGAGAATCCTCGTACTGCATCAACTACTGAGGAAGATTTGGTTACCTTGAAGCAGCAGGTTTGTGTTGCTGAGTTGCGTCATTTTACTCATTGCTAGTAGAATGCTTACTATATTTTTTAGCCTTTTTGTAAATTTACATGGTTCTTTCCCTTTACAGTTATCTCTTGTGCGAGATTCTGGGCAATTTGTATGAGTAGCTACATCTTTGCTTTTTTATCATAACACCTAGATGTAACTGGATTACTTTGGCTTGAGGCTTATCCTCCTAATCCTTTCATTCTTTTCTTTTTGTGTTGTGAAAGTTGGAAGCCGGCCAGGTCAAGTTACAATCAAGACTAGAAGAAGAGGAACAAGCCAAGGAAGCTCTGATGGGAAGAATTCAACGACTCACTAAACTTATCCTGGTTTCCACAAAGAATTCCATGCAACCAAGTCTACCTGAAAAACCAAGCCACAGAAGAAGGCATTCTTTTGGGGAAGATGAGGTGGACATTGTATTGAGTCAACAAACAGTTTCATGAAATTTGCTTAAACCTCATTCACATGGTTTTTACTTGATTCTACAATTGATGCAGCTGGCATATTTACCAGATCGAAAACGAGAGTATATCATTGAGGAAGATGTGGGAAGCTATGGTTCTGAGCTTTCAGCAGAAGGAAAGGATGATATAGCTAGCTTAGATGACTTGGTGAAGGATTATAGAAGGAGCAGGAGAAGGGGAATGCTTGGCTGGTTTAAATTGAAGGTATCTTCTCAACCTAGTTGAATATGCCATACTGTTAATGTCGGACAAATCCAATTTTGAATCTTTTTAGTGCAAAATGGTTCACTGTATAGTTGTGAATGATCTTTATAGCAGAACCACTGCTGTAATGTCTGCTTTACCTTGTATGCAATGTCTAAGGGGAACTGTTTGGCACGAGAATTTCTATGCATCCATTTATAAATATCTGCGGCGTCATATATCATTTTAGTCATTTGAAAACAAAACGAGGTTGTATAGAACTACCAGTTCAACAAAAAACCCTACCAGTCTATCACTCACTTGTAAAAAGATAAGTGGTATTCAGACTGGACTCTGAAAGTGCTGGATAATTTTATACTTTTCTATAGATCTGTGCTAAACTTCTGAGAAGATGCATCCTTTCTTTGTGTTTCTGGATTTCTGGTATTTCAAGCAGGACGCGGGTCCTTAAATTGTTGGATCCCTACTAGTTGCTTCAAATGAATGGCAGTATGTAGACTCTTACTTCCCACAAGCATGACAATTTATCTGCATCTATCTTTGCAGAAGCCTGAGTATTCAGTTGGATCATCACTGAGTGCTGACATTGACAGCCCTGAAAGTCTATCTCCTGCATCTAGTTATATATCATCTCAGAGTCGAGTAACATTTACTGATATAAAGGATGGACAAAGGAAATCTGTCAGTAGGAAGGATGACAATAATCTCGTTGTCCCATTCCCAGAAAGGACACAGGCTGGTGAACTCTTTAGTGCTACTGTTGTAGGCCGTCACTTACCACCGGTGAGAAACTTCAATCATATTTTCCGAAAGATACGAAGATGCTTCAGCTGTACTTTTTGAGTGTATGTGTGTGTTACTTAGCAAATTTGGTGGGAATCAATCAGTACCTTTCAGGCTTTGCTACTCTATCAGATCATTCATATGCTACATTCTCTTCATTTTGAATCCTTTATGAATCTTTAACAAGCAGGAGATAATAAGTTAGACCTGAAGAACATTACCGCAGATCATTCCTGAAAGATTCTTCTTTGCGAAGATACATGGATTAGGCGGAAGAAATTGATTTCCCCCTTTCTTGTTTTAGAGATATTCTATAATGGGATGGGGTAGCTGATAGGATATTTTAATGGTATCTTTTGCTGAAACATGAATTGTAGGACCGTATGGATGGGTTAAGAGTTTGAAGTTTTGTGCTGTCTTCAAAGCTATGGATTGTGGTTCTGATAGATTTATGATCTCTGAAAAGTTCAGAAGAAAGGATAATGTATACTTAGGGAGGACTAAGCTGCTGCTTGCGAAGCAGAATGGCCACACATAGTTAGTTAGATTTTGTGATTTCTGTGGTCGACCATCTCTACATGTGCCATTCTGAAATAGGACTATTAATTTTTGGAATCCCATAGTAATTTATCCAAACAACCTTTTTCGTATTTTCTACTTCAATGTGAACGGTACTTTTTTCTTCTACATAATACAAGAACTAGACTGATTATAATGTTGCTGTGCAAGCTGTCTATTATCTATTTTATCATTAGTTATTTTGAAGGTAAGTGCAGTTATGCTGAAGTTGTTACTCAAATGATGTTCCATGTGCTCTGCAGACTGGTACCACCATCACAGATCAAATGGATCTACTTAGGGAGCAGGTGAAAATGTTGGCTGGGGAGGTGGCCTTATCAACTAGTTCCCTGAAAAGATTGTCAGAGCAAGTTGCTTCTCATCCTGACGATTTACAACTTAAGGTTGATATTTCAATGGCCTTCTGTTTAGCATTCACTGATTATGTCAAATAAGTTCTTATACCTGACCTCTACTGCTGGTGGCTTTTTTGGTGAAAATTTGTCCTTAGGATCAAATGCAGAAATTGAAAGGCGAAATTATTGAAAAGAGGCATCAGATGCTAATTCTCGAGCAACGTATGATTGGGTCAATTGGGATGACCATGCCTAACAGCAACGAATTATCGGAGGTAACTCATTTTGTACAAACAGGTTTCACGAAAGAAAAATACACGAGTGGTAGTTGAATCCCAAAAATCGGTATGCATATAAAATAGGATAAAATGGCAAATCTAACCGGGTTTTAGAAAACAAAGCCTGATCTCTGGTCGGTTTAGTTGATGAGGTAGCAAAATCTTATTGCAACTGCTACGATAGAAGTATCAAAGACAACTGAAAAAAATACTGGCAACTGTGTTGCCAAACTTCTTTTCCCCATTTCCAAGGTAGCATTGCATTTTGTTTGACTGACGAATAAATGCCTAGTCCTTTGACTACATTGCTCCCATCTATGCAGGCTTTATCCAAGGTTACAACTCAGCTCAATGAAAAAATGTTTGAACTTGAGGTATGCTATGCTTGATTGATTACTGTGATAGCAATGTAAATTGCCAAAAAGATAAAGAAGAATGTTGAACTAAATTGATTTTGAGTAATCATGATGAGTGCAGGTTAAGTCAGCCGACAATAGAATACTTCAGGAACAACTGCAGCTGAAGGTAAATTATCTTACCGCTGTACTCTTTACCCCATCCTAAAGACGACATAACTTTATTTTGATCAATCGATTTTGGTAACAGGCATCAGAGAATACCGAACTGCACGAAACAGTACTTTTGCTAAGGCAACAACTAAGCTCTTTGTCAGATAAGCAGTCAAGCCATCAGCAGCCTGCAGAATCATACGAAGAAAGTTATATCAATGAAAGCACACCAAAGAGTGTAATGAGCCTGAATCGAGTGTTTTTGCAAGAAGAATCTAGACATTTCAACAGTTCTCAGGGTCTCATACAGGTTGGTATGGTACTCCTTTGTTTTAGGTTGTGTTTGTTTCAGTTTTTGTTACAAAATGAGCAACTTCGTAACAAACATTTTAAGAATCTGTGGGATCCACCTTGAATAGATTGTACTTCAATTTCTTTTGGCTCATTCAACCACTTTGGCTTCTTGTTTTGTTAGGCTGCCGAAATAGACAACCTGAAGCAGGAGAAGATGAGGCTTGTTGAAGAGAAAGAAGGTCTCAAAATCCAGTGTCAGAAACTTGCAGAGGAAGCTGTATACGCAAAAGAACTGGCTGCTGCTGCCGGAGTTGAGCTCCGAAACCTAGCTGAGGAAGTGACAAAGCTTTCGTATCAAAATGCTCAGCTGGCGACTGAGCTGGCTGATGCTAAAGAGGCTATCCTCCGAAGATCTACCACTTCTAGGGCTACTGATTTTAAGCCGAATGGCTCAAAGCTGAGAAAGTCAGTCCCTATTAATACTGAGGACTTAAGATTACCCGGACGTGAAAATGAGTACCCACTCTCTAATGGCCACACCCATAAACCATCTGAACGTGACAACTTCACCAACATGGATGCGGTAAATAGCTCGGAATTGTTGAAAGAACGAAAACGATGCAAGGAGCTGGAGCGTCTTGTATCAAAGTTAAAGGTATATGCTCTAAATCCTTTTCACAATGGATGATATGGACTGTCAGTCTCTGCACACGAACTGGTTTTGTGGTAATGTGCTCTTTGACAATACTATAATTGGTTATCCACTCACTATCAGGGAGATGACATAAAAAGTCTCGACCCGTCTGCACTAGATGAGCTTCAGACTTTTCACCTTGAAGCCATAACCAAAATCTGTCATGCCAAGGTGACTGATTCCCCGCATTTCTTTTGCTTTCTGCTGACAGCAGGAAAACAGAATTCTGATGGGCTTTATTCATGTTGTTTTTTCTGACAGTGTACGACTCAGGATTCGTAACATCTCAAGTTGACTGCTTTTCTTACAGCGAGTAACTTGTAAGGTTAGTCCAATATTATGTGATTTAATCCTATGAGAAGAAAATTCCACATTTGTTCCCTTGATCTAATCACTACTGTATTCAATGTAGGTCTGTCTCCCAATCATAACCCACTGTTTCTGTACATGCAAAACGGTAACCAACAGATTCTGACCTCTTCCTTCCGCCGCAAGAAACTGTAACCATTATTTCTTCATCTTTAGGGTAACCGACTACTCGCAGTAGTCACTAATATGGGGTTTCTATGTATCGATCAACCGAAACGAGTCAGGTAGGAGCAGTCCGTTGTATGTTGTAGACAGTATGGGTACCCTTCACTCTTTTCCCTTTTCCTGGGATGGACACTGGGTACCAGAAATGTACTCATTTGCATATAGTTATGCATCTCTATGATGCCCATTTCCATGGATGGGCAGTTCAACTATACAACAACAGAAGACGTTATGAAAGATGCTAAACATCGACAAAAATCGCATGAGGCAGAAAACGTACTCGTGAGAGTTTTTCTGCCATGGTAATTACACCAATTATGGTAAGAAACTAAGAATCGACTGAGGTTGATTAGGGTATAATACGGTTTTCAGGACTTGCGAAGCTTGTTGCAGTTGGAAGGAATCCGCCTGATTTGCCGCTTCTTGTTGTCATAGATCACCAATTTGTCTTGCAAAAAAATGTCTGTAAACAAGCAGGAGAAAGTAAATAAGTATGTAGTAAAAAAAATGTCATAATACTGTGAATACTTTTTCTGATGGAGAAACAGTTAAACAAACATCTTACCACCAATCACATTGAATTTCCCCAATCCGACTTCGCTACCATTTACATTTCTGTCAAACAGAGTTGATAAGTAATTAAGAATGAAGGACCAATCAAGTAAGTTCAAAATCTGATGTGGAGTGAGAGTGGAGGTAGCTTGCATTTGGGTGCTGGCAGGGGTGTGCAACATTTGGTCAGTGTCGAACCAAATCGACGACTGGATCGGATCGTTGCCTAACTGCGAATATAATGTAACAAAGTTTTCGGTCCCATAAATTTTAAAAATACGAGAACAAAATAGAGCGAAAATGACGTTTTGAACCGGGTCAAATAATGTGCTGTTGGTCCGATTCTTAAATTTTAAAATAATTTTTGTTATCGAACCCCAATTTTTATTATAGTTTGATCCGTTCCACACCGAACCGCGAAACGTAGCACACCCCCTTGGCGCTGTTGGGAGCCGGGAATTCGGCATGGCTACACACTAGTTTGGTGGTCTCGTAACGGACCTCGACGTGCCGTTCGGAGCGATAATATGCGCCGTAAATGGACCCTCCTAATAATTCCTTGTCTCCTTCGTTCCATGCCTTGGGAAATGGTAATGGCGTTGTTTTATTAATTGAAGTGATGAGTTTGTTACAGCATGGTTTATCGTTTTCTCCTTTATTTCCCTTTGTTTCCCTCAAAGACTTTTTCCCTCAGTAATTTAGTAGGTCCCGTTGTCGCGCAAACGGTACTTGAGACTGAGGTTCCTTGGATTATAAAAAAAATAAAAGGAGGTTTTGCCGTCTGGAAGAGGCCCTGCAATTTGACTTCTAGCTAGCTAGCTAGCGTTTGGGAATTGGAGGAGTAATTTAAACAGCTAATAACATTTTGTAATTAGACCCCAATTAATTAAAAGTGTACGTGTTTACTGGCAACCAGGGGGAGTAATTAACAGAAATAATCAAATAAATGAGAAACCAAGGAAGGATGGACGGGGAATAAACGCGCGCGGGGACAATAAGAACAAATACTCGCATCGCCCGATAATAAAAACAAGTTTATTTGAGTGTTATAGTAACAATTAAGATTAAACAAAAGAAGAGTGGGATAATTAGTTACTTAAGTAGGTTGGTTAATTAGGATTAGAGAGAGCTCTCTTCTTTCTCTGTTGTTTTCTTCATTCATTCGTTTGGAGGGTGAACGCCTCTCCCTCATAGCTTCCTCTCTCTCACTCTCTAAGGAAAAAGGAAAGAGGGAAGTTGGGAGAGAGAATGGCGACGGCGGGGGTGATAGTAGGAATGCTGGTGGCGGCGGCGGCGGCGGCGGCGGTGATGATGGTGGGAATAGGTGCGGCGGTGGACGTCGACGACGTCGGAGTACATCATCATTCAAGAGACATAGGCAATTCTGCCAACTATACTTCAACTGCGGCTATTGATCAGGCGAAGAATGGTGGCGGAGTGAGTTATGATGGAAGGTCTGTAATCATCAACGGCCACCATCGAATCCTTTTCTCCGGCTCCATCCATTACCCTCGCAGCACTCCTCAGGTAATTAACACTTCACTTCACTACTACTACCCACACATTTCTTTCAAATTCACTCGTAGATCCGTTGGTTTATGATATGGTATATATATGGCGTGGAATCCAAACCACAATCGTATTATCGGTTACCTATTCCCTTAAACAAAATGAGAGTTGGCCGGCGATGGTGGTTGACGGCGCGATGAAGCAGTCACCGTTAGAAAAAAAAAGTTCCTTGATCTCTCTCTTTCTCCGGCTGATGTTACCTTTGTTAGTAAACGATATATGATCCACGATTGAACCTCTTCCAACAACTCGAGTTATTGAGATCAACCGGTTCTTGTCAACCTTCTAGCTCTCTCCTTCTTTTCTGCCATTTCTTGTCTTAATATGAACACAAGGAAAGACGTAAAACTAAGTAGCGCAACGTACTTTCCTCTAATTTTTTGTTAGTAATAACAAAAACAATAGTAAATACGCCAAAAAAACCCAACGTTTTGGGTAGTTAAGCAACTTGTTAATGTTTTTATTTATTTTTAACTAGAAGACGAAAGAAACAAGATGAGGAAATCAATAGACAAACTAAGCCAAAACATAATATATATTAAAATTTTAAGCACATTGATTAATTAATTCATTAATAATCTACAAAACGTGTCAGATGTGGCCATCGTTGATCTCAAAGGCAAAAGAGGGAGGGTTGGACGTTATACAGACGTACGTATTCTGGAACTTGCATGAACCTCAACAAGGACAGGTCAGTCACTCACGTATTATTTTCTGGAACTTTGCTTCTTCATCTTGTTGCTCATACTCTGTCTGCACCCTGTTTTCTTCCTTCCTTTCTCTTATCATTCTTTCCATGGACACAGTTCGATTTCAGTGGAAGAGCAGACATAGTGAGATTCATCAAGGAAATCCACGCTCAGGGACTCTACGTCACTCTCCGAATCGGACCTTTCATCGAATCCGAATGGACTTATGGGTAAAGGTTTACACATATTTTCCCAGCAGAGATGGTTACGATTTTAAAATCGCAGTTCGGAGATGGATTCATTTGCTTCCAACAAAATTTTGATGCAGGGGACTGCCCTTTTGGTTGCACGACGTTCCTGGCATTGTCTTCCGTTCAGATAACCGACCATTCAAGGTTAGCTGTAGCTCACAGACGTACACTCTGCTAAAACCAAACAATGAAACAAACAAACATCATCTCATTCGTGCATATGGATCATCCTCGTCGTAGGATCACATGCAAAAGTTCGCGGCCAAAATAGTCAGCATGATGAAATCGGAGAATCTGTACGCTTCACAAGGCGGCCCCATCATACTATCACAGATTGAGAACGAGTACCAGACGATAGAATCGGATTTCGGTGACAAGGGACCTGCATATGTTCGTTGGGCTGCAGCCATGGCGGTACGACTTCAAACTGGCGTTCCCTGGCTTATGTGCAAGCAGGAAGATGCACCGGATCCTGTGGTTAGTTCTTCATTTTAATTCCTTTTTGTCAGAACTATGCACTCTGGATGAAGTTACCCCTGCTTGATTCAAGCTCCTGCATATACAAAATTCTACTGCTTCAAATTCAATGTTCATTACATGATGCTGAATTTATAGTACTGAATGAGAATTCTTTTTGTTTCAGATTAACACATGCAATGGATATAGATGTGGACAGACATTCAAAGGACCTAACTCCCCAAATAAGCCATCCATGTGGACCGAAAACTGGACAAGTTTGTAAGTTCTAACATCTCACCATTCAAACATGTAGCTCTAGCAGGTCATTGATCCCAACTAACGATTTTTCTTCTGTTCCACTGAAGCTTGCAAGTATACGGCAATGAAACGAAAAAAAGATCAGCCCAAGATATCGCGTTTCATGTTGCCCTATTCATAGCCAAGAATGGAAGTTATGTAAACTATTACATGGTACGAAAATCTCATATTTTATCGATGTTTACTTGTCAAAACACTTTACATTTGATTATACAGGAGAGGATCATTTCACATTTATAGCCAATTCAGTCCGTCCTAACATGAAAGTATTGACTGCTAGTAGTACCATGGAGGAACAAATTTTGGAAGAACTGCTGCTGCTTTTGTAACGACGAGTTACTATGATCAAGCACCTATAGATGAATACGGTATGTATCTAAGTTCCCTGTACCTACCAAAATCACTACTAAGGTCCTTTCGGATGAGAAAAAGAAATCAACTTCTATGCCTGGTGGTGTTTAGGTTTAATCAGACAGCCGAAATGGGGTCATCTTAAGGAATTACATGCCACAATAAAATCCTGCTCCCAGACTTTGCTTACTGGGGTGCAACAAACATTTTCTTTGGGACAGCATCAGAAAGTAAGGGAAAAACATAGAGCTCCTAAACTATGTGACAGAAAAAGTCTGTCGTTTCCTTTGTGCTAGCTCTCACTTTCCCTGCCAAATCTTTTTAGGCTTATGTCTTTCAAGGGAAGTCAAAGGAATGTACCGCCTTTCTAGTCAACAAGAACAGGACACATGCAGCCAGAGTCAAGTTCCAGAATACTTCATACATACTGCCCCGATGGTCAGTAAGCATTTTACCAGACTGCAAGTCTGTGGCTTTTAACACAGCAAAGGTGAGATAGACATAAACCTAAAGAGATTCACCCTTTTCATGTCAAACATCTTAGTTTTTTCATGTCAGACATCATAATGCAACATTTCAAAATGGGTTACTGTCTGTTTGATTAATTTCTTCGTCTAATCATTCAGCTTTTCTTTTGCTTCAACTTTTGACAGCTACGTGTACAACGTAACACACGATCAATGATATTGAGCCAAAAGCTAAACTCAACTGATAAGTGGAAAGAGTATAAAGAAACCATCCCTGAGTTTGACAATACTTCTATTAGAGCAGACACATTGTTGGACCACCTGAATATGACAAAAGACACCTCTGATTATCTATGGTACACATTCAGGTAAGCCAAGGTTACCTCAGCCTTTAATGGTTAAAATGACAGTTTTTTTCGAAAAATTTGCAGCGAAGCTTAAGTACTCAATAGAATAAAAAAAATGCAGGTCCTCACTAAATACATCAAATGCTCGATCCATGCTTAATGTCCATTCACATGGACATGTGTTGTATGCATACGTCAATGGTGTACATCAAGGTAACAATACTATTCTGCATCTCCCTAGTGTCAGCATTCAGGATTCAGGAAGACTTAACAAGTTACAGCACTTACTGTTTCAATCTGTCAACATTTAGGGTCTGCTCATGGAAGTCATGGGAACAGAACTTTCACTCTCGAGAAACCAGTTATCCTACACAAAGGATCAAACAACATTGCATTACTTAGTGCAACGGTTGGATTTCCGGTAATAGCAATCTCTCTACTTTTCTTCACACAGCTCAAGCAATATGGTATGTTGTCTTTCTATTACTGATCAACACAAACATGTCAATTCATCTGTTATATAGGATTCAGGAGCATTTCTTGAGCGTAAAGTTGCTGGGATACGTAAAGTCAGCATTCAACACAATGATTTCACCAACTACCTATGGGGGTATCAGGTATTTCTGGCCTTTCCTTTGCCTACATGGGAAACGTTCTAAGATGCTCAGTTCGCTTTTTTGCAGCTTCATAACTTTACAGAACTAGGGTGGAAGATTTTACTATCCTATATTTTTACATTGTTATCATTTCTTTTTCAAGTTTGTGCAACTGTGTTGACCCTTTTAGAAACTTCAACAAAGGTTGGTTTGCTAGGAGAGAAGCTAGAGATCTACACAGACAACGGCTTAAATAGAATTCAATGGAAAAAGTTTGGGAGTTCCTCTCGCCGTCCACTTACATGGTACAAGGTATAAAAGTATATTAGCTAGCTCCACTGTAATAGTAGATGTTTTTATTTATTTATTGAAGGATTTACACAAGAAAATAGTAATCTAGTGTAAGCTTTTGCTGTCAGCTTGACTATAGCAGAGAAGCACTTCTGGAATTTAGAAATTAACTTCTCAAATATGTGATGGCATTTGTCAGACAAGTTTCGATGCACCAGAAGGCAGCGATCCAGTTGTCTTGAACCTAGGCTCCATGGGGAAAGGTCAAGCTTGGGTTAATGGACAGGGAATAGGCAGATACTGGATGTCGTTTCATACACCCAAAGCACGTCCTTCACAAACTAGGTTTGTTGCTATTCAGTCATTACCTTTCTGCAACTATATTTGCTTTTACACCTTCCCTATTGCATATTCGTCCATGTTCCTGGTTTTAGACTTTTGCCAGAATCACTTGTTAATGCCTCAACTAACATTACAGGTACCACATCCCTCGGTCTTTCTTGAAACCAACAGGGAACCTTTTAGTATTGCTGGAAGAAGAAATGGGGTACCCCACTGGGATTACAGTAAATACGGTTTCAATCACCAAAGTGTGCCATTATGTTTCTGAATCACACGCATCTGCAGCTCAGATTAGCTGTCCTCAAAACCAGAAAATTTCCCAAATACTATTTGCAAGCTTTGGAACGCCTTTGGGTGATTGCAAAAGTTATACAATTGGCAACTGCCACTCACCGAATTCTAGAGCTATCATAGAGAAGGTATGCTTCATTCTGCTGCTTAAAACTTGAACTACATGAACCCAACTATATTTTTTTAATATTCGTTCCTGATACAGTGTCCTAACATTAACATACTTTCTCAGGCTTGCCTAGGAAGGGAGGACTGCAATATAAACCTTTCCAAACATATTTTTGGTGGTGATCCATGTCCAGGAATCACAAAATCTCTGCTGGTCGATGCCAGATGCTCAAGACATTGAAGAGTTCAGACAATTTTTTTTTCTTCAGTAGATTAAGTATGTAATACAATTCACTTTCCCCATAGACAGAAAGACATTGAGCATGGTCCCCAATCTAGTATATATATTTTGATATAGGGCTCACATTTTTGTTCGTATAATCTGTACCAAAACTAAACTTAAACTTCTCATGGAGTTCATTGCATAGGGAAATTATAAATGTAATCAAGGTAGGTTGCCATCGTACCTTTCTCTTTCAACGAGTTGATTCCAGCTTCAACCTTTCAGCTTTCAACGAGCTTAATCAGCTAGCACGTTGTATTTGAAGAAGAAGAATTAGGGCTAACCTTTTATCAAACACCATCTTCTCTAAGTTACTGCCCGGTGACCGCGACCAAACGCTCCAGAGACGGGAACCCATGAAATTCGAAATCCCCAAGGTTACCGCAGACATCGTCCCCACGAAGAAACGGAATTCACCATTTTAGTGATTCGGCCAAAATGACAAGATTCGAGGAGGACATGGACTGAATCAAAAGTTCAAAACACTCCAATGGATCATGCCTAGCCCCGTACCGAGCCAAGCCAACTCATCGAATCTCGAATCGGAGGATGAGAATTACTGTCAAATGACAGCGAGGGAGCCGTCGACGTTGAGGAGATCGAGGAGCGCCGGTTTGCCATTGTCGTCGTGGTGCTTGAGAAAGATTGAAAGAACAAATGAGGGTCGAGGGAAACGGCGTCTCAGAAGCCAATTTAACAAAAAAAATCGGCGCCTGAACTGAAGATTCTGATTTGTCTGGAGCAGCTTTCCAATTCCAGTTCCAGGTCAGTGCACAACATAAACTGTACAGGCGCATAACATTCAGAAAAGTCCAGATTTGAGTGGTGTAAATTGATGGTATTTTATTTTTATTAATTTTCTTAATCAGTTATTATTTTCTTCGTTCTAATCTTCACAAAGATGGAATTATTTTGTTGTGGTTTACAAAATGAGATTCATTTTCAATAGATTTTGAGGGAAAAAAAAATTAATATCACTTGTTATCACACTTTGTTGTGGTAAACAATGATGAATGTGATAATGACAATTTGTATATTCCTACTATCATGTATTTCAACCATCCTTATTATGACATGTTCATACCACCATGATACACTTCCATTTCATGTGGTATGATCTTATGTGATACCAAACATTACCACCATGGTATAGCATGGTACTAAATGTCACGCAATTTTTTTTGTTCAAATAATATATCAAAGTGAATATCATTTTGATATATTATTTGTTCAAATATCAAAGTAAATATAATTTTTTGTTCAAATAATATTATGACATGTTCATACCACCATGATACACTTCCATTTCACGTGGTATGATCTTATGTGATACCAAACATTACCACCATGGGGTACTAAATGTCACGAATTTTTTTGTTCAAATAATATATCAAAGTGATTATCATTTTGAAGATCATAATCTATCTGTGCAAAAAAAAAAAATTAAATTAAGACTTAAAAAAAAGAGATATAGCCAGTTAAAATTTATAGGGAAAAGGGTTAGATGACTTCCATAAATAGTGATGTGGCAGGTTATGAATGATTATTGACCATAAGATTACTGACTAGAACCGCTCTAGGGATAAACAATACCTCATGTGTTCTACAAACCCAATTAAGATGGGTAACAGATGGAGCCTTTTCATAACGTTCTTTCTTTCATGCCATTAAAATTGCAGTCTTGCAAACTCTATTCTAGGGTTCACAAGGGAGGAATATGAGCATGGGGAGTACATATGGGGTCATCCAAAATTGACGCCATTTTTAGCAATCTAGGGTGCTGATTTTAAAGTCTGGCTGCCAAAAATTTGAACTAGGGAAGAACTGAATTCTAATTTGATCCAATACACCCCGTAGCTCAAAGGCATAAATGAAAGAGTGTTCCATGGGAGGCAGCCAATGTTTTGGTCTAGGTTAAGAACGTTAAACAATAGTATTACCGTGAGATAGGTCGAATTTCTTTTTAAATTTCTCGTTGTAATTTTTGTGTGGAAGGATTGATTATTCAATAAAGAGTTTAATTTTGTTTTAACTGGTTCACTTGAGGGAGTTAGGCAATTTCTCGTGCCGAGGGATGATTGATCATAGCCAGGTACATCTTGCTTGTGCTATTTTCGGGTCTACTTGTGCATAAAAAAACAACAACACATAAACCAACTCAAGCAACTCAACCGAGCAGAATTATCAAGCCCATCCGACCAAAAACTGACTCCCAAAACGACGGTCACTTTTGCGTTTAGATCGGTGGGGCCGCCGAGTTGGAGGGGTCGGTACATCCACGCTCATTTCACTTCCCTCTTCTCCCATTGTAGCCATGTTCTTACTTATCACATTTCCAAATCTAGTTATGCATACACGTTTATGCAACTTATCTGGACCATAAATCGAATATCTATTATAAGATACTATCTTTTTACACATCTAAATAACAAATCGTGAGGGATATTAGTATCTAGATTTAGCAAATTCCCCTTGTCTAAAACTCTTGTCATTTTCCCCCATGATTAAGCTTAATCGCATTCCTCCCTCCCTAAGATTTAGCATTTCCTTCCGTTTAATTAGGCAAGCACTCCCTTTCACTTCATTCTTTATTGGTTGGAAGAACACAAATTCTCCACTTCTCTCCATCGAGCTTTTATTTTCCCGGCTGTCGTCGTCCTGTTGACCTTCGGTTGTGGTTGGGGGGAATTGACTTGGCCTTGACCACCACCATTCATTTTTCTCTCACTTGAATTTAAAGCCACAGCCTTTTTGCACATTCATGCGTTCTTCATAGTTCCATCGGAATATTTAGCGACGAAGATCTAAAGCGGGATCCGATCTTCTTCTCCGGCCACCACCGTCGGGTTTCCAGCAAAAAAGAAGATTGTTTTCTATACCAAGAGGTAAATATGATTCGCTCCATCAAACGTGCTACGGGTTTCATATGAGGTGGATTAATCGCGAGGTTTTTCGTGCGGTTCATTTTGTTTGTGTCTATAACTCTCTGGTTTCGGTTTTTTAAGACGGATTCAAAATCAATCATGCATTTGTGATGATGAGCAATCAAAAGATTTCTTAAAATCATATGAGCATAATCGAGTATAATATTAGTGGTTCTGAAAATTCAAATTCGTAAAATCACTTCAAGGGACAATACCGATACATAATTCAACAGGTACGATATGATACAATCTTATAAATGCAAATGTTCAAAAAAGAAAACACATCCTTATTACCGTAGCAAACAAAAATTTTATAGAAATGATTAAGGCCTTATTTTTACTATGGGATTTTCGACCGAATTAAATGATTCTACATAAATATTAAATGGTACAGGCTAAGGATGCATATTTGGTTATGTTGGATTTTGTCCACTCATTTTTTTCTCATTGTGATCGATAAATCTCAGAAAAAAATCTTAATTTCAGAATTAAAACCACAACAAACTAACAACGTTCATTCTTGTTTGATTCAATTCGATTAAATTATCAATTTGATGTGGGAATGGAATTATGCTCCACTTAGTGCAGACCAAGATTAGCTTAATTACTTAAATATTCTACCGGTTTAATCTATGTACTGTTTTATATACTTAACTCAACAAAATTACTGTACCAATATTGACCAAACAAAAGTTTTAAGGACTTAAATGCCCCTGAAAAGGTTTATTGTTCGACAGAAAATAGAATTGTTTCCACAAAAAAAAAAAAATAAAATAAAAAATAAAATAAAAAAGATAAAACACAAATTCAAAATACAAATTGTGGAACAACAATATATAAATACCAAGTCGCACACTTTTTCTCACTCTGGTTTCCGCCAAACAGCATTTTTTTCAGCGGAAGTCCAACAGAAATATTCACCGACGGCGAATGAACTGAATTTCCACAATCCCTCTCTCCGGCGGCGACGACTACCAACAAGACTTCCTCTGCACCGATCAATTTCACAGAAGCCACGAGAATGGGGTCGGATAACAACACCGGAATGGAGCGGAGGCTGCTCGTGTCCCCGAAGTCACGATCGGACGGCGGCGACGAGTCCTCCGCCGCCGGCGACGGCGCCCTGACGTGGAGCGTGTTCATCCAGGAGCTGAAGCGGCTGGGCTACATAGCCGGGCCGATGGTGGCGGTGAATCTCTCCCAGTACCTCCTCCAGGTGATTTCCCTGATGATGGTTGGACACTTGGGGGAGCTGGAGCTCTCCAGCACCGCCATAGCCGTTTCTCTCTCCAGCGTCACCGGTTTCAGCGTCCTCGTAAGTCTCCCCTGTTTCTATCTTCTTCCCTTCTTCTCACCCTTTTCCCCCTTTTCTCCAACCGTCGTCACGTGTTCGTCTGCCGCACTGTCATTTGTATTCTTGTGCCCCTACCTTTATGATTGCTCTGCCTCTGTTTAATCCGATCGCCGGCGCCATTTTGAATTTGGCGTATATGCATGTTGCGGAAATCTCTTTGTAGCAAGAATCCACTGTTCTTCCACCGGTTGATTGCATAATTGGATGATCACTGGCCCAAAATTTGTACTGGGTCGATGTTGTTGTATGTACATTATCAATTGACTAACCTCTTTGCTTGGATTATCACATTAGGGTTAGAGTTCGTAAGTCTGATTTGGGCGTGAAATTGTGTAAACGGAGAATTATTGGATCCATGAAGCTGATTAGGGATGGTCTTAGATGCCGGCTTGGTTTACGTATGTCGTTTTGTTTGAGAAAGTGCCACGATACTTACCCAGTAGGCCAGGCCTCCATGATGCTTTAATTTATTTGTAGTATAGCTCTGACCATGTTTCCATGGTTGTAAAGCTTGCCCCCTTCTTTCTCCATCTCAATTCTCAAGTTGTTTACTTTTATTTGTCTGTTTTTCTTCTTCCATTGGTGCGCTATCCTTTATTCCTTTTCATCACTGTCTTATTCTGTCCCCAACATAATTTTACTCGTGCAGATGATTTCCACAGTTCTTGTTTCTCTTGAAGTCTGATTCTTACACTGCTGTGTTAAGCTATACTTCTTGCTGTGATTTCACCAGACCATGTGCTGGCGCACACACACGGATATGAAGTATTGATTGACCTCGCAACATTTTGTTACATAAACCCACCAGATGTTCTTTTCCGTTCTCATGAATGAGCCTTTCTTTGTCCATGAAAAGCTTCTCTGCTTTTAGCTTATCTCTTTCTTTTGCTTTATCTCTCATTTGGATGATGTTAGGCCACAGTACCCTTTCAATAATAACTACCATCGTTTTCTATAGTCTTCGTTTTCTCTTGGATTGAAATTTCGATCATTGATGCAAGTTAGCATCAGTTTTTGGTCAGTATTAAAAACGTTGATCACTCTTTTACCACAAAGGTAACATATCTCCTGTATGTATACCAAGAATTATAATTGATATCATAAACTGAACTGTTATGACTTGTGAGTTGGTAAGATTGGAAAATGAAAAACATGATCAGGAGCCTGGGTTGGTATCCAGTCGTAGAGGTGAGGATATGAAGTAGTGATGATAGTCATAGTCATCACCTTATTTGAAAGAACTGATGGGTTATGTGATTTTTTCTGTTGGGAGGACAGCTAGGAATGTCAAGTGCACTGGAAACTTTGTGTGGGCAAGCATTTGGAGCCGGGCAATATCGAATAGTTGGAACTCAAACTTACACTGCCATCTTCTGCTTACTACTGGTCTGCGTTCCCCTGTCCATCCTGTGGGTCTACATGGAGAAGATACTGCTTCTCGTAGGGCAAGATCCCGCCATCTCGCACGATGCTGGGAAATTCCAGATGTGGCTCATACCTTGTCTCTTCTCTTACGCAATGTCTCAGCCCATCGTTCGGTACCTCCAAGCACAAAGCTTGATCGTCCCCATGCTTATAACTGCTGTGGTTACCCTTTGTTTCCATGTTCCTGTCTGCTGGGCTCTAGTGTTCAGGACTAGGCTGCAGTACTTGGGAGCAGCATTGGCAATGTGTTTGTCGAATTGGCTGAGCTTTGCTACGCTTGCACTCTATTTCAAGTTCTCCCCTTCCTGTGCCAAAACTAGGGTCCCCATTTCGATGGACTTGTTCCATGGCATTGGCGAGTTCTTTCGCTTTGCCATCCCTTCAGCAGTAATGATCTGGTAAATTTTTCTTGTCACATTTCCTTTTGCTTCCATTAGAAATATCCAATTTTTTTGTTTTAGAAAAAGCATAATCGTTCTATCTCTCCTGTTGTATTATTGTAGCCTGGAGTGGTGGTCGTTTGAGCTTCTGGTTCTGCTTTCGGGCCTCCTGCCAAATCCTGCACTTGAAACTTCGGTCCTATCAGTCTGGTATGCCCTGAAAATATCAAATGAACTGAACCTGGAACCGATAACTCATAATTTCCAAGCTTTATGGACACTGATACCTCTTATTTACTGTTGTTTTTCTTTTGCAGTCTCACAACAATTGCAACCTTTTACTCAATACCATATGGACTTGGTGCTGCAGCAAGGTAAGCTTAAAAAACTCCTGGAATATATGGATGCATCATTTTTATCTCTAAACTGACGTGTTTCCAATACAATTAATCTTGTGCAGCACTAGAGTCTCAAATGAGCTAGGCAGGGGCAAACCAGAGCTGGCACGTATAGCAGTACGTTCAGTGATGTCTGTAGCAGTGGCCGAGGCCCTTCTAGTGAGCATTACCCTCTTTGCATGCCGTCATGTCTTTGGTTACAGCTTCAGCAATGAAAAGGAAGTGATAGACTATGTCACAAGGATGGCTCCACTGATTTGTTTATCAGTTATAATGGACAGTTTGCAAGGGGTTCTCTCAGGTATGCGTAACAATCCATCTCGTTTTGTTACGTCTCTATTGCTAGATGAAGTATTCGTCCTCTCACATGCATTCATTTTTTGTTGTCAGGAATTGCAAGAGGTTGTGGATGGCAGCACATAGGAGCTTACATCAACCTCGGCGCATTCTATCTCTGCGGCATTCCTGTTGGCGTTCTATTGGGTTTCAGGACAAACATGAGAGGGATGGGACTTTGGATTGGAGTTCAAGTTGGTGCATTTACACAAACGCTTCTGCTCTTCATCGTTACAATATGCACCAACTGGGAAAAACAGGTATGCTGCAATTTTGATTATCTTTTTTAACAGTTTGACATGATGCTCTAAGAGAAAACTTTGGATCAATTCCAATTTCCCTTACATATATATGTGCTCCATGACAGGCAAGTGATGCTAGGCAGAGGATATTTGAAGGGGGGTCGACGATTACGCACACATTGATTTGAAGAGATGAACTGGAGTTGAAGGTGACGATCCTTGGACTCTCATTCCCAACACTAGAAATCTGGAGATTCTCCACTGTGAATCTGGAGTTTGCATTATGTGTCCAAGAACAAGTGATACTGATCAGGGCAACTGGTTTTTTTATCTTACAAAGCCTCTTTCTCCTGGAAACTGGGTGGTTGCAGAGACGGAAGAGAAGTGAAGAGGGATAGAGGGAGCAAAAGGTTGGCTAGTTTCTACTGGCAACTAGCCATGGCAGGATGTTCATCCGTTGATGAGTTGTTTTGAGTAACATTTTGAAGCGAGTGTGCTGTTTTTTCGTCTTTAAGTAGATCCCATCTTATTTTCTCATAATGGAAGGGACTTGTTTCTGTATATCTTTTTTTTTTTTTTTTGGTTTCAAGAACTTTCGGGTAGAATATATATGGTCATCGATCCTGGTTTGTCCTCCAATTTATGTTTTTTTTTTTTTTTGCATTATTCCTGTTGTACTTGCACTCACTCTTGTATATAATTAGGATTCCTTAGTAATTCAAAGGAAGCTTATATCAAACACATATTTTTTATATTCGTAATACCTGAATACTATCGACAAACTTATGATCCAACGATATTATGTGATTATTGAAATCTAAATTAAAGTATTGGATTCTATTCTTGCGGATTTCCTAATTCCCACTCTTTCCTCTAATTGTCGATGATACTTTGAATATTATCAGCAAACTTATGATCCAACGATACTGTGTGATCATTGCAATCCAAATTAAAGTACTCGATTATGTTCTTGTGGATTTTCTAATTCTAAATTCTTTTTTTAATTGTCGGTGATACCTTTAACATTTATTAACAAATTTATGATTCAACGATATCATGTAATCTCTGTGGACTTCCTAATTCTCACTCCCTTCAATTGTGAAATTGCTATCTATTCCATAAAGAGCATAAAAGAAAAATCATCAACATTGACCCTAAATATGATGATCATTTATCATCTACTTTGCATGCTTCAAATCACTAGACTTGTGGCCCATTTTTTGGGTGATTTGTCAGCTAATTTGCGTGCTTCCAACTACAAGACTTGTGGCCAATTTTTGGGTGGAGGGTTCATAGGTTATGCTTATGTGAATAATCATTCCAGGATTTTGAGTTAAGTGGGATATGATGGTTGAGGCTAAAAAATATTTTTAATTTCTATGTTTCTTAATTGGTTTGTATTTTTATTTATTTTTAATTAAAAATTTCCACATAAAAAACGAGTTCATTGTGATATACAAAATACTATTTATTTGTATATAGTTTGTGCCAAAACTTTTCAGATCAATTAGAGGACTATCTAGATCCATTTGCCATAGTTACCTCCATCTTAACACTATTGTAAATTCCTATCACAACCTACAACTATGGTGTACTCTTTTATGCCACCAAGGTATACATTGGTTAAAATGTTTGCAAATATAGTATAAATGATATCCAAAGTGTTATTATGATGCTAACACCAATATAAATAATAAGAGTAATTAATAGGGAGAAAACATACAATCCAATTTAAATTCAGTTTTTGTCTTTTGAATATGTTTAATTTTCAATTTATAAGTTTCAATTTTCGGTAGCCAAAATCTTATTCAAGCTAAGTAATGCATAGCATAGCAAAAAAGTAAGGAATGCATACCATAAACACTAGAAGGCGTACCAAAAAACACAATAATGCACGTCGGAAACACAATAATGCGTACAAAAATACTATAGTGCATATACAAGAAATCTCCAATAATATACACAAAATATTATAATGCGTACCGAAAACACAACAACGCATGTCAGAAACACAAGAATGCATATACAAGAAATCTCCAGTAACGCACACAAGAAACTAAAGAATACAAGTATGGTTTTTTTTTAAAATATTAGTTAAAACGAAAGATATATGATCCATTAAAAATAACGAAAAATCAATTATCTAGAAAGATGAAACTTAAATCTCTCTACTGTTACATCAATCTAAACACTCATATTTATGCTAGCACCATAACAACACTTTATAGTATTGTGTATTGCAATTGTATAGGATCTCAAATTACTGTCCAGGAAACGTGACCGACTCATCCGAGGAAAAGCGGAGTGTGTTACATTATTAATACACTTTCCTCACCTAATCACTCCATCACACACAAAAAAAAAAAACATCAGGCAAAAAAAGCAAGCTAATTAACCAAAGATTAGAGAGCTAATACAATTCTCCCACCATGGTGACGACGACGACGACGTCGTTGGAGAAAGATGATGATCAGAATTGCCGATGCAGCACCATAACGATAGAGCAGAGCTTACTGCTTACCCCCACAAAAGCATCCGCAGCCGACGATGACGACGACGCCGCCGACGGATGGGTCTCCGGCGGCGGCGGCGGCGGAGGGACGACGATGACGTCGAGGGTGTTGTTGGACGAGCTGAAACGAGTAGGCTACTTAGCCGGACCAATGGTGGCCGTGAATATGTCGCAGTATCTGATTCAGTTCATATCGCTGATGATGGTGGGACATCTGAGCGAGCTCGAACTCTCCGCCACCGCCATGGCCGTCTCTCTCTTCACCGCTACCGGTGGCAGCATTCTGGTACGATTTCCTATATATATAACTCTTCTTTTATAATCAAATTCGTCTCTCCTGTTGGTTGGTAATACATATCACATATTGTGTTTAGTGGCGGACCCAGAAATTTTGTCAAGGGTATTCAATAAATAAATAAAAATGAAAAGTTTAATTCATAAAGTACATCAATAAGTTGTCGATGATAGAAGAAGGGCAAGCAGGGGTTCTGTCAAAAAATTGGGAATTGTAATTGAAAATATTGGAAGTCAGAGGGTTGAGAGTTGTTTTTTATTGGGGTAGAGTTTTCATTCCCCAAAAAAGAGAAGAAGATTTAATAAAATCTTAATGGGACTTGGATTCGGCAAATTAGACGGGAATTAATTTTGAGCATTATATATTTGCTTTGGAATGTCTAAAATAACAATTGGATAGTGGTTTAATGGAACTTTTATTAGGTGTAAGGGTTGTCAAAATGTCAAGGGTTCAAATCATACTAACAACAATATATTTTTTCCTATGCTAATTTGTTCCAAATTTTTAGCCAAGGTTTGTCAACTGACTACCCTTGGCATTGAACAGGTCCGCCACTGATCGTGTTAGTGAATACTAGAGCCGTAAGCTCGGCTCTAGAGAGGTTTATTAATCCGATCTTAGATAGTTGGACTATAGGTTAGTTTAGGGTGAGTTATATTTTGATGTCGCAAGGATTGAGTTTGGTTGGGTTAACCTAGGGTCCGGCCGTCACCTTTTTGGTTCTATAAACCATAACAGCGAGTGATATGAAATTCCTCATACCAACACTTTAAAGCTGTTTGTTAGGTTTTAAAAGTTTAGATACCATAATGTAATGTAGGTAACAAATATAAAAATACTACATTTCACCAAAATTCTTAGATCTAATCGTAAAAAAATAAAAGTTTTGGTACTAAATGTAAGAAAAATAAATTTGAGTTCCAAAATGTAGTTTTCGAAAAAAAATCTGCTTGTTGATTGATTTGGGCCCACTCACTCGATCTGATACTAGCTAGAGGGTAAGACATTATAAAAAAACCGAAATAAAGAGCGGGATGGATCAATTTTATAGATCGACTCTGTACACAAAAGGGTTTGACATAGTTCTTACAAGATTAAAAAGTGAGTGAGACCCAATTTTAACTCTATGATGAACTCCTCGTTTGCTTGTTGGATTTGAAAATTAGGGTTTCGAGTTTTAACAAGCTATGGATTTATGATGGATTTGTTACATTATGAATTTAGGAAAGTACATTGTTTGTTTAGTTGACTTTTATCATGGATTTGCGATGGATTTGTTTCGCATTATTTTGCCTTCTATTATCGAATCTCAAATGAAATGTGGGATTTCCTTTATCTGTGTGGTCCACGAATTTGGATCTCTGGAAAAAAAACAAACGATACCTATGTAAATCTCTGTGCTATTTTCAGATTTGATCTATGTATACTGATAATTATATTCGCTCGCAATGCATGCAGATTGGAATGTCAAGCGCGCTGGAAACGCTCTGCGGCCAAGCCTACGGCGCCGGACAGTACCGGAAGCTCGGAACCCAAACCTACACCGCCGTCTTCTGCCTCCTCTTAGCCTGCATCCCCTTAACCCTCCTCTGGCTCAACATGGAGTCCATCCTCATCTTCGTGGGCCAGGACCCAACCATCTCCCGCGAGGTCGGCAAGCTCCAGATCTGGCTCGTCCCGTCCCTCTTCGCCTACGCGCTGGCCCAGCCCATCCTGCGCTACCTCCAGGCCCAGAGCCTCGTCGCGCCCATGCTCGCGGCGGCTGGCGTCACGGTATGCTTCCACGTGCCGCTCTGCTGGGGGCTGGTGTTTAAAAGCGGGCTGAGGAACGTCGGGGCGGCGCTGGCCATGTGTTTGTCGAATTGGCTGAGCTTTGTGATCCTTGCCTTGTACGTCAAGTATTCTCCTTCGTGTGCCAGGACTAGGGTTCCGGTGTCGATGGAGCTGTTTCGGGATATCGGTGTGTTCTTTCGCTATGCGGTTCCTTCCACGGTTATGATCTGGTAAAAGTTAACTTGATTTAGTTGGATGTTGTTTTTTTTTTTTTTGTCTCATCAGGTGTATATTAACTTTATATACACGTCCATATATAGATAATTAAACTTTGCACATTTGTGATTGGTTTGGCTGTTGTTGCAGCTTGGAATGGTGGTCGTTTGAGCTTGTGGTGCTGCTTTCTGGTCTCTTGCCAAATCCTGAGCTTGAAACCTCAGTCCTCTCAGTATGGTAAGCCTTTCTTCATGTTCACTTTTATTTATATGACTAATTACGATTACAAGAAACATAGCAGAACATTTCTATAACAATTCTTTCGCCATGTTGCAGTCTAAACACCATTGCAACTTTATACTCGATCCCATTTGGACTAGGTGCTGCGGCCAGGTATATATACATTGCTTCAAAGTCAACTCTCTCTCTTTCATGATGATATAAAATTACCGAGTTATTGAGACCAACCGATTCTCCCGAGAACTAATACGACGCGGTTGTTGCAGCACTAGAGTGTCAAACGAGCTAGGACGTGGCAACCCAGAAGCAGCCCGAGTCTCGGTACGCACCGTCATGTCCGTGGCAGCGGCCGAGGCGCTTTTAGTGAGCAGCAGCCTCTTCATGTCCCGCCGCGTCTTCGGCTACAGCTTCAGCGACGAGAAGGAAGTGGTCGACTACGTGACCAAGATGGCGCCATTGATATGCCTGTCGGTCATAATGGACAGTTTTCAGGGTGTTCTTTCGGGTGTAGCCAGAGGTTGCGGATGGCAGCACATTGGAGCTTACATCAACCTCGGAGCGTTTTATCTGTGTGGGTTTCCGGTGGGGATTGTGTTAGGGTTTTGGACGAATCTGAGAGGGATGGGGCTGTGGATTGGCGTGTTGGTTGGTGCGGTTGCACAGACTTTGTTGTTGTTTGTTGTGACGATGTGTACCAACTGGGAGAAACAGGCGAGCAATGCTAGGAAGATGATAGTTGAAGGATAGCTAGCTAGCTAGGGTGTTTTTTTTGCTTTTGCTGTGAACTATCTAGCATTAGCTAGGGGTAATTTTTAGAATGTAACTTAAAACTTTTGTGTATTTATATGTTCTTTCAGGAATATAATTATATGACAAGAATTAAAAAGGCAAAACCATATGTCTTGGTTGACCCATTATTTGTCTTTGATCATTGATTGAGACATCTCATCGGCTCGTTGAATGAGGCGGTTGATCACCAGTTGATGAGCTCAACAAATCTACCGCGAGTCGCGAGCAAGCTATCACGAGTTTAACAAATCTTAGCTCGAGCTCTATACTTGTTAGTAAACGAGCCCAGTTTCGAACAAGTTTCTCCCTAAACCAAAAGTCGAACCGTTGGCGAACAACTCGACTTGTATGCAGTCCTAGTTTTGACGAGCTGTTTGCTTGGTGCAGTTCCAAGGTTGAGCTTTGATGCATTGTGGTTGGCGCAAGTTATGGACTCCCTTTTGGTCGGGGGATCTTTTGTTTCTCGCTCGTGTTTCCATTTCTTCTCTCCGACATGGTTTGCTTCATGTTTTGGGGCTCTCATTCTTGCTCGGATTTCAATTTCAATGAATATATTTAACTCTCTTGTCTTCTTGCAATGCAACTTCTTGTTTTGTGTATTACAAAACAAATCGAAGCTTTTTTAAAGAGTTGGGTTGATTCACGTGATGTGATCCCAGATGTACGCGGCGCCGGCCGGTATCCCGCGAAATCTGTTTCCCACGTGCCCTCGATCGGCCTCTTTCTCTGCATTTCCGGCAAGTTTTCCTTTATTAGCATTTTTGCCTTGTTCAAAAGTTCACGAATCTTTCTACCAAAAAAAAAAAAAGGTCATGAATCTAAAAGGCACATAAATAAAGTGCATCGTGTGTTTCATGCACAGTTTAAAGAATACGTTTGCCTCGTGGGCTTCATGTTACAGTTTAACAACATATATATCTGGTTTACCAAAGACCAATTATAATCCAGTCAACCAAGCAAACTTTTGTGGGTTGGGTGACGCGTTGAGGAAATCTATACCCCTGTTCATAAATGTAGACATAATCTAGAGAGGCATGATTATCGAGCCAGTCTCAACACGGTTGACTTTTATAATATAGACTGAAAGTTATTATGTGGCAATTAATGAAGGAGAACAAAACATATATATCGACGCCGACACCGAAATACAATTGGTTATATGCACCTATTACAAGGTTGTCAACCCGCGGGTCGACCCGGATTAACCCGGACCCGGCCAAAAAAAACGGGCCATACCAACCCATTTTTCATGTCAGCCCGGAAATAGTCAAACCCGGAGAAACCCGGTCAAACCCGGGTTGGCCCGGCCGGTTAGCCCGTTGGAGCGTGTCAACGGGTTGCTCTTCTTGAGCCCCATTGGCCGTTGCGTCGTTTCTGCGGACTCCGCCTCCGCCTTGAATTTTTAACTATGATGGATTTAAGTTGATGTTATGTGAATGATTTAAGTGTTGTTGAATTTTTATTATGTTGAATTTAAGTTGATGTTATTTAAGTGTGTTGGAGTTGAAGTAGTGTTGCATTTTTTATGTTGGATTGAGGATAAGTATAATATAATTACATTTTCCATATTTCCGGGCTATACCGGGTTAAAACGGGTGACCCAATGACCCATGACCCACTAGTTCGTCCGGGTCCGGGTCGACCCGCGGTTTGACAACCTTGACCTATTACAAAGTGTAATATTGCCTTGAGTACTATACAATGTTGCTAACGCGTACCAGTTATAATACGCATATTAAAATTGAAAACGGCGAATGAGAATCTTGATTTAATGATAGTAATTCTATTTTTTTTTTTTATTAATTTGGAGATTACACATTCATGTCTCAAAATGAACTAGACATGCATGAATGATTTATTTTAGAATCTAAATATTTTTCTTTAAAATATCAATGAAAAATTCTTACGCATTTCCGTCAATTAGCAACGTCCCTTCGAGAACATCCGATAATCCGTAGCATCTGGTAGCAAAGTTTCTGCTCTTTCCCTACTCAAAGGTTGAAGTCAGAGAGGTCAAAGGTTAGACACAGGTCACCAACTTAGGGACTTGGAAGATTCTTATTCTTCTTTTGTCTTCTACTTTGGGAGCTTATCCTGATGGTTAGCAGCACATTACCATTAGTTGTAAAAATTGATAATCCGTGGGAGAAATCAATCAGCAGGTTTATTAAACTATCTCCGTAGTCCGTACCCAATCGCTTAGCTAGTAGCAACTAATCCATTGTATTTAAGGTTTTAGCCCTTTTTTTTTTTGTTAATAGAAGATTTATGTTTCTTGGTCTCTTTTATGTAATACCTTAGGCAAATCCCACGTCGACAAAGCACAGGAGAGATCCATGGTTCATAAGTAGGAAATCGGCCTTAACTGACAAGACGCGTTTTGGGGTGTAATGAAGGAGTTCTTGTGAGAACTCCGAAGTTAAACGTGCTCAGTGTGGAGTACAACAAGGATGGATGACCTTATGGGAAGTCACCTTGAATTGCACCCCAAGTCGAAAACCGTGAGGGTCGAGGCCCAAAGCGGACAATATCTTCGTCGGGAAAAGGTTCGGGATGTTACATTTTATAATGGTTTTTTTTTTAAAAAAAAATCCTTTACAAGATTTGATTTTCTAAAATGGTTCATTCCTCTAAAAGTTCGGTTTTTTGAAAAGTTGAAAAATGTTTTTGTGTAACATAAAAATATCAGTTCTGATGTAAACGATTTTTTTTATTTTTGAAAAAATAAGAACATATATTTTTATCATATTTTAAATTTATTTAAGAAAATATATTTTTCTTTCAATTATATCATACTAAAAATAAAATAAATTTAATATGCAAGAAATCTAATAAGATCCATTTTAAATAGTTTTGGCCTCTATTGAGCAAACCAAATTCAAGTTGGTTTAATTGATCTTTCTTTCTTTGTCATCCAACTTGAATGAGTAGTTGGGTACGCCCCGGATGAGTTAAATGACTAAACAAGACAAATAAATAAATTAATCAATTAATTAAGCAAATCCAGAGCCTCTAGAATTTATATTACCACCACCGCCTAGCTAACAACTGCAGTCTACTGAAATCTTATTAATCGGATTTAATCCCCCTCCCCCATTGTTTTTGCGTTCATATCATTGCCATTAATTTAATATACTTTTCGGTCGACGGAAGCGAGATCCGACTGGCAACCATAAAAATTGCTATAAACAAAAAAGATGGTGCTTCCCAGAAATTATAATATATAAATAACCTCCCCATTCATTGCATTTTAACGCCATCTCTCTCTCTCACAGAAAGATTAGAAACTAAACTTTTTCCACAATGAACAGCACGGAGCAGAGCTTGCTTCTGCAACAGAAATCAGCAGGCGGCAACGAGGAGGAGTCCGCCGCCGCCGCCGGCGGAAGGGTGATGACGTGGAGGGCGGTGGTGGAGGAGCTGAAGCGGGTCGGGTACTTGGCCGGGCCGATGATAACGGTGAGCCTGTCGCAGTTTCTGGTGCAGTTCATATCGCTGATGATGGTGGGACATCTCGGGGAGCTGGAGCTCTCCGCCACCGCCATTGCCATCTCGCTCTTCACCGTCACCGGTTCCAGCGTCCTCGTAAGTCCAACGATCTTCTAGTTTTTTTTTTCCGCTCCGTGGAAAATTAATTTGTTACGATTTCTTTCCTAGCCTCTGACCGTATATACACATACTAGTTAGATTGGAACGACTTTGACCCTCTTTTTTAACTGTCGGGAATAGGGAATCTAGTTCAGTAGAGTAATTAAATAACGGCTTCGAGGAGAAAATACTATGCAAATTTCACGGTATTTGAGTCTTTTTAGTGTAATTGGTATGGTTATTTTCCGCGGTAAAATATTTAAAATACAAGTTAAATCAAAATAATTTTCATGTAAATTCACGTAATTTTTTGTTAATTTTATTGCATCGGAATACGTACTAGTTAGACTGTAGAACGAACTTAACCCTCTTTCTTACGGGCGAAAATAGGGAATCTAATTCAGTTGGTTTAAGAAGGAATAAGTCAAGGAGAAAAATACTACTATGCAAACTCCACGGTTATTTGAAGTCTGAACCACTTCTACGGTAAAACGTTCAAAATATAAGTTAAAATCTAAATAATTCTCATCACAGATATAAATCTAAATAATTTTCACACAAATACATTCAATTTTTTGTTAAATGTACTGCAACAGATATTAATTACTCGTTTTAGTATGGACCGGATCCTCAAAGTAACGATTACAAGACAATTACTTAATAATTTCTCGTGAGTACTTATGAGTAATTATGAAAAACTTATGCATAATGTCTCGTGATTACCTTTATGCTCAAATGGCGAAGCGACTAAAACACTCGAGATTTCTGGCTGGATCACCCCCTTTCCTTTCAGTGCTAGTAGAAGAAGCAAACTTTGTTAACAAAATTTTCCGGCCATTTGCGTTTTGTTTGTTTGACTAGTTATTACTATAAAATTCTACATCTTAATTAATTAATTAATTAATTATGATAATGGAGTGGGAATGGGATAATTGAATTCTAGGAGCTAGCTAGGGCCACATTATGAGGACTGAGGAGCATGGCTGCTGTATGGATTTCCAACCAACACCCACTGCTCCAATTAATGACAAAAACTCATTTACAAATCTTTACAGTTGAATATGCAGCCTACGTGCTAAATATTTGGTCTACATTAAATCGAATTGAATAGTTCAATTATAGTTCCCTCGCGATTTCGATGTTACTCCATCATGATTTCTTTCATTCGTATTACATCGTTTATTTACGAGTTGATTTCGAAACTAAAATCGAATTCGTTTACGCGGCTAACCATTTGGGGGAGATCCATGAATGCAGATAGGAATGTCAAGCGCACTGGAAACGCTCTGCGGCCAAGCCTACGGCGCCGGACAGTACCGCAAGCTCGGGACCCAAACCTACACCGCCGTCTTCTGCCTCCTCTTAGCCTGTTTTCCCATAACCGTCCTCTGGCTCAACATCGAAAATTTGCTCGTCCTCGTCGGCCAGGATCCCACCATTTCGCACCAAGTCGGCAGGCTCCAAATCTGGCTCGTCCCCTGCCTCTTCGCCTACGCACTGATCCAGCCGATGGTTCGATACCTCCAGACGCAGAGCCTCACCGTCCCGATGCTCGTCTCCTCCACCGCCACGCTCTGCTGCCACGTCCCGCTCTGCTACGCTCTCGTGTTCAGGACCGGACTGGGAATCGTCGGGGCGCCGCTGGCGATCAGCCTGTCCAACTGGCTGAATTTGGTGTTGCTTGCGCTCTACGTCAAGTACTCCCCTGCCTGTGCCAAGACCAGAGTCCCCGTTTCGATGGAGCTGTTCCGCGACATGGGCGTCTTCTTTCGCTACGCCGTCCCTTCTGCAGTCATGATATGGTAAAAATTACTATAACTATAGCCAATTTAATTGTGGGTTTTTTGTGACTGTGTAGTTTATGTTGATTTATTGTCGTTGGTTGCAGCTTGGAATGGTGGTCGTTTGAGCTTGTGGTGGTGCTTTCGGGCCTCTTGCCGAATCCTCAGCTTGAGACATCAGTCCTCTCAGTATGGTATGTCTTGATTCCCAAGTAACTGGTAGTTTTTTTTTTGGTAGCTTAATGCACAAGAAATCCATTCTTACCTGATGTTCTTCTTGTTTCATTTCTGTAGTCTCAACACCATCGCGACTCTATACTCGATACCATTTGGACTCGGTGCTGCAGCCAGGTATGAACACCAAACCCCTTAAATCCGAAAAGCTAACCCCCAAATTGGGAAGGCGAAAAACCAACAATTTTAAAGGTTTGTCGAGGTTTGGGGGCAATGCCTTGCCTGACAAGTTACAAACTCTGTGTGTTGCAGCACCAGAGTGTCAAACGAGCTAGGAAGGGGAAGACCAGACGCAGCACGACTAGCAGTTCGTACTGTGATGTCCGTTGCGGCAGTTGGGGCACTGCTACTGAGCAGTACTCTCTTTATGTGTCGTCACGTCTTTGGATACAGCTTCAGCAATGAGAAGGAAGTGGTGGATTATGTGACCAAGATGGCGCCATTGATATGCTTGTCGGTTATAATGGACAGCCTGCAGGGAGTTCTTTCAGGGATAGCCAGAGGTTGTGGATGGCAGCATATAGGAGCTTACATTAACCTCGGAGCGTTCTACCTATGTGGGTTCCCCGTTGGAATCGTGTTAGGGTTTTGGACCGATCTTAGAGGAATGGGGCTGTGGATTGGAGTGCTCGTCGGTTCGTTCACACAGACGGTGCTACTGTTTATTGTTACAGTGACCATCAACTGGGAGAAACAGGCGAGTAATGCTAAGGAGAGGATACTTGAAGGAGAATCAACTGTTACAGCTCCATTGCTGGTTTGAGTGAAAACCCAAGTTAATGATCTAGTCGAAAATGTTGAGATTTCTTCATTGGAATGTTTGTACTTTGTAGAGAGGAGTTTGTATTAGCGTGATATTATTTTTACTGACATGGGTAGTGTAAAGAGTGAAGTTAATGATATATTGAAAAAGTACTTATGATTCATCCAAAGCTTTTGTTCCTTGTGCAAATACTTCTTTTCTTATACCCAACAGCAACATGCCAATCCAGTTTTGTTTTAGTGCTCTCTGAAAAGGTAACTTTTTCCCTGACCAAGAAAAAAGCTGGAAGATGAAAGTGGTATACAACGCACTAAACCACCACAAGACTCAGATTTGATGTAAGTGATGGAGAAAACCATTGATTAATAGCTAATCACCTTGGCTCAAAACAGATCAGGATTGCTATGAACCAAGACACAACAGTAGCATCATCTCACTCCAGAGAAGAAAAATGGAAGAAAGCTTACTTCCCAAAGAAAGGGAACCAGAAGGAAGAATTGGGTGTTCAGAAGGATTGTGGGATGTTTACATCCAGGAAGCCAAGAGATTATGTACCATAGCACTTCCCATGGCAGCCATCAACCTCTCGATGGGCGCGTTGAACATCATATCACTGATGATGGTTGGCCATCTAGGCGAGCTCTCCCTCTCCAGCTCTGCCATCGCCATCTCTCTCTCGAATGTCACCTGCTTCAGCCTTCTTGTTGGGATGTCAAGTGCTTTAGAGACACTGAATGGACAAGCCTATGGAGCTCAGCAGTACAGGAAACTTGCGACGCAAACTTACACCGCCATCTTCTCGTTGATATCGGTCTGCATCTTTCTCTCCTTGGCATGGTTCAACATGGAGAGTCTGTTGGTGCTGATCGGTCAGGATCCTGTCATTGCTCATGAAGCCGGGGCCTTCACGAGGTGGCTCGTGCCTGCGTTTTTCGCTGCTGCGGTGTATCAGCCACTGGTTAAGTACTACTTGGCACAGAGTTTGATTACTCCCATGTTGTTGTGCTCTTGTGTCACCATCTTTCTCCACGTTCCTTTGTGTTGGATTTTGATCTTCAAGACTGGATTGAACAACTTTGGTGGAGCATTGTCAGTAGGGATATCCTACTGGTTGAATGTCGTTTTTCTTGTTCTTTACATGGCGTTCTCTCCTACGTGTGCCAAGACTGGTGCTCCGGTGTCTGTGGAGTTGTTTCGAGGGGTTGGGGAGTTCTTTCGATTTGCGATTCCTTCTGCAATCATGATTTGGTAAAGTGTTGTATGCAACCATTAATTGTATTCATTCCCCATTGTACATTTTGATGAATAAATTCTTCAATTTGGTTTATATTTTTCCCCTGGCTGCAGCCTGCAATGGTGGTCATATGAGTTTGTCATCATGCTATCAGGGTTGTTGCCAAATCCACAACTCGAGACTTCGGTCCTCTCGATTTGGTATGTGTTCTTCTGAGATAATGCAATTCTTGAACATTTGGGTCTCACTGAAATTGCTCAAAGTTTCTTTCTTTTGTTTCCTAACAGTCTCACAACAATTGGGACACTCTTTGCAATACCATATGGACTAGGTGCTGCAGTCAGGTTTGCCACATTTCTTGCCATACACGCCATCTCTCAAAAAGTCAATAAAAGAGCATGTTTTGAGCCATCACTATTGCCCTATTTGTTTCAATGATGGCAGCACTCGGGTTGCAAACGAGCTAGGAGGTGGGAACCCACAAGCTGCTCGAAGATCGGTCTACACGATCATGATCCTGGGAGTTGCAGAATTGGCTGTAGTTGGTGGAATCTTGTTTGCAGGAAGACAGATGTTTGGATTCTTATTCAGCGGAGAGGCAGAAGTTGTGGAGCAAGTATCCAAAATGGCTCCCTTAGTTTGCCTCTCTATTGTGGTGGATGGCTTACAGGAGATCCTTTCAGGTTTCTCGTTTTTTTACTTTTCCTCCACCATTAAACTCTGTTCAGCTTTCCATAACTCCTTCCTTGCCTTATGAAAGTGACTGGTTTTGTCGATACGAAATAGGAGTTGCGAGGGGATGTGGGTGGCAGCACATTGGAGCATATGTGAATCTGGCTGCACTGTATCTCTGCGGGATACCAGTTGCTGGTCTACTGGGGTTTGTGTTCCAGCTAAGGGGAAAGGGGCTATGGATTGGGATTCTAATTGGTGCTACTTTGCAAACACTTCTTCTAGCTGTGGTCACATTTTGCACCAATTGGGAAAACCAGGTTTGTTTAGTTCAGTGCAGATATTAGTCTTTGTTTCCTAGAGCGGTGCATTTGGTTCTGCTGCTTAAGGAAATGAAAATAGTGGAATTAGCAAACACTTTAATTTGTTTCACCAGGTGACACTTACTGCTAGAACTGCAGAACACAGTGTTTCACCTTTGAAACTTTATGATCAATAGACTTGTTGTACGTTATCTAGAATGAACTTTTCTCGCCTTCTGCAGGTAAGTATGGCAAGAGAAAGGATATTCAAAGCGCGAAACCTTCAACATCCGATGTCTGAGGATCGAACGGATGAATGAGACGACGATGCTACCAACTGCATTTTTGTGACTGGAACATAATGAGATCAAGAAGCAGGCTGAGATATGTTTCCAACATAAATCTAGGCTTCATTTCCAGAAAGCTGGGGTGGGATAAAAAGTAAAGCTAATGTTAAAGCTCATTTCTGCAGTTACTTGGGATCTCTGTTAGATGTATGTAACTCGTCACTTCCAATTTCCTAAGTCAAGAAATCAGATATTTTGCGAACTTTCAGATCCTTCTGTAAAAGCAGTTTGATACTATTTGGCTTTTAGCTTGATGGCATTGAGCTGCAGAAATTATAACAAATAGTATTAGTTAAGACAAAAAATTGAGTGAGTTAATGAGTTTAAAGAATTTGAGATTTGAGTATAATAAGCAATACTCAGATCATTATTTTTTGTGATTATGAAATTATAACATCGTATCGAATCATATACGGATATGTTATAATTTAGTGGTACAACCGATGGTGGTTAAGGCTAGTTTAAGTGAACATTTGTTAAACCTAAATTACTTTCTGTTTCGGTAAAAAAAAATGTACGTAGCTCCGACCTGATCAGTATTCGACCGGTCGGTTCAACATGGTCCGATTACAATAAGTCATTTGAACTGTTGGAATACATTTTGGTTGGACTGTTCTGGAAACAAAGTAAAATTGAATCAAACACGCCAAAACTGGGCTCGAAGATGATAATTGATAATTTGGTAACATATATTTCTTTTGAAGAAATTTGGTTATATATGAATGCAGATTAGTGAGATTAAAACCGAATTGGTTGAACCAAATCCAACCATTAAACCTCAACCGACTTCATGGTTCAATCTGGTTTGACAGTACAGGATAGTCCCGTTTGACAATATTCTTATTTTTGCCGGAAATGGAGTCAAACATAAACTCGCAGTTGTGCCTTCATTCCGTATTCTGTATTTCCTTCTATCTCTCTGTAACAAAGTTTGGTCTCCCTCGCTCTTCCATCAATGGCGTCTCTGATAATGTCTCCATCGACTAAGCAGTACTTGGCATCCTCGTCTCTTTCCCAGCACAGTAATCACAGTCGATGCCGCTACAAAACAACTAGCCTCTCCTTTTCCTCTTCCTCTTCTTCTTCTATTTCTTTGCCCCAGCCACAGCAAGGTAACAATTTCATCGATTGTGCATTTGAATTTGCTTTTGTCTAGCATAAAATCAGAATGCCGGTTTCATTTCGGTTAACAAAAAAATTTCAGGGTTTGCGAATGCTCCCACTCTTACCGCCGTCGGGAGGCGTCGCCGCCACTCCTCATCGTTTCTGGAAGCACCGGAAGCTGTTAGGCATCTCGTCGGATCACTTACACGAACTGAAGGCCTCCGTTTTGCCGTGGTGAGTTCTCAATTTAGGTCTACTGCGTAATTTTAGATGAATCATTTCACTTTCTCGTGTGATGCTTACTTATATACTCTTGTCTGATTATGGTGAATTTGATTGTTTGTGGATTTTTCATGGGAAAGGTCGTTGCTAGGTTCAATGAGATTGTGACTCGGCGGCTTTTAGAGGGAGCTATCGAGACTTTTATTAGGTATTCCGTCAAGGAAGAAGACATCGATGTATGTTGACAAAACTCTTGTAGTCGTCCTCAATTCTGTGGTTCGTTCCTTTTTCTTTTAAATGCTTCTTTATCGAGCATCAAATTATCATTTTCAGGTTGTGTGGGTTCCCGGTAGTTTCGAAGTGGGTGTTGTTGCGGAGAAGCTAGGCAAATCAGGGAACTATAATGCAGTTCTGTGTATTGGAGCTGTGGTAACGATTAACAGTTTCCCCTTTCTTCCTCTGTAGCCTCTTGCTTGGATTTGATGGTTCTTTTGTCAGGTGGGTTTGGCATTATAGCTTCTTAATAGGATGTAATGCTTGAACTCTATTTTCTGTGTAGATAAGAGGTGACACCTCACACTATGATGCTGTTGCAAATTCCGCTGCATCTGGAGTACTCTCGGCTGGTCTCAATTCAGGTGCATGAAGATTGTTTTTGTTTCCTTTGCATATTCATGAGTCACAATTAGTGTCCTTTCATTTTATCGCTTTTGAATTGGATATGTTTACTTGCGAAGTAACATTTTCTTCAATATGTTGGGTGTTTTGTTGGGTTATTTGAGAGAGCGATATTTGCAATACCATTCAATTGCAGCATGGTTCCCTTTCTTGTTTAAACTACATTCGGAAGTGGCATGCGAATCCATTTTGTATTGTTATAATTGAGTTCCACAATCTGCCGGGTAAAGGGGGGTTTGATGAATTGAGTTCCACAATCGGCTAGAGAAGGCTAGAGGAGTAGAGGTACAGGATTGTGTATCATCCTGTTTTGCTTGCTGTTGTGCCCTGTGCAAAAGAAAGACTTCCTACTTGGAATCAATGATTACCAGGGGCTTGTGATCATCCCACTATGGGCAATATGCTTCAGCAGCAGAAAAGAAGCATTTGATTCTCACACTCACGTACACCTGATTGCACTGAACTGGGTTTTTGGCATTTGAAAATAGGATAGGTTTATGGTTTGATAGAGTGCAGATTTTGGATTTCTAAGAGCGAACTGAGATTATGCATCATTTGTCACATATATGTCCACCACACAGCACAAGCAAGCTTAGAGACCTGTGATTGAGTGGCATTGTGGCACCAACGATTTCTAACGCAACATGTTGCCAAACATATCTCTGTCAAGCACTAAATATGAGAAAAGTTCATTACATGCATCGTTGTTGTTTCTAAAGGTTGATAAAGATAACGTTCATAAATCTTTATCTATATGGGGTTTCACTCTTGGAAAGGTATGAAAAAAGGAATAGCATGATATCCGTTACCATGTGTGTCCTTCACGCCCTTAACAATTATCTTTGTGGTCAAGAAACCAAGGATTGCAAAATTCCCCAAATAGAAAGTTACACCGTCTTTCCTGAAGTTAAAGATGGTGTTTTTAATTGCATTTTCTCATAGGTTCTGGTACTGCCCAACAGTCTGTCAAGAAATCAAATTTGGACAGCTAATCATGCTGAATCCGTGTTTTTTTATTGTTGTTAAAAAGCTCCTTATTTTTAACTTTGTTCTGATTCTGAATTGCTTTGCAGGAGTCCCATGTATATTCGGAGTTCTGACATGCGAAGACATGGATCAGGTGAGAATGTGATATGGTTTTACATACTGCATAGTCCATGCTCTTGCTGAGGCTTATGAAACGTTTATTTGTATTTTAATAAACACTTCAGGCACTAAACCGGGCTGGCGGGAAAGCTGGGAACAAAGGAGCGGAGGCTGCTTTAACAGCTGTAAGTTGTTGTCTTTTATCTTTAGTAATTCAGGTGAAACCTTTCTTTGATGATTGTTTCCTAGTGCTTAGATCACGTATGGTTGATCAATAAATCCACAAGCTTGGCAGCTTTGGTCAGTTAATGAGTTTGCAGGCACTGCTGCATCATCAGCTATCAGAATTATAGCCGAACAACACAACTAGTTTTCCCTTCTGTTTAAGAATGGTACAAATATATTGCCGCCTTCGTGCCTTCAGTTATGAATTTCGATAGTCTAGGAAGCCATTTTTAACTAGAACTGCCATTGGTGAAAGTGAGAAGTGATTTCAAATCCTCTGAAATAGGAAAACTTCGTGTGAGCCTTTTCTGTATATGATTCTCCTTGTGGGCCTTTTCTTTTCACCCTACGCATAAGTAGATAGCTACCATGTCATGAAAAGCTAGGAGATTATTGCATTTCTCTTTTAGGAAGTGTAATAATATTAGCCCTAAAACCCAATGATAAAGCCTTTGTTAGATATCAGTCTTTGATTGTGGAGTTTGGGTTGCACTGCAGATTGAGATGGCATCCTTGTTTGAGCACCACTTGAAGTAGGACAGCTAATGGTACAACAATCAACTTTGGTTGCATTTGAGGGGAAATCCTACCCGGTTGCAGTTGTCTGTTGCCCAACAATGGCTGCCTCGGGTCGACTGCTGGTTTAATTTTTCAATTGGATTGTTAGAATGTCTGGATTTTGAGATTGGCAAGAGTGCAGGAGTAGTCTAGTTTTTTCCCCTTTGATGGTATAAATTATTCTTTGCGGTATGGAGCCTGAGGTGTGAAGTTGGAATAAAAATCATTGCAGCCTGATATGGGATCTTAGTTGAGTGTTGCATTTTGCATAATTTCTGCTAACTGCTTGATTATTCAACTAAACTATGCACATTGATGTTGTGTATCTCGTAATCGACACTACAGTCTATATGAAGCCCATGAAAAACCTCAATCTCATGGTCGTGCTCACTAGTGAGCATCATCATCAACAACAACGCAATTCGGCCGTTAGGTCAGATTCTGAATCCGTCCTGTCTCCGCACTGTGACATGATGACAGAGTTCTGCAGCAGGCAACTCTATCTCAACAGCTTTCCGTTGAGTCGGATTCTGAATCCCTCCTGAAGACTGAATCTTTGCCGCGGCAGCCAATGTCGATCGCATCGTTATCGTTTCAGTAAGGTAGCTCTTGCTTCATAACCGCAGGTACTCTTGCTGGTTTCCATACCTGGATAATGTAGTCATTTTCACCAATCTTTCAGTATTTATTTTCTTTGACCATCACCAGTCTCCTCTTTTCACAACACGTCCGTTTTCCCCGTCAGAACTCTTTGGCCAAGTTCACAATTTTTTGTTCATGCAGCTCCCTAATCAACTCACCTTCTAAACCTCGTGTAAGTTGGTAACATTGAATCTCAGCATTGAATGATGAAACAGAAAGTCCAGCAGTTACACACATTCACCACCCTGTATGCATATAAATCCTGATTCTACGTCAACTAAAAAAACACAAGCAAAACAAACTTCTCAAAACCATGAGTACCACCACCGGTAGCAAAATGGTGAGAATCCAGACCTCACGCCTCGTCAAGCCCTTGTACGACGACGACGTCGACGGCGGCAGCATTCCGCCGCCGACTACCGATTCCATCCCGCTCAACATCTTCGACAAGGTCACCTACAACACCCACATGGCCGTGCTCTACGCCTACCGCCCGCCCACGCCCTCAAACGCCACCATCGAACTAGCCCTCCGCAAGGTCCTGGCCACGTACAGAGTCATGGCCGGCCAGCTGGCCGAGAACCAGAAGGGCAATCCCGTCATTCTGCTCAACGATCACGGCGTCAAGTTCGTCGAGGCCGTCGTCCACGACAGCTTCGACAAGTTCCTGCCACTGGAGATGTCACCATTGCTGCTCGACTTCCACCCCGAGTTGAATCATGCAGAGGAAATCACCCTGGTCCAGCTCACCCGGTTCGGTTGCGGGTCGCTCGTCCTCGGGTACTCGTCCCACCATCACGTGGCCGATGCGTTCTCGGCCAGTAATTTCCTCGTGGCGTGGGGTCGGGCTGCTCGAGGGCTCGAGTTGGGATCGGTTCCGTCGATGGACCGGTCCATATTCTGGCCTCGAGTCCCGCCCGAGTTCGGGTTCGACCACATCGGGGTCGAGTACAGGAAAACCAAAACCCTTTCCGGCCGGATTGTGGATCGCGACCGGTTTGCCGGTTCGGACATCGTGAACCACAAGGTCCATTTCACGCTTGACTTCATTGCCAAGCTAAAGGCAAGAGCATCTGCCGGGAGACCAAACGGCGTCGCTGCGTTTAGCACTTTCGTGAGCCTGGTGGCCCACTTGTGGCGGGCTATAACCAAGGCCCGTGGGCTGAGCCCAATCGAGACGACGTCGGTTCGGATCTCCGTCAACGGGCGGACCCGGCTGAGTCTCGATCCACCGGTCCCGTCGGATTTCTACGGCAATTTGGTCCTTTGGGCGTTTCCGACGGCGAGGGCGAAGGAGCTCGTGAGCAGGCCGACGGGTTACGCGGCGAAGATAATCCAAGACGCGATTGTGCGCGTGGACGATGCTTACTTCAAGTCGTTCATCGACTTCGCGTCGCAGGAGGCGGCGGAGGGGGAGGATGGGGATCTGGTGCCGACGGCGGATATGGGGAAGGCGGCGCTGTGGCCGGATTTGGAGGTGGACAGCTGGCTGAGGTTTCCTTTCTACGAATTGGATTTCGGCGGCGGGGGTCCGTTCATATTCATGCCGTCGTATTACCCGACGGAAGGGATGATGTTTCTGCTGCCTTCGTTCTTGGGGGATGGGAGCGTGGACGCGGTGGTTCCGTTGTTCCGCCAGAATTCGGCTGTTTTCAAACAAATTTGCTATTCCCTGGATTAGAATAGAGAAATTTGATGGGTAGTGTTGTGTGCGAAGGGATGGCGTGAGAATTGATTACTGGAATTTGGATTCTGAAATTTGCTGGTTTTGATAATCCTATCAACTAGGGCTGTCAATTTGGTTTGATTTGATTAACCAAACCATTAAGTATGGAAAACCAATAATCAAATCCAGTAAACTCCAAAAAACCAAAACCATTAACCAATGAGAAATTTTACAATGCTATATAGTATTGATGCTATAAGATTTTACCTTTATGGTACAACTTAAAATTGTACATTTACGTTGTGGTACAACTTCAGATTGTACCTATACTTTTTGTTCAAATTCTTTTATGGTACAATTTGAACTTGTACCTTTATGTTATGGTACAACTTCAAGTTGTAAAGTTGTACCATAACATAATGGTACAAATTGCTTTATGGTACAACCTAAACTTATACATTTAATGTTATGGTACAACTTTAAGTTGTACATTAAAGCACCAATACTATATAGCATAGTAGAAGTGCTCTTAACCAATAAGGGCCTTAACGATTTTGGTTTGAATAATCACAAAACCAAAATGTATTCATACACTTAGGGGTGTACATAGGTCGAGTGGTTCGCACATATATCTCAAATCTAATAGTTCGAACTTCACTCTTTCTCTAAGGACTTGCCGGTCAATCTACATATGCTTGTTTCTCTCGTGAAACACAAAATTTTCTACCATGGGATGGTGGATTTGTTGTTGTAGTATATGATAGTGGAATGTAGATGTGAAACATTTAGGGGTCGTTTGGATTGAGTATTTGACAAACTTGTTGTTTGGGGCCAATTACCACACAAATACCACATAATATAAAACTTGTTATTTGGTATGTGATACTTGGTCTCAAACTTGTTATTTGGCAAATACCTGCCCCCTCCCAAGTATTTGGCAAACAACACTTTTTGTGTTATTTGGTCTCAAACCTGTTATTTGGCAAAACACTACATCCAAATAACACATCCCACATTTTGTCAGCCAAACATGTTGTTTGGAATCAAATAACAGATGTTGTGTTATTTGACCTCAAATAACACCCCCAAATACTCAATCCAAACGAGCCATTAGATCTTTGAGAAATTGAGTCATCCATTGCACTTCACAAGATAACTGGAGTAGTACTTGTATTCTGTTTCCAATGATGACTTTATAACAATCACTTGTTTCTTCAACTTTTCATGTAATCAATGAGCTTTCAAGGAACATACAATACTCAATAATCGATCTTCACGTCTTAGGCCAAGCCCCTTAATCCAAGTCATTGTATCGTGTGAGTGAAATTAAAGCACTCGTTGTGACCTCCAAACCCATAAAGTATTTCAGCTTTCCTAAATCTCTTACTTGACTTGTGTGACAAAACTTTTCGGCTAATTTTATCAAATTCTACAATCACCTTCTAGGATCAGATCATCAACATATACAAGCATCATTCTAGTTCAATGATAAGATCTTTTGATGACTAGGGAATAGTCATAATAAGGCTAAGTGAATCCAAATTTGACTAGAGCTTCAGTTAGTTTGGCAAACCATTTGTCCACTAGTTTGTTTAAGTCCATATAAGTAGTTCCTTAATTTGCAAATATTATGTGTCTTCATGTTAGTAACTTCATGTACGCATCTTCTTCCAAATCCATATGCAAGAATTCATTGCTTATGCCCATCTAGATTATATGTCAATTCTTCATTGATGCAAGTGTTAGTATAACTCTTACAATATTGATCTTGACGAAGTGTATAAGAAATCAGTAGCATAGGCTTGGGTGAAGCCATGAGCATTGCCTTGTGTCTTTCAATTGATCCATTTGCATCGAGTATGGTCTTGAATAATCATTTACGACCCACTAGCTTTTACCTTGTGGTCAGCCCAATATATCCCGGGTATGATAATCCTTTAAAGTTGTCACTTCAGCTTGCATTGCCTTATTCCTTCATGCCTTCTCGAGAAGTATGGTTCTTTCATATTTGCCACTATGAATACAAAATGTTTGTAGTTTGGATTGAGATGAGAGTAGTTCATGTATAGTTAGATGAGATATTTGTATTGAGTACTATTGACATGATGACATGTAAAATATACGTTTTTATCACCTCGTTTTATGGCATGTTTTGCATAATTTCTTCTTCTTATATAGTCATTTTGATTTGGAATTTCTCTAAGGTGCATTTAGTTGATATAGGCATGTTTTCATACAATTTTGCATTTTAGCTAGTATTTTGGTATTTTTCAGAGTATGTCACCCTAGTGGATCAGCTTGTGTGAGTAGTAGACATCAATATTCATGAACTGAAAGTAAAAAGGAGTTCTGAATCCTAGCCCAAAATGACTGCAAAATAGCTTATCAAAACCCAAAATTGTTGTTTTGGAGCCATTAAAGGAGAATTTTGCGACTCTAACTTATCAAATATTCCTTTCTTTAGTCCCGAACATAAGATAAACTGAAGATATTTTATTTTGAGTCGGTTTCTCCCAGAAAACCTCTTCAAAAACCTGATATCTGGCCCTGTAAACAGATGACGTCAGACTCTGTTTGGATGCAACTTTTATAGAGGAGTTACTGTCTCCAGTGGAACTCCAAAACTATGAAATTGTCTACAAGCTCCAAGGGTAGAAACGGTGACAAAAATGGCGCCCTAGGTGCCATTTTGCACATAAGGGCGTCGTTCTCAGTAAGTATGTCAAATCTTCTCTAGACTGATATTTTCTTTGTCCCCATGATCGACTAGTTTGATCAGTTGCATATGTTTGTGAATCCTAGAAGTTTCAAGAACTATGTATGATGTTTGATTCTTAATATATATATAGTGATTGATTGTTTTCACCTTGCTATGTTTATTGCATTTGCTTATATTCTTATGTGTGTTCATATGGATTGATTGTCATGAGAATATTCATGTGATTGATTGCACACCATTGACAATCCATGGTTTGGTTGTTAACATATGCAAAGAGCAATCATGACAACATGACTGGTTAGTTGCCCGCGTGCCACACTTGTCCATCTCCAAATGAGAAATCCAACAAAAGATGGTAGGATATTGGATCATACTTGAATCAAGTCTATATACACTCATATAACTCCAAATTACGCTCTCGCGTTCTTGCCTAGAGAGCCCACGTTCTCGACTTTAACAGGGCAACATTCATTCTCCGTGGCTCAATCCATTCCATAACTCCATGTCTTCTTTATAATTTGATATGCTAAATCAAGTCTATATACACTCATACAACTCATCATAACCCTTTTATTTCATTCACAGAGCAAGGAATGGCCAAAGCCCGATTTTGGCAACTTCAATACCTTGATCAATAATCATCATATCTAACCTTCTTTTGACATGTTTAAACATGATTTCCAACATAGAATCAAGCAACAAGTTCATGCTTTGCCCTCTAAACACCTTTCTAGGACTTAGGGTTCTAGTTTGAGGAAGAAGAAAGGAGATGCAACCATATGTTTATTACCTCTTTTTGGACCTCCCTTCCTTGTTCTCTAACTTTCAAACCTGACTCTTAAGTATTAACCTTCAAGATCCTTAAAAATCTCCAAATCTAAGGAGATATGGTGGTGGTGGATGATGGTGGTGGTGGTTTGAGGAAGAGGTAAACGGAAGAACCAAAAATGAGAAGAGAAAGAAAGGAATGACGGTTCGGTGATCAGTTAGTGATATTTCCTTATTGTTAAACCACTAACCGATGCATCACTTAGTGGTTAACCGATAAGAAAACCGTTAACCGACCATCTACTTAAACTAGTACTAGACTTGCAAAACAAGCCTACGTAACCAAGCACAAACTCGGCTCATACTAACTTTTGGGGATCAAATGGCACCCAAACTCAATGTTCTAAAATTGGCCTAAGTATCGAACAAAAGTGAGGCCTTCTTTTCAGCCTAGCCTACTAAGATACACACAAGCAAAACCAACCACTTCATTATATAGGCATGAATAAAGCAAACATTTTTCCTTTTGTTGATGTCGTAGAAACAACCCTGCTTCTGCTGCAGCTGATGAAGGGAATCGGCTCCACAAGTTTTGTTCAATGGCTATTCTTCTTCTACTCCGCTTCCTCGCTGTAGCATCTTGCTCGGGTTCCAGCCCTTCATACTCCATCACCAACAGTGGTGGACTGAACAACCTAGCATAAGCACGGTGGCTTGAACCACCATCATCACCTTCACCACCCCCCGCACTCAAACCTCACTAGCTTTGCTTTCCAGGGGCTTGTTACTGGCGGGCTTCAACAGCTCGAGACTCGAGTTCTCCTTAGAGAACAGGGTCAGGACGAAGAGGACCTGGAAAGAAAGGGATGTCAGGAGGAGGGACAAGTGGGCGACCAGGGTGTGAGGCATCTTATATGAATCTAAAATGAGAAACAACTCTAACTCTTCAATCCACTATCAATTGTTTATTGTAGGAACATGGAAAGTATTTTTTGGAAGTCCATGTATAATTCGCCTAGGGAAGTAGAGATAGTTGGCTGGCATAACTTGGTTGCTGGGATGGAGAAGTGATATTTTAAGAACCCCCAGTATTAGGGATTTAGGGTAGAACATTGGATGAAGCATCGTGAAAGAACAAACAACCTGTGTTTCTCAACATGTCTTTGACATTGGACATGAGCTCATGGAGCACACTTGCCTCTGTAATGTAAAAAAATGTTAATAGTTGAAATGTATGTTGGTGTTTATTGGTTAACTGCCAAACTAACTGCTAATCAAACCAATAAGAGATGGTTAACCGATAAGGCTTATCAGTTCGCTTATTGGTATATTTTTTTTGCTTATTTGCTTGTAGGTCGCCAAGGGGATTGAACCTAGGGGGACTTTTTTGTAGGCCCTCCATAAAAGGCTTTAATATCATGAATGTATGTATCGTTGATCCAGAAGGGATTACTTCACTAGAGATTCGATCCTAAAGAACAAGTCATTGCTCAGTGTATGATTAGGCAACACTCAAAATTAACTTTTATTGTTACTGTCAGAGGTAGAAAATATATAAGTGCTTATAGTTACTATATGAGCAATATGGTCTCCACCTTAATGGAGTTTTCTTTGTTAGACCACGGTGACCTTTCTATTACGGTCACCGCTAGTAAAACACGACACAACAGCGAACAACCTTTTTTTTTTGCATCCACGCAGTGTCCACACTGACACCACCAATAAATCAGTTACCAGTCTCTAGTCCCGTAGTCCTAACTTCCGCTCATAACGTCCACCATTCATCACATATGGTGTTGCTTGTGTTCTGGATCTAGTCGACATGTTGAGTTTGAACTAAGACAAAGAAATAGTAAACTTTTATCGAACAACACAAACCGATTTAACGCCCCACCCAACTTGTCTATACAAATGACCCAGTCTCGCTAAGTGTAACGATTAGAGTAAAATGACCATTAATTGCAAAAAATAAAAAATAAAAAATTGCGAAACGACGCCGCATCGAAGCAACTGTGAAGCCTGCTCTGCGGGTTCTTGGAGGAAAAGCATAGAAACCAAACGCAAACGAAATTTCCCCAAATCTCAGACAGTGGGCGAGAGAGAGAGAGAGAGAAGCAAGGCGAATAATCCCCCGCCGGCAACCTGCCTTCTCGGCTGGTCTTCGTCCGCTCTCAATCAAGAATTTGAATTGAAATCCCCCTCAATCTCAACCAATCAACGTTCCCCACAAACCCATCTCTATCCCCCACCATCCCCGCGCAATTCGTTCCGCATTTCTCCAAAATGCCGGCTTCCCCTTCTTTCCCTTCCTCTGGTAATTCCCTCTCTCTCTCTCTCTCACTCTTCACTCTCTTCCCTTATTTTTGCTTCAATTTGCTGTAATTTCTCTGGTTTTTTTGTCTCTCTCCCTCACCCCCAAACTCCCGCAGATGGCAGAGGCAAATGGAAGAGGCGGAAGCGCGAACCCCAGAATCCCCGCAAACCCAAGCACGACGACTCCGACGACGACTACGACACCGCTACCCCACTCGACGATGAAACCCACCTCGACCGTGAGGGTTCCGAGGACCCTACCCCCGTCAACCCTTTTGCTGCTACTCGCTCCTCCGCGGCTCCCGATCCGGTCGAGGTGCTTGCTGACGGTGGGGTCCGGGTCTGCGACTTCCCTCCCGTCGTTAGGCGCGCCGTGAATCGCCCGCACGCTTCCGTTCTCGCGATTGTGGCTGCCGAGCGGGCCAACTTGCGCGGGGAGGCTGGCAGTGGTGGCGGCAGTGGTAGAGGGTCGCTCCCTAATTTGGAGAATTTGTCGTGTGGGCAGATGGCGGCGTTGTCTGCTGTCCCTGCAGAGAGTGGTGTTGGTGGTGGGGATCAGGAGAGAAGTGATGGTGGTAATGCTGCCTTTGTGGTAACGCCTCCTCGGATTATGGAGGGAAAAGGGGTTGTCAAGCGGTTTGGGAATAGGGTTCTCCTGGTCCCTATGCATTCAGGTATTACTCGAATATTTCTGGTGGGTTTGTTTTGTTCGTATATTGTCGAGCTGGCAGTGGTTTGTCAGAGTATGGTGACACACGAGTAGACTCCTGTGGGTTATATTAGTAGATGTTAGTGCTTGATAAAGAGGAAAATGCCGCAACTTTTGCTGGGGAACAAGTGTTATTCCGACTTTCCGAGGAATGATTTCAGAGCTTCTTATGTGAATCTAGGGATTAGTGAACAACGTGAAGTTTTGAACAACGGTTCCTCATGGGAATGAAGAGAGAGACAGGTGTTAGTTTTGAGTGCTCAACATCTGGTTTCTACTTGTCCATATGTTAAAGTGTTTATAACAAACGATGTGAATTATTGGTGGTAAATACACTGGCAATGCAGCAAACAGTGCGTATCTGAGGGACCTGTGGAGTATTTATTGAACAAGCCAAATCCTTGTCAGATAACAAATACCTTACTTTTGTCAACTTTATAACTGCCCATGTTTTGGAACTGAAATGTTAGTGTTGGAAAGCCAGACTTACTTCTAACCTACCCAGTAAGTACAATTATGCAGCTCATTTCTGAGATATGTTTTTTTGCTTTTGAAACAAAGACATTCATAGCCTGGTACCTAGTAGGATTGGAAGTTATAGTTCAAATTTGTAGATATTAAACTGTGTTCACTGGCTGAGCCTGTATCTCGTGTGCTTCTCTTTGACCAAATGTTTGTCCTCTGCCAGTTAAGTTGAAACTCTTCACCCAGATATAGCCATTTCTCTTAATAGAGGTTGTTAGTTTGCTTATCAGGAACTGCAAATTCGCCCTTAAATGCCTATCATACGGTTTTGTTTCAAGGATAAGCTGAAGTTTGCTTGTTTTGCAGTTTATAGTTGTAAACTCAGGAAAACCGTTTTGTGTCTTGTGTGGATTTAATATGGCTTTGTACATTGTCGACTTTCTTGCTTTGCATGGATGCTAGTACATGGAAGTTGCGTATGTCTACTCTATGGCATGGTGTTTCTTTAAACTATATTGGCTTCAGTTGTGCCATTTTGTCCTGGTTTGTCTACCTGGTATCTTTGTCATATCTTCATCTTTGTAGTGATCTTTCCACGTTTTCTTTTGGTTCCCCTATGAATAGATTGGTTCACACCTGCGACTGTGCATCGGCTGGAGAGGCAAGTGGTTCCTCATTTCTTCTCAGGAAAATCAACTGATCATACACCAGAGAAGTATATGGAATGTAGGAACCGCATTGTTGCTAAATACATGGAGACTCCTGATAAGCGGCTAACAGTTTCAGATTTTCATGAATTGGTAGCTGGCGTCAGTGACGAAGAGTTGGCTCGAATTGTTAGGTTTTTGGATCATTGGGGAATAATCAATTATTGTGCAGCTGCACCAAGACGTGAATCTTGGAATGTTGGATCATATTTGAGAGAGGATGCAAGTGGTGAGGTTCTTGTTCCGTCAGCAGCTTTAAAGTCTATTGATAGTTTAATCAAATTTGACAAGCCCAAATGTAGGCTTAAAGCGGCTGATGCTTATTCATCATTGTCATGTCATGATGATGATCCCGCTGACTTGGATAACAGAATTCGAGAGCGATTATCTGAAAATTGTTGCAATTACTGTGGTCTTTCCCTTCTCACTATGTACTATCAGTCACAAAAAGATGTAAGTTGGATATTCCTATTTCTTATTTTCTTTCTGTGTGTTGGCTATTTTTTGTTTGTTTTGGTGCCTCTACTTGTTTATCAGCATCCTTATACTTGTTTTTATCGATCTACTGTACCAGGTCGATATCCTACTATGCTATGATTGCTTCCATGATGGTAGATTTGTTAATGGTCATTCAAGCTTAGATTATTCCAAGGTGGATTCGACAACAGATTATGGTGATGTAGATGGAGAAAGCTGGACTGATCAAGAAACATTACTCCTGCTTGAGGCAATGGAGATCTACAGTGAGAACTGGAATGAAATTGCCGAGCATGTTGGCAGCAAGTCAAAAGCACAATGTATCCTGCATTTTCTGCGTTTACCGATGGAGGATGGCCTTTTGGAAAATATTGACGTTCCAAGGATTTCTAACTCCACTAGTGTATCAAATGGAGATGACTGCAGTGGGCTGCATTCGAGTTCAAACGGTGAGGTTCATTTTTGTTCATTTGTTCGGGGCAGAATTTTCTGTACTGAGGATGTGACCTTCCTAAAATTCTTTTATCTTTATTTGATCTATGAAGGATCCTGCACACTAGATAATGATTCAGAAAGCCGACTGCCTTTTGCAAATTCCGGGAACCCAGCCATGGCATTGGTAGGTTATTACAATTGACTGATCTCCCTTCACTACTTTCATTAATTTTTAGAGCAAGCTTCAAGTTATGACCGGTAAATGGAAAATGGTGGGCTATACACAGAGGTAGAATTTGAAAAGCAAGTTGGACTTGCTTGAGCTGTTGTGTTTGCATCTAAAATGTGTAATGTGTTGTGTAGGTTGCATTTCTTGCCTCTGCTGTTGGTCCAAGAGTTGCTGCTGCATGTGCTCATGCATCCTTGGCAGCATTATTCGAGGATAGTAGGTGAATTTATTCCCCTCTCATTATGGGTCTACTTGATTCTGTAATTTTTTTTACTACTGAACTCTCAACCCTTCATTCAGTAACTTTGCTGAGCAGGCGTGCTTAATTAGTGATCCGCTGTGACTGAAGTGAGGTTTGTTTTTAATGGGTATATAAAATTTGGACTAGTAAACTTATTTGTTGTTCTTCTTTTTAGCTTCTGCTAAGAAAGCGACTGTTCTGAAGTTTACTAGAAGTCAAGAAGAATGTGTTGGTAGGGTCTCTAGAAAATGTTGAGTTAATGGGATACGAGTTATTCTTTGATATATAAAAAGGTAAGTGATGAGGTAATATGATAGCTAATTTGTTTAATAATAAAGAATAAGTAGATTTTGGGAAATGATTACTATGTGTATAGCTTTAAGAAAAAAGTCTTATTTCAGAGGGGCAAAGTTGAGAATGCATTTCTTCATGGGGCGAGCCGGCGAGGGGTCTTTAGAATTAATGATTTTGGGTTTCCTCATGAATAGCTGTTTTTAGAAGTTATTGAAGAAGTGTGTTTGTTTCAGCTTTTAAGTCCATTTTTTTCAGTAGTTTTTTCTTGAAGCCTTAACAAGCACAGCCATTATATAGAAACACTCTGTTTCATAAAAACTGCTGCTGAGCATGTAATAAACTCTTCACTGTTTTGGCATATATGGATCATTATTGATAGCTCTATTGATATAGTGACGAGTTGGTCCTGCTATTCTTTATGTTTTCTACTTGAGTAATACTTTTCCTCTGAAAATGAAGGATGAATGCTGACCAAGTACAAGGTAGACAAGACAATAATAATGGAGAAATTGCAGATTCAGTCCACCAAAATGAAATCGTGGCTGCTGCATTATCTGCCGAGAAGGTTAAAGCTGCAGCCAGAGCTGGTCTTGCTGCTGCTGCAACCAAGGCTAAGCTCTTTGCAGATCATGAAGAGCGTGAGATTCAGAGGCTTTCTGCCATTATCATTAATCATCAGGCAAACCCAATAAATTTTTATTTTGCTTTTCTGATGCCATTTGAGCTGCTTACCATGCTAATTTTCTCCTGACTGTTTGAGTAGTGATCTTATATCACGGGCAGTTTAGAACCTTCCCATGATTACTTTTACCATGTTATTGTTTAGGTGACATGATTTGCTTGTTGATTACAGTATATAGTTGTTTCTCAACCTTGCAATCCATTCCTGAACTATTACGTTTTGTAATGTAATTGTGACCCCATAAATGGCTCTGGGCATGGGATTGAGAGTAGTGGCATTTAGCCTGTCATTTGCTACATAGGTTTTGCCTAGATAATATATAGCATGGGAAGGTAGAAACGTTTTTGTAGTATAATTCAGGGAAAGGGTGAAATAGAAATAACTGATTCTGAATTGATTCTTTTCATTGGATAAGTATGTGGACATGTTTTAGAAGCCAGATAGAGTGAATTGCTTAGATCTGTTTGTTTGATTGTTGTAAATCATTAATTGACTTGAGAGGTGGTTAATTTGGTGGTCGCAGTTGAAGAGGTTAGAGCTGAAGCTGAAGCAGTTTGCAGAGGTAGAAACTCTTCTAATGAGAGAATGCGAACAAGTGGAGAAGATGAGGCAGAGGTTCTCTACAGAGCGAGCTCGAATGAAGGCGACTGACGTGGGGTCCTCGCTGCCCATGCCTCATATAAATCGAGCAGGCGTTGATCCTTCTTCCATGCCAGCCAATAACATGGTCAACAACATCAGACCACAGATGATGCCCACCGCATCTTCTTCTCAGCCGATTGTTGCTGGGTATGGCAACAACAGTCAGCAGCAGCAGCAGCAGCAGCAAGTAGTCCATCCGCATATGCCCTTCATGCAACGAGGTCAATCGATGTTTTCCATGGGGCCCAGGCTACCCTTGTCAGCTATACAACCTTCGTCTTCAGGCGGGCAGGCCAATGTCATGTTCAATGCTTCTTCTGGGAATACGCAGTCTAATAATAATCTTAATCAAATTCTTAGGTCTGTATCAGGGCCTAGCTCTGGTCTAGGTTGAAAATGAAACCCTAACTTTTTTTCCTGGACTCGAATTGAGAGTTCAGAGCATGTTGTTAATTTGAACTACAGAAGAGGCCCTGGGTTCACCACCATTTGTACATCACTTAGGGAATTTAGTGTGTAGGGCTTGTAACAGAGTACAAATGTTTCGCCCGAGATGACGAGTTTCGTGAAATGAATTTGGGGTAGATTCATATATCCAATATGTTCTGAGATACTGTTTCTTAGTGTTGTAAACAGATGTTGGCAGGAGTGAATGGTCGGAGGCATTGTTGAGGCGATGTCGGCCTTAACCATACCTAAAATAGATATTCATGTTGAGAAACCTAGTTACAAAATTAGATATTCAACATTGCATTTAGGCAAGATGATCTCGCCTGCACCAATTAGTTATACAAGGTAGTTGCGATTGATTACACAGAAGGCAAGGGGCAATTCCATCGTTATTCCAAGATACACGATTGATTGAAAGAGTGGGATTCTTCTCCAGTATCCTGTCGCAGTTGGCAGAAACAACTATCCTGCAGAAGTTCAGAGTGCAGTGTAGGAGATTTTCATCCTAATCCTAACACTTCCTACTACTCCAGACCAGACGACAGTAACTAAAGTGGGGTTGCTCGCTGTTAATGAACAAAAGAAAAGGCAGAGGAACTCATTGCACTACTTAAACAACTGTCCGTACAAGCACAGTTACAAAACTTGAGCGATGAGTACATTCGGTAAGCAGAAGGCCTCCAATAGTTCGACCTCACCAGATTTGCAGAATGCAGATTTCCTCTTCAACAGCCTTTACATCTTAACGATTCTCTTCATCTCACAGGGATCATATTCATGCAAGCTAGAAAGACGAGAACATTTCCTACTTCTTTTCCCGAGGACCAGAACCCAAAAAAATATCCACCCCCAGGTACACAATTGATCATATTCTTAGACCCTTTATGTTCATCAGACTTCTCCGAGACACTGTTGCGATCGCTATTTAGCATTTCAAGCTGAAACTCATGTGCATGTCGATGATAACTCTGGGGAAAAAGAACAATGCAGGTGCACCAACTTCTTAGACTGCAAAAAATAACAATCAAAACTGATCACTGAACTGGGATGAAAGGATCAATGACTACTGGGACATTGTTGATGACTTAGTCTACATAGAAATTCACTCGTGGTGTTTACGGAGGGTGCCACACTGCAGGTTCTGGCTTTTGTAGGTTACCTACTAATGGTTTGAATCCGAGTTAGTTATGTTTTAGCAATCGCTATGTTCAACAACTGGTTATTTACAAATGACATGAAGAGATCTTTATCTTTCCGAAGAGTTCGTACTTCAGTCGATGCCAGATACCAAGCTGAAGGTAAACAATAGGTCAAAGAATTTACTAACCCATCTATAAGAACTTCACTAACCCATCTTCGAAACGCTACACACTCAACGAATTGAACAACAACTTCAAAATTGGAGCTTAATGCAGAACCCTAAGCCAAAGTAACCAGCTTTTGTCAATGTCGTAAAAGGAGAAAGCAATTTGTTCAGCAACAACAGCTTTAGAAAACCACCAAATATACAGTTCAACAGATTTAATGCCTATATATATGAGCCTCAAGTTCTAGTTCCAATATCAAGGAGTGTCTACAAGGTAACTGAACATCACTACAGCATCAAAATTGACATAGAAAGAAAACTGTTAAGAGTACAATTGATCGAAGAGAACTCACAGCCGACTAGGAACAAGAAAGGTGAAAACTTTACCCAACCTCCATTCCTCCAATTACAGTTTGCTCAATCGAGAAATGGAAAAAAAAGGGGGTTATGAAAGAGTACTGGGAATTTGTACCAGTCAAGAATGCACAGGAGGAGGGGAGGCGGAATCTCCGCGGCGTAGATCGTCGATCAAGCTGCCGAGTTCTTTACGGGCCGATTCTCTGCCGAACATGAAACCGTACCTGGTGAGAGAAGCAGAGTTAAACGAATGAAGGAATAAAGAAGGGAAGGGGAAAGGCTAGTATTTTTTGGGAAGTTACCATCCGGAAACAGCAGAGAAAACAGCTGCAGTGGCAACGGTTTGAACCAGAGTGAAGGTTTTCGCCATTACTGGGCTCCCGCTGTCCTACTCCAAGTTCCAGGTTCCTGTCCTGTCGATATTTATTAGGGATATGACATTTTTTTCAAAGATATTTCGTTTAATTAGCATAAACGGTTATAAACATATTTACTTTTGAACCATATGGTCACAAATCTTTCATTATGCACGTTTTAGTAAAAGATTTCGGAGAGAATGAAATGATCATTTCGTCCATCTCCATCAAAAAAATTGTTAGTCCCTTTTTCGTGTTTTTGTTCTATTAATAATATATTTCGCCATTATAAAAAAATCAATAGTTTCTTCCAATCAGCACGCCACGTCACTTAAAATATTAATAAAATTTTTTATGATCAAACCCAATTGAATCGGACAGTCCAACCAAAAACCCTAATTATATACCACCCGGAATGTTGTCGTTTTTCAGTCGGCCCTACAGAGCAAGGGTGTTGTTTGAAGACCCGAGATGGGTGTTGTTTAGAGCGAAGGGTGTTGTTCGTTATAGAGAGAGCCCCACACAAGACTACTGAGAAAGTCATCTCAAAGTACATAGATCCAAATCCGAAAGAAAACATATGTGTTGATCATTTATTCATACCTTTGTTACTTTTTGGTACGCAAAATAGCAAAGTTTTACGCAAACAACTGTTTTTTAGTCTGATTATTGTTTTACCGCTAGTCTTTGTTACTTTTTGGTCCGCAAAATAGCAAAGTTTTACGCAAACAACGGCTTTTAGTATGATTATTGTTTTACCGCTAGCAAATATTCGCCAAAATTTATATGTACCATGAGCGTCCGATCCCCTAAAAGGTAGCTATGACTCACAATTCAAAGATATAAGAAAAGTAGGGGGTGGCTATACGGTCCGGTTAAATTGGACCAAATTGATCCGGTCTCAGTCCGGTCTTTTCAGGATTATAAGGACCAAAGATTGGATTGGATACAGCCCGGTCTTGACCCGGTCCGGTCCTAATTTGATCTTGATTTTAGGTGTTGGGGGTCTCTTATCCGGTCTTTATCCGGGTTTTTTTTTTTACCTCAAATCTAAGCCCGAATATGAGATTTGGATTGTTTGCTATCCGGTCCCGGTCTGGGTTATACGGTCTGGTTTCGGGTAAAACCAAACAGTCCGTACCAGGTAGCCAACCCTAAAGAAAAGGATGAAAAAGAGGAGAGAAGTGTCATTAACATTTGACTTTTTATTATGAGTACAAAGTAACAATAACATTATAGAAGGATGGAAGACTTGCCACAAAAATGTAACCACATTAGTAGTAAGGCCCAAGACACACAAGTTAAAACACAACAAATACAACAACAAGAAAACCCATCATCTTAAGACAAAGTTTCACTCGATGGAGGAGCAATGGAGCTTTCCTACATTACACTAAACAATTTATATACTCCACCACATCACACGTTGAGCACTTGCAACTAGAGAAAGAAAAAACAACGAAACAGAGGTTGATTTTGCAAGCACGAGATTCACCAAAACTGTGATTCCCTAGCTATATCACAAGGAAGTTTCCACAACACCATCGAGCTACTTCTCTTTTGTCAATGGAGTCTCTCTCATTGCGGCAATGGGATATCGGCCAAATCCTCCCTATAAGGAAGCTGACCTTCCCCTGTTGCTGCTTCTCCCCCGAATCCTTCTTCAACTCCCTTCACCGGCTCGATGTAAGTTACAACGACATCTTTCCTGAACGTCAGGTAAATGACTGCAAGAACATAGATCGCCATGAGTGGGAAAACTATAATCCCAATGAACACTTTCCCGACTCTGTGGAGGTCGCCGTCGATCAGCCACCCGACGAATCCAGTGGACAGATAGTACACATTGATCGCGATGATTCCTAGCCCGAGAATCCACGACACCACGATGATCTGCACATAGTATAGACTGATTACTAGAACATTCTTCATGTGGTATATAAAACGTTTAGTCTATGTAACAAACATGAATATATCAGCTTAAAAATTTACACACATAGATGGAGTTCTTGTAAGGTCCCATCTTTGTACTGCTGCTGCTGAACTTGAGAAGAGGGATCAGAGCGAATGGAAGCTCGAACGAGAGGATCATCTGCGCGCGCGCGTAAAGTAAAAACAGACATCGAAACGCGGCATAAGATTAATTTTTTGAATATGGTTTGGGACTTGGGGGGGACAGAGTAAGTGTTGTAAGTTCTAACCGATGCAATGATGATCAGCCGGCCGGCGCCGGCGGATCCTCCGATGATGGCCACGATCAAGCTGGGAGTAATTGCAATGCTTCGTGTGATTAGGTTCCTCAGCCAAGTTCTCATCTTGAGGTCTAAGAACCCTTGCATTATGTACTGCCCTGCATATGTTCCCGTGATTGCAGAGCTCTGCCCTGAAGCTAGCAGGGCAACTCCGTACAAAACCTTGCTCGATCTTCCCAACACATTCTGAAACAAAGATTGACAAAAGAAATGAGGGGAAAAACTTCATACTCCCCGAAAATTTGGGTTTTTTTTTTTTAAACTATGTTGAGTGTATTTGTTCCACTATACCCTGAGAAGGAAAGAGGCAGAGTTGAGGGTGAGGTCGCTGCAACGTTCGGCATCTTCGGCGGTGATATTCGTACCTGTGCAAACTTTACCCGAGACCGAGATGACCGAGACGTTGATCAGAAACGCTACGAACAGGGCGAATCCGCTCTCGATCAGGAAATACCGGCAAGCGTCCTGCGAGAATCCGAATTGTTTAATCAAAAGCAGTAACATTATTATCCTGTAAATGCGAAGTAATGTGACCATGTAGATCCAAGAAAATTTTGAGCATATAATAGGGGCAATTAATTGCATTAACGAGTAGGATTAGATGAATTTGTGGGGTTTAATTAGTTAATTAGTTTAGTTGGAATGCTCACGTTGACGCCACGGACGGAATTGGGAACTTTCCGGGAGAGGACAAGAGCCGAGTGGAGAAACAGGTTATGCCTGCAGCACCATAAAATCATTGATTAATTAAATTAAATTTCATGTTATGAAATTAATTAGTCTTAAATTAAGTACAGATGTGGAAAGTGAATGAGGTTTATATTAATTACGGCATGATGAGGGCGCCGAGGAGGGCAATCGCGTCGCCGGTGGCACTCTGGCCGGCGAGCTTCGGAATAAACATTCCTTTCAGAACATCCGACGCCGGAGGTTTTACGTAACCCATCTCGCCGAAGAAACATGCCGCCATTACGAACACCAGCAGTGAGATTAACAGCTCCAGCTTCCTCACCTAATCACACAGACAAATAACACACTCAGAATTTTTTTTGAGAGGTGTGTTCGTCGATAAACAAATATTTCATTGTTTTTCACCGCGAGCGAGAAATTAAAACTAATAATGTACCCCATATTTCTGGAGGCCAAGGAGCAAGAGAGTGCTGCTGCCGGTGAGGAGGACGCCGGCCCAGACCGGGATGTGAAACAAAATGTTCAGTGCGAAAGCTGTCCCAATCACTGCAACAACATTCAGTAAGTAAATAAATAAACATAATTAGACGGATAACCAGGAGCTTATGCTCTAACTCTAACTCAACCCAATTAAGTGCAATAATTCACTTCAGCCGGCTTATCGGTCAACAAGTGGTACAGTACTTTGTTTCCTAGCAAACATTTGGGTTGAAGTTATTAAATTATTATTTTCTTCGATAAAAATATTTTATTGATTTTTTGCGTTGCAGATATTAATTAGAGAGGAGACTCCAGTTGTTAAGTAATTTTAAAATTGGGTTAGGTAATTGAGTCTGTCGCTAAGTACAGAAGGTACTGCCAAACTGTTTTCTATAATTAATCATCAGCATAAATTCTACAAATAAAAAATCCAAAATATCAGATGGTGATGGTGTCTGTCTCCCAAACCATCGAAGGAACCCTAAAAAAAATAATCAAATGAGTTGTGCCTCTCATGTGCTAAATTAATTAATTAATTAATTTTTTCACCCCTTCATATATAGTGAAAGAATATAACCATTTTAATATTTCTATGTTAAAAAGGGGAGGAAGAAAGTAGTTTCGGAATTTACCGAATCCAAAAACCAACCATTTTCAAGATTGTGGTCTTGTTTTGTTGCTTGGTGGTGTGTGTCATTTTACCAATAGTCCCTTAGTTAAAAAGAAAGATCAATTCAATGGTCCACTGGTTTTGTCATTTTACGAATTATACTATAGGAGTTTAATTACAAGGCTTTGGAACACAAAGGTAAAAAATTTAATGATGATTGATCTTTTTCCCCCCTCTTTTGGAGAATGAAAATTATGAGGTTAGGGGGTGGACCTTCGGGTATATCGGCAGCAATTACAGCAAGCTCGGCGAGCAGCCATAGGCAGATCTTCACAAATTGAGGATACTCGGCCTTGCACAGTTCGGATAAGTGCTTCCCTACAAAAAAAACAATGATGGTAAAATCAACAATCGATGAACATATATACAATTTATAATGATTTCAAAACCAAAGTGGGTCTAAGATTTCAACTCAATGTTTGTATTAGGGCTGGCTATTTGGTCCCGGACTGTTTGGTTTTACCCGAAACCGGACCGTATAACCCGGACCGGGACCGGACTGGGACTGGATAACAAACAATGCAATCTCATATTCGGGTTTAGATTTGAGGTAAAAAACCGGATAAAGACCGGATAAAAGACCCCCAACACCTAAAATCAAGATAAAATTGAGACCGGACCGGACTGGATCAAGACCGGACTGTATCCAATCCAATCTTAGGTCCTTATATTCCCGAAAAGACCGGACTGAGACCGGATCAATTTGGTCCAATTTAACCGGACCGGACCGTATAGCCACCCTAGTTTGTATCATCTAATGTCGTTACTCAAAGAGTAATACCAATATACTACTTCCTTGTCATCTTATGTGATGATTTTGCTTTACTACAATAATATCTCTTATGTACATACTTTTATCATTGTAAAATTGTAATTTTATGTTGAGTATCTATTCCACCTTTTTGACGGCAAACCGATCCATAAGAATATTGAACAAAACCATGCCACCATAGGCCCAGAAGCAAACAAAAAAAATATTAGTTCATCATTTTCTTTTTCTCAAACTAGCTCCTAAACTTTACCTTTTTTACCCTTAAAAGCGCCCTTTAATTAATTGTGTAACTCAATGTCATCAATGTACTAATTAAAAGCCATGAACATGTATGAGGCTGCTTTTCGAAGAAGATTAGTATAGTGTTAATTACAAACTTACCGGTGCTAACGCCAAGGTTGGCAGCAAGAGATTGGATAATGAGAGCGAAGATCAGCCCAATCAGTATAATCCACAATAGCTGTTCGTCCATCACATATAAACACAAGACCCAATTAGTATAGTAACCATTATTAACTAATTAATTAATTCTCCAATATTGTCGGCATGCATCCACTAATATATCGTTTCACGTCACCCAGTTGAAAATTTAACTCAGTTTAAATATTTGTTCAAAAGCTCCGGCCCGCCTGACGACTGGTAATAATGTAATTAATCAGTATATGTAATTATTATCATCTTTGTTTTTTCTCACCTCGTAACCGTGATTAGCCCCGGCCTGCAGGTCAGTTTCCACTGCGACACCAAATTAAATAAATTTATATAATAATGCAGTGAAAAAGAAGAGTGAAATGGAAAGCTAAATAAATAAATAAATAAATCAGTAAGTGCAGTGGTTAATTAATTACGTACGGTTTCCCGGGTCGAGGTAGGCCAGTGAGACGAGGAAACCCGGCCCAATGAACTTCAGGAACTTCCTCCATCCCGGCTGATCCATCGTATTAATGAAGTCAACCCAACCAGTTAAGTTGAGTTTAAACCATATAATTAATTATAATCAAACCTGCTTATGTAGATAATCAAACCTGCTGATCATCGTCGGGAATGGTATTAGTAGTATGATTGGTTGGCGGGGAGGGGGTTCCGGCCACGGCGGCTACGCGGTTGTTGGGCTGTCCGTCGGACGACGACGATGATGATGTGGTGGTTCCTCGGCCGCCGGCCGCCGGTAGTTGCTGAGTTGGGCGAAAGCTGGCCATGTGCACAACTAATTAACTGTATATGTTTTTTTTTTTTTTTGGGTTCCCGAGAAAAATGATTTTAAGGAAGAAAGGGGAGAGATTAGAGGGTTTTGAGATGTGGTGGGAAATGGAAGGGAGGGTTTTGTTGGTATTTATAGACTGATATGATATGGCATTTAACTTATAAGGGTTATTTAGTCAACGAGAAGGAGCCATTAATTTGTCTTTCAGATTCCCAAGTTTTATCCACCAATTATGAGCTAATAATTTAAGGATTTTAACTTAGGGGGAGGGGAAAAAAAGTGTTGACTTCATAACTGTAAAATGCATGTTCTTGGTTCTTATATTTGTAAATTTATGTCATATTTTTTTTTTTTTCGATTGAGTGTTGTTTATATGAAGTGTATAATATTTAACACATGTCTGACTTTTATTGCTGTTATTTCTTTTTTTTTTCCAGTGAGATTCTTTTTTTCTGGTAGGGAGAATTATGAGAAGATAATATTTTTCTTATTGAATCGATAATATGAATTCAATTTAGAGGAGAGTAGCTACCCACCCACCCCTACTTTTACGGTCGAGGTGTCGCGGGGCACAAACGAGAGACTGGAACGATACTTGAAACAATCGGTCGAAGAGCGGCAGAGATTCCAACCACGGTCAAAGCTTATTTTTTCTTACTCTTTTATATTAGCTGTGACAATTATGGATATGTGATGCTAATATATATCGTGTGGGATAAAGCTAGGGCGAAATATGATCTAGCTCTCTAAAGAAGCCAAAGTACAACTTGATCACCAAAAAATAATTAATTGAGTTGAGCAATAAAACGATAAGGTACGAATCCTACATTCCTCCTCAAGTTAGATGCATGAAGATCGGGAATGCTGAGTTTGAAGAGAAATGGAATTGCCTAGCACCCAACAATATAATTAGTGAAAATACCAGTGAGCTGGTCACTAGAGGCGACTAATTTCTATGGTTGAATATCTCGAGAACCTCATTCTTGTACAGTAACAATCCATTGAAACACTAGGTTTGCCAATCCAAGTTGGACATTGTACCTCGGTGGTAGAATGGCGAGTGCTCTCACAAGCACCTCAATTCACATCATAATACGTTTGAAGTGTTAAGAAACATGTAGCATGGAAAGAACAACCCCTGTCCCCGTAAAATTCTTCAGATAATGGAGAACACGATAAGTAGCAAAGAATATGGACATGAGATAGAAACATGAAGAAACTAGCTAGAAATAGAATGTTCATCATATAAATGATGTCTAGGCAAATCATAGTAAAATAAAGCAAATGTTCAACTAGTCGTATGTAAGAACTGGGATCATCAGGCAAGTCTGTCGGTGAGTTGTAAGTGATGATTATATTCAAGTGAGAATTGGCTGGAATGGTGTCATATCCAAGAGTCTCGACTTATGACTTATGACGGATCCAACTAAAATACGCTGATGATCTTCATTTAGAGTTGTACAACATTTTCCCTCGATCATTACTAGATTTCATTCGTTCTTTATAATTTATCAATGATCCAGTCGAGGCCTTCACTTCTTCCTAATCACTTGCCAAAACTAGAATAATTCCTTAGACAACCTCATCCTTACCATGACCACTTCACCATCGAGCTGGCTGAGCGGCATGATCCTAGTTCAGATGAATTCTTCGTTGAAAGTATGTTAACTAATATTTCTTTCCTGCATATATATTCATTTCACTATATAATATGGTATTTCATTAGCTTCTTTTAACTCTTTATTTCCAATTTTAAAAAATCCCAACAAAAAGTTTTAATCTTCTTTGACAGTGCTTTATGACTTATAATTTGTATTACTACATATGACTAGTTAGTTACTCAGAGTAAGACCAATATAAACAAGAAAACATTATCGGATGTTTTATTTTTTACTATCTTGTTTCACCTTTGACCCTTAAAACTATGCTTTTATTGTGTTTACTGTTCATCCAATAATTGGGCTAAGGACAATCAACAATGCCCTTCACTAAACATGCCGTCTTTTCCAAATAAAACAACCTTTCAAGAAAATCATCTCAAAGTGAAATAATAAATGGATGCAAAAAGTAATAGTTTAAGGAAGCAGTCCAAACTCCAAGCTAAAACAAAAATGCCGGCTTTTTTTTGTTTTGACGAATAGGCGCAGAACACTTGTCCAGCTGTTAACAAACTGGAGGGTCTAATTTTTTTTTTTTTTGTGCAAAGGGAATTGATGTCGCCATCGCCCGTCCATGCCGCTCAGCGACTGCGAGCATGAATTAGGCCTTTTCATCCAAATAGGTGCGGGGAATAAAAAATTTGTTCAATAAAAAAAAATATCATACTAGTAACCGTTATTATAAAATACCACAATGTGGTTTTATATTCTGAGAAAAAAAAAACTATAGAAATATACTCAGTGCCAAGAGGGTTCAATAAATCTTCTTTTCGATATATCTTACATACTAGATAATTATTTACGAAATCTTATCTTTTATTCGATTTCAGAGTTTGTTCGTGATGCAACACAAAGTTGGAGAAAAAAAGCTACTTCAATCCTTGTAGTCCCCCAACAAGAGAGGCCCGTGGCAGATCATGGCATGGATTCACTGTATGCAGCATATTCTTTCAATCAATGCTAGAATCGTGGTCTCCTTTGTACCTAGAGCTTGTAACAAAAGAGCTGATTGGGTTGCTAAAGAGGCGCGTAATGGTACTCTCCCAACAGATTGGATTCAGATCCTTAATCTTGTCTCCCCTCTCCTGTGATTGGCTTTGCTTGTAACACAATCTTTTCATGAAATGAAGTATCTTTATTGTCAAAAAAAAAAATCCTTGCAGTTCCAGCCGGTAAAATCATTATATATTTGAAAAAAAGAAACAGACCCATGGATATATGATAGATTCACTTTGATCTTCATCGTCAACCGAGCTAAACTAAACTAACAAATGAAAGAAACAAAACTAAGTACAAGGAGGATCACTAGAGGTCGGTGGTTGCTTATGGTTAAATTTGTCTAGGATATAGGTTGGATCAATGGTACTCGTGTAACCAACAAGATGCATAGAGACTGAAAGAGTGTACAAAGAGGAAGAAGAACACCAACCTTGAGCTAGAATCATCTTCTCCTTATTAATTGAGCAATATCGTTTTCAATCTTGGGAGAATTTTGGATTGGATGACAAAGATTTGGCTCCCAAAATTCTCTAATTCACGCCTCCCTCTACATTTTCATAACTCTCTGTTTTTTTTTTTCTCTCTATGATTCCCCCATTGTCCAAAAACATTCCTTAGAACTTATAAATTCGTGTCCATGAGAAAGATCACTACCTTGAGTTCACAGCCATGATGATACTTGGATTTAATCCATGTTCTCAGAAAAGTTGAGGAAGTTAAAGGGGAGGGTCACGGTCGTTCACGTACGGGTTCTTCAATTCGCGGTCACGACTTCCCTTTCCATAGCCTGTGATTTTGGTCTTGAGAAGTACTATTTAGGGTAATTGACTATTTATTAGTCAAAAATTTTTTATTCTTTTTTATTAGTCAAATCTATCGAAATACTAAGAATTAGCCAAATGTTAACTTTCAGTTAGCAAATTTTGTTAGTAATATTGGCTTGACAGCATGATACTGACTTGGAAGAGACACATGAATGTCAACATTCCAAAATTTTAGTATTTTAACTAATAAAATAGTTACAAAATTAGTAACGATAACGTAAAAATGACTAATATTTTGATACATTATGAAATATTTGGCTAATTAATAGCATTTTAATAGGTCTGGATGATATAAAAGAATATGAAAAAAAGATTTAGATAAAAAATAAACATTACCCTACTATTTACTCCTTTTTTGCTAGCTCCAGATGACATCCCAATGACCCAAAACTTGCAAAAAAATCTTCCATGACTCGCTATGACATGAAATCAAGTGAGAAAACACAACCTAGCATAGAATAGGATGTGAATGAATAGTTTATGAGCCAAATGGCCAAAAACCCGTAGAGATCATGCTAAGTCCTAGAATATCACCATTTAGTCTGTTAGAGAGTGGTATAAGATCCATAATAACTTTTTCTCAACAACTCGAGTTATTAGGACCAACTGGTTTATAACATAGTATCAGAGCCCTGGTTTGGCCAAGTGGTCGTGTGTTCGAATCTCCACGACCCCCAATATTAACAGTTGATTAAAAAAGCACAAGGTATAGTGGGTCTGTGCAAACTTCAAGCCCATGGGTTGGTTTTCGTTTGAAGGGGTGTGTTAGAGAGTGGTATAAGATTCATGATAACCTTCTCTCAACAACTCGAGTTATTGTGACCAACTTGTTTATAACATAGTCACATATAATACAATATCAATCTAAAATGGCCAATGTATGATGATATATAATGACATCCAAACACCTAAAAAATTTGGGTCTAAAATATACATAAAATGTGTGTCATCACTATGAGGTTGATAATATACACAACACCTTAGGGTCAAACCTCAATTCTAACAATCACCCTTATGAAAACTATTAACACCTAATATCTTTTATTCGATTAACCACTACTGACTAACTAATTGACGCCACTAATACATCCATCGCCCTGAGCTAGAAAAATGAAGATGAAGAGATTTAAACTGGAATGGCCAAACAAGAAGATTCAAAAACTTGACTATTAGTTTTTTTTTTTTTTTTTACGAATTTCACATGTGTTTTTAATTATGGTCTGAAATTTTAGGAGAGCCAGTGTTATATGTGGGAATTATAATATTTAATGAAAAAAAATATTTAAAGAAATTTATTTCTATGACCTTCTTTTTTTTTTTTGCGTTTGTCAATTAGTTGAGTAACTATGGAAGTTAGGTTTCTACTTTCCATTGGTCGTTTCTGTTACTTGGTACTTGATGGCAACAGACCATCTACTTGTTCTTCTTTTTAATGTACACTTCCCTTTTGTATATCAGAAAGATATCTACCTGTTGCGGACAAGACATGGATATAGATAGAGACGAAGTTGTCATGTGTTTTTGAGTTTTGACTATCATGTGTATCTGCCGAAAATGTACGTCCCAAGCTCTTTCGGGTCATTCCAGAAATAAAGTTACTAGTCAGAAGAAGAAGAATAGCCATAATTAATACTAATTAGGGTAAATACAATACGGGGAAATTATAGCCACAACTATGTAAATTCAAATTATTAGTCATAACTATTATTGCGGGTCAAGATATGGCTAACTGTCCGTTACTATTATTAAATTTTTAACGGAGAAGGCCACGTCATCGGCCACGGCAGCAGCCATGTCGGACTGCTTTTAATTTATAACTTTGAAACATAAAAGTTTAGTCAGCATTATTAACGGAATTGTTAACAGAGAGTTAACGTTTGGCTGATAATTTGAATTTCCATAGTTGTGACTATAATTCCCTGCTTCATAATAGTTGTGGCTAATATATTGTATTTACCCATACTAATGATAATTATAATGTTGCATCCGTTCATATAACCATAATATTAGGTAGGGCTGGGAAACGATGCGGTCTGGTCCATACCAGACCATATATACGGTCTATGGTCCAGACCGAGAGGCTAAAGTATAGACTACAGACCAGACCACATACTATACGGTCCGGTCCAGACCACGCCTATGTGGTCTGGTTCAGTCTGGTCTGGTCCAAATAGACCACACTCAACGAAAAATGAATAATTTGCTTAGTCAACCACACAAAAAATTGAACCAATAACAAAGAAAAAATATTGGTATTTGCCTTAAAACATTAATCCTAACATGCACGAATAATTTTGATACTCTAAATCTTAGTACATAACAAAGATACAAAGTAAAAGCATCCCAACTTGCACCATAACGTCATAAAATTAACATAATATCATATGGAGACACGATTATCTCTACTCTCTCGTTAAATGTGGTTGTGAATGAAGGAGGGACGAGATCACAAAACTAAGGTTGAGACTTGGGTGTCGTTTTGGGAGTTGGGAGAGTAGTCGAATGGGCTGTTAACACGTATTGACAAGTCAGTTGGGTCCACGGTTTGGTCCGGTAAACCGTGGTCTAGACCAGACCAGACCAAGAGATCAAAACATAAAATAATACAGACCATGGACCAGACCAGACCATACTTAACGGTCTACGGTCCGGACCAAACTTTGTGGTACGGTTTGGACCACAGTTTTTCTAACGGTCTTGTCTATTTTTCCAGCCTAGTATTAGGGTTTCTCAGTTTTTGCATTTTCTCCAGATTGGACGTCATAGACATAGCACACTTGAAAGCATACTGACAACCCAACTTTTCTCGTCGAGATTCCCCTTTTAAAATACTCATTTATGAAGAAGAAAAATACTCATATATATATGATTAACGGACAATGATCATGGGTAGAAGTTTTGGTGGGTGATCATTAGGTTGAGACCTCTCAAGAAAGTTACCTCAATCGCTCGCAACTCTACCAGAAATTTTCATACGGTGTGAGAAACTCTGCCAGTGCCACAGCCCACAGGGCTTTCTTCTTCTTCTTCTTCTTCTTCCTTGCACTTATGCACTCTGCTTCATACACCTCCCTCAAACTGGCGAGTACAGATCATATAGACCCAGATTGGAGAGCAAGAGCTTAAACATGTCATTAGATTAGCCCTTTAGTAAACAAATCGGCTAATTAGTGATCTATGTTCAAATGGAAAAGAGTCAGGAGTCCTAATGTTACATGGCGATCCACTTCGATATGCTTAGTCCTAATGTTAGCCACACAGTCCCTTACCATGGAGAGATACGAAATATACCACACTCTTTATAAGTTTATAGTCTATCCTTGTCAGTCACCTGAATCCATTCAAGACGAGTTTTATCAACTTCATTTCCTCATTCCTTCCTCCTGATTTTGAAAACGTGTCTGCAACTGCAGTGGTGAATACAACGTGTGGACCGGTTAAAAAAAGACTCGATTTGAACAGCATTGCAATTTCAAGTTACGTCAGAATGATATCCTCACCTCCAGTTGAACTTCCCGAATTGCTGGATACTGACATACGAGTTGCCCTCTTTATACTTCTTCACGATTACGCAAACTCTAGAGAACATCGCATAACCCTGCAGTCCCTGGCGCCGTTAATGACTGTTCGAGCTCCAGAAAATCTGGTCATCTTCCTCCAAGAACAGCAACTGGAATCCTTTAGGAAAGACGATGATTTCTGAAACCTTTGAGGTTAGGAAGCACTGTTCTTTCCAATTACTCACTCTGTGGAACTCCCCAACTCAGCACAAGCAGAGGGAAGACGATATTTGTCCAAGGCACCAGATATCCAGAGTACCATAGCTCATAGAATGTCTCGACACAGAACTTTTCAACCTTGCTACAGCAGGGACTTGCAAGCCATAACTGGTTTCGCCTTCTTCACCTCCCTAAATCTGTGCTCTATACCTTCTTCAATAATCTTCTTGTGGAACTTATCATCTAGGGAGCCCTCTAGTCCCGCTGATTTTAACGAGTCACAAACGAGCTTATACGTGTACTCCCTAGGTATCGAGCCCCCATCAACAAGCTCGACAAGGAAATCCCAAGCCTCCAACGCTCTTCCTGCTTCACAAAGAGAATGTATTATAGGGGTGTACGAGCTTGAAGTGGGCAACCCATGATTCATCTTCTGCATCATCCTCAACATCTCAACAGCTTTATCAATCTCATTCACCACACTGTAGTATCTAATGAAAGAATCGTAAGTTACCCGATTCGGGACACAACCTCTTTTATTCATATCTTGAAAAAGCTCCGTCGCCCGTTCGATTCTGTGAGTCTTGCAACATCCGTCGATCAAACAATTGTAAGTAACAAGATCAGGGACGAACCCATTAAACAGCATCAGCCTAAACAGATGGTTTGCCTCCCATAACCTCCTCCTAATTGCCTTCCTACACCCTGTCTGCAGACTGTACTTACAGTAAGAGCTTATCAATATAGTGTAGGTAAACGTATCGGGGGGACACTTGAACCCTGGTAACTCCATCTGCTGCAACAAAGCTCTCGCCTTTTTGAAATTCCCGACCTTGCAGAGAGCGTAAATCATTGTGTTGTACGCATAAACATCAGGCTTACAGTGATACTGTTTCATCCGATAGAACAGAGCCAATGCCTGTTTCACCAGGCCTTCTTCTCCTAGGACTTTCATCAAACAGGTAACGGTCGGTGTGGTAACAAGACTTGTTTCACCACCATTTCCTCCTCTTCTGGCCATTTCTCTGAGAAATTCCCACAGCATGTCCACCCTATTCCCCCGCGCCAACACAACAGCCATGTCTCGACATGAAGATTCGGTATGCTGAAACCCTAAATTCGTCTCCACCCAACTGAAAAACTCCACAGCCTTGCTCACCCCCAAATTCACCCTCCTCGGATCCCTGTAAGCTCCAGGACCGAGAACTAGAACTCCGTCGCGACGCTTACAGTATTCCACCTCGAGATTGCGCTGTTTCATCGGCGAGCGGTGGCGGGTAGTGCTCTGCCTGCCGATGGAGCGAGGGGAGATGAAAAAGAACCTGGGTATGGAGCGGAGAACGTCGGATACCAAATCCGCCGTCAAGAGAGCGCGGGAGGTGGTTGCTGAGGCGAGATGCTCGTCGAAGGGGCGGGCTTGGATCATCACTGACATTATCTGGTTCATTACTAGAGCAGCGCGATTGCTGTTTGCAGGCTTTGACGGCGGGGAGATCGTCATGCTCGGAGGCCAGATCTGAGAAGCAAATGCTTACATTCATGTGCAGTAATGATTAGTAGGATTGCTGGACGGGAGATGACGGCGGTGTACAATTTGTGCTTGCTCGCAGAGGTTGTGTACTTGTGTTGATTCAAATGAAAGAATTGCTTGCCGCCATGGCGAGGGGAAGCGTGGAAGGGAAACGATGAACCAAGTCGAGTTGCAGCCGAAAAGAGGTTTGTGGGCTGGAAGTTTGTGGGCCTTCAGGCTGGGTCGAATCAGGTAGCAATTTTGGGCCAACCATATGTATAGATCCAACATGCAGAAGTTGGATTCGAATCAGAGCGGCCTAAGCCCAAATCCGAATATTTGATCGGCGAAGCAGTGGTTGGTGGGTTGACTTAGCCGCAGAAACGTAGTTCAGATACGAATGACAATTTCGATCTAACTCGTTATATTTGAATATTTGATCTATTTAACCGGTTTTGGATGAGTATTAACAATTAGTTGGGATGAGCGGATATGGATCATGTTCTCTATCTGATTCGTCTCATTCTCGATCTGTTATTGTCTAAATTATATATATGTTTACACAAATTAATTAGTATTTTACTTTTATTACATTATATTTTAGCTATAATAAAGTTGCAAATAGACAAAACATTGTTGGTAAACGGTATATGATTCATGATTGAACATCTCCCAACAACTCGAGTTATTGGGATCATGTGGTCCTTGAGATGGTACCAGATCCTTTTGTGACCGAAAAGTCTTCGGTTGGATTCCCGATGACCCTCATTCGTTTTATTAAGCACATTGTGTATGAAGTTGTGGAAACTTCAAGTCCTACATATGTGATTTTCGTTTGAGAGAATATATTAGTAAATGGTATATGATTCATGATTGAACTTTTTCCCAACAACTCGAGTTATTGAAGCAAGTGGTTCTCGACAAACATCAATGAAAAAGTCAACTTCTTGCCACCAAAACGAAGAAAATGAAGACAGATAGATTTGACTTTTGAGCTACTTGTACGGTATCATGTTTCAACGGTATAGTTAGTTAGGTTTGTGGTGGAGATCGAATAACCGTACCAGATTAGTCTACGGTAGATAATTTACGTTATCTTGTTAATCTAGAGGGGATCGTTGGGTTTTTTTTTTCTTTTTTTCCGCAAGCTGCCGCGAGCCATTAAAGTTGACTTCCCATAATCATTCCGCTGCAGAGATGAATATAACTAATTGAATTGGCACTAATAACGCCACTAACAGCGGTGTTTTGCGGGAAACAAGTGTTGATATATAATAATACCCCTGATCAATTAACAGTCAAACATCATTACATTTGCTCGACAAATGTAAAAAAATATGCCAAAAACGATTATAAAATAAGTTGTCACTTTGGGGAAAATATTTGGAGATGAACTCATCCGTTTGTGATTTCTAAATTGAGTGGTATAGATCGAACAATAATTTAGAAATCTCGAAGAATTATAATTATCATACCAAGAAAGAAGTGGCATTTTATACGTTTTTAAGTTAAACATATACATTTTGGTTCAAATATTGTGTCTGATAAAAATAGACCTCACATGGTTTACGGTTTTTTTTATTTTATTTTAAAAGAACTACTATAACCTTATTCGAGAAGGTCTTATAAGTAAGCATATTGAAGAAGCACCCTGTTAGGGCAACGAGTTCGGGCTAGGCCTCACATGGTTCACGGTATTTCTAAACGACTACTACTACACCTTATATGAGAAAGCCTTCTCTCCTCCAACTAACACGAATAATTATCTGTACAATCACATTCTAAACATATGAGATTTGATGGAACGAGATTTATGTCTCGTCCTTATTTAGAGAAACTGTCACATCTTTCGAAATTTGTAATTGAACTTACTTGGTGTGAACCTGCAATGTACTACTCGTAATTTTTTTTTTCTTTTTATGTTTAAAGGAAAATCGCCTAGAGTAAGTATTCGAAGAACCCATATTCATCCCAGCTACAACTTCCATTAACCTCCCAAACTCCATTGTTGGATCTTAGCATACTGAAACAAAAAGGACATTTTATATATAGCTTGCAACTCTATTTTGTTCACTTTCCACAGGTCGTCTCTAGCCATCCGTAGCCGTTACTCAATAGAACACGCCCCAAAATTAACTACTATCAAGCGGACAACACATGTGGAAGTGAGAAAATACATATATTTTTTTAGGCACATCACTAGCCTCGTTGGCTTGCTGTTGGCAAAACCAGGACGACGTCGTTTGGCTGCAGTTCCGAAAAAGTGGGCCCGAATCTCTCTCATTCGCAAAGGCCCATCAAAACAGCCCAAATCCGGCCCACTGTGCATCTCCCAGAGGCCGCGGCGAAAACTGATCATACGACGACGCGTAGGAATATGGCGACGCCGGCGAGTCCATAAACGGCGAAAGAGACCGCCGGCTCGACACCGACCACCGAGAGAACGACTCCAGGTCGGAACCCGAATCATAACAGCTCTCCTCCTCCGCCACAGGGACAGTACTCATCCTCTTACTCTTGCTGCTTTTCTTCCCCCGCCTTCTCCTCAGCAACAACAGCTTGGGCAGATTGAAGAAGCACCCGGCTGAAGGGGCGACGAGCTCGGGCTGCTGCCCGGCCCGAACCCGATTACTAGCAGGCCGATGATGATGATGATGATGGGCCGTTCCCCATCGCTCGGATTGGGCCCGGGGAGCGGATCGGAAGGAGCGGCCCGATCCGAGGTTTGGAGGCGGGGTGAGGAAGATGGACGAGGAGCGGCTGATTCTTGGGGAAGAGTGGGCGGAGCGGGAGGTGATTATGAAGGAAGGTTGTGATGATGGTGGAGAGAGGGCTGGAGGGGAGAGCTTTTTGGGCAATGGAGGATGCTGTTTGTTTTGGTGGTGGTGGTGTTGGAGCTTTGGGACGCCGGGCCGGATCTCCCATTTGAACGGGACGGCGCCCGGTTTCTTGAATGACTCGTCGATCTCCACCGCCATCTTGCTTCTATGTGTTATGTATGCCCAATGGTGCTTAGCTTAAGGAAGAGTATATATATATAGATGTAGTAGAAGAAGTATCAATGGAGAAAGAGAGTGGTAATGCTATTTTGGTGATGATTTGGTGAATCATTGGAAGAAAGCAAAGCTATGGGGACCCGCCGTCTTTCTGGCGAGATTCAAGGAGGCTAATGTCAAGACTTTTGATGGGAAGGCCCTCCACAAACCGCAACTCACTCTAGACTTTTTGTTCCAAAGATGATTTGGGATAACATTTTCAGAGTTTGTTTGATAATGGAAAGTAAGGAATGTTCCCGTGACACTTGGTCATTCACACTACTCAGACGATTGGAGAGATTAGATACTTTATGGTGCAATCGTGAAAATTAAGATTAGAATTGTGTTTATCGAGAAGTCAATTCTGACTTCAAGATATTCTCCACCTATGTGGGAGACCTTCTTTCTAATTCAGTTTGTCACTTGCCTAGGGTTACTTGTTGTTCTTTGATCATATTGGGATTGAGTAACCCGTTTTATTAATGAATAAAGATTTGGGCTCCCTTTAAATGCTTTCATATTCTATGTAAAAAAACCAATTTTAATCATGCAAATTGCTTAGAAGATGACGCGTACTTTGACAGTTCCGATATTGTAGTATGATTATGCAATTTACAAGTCCTCGTGACTTCATGTGTTCGAGTCCTCGTACCTTAAAGACTATTCACATCTTCGTCAAGCCATAGTCCATAGATCCACACCTAAATTGGGGTATAAATAGTGCTTTCGGAATAAGTAGCCTTGATCATCGCTAGCATGTCAAAAAAATGTACTAACTAGTAACTAGTGCTGCTGATGTAAGAATGTCACGCGCCAAAAGGGAAACCATACACTGAACAAAAAACAAAATTTCCCAGGACCCATGGCAGAAGTAGCTAAATACGAGATGCAAATGATGGCGATTTTTACTCAATGTTTGTCTCTGTGAGAATCCAAACAAATCAACACCCACTCATGTCTGTTTACCTTGCGCTGCCTGTAATGATGTTAACGTGAACCCAACAGTGTCGGAAACATCCAAATCATTCCAAGAACTCCACTAGTTTGAAGATAATCAATCAAGTGGAGGGAAGCAACAATACTGAGGATTCTTCAATACGCAGTCATGTACTGATTAGGACTCGATACGGTGTTCATCTTCAAGCTCAAAACATCATATACTAAGGACTGTTCTCGTGAATGCTCTACATACATTTTAGATTATATTAGAGGGCAAGATCATTACCTAACACTCGTAAGTGAACTCTTCCGGCATATTGTGGAGTGCTTTAATGATGTTGCTAGCAATGTCTAGCAGCTGCAGGTACTCATCGGCGCCATCTACCAGACACTGCAAACAAACACATGAGAGAGCGCACAATACGTGAGGCTCCATTTTCGACATGCTGGAACACATTCATAAGCAAGAAACTGTCCAGGGGTAAAACAACACGAGTTCAGGAAATTTCAGTGAGCAGACAAATAATTTCAGCTGATCTAGAATATAGCATTGGCAACTATAGCATAGTGAGTCCCACCGCGATTCCTCTTTCTTATTATGCAACTAGGAGCAGAAAAATAACCTTATCCACTGAGCCCATATTCTTGCATATGCGAGCCTTCTGTTCATCTGAGATATCATCAGCTTCGACCACCACATCGAATAACTAAGGCAAGAATATATTCATCAGTAATCAGAATTATATCTAATAGGGTACGAAAGACATGTGCCACAAGAGATGAAGCAGAAAATTTACCTGGGAAACCATCTGAGAGACTGGGTACCCATCAGAAATTACATTATTCACTTCTTTATTCGCCTTATCAAAGTTGCCACTTTTACAAGCTGCGAAAAATGACTCAACAACACTTTGGGGAACAACCTGACCAAAGACAAACGCAAAGCCAAGTATCTTAGTATGTACTACCCTGCATTACCACAGTTGAAATTAACAAGCATGACAAAACCACTACATCAAAGTGAACCAAATAGTGACATTGGTGGAGATGCAACAACACCATCCAATGTTCAGAAAGGATAAAGATTTTATCTTCTAAAAGAAATGCAGCATGATATTAATTGACTCGAACCACTTGACTTGCTAAGCCTGGTCAATCAGACATATTACTCTTGAGGGAAAAAGACCACGACAACAGCTTTAATCAAAATCCTCCTGGCACATCTTTATCAGGCACAGCAATAAATATCAGATTTGTTCAACACATAGTGTGCTTGTTTGGACCAGCAGAACGTAAAAGGCTAATCAAAAATGGAAAAGAAAGGAGCCCCAGGTTGCAGTTTTAAAAGGAGGACACCAGAAACAGGCCCAAGTTTTGTAATGGTAACCAAAGCAGAGCTGAGCTAATGCATAAGTTTCTTGAACAGCTGAACAAAGTTGAGGTTTTAGAGAAATAGTGATACTGATCACATCTATTCCGGGGCAACTCTTTCTGAACAACTTCCACATTGGTATATTGCCCAAGACATCCATTGTATGACTTACCCCAGAGACGTTAATCAGGTCGTTAGATGAAATCGATGACCCATACAAGCGAGCTGCTCCCTGCCATTTAACATATAAACACCCACACACCGGCATAATCAAGCAAATGTAAAACCCAAGAGAACACTGAACATCTAATCTAGAAGGTTATTATAATGTATCATAACATCTCTACATTGCAGAATCACGACAAGAACCGTCTGTATCTCAAATCCTCCCCCCCCCCCCCCCCCCCCCCCCCCCAAAGCCATTTATTGCCTACAAAAGCGAGCTCCTATACTATTGGTAATCAGATCCCGATCCGATAAAATTTCAATCTGCAGCTCCTTGAATTTATGACGCAGAACAGATCCGAGGGACTGCCAGAACAAGTTCACTATATAAACAAGACTGGGTCAAGGCTCGAGGATCAAGTTCTTATGCATACTCCAAGCGGAAGGACATGCATCCTTACAAGGGAAACTATCAGTATTTAAAATCAGTTACTATCCAAGTATGTTACTGAATTCCAGGAATCCCTAACTATTTTAAATTGATATGATCGCTTGTCTAAGTTGCCATATGATTGCTGATAAGCTCTCAGGTGCAGATTATGAGGGATTAACATGGTTCAGAAACTTACAATGGACGATAATCAAACAATCATAATCACTTAACAGAAACTATGAATATTTCTTACTTGCAAGTATGTGATTGCCCGACGAAGATCTCCTTGTGATATGGTGCCCAAGGTTGAAACAGCCTATTCATGGTGCGCCATACGTTTGTTTACATTTCATAAATTTGCCAAAACTGGTACGAATGAGACTACACTGACTTGAAATCATCATTACCTCGTCATCAAGATAGATACCTTCCTCCTTACAGATGTGCAGTATACGGCTACTCATAATTTCTTCTGAAAGTGGCTTGAACCTGAATTTTGCACACCTCGACGCAAGGGGCTCGATTATCCTACACAAATTGAAACGAACTGCCATAAAATCCAACATCTAGTTTACTTATCAAGTCAGTTAGTACGTTGACCAAATGCAAACGGCACGGCTTCTCCACGTATACCTGTTAAGAGTGGACAAAAATCTACACCAGCTGGTAGCTACCCATGGTCAGGTATCTTTGAGTGTTAGTCTAACAAATGTTCTTTGAAATTTAATATTGAATTTGTTGTTTATTTAGTTGTAGAAAACCTCAATTCTATCAGATCGGAGAGGAAAGTGGTCATGGTTCAGATGGGAAAATTTTATCCAGGAACACTAATTTTTAACACACACGATGGCACAACCAGTTCATTAGATGAAGATTGCGGTTTGGAAAATAGAGTATTTTTCCTCTCTATTACCCCTATGTAGATGCTACATTAGTTGAACATTAAGCTGATCAACACCAGAGTGACTAATTAAGCCAAGTATGAAAGCTGTACCTGCTTATGTAATTGCATATGAAGAAGAATCTTGTAACTTTAGAATAAGTCTCCATCGTACGCCTCAATGCATTCTGTAACAAAGATGCTAAGCTTCATGACATTGAACTTACAGTGATAAGAAACAAGAGAAATCAAAAGAGAGCAAAATGGAACATGCCTGGGCGTCTTCTGTCATTGAATCTGCCTCATCTAGGATAATAATCTTGAATGGTGGACACGGATAATTCCTACAAAGGACATAGGAATTAAGAAACACTATAGTTTGTCAAAATAAAAACAAAAACAAAAAAAAAAAGCAATGCATACCCATGATGTGGTCTAGTATCCACAGCTACAGCAGCAAAATCCTTGATCTTAGTCCGGACAACATTGATTCCACGGTCATCACTAGCATTGAGCTCCAGAACACGTGACTTGTAGTGCTCAGGCCTTAAAACAAAGGCATTTAATCAGAGAACATTCACTTACAGATCAATAATACGACGCCCTAACTGTATTTCGCACAGAACCAATTTGCCAGTGCCTGATGAATACAGAATACTACGTTGGAAACACATTAAATTCAAAAAGTATCTCAATTCATCAGCATTCACTCCCCCTAGCAACAAACTTACATGTTCATACTATATTCCTAGTTCCTCCATACAAGTGGAAAAGCACAGCATTAGTTGTCCCATTTACTTGCTCCAAAAGAAAGAAAATAAGCAAAAAGAGAAACAACCGCTATCCAAACAAGAGCAAACTAAGTAGAATTTAGAAAGTACCCAAAGAGCTGGTGAGCAATGGCCAATGCAGTTGTGGTTTTCCCGGTTCCAGGAGGTCCATAAAAGAGCATATGCGGGCACTAGAGAGAACAAACAACATGATAACTCCATGACTAACAGAATCGAAGCAAACTAACTGCCGAATTAATCACTAAGCAGTGCAGTTCTATAATTAGGTTTCCAAAGAACCCAAAAAAATGATCCAACAGATCATATTGAAGAACACAACTCACGCTTGAAGTCTCGAGCGTGTTCGTGAGAACCCGCACCACTTCATCCTGATGAGCTACGTCTTTCACTTGCTTCGGCCGACTAAACCCCAAATGCCAACCCACAAACCCAACAAGCAACAAACCAGGCAAGAAGAAAATAGTAAGAAATTAAGCAAAATTTTCAAAATTCGATAGAGGAGATGAAAGGGAGCTCACTATTTTTCAACCCAGGGTTGAGAGCTCTGCAAAACTGGCGCCATGGTTTTTTCTTCGCTTCTCTCGCTGATGAGCTCGGTGCTTGGTTGGCTCTGTTGCGTGTGAAGAGTTTCCAGGTTGCAGGGCAAAACTGAAATTCCCTTTCTGCCTTTTACCGCTTATCACTCTGGGCCTAAGATGGGCTATGAAACGGATAAATGGGCCGATCTGCAACGCGTAGCACATTGGCCTAAACTAGAGCACATAATACGAAAAAGGTTTGGTCCAACAGTTCCACCAGGTTAAAGTTTGATTCTTCGTAGCATCCACATTGGTATTGTATTTTCAATTGCAAAATGACATTGAATTAGGGGTGGGAATCCGGTCCCGGTTTTCCGGTCAAACCAGAAACCGGCCAGTTTAAACCGTCCTGGTTGTAACCAGAAACCGGATTGCATCCAATCTGATCCCGTCTCCGGTCTGTTTGCCAACCCGGTCCAATCCGGTTAAAACCGAAAAACCGGATTAAAATCTTCAAGCAAGCCCAGCCCACAATCCAATCCCCAGGCCCACACTCAGCAAATCCAGCCCGACCCAGAGCCCAACCCTAAACCTAATCCTACTCCCTCTTGCTCTCACCCACGTTTCCATACCAGCCGCTCACTCCTCCCCTCTAATCTCCCTCGCCGAAAACCCACCTTGGAGACTGGAGTCGCCGCAATTGGCCACCACCACCTCCTCCTTCCCGACCACGACCACCACCGTCGTCGACCTCATCATCCAATCCTTCTCCTCCACCATCCCGTCCATCCTCCTGAAACACCCTCCATCACTCATCTCCACTCCGCCCCATCCCCAGCCAGCGCCGCCGGCGCCGTCGCCGCCGCAATCTCCTCCGCCATCAGCTCGTGCATGGAGGAAGAGGAGGTGTCGACCACGACTCGTCAAAGAGAAGAAGAGGTAGATGGAAGAAACAAGAAAGAGAAAGAAGAACAGAGAGGAGAAGAGGTAGGTGGAAGAAAGATCGGTAAAGAAGAAGAGAGAAGGAATTTAAGTGGAGGAGGCAGAGACCCCTCTTCTCAATTTCATTGTTTTTTTTTTCAAATTTTTTTCAAACGTCAACGTTTTGGAAGAGCCAATCTGGTTTCCGGTTTAAAACCGGATTGGACCCAGTCCGGTCACGGTTGAAACCGGATGCCATCCAATCCCGTCTCCAGTTATGGAATTTGCCAAAACGGTCTTAAAAAACCGGGTCAATCCGGTCCGGTACCAATTGCATTGATGTGGCGACCAATTGCATATTTACAAGCTTGCAGCAAATGCAATTCCATATGCAAGTAAAAAAAGCCTACAAAAATGGCGATTTTTTATTTTTTATTATTTTATTTTCTCTTTTACTTAATTTTCTATAATTTAAATATAATATTTAATTACATTTGCAATTGCAAGTTAATTGCATTGATGTAGGTGAATGAAATGAATGTGATGTGGATTGCAAAAAATTTGAGTTGACAATAAAAAACACAAATGCAATTTCTTTTGCCATTGCATTAATGGAGATGGCATCTCCAACGGTGCAATTCTAGAGACTTGCAAGTTTATGTGGCATGGAATTGCAATTGCAACTTCAAATGGCATTGATGTAGAGAGCTATTGCAAGAGTGCAAATTTGCATCACGTGCAATTCTTGTTGCAATTTAAATGGGCTCGCTGGTGAACTCTTTTTTTATTATTTATTATATATATACTTTGAAGGTCTTAAACGAAGGAGATGGTGTATATATTGTTTAGTAGTATTAATTTAATGGGTTGGTCTCACCCTTTGAAATTGCTATTGGATTTTGTTGTTGTAAGGAGGTTGAAATTCAAATCAAAATTTGAACACTCTATACTATGATTTTTTGCTTGACCTGTTCTATAAGTACTAACTATTTAGATATTTTGATGGTTAATCATGTTGATCGAAATTTAACATACATATTTAACACATATCCTAAATTTAGTGCTTTCTTTCTAAATACTATACTAAATTTAGTCAATTAGAACTTATTTCACCTATATTCAAGATTTATGAATGGATAGTGTATCTTGTTTTTTTATTTGAGAAAAATGTTAATTTATTTTACATATAGAAGAAAGAAAATTCTTAAACGAGTAATGCGTTCATAAGTCCACAACTCATCACTTGTTAAGATTATTCCTAAAAAAAAATACTTGTTAAGTTTCTTACGTTTTTTTGTGGGAAAAAAGGATTCAAGCGTCAAAAGGAAAGAATAATGGAGGCAAAATTGTAGTCGATAGAGGTGTAGATTGCAAGTTTTTTTTTATATAGATTGCAAGTTTTATATGTGTATTTGTTAATATCTCATTGTAGAAAAATTGTATCTAAAAAATTTAAATTTTGTATAATATTTAGAGCTAACTAAAATAATAATTATATTTATAAGTTAATGTGTTTAATATTTTTTCTTAAGATATAGTACACGATGCTCTCTAGATTGATCCATTCACATTACTTACACATACGCATCGACAAAATGCATTATTTGTTTATTCAAAAAGGGTGGTGCCAAATCAGTAGAGCTTATGAATTTAAAAAATTCACATAAATAGGTGAATTTGAAAAATTAATAAAATTGGTCAGGCATTCTGGGTTGAGAGAGGGTGTTCTTCTTGTTAGATACCCCGGACTTCCCTTAACAGTAGGGAAACTCTCTTCAGACGGCTGTAAGACATTAATAGAGAAAATTACAACTAAAATCCAGGGGTGGCAACCGAATCTTCTTTCTTATGCACGAAAATTGGAATTAATGATTGTTGTCCTGACCAGCATGACGCAATTCTCGACGAAGGTTATTTTACTTCCTAAGAAGGTACGTAACAAGGGAAATCGAGAGACTCTGATCCCAGATTCTTTGGGGTAATATGGAGAAGAAGAAGAAGAGGGCTAAGGTTTCCTTGAAGATTGTTGCTCTTCCTCGAAATGAGGGTGGATTAGGATTTAAAGATCTCTGCTCATGGAATAGAGCATGTCTTGCAAGGCATTTATGGGGAGTACTTTCTGACCAAGAGATTCTCTGGATAGCATGGCTGAAAGAATACAGGCTTCGTAATCTAAGCGTATGGGAAGTGCAGACAGGTGGCTCGTGGGTATAGAAGAATGTTTGAGCCCGGGCGACTGGGCGTCACTCGGGTCCAAGGGGTTTGGGGCGTCAGCCATGACCTTGAAGGGGTAGGCGCCCCGCCTCGTCCGAAGCAAGAAAAGAGAAGGAGTGTATAGAGAGAGAAAGTAGGGAGAAGTAGTAGTAAGAGTAGATAGATTGCCATTTATGAGGAGAGAACTCCTATTTATACACATTTGAGGGTTAGGTAGTGGTCTGGGCGCCTGCCAAGCCATAAATGCTCTGGTCGGGCGCCTCAGACCTTCTGACACTGTTCATAGTCCTTTTTGGCAGAGGGTGTCCCCCTGTCCCTTGTCCTTGCTGATGTCAGGTGCCTGGCCTTGTCTCTTGTCTCCCAGCCTTGTCTTTTTCCTCTTGTCTTCTTTCCTTCTCCATGCCATTAGCCATGGTATTAATTCCTTAATTACTATGATACCCTATCAATTGCCCCTTTGACGTCGGTATGAGTATCATGGTGGCGTCAACATAAAGTGAGTTTCACTAACCTTGCTTTCTCGTCTTCACAATCAAGTGCCAGCTCTCTTTCTTTAGTTAATCGGCACCAGGCTCTTCCTTTCAAGTGGGTGCTTCATTCCCTTATTGATCTTCTGATCTGTTGAGCGCTTATTAGGGGTGGGCGTTCGGTCGGTTCGGTAACATGCCGAATTTCCGAAGTACCCAGCACCCCAACCGAATTCGAACCGAGCTATAATTCGGTTCGGTTCAACCGAACCGAAGTATATCTCGGTTCGGTTCGGTTTGACTGCCCAAAACCGAAATGATCACCTGCTGCCTTATCTCAAACGAGCCCCACTTTAATCCCTCACCCCAATCTCTTTCTACTCTCTCCTCCATCAATTAATCCCTCACCCCTGCATGCTCTCCCATATCACCCTCTTCAATCCATCCATCTCTCTCTCTGCTAAAACAACAGGCCATCAATCCACCCTTACCAAGCACTCCGCCGCCTAGAGCACTCCGCCGCGCAGATCGCAATGAGCTCCCTCCGTCACCGGGCTCGCCTTCTCCCCAGATCAGGATCACTAAGTTCGCCGCTCGCCCATTTTGATGAAGAGGAAGCAGTGGCAAAGAAGGAGTTCGTTTTTCACGATGAAGAAGGAGCTGGGTAGTGGGTACACCGTTTGAGGTTTCGAGTGATCGAGAGAGAGTGAGAGACGGTCGGTGGTGGTGAGTGGTGATTGTGGTGAGCGGCGGACGAGAGGGAGAGACAAAGGGAGAGATAGATCATAGATGGAATTAGGATTAGGTTTTTTTTATCTCGGTTGCTGGGCTTGGCCCTCAGCTGGGCTTCTTTAATTTGTTGGGCCTGGCAGGATGTGGTAGTTGGGTATGCAATTTCGGTTTATCGGTTCGGAACTCGGAATTTCGGGTTCGGTTGGCATACTCTGTATTCCGAATTAAGAGTATTTCCTTTCCGATTTCCGATCCGAACAGTGAGAATTTCGGTTTCGGTCGGTTTGACTTCGGTTCGGTTCGGTAAAACCGAACCGGATGCCCACCCCTAGCGCTTATGCACCCGTGTGGGTGTGCTTGCTTCCAAATAAGATGTAGTAAAATGAGGAAGAATAAACACATGTCTCAAGTAACGGAGACTATTAAAAGAAGCAATCATGCCCCTTTTATCAAGCGCCTGACGCTTGCATTCTTCCGTTCTTCATCAATTATTTCCTAAGTGACTACTCTTTCATCTTAGAGGATGTGCCTACGCTCGTGTTAGAGTATTCAATCTATCTTGACAATCAAATGAAGTTGAAACAAACTTGTCAGTTTTCCTTTGACTGTGCCTTGCCCATTTGAAACGAGCGCCTAGCGCTCTTTTCCCATTTTTTTTTTCTTTTTGCCAAAAGATACCACTGATATTCAAATGCTTTCCATTCATTGTCTAAGATGCTCCATTTTTCTTGCGATTACTTGTGCTCTTTTAGAAGAGTGCTTGCTTCGATTCTTTGGCTAAGCACTGGTCATCCAGCTTGTCGTTAGTTTCCCTAAGACCCAAACTCAACGAGGTGTTTGGTGACTCGCTCCTTTGCCAATGTGTCTGACCTTCAGTTGGGCGCCTGACATCTTACTCCTTAGCGAGGTGCCTGACCTTCAGTTGGGTGCCTGGCGCCTCACTCCTTCGCTTATGTCTTTGGTAAGCATTTGTCACCCAGCTTGTCGTTTGTTGCCTTAAGACCCAAAGTCAACGAGGTGCCTGGTGACTTGCTCATTTGCCGAGATGCCTGACCTGACACCTCACTCCTTCAGCGAGGCGCCTGGCACAACACTCCTTCAGCGAGGTGCATAACCTTTCAGCGGTGTACATGGCGACTTGCTCCTTTGTCGCGGTGTTTGACATTTGATAGGATGCCTGACACCTCACTCCTTCGGTGAGGTGCCTGGCGACTCGCTCATTTACATAGGTGTCTGACATTCAGTTGAGCGCCTGTCACCTCACTCCTTCAACGAGACGCCTGACATCACACTCCTTTAGCGAGGTGCCTAACTTTCAGTGGTCGCCTGGCACCCTGGCACCTCACTCCTTCAGCCAAGCGCCTGCCACCACACTCCTTCAGCGAGGTGTCAACCTTCAGCCAGGCGCCTAACCTTGAGTGGGGTGCCTGGCACCTCACTCCTTCCCCCGGGCGCCTTCAGCCAGGCGCCTAACCTTGAGTGGGAACATGGTGACTTGCTCATTTGCCGAGGTGTCTGACCTTCGGTTGGGCACCTGGCACCTCACCTTACTCCTTCAGCGAGGCGCCTGGCACCACACTCCTTTAGCGAGGTGCCTAACTTTCAGCGGTGTACATGGCGACTCCTTCAGCCAGGCGCCTTCCGTCAGGGGCGCCTGGAACCTCACTCTTTCAGCCAGGCGCCTGACACCACACTCCTTCAGCGAGGTGTCAACCTTCAGTGGGCGCCTGGCACCTCATTCCTTCAGCCAGGCGCCTAACCTTGAGTGGGGCGCCTGGCACCTCACTCCTTCAGCCAGGCGCCTTCAGCCAGGCGCCTAACCTTGAGTGGGAACATGGTGACTCTCCTTTGCCGAGGTGTCTGACCTTCGGTTGAGCGCCTAACACCTCACTCTTTTAGCGAGGTGTCTGACCTTCAGTGGAGCGACTGGCTTCTCATTCCTTCGTCTATGTATGATACTAACAACTTAGAACCTTACTCTTGTAAGTCTAACATTACTTGCTTTGGTTTATTTGAGCGTACAGGCGCTTCAATGAGGTGCCTGGCGACTCGCTCCTTTGTCGGGGTGCCTGACCTTTGGTAAGGCACCTGACACCTCACTCCTTCAGCGAAGTGCCTGACCTTCAGTGGCAGGATGTCTGGCACCCCCACTTCTTTGCTTGTTTTCCTTTGTTAAACTTGTTTTAAAACGAGGATAGGCTAATGGGTGAACGCTAATGGGTGAACGTCCAATCACCCCTTGTGAGACTTTTTCAATGTCAAGCTCTTCCTCAAGCTCTTCCACGCATCGAGGTGAGTTTCGCCACTTTTTTCGGTCGGAGGCGCCACCTCCCTTCTTTTAGGCGCTTTGGTTTCTTAAATGGACGAAGACAGATCTGATTTGGCTGCTCTTTTCCAATTGGGGGCGCCTCCTTCCTTACTTTTCGCTATGCGCCTTTGCTTCTTGTTAAACGGTAGATACCTTTCGCCTTCTTTCTCCTAGGCGCTCCCCCCTTGAAGGCTCTCATCGGCGCCTTTCGCTTTGACCATTTCTGTCGGGCGCCTCACTCCGTAGATTAGGTACGTTTTAACTCGGCTGTTCGAAGAGGAACATTCGCTCTTTATTTTGTTTGAAACAGAGGCGCCTCCGAAAGTCGGGCTCAATCATACTGCTATGTAGTTTTCCGCTGAAGATGCCGCCTGCTCTCCCCTGCTGGCCGGCGCCTCCCCTTCTTCCTCCTCTCGGCGCTTTTGTTTCTAACTGTTTCTGCTTCCTTCCTTTGCAAAAGTTACCTCTCCATAATTGTTATTTGTTGGGAGTTTCCCCTTCCAGCTCGTTAGGTGCTTTTGAGACGCATCAACAAGTAAGCGCCGCCCTTCGTTATTGCTATGCGTTCTTTCAATTGAAGGTGCCGCCTTCTAGTTTTCTCATCTTACTGCTTTGGCAGGTGTTACCGAGAGCTCCCCTCCGATCCTTTAGGCGCTCTTGCCTACCAACATAGGTAGGCTTTGCCCCTCGTATTTTCGAACGTCATTCCTTGGATTTTGCTAAGAGCCTTACTTTGTTTATCGCTCTATGATACTTGCACCTGTTTATAATGCAGGTTCAGCCTCAAGGCGTCTTAAGGCGCCTTTCTCCTAGCAGTTACGGGTCGTGATAGCGGGTTTTTTGCCTGCACGGTACCGGCTTCAGCGTTGCACCTGTTTCTCTTCCAAGACTCGCTTCTCTGCACACCTTTCACTCCTTGCTATGACATCCAATAATTCCCAACCCTCTGCTTCTATGGGTGGCGCCTCGGATGGTGGCACCTCCGACGACTCTAGCTCTTCCGATGATGCTTCGAGCAATTCGGACTAGTAGAGTTAGGGTATCTTTGTTCCATGTTTGGACGATGCTGACTTGCTAATGCGCCTTCTGTTTAGGCGCCTTTTGCTTACTTTGTCCTGGAGCTTGCCTTCAGGGAATGTTTTAATTTCGTTGTTGAACATTGATCTCATAATTCTGATGACTCTCCTCCTTAAGAAACTCTTGTTCTTTTGTTACTGCAACTTGTCTTTGTGTGTTGTTTTGGGCGTTTGCTTTTGAGCTAGGTTTCTTACGCGTAGCCTCTTTGAAAAGAGGTGATGCGTTTTGGTTTCTCCTCAATGGAGGAAGCGGGTCTGGGTGACCCCTTCTGACAAGGCAGGGAATTTCGCGAGGGATATGGCCAAGGCGCCACCACTCATGGGGACTCGTGAAACGAGCGCTCAACGCTCGGATGAAGATCTGAGTGTAAGCACTAAGCTCTTCCGCTGGTTGCGGGTAAAAGGTTTTGTTAAGATGACTACCTTAAGCAAAACTTGATTTTTCTTACGTGTACCCCTGAGAAGGAGGTGACACGCTTAGGCTTCTCCTCGACGGAGGAAGCGGGTCTGGGTAACCCCTTCTGGCAAGGCAGGAATTTTGCGAGGGATATGGCCAAGGCATCACCTCTCATGGGGACTCGTAAAACGAGCGCCCGACGCTCGGATGAAGATCTGAGCGTAAGCACTAAGGCTCTTCCGCTGGTTGCGGGTAAAAGGTTTTGTTAAGATGACTACCTTAAGCAAAACTTGATTTTTCTTACGTGTACCCCTGAGAAGGTGGTAACACGCTTAGGCTTCTCCTCGACGGAGGAAGCGAGTCTGGGGTGACTCCATCTGTTAAAACAGGGATAGCTTTGCATTGCCGAGTAGTGAATATCCGTTCCTTGAGCAAAATAGGGAATTACATGGGGTATCGCCAGGGCGCGTCCCTTTCCCCGAAAATTCCTAACATTACCAACCTAAACTGAATAAAAGGACTCCTCCTAGCACGCTTTTGCCTCTCTTAGGGTGTCTTTGGGTTACGCCTACTTAAAGGGCGGCCCTTCCCCTACAAAAATTCCAGGGCGCTTCTTTCTTCCGAGGCGCCGTAGTTGAGTCGGGCGTACTTCTCCAGGTAGACATCGTCGTCAGCTTCAATTGCGTCCTCGTTGGGTGAGGCGCCCACACCCTCCCGTGGGGAGTTCATGGGTAGCACCTCAACCTCTTGCATCTTTCCTCGGAGGCGCCTCCTCTCCTCTGTGGCTTCTTGGGGATTGGGAGGCGCGTGATTGTTTGCCTTTGTTAGTGCTGACAACGCGGTCATGACTTGATCCAGTTGGCCTTGCATGCTGGCCATTTGAAGTGCTTGCTTTTCCCGAAGCTTCGCTAGTTGGCCCTTCAGGCGCTCCGTGTCTTCTCCCTCTCCTGATGGATCGTCATCGTCGGATGCTTCCAAACTTTGGATGGTGAGTGGTTGAGGGTTGATCGCTTCTCGACCAACGACTTGCTTGATAGGGGTCTTCGTTGGTGCCGGACTCCTTTCTTCCCCCTTCTTTGAGTTGGAAGCGTCTTTCAAAGTCATGCTTGGCCCCACGGTGGCCGCCAATTGTTTGAGCCCGGGCGACTGGGCGTCACTCGGGTCCAAGGGGTTTGGGGCGTCAGCCATGACCTTGAAGGGGTAGGCGCCCCGCCTCGTCCGAAGCAAGAAAAGAGAAGGAGTGTATAGAGAGAGAAAGTAGGGAGAAGTAGTAGTAAGAGTAGATAGATTGCCATTTATGAGGAGAGAACTCCTATTTATACACATTTGAGGGTTAGGTAGTGGTCTGGGCGCCTGCCAAGCCATAAATGCTCTGGTCGGGCGCCTCAGACCTTCTGACACTGTTCATAGTCCTTTTTGGCAGAGGGTGTCCCCCTGTCCCTTGTCCTTGCTGATGTCAGGTGCCTGGCCTTGTCTCTTGTCTCCCAGCCTTGTCTTTTTCCTCTTGTCTTCTTTCCTTCTCCATGCCATTAGCCATGGTATTAATTCCTTAATTACTATGATACCCTATCAAAGAAGATTTTGAAGTTGCGAGGTTTGTTTGAAGGGAAAATGATTTTGTCAACTCGACGAGTCGAATGGGATGGGGCTCTGATTAGCGAATTCAGCACAAGCAGGATATGTCAAAGTATTAGACCTCGGCAGGAAGAAGTAGAGTGGGCCAAACTAGTCTGGAAGCAGGGGATTTCTAAGAACTCGTTGTTAACGTGGTTGGTTCTTATAGGTCGGGTTACCGCCCTGGATAAAGTGGGAAAATGGTGCCCTACAGTGCTTAATATGTGTCTTCTTTGCGGAATGTCAGTAGAAACAAGGGAGCACATCTAGTTCTCGTGTATCTATGTCCAGGAGCTTTGGAGAATTGTTTTACCAGTCAGATGGCAATTTCCCCTGCAAGTTGACCTGCATCAGACAGTGCGGAAGCAACTCGAAAGTTGGGGAAGTGTAGACTGGGGCGTGTCCTTTGGTGTTTACTGATGAGTGAAGTTGGTGAAGATGCAAGGGGTAATGCAAGTCAAGGAACAAGGTGATCAGCTGTTTGCGGGAACGGCTACGGTGCTAATTGTACAATAGTTAGCACCGTCCTAACCAAGGGAAAAACTACTACTAGTTTGAATTAGTAGTTATTTAGCTTAGATGTTGTATTGATTTTATAATAATCCGTAGTATTTTTGCTAGTTATCACGGTGTTAGTCCCTATAAGGGTTAGCACCTAATCCCATCCCGCTGTTTGCAGATGATGCACTAGGCCGAGATTTGTGGTACAAAAGGCAGAATCACTAGTGCTTGTCTTGATGTTGTCCTAGGTTGTTTGTTTAGGATTGACTTAGGCCCTGTTCACTTTCATTTTCGTTTTCAGTTTTCTGTTTTCATGTGATAAATTTGGCAACCGAAATGAGAAAACTTGTTTACTTTTCATTTTGTTTTCTATTCGTTTCCAACTATGAAAACAGAAAGTGGCAACTTCCTGCTGTTTTCGGAAACGACAAAATGTTGTTTTCACCTGTTTTCAACATCTGTTTTCTCAAAAACAGGAAACAGAAATGAAAGTAAACAGGCCCTTAATAGTCTGGTTGTTTGTTTGATTCTTCTCATTGTTGAAGAGTCTGTTTTTACTAGGCCAAGGCATGTACGAGTTATCGTATGAACGGTTGGACAGATTGTATTGGATGAATAAGATTACCACCCATTCATTGAATAAAAGAATTAAAGAAAACTTAATAAAATTATTGATATTTAATGACTACTCTACCACTAATTTTCTTATATTCCAACTTTTAAGGGTGGTAAGTTGATTTCATTTCTAACCCTCTAAATCCAATTCAATAAAATCATCGTCAAATCTAAAACAAAAAATAATAAATAATGTTCTGAAATCCCTAGTGAACAAACTCCACTGCCAATTGTTCATTTTCCAAATTCAAAGCTTTTGGAACCAATAGACAACGCAATCATTTTAACAAGGGTAATGTCTATTTTTTTTATCTAAATCTTGTTCAGATTATTTTATATTATCCAAACCTATTAAAATTCTATTAATTATCCAAATCTTTCATAATGCATCAAAATATTAGCAATTTTTACGTTATCGTTAATAATTTTGTAACTTTTTTCTTAGTTGAAATATTAAAATTTTGGAATGTTGATCTTCGTGAGTCTCTTCCAAGTCAATATCATGTTGCCAAGTCAATATTACTAACAAAATTGCTAACTGGAAGTTAACATTTGGCTAATTCTTAGTATTTTGATAGGTTTGGATAATATAAAAGAATCTGAAAATGGTTTGGATAAAAAATAGACATTACCCTTTTAACCAAACCACCTTAAACCACAACTCCACAAGTAATGAAGATGCGTGATATCTACTATCGCCACACCACACAATACCAACTAAGAGACAAGTGTCAGGGAGGCTGTTAATTGTAAACAATCGATAGTTATTGTAACTTTCTCTCAAAAAATCACTCGTGTTGTTATGGGACAATCCAAGTACCATATCAGTAATACAAGGGAAGAAATCCTTGTATATTAGTGTCCACCAAGCTCATTGGTACGAGGCCTTTTGGCAAGGATACCCAAAAGTAAATCCGTGTGGGCTTGGCCCAAAGTGGACAATATCGTACTAATTGAGCAGCCCGTTTTGACACGTGTCACATAGAAAATAGCCAAATACAAAGGGTCACGTAGGTGAAAACAACCAAGAAACAAAATTGAACCCCACCACCAAAGAGGGGGACAATGAAAGGGTTTTTCTTGCCACCAAATAGACAACCATCTTACAGGCACGAACAACAAAAATAACCTTAAACTCCTGGAACGAGCCTCACAAACTTCTTATCTCATCCAAAAGGGTAACCCCCCCCCCCCCAAGGACATCAACTACCTTTCCCTCCTGGACATTCCTCGGGATCACTTGGGCGTCACCTGCAAAAGTCATCAAATGTAACCCGCACGCCAAGCACCATCGAACCGCATCCCGAAATGTCAATAACTCCACAAGAGCCGGCTCTGAAATCCACACGTATAATGTTTGCTGATGTCACAACCACCATGCCCTGTGGGATATTAGAGAACCCAACCGCCCACGCCGTGAGAGCCACTAGTTGTATCCCCATCCACGAACATCGCCAGTTCACCTAGCGAAATGTCATGTCAACCACTGGTAACTGTGCCCCTTGGGTAAAGAATAAAAACCTATAACAAAATATTTTCCAGACATAATTATTTATTTTATTTTATATCCTGTAAAAATATTCTGTTTATAGAACTTGAAGTGCGGCATTGCAGAAATGGCGGATTTTGGTTCATGAAAAATAGGGACAAACCTTTGTTTGAAATTGAAGCCTGTTTGTAGTAACAAAATTTAAAATTTGTGTGGGCACTCTCTCCTCACTCATACGTATAGCGTGCTGACTGGCCTTGTTACTACCAACACTAGAAGACAGGTTCAGTGACCGTTTAAATTCAAATTCAAAACCACCCCTCCCAAACCCTCCTACCTCACAGCTCGCTAACCTCACTGCTCGTCACTCTCCCCACCCATTAAAAAAGAAAGGCGCGGGATTCTTCATACACGTGGCTGGTTTCCATTAGTTCGTCACACACAGTCCTCGTCGGACGCTCCAGCGGCGCCAACGAATCGCCCGACTCGAATTCAAATCGACCCGAAAAAAGGCAAAATACGGCATTTAACTAATTGGTTACGAAAAATCGGAAAATCATAAATACCACCAAAAAGCTTTATTTCCCCTCTTTTTTCCACGCCCAGAAGAAACGACCGACTCGACTGAGAAACAGATACCCAAACCCGAGTCTTCACTTTTTCCTTTCACTTTCCTTTCTTGTTCCTGAATCAGGGGGACGGGGAAATTGGTGAAGGATTTTCTTGATCGCGGGGAAAAAGAAAATGTCGCAGCCACGCCGGTCGTCGTTTTCTGCATCCACAACGTCGTCTCTGGCGAAGCGGTCGGAGAATGCCGGGAAGACGGCGGTGGTCGCCTCCTCCGCTGCTCCTGCTTCGCACTTGGCCAGGAAACGAGCGCCTCTTGGAGATATTACGAACAATTCGAGGAATGCTGCGCAGAAAGGGTCGAGAACCGCTCTCCCGTCGTCGACTCTGGTTGGTTTTCTTGGGTTCTTTTCTCGTTTCTTGGTATTGGCTCTTGTGGGTATTTTCTTTCCTGGAGTTTCTTATGGTTTCGTACAGCGAGCAAAAAAAAGGAACCCGTCTGGGTTTCTAAGAATTTACAGAGATGTGTGTGTTCCGTTGCTTTGATATTTTCCTCTGTAAACGCTTAAGCTACTGACTTTACCATATGGGTTTCAATTTTGGAAGTTAACAGTTTAGGGTAATTCGATTTCTTGGCGGAAACGAATTGGGTGAATGGGTTTTACTGAAAATTAGTGTTGATGAGAGGGATGCTTTGTGATTTGGAATCTTGGAAGATTGCTCTGTTTCTGGTTCAGGGTTTCTAATGAGATTTGATTTCAGGGGCAGAGCACTGCTAAAATTGCTAAATTCAAGAAAGGACCTACTCCTGCTTCCAACAACAACAGCAACACTGCCTCGTCTGGAAATTTCATACCTGCGGCGGTGAAATCGACTGAGATTGAGGTCACATCTGCACGAAGAAGCCATGAAGTTGTCTCGGGCATTGTCAAGCCCCCTACGTCCTGTGAAACGAATGTTTCTCCAACGAAAACAAATGAAGGTTGCATGTCCTTGGATGAAACCATGTCCACCTGTGATTCCTTCAAGAGCCCTGATGTTGAGTATGTCGACGACAATGACTTGCCTGAGATTGATTGTATCAACAAGAAGGCATTGAACAAGCTCTATATTACGGATCATGAAGTAGTAGCAGGTGAATTGCTTTGATATAACCTCAACCTGTTTTCTGTTTTGTCTTTTTCTGGGTTTCTGAAGATGATCAATCACATTTATGCTATACATGGCTTCTAAATTGAGTTTTTGATTGGGGTGCTTGCAGAAAATATGCGCAACAGAGATGCACATGGTGTGATTGATATGGATACAGATGACAAGGTTGTAAACCTGGATACCAATTTTGAGGATCCTCAGCTTTGTGCCACGATTGCTTGTGATATTTACAAGCATCTGCGAGCTTCTGAGGTTTGTTCGAGTCCCTAATGTAGATGAATTGAAACTGTAACTTGTTGTGGACTTTGTAGTTGGTTTAACCTCTTAACATTGTTGTGGTACTTGCATTTTTGTGGTTGCAGGCTAAGAAAAGACCAGCAACAGATTTCATGGAAAAAACTCAGAAGGATGTAAATGCCAGTATGCGTGCTATACTGATAGATTGGCTCGTGGAGGTTGCAGAAGAGTACAGACTTGTGCCAGATACCTTGTACCTGACTGTGAACTACATTGATCGATATCTCTCCGGCAATGTGATTAACAAGCAAAGATTGCAATTGCTTGGTGTTGCCTCCATGATGATTGCTGCGTGAGTAACAAGTTTCGGGGTTTCTTTTTGAGTGATGTTTAGTCCTTTTTCTCTGGTGAAGTAGCATACTAACAGCACTAATCCATGTTTTATGTTGGCAGAAAATATGAGGAAATATGTGCGCCCCAGGTAGAGGAGTTCTGCTACATTACTGACAACACATACTTCAAGGATGAGGTATGAAAATGTTTTGGAACTCTCCTGCTACATACTTTGTCCTTTGTCCGTGTAGTTTGCTTACCTAAAAATGTGAAACATTGTATTGTGTGTAGGTTTTAGAAATGGAATCTGCAGTTTTGAATTACTTGAAGTTTGAGATGACAGCTCCAACACCCAAATGTTTCTTAAGGTGATTACTGATAAATTGCATCCATTCATCACACTGCCTTCTGCAGTTCTGCTTTAGTTGTTTCTCTTGGCTTCTGTTTGCTGACTTGTTGTTGTTGTTGTTGTTGCATTGCCTTGGTTATGAAGACGATTTGTGAGAGCTGCCCAAGGAATCGATGAGGTCCCATCAATGCAGTTGGAATGCTTAGCAAATTACATCAGTGAATTGTCTCTGCTGGAGTACAATATGCTTTGCTACCCTCCATCTGTTGTTGCAGCCTCTGCCATTTTCTTGGCCAAGTTCATACTTTTCCCTTCTAAGAGACCATGGGTAAGTCTGAGATGACGAAAGCATGATCACCAGCATTTTACAGTAAAATTTTTACTCATTGAAAATCATTTTGGGGGCTGGCACTGATCTCTTACTATTATGTTTGGACAGAATTCCACATTGCAACATTACACACTCTATCAGCCTAGTGATCTACAAGACTGTGTAAAGGATCTTCACCGCCTGTGTACCAGCACTTACGACTCCACCTTGCCCGCGATCAGAGAAAAGTACAGTCAGCATAAGGTGAAGATAATCCGACTTTGAATTTTGTTTTGCCACCCTCCTAGAAACCCCTCTTTGGCCCCTTCATAACAGTCTCTAACTTTGTGATCTTGCCTTGATTTTGTTTTGTTGGGAACTCCAGTACAAGTTTGTAGCCAAGAAATTCTGCCCTCCTCGGATACCAGAGGAATACTTCCACAAGCAAATCTTATAGGCAGACTGACAGAGATTGATCTATCTGAGGAAACCTCATCAACCAAGTAGCGCGGTGTCTACTAGTAGTAATGGGCAGTATTCATTCGCCAAATGGCTATGATTCGACCAACAATCTTCAGCAGTCCCTCTACTAGTAGTAATGACGGTATCTTTCCAATGCTCCGTTGGAAGCAGCTCTTCTGCCCATCTGCCCCCAGAATGTAAGAATGTAGTTTAGCAGCACCAGCAGCACCAGCAGCAGCAGATAGTAGCAGTTGATGTAACAGTAGCCTGAGTCAGTTCTTTGTATGATACCTCCACCATTGCCCTGCTACGGGTTTGTATGCTTTCTTTTTTGAAACTTGCCTGCTATGGCTTTGTAGATCAGAAATTTTCCTCTGGACAATAATCAAGTTTGATGAGTGCAGACATTCCATTTTGTGGAGTTTATGTAGATTTTCATGGGAAGAACAAAGTTAACTATCAAAAGTTCAAAACTCAATGAAAGCAAAGTCAACAGAGTGATAGTATAGTACATCAGTAGTATATATTATTTATCAATACAGGCAAATATTCTACAGCAGAGTGGTCGTCATTATTTACCTTAGCGTATTAAGAAGAGGGCAAAACTTATTAGTGTTCACTGCTCAGTGCTCACAGATTTACACAGTAATACAACATACATTTTCCTTAAGCTGATTAACAGCGAGGCCTGCCGGATGTTTTCAGATTTTTCTCCCGGCCGCCAGAAGTTGGGATCTCGTCCAGAAAATAGCAATCCTCAAACGAGCAACCTGGTCCATAATTCGGCCACTTCACATCACTTGGCTCCATATACATTGGCCCCCACGCCGGCGTCCCATCCTCGTATGAATTCTGCGTCCACCTCGTCAACTCCGAGCCGTCCAATTTGATCGTGAAGATATCTCCGTACGGCTGGTAGTGATGCGGGTTTGAGATGGGCTCCGCCGATATTCCGGCGTAGTCCGTGGTGAACACTATGCTCTTCGAATCCGGGCTGAAATAGGGATGGTTGCACCGCCCGCCGTAGCCGCTTTGAATCAGCTTCCTCAACCCGGTGCCATTCGGGTGGATCAAGTAGATCGCGAAGCTGCCGCTACCCGGGTTGTGCCGGTCCGATGAGAAGGCAATCCACTCGCCGTCCGGCGACCATTTACACATCGTGTCCGTCCATTGACCCTCCGTCAACTTGCGGAGCCCGCCGTCGCCGGCCTCGCCCTTCTCTGCGTCCATTATGTACAGATTCTTCTGACCCGATAAACCCGAACGGAAGACGATCCATTTTCCGTCGGGGGAGAGCGAGGGAAAAGCGTTGTTGATGCCGTTGGTGGTCAATTTCTTGACGTTATTGTCCGCGTTAGGGTTATCAACGTTGATGGAGATGATGTCCACCTCCGAGCTCACCGGGGCGAAAGTAGGTCCGGCTGCAGTGTACACGATCCCCGGGCGAACCGGGTCCCACTCGGTCGTGAAAGCCATTCCTGGGTAAACCTGACGCCGATTCGAACCGTCCCGGTTCACCACGTACACACCAGGCATTTCGACGTAGGCGATCCTGTCGCCGGCGGGGGAGAAGACGGGATAGGATCCGTCGATTCTGAACAGCGAGACGTCCGGTCGTGGGCTGTGAAGACTCTCCAGCAGCAAGTGGGGGTCGCCGGAGTTGGATTGGCCTCTGCACCTGTGGTACCCGACCCGACCCGAGTCGGGCGAGAGGAACGGGTTGAGATGGTGGGTTTGAGGGGACACGAAGCGGGTCAACTCGGTGAACTCGTTATTGACAAGGTCGAAGAGCTCTATGTGACGGTAGCTCGAGGTGGGTCTCCTGGTGGCGACGGCGATGAAATCGGTGTTGCCCGGGGAAGTCGCCGGAGTGAACGCGTGGATTCCCGGCGGGGTGATTCGGGTGACGGTCACCAAATCGGTCGAGATCGGGCCCGAATTCGGTAGAATCGCCTTGTACACGCTGATCCACCCGTCTTCCTCGCTCTTCCTGTGGAAGAACAGGGTCGAATCGTCGACCCAACTCGGCCACCCGCCGTGTTCGACGATTTTGACCCGCTCTGACCCGTCCTTTGTCAGGAAGACGTAGATATCGGTGGAGAGTTCCTCCACCTCGCCGTTCCACCCATTCTCGCCGTAGGAAGCTACGGCGGTGAGAAATCCGGAGGGAGACACGGCGGGGCTGAAATCGGCGATTCCAATTGGGGTGAGTCTCCGAGTCGACCCGGTTTTCAAATCGGTCGAGTAGACGGCAGCCCAACTCGTCCTGGGCTCGGCGGACTTTTCGTGAGTTGACACGTAGACCAGCTTATCTCCAACCACAGTGGGCCTATCCTTCAGAGAGAGCCCATCGTGACCGTGGATTAGAGGCAGCTGGACACGTGGCGCGATCTCCATGGCGGACCTCGATCTGGAGGAGCTTTCCGGCGGGTGAGAATCGAAAGCAATGGCGTCGTAGTATATGTTGCAGGATCCGTTCCTCTCCGAAACGTAGACGTGGTGAAGTTCCGCCGCCTCCGCCGCCGCGGGGGTGGAAAAGGGTTGTTGGATGGGAGATGGTTGGCGGGAGAGAGAGAGGAGAGCGGGAGATGGGGAGGCGAAGTGGCCGTTGAAGTTGACGGAGGCGCCATCGGTGAGGCGGAGCTCGGACGAAGGGGACGGCGGGGTGCGGTGGCGCGTGGGGAGAGTGAAGAGGTCGAAGGCGTAGCTGGATCGGCCGAGAGTGGTGAAGATGATGCTACTGGTTGGAGGAGGTGGGTTTCGGTGGGTGGATTGGGTGGGAAGCAGCGAATTGATGAGGATGCAACAGAGAATTAGTGGGAGGATTTTCATGGCTGCTCTGTTTCGTTGTGAGTTTTCAGTGAACCAGTGAAGTGTGGGCTACAGGGAAAGGGCTAATTGCTAAGCGGAGAAGGATATCTGGATATGTTTGGGGATAATAATAATTAATAATACAAATGTTTCCATTTGTGTGGAAGCGGCTGGTTGTGTACGACGTCATTGGTGGCGTAAGTTTGTAAGAGACGTCTTAGATTCTTTCTTTCTTTTTCTTGGCTTTGTTTTCTATTTTGTTTATCCTGATGCTCGAACAAAGCATTGGGTTTGGGCCTGTGAGATCGCAAGAATTCTGGGCGGCTTTGATCTCCTGCTAAGAAGACGTATGGGCTGGATGCGCAGTAAATGGACTGGGCTTTTAAGGATCACCAGAACAATCATCATCATCATCATCCAACCCCACCAGCTTTACAGTATGTGGGTTCGTTAGTTTGCCAACCAGCCCAGCATGAGACATGGGCCATCAACTGTATTGGTCCATTCAAATTGAGTTAGCATACTTTAACATTGGGCTTAAATTCTAATAAAAGTAAAATTTACTTTAGTTTTTAATTTTTTTATCACCCTTCTGTGGTAATAGTATTAAATAATTTTCGGCCCCCACGAACGTCAAATCCTAACTCTGCCCCTACATATATCAACGACGATAAAAAAATAAAATATTTTATTATATATCTTTTTTCTTAAAGATACTCATCTTAGATGAAATCCTCACAAAACTGCCTGAATTATTGGTTGGGCTTAACAAAACCATTGACTCTCAAATCTCAATACACAAAATTGACTGTAGCATTCATTTATACCAAGTTCCTAAAGACCTCGGGTTTAGCACCCAATCGTAAACAGTGTTGTGATAAGTTGGTTGCGGGGTGTGGAGCTTCCGAGCACTATAAATGATAACGCGCATGATTTCTTCAACTAGAAAATCAGGAAGCAAATATGATTGATTGCATGAATATATACTTGGTGTTGGGAAATTGTGGAGCCGGCGTTGGAGTTGATAGTTGGCGAGGAAACACCCCATGAGGAAAACGTGCTTAATGTTGAACATCATACATTTTGAGATCTCGTGGGAAAAGCATGTTGTCAATTAACCTTGTGATGATGGTACAGGTTTTGGTTTGTCTTGTTCCTGTGCTGGCCTGCAGCTCTCTGTGGGTCGAGTTTGATCGACTCGCCCGCGTACCCGTGGCTCGATCGCGACTCGTGAGTCGTCCTGTCCCTCGCTTTTACACAAAAAAGTGGTGGGTTAATTGCATGATTGGTCACTAACATTACAAAAAGCGTTCATGTTTGGTCACTGGAAAAATTTAAATCTATTTTTGGTCACTAACTTTACAAAAACCGTTCATTTATGGTCACTCTCCGTTAGCTGCCGTCCAACGCCGTTAACGACGTCCGTTAAGTGATGACGTGGCTGACGGATTTGCCTAATCAGCATCTTTTAACCCGAAAATTGACTGACCCGACCCGCCACGTCATTTAAACCCTCCATGTCAGCCAAACCTAACCAAACCTCTACCCAAACCTGACCCGACCCGCTAACTAAAACCAAACCAGACCCCCAAAATTGTTTGACTAAAACCCTAATCAAAGACTGCCTCCATCCCGCGCAGCCTCCATCCGTTCCGTTTTTCTTCCTGGAGATTTTCTGATCGCGAATGGGTCCCCAGCTTCAACGAATCCGACTCACTCCCAATCCCTAAACAAGCCGGCAACCCAACCATGATCATGCTCCCGCACATTTCCGGCGGGGATCCTAGATTCGTCCCCCTCGCCTTCACCAGCATTTCCCCCATCTCCACCACCGCCGAGTGGTTCGCCGCCTTGATTCCATCGATCCCGCCGGGGAACCTCTCCACGAACTCCGCCGCTGACGGCACCACCAGCTGCGCGTTGTAGTCCCTCGTCCCAATCCACCCGCTCTCCACTGGGAGCCCGTTCCCGTACTCGTGCGATACCACCGGGTGGTAGAGCTGCAACTGCGTGTCCCCGCCGGCGTTCGATTGGTTGCGGCAGTAGAGGAAGGCGACGGACGGAGGGCAGAAGAACCACTTGTGGAGGTTGCTGGTGTAGAAATCAGCCCCGATTTCCTGCACGTCGACGTCCGCGCACCTGATTCCGTGGGCGCCGTCGACGAAAACCTGCTCCACGCCTTCTTCTCTGCAGATTTTGACCAATTCTTTTACAGGGATTACAACAGCTGGCATCGAGGTCACGTGATCGATCACCGCGATTCTCACCTTCCTCCCTTCGCTCTTCCCCTTCGCCAGGGCTTTGCGGAACTCGGTGATGATTTCGTCCTCGGATTTAACGGGGAAAGGGAGATCGACCTCGATGATGTGGCCTCCGGCTCTGGTGATGTACGCCTCCACCGATTTCTTCACGGCGCTGTAGGCGTAGTGGAGCATGACGGCGGCGTCCCCGGGGTTGAATCGGCCCTCGGCGAAGGACCAGACGCAGTGCGGGAGGAAGATCACGGCGGCGGTGGTGGCGTTGTCGACGAGATGGAGGCTGCGCGGGATGGAGGCAGTCTTTGATTAGGGTTTTAGTCAAACAATTTTGGGGGTCTAGTCTGGTTTTAGTTAGCGGGTCGGTTTGGGTAGAGGTTTGGTTAGGTTTGGCTGACATGGAGGGTTTAAATGACGTGGCGGGTCGGGTCAGTCAATTTTCGGGTTAAAAGGTGCTGATTAGGCGAGTCCGTCAGCCACGTCATCACTTAACGGACGCCGTTAACGGCGTTGGACGGCAGCTAACAGAGAGTGACCATAAATGAACGGTTTTTGTAAAGTTAGGGACCAAAAATGGATTTAAATTTTTTGAGTGACCAAACATGAATGCTTTTTGTAATGTTAGTGACCAACCATGCAATTAACCCAAAAAGTGGTTCATTCAATCGTAAATATTGTAATTCCAACATGCCATTACAGAAAAACGAGATATTAATATGGCTTTAACTTTTCGAAACAATTGTTGCAAATGAACAAAAAGAAAGTGTCGGCCGTACCGTCAATAACGTGTCCATAATCCATATACAGGACTTAGGGGGAGTTATGTTAGTTATTATCAAATTAAATCTACTATTCAACACTTCCTAACTCTAATCCAAGAGGTTTTACTTTGACATAACACAAAACACGCAAATGTGTAAGCAGATCTCTCAAACTTTAACGACCGAACCTAATGAACCGTCTAAGTTGTGCTAATTTAATTTGTACAGTTTTTTTTTTTTTTTTTTTGACTGAATAGTTGGATTGGTTGGTGAGTCCCAAAAGTTGGTTGACCCTGTAAAAATGGAGCCTGCCTGCCGGAGAATCTGACAATTATATTATCGTGGCAGTTAAGTTAAGATTTGCTTGGTGTTACTCACAACAAGAAGCAATAGTCAAGACTCGGGACTCGAGGACACAAGACAAGAGTCAGAGTTTAGAATTCAGATGGCAAACAGAATTAAAGTCAACACGGGTGGCTACCTGGCTGGCTAATTAACAAAATAATAATAATAATAAATACAAAATGAATCGTGTAATGTAATAATAATTGTAGGGTTAAGATGAGGACAAACCGTCTGGTCAGTTGAGTGATGGAGACCCAAACTCGCAAACAAATTGCAGCGCGTTGCAACAGTCGACGTCCAGTCAATCATGTATATATCTGTTATGCCAAAATGCCAGCCCAACTTTCATTTTAGCAAATCGGAGGATGAAGTCAAGAGGGATTTCTATCTGAGAAATGAGAATAGTTTTTATTTTATATTATGATCAAAATAGAGCAATTAACATATACGAAAGAAGTGTACTCTCCTCCGATTTCAGGTTCACACACTAACACACATACTCAATTATCAGGCTGGCTGAGAGAGACTGCCACAGTTTGACCATTGTCGCTCAAAATTTCCCAAACTTAAGGGTTCGTTTGGTTGAGACGGTTACAATACATGCAATGTCCACAATGCATGGTTTTTATTTTTTATTTTTTCACAAACAATACATGCATTGTTTGTTTGATGTGATACAAACTATTTTTTTTTTCACAAACAATACATGCATTGTTTGTTTGATGTGATACAAACTATCACTCAAAATGAGTGATAGTTAAATCTCAAGTTTTGGTTGAGATTGTTGTGTTTTTTTTTCCTTCTTCCAACTATGTCCCTACTTTTTTATGTGTGTTGCTTTTTTATACTAAAAACAAAGGGTAAAAGTGATATTTCACCATAAAAGTAATATAACTTATTTACAAACAAGAGTTTGGTCTAGTGGTAATACCACTAGCCTAGAACCTGGAGGTCCCAGATTCAAATCCCTTAAGTAGTACCTTAATCACAAAAAAGAAACCTATATCACCTTTATAAAAAAAAGTAATATAAATTATTTAGACACTACAATAACTACCACTACAAGAAAACTAGTCTATAGAGACAAATAATTAGAGGCAATTGTTATAGTGGTCTCTATAGCTAAGGCAAATATATCATTTGTCTCAGTTGGTGAAATTATTTGTCTCTAAAGGCAAATCTAATAGTCTTTAGAGACAAATACAAATGTTACTTATATTTATGTCATATAGAGACAAATTTAATAGTCTTTAGATGCAAATATAAATGCTCCTTATACATATATTATATAGACGCAAATCTAATAGTATTTAGAGACAAATACAGATGTCTCTTATAATTTTGTCATATGGAGACAAATCTAATAATCTTTAGAGACAAATACAAATGTCACTTATAGTTATGTCATTTGAAAAATAATTTTAATAGTCTTTAGAGACAAATATAAAAATTACTTATACCCATATTATATACTTACTATGTAGAGACAAATACATATCATCCTAAAATACTAATTTGAATTGGTTATGGGTGTAGGTTTTTGATACTTGATTAACAAGATGAACTGCTTTGACATTTCCATAGAAACCAAAATGAACAGAAGATATGGATATATTTGAAACCAATTTCTAAAAATTCTCGTAGAAGGTGTAGAACACTTCAACACAAGAAGACACAATTTCAAGATTACTTGACATTTCCAACATGTTACGGTTACCAACCTCTTTTCAAGGATTTCAAGATTACCGGCCCATCATCAGCGGCGCTAATGGGAAGCGGAAGGAGGGGTGTGTGCCGTGGTTATTAAACGAGAAAAGGAGGCAATGGGGGAAAAAATAACACTGATGCCGCCCAAACTTTCTTTCCTCCGTCTTTCATAAACGAAGGCAACCTTTGGCCTCCTCTATCCTCATTCTGGTGGAATAAACCCTACCAATGCGGCTGGAATCGTCGGCGGCTTATCAGGATGAAAGGTGAGAGACGCGTCGACTTTGCTGCTGTGGAGTTGGCACAACGGTCGCTATTGACGACGAAAGGTAAGCGGTTTTCAACTGTTGATTTAGCCATCCCCTCCAGATCTGAGCGCAAATCGGTGATGTTTCCTCCTCCTCCCACTGATTTAGCTATCCCCCTTCTGAGTTTCCTCGCAATAATCGGGCTTCACTGGTTGCAGGAAACGGAGGCTATGAGTGTTCTAGAGACATGAACAAAGGATTTCTCTATCATTAGTGTTTTGGTTTCACTGTTAATCATCCGTTGTCCTTGCAGATCTGGGGTATTGATTTAGTGGACGTCGCTTGAGCTGGATTTGGACTTCATATGAAGAATCTCCGATGTTTTTCGTTGGTGTTCCAGTATTTAATCGAATGAGGGTGGAGCTTCTTCGCCTGTTCTCCCGATCTGTTTGTTTGGGGTTGGATGGGATGGGACGAGCTTTTGCTATCTTCAAGTCGAAGAAGCAGCTGCAGCAGAGGCCTCAATTGAATCCATCTCTTCTGTATGCTGTTGTTTGAGATTTGGTCAAGTAAAAAAAAAAGGAGAGTAGACCCAATGTATTCTTTATTTATTTTTGTATTTATGTTTTTATGGCCAATGTATTCATGTATTTTAAGAATAAATGTATTAAAATGTTATTAATAAAATTTGAATTGCTATTTTATTTGTCTAATTGAATGTAAAATTTAAAATATTAATCAAAATTATGAAAGTGGAAATAAAAAGCAAAAAAATTTGCTCACAATGCAAAAATTTGCTTCGGTAAGGTGTTCTAGAAACAATTATAATTGTCTCCAAAACTAGAAATAGGAACAAAATTATTTCTCTATAAAATCAAACAAAAAGAGAAAAAGATAAGTTCTTTAAAGTGGAATTACAATCAATAAGATTTGATTCAGATTCCTTAAGTAGAAGCAAATATTATTTGCATCTATATTTGCTTCTAAAGAGAATTAGAGACAGAGGCGTCCGATGCAAATAATTTATTTGCTTCAAAAGATATACAGAAACAAATAACTGGCTTTTAGACGCAAATAACCTCTGACTCTATAGCCAAATTTTCTTGTAGTGTACCACGAAAACCAATCGATATAAACTACAGTACACCAATTTTCTTATGTACATATATATTATTATGCATGCATTAATGAAAATGCATCAATTTAACTATCACCAAAACCAAACAGATGCCTTAATATTTTGTTAGTTTATCCCTTGAAATGAAACACCAGTGGGGCCTGGTTCCCCACCAGTGCTTTGACCTGACCGGCCTTCTCCTCTCACCCAAAGTTGACCATCTCTACGACCATGAACCATCCATTGAGGTTTTGACCCATAAATTCTTCCCATCCTTACATTATGGAATGATCGAACACCATCTAATGTCATAATTGCAGTACCCTTCCACTCCAAAGTGAAAGGATTCAGTTCAATTCGGAGTGGCGATTACCTAAAAAAAAGGCATAGCTAGCTAGACTAGCTCTTTGCACGGTGGAGTTGTATAGAATGACAAGCAATTGCTAATTAGATACCCATCATATCATAAGTATATGGGAAAAAAAATTAATTGAACACTTTGTTGCTATAATAATTGAGCACTATGGAATTGTAGCGTCGTCGTGTATACCGTAATCCGAGTCACCTGTCCAAATTAAATATTGAGTACAAATTAAATTTTGTATCATAACATTAAAGGTATTAAGCATCCATACTACCAAACATAGTAAAATTCTTTGTAATATAAATAAGAAATTTCTAAATTTTATTAATATTTTATAAAACAATATTTTAATCGCCTCCCAAACTATGACACCACAAACCATGGTCCATGAAATCTTATCGGATATCGTACCGGAAAACTTAGCAATAGGGTATTTTATGACAACACCATTAAATACCGCCTATCAGTCTCCAATATCGATATTTTGTGGTTGAACCACCGCTACGATACGACCGGTTTGATGAACCATGCCACAGACCAATAAAGAAACCTACAAATTAACAACGCAAGTAATAATCCAACCCCCAATCTAACCCACGGGTTCCCTCTCCCTATCATTTAGAATGGAGAATGAATTATACAAGATAGGAAAAAATGAGCCAAAACTAAAAGTGATTTCCTCATTATTAACTGGAGTAATGAACAAAATACCTCCCGGTGCTTTAATCATATTTATCAAGAACTTTAAGGGCTACTTATAAAATATGGACGCACCATCCACATATTTTTAGATTTGGGATCCTCCAACTTGTGAAATAAAAGAGAAACAGCATGTTTAAAATGGAATGCATTTCATATGTACAATTAAAATCCCAATTTGCAGCAGAGCCTCTGAAATCAAGTGGGCTCATAAAAATTGATCGAAAAGGAAACTAGTGGACAGATAGTATAGATCGATTCTGTTCGTCCACTTTAAGATAAACAAGAATATATATTGGTTAATGTCATTTGGTACAATGTATAAGTGTCTAAAGCTATCCCAAAAGATAAGAGAATTTGTGCTTTTAGAATTGTGTTTCGTTATCTGTTATTACTAAAATGTTATTTTTCTAATATGAGAGGGTGAACTGATGAGCACAATCTTAGTGCATGGTGTAAAGTTGCCAAGAAAATCCTTGGATATGCTTCAATTCCAAGCAGTTTATTGGCTATAGCTAGCATCCATTACATATATGGCACGATTTTTCTTTGCCATACCAATTTTTTACCTGTTGTTTTGTAAAAAGAGGTACTAAATAACGAAGCTAAAGAGTGCGGATAATAGTCTGGTCCAGTGATAATATTATTGTTCTTAAACCTAAAAATTATAATGTTTGAATTCCTTAAATAACATATAATTATTGAAAAAATATATTATATCATCCTTGTATAGAAATAAAGAAGTGGAAGAGATACAAATACAGATCTCATTTTTACAGAAAGAGATGTCTAGGGCGAGGAGAGGGTCTGGTAAGATACTCTGTAATATGGGTCTATTATGCATATTAATTTAATATTAAAATATCTAGGTAGATAATTAATAGATAAATTAACATTTAAATGCCACTACTTTATTAGGTGATGTCCTCCACAGACCCTCTGAAAATTGTAAGTTATAGAAAGGTCGAGAAGTATAGTGAACTTGCTAGCTTGGGTTTTATTACATGATCATAGATCGGGCTAGTTTTCTCAAATCGAATGTGCCTACACGCCGTCATCTTCATCACTTTCTTTGTGAGAATTTTCACTGCATGCCAGTAAAATGTGCATACTCATTCTCAATATGAAGACCTTCACGTAAACATTCTTCACGTACGTTGTGAACTCATACATATCTTTCATATATATATTTTCAAACTAAATCTCTTCAAAATATCATCTTGATCAATTTTACATTTATTACTTTTGTGTTTTGGCCTACCCTCCTAAGCTTTATGGGTAAATTGAATGGAATAATATTTGAGCGTGTTTTACTTTAGTGTGGGGAAGGGTCAAGTTGATTAGGTTATCCTGATTCAAATTGTCACCCAAAACACTTACTGAATATCTTTGGTTTGTTTTACATCCCTGGGATTAAGCCTTCATTAGCTATTTGTAAAGTTAAATATTTAAAGTTGCAAGTTGGTGTGAGAAAGACAGATTAAATATAATTGTGGGGTGGCCATGGAAGGATTTTCCAGAGAGGTAAAGATTTGTGTTGGATAGATCACATGCAAGAAAAGTTTCAATATGATATTTCTTCCTCATGTCGCGTAGGAACCCAACATATTACCTTTCTTTCTCGTTACCCACATGTTTTTTTTACTACAGTAGATAAGCCTGAGTAATAGGGTTACTTAGGTTTGGTTAATCCGAATAAAATCGAACCAAATAAAAACTACCTCACCTATAACACTAGAGATCGCGATTCAAAAATCGGTCTATGGTTAGAGAAATTTTGTTGTTCGATTCATTTGAAGATGAAACCCTGCATGTCTCACTGCTTGAAACCCTCAACCCCACACGACCAGACCTTCCTTTCTTATCGTTTTGAAAACCTTATAGTTTCGTAGAAGTATGGTCTTACTAATTGAACACTGCAACAACGTAGCCACCTCGTCGCTCTGCCCATTCCTTCTTCATGCATTTTCTCGACACGAGGTAGCTAGCCGACCCTCGTCGGGGAGTGGAGAGGGGAGATGAAAGGAAGGAGAGTACTGGTGTTGTTGGATGCATATGGCCCATGGGGAGTTCTAAGATATTCGGAGGAAATTGAGAATACCGCTTACTTTAAGTAAGAAAATAATATCTACAACTTAAAATTAAATGAAGTATTGGGGCATGGTTGGATATTTAAGAACCCTAATGAGTGAAATCTGGATCCCAATTTTCCAAATATTTTACAACCTAAATCAATTTAATCAGAAAAATGGAATCGACGATTCTAATTCATCAAAATACATCCGGTATTCTAGTCGCACCATCTTAGAGTTAGGATTTAGAGAATTGCGATCCAGGGGTTTTTCTTTTATAAGGATGAAATCATTTTATTACTTAAATTAATTAAAGAACTTTATGACTTATTACATGAGCAACTTTTCTTTGTATTATAAATACTATCAACAGTATACTCAGTAATTAAGAGTCGGAGTACATAGCATCATATCACAAACTCACTTCATATAAGATCAACAAAATAATTTTTTTTTCTTCCCTAAAAGTATGTAATACGGTGGAAATGATCTTTGTTGTAGGAATTAATATTTTTATTCCATTTTGTAATTCCTCAACTCAAGACACTGAACTAAAAAGGGATCAAATCAAACGACTGAGAAGTGAGAAGGAGTGGGACGCGGTGAATGCCCACCGATCGAGCACTTGCGGTAGCGAACTGGAATCTATAAATTAAATAATATCTACTCTACTTATTTAATTTAATTGTACCCGAAGACCGAATAAAGATACGTGAGAATTGTCAAAGAATTCTGCTGTGCCTAACCCTAACGTTATCACCTTTATGACTTGTCTGTAAAGTGTAAACTCGAGGGGTTGGTCTCACAGGTAGTACATGATTAGTCAAAAATCAAAATATGCCCTCTCAATCATATTTTCTTTTGTTATTTGATATTTTTTTCAGTGACAGAAACGGTTAGAAACCGAACAAGAAATTGGTGGTCAAGACGCGGTAAAAGAGATGAGTTAAAACTCCATATAATTTATGATAACGGGACACCCAATCCCCCCTCTAATACAACCTTAGCTAGGGGCTGAATTCCATGTGTAAAGCTCATAATTTGTCATCCCGCGAGGTATTATGCATGTGCTTGTTATCGTGCATGAGAGAAGAGGATGGATGGAGTTCGAAACTTCTTCATCGAATCTCTGAAGAAAAAGTGTATTATGCGCGCGGGTACACGAATAAAAGATTCAACCTACGTAATCATGAAGTATAGCCGCTTCAAGAAACCAAGACTTTGGTTTCGTGTGCGCTTATGAGAAGGATTGAGCATATGTCGACGGATAATAGTGTCAAGGTCTCTCAGAAGTTTCTAAAACTTAAGTGTATATTACCTTTCGAATATTCATACGAGTAGATGGATTCAAACTCCGACTCTATTAAAAAAAGTCTTAATTGCTTGATGTATGTTTGTTCTTGATCTTCTTCTGTGCTCGATACATGAACACAGGACCGGAATTCTATCCTTAATTATCAAAACATAATGATGAGATTCCCTGTTCTTCTTCTTCTTCTTCATTCATGCTTGTAATAATCTGGAGGTACTACACACTTCCACAATAGTTACGTACGATCAATAAACAACCAAACCACATTGAATAATCTAACCATATTAGACATGCTAAATAATTGGGCCAAATGGAATCCTGTTCCTCATTGCCTATATACAAAAACTCATTTGAGAAATAACTAATCAAAGATTCCTATTTTCCACTCAAAATCAAAACTTTTTTTGAAGCGATTCCCAATTTCCACCGCTGTAGTATAGTGAGGTGGTCAAATTGGTGTTCCAAATTCCCTTTGTAGATGGGTAGTATTTTATCTCTTGCTAGGACCAATATGATTCGTAAAGAGTACTACAGCTACAAAGTTTTCCATTGTTATGTCAGTGTCCCAACCTACTTAAGGAACAAAGCACGATATTTTTATTTTGTATTATCAACAATTTTTATTTATTTATTTACTGCTTTGGCATTCTATTAAGACTAAGGGGAGACAAAATGGAATTTAATTAATGTCTTAATTAACTAAGCCCCTTCATCAATCTCGATCTCATGCAATCATTTGGCTACATATAGCATGCAATTAATCTTATTTGTAAGTTACAAGCATTGTTATAAAACCCAACCGGATCAAAGGCTGTATCAAACGGGTTTTCATAGTTCAACATAAAATCGCATGAATCAGCATGGTTTAACTGGTCCACTATTTTAACCACAAAATAAGTATTAAAAAAAAAACATTAACGTAAGCTAAGACCATCAAGCCAGAATTATTAATTTTATTTCTGCTTCCTCTTCTCATTTTCTGACCTCGTTGTCGACTTTACGTGGTCCACTATATATCAGCAGGCACCGTAATTTTTAAATTTAATTAGAAAATTATGATTTTCTTGTGAGACAGTTTGAATGATTTGTTAGATATTTTAGTGATGATATGAATTTAAAATTGTTTATGGTTAATAATAACTTTATTTTTAATTAGTGTATTATATTAGTCTTGTATGTTATATATCATGAACATTTTTATTAACAATTATTAATTGGTTAGCGGCACTTAGTTTAGTATATAGTTAGCAGAGGGTTAGACAGTAGCAAGTTTCAGATGGAAAGTCTTGTACATAGTGTGTATTCTTTTGTAGTCGCCACATTGACGACTACCAAGTGCTTAATAAACTTTTTTGATTGCCCATAAGATAAAAGTTAATAAAAAACAAGATAACTTCTCCAGAGTTCTCTCATCCTTGCATTGCCCCAGTTGGCATGTTTCCCTTTAGAGTTCTTACAAAAACATTTCACCCCAAAATGTAAGAACTCCTCATTTTCCATTCAAAACGTGTCTAGTCAGTTCAAATCGATTTTTTACTCATGAATCATGGATCTTTTTTCGTAATTCATTGAAGTAAAATCCGCTTAAATGTTACAATTTCTTGCAGGAAATGGTTTATTCTCGGAAAAAAGAAGAAATTGTAGCTTGTCCGATGGATTTTATAACTGGAAATCAAGATATATTTAACTGTCACGACTGTTTTCTGCGGATCGGGAAGTAGGAGGATTCGACAATGCAAGAAACGCAAGCACAGACACACACAACACACGATTTTACGTGGTTCACTAACACAATGTGTGTTAGCTAGTCCACGGGCATGAGAGAAAGTCAGTTTCACTATAATTTTAGGAGATACAGATTACAGAGGAGAGACCCTCGTGACTTCCATTCGTAGCGACTGATAGTCCGATTCAAAATCACATCAACGTTAATTAATAACAAAGGTGGACGTGGATAATAGGGATTGTCCGATTGGTGGCCCTAAGTTTTTGCTCCACATAAATTCCACCCATAAAATAAACTATACACGAAAACCTTTCTAGTTGCTATATATACGCAATAAACCAAACAAGTCGATTGGGACATTGGTCCCTTCCCAAAGGTTCTCTAAGGCTTTTGTTAGGTCCGTCACGTCCCAATCTCGCACGACTTGCGACAGCTACAACCCCTGCAGTACGTGTCTCGGCTAATTAACCTTCCATTTAGAAAAATAAGCCTACCTTATAATCTTGCCTGCCTAAAAACGCATCAGATTTGTTAACCTGCCGGTTCACCCGGTTGAGTAATTGTGTGAAAAAGTCAATCCAATTTGTAGAACTAAAAAGACATTTCGCTTCATTAAAAAGCTTGACAAGCAGGCTGCATAATTCAAAGCATAGATCGAATCTATTTTAAGCACACTTGAGTTGTTGTGAGAAGACCATCAGACGAGCCAATACAAAACTCGACATTCGTAGATATTTTTATCATTTGAATTTCTGATTATTCATACCCAATTCATTATATCATTGCATATATTTTATTACCAGAGTTTTTCAATTGGTATCAGAGCAGGTCTATGACGAGTTTGATCCATAATGGATGCTTCATGATCCTCAATTAAAATGATGGGTTACCTACCGCCCAATCAAAATTGATAGAAGGGCACTCCGCTACTCGCCCGACTAAGTTTGATGGCCATAGCTATGCTTTCTAGAAAAGTTGTATGGAGGATTTCGTACAAGCGTATGACATGCTTATATGAAAGATTTTTTTAGAGGCAAGAGATCAACTAGCCGTTTCTCGCTTCATTTTTAGATTTGTCATTTGTTTGAGGGGTTGGCCTAGTGGTTGGTGTTTTGGTCAAACCAGCCAGTTTATTAGGGTTTGACCGCCTCCAGCGAACTCTCCACTAGTTTGTTGCCACCTGTTTGGAACATATGATTCAAGCTGAAATGGTTCGACCGATCTATTCACTTGCGGGTTGACGACCTTGTTAATATTTCATATTATTCAATTTAGAAGAGTTTGAAAATGTTTTCAATCCAATTCCATAATTAGTTATATAAATTTGCGAGTAAGTGATCTAGTGTTGAAGTCAATTCACGCTCTTCTATGGTTTTATGTAGTGTGATGGATACATAAGAAGCAATTACCCTTTCTTAAAATTTACGTAGTCTCTTAATCGTTATGAAACGCTTATGTAATAGGTTTGCCTAATTGACACATAAGAAATAGCTATCATTTCATAAGTTTTATGTAACTTATTTTTAGTTTATGCAATGTATTTTTAAATAATGTAAATATTTTTTTAATGTAGCATGAATTTTTAGGAAACAAAAAGTACATAGACAACTAAATATAGAAGAAAAGGGGTTTATGGTGAAATTAGGTGTAGGGGATAAAAAAACAAAAAACAAAAATCCTAGACAAGTAACTATGGGGAAAATGGCTTATTATAAATTTCGATATAGGGAAAAAACCAAGTAAGCCTTATTTTTTATAAAAGATAATAATATATATTGATTGAAAAAATAGATCATTACATCCTGGAATTTAACCAGACCATACAATGAAAGAAACAACACGTATTCGGGTACAATGAGAGGGTCTTTCTATCCACCAAATGGGCTACCATATTAATACTCCGACCTACAAATCACACAAAAATCCTAGTGAGTCGCCAAACAGCGCAAGACTTCCTCAAGGATGACCCTACCTGATTATCACAGGCATTCAACTGGTTTATTTTATCAATGATCACTTTGGCATAGCCTTCCAGCCTTATCTCCGGGAAACCATTCTCCCGACAACACAAGATATCCTCCCGGAGAACCAGGAGCTCGACTGCCTTAGGATCATCAATCTAAGCGAATTGCACCCTTTTTCACAAGGGGACCATCTCATCTTGATTTTTGATACCCATTCCTCGTGTTGAGCGAGGCCCACACTTTGTCGCTCTAACCCACATGCAGATAACAAAAGTAGGGCCTCTGCCACTCAAAAAAATCGCTTGTGGGATGGACGGTCGTGCTCCTCTGTCAATAGACAAACTAACACACTCTTGATATTGTTGGTGGAATTGTCGCATAAATGCTGGGATCCCAAATTGTTTGCTCTAAAAAACAACCCAATTACGGGACCGCATATCCTCTCAAGGACCGCGACAATCGCCCTAAACTGTTGAGGTTGATGTATGAGTAACATCAAATCTTTCAGAAACAACGAGAAGGTGAGAAGAGGAAGACCTTGTCCCAGATAATCGAGACCAGAGTGATCCCAAAGAGCCCGAGCCACAGGGCAATCAAGGAATAGGTGCTCCAATGTTTCCGACTCTCCTGGGAATACCGGACATCTGAGAAGCACTTGTACTTCCCTCTCAACGAGGGCTTCCGTCGTCGAGAGAATCCGGTGGAATACTTGCCATAAAAACACCTTCAGTTTGGGAGGTATCTGGCCTTCCACATCCGAATCCAACTCTTCCTATCCATTCAACTAGTCGTGGGTGCCACTAACCGACCTGCTTATCTAACAAGACCGCAAGATGCCATTGCCAGATAAGCCTATCCTCAATATCTCGATGAGAAAGAGAAATTACTTTAATGGCACGACAAGTATCCGGATGAAACCACTGGCTAAGTTTGTTGCACACCAACTACCCTTCCCTAACCATGTGAGCCGTACACAATAGGAAAAAAAAATGTTGATACATAATGGTCTACTTGATCCTGCTCTTGTTGAGTTAGTGTTGTCTCCAACTTGGCTTCCACAGTGTGCGGTTTGAGAGGGGATGCAAAGATTTGTATTGGTAAAAGATCATATCCAGATCTCTAATTTGGTGACTAATTAAGATGACCCTCTCTTTATTTCAAGTAGTGATTTGTGGTTTTGATTTTCACGATTGGCTCGTTTCAGAGTCTTCACCTGTGTAACTATTTGATTTCTATATCACAAGTTATCTTTTGTTTTAGAAATCCGTTCTTTAGAGCTATCTTATTTGCTTTTGGACCATGATTATGCTGGATTGAATTGTCAATATCTTCGCTTTTAGAAGCATCTCCTTCACAACCACCCTATAGTTGTCTCCCAGAAACCGCTCTCAAACCTTTCTTTGATTCTTACTCTTGTTCATGCTTGGGGATGTAATTAATTAAAACATATTAAAATTAATGAAGTGGGGGTATTGGATACTACTTTCATTTTCCTTGTCTTTCCCCACTTAAATAATTAATGACCAAGGTTCTGATTATTTTCTAATTTCCCGGCTTTGATTACCGATGCTATAAACAACGTAATCAAAATCGTGTTTTAAAATTTAAAAATTTATGATTTTACGTTTCTAGGTTACTAAAACACTTCTACACAAAATCTCAGTTTTTATAACTTATGTAGTTAAAAACTCCGCTTTAAAAATTAAAAACTTGTGAGTTTATGCTTCTAGATCACCAAAACGTTTCTACATAGACCACAGACCTATTAACTCCAAAAGGGAACAGTAATATGAGATTTACCCAAATATTTCTTCTTTTGACCTATTTTCTCTTGTATTTTTAGTATTTTACTCCGCAAGTATCACAGAGCTGCCAATTTAGTGGTTTAACAAACTTTTTTATCGGCAATTCGACTATTTTGTCGACAGTCGTGTTTGTTTTGTTTTGTGTTCTCTGACTATCTATTTAGAACCACTATCTATAACCAAAAAACCTGAAGTTGTACAATAACATTAAAAATACAAGTTCAGTTGGTACCATAAAAAACTTTTTATGGGAATGTATCGGCACAAACCGAATTTATACCATAGCACTAGTGGTATAAGTTCAACTTGACCCATAAAAATTCTTTTATAAATGTAAACACTTACCAATAATATAAAACATTGTAAAATTCATCACCTTATTTAAGTATTTTGAATTTTTGTCTTGTTTTCCGACTTTGATTACCCAATGCTATAAGATCCACAGACCAATTAACACCAAATGGGAACATTAATTATGAGATTACGACACAATTAATATTTCTGCATCTGACCTCATCCCTGTCTTTTTTTTTTTTTTTTCTCCTCTCTCAAATTTGTAATTTTGCGAATGACCCTATTCCAAACTCGGCACCTCTGCTGTATTAAAATATACGAAGGGATAAGCAAATGAAAACAAGACGTCAATTAGCTAGAAGAGACGACGACGCACTTGTGGTCGTCTCTCTCATGCAAAAAAAAAAAAAAAAAAAAAAAGACATTAATGGAAAAGCTTGGGGAGATGGAAGGGAGAACCTTATTCTGTTCTTCTACAACGATGGGAGGAGGAGAATGGACGAACAAACGTGAGAATCCAAATTTCAGAGGTGGTCTTTTAAAGATGAACCATTTAACTCTTTATTTTTATTTTAATATTTGGGTTTTCACTTATTATTCCCTCTGAAAACGCTATATAAAGACAAGGATTGGGAAGAGCAGTTCTCCAAATCATCATCACAGCATTAAGCAATCAGTTGTTTGTGCAAATTCAAATACTCTTCTTCATAAAAAAACCCTCTTTCACCAGTCTCTTCTCAGTTCTTCCTTTTTCTGTCCATATTGTCCTTATTATTTGTAAATTCATTGTTGCTTGAGAGCCTGGTTCAAACAAGGGGAGAAGAAGAAGAGAGTTGAAATCACAAACAAGGTAAGAGTTTTCAAGTCTTGGTTTATGATTTCTATGTTGCTCATTGTTTGGGTTTTGGTCGGGTGAACTGGGAAGAGAAAATTTCTCGATTTTTAATGGGTTCTCTGAGAGTTCATTTGCATCAATAAAAAGTCTTATCTACTGACGAGAAGCGCTACTATGGTTTCCTAGAAGTAGATTTAAGTAGTTAGAAGAAGAAGAAGAGAGTTGAAGCCTCGGAAGTAATAGAGAAGATAAAGAGTTTTCAAATATTGTTACGTGTGGTTGGATAAACTGAAAGTGAGAATTTCGGATTTTTATTGGGTTCTCTTAGTTCATTCTCTTAAGACGAGAAGCACACTAAGATTTAATAGAAGTAGATTTTAGTGGTTACTAAGATAAAAAAAAAAATTCCTACCTTCTCCTTGCAATAAGATCGTCCGAAAGCGTCCTATAAAAATTGTCTAAGTTTACGGCTTGACTCGTTTAAAGGGGTTGTACTTTGTAGGCTATAGTAGGTACTCCTACAAGAAAGTAGTTGTTCTAGAGGGAAGAAGAAATCGAATCTCCTTAAATAGATTGATTAAAAAAATTGGGTTAGGGATAGTTAAAATATGTTAAAAGGGTATGAATATGATGATCAGGTGTGTCATAAAAATGGGTTTATTCAATTATTTTATTATTACCAACCTTTACCTACTAATTAATAAAAAAACTAAGAGATTAAGCTTGGAATCAATGGAGTCTCCATATTTCATGCACAGGAGTCGTTTAGTGGGGGCCTGGAAAAGAGTGGAAAAAGGCAATTCAAACATCATTATTAGTCCCACAATTCAACATTACTTGTCAAACTTACTTTTGGATTACAATTTACACCCTCTTATTATTCCTTTCCCCCCCCCAAACTTTTTCACAACATCAACCAGAAAAGTCCCCCAAAACGAATACCTGTTTTCTTCTAGGGATTTGCTCAATCATCACTTCTTTGAATATAACCCTATTTAGGAAGAACAACCCTTTTATAGAGATGTAACTGTACTTGTTCAACTTGATTTTTTCTACCTTCCTTGAACCGTTAAAATTTTGATTGAACAGTTAAAATTTTCCTTCAACAGTTTTCGCTCGTTTAAGATCCGTTATGTGTTTATGCATAAGTATCAATCAAAAATGAGATATTATTCGCACACAAGGATATGATCTGATGATACTACCAGCGCGGTTTTTAACCTAAATGTATCCTATTGAAACATTTGAATAACCCCTAATAATAAAAACAAAAAATATATCACATTTATATAAATTGATGCCTAAACCTAGCTGCCTCCTCCCCACTGGATTCTTCCACTGAACCCAACAAACCAAAAAGCAGGGGAGGAAAAATGAAAGAAAGAGGGAAGAAGCTGCTCATTTCCCATCTCTGCAACTGAAGAAACTTACAAAAAAAAAAACAGAGCAAGCCGGTCCATCACTATGGCTCTACCGTGTTGTTAGTGGGGTGGTGGGATCCTCCCTTCCGGCCAAAAAAGAGATGGCGAAGATTTTAATGGCGCCTGGCCGTTGAGCGTTGACAAAACACTTTTCTTTCTACTCGGCTTCGGCTAGCTCTTCATCACTTCATCCCCGTCTTTTTGCTTTTTTGCCCTTTCGCTTCACTTCCTTCTCCGCCGCCTACCTCCTTAAAGTCCCCACGTGCCTTTACCTCTCCACTACTTCCTTCTTCCTATATAAACCCTTTCTTCCTTCTCTTCCCACTCATCATCATCATCTCACTTCTCCTTCCTTCCTTGCTTCCATTTCCCCTGTCTGTCACACTCTGTTTTTTTCACTCTCTGCAACTCACTCTGTTTTCCTATTGCTCTGTTTTTTCCTGGAAAAGATGGTTGAGAGCGGCAATGGAAACGGGAACGGGAACGGGGAGCTTCCCTACCACCGTAACAACCACCACGCCCTCGACGTCTCCGTGGACGCGCCTTCCATTATGGCCTCCAAGTGCTTCGACGACGACGGACGCCCGAAACGAACTGGTACTGCTGCTACTCCCAAGCCGAAAGCTTTTTCCCACCCAAGTTGGGTAATTTGGGTAATTGATTAATTGAAATTTGTTTTGTGCCCCGGTTTCCAGGAACCGTTTGGACTGCGAGTGCTCACATCATAACGGCGGTCATCGGTTCTGGAGTTCTGTCACTGGCTTGGTCCACCGCTCAGCTGGGTTGGATCGCCGGTCCGACCGTTCTCTTCCTCTTCTCCTTCGTCACTTACTACACCTCCACTCTCCTCGCCGCCTGCTACCGCGCCGGCGACCCGGACACTGGCAAGAGGAACTACACTTACATGGACGCCGTCAAATCCACCCTCGGTAAACATACTTCATCCACCCCCCTTCAAAATTTTTACTTGAGCGAATTCCATTAAATTCCGTTGAGTTCACCGGCTGACATGAGAATTTGGATGGTCAGGTGGTTACCAAGAGAAGATCTGCGGGTGGGTTCAATACGTCAATCTCTTTGGAGTAGCCATCGGCTACACAATCGCTTCGTCCATTAGCATGATGTGAGTTTTCCTTTTCCCTATGCTCTGTTTTTTATTTTATTTTAGGTCCACTGTTTCAGAAATTCGGACTAATTGGGTTGATTTTTGGTTTAAACAGGGCGGTGAAGAGGGCGAATTGTTTCCACAGAAGCGGCGGAACTGATCCATGCCACATGAACGCCAACCCTTACATGATTGCCTTCGGAGTGATCCAAATCCTCTTCTCCCAGATCCCCGATTTCGACCAGCTCTGGTGGCTCTCCTTCGTCGCCGCCGTCATGTCATTCACTTACTCCACCATCGGACTCGGCCTCGGCATCGGCAAGGTCATCGAGAACAAGGAAATCAAGGGAAGCCTCACCGGAATCGGAATCGACGTCGTCTCGCCCACCGATAAGGTCTGGCGTAGCTTCCAAGCCCTCGGCGGCATCGCCTTCGCTTACTCCTTCTCCAACATCCTCATCGAAATCCAGGTACTAAAATACTAATAACAATTTCGAATTTCCCCTGTTCTTCATTTCCCCTGTTTTATAACTTCCCCTGTTCTTAATTTCCCCTGTTTCTGCTTCTAAAAACTCCATGGTTTTGGCAATTTCAGGACACGATCAAAGCCCCGCCGTCGGAAGCCAAGACGATGAAGAAAGCATCCCTAGTCAGCATCTTCGTAACCACCATCTTCTACATGCTCTGCGGCTGCTTCGGCTACGCGGCCTTCGGCGACCAGTCCCCGGGGAACCTCCTCACCGGGTTCGGCTTCTACAACCCGTACTGGCTCCTCGACATCGCCAACGTCGCCATCGTCGTCCACCTCGTCGGAGCTTACCAGGTCTACTGCCAGCCCATCTACGCCTTCGTCGAGAAGCTCGCCGCCAACAGATTCCCCGACAGCTACTTCGTCACCAAGGAGTTCAGAATCCCGCTCCCCGGCGGGACCAGCTACAACCTCAACTTGTTCAGGCTGGTGTGGAGGACGATCTTCGTCATCATCACCACCCTCATCTCCATGCTGCTCCCTTTCTTCAACGACATCGTGGGCCTGCTGGGCTCGCTGGGTTTCTGGCCGTTGACCGTTTACTACCCGGTGGAGATGTACATTGCGCAGATGAAGATCCCCAAGTGGAGCACCAGATGGGTCAGCCTTCAGATCCTGAGCATGGCGTGTCTCATCATCTCGATCGCCGCCGCGGCCGGGTCGATCGCCGGGATGATCGTCGATCTCAAGAGCGTGAAGCCGTTCCACATGAATTATTAAACGATCGACAGTCAAGTATCAAAATTTACACCCTCCCTCCCTAGCTCTTGGTCATGTTCATAACAAACAAAGGTCCAACCAAAGTCTCTGTCTTTTTTTCCTTTTTCATGTAATATTTAGGTTATTAAGTGTATTTTAATTGGTCTTTCATAAGAAAGGAAAGAAAGGACAAAAAGAAGGACCCCAATGTTGTGTAAAGAACAAAGAAAGGAAGGAAGGAAAACCAACATGTGTCCTCTCTTTGGCTGTATCTGTGATTCAGAAATCTTCCAAAACTGTTAGCCATGAGTGATGTTTACTCTACTGACCTCTCTTTCAATGCAAATTGGGATAATTTAAGAGGTGATCTCAATGAATGTTTGTATGCATATGACAAAGCTGTGTTGACAGTCAATAATTTTTAATGTCTGTTGTGTTAAGAAGAACCATAGTTTAGATAGATTATCATTTGTATAGCATTATTTAGATGATAATTTATGCATTTTTTTCTATGCAAAAAATAGAAACTAAAATAAAGGGTTATAGGTATAATATGTCCCTCTATTATGACGTTTTATTAAACATGCTCATTTATTATTTTTTACATCAAACATGCCTTTGTAATTTGGAAAAACTATCAAACATGCCTTTCAGTTGAAATTTCCATCGAAAAAATCGTCAATCATGGTTGAACCGAGATTTAGACGACCTGACATCGATAAATGGGAGGGGAAATGTCAGTTTTAAACCTTGTTTTATTTCTCTAGGTCTCATCAAAGTGAAATTATTAGAATTATTTGGCTATACAAAAGAACAAAAAAAAACTTTAAAGTGAAATTATTAGAGATATTTTAGATATTTGGGCATGTTTGATGTAAAAAATAATAGAGGGGCATGTTTGATAAAACATCATACTAGAGGGACATATTATATCTATAACCCTTAAAATAAACGGAAGATTATCCAAACATATTAAGAAGAAAAATAGTATAGAATTGTGTATAACTATGAATTTATGCGTCAAACTAAACAAATTTCTTTCCACATTTTTAGCTTTTCACTATCTCAAATTTCTATCTACTGTGGGAATGGAGGTTTTTAACGTATTGAGTGTTGATAGAAAGTAACTATTCCCTGTCAATTATGTAACCTCAATTATTTATTCAAGTTGCTACAAACATCTCATCAAATGTGTTTTGTTTTGTTTTTTTCTTGTAGCTCATGTTGGTGGTTTAGATTAGCTAACATTCTCGTGCCCATTATCATCTCAATTCTCCTCCATCCAAATCATTCATTGTTATCTTTAGATATTACAAACCCAACAAACCGTCGGGAATCAGTAAAGTTTGTATAGATATATTACTAAATTATTCTGTTATTTTGTTGGTAAGAATTCAAATACGAGACATTTTAATTAAATGCGGAGTGTTGAAGGGGTGGAACTGTGCATTATGGGGTTTCTCAACTACCTTGAACTTCAACATGATGGCAATCGACAGAAAGGAAGAAGGCTAGAGATCGTTAAAATGATTCTTGATACAATCGGAGTACAAACTATCAAATTATTTGTTCAGATGGAAGCATTAAACTATTGAAGTCGACAATACTATTAACTATTTTATTTAAATTAGGAATACAATCAAAGAAACTCAGGTTGTTAGACATGCATTGATTGAAGGTCGCATTGTATGGGCTTATACAAATTAGGAATTTAATAATAAGTTGCTTTTCTGAATTGAAGTCCTTCAATTCACCACCTCAAATCCTCAATAATTGGCTGCGAGTCAAATTATGTGTATGCATTCACACCTACACGCAGAGATTCTTAGGTGTCGTTTCGAAGTTGCGATAGTTTTGTTGAGATTGTCATTATGCATGTATTGTTTACAATGCATCGTTTTTTTGTTTTTTAGCAGAAACAATACATGGATTGTTTCTGTGATGTGACAGAAACTATCACTCATTTTAAGTGATTGTTATATCTCAACTTTTAGTTGTGATTGTTGAGATAGTTGAGTTGAGATTGTTTTGTCTCAGCTTTTAGCTGATGCGACATACACAATCACACATACCAAACGTTGTATATTACAATGCATCAAATTCGACAATACATGTATAATATTATACATGCATTCTCAACAATACATCTATTTAACAATCGCAACTTCCAAACGACCCCTAGTGTGTAAAGAGATTCTTTTATTATTTGCATCATCCACGCGGCGGTTCATTAGAGAGTGTTTTGGCGGAAGATTATTTGTTTAACATTAATTTTTCTGCGTTTTGTGATGACGCAACAGATTGCTGACAATATTTTCAACTGTGTACGTATGGGAGATTGACTGACAAATATTTAATTTCAGTACATTATGATTGTTGTTATTTGTTAACATGATTATTGTTGGCATGCTAATGTGCAGCGCAGGATCCACTACAAGAAAACCAGCTTATAGAGGCAAATAATTAGACGCAATTATTCTATTAGGGGTATTCGGGGTCACTTTTACACCTTGGGAGAAAATTAATCGATTTCTGGATAGTAGTTTTGGGTTTGCAATATAAAAAGAAATAGTATTTTCCATTCTTATAAGAATCGAATCGGATCAACGGCTGAACCAGTAGAACCTCCAAACTAGTTACGATGGTAGTCTGGTCCATTTCTTGGATGGTTATTGATGGACCAAACAATTTTTCACGGTTAAAAATAAAACCAGATGAAGCACCATGATTTATCTGCAATCCATGGAAGGGGCCATAAACATCAAAACCCAGAATTGGAGACGAAGTGGTTGTACCTTCTAAGCTCTTTAATGAAAGACAAGATGGACAAGGATGGTAGTAAAGGACAACCATTAGGGGTTGGTTTTGATTGAAGAGAAGGGGGTTATTATCGAAGAAGGAAATCGGCAAACAAATTTTGTATCCTGCCTAAATGTGTTGTTCTCTTCCATTTGCTTTCCCTCTTTATATATTGATTCTGGATGTAACGAACATATTGTTCGTGACATTAGTTGGCTGGATTCTCTAGGATAGGCCGATGGGTTGTCATAGGTTCGAATTTCTGATGGTATTGATATTCTCCTGTTGTTGGTATCGGCTATGTTGGGTTGTCTGATACTATACGGCTACGCAATGTCCTCCATGTTTCAACATTCAAATGCAATTTGTTGTCGGTTAGTAGTTTGGCCCAGGAACATAATGTGGCGGTGACTTTCTTGCGTGATTTCTGCCTCCTCCGGGTCTTACCTACCAAGACACTGGTTGGCGTCGGTAAGCTCAAGGATGACCTTTACTATCTGCCTCGGTTCGGCGAGAAGTAGCTTGGTCAGGCTTGCAAGGTGACAAAGCAGTTGGCGGACTCGTCCGAGCTCTAGCATACATGGCTTGGCCACCCGGTGTTTGATAAACAGAGTCGATTGGTACATTTTGTGGGTTGCATTCTTTTGTCTTCGGATTATTTGCCTTGTTATTCTTGTTTAAGGGATAAACAGAGTTGCACCCCCTTCATTAGTAGCACAATCAAACAACTGGATATTTTGATCTTATTCACGTTGATATTTGGGGTCCCTATCGGATTTCTGCTTTTGATGGGTCCCGTTATATCTTGACTATAGTGGATGATTTCAGTCTTTCTACCTGGATTTATCTGATGAAACACAAGTCCGATGTTGAGCGTTATCATTTGATGTATTTCCAACTCGTTCATACTCAGTTTGAGAAGGTGGTGCGCCATATCCAAGTTGACAATGGCCTGGAATTCCAGACCCACTCCTTTCGTGACTACTATGAGGCGCATGCCATGAGTTTGATATGTTACAGATGGAGAAAGTACGAAAAAGGAGCGAGTTCATGTGTTGTCATTCCGGTTGGGGATGCAAACATGGAGATTACCCCAGCCTTCATCAGCGCACAACATCATCCTCCAACCACTTGTACCGACACGCCTCAGCAAAATGGCGTGGTGGAGCGCAAGCACAGACATTTGTTGGAGACTGCTCGCGCGCTCATGTTTCATACAAGTCTCCCTATTCGTTTTCGGGGCGAATGAGCTTATGTTTCTCCAGGTAACGTGATTGTACATTTTTGTTTCCCATCTCTAATCACGTTACCTATCACCGTTTTTCTCACCATCATTGCGCTTTTTTGCCTGCTGTTTCTCAACACTTCAAGCCTCGGACATATGCTCAAGCGATCAAATTTTCCCACTAGTGAGAAGCGATGCAGCAGGAGATTGATGCATTGGTGGCACAAGGCACCTGGAACTGGAATTTCTACCTCCCGGGAAGTATGCTATTGACTGTAAGTGGGTTCACAAAATCATGTTCTTGCCGGATGGTACTATCGAGTGTTACAAGGCTCGGTTGGTAGCAAAGGGATTCAATCAACTAGAAGGTATCGACTTCCACGACACTTTTGCCCCCGTTGTGAAGTTGGTCACTTTTCGGGTTCTCTTGGCCGTGGCCGCCAAGCGAGGATGGCCATTGCACCAGTTAGATGTGAAAATGCGTTTCTCCATGATGATCTGGATGAGAAAGTTTATATGAAGATTCCTCAGGGCTTTAGTCGCGATGGGGATCATCGGGTTTGTCGTCTCTGGAAGTCTCTATATGGTCTTCGTAAACCTTCTCGAAATTGGTATACTAAGTTTACTGAGGCACTTGTGGAGTTTGGGTTCACTGTCTCGAAGGCTGATCTCTCACTGCTTTTGTATCGGCTCCATGGTGACGTTGTGGCGGTCTTGGTTTATGTCAATGATTTCGTGATAACAGGTTCTGCCGTGGATGTCATCTTGCAGGTTAATGCCTTCCACCATCGTCGTTTCAGTATCAAAGACTTGGGCGTTCTTAAGTACTTCCTTGGTATTCCCTATCTCTAATTATTTTAAAAACCTAACAATTAAACTAATTTCAAACTACCCTTAATTTGTATTGATTTTATGATTGTACGGCAAGTGTTGAAAGAGTCTTTCAGCTTTGGGTTACATCAAGAACAAGTTTACAAATCGAATATGCGATAAGTTCGTGAATGATTGTCTAGTAGTGTATATAGGGACAATTTTTTTAAATACTATAGACACCAAGTGTATTCTATAATTATTTCCGAATATGAAAACACATCATGGATTTTTTTAACCTGTACGAGTAAGGTATTTTCATATTTACAATTTTATTTTTATTAATTATTTTATTTTTAATTAATTTTTTTAAAAAAAAGGACACCCCTATAAAAAATTTCTGGTCTGCCACTGTCTGGGTGAAAATGCTTTCCGTTGGGATGGGATACAACATCTAAGCTAAGTCACTACTAATTCAAACTAGTAGTAGTTTTTCCCTTGGTTAGGACGGTGCTAACTATTGTACAATTAGCACCGTAACCGTTCCCCTTTCCGTTACATTGTCTGTTGATACATCTGGTTTGGACTTTGGAGCCAATGTTGAGCGAATGCTGCTCTTTTGTTGTAAAAGTGGGCTTACAGGGACTACTTTAGCACTCATCCCTCGGTGAGCTTACTAGAGAAATGAATTTGTGTTTAAGTCTGTGGGCTTATGTTATGGCCCATTAGCTTCACATTTCTACAAGATTCAATTCATTGGTCGTATTCGCAAAACAGAGCGGCTCACTGTGTGACCCGCTATGCTTTTTATTTGTCGCCTCGATTGTTTCGGAGGTTTGACTTCTGTTCTTGGTTACATTCCAAAAATTCTTAAATTATGCTGATCATCATGTATCCGAACGATTTCCTCTTTTTGAGAGCGAAAAAGAGGAAAAAAAGGAAGTCAAATAGATAAGACGTTTTAGCTCCAAGTGTTATGTTTTCACTCGCCGCATAGAATTTGTTGAATTCCTCCATCCGGCTTAAACATGGCTTCTCTTTACTACTTCCTTCTCACGAGTGCAATGGCCAACGTATTTATTAATACTTCCATAATAATTAATAAATCATACCTTGTTGACTGTTGACAATCCTTTTCTGTTTTCTTGACATTTGACGCTCATGCATGCAGATTCTAAACCACAAAAGGACACAAGATATTTCACCTAAGCCAAAAATATGTATTATTTTTGTTACCGACACAGAAGATTTCAAAATATTTATTTTACCATTATATGCAAATTGTATATCTCAAAATCAAATTATTTAATTAGTCCATAGTACCTTTTCTTTTTAATCACATCATGAATTCTCTGATCAGGTTAGAAAAGATTAAAAAAAAAAACAATTGTCATGTACTTTTATGTTATTAGATATTATTTAAGAGATTTGAACCTCGGACGTAGAGGCTCAAAGCTAGTGTTATTACCACTAGAACAATCTCTCGTTCGTAAGTATGAACTAGAACACATGGTACAATTTATTCTTTAAAGAACAAATTGATTTGATTGTGTTATGACTATAATTTCATAGTATGAACTATGAACACATGGTACAATTGACTAGTATAATAATTGGTAGGAATAAAGAGCCACAATGGTGAAACAAGTGACCTAGAGTGGGAGTTGTTAGGGATGGTCTTTTGGTTACCAAGGGTAGTCGCCAACATCAATGCCCGAAAGCTTATGTTCTATTAACTTGCAATTTGATTTTGTGTTGTTATATTATTTTTAATTAAACAAAGATATCATATTTTGAGAAATAAATTTGAAAACCTGAAAATTAAAAATAAATTTACTTGGAGTTTTTTTTTTTTTTTTAATTCTTAACTTGGCATCTAAAATGAAAACCTATTGAGTTTGGTTGATTTTTGTGATACTTGATTGCTGCTTTTGGTTTTTTCTCATTCAGTATCGAACAACTCTAGTCTTAGTAATAAATCTTATTATTTCAAACTAACAGATATGATATTAGTACAACATCAAACATCAGATAAGTCCAGTTTGAAAGTGTTCCCACAAATCATGTGCCTTTTCATCACGACCTACATTCGTTGCTCGAGATTGGTTTGAACTAATATATATTATACACTTGTCAAGGGGTGGCCTTCATAGACAATAAAGTCAATGTCAAAAATTTACAGGCCATACGAACCTAACATCGTAATCCTACCACTGTAGTTGCCATGTCATCACCATTTCATGATCATGGACATTTGACAAAGATGTCAACCCCAAACCGACCATGGTAGTTTCAAATTGAGTGTAAGAGTCACGACGCACCTCAATAACGGTTACAGACTATGTGAAGAACGTGAGTGCCAGTTACATCATTAAATCTTCTCTTATCCTTTATGTCTTATCGATGAACCAAATAACCACAAATTCCGCATCACACATGACTTCTCGTTTATCATTCATTTCCATGTAACCTGTAGTCATAGCAATGGAACCAAAGATTCTATATTTGTATTCCTTGGATAGTATCATAATTAAGACATGAAAAAAAAATCATTGAATCTTTTAAGAGAACACAAAAATCGAAATAAGATTAGACATAAACATCAGTTTCTAGTTGTAATCATGGACATATACATTACCCACAATTCAAATTCCACATATATGAACATCCAATGTAAGAAATAAATTTTTTGAATACCATAATATTTTTTTTCCCCATATTAAATTTATTGCTTCCAAATCCATAATAAAAAAGGATATGAAAAGAAAAACAGAAAAGGGAAGATGGTGGGAGCGGATGGAAGAAATGGTAACAACATTAATGGCGGGATTTTAATGATAGAAACTGATTCTGCAAAAAAATAAAAGTAAGCCACACAGAGTTAATAATATTCACCAGCAAACAAAAAGAGAGTTCTTCCAGTCACTCTGCCCTCTTCTTCATATATACTTCTTCCCCAGTGACGGAACAATCTCAAAAAACACTCTGTCACCCACCACCTCTGGCCTTTGCTTTCCGCCATTAAAACAGAGCTTCAATCTTCTCTGTAAGTTCCTCAAAACAGGGCATGTGGTTCCGAAATCTCTCTCTCTCTCTCTCTCTCTCTCTCTGTTTGTGGGTTTGACTATGCTCCCTCAACATTAAATCGCAGTAAATTGTAATCAGAAATCGTTGAGCTTGAGTTTCTCAAGAATTTTGAGATCCAGAAAAAAGTTCTACACTCCTCTAAATACATGCCACCACCATACCCACACTCTTGATCCGACTCTCAATTTTTTTCTTCTTCTTTCGTTCTGTTTTCTTTTTGGTGTACAGATTCAGGAGAAGGACGATGATGATTGCTGAAAATGGCTACCCTCGACTCCACACTCTGAATATCTCTAAGGATTCCCTCGACGATGATGGTCGCCCCAAGCGCACTGGTACAACTTTACTCTGTCCCCCTTTTCTTCTTATAAACCAATTTCGTATTTCGAATCTTGACGTTAACCACCAAGGGGTGGTGGAGGTGGTAAAGGCGCAAGATTGTGTCCAGAAGGTCCTGGGTGACGGATTTCTCCTCGTATAAGAAAAAGAAAAAAACGAATCTTGACAACAACATCACTAGCTTTCTTCACTCGCGCAGGAACTGTGTGGACGGCGAGTGCCCACATAATAACTGCAGTGATCGGTTCAGGAGTGTTGTCACTAGCATGGGCAATGGCTCAATTGGGATGGATCGCTGGTCCGGTGGTTATGATTCTCTTCTCCTTTGTCACTTACTACACTTCGACCTTGCTCGCTTCCTGTTACCGTACCGGTGATCCTGTCACCGGCAAGCGGAATTACACCTACATGGATGCTGTCAAATCAAGCCTCGGTAATACTCAAAAAAAGAAAAAAAATTGAGCTTTTGTCTTTTTTTCACCTTTCTTCTCCTAAGATTACTATGTTTTGATGAATTTTCTCCTTTCATTTTGACTGTCAGGCGGGCAAATGTTCAAAATTTGCGGAACTGTTCAGTATGCAAATCTTTTCGGGATCGCGATTGGGTACACCATAGCATCAGCCATTAGTATGATGTGAGTTCAAACATCGATTGGTCAAATTACGCTCGACTGCTTAATTGGAAAAAAAAGGCTTAAATTATGTGACGCGATTCCATTTGTTAGTCATCATCAGATTCGAGACCAACCAGTTATGATATGTATGAGGGAAAAATCGTATAACACTTGCACTCGTTGTTTCTTTCATCTTGCATGCACCAAAATCATATCATCGCGCGCGAATTGTAGACATTGCATACTTACAATGTTTATGTCTGACCATATCCCATCACTAGATTGCTAATCAAATTTTTCCCCCCTTCTCTTTTCATATTTGAGCTACTCCTCTTAAATTTGATTAAATTCGAGACTCCTCGGAATTCACTTTCTAGGGAACTAAATTGCAGTACAAATGCCTGATTAATTTTGATTTTTGGTTCTTCCAAAACACAGGGCAGTTAAAAGGTCCAATTGTCACCACAAAAGTGGACTCACTGGTTCTTGTAAGGTGAACTCAAATCCATTCATGGTAGCATTTGGTGTAGCAGAGATTCTCCTCTCCCAAATCCCAGATTTCGATCAGCTATGGTGGCTCTCCACCGTCGCCGCCGTCATGTCCTTCACCTATTCCTCTGCCGGCCTCGGCCTCGGCATCGCCAAAGTCGCTCAAAACAAACAAATCCTCGGATCCTCCACCGGAATCACAGTCGGTCTCGTCAGCGAAATCGAGAAGCTTTGGAGGACTTTTCAGGCCCTCGGCAACATTGCTTTCGCTTACTCCTACGCCATAATCCTCATCGAAATCCAGGTCAGAATTCCCCGACTTTTTCAGAAATACCACTGAAAAGAAAAAAAAAATCTAAAAAATAACACCTGTTTTCGAAATTTTACTGAAAGGAAAAGTTATCTATATGCTCGACTGAAAGGAGAGGTTATCAATATGCTCGACTGAAAAGAAAGGTTGCAAAAATACCACCATTTCTCGAAAATCGCATGGGTGGGAGGCGGTTTTGGTGACCACATGGGGTCGGGGCATTTGGTCCAAAACCGTTAACCCCAGCGGTTTGGTCCAATTTTTTTTTTTTTTTTGTTCCCGATCAATCCTAACCTAGGTGGAAACTTCAAACAAACGTATTTTTGTGTTTGGGTATCCGATCGTAGCGAATTTTTTTTTTATTCCGCATGACTTTTTGAGATCTTGCACCGTAGCCGGTTTGGTCCCGCCTTCGTCCCGAAAAAACATTGTTTGCTACCACGAACAAGCTTTTTTTCCGATTTCCCCAAATTTTGGACGGCCATAACATTGTGCTCCGCGCTCCGAACATCACGATTTTTTTATTATTATTTCACATAACTTTTGAAGGACTACAGTTTTTATCATAGCCATAATTTCGGAATGTACGGCGAATTTATGAAAAAAATTGTACTGCTTAACAATTGCACTTTTGGAATAACAGGACACGGTGAAGTCTCCACCATCCGAGGTCAAGTCGATGAAGAAAGCAACTCTCGTAAGCGTCACCACCACAAGCGTATTCTACATTCTCTGCGGCTGCTTCGGCTACGCGGCATTCGGCGACTCCGCCCCTGGAAACTTGCTGACCGGAAAAGGGTTCTACGAACCCTATTGGCTCGTCGACATTGCAAATGTTGCGGTGGTAGTCCACTTGGTTGGCGCATACCAAGTCTTCTGCCAACCCATTTTCGCGTTCGTCGAGCAATACTTCGCGAAGCGATACCCAGCGAGCTGCTTCATCAACAGGGAGTTCAAGCTCTCGCTTCCGGGCAACCGTAGCTACAATGTGAACCTCTTCAGGTTGGTCTGGAGGACAGGGTACGTGATGCTGACGACGCTAATTTCGATGATCCTGCCCTTCTTCAACGACGTTGTCGGGTTATTGGGAGCGGTTGGTTACTGGCCGTTGTCGGTCTACTTCCCGATTGAGATGTACATTGCTAATAAGGGGATTGCGAAATGGAGCACCAGGTGGATTTGCTTGGAAGTGTTGAGCATGGGCTGCTTGATTGTAGCTGTGGTGGCCGCGGTTGGGTCGGTTGTTGGGATAATTGGGGATCTGGATTCCGTCAAGCCGTTTCATGCCAATTACTGAATTGTGAAGGAGAAAATGTAAGAATGTTTAGGTTTAGCTAGCTTGGTCTTTCTTTGTTCATGTGATCAAATGTGGGTCGATAAAGACTCGATTTTTATCTTCGTTTTGCTTTCTCTGTCTCTCTATGAATTAATGTGAGCGTGTTAGGTGATGTTGGAGCTTGTTTGAGACTGGTTACAAGCTAGCTATAGGTATGTTTATGCTACAGTGTCTATTGTTAATCTTGTAATGTGTTGGATTTCAGTAGAGGAAATGCAGTCGTGACCTTGTTTGTGGTAAATTTATTGTATGTTAGAGGACATAATACAATAGTCCATGAAACCGTACCGTACCAGTGGTTCAACCACAAAATACTACTATCGGAGGCTAAATCGGTATGCGGTATTTAACAATACCAACGGTTAAACTACGGTTTTGTCATAAAATACACTACCGCTGACTTTTTCGGTACGATCTCCGGTACGGTTTCATGGACATTAATAGTATCATTCGAATGAACTGGGTACTAGAAGTAGAACCAAGTACTCAATATTTGTATTCCTTGGATAGTATTATAATAAAGACTTGGAAAAAAAAATCATTGAATCTTTTATAAGAAACATAGAAATGAAAATAAGATTAGACATAAACATCAATTTCTAGTTTTAATAATGAACATATACATTGTCCAGAATTTGAATTCCACATATATTAACATCCAATTTAAGAAATAACATTATCGCATACCAATAATATTTTTCCCCATAATAAATTTCTTGCTTTCAAATAATAAAAAATGAAAAAAGGATAAGAAAAGAAGAACAAAAAAGGAACAGGGTGGGAGAGGAAGGAAGAAATGGTAATATCAATAATGACGAGGTTTTAATGATCGAAACTGATTCTGACAAAACAAAACAAAGTCAGTCAGAGTTAATATTATCTAACTTTTTGACTTTTCACACCTAATAGTAGCCTAATCTACTTTGCCAACCAAATCCATACAGCATGGGATAAGGATGTGATATTTAGGGGTTGTTTGGAAATTGCGATAGTTTTGTTGAGATTGTCATTATGTATGTATTGTTTACAATGCATCGTTTTTTAGTTTTTTTTTCTTTGATGTGACAAAAACTATCACTCATTTTGAGTGATTGTTATATCTCAACTTTTAGTTGTGATTGTTGAGATAGTTGAGTTGAGATTGTTTTGTCTCAGCTTTTAGCTGATGCGACATACACGATTACACATACCAAACGTTGTATTCTACAATGCATCAAATTCGACAATACATGTTTAATATTATACATGTATTCTAAACAATACATCTATTTAACAATCGTAACTTCCAAACGACCCTTTAGAACAAGAAAGAAAGTACTCATAATACACTTTCACTCCCCCCTTTTCAAAATAATATGCTGGCCAAATTTTGTTTACAAGGGTAATATAAATTCTTTCAATTGTTGGGTATTATTTAAAAAAATCGAACATGAGATTTTTAGGTTAAAAATCAACTATATCTGCATGCAGCGGCGGATGCAGGGGGAGCCGCGGGCTGCGGCCCAGCCCTCCTATGGATCAAACCTAGTATAGCACTTGGATTTTTTTTTCCGGTATTCGCTTAAATATTCGTCGAGCTACGGCCCAACCCATTCTGCCTCTTTTTAAAACGTGGTCGCTGCCTGCATGTTGAACAGAGTTTTATTCCCGCTTTGAATACAATCTCTTTTTATGTGAGTCTTTAATTGATTCTTATTATCATATGTATGTTCGCAGAGTTACAAGACATACTGTGTCTAGATTCAGCGATCTCATTCCCACCACACAAATTCCAAACAACTGAAACCTGATGCGTAAACTCGCAAACTATTAATAGGAAATCCTGGAAATTACATTCCTTCAAACCTCCCATCCACTAAATTAAATATGGCAAAAAAAAAAAAAATAGCACACAGATCACTCCGTACAGTTTGTCTTCCTCAGCATGAAGAGAAAGAAGGCACGAGACTGTTGATTTCCTTGCCCTTCCACGACATAAGTCAAGAAAAAACAAACAATCGAAGCCCTTTTGTTTAATTTTTTTTTTCCTGATGAAGACCATCCCTGCAGAAGATGCCACATTGTTCGACGACGACGGCCGTCCCAGACGCACCGGTAAAAGCTCAAGACTCTTTTCTGAATCTCTTTTTCGATTTATTTCACTACGACGACATTCTTTGCTTCCCCAGGAGATGTGTGGACGGCGAGCGCTCACATAATCACGGCAGTGATTGGGTCGGGAGTGTTGTCATTGGCTTGGGCCATGGCCCAGCTTGGATGGGTTGGCGGCCCAATTACCCTGCTCTTGTTCGCTCTCGTCACCTACTTCAATTCCTCTCTGCTGTCTTACTGCTACAGGTCAGGAGATGCTGTTTGGGGCAGCAGGAATTATACTTACATGGACGCCGTCCATTCCAATCTTGGTAAGGTTAAGGTACATTCTCTCTCACAAGACTGTTTTCAAAAATATGTAGCTAATCGCAACATGTATTTATAATCTTTACGATTATAGCAAATCCATCGTGTTTGGGATTTGGGTAGCAAATTCATCGTTTCAAATCCAATAAGCAAACCAACCCTTATTTGATAATCCTAAAACTGTGCCATGTGTTGCAGGTAAGTTACAGGGCAAATTATGTGGGTATGTCCAACAAATCAACCTCTTCGGAGCGGCGGTAGGCTACACGATAACAACGGGTGTAAGCATGATGTGAGTTCTTCGGGTTGTTATTCCGAATTTTGTCTATATACCACTTATGTTGCTGTGTTGAATCCCGAATTTTTGTCTATATATGTGGTAGCCTCACTTAAAATTGTTGTTGGAAATCCAGATTCGGTAACCTCGTTCTTGGTTGCGTTGTTACGTTTCTAACAAAAACAACTGACACTTCTCTGATGTTTACCATGTGGTTTTTATGGATTGGAAAACACTGGAAACAGGGCGATCAGCCATACCAACTGCATCCACCGGAGCGGCGGCTCCGTCGCCGCCTGCAGCACCGACGCCACCCCTTTCATAATTGCATTTGGGATTGTAGAGCTCATCCTGTCTCAAATCAAAGATTTCGGCCAACTGTGGTGGCTGTCGACGGTGGCTGCAACCATGTCCTTCACTTACTCCATCATTGGGCTGGGACTTGAAATAGCCAAGGTTGCGGCGACGAGGAAGGTCAGGGGAAATTTGACTGGAATCAGAATAGGTGCAACTATCACTCCAATTCAGAAGGTCCGGAGGGTCTTCCAAGCGCTTGGGAACATCGCTTTCGCCTATTCCTACTCCATCATCCTCATCGAAATTCAGGTCAATTTTTCTCCTAATTAACCACTTGACCCAAATAATTAACTCGAATTGTTCGGAAATGGTTTGTTAAGAGTCGTTTAATCTCTTACAAGCCCCTCGACCTCAAACGAAAGCCCGATATCGAATTGTGGATTTGTACAGTTTGCACAAGTTGAACCCTTGTGCTGCTAAATCACGAGGCTTTAGTTTGCCCAGGTAGGGGTGGGCATGTGGGTGGCTAATCCCCGGATTGATATCGATTCATCTGCAAATAACCCGACCCGCATGCAATAGGTGATTGATGTGGGTGGATTGCAGATTGATAAATCTTCCACCCGCACTTATGTGGGTGGGTGGTAGGTGGATTGTGAGTCACTCGTATGACCCGCATCCTATTTTTACATGAAAAATGTTTGTTTCTTTTAGTATTGAATATTCATCATATTTTCGAACTGCACTAGAGTCTCACTATATACTTAAAGAGGTGGTGAATAAGGAATAGTTTTGACTACTATTATTGTTTTTGTGTTGTGCAATATCTATTAGATATTGGTATGCAAATTATTGTTAATATCAATTAGATATTGGGATGCAAACTATAAATTATTAATTGTATCAAAATCACATATTATTGAACTTATTATAAATGTTAGTAAACTTTCTTAATGGCTAGTTGGAGAATTGCTTTTGCGTGTTGACCCACGACCTAACTGCATCCATCCGCCACCTACCCAACCCAGCCAGCAGAGGTATGTGGGTGGATTGCGGGTCACAATTATTTGAACTCGCTAGTAAGCGGGTGAGTCAATTTGAGAAAACCCATCCAACCCGCCCATTGCCCATCCCTATGTACAGGTTGGACATACCACATCCCTTGTGCTAAGCAAACGGGTATTAAACGGAGGTCGTCATAAGAATTTGAAACTATGACCTTTCGATCGTAAACTCTGATACAATATCAGCAAATTGACCACTTGATCCCTATACCTCGAGTTGTTCCGAAAGAGTTTGTTGAAACCTTTTAATATCTTACCTTTTTTTTTTCTTCCACCCACACCAGGACACAATCAAGTCGCCACCATCAGAAGTAGAAACGATGAAGGTCGCCAACCGATTCAGCGTGGCAGTGACGACGCTCTTCTACATGCTCTGCGCCTGCTTCGGCTACGCCGCATTCGGCGACTCGTCGCCGGGCAACCTCCTAACCGCCACGGGGCTGAACCCATACTGGCTGCTCGACATCGCCAACGTGGCGGTCGTCCTCCACTTGGTCGGCGCGTACCAAGTGTTCAGCCAGCCGATTTTCGCATTCGTCGAGGACCAGGCTGCCCGGCGGTTCCCCGACAGCCGGTTCGTGAACAAGGAGATCAAAATCCGGCTTCCCGGCAGCGGCGACAAGGATGGGAACTACTACTACGGCCTGAACATGTTCAGATTGGTGTGGAGGACGGTTTTTGTGGTGGTGTCGACGACGATTTCGATATTGGTTCCTTTCTTTAACGACATTGTTGGGTTGTTGGGAGCAATTGGGTTCTGGCCGTTGACGGTGTATTTTCCGATCGAGATGTACATCGCCGGGAGGAAGATAGTCCGGTGGAGTGGCAAGTGGGTGTTGTTGAAGTTGCTGAGCATGGGGTGTCTTATGATCACCGTGGCGGCGGCGGCTGGGTCTATCGCTGGAATCGTTGATGATCTTAAAGCTTCCAAAGGTTTGTAGAGGAGGAGGGGAAAAAATTGGTGTGGTCACACGATGGAATAAATGAAATCATGTTCAGTTGTTGAGAAGAAGCTTAGAATTTTGTAGAGAGTGGGGGAGTAGTGGTTAATTAGTTTAGGTGTAAGCTTGATTACACCTAAACTAAAGTGTTTTCATTCGTCTAATAATATACTAGGTGTTATCGTGGATAATTAAGAATAATTGCATTCTAAACTATTGCAGTTTAGCCTGCGACGACTGTTTCATATTCATGGTGATCATGGTTTAGGTGACAATTACAAGTGTTTCGTGAAATTAGGACGAGTTGAGCACAAGTGTAGGATGTCGTTTACAAACCCCCGAGAAAATAAAAACATACAAGATTGCATCCTCATTTTAGTAAGAAAAAGTGACTCTCCCTCAAATCACCTAAGGCTTCCTCTATATCCTTAACCTTAGAGCGGGTAACTAGCACGCATTGGAGAGATAAAAAAAATTTATCCTCGAGTTGTTGAGCGAGTTCATGTATACGTGTTTACGACTAAGTAAGTTTTTGGCCATCCACTAGAGCTAGTGGGCTCTTCCTTATCTTAGGAATACGAGAAGATATTTATCGACATTATAAAAGTTTATAACAATCCGAAACCCCTAATTCTCGAATCATTCGTAAGCATGGTAGAGTTGCACCAATTTCTGAGAAAAATAGTATCTACCTTGAAGGGATTGCGCCTGAAGATCATAGGGATATTGCCTCTGCAACTAGTTTTCTTCTAGGTACCTTCTTTGTTAAGTACCTTGGGTTCCACTACTGGCAGGTAGAGAGGACCCTTGTTATAAGTAACAAGTACGGCTGGCTATTTGGTCCGAGTTTTTTGTTATATCCGAAACCGGATTGTATACCCGGATTGGGACCGGATAGTAAACAATTCAATCCAATTTTCGGGTTTAGATTTGAGATAAAAAAACCGTTCGGGACCGGATCGAAAACTGGGTAAAGACCGGATAAGAGAGCTCAACACCCAAAACTTAAGTAATTTGCATAAACGGTCACAAACTTTTGCATTTAGTACAAAACTTAACCAACTCCTCACCCTTTTAGGCCTTAGGCAACTCAAATCCCCACAAGCTCAATATAAAATCAAGACCGAATTAGGACCGGACCGGGTCAAGACCGGACTGTATCCAATCTAGTCTTTGGTACTTATATTTTCAATAAGACCGGACTGGACCGGATCAATTTGGGCCAATTTAACCGGACCGGACCGTATAGTCACCCCTAGTTATAAGGGTAGAGCTTAATGAATTTTTTGATTAATCATTAAAAAATATAGATCATTATGTAAATTGTATTCAAATATGTTTTATATACGCTTAAATTCATTTAATTTGATGTTAATAAGTTTTCATATTCTTACATATTTTATAGAATCTGTACAAATCGGTTCCACATACCATTGGTCGAACCATACCATTTGTTAAAGAGTTAATACCTTATTTTGGCCCGAACTATGATCATATAATCAACTTTGGCCCGTGGTTTCATAAATTAACATCCTGGCCTCAACTATGCAGCATATAGACTCAATTGGTCCGACACATAGTTTGACCGTCAATTTGGACGGTCAACTCCGTTGACCGTTAGTCAACACGTCATGTCATTGTCTAGTCAGCCTAAAAATCATTAAAAAAATATTTATTATCAAATTAACCAAAAATAAATTATAAAAAACATAAAATAAATTTTTTATTTTTATTTTTTAGATAATTTGAAAATGATAAATTTTATAAATTAACCAAAAATTATCAAATTATTTTATATTTTTAAAACTTCCCAAAAAAATATAATTTATATCATAACTTTTAAATTTATAAAATTTAATTTGATAATTTTGGTTAATTTATAAAATTTATCATTTTCAAATATCCCAAAAAAATTATTTTATATTTTTAGAATTTTATTTTTTGGTTAATTGGAAAATGATAAATAATAGAAATTAGGAAAATAATTTGAATTTGAATTTTTTTAATAATTTTTATGCTGACTAGGCAATGACATGGCATGTTGACTAACGGTCAACACGGCCAAATTATGTGTCGGGCCAATTGAGTATATATGCTGCATAGTTGAGACCATGATGTTAATTTCTGAAACCACGGGCCAAAGTTGATTATATATAAGTCATAGTTCGGGCCAAAATAAGGTATTAACCCTTTGTTAAATCAATAGAACTATATAAACCGGGTTGACAACCTTGGTTAAACCTGACCCTGGTACCCCTCCATGAGACCGACACCTAAGCTTCCACCTCTCTCTGTCTGTCAATCTTCGCCCTCTTCCACCTAGTCTCGCCCTTTCTGGTCTTCTTCCCCTCCAGACTCCAGTTGCTTCCACGTCCCCGATCCTTTGTCATTTCCCGTCGATTTCAGCCACCTCCATCGCATGCCTCGCTGGTCGCCTCCGCCTCTAATCCCCACCCATCTAAGAGCCAATCCATCCCTCCTCCTCCAACTTTCATTCCCTCTCAGGCCTTAAATTCCAAATTGACTAGGCTGAACGACACAGGAGACCGAGCTATTGCAGCGAAGAGAGGAAGAGGTAAATCGATCATCTTATTTGGGGGGAGGCGTGGCGGCTATTGAAGGTAAATTTCGTCTTTCTCCGATGATTCATTAAGGCTTTTAAAATAAGGTGAATCCTGCTTAGGAGCGGTGCGGGCGAATTCGGCGGGTGGTGATGGAGGCAGAGATGGAATGAGATCTGTACAGTCTTTGTAAATCTCGGCGTGGATTGAATGGTTCGTTGCGTTGATATATCGGAGATAAAAAACTCATCTCTCGTTCTCTTCGTAGCTGCACCTGCACTTTGCTTTTGATTGGTTTCCGAAGATGGACGAGTTTGGTGTGTTGACTGAGCGATTTGGGTTGAAGCCCCAGGGAAAATCTGCTCCAATGGCCGCATCAAAACGACCCAATAGTGCAACCGCTGCCCCAACACGGAATTTGGCTTCCGGATCGCCTGTTAATTCTCACTCGCCCCCTTATCCCTCCACTGCTGCGTACGGCACCAATTCATTTAATGGGATTTCTGTCGGTGGTAACGGGGACCTGTTCGGCAATCAAAAAGCTCAGAGCTTTGGAGGTTCGACCGATGGGTTCGAGGTTTTTGGTGGATTTGACAAGGGATCGAAGCAGAGTAACGGGAGTTCTTCTTTTGATTACGATTCGATATTTTCTGGGCACAATCATTCTAATGCAAGATCGTCACTTGAAAATGATGATATATTTGGTGGTGGGTTGAAGAGCTCCAATGCTTCCAGTAATGATGACTTGTTTGGGTCGTTTGCTTCCAATCAGAAGCAGAGTGTCCCTATCGATGAGTTGTTTGGGAATTTCGGTTCAAAGCCTAGTCCTTCTCTGAATAGGGAAGGATCATCCGGGTTTTATGACTTGCTACCTGGGTTTAATTTGAGCAAGACATCAGATAAAAGGTATGTTTCTATTCTGGGAAGTTTAAAATTACTGTTTTTTCTTGGTTGAATTGTCTTAAGTATCATAGTGAGAGCTCATTATTTTTAGTTATTGTACAATGTTGAATATTCGTCTAGGGATGAGTTATTCAGATAGAGACCGAGTAGAGGTAATTATTGTGCGTTATGCGTAGGCTCTTTGGCGAAATTAAGACATATTGTGCCAATGTTTTCCTGAAACAGTTTTGGTTTGTTGAGGGCTCAATACACGTTTCTAATTCGACATGCATAGAAGTCAAGCTTCTTGGTCGGTTTTTTCTGTTAATTTTGGTTAATGATTAATTTTGGTTAATGATTACGCAATGACTTTCCAATTTTTTGGAATTTTACTCTCTAGATCCTACCATGAGTATTCAGACATCCTAAGCTATAAAAGATTAGAAATTTGGCACTTTTGGCTTTTGATGAAGTGGTAGAATTACCCTGAAATAGAATATGCTGCCTTTGCTTGTCTGTTGGATAGGATTTTTTTCTCTATAGCATTCACATCGTTCATGCTAGCATATATCTTTCGATTTTTATGAATGAAGAACTGACAGGAGTGTAAAAAGGTTGTTCGTAAGCTGGTTGTTATACTTTGAAGGAAGAGGGAGGAAGCATCGATCTTCACTATCTTGCTGTTCACCAATATATTCCATAGCTTAGTAGTAACCCAGGCACTACCTTGATCTTCATAATCTTGATATGCATGTGTTTTCTGATTGTTAGTAGTAACAGAGACACTGTATTTGACTAGTGACAATTGTCTCAACTTAATTTCTATAATTTTATCTTAAAAACCATGAATGTTTGTTTTCTTCATGAATACTTGTGCATGGTGTAATACAGAGAAAATACCAGAACTACTAAATCAAGCTTCAACTCAGCAGATGATCCCTTTGTAGTCTTGGAATCATCTTCTTCAACCACCACAAATTCCTCATTTCTGGATCCACTTGAGGAGTTTAGTAAGTTTGCCAGTTCTGGAGTTAGCAATACAAAACCTGCTGGCTTTTCAAATGTTTCCACATCATTGCGCCCCCCGCCAAAATCTGGCCAAGTTCTGAAGTCAGTGAAAGGTCATTTCTTTTCCCCTTCGGGTCAGGATAAAATTATAAACGTAGATTGATGGCCTATTATTGGTCTGTCTTCCTCATAGTGAATTAACATTGGTGTTTTTTTTGCTTCATGATGCAGTAAAAAATTCACATACATCTTCAATTGACGAGTTGGAAGACTTTGCCACCAGTAGAGTGCGAGCTACACCTAACAAGCAATCAAATGTCAATCACTCCAGGGAAGGCAGAGCAAGAGAAAATGCTAAAACAAGCAAATTTAAAGAAGCAGAAAAGGAAATGCCCCTGAAGAGTGTGGATGATCTAGAATCCTTTTTTGGAACGAGTTCTAGATCCAGCAGTGCACCAAAATCAAGGACTGCTAATTTGGTAACATTTGCTTATTTATAAGTTTAGTATCCTGCTGCCACATTGGCATTATAACTCATTTGTCATATTTGTACTTGTTAGGATCCTCTATTTGATGCGACCCTTAATACCAGAGGTAAACCTCAAGTCTCCAATGGAAGGGCTTCTGGTGTTTCTTCATCTGGGTTGAAGAAGGCTTCTTCTGAAACTAATATGTTCGACGACTTCTCTGCGCTTTTTGGAGGTATGTTTCGTTAAAAAAATCTAGGGTTATGCAAAAATTTCTTAGTCTGCCTTACTAATATATTGATCACTTAATTCTGGAAGACGCCTCTTTCTCTGGAGAATTTGAAGAAGTTGAAGGAGAAACTGAGGAGAGACGAAAAGCAAGGTTTGAACGTCACCAGAGGACACATGACCGAGTGGTGAGTCTTTCTCAGACTAGTCACTTTTTCTTCTGTCAAATTATATATATGTTGTTATGTTATACTATGAATTAATTGTAGTAATATAATTTTAGCTTCTCCTTAAGTCCCTAGCTTCTCTGTCTAGAATTTCAAACTGTAATACTTTTTGCTTTCCCAAAAGTGGTACTTGCTGGATTTATCTGTTTTGTACGGGAGTTTGTCTGCCATATGGATGCTCTATAAGCAACATTTTACTGGAGTTGTCTATAATGTTTCTGTTCGTCTGCTAGATAGTGCCCTTTTAACTGTTATTACGTAGAAACATTGAGCTGAGCTCAGTTCTCTCTGACTTTGTTACGTATACAGGCAAAGGCAGTTGCTGATATGAACCAGCGTGACTACCAAACTCAACGTGAACAAGAAGAGAGGCGGGTAAGTTAATCCTCCTGTTGTCTTTAATATGCATTTATAAACTAAGACTTTTGGATGAAATTGCATGGTTTTCTGCTGTTTTCATCAACCTTGTTATTCTTCTGGAGATTGTTGGTTCATAAATGACTAAAAGTCACCCACAGAATGTTTTCTTGCTATTGTCCCCTTTAACCTGTTTTAAGTTGTTTGACAATGAGGACCAATCTTGGTGATAGATCATATCTTGATGTCTTTTAAAGTTCCACGGAGCAGTGTTGTTCCAATATGCGAGCAGACTGTTTACTTTATTCTTGATCACTCGACACATAATAATGCAGATGATTGCTGAGAAAATGGATCTTGATATAAAGAGGTGGGCTGCTGGGAAGGAAGGCAATATGCGGGCCCTGTTGTCATCTTTGCAATATGTACGTGTGTCATTTCACAACCTCTTTCTTTGGCAGTTTAACTTTTGGTTGTGCTATTGGTTCGTTAGTTCACTAACAAAAACTAGTTTTATTGAAATATGGACGATTTCTGGTATTTGTGGTTATATTAACCTATGTATGTGTTTCTATTATATAACGAGTGCTGTGTTTTATTGGCATACTTTGTAAGTTCCAATCTAAGTTTATTGAATTGCTCAACAATGAACGATAGAGGATAGAAATGGTATTAGCTGCTCTGAACCTATGTTTGAACTTCTGTGTAGTTATTGGATTCGTGCTTAGTGGAGCTGAACATATATGCCCAATACTTGGAGATAGACAAAGAGAGTGTCTCAGAATTAAAATCTTAAAAGAGAAGCATCATATGTTGTCCTTTGGAGAATTAAATATCATTTACATGATTGGGAACAATGGTTTGTGGTTAGCTAGTTGTAAAGTTAACACGGGTTGGTCTCAATGTGTCTAAACATGTTAAAGATGTGGATCCTCAGGTGCTCTGGAATGAATGTGGTTGGGAACCCGTCTCTCTGACTGATCTGATTACATCGTCCTCAGTCAAAAAAGTGTATAGGAAAGCGACTTTGTGTGTGCATCCTGACAAGGTTCAACAGAAAGGTGCAACTCTTGAACAGAAATACATTGCCGAGAAGGTCTTTGATATCCTCAAGGTATGTTTTTTAGCTCTTTTGTTGTTGTTACAAATAGTCATTATCATGCATAATGAATACTTCGAATTATCTTTGTTATAGACTTCATGAATGCAATTGTGCTTAAGGGGTCATTTGGTTGTCAGGTCTCAGAAAGTGATGGATTGTTGAAAAATCCATGGATTTGAAAAGGGAGCTTTGCGGATTTGATTTGATTTTTTTGTTTGTTTGGATGTTTGATTTGTTTGGATGTTTGATTTTTTTGTTTGTTTGAAAAGTGACTTTCTGAAATCATAGATTTCCAACATCATGGACTTGGTACCTTCTTTCGCTCCACCAAACAAGGTTTTCAGAAGAAACCCTCTACTTAAAGATCTTGTTCTGAATCCATGAGGCAAATTCTACATTCGAACGACCCCTAACTGCTATGGGACCTGATTTAGGTGAAAATTTGGCTTTAGGCTGGGCTACTGGCTCCCTTTTAATTATGTTCTAGGCTTAGTCGATCAATCTGCTTGCACAGCCTTTAGTAAATAAAAGAATACGTTGTTTTTCCTGATCATACTACTGCTCTATTCAAATTGCATTAGATAATAGAGAGAGCGGCATATCTTACAAAATAGCAGATGAAATCTACCCATACACCATGGCAAGTTAGCAATGAAACTATACCGGCATGTAACAAAGAACCCTACTACTTAGAGCAACACCACAAACAGAGAAGAATAGAACAATGGAGTAACAAACAAAATCAACAACATATGGTAGCTAGGTAAAGCTATAAGCCTTAGACCACCACCTTATTCCTTCTCTTGCAGACTTGTAGGAGCTAGGTGGCAGACTTAGTTTCACTATTGCTCATGAATTACCTGCTGCAACATGGACATCTGCTATTTCTTACCGGCTGTTTTTGTTTAGTTGTAGTATTAAGCTTATAGTTGATAATGTAGGAGCGGAGAAAGATTGACACATAACAGTTCAGTGCTGTCTATGGAAGAGCTGTATAAAGTATCAGTTTAATAAGCTGTACTTTGCAATGGCACTTGCATATCTCTATTACTGCAGTGATTGTAGTAACTTCATAGTTTCACTCTGGCGAAAAAATTTGCGCACCACATGTAGTCATTATGAACTTTGCGAATACTCTAGGTGGCACACTGGCACTACTCGAACATGGTGACTGTTGAGCAGGTCGAAATTTTAAATGCATGGCTTTTGTGTTGTGTTGTACGGAAGCAGGAAGCATGGAACAAGTTCAACAAGGAGGAGCTATCTTAACCTCCAGAAACCAACTTGTCAATGAGTTCAAGACTCTACCGAGCTCCAATTAGGAGGGAAGAAAAGTGCACGATTCCTTAGGATAGTGCACAGTTGGCCGTGGTTGCCAAGGTGGAGGTGAAGATGCCTAGAAGAGCATAGAGAGAAGCTGGGTGTCTGAGTCTCCATGGTGTGGAAGTTGATGATGATGTCTTATTACGAAAAAGTTTGTTATGACATCATTTACGACGCGTTGCAAGTCACGTGTACCATTGCATTGCAGACTTATCAGTCAGGAACCTTGTTTGAGGGTTTTAACCATTTGAGCTTCAGTGTTTCTTTCTTCTTTGATGAGTTCCTTGTAAATGAAGTTAAATACTTCTATGTTGTAAGAGTTATACTTCACTGTTTCTTTATTCTTTGACGAGTTCCTTTGAGAAATAATTCCACGAGCAAGTTTCCTATTTGTTTGCACTTTGCACATCTACAAGAGATTCCATTTATTATCTTCAGTGTTGCATTCTTTCCAGTTCTTGATGGTGCATACTATCTTATTACAAAAGGTGCAAGCTATGGTAAGATGCATAACATAGAACTTGAATTGCTATAGAGCACTGAGAATCGACTAATGATGCTCCGCTACGATACAGAAATCAAAAGCAAACCTCACAGCCCTCCTTCAACGAATTCAAAATCAAAAGCAACACTTTATGAAGCTACATAGTGGATCTTGTAGTTGGCAGTCAATATATGTTTTTCCTTTTGTGTTTCTGCCAAGGAGTTAACATCTCTATCGGTTCGTGTCTCAAATTGTGCTGGCGATGCATAGATTTCGTAAACAATGGTTTCGCTTGCAGCTCTTACTCCCTCTGAAGCATAATCTTGATGCAAATAGCGATCTCTCATCTGAGTTCAACATTCAGCTTTGTTTCAACTTGTTCTCTCACTTTCCTCTGCAGACAGCAGAATATGCAAAGATGTTTCTGAAGCATTCAGTTTTTCTATCCATATAGAGAATTCATAATGCACAAACTTAGTCACACTGTGACTCTTACCTGCAACTCATTGATTTCTTCATCTGTAAGTGAGCGTTCCATGGACCGGTAAGCAATCCTATAGCAATGACTTGTCATTCCCTTCTTGTTTGTAAAATTGTCTATCAATTGCACCTAACACAAGTAAACAAGTAACACGAAGTAAACACGTGTTTAGAGGATAGAGTTGAAGTCATGGTAATTCTACAGCCGAAATATCATGAAAGGGGTGATAAGAGAGGGTTTCAGAAATCAACGAAAAGGGAAAATAAACACAAAGTTTTAATAACAGACACATAGAAGAAGATATATGTGAAATTCTCAATACCTCTTCCGCAAGATCACCAGCCACTCCTCTTACAACTTCACACAAATTGTTTTCTGTGAATGATTCATTGATCCAAAAACTCATATCTTTATAACATGGAGGAAACTGCAAGGCAGATGCTCAAGTTTAGTGCTTTTCTCTGAAAATCATCCACAGAAGATAAAGATGAGATGAAGCTTTCACCTTTGAAAATGGCTTGAATTTTATCCCCATTTTGCCCTTGGTGAACTGTGTAAATAGAGCTCTCAATGTCGTCAGTTAGGGGTATTGTCAAATAGATACGCTTGTGAACATAGGCTACAGTAATCTAGTTTTTAACCCATCTTCAAAAGTTTAGGATCTTACCTGAGATGTAAACCGCTCATCGTTTGACCAGAAAAGCCGAATGTCAGGTATGTCAAACAAAACCATAGCAAGTCGTTCCAATCCAAGTCCAAATGCCCAAGCAACACTATCGAGTTGGCCGTTGTTCCTTAAAATCTCTTGTTCAGTAACCCCACAGCCTAATACTTCCATCCACTTCTCCTGTAAAAAGCATCAACCAATTTTTACTTGTGAGATACAGTTGCACGTCCACTACTGGCAAAATCAAACTATTTTCTAGTAACAGATCATCTACCACACAGGATACAAGAAGAGAAGATTGATAGAACCTTTTCCATCTTCTTTTGCCCTTTAAGATATGGTTAATGGATTAAAAACATTTCAAAAGCTAAAAGTGGTTCAAAGGTTTACTTCAAATTGTAAAATTAATCACTTCTGTCCCTCATACAAAAGCATCAAAATTTTCTTTTTCTTCCCCCCTCATGCAGCTAAGGATAGCATTGGGCTGAATTCCCCAACACTTTTAATAATTAAATCTATGGAGACTCTGGAAAAATAATAAGTATGGAGAAGCAAGAGTTCAATGATTACAATGCAGATTTGACAGCATACCTGAAAATATATCTCAAGTTCAAAAGATGGATTCGTGAATGGGAAATATGCATCAATCCAACGCATTTCCACTGCACCTGTAAATTCCAAAAAAAAAAATGCTAGATAAGGATCAACAGATAGGGAAACGATGAAAAGCAGGCAACTGAACATTAAAGACAATTAGTAACCTGTGCTACCGGTCAAATCACCCTACATGTTTGAGGAAATACATAGACTGTGTGGTGCTTCAGAAATCAGCCTTTTTCTAAAGTCACAATTCAATGTTACTGAATGCATTTACAGATAACCTCGCAAGACATAATACTCATCATAGTGAACCAGCGAAATCTGATTGTCAATGGAAACACAACACCTCTGCATTTGGAAAGCATGTCAAGACATTACAAATAAATATATAAAAAAACATAGCTTCAGTAAGGTGATGCAAACATATTTTATCATTGTTAAATGGACTGAATTTATCAGTATCAAGCTAGCATGTTTTTATCCACAGATATCCAGAAAGTCCAAGCCAGTAAAGGACTTTGGATTTGAGCATGGCACCTAAATAGTCCAAGCATTGAAATCTGCAATCAAACAAATCACAGGGTCGCCATATTTTTATCAATTAAATGAACTCAGCTTATTAATGGATAACAGTTATCAAGGCAATTTTTTTTATAAGGGTGATATAGGTTTTATTTTTGTTGTTATTAAGGTACTGTCCCAGGTTCTAGGCTAGTGGTATTTCCACTAGACCAAGCCCTTGTTCGTTAGTTATCAAGGCAAATTACTAATATACAATCCTATATGCACCGATGAAAGCAACTACTGGTTTTGTTTGTAGATTATACATTCCACTTATTGGAGATAAACAAGATGACAAGGACTTTTACCAAATAAGTGTCTAGCTAGCCCCTCAAGGCATTTCTTCAAATCGTCAGCAGCATAAGATGTGCCGTCCAATCCCGAGGCCTCCCACTCTTTGGGTGAGAACACACGAAACCCTTCCATCTGCATTTCTAACAGAAGAATGTATGAGTGAATGCTCAACGACCTCAAAAAGCAACAACAACAAAAATGTTTTGAGATTGCAGATAATGGGAGGCCTCAAAAACCTGGTGAAACACAGGATAATGAGTTGAATCAATTGAATCTCTACGATAAACATCTCCAGTTACAAGGAAATGCGTGTGTCCATCCCTCAACAACTCTGCCTGATGAGCACTGGTGTGGCACCTCAAAACAGTTTGAGAATCAACATAGTAAGTATCATTATAGCTCCTCGATATGTGATCAGCAGGAACGAGGACATCATCAAAATTCTGCGAAAAAAAAAGAAGGGGGGAAATGACGTGCTATTCAAGAAAAAGCTAACTCATGTTTCAGATAGAAATTCAAGCACAAGAACTTCAAACTAAAACCTGTTTAACAGAAACCAGAGGGCAGAGATCATCAAACTTATCAAACTTGTTGGAGTAATTGGCGTCGAAGTATTCGTATATCGCGTTCTTCAGTATGCCGATAGGATGCTGGTTCCTCTTATGGAGTTGCATCCCAAGCTTCGAGAAAATCGAATCGGGCACATTGTTTGTTGGATCATCTCTCACCACATCTACAAAGAGCCCCAACCCAGAACATTTAGCAAATTGAACAGGGCCAAAACATCAAAAATTCAAAATCACCACTTCAACAGGCTTAAAAGCGAAGAACTTTGAGCATACCATCTCTAGCAATCTTCACTCCACCCAGTTCCAGCGCTGACATGACAGGAAGCCTCCCATTCTTCTTGCGGGTGCAAGTAGCAGCAGCAGTGGAGAAAGGCGTGGAGAAGGTGAATTGATTGAAGCGGGCATTGGTTCGATGGAGGAAGGAGGATGACGCTGCTCTGGAGAAGAAAGTGAATTGCGCAATTGACATTGCCATCGTCATCTCCCCCTCCTAAGCTCCAATTGACAAATAGAAGAAGCAGAAAGCCCGCTACTGATAGTCACTGGAAAGTAATGAACAAACGAAGAAGTTGTTGCACTGCGGCGGCCGCCGCGTCGTCGTCGAGCTGGAGAAACGAGCGGAAGAGGAGGACGAAGAGCGGCCGGTGGTCGGATTAGGAACAATCCCCCCTTCAAAGAACCGGCGTGAATTTACACCAAGGTGGTTCGACCCATCAACCTGCACAACCCAACCCGGTCTGATTAAATTTCTCAACGTTCAACAACTAACTTTACCCAGGCCTGTATGCTTTCGGGCCCATGGTCTGTCTGGCCTTTTTATTTTCTTGGACAGATTTAGTGGGGGCCTTTTTGTTTGTTTGTTTTGCAGCGACTTGGGGGTTTCATGTTCCTGTTCACTTTCATTTTCTTTTCCTGTTTTCTGTTTTCCTGTCGTAAATTTGACAATCAAAACGAGAAAACTCGTTTATTCATTCTGATATCTATTCGTTTTCAACTATGAAAATAAAAAGTGACAACTTCCTGCTGTTTTCGGAAACGACAAAATGTTGTTTTCACCTGTTTTCACCATCTGTTTTTTCAAAAACAGGAAACAAAAATGAAAATAAATAGGGTTTTAGTTGTTACGATAAGATCTTTGTCGTAGTACCTTAGTTTTTGCAATAAAGACTGTCACAGAAGATTCCGTGTATGTTTTGCAAAACTCCTAGGACGATACAATATACTAGAGGAAAAAAAGCTACTGCTTATGGCGACGATCACGATTGTCGCGGAAACGTTTTTCAAAAATTATCACAAATCTTTTCCATCACAAATGTTGTCGCGTATTTAGTTTCGAACTCTGTATGTATTCTCGAATCTTCTTTTATTATGATTATAAAGTCTAACCCAAGTCAATTGACATGTTCAATGGCTGTTTAATCAATTCACAAGTGTGCTGAGAATCTCTTTTTTTTAAGGGATAGATAATTACTCATGGACTCCTATGTTTTAAGGGAGGTCTATAATTTATATATATGGCCTACATGCATATTTTTTTATATGAATCAGTAACCAATTGGCTATTAAAATAAATTTGATTTCAACTTGAGTATAGGTTAATTAAATTAATTAGACCATCGCTATCTAAGTGCACATATGAAGATCCAGTCAACTGTAGTTGCGCAAGTGACTCAAGCAAGTAGGCAAATATACTAATACATATCTAATTAATGAGGAGGTGTCATTTGCACATTCACATATTTGTGGTTAATTAACTAATGACTTGTGTTTATGTTGTGTCATTAGTTTAATCAACTGCAATAACTTCTCCTGACGCTCAGGTCAATTGTCTCCCTAATTGAAGGATCATTGTTAGGAATCTGGAATAACAAAAAAATTACAGATATGAGTAGGTCAGCTGCTTTGCTTAAGTATAGGGAGACCCTTGACTGATAATTTCCAGGTTGAATTTGGAATTTTTTTTCTTTTTTATCTTCATAAATATTTTAGGAGTTCATTGGATGTGCTTGAGATAATCTCTTAATTAAACTTTACCCTATATGTTTCTCATTTATCGTTGAATATGAAAACACCTTATGATCCATTTGTCTAATAATATAGTAACACTAAATAGAATTAATTTTGTTAGTGCCACTATTTTTTTCTTTTTAATCAGTGCCACTAGGACACTTGGGGACTTTGTCTCATAAAATAGTAACAAGCTAGGGGAGTTGCAATATGCCAATAACATGCTGGAAGAAAATTAAACCACGAATTCGTGATTCACAAATAATGTTGAGAAAGTGTGGAGAATTCAACTAGGACTACATGTATATCAACCAGTTTATTTTATTTTATTTATAATAGCTATGTCAACCATTTGAATTGACTTTGTTTCAAGAAAAAAATAATTGTTTAAGAAAGTCATGTAAACATTTAGTGGGAAAGCTTGGTTTAGCGCAATTAGTATTGGGTTTTCAAACCGGTTTATACCGTTGCGCTGGTTTGGCAAGTGGAATGGTACGATCAATGCAGTCAAAATCGGGATTTTACGTAAAATCGAAAACTGAGGTAATATCGGAATCGTAGATTAAAATCGTAAAATCGTAAGATTCTAAAGTTCATATTAAAATAAACACTTAAAACACTACATAGTAATAACAAATAACCTACTTACTTCCAAAGGCAAGTTTATCTGCTAAATAAACACAAATAAATCTATAGATTTATTCTTGTACATAACAAAAACACACAAATAAGCAACCCGAGACCTCATAAAAGTCACTTAATTTGGTTAATAGTTAAGATTAAAAAATCACATAAGATCGTTAGGATCAACCCTAATATCCCTCGCTCATCATCGTCCTCACCTAGTCACCCTCACTCTAATCCCCGTAGAATCGTCCTTGTTTATTTTATGTAGGAATGATATCATTATTCTTAGATTCACTTGAAGCACTTTGACCATTAACTCATTGATTGATGCATTCCCTACTTGATCGATAAAAAGGTTGGGGATATTGGTGCCGAAGGTTTGGTAGATGAACGAAAGCTTGCAATGGAATGGGGGAGTGGGCTAATTGTGAAACGTGGCGGGAACAAAATACGAGCTAATTGGGAGGGTGGAGGAAATCATTGGTGGAAGGAGTCCTGGACTCGTTTGAGGGTTTTCTATCAGGTGATGGTTGTGTTGTTCATTATATTGGGCTGGGGCTGTGTTTAAAAATTTCATAGTTTTTATAAGAACTCATTCATTTCACTCCAAAATAAATATATTGTTAGTTCGAATTTGATTGTTTCTTACAAATCATGTCGATGGATCTCTTTCGTAAGTCGTTTATAAAATGTGAGATTTATAAAAAATGTTACACGGAAGGAATGAAAATTGCATATATCTATATATTAATCCATGGCTACATAGAATGGTCCCCAAGTAACGCAGTTCACCGTCCATCTCCAAAACCCACCCATCATTCGAATCAATGGGAAGAAGGTGGTGCGAAATGGCAGGTGGGCGGTCCCAAATAAATACCAAACAAATGACCCCTAGCTAGGCTAGCTAGGCTAGTAGTAAATGATATCCTCCTCTAATTTGGGTGTGTAAATTTAGGGCTGCAAATGAGTCGAGCTGCTCGCGAGCGACTCGGCGTTTGACTCGAAAAAAGCTCGTTCGAAACTCGACTCGTTAATAAACGAGCCGAACACGAGCTCACCTTTGTTCAGCTCGTGAAGCTCGCAAGCTAGCTCGACTCGATGGCTTGTTGAGATAAACTCGTGAGCTGGCTCGTTTAGAGCTCATGATATGTCTTAACATGTGGCTAGAGAGCCAACTCGATTACCAACTTATGGACGAATCAATCTATATCTTATGATTTTAATTCACATGGTTGTTGATTTATATATATCTCACCATATATAAAGTTTTCCACGTTGAGTGTGTGAGCAAATATAGCTTATTTTCTACTTTAAAACGAAATTATGCATCATAGATTGCTTCGATACAATGAAATAACATGATTTGGAGTAGTTAAAATTTATTAACTAAACGATATATGATACCAACAAAGTATAAAGTATAAGATGAGATCAACTAACAAAATAAATCATATGTATCATGACATACAAAATGAAGTACCAAATAAAAGTTAAGATTTTAATAAACAAGCTAGCTCGAGCTCGACTCGTTTATTAACGAGCCGAGCTCAAACTGGGGTAAAACTCGACTCGACTCGGCTTGGCTCATTTGCAGTCCTAAGTGTAATATTGCATTGGGTTCTGTAATTGTTGTACCCTTTTTTAATTATTTTTTTTAACAAATTTTTTTTTTTGGTGGCCTATGGCAGTCTAGTTGGGTTAACTGTAGTGCTGGTTGCTCTCAGCGCAGGACCAGCATCCAGCGGCAGCGGCGGCCAGCGAGGAGGAGGACAGCCAGCCCAGCAAGCAAAAGCAAAAGCAACCACAAGAAGAACATAATTTTGCGCACACAATACTCGCAGGCAGCCTAACACCTTTCTCTCTCCATATATATCTCTATCTCATGTACACCAAAAAAAACATCAAACCATTGTATTTGTACGTGACTGTCAAATCTGAGATACTTGCCGATGTTGCAGCCAGCCCTACCAAAAATCAAAACAGTTTGCAAATTCTATTGCATTGCATAGGGCATTAGGGCCGAACCAGCTAGCTCAATGGAAATTAGTGATTGGCCCAGAAATTTTATATAAGCGTTTTTTTAATAATAATTAAATTTTAAACATCCAACTACCGCAAGTTACAAACAGACGCGTACGACGTGTTTTTATATTCTAAAGACATTATAAAATACACTCATTGAATATCGTGTTCAACGAATCTCTTTCGATGGATTCTACTGGATAATCATTCACGAACTAATCTCCTATTCGATTACGAAAGCGAAACTTGTTTTTTTTACATGTAACCCGAAGCTGAAAAAGCGTTTCTTCAGCACTTGCAGTTGCAGCCGATAATACCAATACAACTTTCAGAAGCAACATTTTTTTGCTAGCAGCAATTTGTGTAACTCGCTTATGTTCGCTCGAAAAGGCTCTGCTTACTGGAAAAAAAAATCTTATAATAACACAATTACAATGAAATTCTCTAAAATATACAAGTTTGGGTTGCTCGTTGCAGTGTCCATCAATTTGGTTTCGGTTCACTTGACATCAACAAAGCAATTTTATCAATGTTCATGTAATAAACACGATTTTGAAGCTAGACTGTTTCTGCTAGCATCGATTTGTGTAACTCGCTTATGTTGGCAGCAATTTGAGTAAAATCAATTTCATCTCCAACGAACCGACACCAAAATTGTTGGATACTATAGCTACACACCACAAACTTGTCTATTTTAGAAATTTTGTTGTAATTGGCTTATTTAAAAAAAAAATTACTAGGTTTCGTATGTTGGGGGGGAAATCCCTTCGATTACTTGTTGACAAGATTGAATTTCCACGAAGTATGATTCTTTAGGGGGTGGTTTGGATTAGAGAATGTGTAAATGAGGGATTTGGATTAAAATCTCTCAATTAAAAACCCAGGTATTTTAAACGTGGGATTTGATCCAAATAACATGTTTGGGAATAGATGAAGGATTTTAATTAAAAATTACAGTTACAATTATACCCATCCCTAATCCCTAAGGAAAAATAAGAAAGGAAGAACAAAAGGAGGGGCAGAGTTTGGAAAAGAATGAGAAAAAATGAGTGATTGTGAAATAGCTGATCCCCATCAGCTATTTTAAAAACTCTCATATGAGAGATTTAGAATTTACTCATGCACACAATCTCTCACCTTTCCAAACGCAGAATTGTTTTAAAATCCTGCACAACGAGAGATTGTTTTAAAATCACTCATAAATCCCTCATCACATTTTCCTCCACCAAAGTTTATGTTGGTCCGGAACAATGTCCACTTTTAATTTATTGAATAAACTCATGTTTTTGTTATTTTGTATATAGTTTGATCTTCATCTAATATCAATCGAAGTTCGAAATTTTTTTCTGATGCCGTACACAATTTATTCAAAATAACAAGAGGATTGACAATCTAACCATATATGATGCAAATAAGAAAAAGCAAAGAATGACCTCAATAAACCCAAATGAATAGGGGGTGTTTAGTTGTTTACATTGAAAGAAAAAGTACAAAATTGTAAATCCAACCTCATACATAACACACAAAATGCACAAAACAAGCACCAAACTATCGTACTACCGCGCATCAGGTACAAACATTCGGTCGTTTCGATCAAAACCGAACCGCCAACTAACTAAACCCTAAAACTAAAACAAAAAAATTTGCCTAAATGAGTCATTAAACTAACTAAGGCCTAAAAATTGCTAAGAAACGAATAACGAAAAGGACAAGCTCACATGAGCCCGTAACCAGATCATTCATGGGTCCCCCCTCCCTCCCTCCCTTAATCAATTAATTAGGTCAATAGCACCCTCCAATCTTTTTCTTCACCATGAGTTGGAATTGTGAGGACAATGGAGCTTTAGCATTTTTTTTCTTTCCCCCATGCTTTTGTTTAGGGTTCATTCCTCTTCTTCTTCGACTATCTCTCTCAATCCTTTTCCTTTGGAGTGTCTGATTTCTCCTTCTCCTGGTTCTGGGTCAAAGAAGAAGGCACCGACCTCCCTGCCTCATTCCCACCATTTCTCTCTCTCTCTCTCTCTCTCTCTCTCTCTCTCTTAAAAGAGAAGGAGGAAAGGGAAGAAGGTGTGCTTGCTTCCGCTTGCTCTGGTTAATTAATGTTATTCCGAATTCGCGATTTAGCTTTAATCTTTGCCATGTTTAATTTAATTAAGTAATAAATTAATTGCAGGTGTGTTGGTTGGTTCCCCTTTGGCTTCGTTATCCATCCATCCAACTCCCCTCCCTCCAAGATCCAGAGCTTTTTGCGGCGGCTACTGCTAAACAGAGAGCATGGATTTCGGCCAGGAGGAAGAAGACGACAGCCGCAGTAAAGACACCGCCGCAGCATCAGCCGAAGAAGTAGAAGCAGTAGTAGTAGAAGAAAACGACGAATTAGACGAAGAAGAAGAAGACGACTATGCCTCGGCAATTCCCACCCCCAATCTCCATTCTCCTTCTGTTCACCAGTACGAAAATCTACTTCCTCAACACCACCACCACGACGGAGTACTTTGGCGCAACCTCTCCCAAACCGACGCTGCCGCCCCATCCTCCGCAGGCTTCAATTTCGTGGACTTGTCGCTTGCTGGGAGCTCAAACGAGGCGGATCCTCCCGATCTCCACGGCGGAGCTGCTGGACCGTCGTCGTCGACGGCGGTGGCGGCGGCGGCGATGATGATGGTAGAGAAGGAGCACATGTTCGACAAAGTGGTGACGCCGAGCGACGTCGGGAAGCTGAACCGGCTGGTGATACCGAAGCAGCACGCGGAGAAGTACTTCCCCCTGGATTCCTCCTCCAACGAGAAGGGGCTGCTCCTCAACTTCGAGGACCGCGGCGGCAAGCCGTGGCGGTTCCGCTACTCGTACTGGAACAGCAGCCAGAGCTACGTGATGACCAAAGGATGGAGCCGGTTCGTCAAGGAGAAGAAGCTCGACGCCGGGGACATCGTCTCGTTCCAGCGCGGCGTCGGCGAGGCCGGGAAGCACCGACTCTACATCGACTGGAGGCGCCGCCCCGTCGCGCCGCCGCCAGATCCGATGTCTTTCCCTCACCACCACTTCGACCTCCACAACAACCCGCTCCGGTGGGGGAGGCTCTACTCGCTGCCGCCTCAATCGCTCTCCAATTTCCCTCCCAGGCAGTGGGACTATCCTCATCAGCCTCCGCCTCCGCCTCCGCCGCCGCATCATCAATTCCACCACCAGCAATTGAATTACGGTACGATTCTCCCTCTCCAGAATTCCTACGGCCATAACCAGTACTACCACAATTACCAGCAGCCGCTGTACTACTCGCGGCCTCCGGGGGCGACGGCGCAATATCCGATTTCTGCTTCGTCCTCCGCCGCCGCGGGAATCGGAGGAGGGGACCACGCGCCGATGGTCATCGATTCGGTTCCCGTGGTTCACGGGAAGACGGTTGGGAAGCGGCTGAGGCTGTTTGGCGTGAACATGGAGTGCCAACCAGACTACTTGCCGTCGTTTTCTCCGGCTTCGCCTTCTTCTATGAGCGTAACGTATCCATATCAGCAGCAGCAGCGGGGGACAATGTCTACTTCTTCTTCCTCGTTGTCACCATCGTCATCCATTCGGGGGCTCCAATTCCAAGGAGTGCCGACTACAGCTACGCCGTCGTCGCAAATGGCAATGCATCATCACCGGCAGCAGCAGCAGCAGAACCAGGAGCATGAGTATTCAAAGAAAGGAAAGACTTCCTCCTTGTCCTTCGATTTGGATCTTTGATAAATATTATGGGTCTGCTGAATTTTAGGATTACTGGCAGATTTAATTTTTGGGTCCTTCCTATATAATTGAAGAAGCTCGATCTTAATCTATTTGCTTTGCGTTATTTGTCCTCTCTCTATTCTATTTGGTGTTGATTTCTGATCGATATTGCTCCTTTTACTTTTATGTGGTAATTAGTCGTGCCTAGTTAGAGAGGAGCAGAATTAAGGTAGAACTAGCTTAGATGATGAATATGCAGTGCAACCAGGGAAGAAAATGAAGAAACCAAAGGAAGAAAGAAAGAGAGAGGGAGGTGGAAAAAATGTGGTGGCCTGGGGAGGCCTTCATTTCAACTGTATATAAATACAATATATACAGAGATCATAAATATCAGCATATTTTAGTTGATTCCCTTTCCCTTCCCTTTCTTTTGTTTTATTCGGTTTATATATTTTTGAAAGAGTTGAGCTTGCCAAGGTATATATATTTTACTGTTGGTGTTAAATAAAAATAACACGGACACGTTGGGAAATGGGCTACTTGAGTAGTGCCTGGAGTTGTTGTTGTTGCTGCTGCAGCTTTGTATTGTATGTGAATAAGTAACTGTATCCATTCACACAGCGCAGCAGTAGTGGCTCTCTCTCTTTCTCCCACCAGTTTGCTTGGGTTAATTTTGTTCCATTACTTGTTGAAATCATTTCTCTTGTTGTAGTCGAACTGAGAGAGGGAAGGAGAGAGAGCTGACAGAGATAGCCATTACTTTTGTCATTTCTTATATTATGGTAGGGAGGAACAGATGGGGAGGCAGAAGGTCGTTCCTTGTTTGTTTCTTTTTGCAATTGATTGTTTAGGGTAAATGTTCCCTGCTGCTGGTTAGTTGGGTTTGCAGTCGATGGATACGGGAGAAGGAAGGAAGGAAGGGGGGAAGTGTGTTTGTTGGTTGCAAACAGTTCTGCAGCAGCAGCTTGCGCTGAAAAAAGGTGCCTTCTGTATTCTTATTACTATGCCCTCTCTCTCTTTCTATCTCTTCTTTTTTTTTCTTCTCCATCATTTCAACTTTTATGAACAAAAGATGTCTGCTGCATGTTTGTTTTAAAGAGAGATCAAGAACCCAAATGTCTGCTTCTTCTTCTGATAAGCTGAAATTCTTGCAGCCTTATTATTAAGTTTGTATGATTCATGATTGTCTTTCTTTTTTTCTCTCTTTCCTTGTGTTGTTGTCTTTACAGCATGAGCTTTGAGGGGGGACTGAGAGCTCTGAGCCATTCTTCTTCTCCTCTGGATTGCTGCCTGCCAGTGAGAAGGAAAAGAAAAAGGCAGTCATTTATGGTGCTGAAAGAGATTTCACAGATGAGGGTGGGCATATATCTCGGGAACTACTGCACCCAAAATTCCAATCACGAAACAAAGAAGTTCCCGCGCGCTCTCTCTTTTTCAATCTGTAAGCTACTGCTGCTGCTGCTGCTACTTTAATGCTCTCTTATCTGTAGCTATAATAAGCTTCTCTTTCTCCACTTTCCTCCCCCTCCATATCTCCTTGCCTCTTTTTCAACTGCACACTGCATCCTGGATTCCTCTCATCTCGCTATACATAAAATAAAGTTGTTATTTTTTGTGCCTTCGGCTAAGCATTTAGAGATAACAATAACATGCATATATTAAATGGAATTTAAGTGGACAGCACATTTATATTTGCACCTGAATGGAGGCGCATGGTAGTGATGGTACTTGCACATCTAACTAGACCTAGCTAGCTGGCCTAGTTAGAAAGCAGTAGCCAGAACCTTATTCTACCTAAACATTTGGGCTGCTGTGTTTTGAAAGGAATTGAAGTTTGGTTTAGTTACTTTCTACATATCAATTATAAATACATGGCCCTTACCGTTTGAGGTCAAGAGGTTCAGTAATACTCTTTACAGTGAGATGATGATAAAAATCAATCTCATGTCATGTTGTTCATGTTGTGTATATCTGCATGTTGCCATTTGTTTATGCAAAAAAAAAAAAAAAAAAACTAATGCTAATAAGCATATGAAAGCACTTGTAGATGCTATATTCAAATTTCGATACCAATCGCATTGTTCTGATAAAGAAAGAAGAAAGAAAGTTTGATATGAATGCTAGCCTATATGAAGAAACTGTCAACAAAAAGAGGGGGAAAAAAAAGCATATGATAATGAGGGTGTTTATAATTACTGTACTCATGTATCCTTTGCCTTTACATGCATGTATGCTAATGCTATACCTAGCTATATGGGTTTTTATAACATGTAGCATTAGTATTGTATACTTTAAGTGATTTGGGTTATTAGATGTAGTTCGATGAACGCGTCGACAAATTAGAATTATCAATTAATATTTTTCGATTTAAAATGATCCAGGTTTAGGAAATGGCTGACTGCTTCAACGGGTATCATCCATTTTGCAGGATATATACACAAAGAAAAGAGGTTTGTTTGGCAAGGCAGCTGCAAATTTTGAGAAAAGGTAATTTGGGTAAAAGTAGTGTATATGATTGAGATTCCATATATGTGTTAAGTTGAAGTGAAGTCATGAAAATTCTCTTGATATGATCATCATCATCACTCTCTGGTGCCTGCAGAATATCTACATATGTAAGTAGGATCCATCAAAACGAGATCGATCGAGGAATTAGCATATCTCTCCTTTCCTCCTTCCATGCAAGCCAATGGGTTTTTTCTATCCATCCTTTTCATGGTAGGTAGAATTTTTGTTTACTTCTTCTTCTTCTTCTTGTGTTGTTTTCAGTTCTCGTGTTGACAAGTCTTGGAGTGAAACGAAAGGGATAATCAAACTAAGTTAGGCCATTGTTATTGGGGACACAGTAGTGCATATGTCCATGCTTTTGTCAACTTTAATGAATTAATAATGCTTTCTCACAAGAGGAGGCAAATACAAAACAAACCAAATTTAGGAAGTTTAACTATTGTCTATAACAAGGAAAAATACAAGTTGGAAAAAATGCTTATAATCTTCATATCTGTCTGAAGATTACATGTCCACAAATTTATTTGTGGGGAGATATTTTTCTTCTCCTTCTGCTCTATCCCATTTTATTAAATATTTATCCCACCAAACACTATTACCAATAAATCCTCAATATTCTGTGACCATTCTTGTTCTTTTGATTAAGTGTACACATGTCATTTGATGAGGGTTTTTAAAATTTTTTTTCGATCTTTGAGGTTGGCTTGAAATTATCCACTGTAGCACTTGCATGCTGTCTTCTTATTTTCTTGATGCGTGTGACTAGTTATGTTACCAGCTAGGGCTAAGCTAATATATCTGTGCTTGTGTCTAGCAAATGGTGTGCACAGACTGAATTATGTTTTTTTCCAAGGCAAGGGCAGTTAGTTAATTTACATGCTGGGTTTAATTTACATTCTGGGTTTAGTTAAGTGTAGACCGGTAGAGACACTTGGTAGCTGCTGCGTGCTTGCAGCTGGGTAAGAAGTAATAATGAAGATGATTTACAAAGGGAGAAATAATGGGGTAGCTAGCCACAGCTAAAACTACTGCGTGCCAAAAGGAATATTACAATAATATTGATTTACAATTCCGAAGAGATATATCATATATGTGTGTGTGAGTGTTCATCGTCCGATGAACTTTTGGGGCTGCCGCAGCAGCAGCAGCTAATGTTGTCGCCTTTGTTTTGTTGGGCTAGGTATGTGAGTAAGCTATATAGGCTGTGTACCTAGCTAGGTGCTCTCTCTCTCTCTCTCTCTCTCTCTCTATTTATTTGTTATTATGTGCTGACAATTCAAACAAAAATGAAAATTTCTTGTTGCTTGTAGTATATATAAGGGTGACAGTTCGGTTTGGTTCGGAAAATCGAATAAAAAATCAACAAAGCTGAATCACGATGGTTTCGGTAAGAAGAAATTGAACACCAGATTACTAGTTTTTCCTTTATCCTTTGTTTTTTTTATTGGTTTATTAGCAGAGTGATGCGAGCTCGCTCACCCACATGACATCATTCGAGTTCAAATTAGATCTCTACATGAACTATGAGTCAAGAGACGATTTGAGAGGTTCAAAGAGAGCTAGTAAACAAAGTCCTACAAAGAAAAGAAATTTTTTTTGACTTTTTTCAACCCTTAATTCTAACTCTCCTAGTTAGGGCTGGAAGTTTGGTACCGGTATTTGGGATATATCGAATACCGTATCGAATTTATCACTATTTGGTATTACCGAATATCGACTTATTTTTTAGGGATTGAGATTCAATTTGGAGTGCTATTCGGTATTTGCGATTACGGGATTGGGATCGGTATATACTGAAATACCGAGAATTTAATGTCTCCTTTGCGTGCTCCTCTTTTCAGAATCTGAGGAATATTCTCCATTCTCCAACATGACTAGAGGTCCAGAAGAGGAGTGTGTGTCTCTTATCAACTAGATATCGTGTCTAGTTGTGACAAGTATCGACTTATATTGGTTCGCCCTTCCCACAGGTTCAGGATTGTTTAATCGATTTCCTCAAGCTATCTTTTATTTCGTGTTATTGAAGAAAAAAGAAAACCCTAAATAGTTTGACGTGTGCAACTCTGATTATTTGGTCCGAGTTCGAGTGAATTCTTGGATTTGGGTCATATCACAGGTTTTCCCTTTCCATCGAAATCAAAATTGTTAGGAGTTTATTAATTTGCACTCATTATTGAGAAAAATTAGAATTCATAGTCTAATTATATATGCATGGATACAAAAATTACAATTCACGGTAGCAGGAGTGAATATTAAATGCTGGGTTATTCAAAAGATTATGAGTTTACCAAATAGCCTCATCACCGGCAATTGGAGAGAAAGGGAGGTGAATGGAACGACGTGAACTTAGATTCAGTATCCGATAACCATATTTCCTCCATAACCAGTTGTGAAACATGTTACGACTACAACTACAAAAAAAACATAATCAATATACGAACTTTGTAGTAATACATGAGAGAACCAATGTCAATATACGAAAAAAATCAGTACCAATACTCAAAAATCAATATCAATACATGATATCCAATATCAATACCAGATTAACCAATACCATTAACTTTCACACAAAAAAAAAAATCACCTGTGAACTCGAGTTGATTTTCAAAAAAAAAAATCACTAAAAAATCTCCAATCTTGACAGTCAATTTGGAAAATAACAACAGAATCGAGCAATGATGGGATGGTTAGCACTCGTTGTCACACCATTAAAAACCCTAACTTGTTCCCTAGTTATATGGTATGATCAATTTTTTTTAAAGTAGAAGAAAGATTATCGATTTGTTTTAAGTAGCATCACATGAATTTTAATGAGTGGGTTGGGTTGTTGATAGCTAGGTAGGCCGTAGGCTGTAGGGGAGTATGACGGATACAATAATTCGAATTGGGTTATAGGTATAATATGACCCTCTACTATGTCGTTTTATTAAACATGATCTTCTACTATTTTTTACATCAAACATGCCCCTATACTTTAGAAAAATGATCAAACATGCCCTTTTGTTAATATTTTCATCCAAAAACAGTCAATCACGATCGTACCTTGGTTTGGGCGACACAAATGTCTAAAATATCCCTAGTAATTTCACTTTAGAATTTTTTGGGTTCTTTTGTAGAGCCAATTACCTCTAATAATTTCACTTTAACGAGACCAGAAAAATTTAAATGGGGACAAAACTGACATTTTTCCTCTCATTTGTCGATGTCGGGTCGTCTACATCTCGGTTCAACCATGGTTGACGATTTTTTTAATGGAAATTTTTACAGAAGGGCATGTTTGATAATTTTTCCAAAGTACAATGGCATATTTGATGTAAAAATTAATAAATGGACATATTCGATAAAATTACATAGTAGAGGAGCATATTATACCTACTATAACTCATCGGTGCTCTCGGCCAGCTGGCCGAGAAAACTCGACAGTTGCTGGCCGAGAGCACTCTGGCCGAGCTGGCCGAGAAATCTCGACAACAGCTGGCCGAGATTACCTTCCTTTCCTTTTTGCTTTCGGTAGAAAAATGGGATTACCTTTGATCCGAATATGTGTGCGATCGTTTAAGCACATATCGCAATCTTGAGTGGTCGCTGGTGGTACCAACAAACAATACATTCATCGTATTAATATTTTTGATATGATATTATAGATCTGGTCGATTTAATATATTTTTTTATATTCTAAATAAAATTTGGGTATTTGAAAAGAGTAGTGTGGTAATTATGGCGGATGCTACAGTACAACAAAAGGAAAGGAGTCCCCCACCACAGACTGCTGGCTGGCTGGCTTGGTATTGGTGAAAGCCTAGCGAAGCTAGCTTGCTACAGTACCATGCATATTACCCTTTTTTAATTTATTTTTATTTCTTTCTATTTTCTATTGCGGGAAAAAAATGCAAAGCCTGCCTGTCTTCTTCCCATCCAGGCCCATCATTAAAAAAGCCCAGTGGCCTACGGGTAGCTATCAGTAGCCTACGAGACTGCTTTGGAAGGGAGCTAAATAGAAGGGTAGGGCTAGAGGTACAGAAAGGCGACTTTACTTTTGTGTGTGTTTCTTTTGTGGTATGCAAGCATTGAGTAGGGTAAAGGGTTAGGCTACATTTTCCGACCTCCTACACATTCATTCATTCTCTATATATTTTTCTTTTGGGGTTTATAAATTGCATGGTTGGTCACTGAAACGTTACAGATAACGTTCAGGTTTGGTCGCTCGAAATATCTAAATTCATTTGTGGTACTTTAGTTTGTTGAAATCGTTCGCGTTTGGTCACACTCTCCGTTCTGTGACTATGTACACTTTAATGTATTCTTTATACCACTCTCCTTTCTTCCTGTTGCCAAATAAATGACCGTTATTGGACCGTTCTGTGACTATGTACACTCTAATGTGCTAACTAACACGCACATACTGAGCGTACTTATTGAAGTTTCACTCAATATTTATGGTTTGTTGGAGTGGTATAAGATACATAATAACCTTCTCTTATCAATTCGAGTTATTAACATGACATCAGAGCTTGTTTGGCGAAGTGGTTGTGTGTGTTTGAATTTTCGCGACCCCCAAGCTTAACAGCTAATTAAAGCACAAGGTATGGTGCGAATGTGCATATATACCTCAAGCCCGTGAGTTGACTTTCGTTTGAGCGAGCACATAAGAGAGTGATCATTAACACGACACATCTTAACTCCCTATTTGTGTAAATCCGTTTTGTAACATTTTATTTATGGTTTTTTTTTTATTTTAATAGTATTTTTTGCCTCCCACCCCACTTAGCGTTTCCCTAGCTTAGGCCTGCGATGGCAGTTGCCTTGGTGGAAGATGAAAATCGCCCAACTAGGAAACGACCAGTTAAACGGGAATCGACAACACCCGATTTGAATAATAGTGGTTTGATTCCTGGAGGTAATTCTTCTCCCTCTGCCGCAGAATTTACATTTTATGATAGAACGAAAGAGAGAAAACACTTTATAAATAAAAAATAGTGATAATTGAATATGTAATTAAGTCTAACTGATTGAAACGTCGACTCTTACTAGTTGAAGAAAATTCAAAATATGAAAAATGCCAATAAATATTAAATACTGTAAGAAATTGAGGTAAAGTGTGAAAAAACGTGACAAGACGGATCCATACCCAACCCCATATCGAAAAATACCTGTCCAATCACGATCGATCAGATTGAATAATACCCGCGCGCGACAGTTTGAACAGTTCAAAATTGCCATCGCTACATTCAACGTCCGCATTTGCTTTGTTCTTCTTGACTATATAGAACTAAACCGGCCATTTGTCTTTGCGGTTTCTATGTTCTGCGACAACTGCCGCCTGCCGGCTATTCCACCGCCGAAAGCACTCCTTCAATCGCCGGCCGCCAATTCAAGCTCACAAACCTCACTATAAAGTCCAAGCTCAATTCCCCCTCAATCACCAGAAAACGAAATCCAAACAAAAATATTGAGCAAAAAAAAAAAAAAAAAATGAAGCCGGCGGCAGCTTTCCTTCCGGCACTCATCCTCCTCTCCACACTCGCCTCCGCCGCATCCCCTCCCCCGCCGGTCCTCGACGCCCGCGGCCACCCCGTCCACTCCGGCACCCTCTACAACATCCTCCCTGCCGCCGCCGACGCCGCCCACCACGGCGGCGGCCTGACCCTCGACGTCATCGCCAACCACAGCTACGCCGCCTGCAAGCTCGGAGTGTTCCAGGACGGGAACCCCTCGTCCCCGGGCCTTCCCGTCAAAATCTTCCTCGCCGGCGGCGAGGAAGTGCGCGGTCCCTCCTCCGTCCCGACCGCCACGGAGGTCAACATTCAGTTCGCGGCCTCGTCGACCTGCGCCCGGTCCACGGTGTGGAAGATCGGCCGGTTCGACCGGGACGCGAAGACGTGGTTCGTGGTGGATGGCGGCGAGAGGGCGAGCACTCCCGACCTCCGGTCGCCGGCGCAGAGTCTGTTCAAGATTGTGAAGGTGGCGGTGGTGGGGGAGGGGAAGAATCATCAGGTTTTGTTCAAGATCGTTTTCTGCCCGTCGGCGGCGTGTAAGGACGTGGGGATTTTTGTGGATGGGAAGACTGGGTACCGCAGGCTGGCGCTTGTTGACCATGGGCCTTTGCTGGTCCAATTTAAGAAGGCCTGAGTGTCATCATTGTGGGTCTAAAGCCCATTTATAACTGGATTGAGTTATAGACGGGACTGGACTCTTCCGGCCGGGATTAAGAAGGCTTTTTTTTTTACTGGTTTGGAGTGCGCCTTTATTGACTTGTTGCGTTTGGTTAAGAGACTTTCCTTTTTTTTCCCCCTTTCATCGCGAGTGTTTGTTTTGGTTATGGCATTAATTAATATTATTAATATGAATTTATTATAATGAATATATAATCAGTGAGAATTATGTCTAGAAGGTAAATAGATTGAATTTCTGGATCGTTGGATATATGGACTAGTGAATTTATGGACTGATGGATTGATCAATGGAGCAAAATGATATCTAAATATTAGGTAATAATAAGATAATAGTTTTAAGATACAATTATATGAGTAATTCTGGCAACTTAAGCTGAAAATACAAGTAACAAATACTATATTCTCACAATCATTTGTATCCTACACAATACATAAATTTTGAGAATACACACATACACTCTTAGAACCCAATCAGCACTCACATGGTAGATAACAATAGTACTTAGTACACTGTCTGCATTGTTTTTATTTAAAAACCCTAAACTTAATTAACAACATTAATTACCTAGCATTTACCATCTTGAAGCAAGTCCATGGCGATCTTACCGTTCCCGCCACGTGGCAGGAACCCGCCGGGCCTGTGCTCGTCGCCCGTCCCGTAGACGATCCTCAGAATCTCCGGCGGCGTGCGCGCGTAAGCCAGGGAGTTGAAGTCCAGCGACAGGACGTTGCTCTCCGTCCTGTTCTCGGCCCCGAGCTCCGGCGGAACCCACAGGCCTTCGTCCTTGAGGCCGCACATCCCGAGGCGGTTGCGCAGCTGCGAGAGCGCCGCCGTGAAATCCGCCACCGTGATGTTGTCGTACGGCTGCACTTGTTCGTGGGATCTCTCGTAGAGGAGTGTTCGGAATACTGCGTCTTGTCCTGCCTCCGCTCCCAACAGACCGGCCACTAGCTGCATATACACGTACATGCATCCAGAAATTATTATTTACTTCATCGATTAACAATTCGAGTTATTGGAAGCAAATTAATTTTTGACAAAGCTAACTTATGTCCCTAAATCATAGGTTATTCACTGGGTTCGCTCTCTCATAAAATTTAAGTTTAAGTTTAGTTAGCTATGTAGACTATTTTATTCTCCCGATCCATTTTTCTATAAATCGATTATTTTCATAGACTGTCCATAGGAAAAAGTAGTAGAAAGAATCATTTGAAGAAAAGAAATACAGAGTTTTTAGTGGCTAAATACACATATATTTTATAATATAAGATGCCGAAGTAATGTTTTAGGTAAACAATTAATTCAGGAATGGAAAAAAAAAAAAAAAACAACTACACCAACACCAAACTCAACTAATTTCAGTTTGGTCGTTGAATATTATTAGGTAGGGCCCCCACGTGCTTTGCTTTTGCATGGGAGGCTAAAACTATGGGGTCCGTTTGGAAGTTGCGATTGTTAAATAAATGTATTGTTGAGAATGCATGTATAATATTATACATGTATTGTCGAATTTAATGCATTGTAGAATACAAACGTTTGGTATGTGTGATTGTGCATGTCGCATCAGCTAAAAACTGAGACAAAACAATCTCAACTCAACTATCTCAACAATCACAACTAAAAGTTAAGATATAACAATCACTCAAAATGAGTGATAGTTTCTGTCACATCACAGAAACAATCCATGTATTGTTTCTGCTAAATAAACAAAAAAACGATGCATTGTAAACAATACATGCATAATGACAATCTCAACAAAACAATCGCAACTTCCAAACGACTCCTAATTTTTTTTTTTTTTTAAACTTTTGTGGTGGACATTATCAACTATGAAGCACCAACCTTTTCACTTACGTATCACCTTTGTGGTTGAATCGACAAAACTAGTTTATGTGGTTAATTGTAGATGTTAGTCATTTCCATAACTCATAAAATGTCCAAAAAAAGTTTTCTTGTCCTATAGCGATACAAAGTGATTGTTACCAAATGAGGTACGTAAGTTATGACTGAACTATCTAGCTAGCTATTTTGAGACGTTTCTCAGCCATGCGTATGCATGTAAGCAAGCTGAAAAGACTTAATAGTTCGTCTCAATAACTCGATCCCAATCCGTAACAAACCCTATCGAACGCGCGGCGAGTATCGAAATCCAATCATCATCACCAGCTATACTTACTTACTTACCCTTCGAGATGTGTATTTGGCCAAGTTGGGGATGGTGCCAACGTATCCATTCAGCCCCACGTACGGAATCAAGTAGCACGCCAGCAGGAAGTTGGTCTCGCACAAGTAAGGGTTGAACGGCGGCTCCAACCTCCCACCGAAATATTCCCCCACGGCTTCCTCAAATATCACCCCGAAATTCTTCGCGCTCAGATCGTACAGCGGCCGCGGAACTCCACCAACCGTTTCGAAGATCGCCCTGTAACCGTTTCGAAATTATTGTTTAAAGCTAGCAAAGCAAAGTGACGATATATATATATATATGCACAAAGATTTAGATAGACGGACCTCAAATGGCCGATTTCTTGGAACCCGAACTCCTCGACGATTCGCCTGATTGTTGGGCCGAGGTTGGCCTTCTGGGCCCCGACGGGAGGTGGGCCTCCGAGGGCGTACTCCGGGGCGATTTCGTCCAGCCCGTGACCGAGCGCCGCGTGGAGGAACAGCTCGGCTTCGAGGAATTCCAAGTTGAGAGCGAACTGGATCTGGTCTCTGTCGCTCGCCTTTATTGGTGCACAGTGTGCCGACGTGTCGCCGTGGACGGAGAAAGGAGGCAGAAGGATGGCGAGGAGGAAAGCTGCGGTTGCAAGAGTGTTTGCTGGTGAAGAAGGAGGACGACGAGCGGCCATTTTTTTTTCTTTCTTTTCTTTGGTGGAGAATACTATGTGCTGCAGCCAATCGGCTCCTGTATATATATAATGCATGCACGTGTTAGTATTGTGGTATATGATTTATGATTGAACATCTCCCAACAACTCGAATTATTGGGAGCAACTAGTTCTTGACAGCACGAGCTGTCATGCGGCAATTGGCTACTTATGCATGGTTATACATGTGTACACGTAACAGATCTTATTTGGGAATTAACGAGGAGGGGGGTTATTAATTAACTAGAAGAGAAGAAAGCTAATATTAGTAAGTTGAGATTAGTTTTACATTATGATGTGGTGGTTGCAGCTGTATTAAGGGTCTGCGTCTCAATAATCCTAAATCGTTAAATGCATGTGGAGATGTATACAAAAGTAGAAATTTGCTCCTTCACTCTCAAAACTAAAGAGAGAGCGCAGTTTGGCAAACATAGGAGTCGTTTGGTTTTGGTGATATTTTGGTTGGGATAGTTACAATGCATCGTTTTTTTTTTTTTTGAATTTTCTGCGCAAACAATACATGCATTGTTTGCTTGATTTGACACAAACTGTCACTCAAAATGAGTGATAGTTAAATCTCAAGTTTTCGTTGAGATTGTTGAGATTGTTTGATGGAGATTGTTGTGTTTTCTTCTTCTTCCAAATATGTCCCTACCTTTTTATGTGTGTTGCTTTTTTATATTAAAAACAAAGGGTAAAAGTGACATTTCACCCAAAAAAATGATATAATTTATTTAAATACTACAATAACTATCACAGAAACCAAACGATGTAAACTACAATACACCAGGGACGGAGCTAGAGTGTAAGTAGGGGGGGCCATGGCCCCCCCTAAATTATTAGAAAAAATGGTAGCAACTAAGCTATATAACTGAAGCTGTAGTGTAGTGGCATGTAGTTTTTATTTTAGATATGAGGTCGGTTCGATGGTTGTTGGCAGCAACGTTTTAATTCATCATGTTTTGATTCTTAACCCCAAATTTTGCATGCATTACGATTTGGTACCAAAACTTTTCTTTTGGTACATCTTTGCCCCAAAATTTTCATGTCTTACGAGATTTTTTTCATTTGTTACAACTTTTGCCCATTGTCTTACAATTGGTACCATACTTCTCATCCCCAAATTCCTACGCCTTACGATATGGTACCAAACATTCCCATTTGGTATATCTTTTGCCCATTGTTTTAAAATTGGTAACAAATTTAAGATTTGAGATGGTATTTTTTTCATTTTAACCTAAATTTTCTGAATTTTTGCAAGTTAATTTGCTTTTGCATAGGCATTATAGTTCTTTTTTCACCATTCTCCATTAGGAACTGAGTTCAATCTTTTCATTTTTAATTAGCAGTAACATATTTTTTAACTATACAATATGCCAAAGGTCTTCTACTAGGTCAAAATAAGCTTTATGTGTCAATATTTTGATAATTTGTGTGGAACAATAGATATCATAATATTTGTTTTCAAAAAAATTTACCGGCCCCCCTTATTTAATTTCCTGGCTCCGTCCCTGCAATACACCAATTTTTTTATATACATGTATATTATTATGCATGCATTGATGACAATACATCGATTTAACTATCACCAAAACCAAACGACCCCTAAATTTTCTCTACCATTCATGCATGCGTTGTGTTGTTCATTAAAATGATTAAGTTCATAGCTTTTAAATCAAACACTACATATGATAATTTTAAAATGGTGAATCATGAACAGTTTAAGTGAAAATGTGATTTAGGATATATATATATGAAAGTGAAATTACTTGCACAAAACAAATTAGTGCAAATACTTGCTCCACCAATTGAACGGGTGCTTTCATCTCATCGACAGTTTAGCCAATTCACTTCTGGCCTCCTCAATATGGCTGCCATCGAACGGACGTGGTATCAAAACACAAAGTTCTCCATGGATTTGCCTTCCAAGGAGTAAGAAAACATGAAGTTGTTAGGATTCTTAGCACATCTCGTTATCCTTACAGTGTTGGCAAAGTTCATAAAATTCCTCAAATGATTTAAGAGAACAGCCATCCTCCGAGCCTCTGAACTATTTCAGGTGCATCACTAACAGCTTATAACCAGCTGACCTTATAACATAAGATCATGTCATATTCATCTTCATTGTAAAATTGTTACATAGTTTTCAAAATTTATGCCATGCATATAAGTATATGTTATAAACGCGCTGCTACGGATCGGGAAATCGCCGGAATCGATAAAGCAAGAATACGAGAGCGAGAATCGAAAACACAGACACACGATTTACGTGGTTCACTAACACGATGTGTGTTAGCTACGTTCACGGGCGAGAGAGAGCCAGTTTCACTATATTGAGGAGATTACAGATTACAGAGGAGTATGAGAAGTATTTATAGTACTTCTCCATGTGGGTCTAAACCTAATCCAATCTGGCAAAGGAAATGGTTACAGACCAGACCCAGAATCCGAACCCAAATAACATTGAGCCCATACACCCCCGATTACCAGTCATAACGGCTGATAATCCGATTCAAGTCACATCAACAGTATATGTATTATTCCAATAATTACACATTTAGAAGAAAAAAAAATGGGATAAATATTCAATCGGAAAAAAACTCCACATATATAATAGATTAATTCAGGAAAAAAGTAATACCGGGGACAACTCAACAAAATTTTGTTGTTTGGTTTCACCAAAAAAATTTTTGTTGTTGTTTGGTGCGGTAGGTACCCGCGCATGCATGGGACTAAAAAGAGAGCAAAAGAATGAACTTTGCTGGTGGAAATGGACATCATAACCAAAAACATCCCAGGCCCAGCTATTAATTACTAATTTTAGGCTTTAATTTACTTGTAAGCCTAGCAAGAAAATAAGCAAATGCAAGGCTAAGCGAAGGTAAGCGGTTAGATTAATTAGCCTTCAAATAGTACTAGTAGCTGCCTAGTTGGTTTCATATATGTAGCTTCAAATATATATATGTTTTTTTATGAAATAATACCTATATTAACAAATGAGGAATAAGATAGGGTGAAAATTAACCTCTCTGCTATTATTTTTTTTTCACAGATGGAACGAGCTCGCTGTGCTCTACAAAATGAGATCAAATTTCAATCTAGTTCGAAAAACTTTTTTTTACCAACTACATACCATATGGTAGCTTCTTCGTTTTTAAGTCGTTTTTGAAAACGTGTGCTCATAAGGAACGAGTTCGTCATGATCTTTTGGATCTACAAATTTCTGGGTGAAAAAAATTATGGACAAAAAATTACCATACTTTACCACTATGGTATGTGGGTGATAACTTGTAGTAAACAATGATGAAAGTAGTAAATGACAATTAGTATACTCCTACTATCATGTATTCAACCTTCTTACCATATTGATATGTTCATACCATCATGGTACGCTTTCTTACCATATGGTATTAAATAGAAGCATATCATATGGTAATTAATGGTAAAAAATTATTCAATTATATTTTTGTACTAAAAATATATCAAAGTGGATATCATTTTAAAGAGCACATTTAATCTGATTTATCTGTGCAAAAAAAATTAAATTTTGACTTAAGACGAAAGAGAAATCGTCCGTTAAAATATTAAAGGGGAAAAGATAAAAGACTTTTTAGGAGGGAGAGAGATACTGATGTAATGCTGATGTGCACGGATTACTCATCGTTACTGACCATAAGGTTACTGACCATAAGGTTACTAACCTGATCCGTTCCCGAACTTGTAGTAAGCTTTATGATGGGCCTCGCTTGGATTCGAACCTGAGATCTGCAACTTCCAATCCTTCACTGTTGCGACAGCTTTACCGTTAAGCTATCTTACCGTGCTCTTAAGATAGTTAAATAGGAGCAAGATGCGAATATTGAAAAGAAACTTAAAATTAAATCGTTAAATTTGATTAATACTTTCGAAGAAACCGATCTGGAACCCCATTTTATGAAAGAGTGGAAGGTGTCAAGATAAGGCTGCTGCTTGATGAAAATTTATTGCAAGCTTACCGAAACTGATCTGAAAAGTACAGAATGGATCATGTTCAAATATGCACTGCGGCACTCACTTTCACTCACTTGAAACACAACGAGCGACGAAACCAATATATTATACCCCACTGAAGCATCACTCATTGAGGCATCCTTGCATCTTCATTCTTGAAGCAACTTGCTCACATAATCTTTCACTGTCTAGAATTAATGGTGGAAATTATGATGCCAGTCCTGAAAACGGCTTCATGCTATTTCATATAAATAGACAGTTCTACATCGTCGAAGAGGCAGAGGGATCAAAACAGAAAGCTTCATACCAAGTTCTCTATTCGAGCAAAGCAACAGGAAAGCTCGAATACTGTTAACATCTTCTAGTTACCCTATTAGATGGCCTATATCCGGGAGTCTGCATGCCAATGAATGCATCTCTTGTGCTGCTTCAGAAAGGATATCGAAATGGTGCAACCTCACATTTCCGGATCGGTTTATAAATAAGTTGCTAAGAGCGGTATGACATCAATGTCTCCTTGTTTTGGATTCAACTTTAGATTGAGCGATCCCAGAAAGCTTGTTGACCTCATAGAGTAACCCAGCCGAGAACAAGAAACTGCCAGCAGATGGTAGCAAAAGAATCAGCCTCAATACTAATAATGCAATATAACTATCTTCCAATGAGAGCCAATGACAAAACAAAATTTTAAGTTTCTGCACAACAATGTACAAGTAAGTTTTGATCCATTTGGCCAACAAGCATTGTGCCTTCCATTGCGTAACAGGTAATAGCATAACTACATGCCTAACGAATATGAACACATATATACTGTTACATCAGAAAGAAAACCCCATTAAATTACTGCCAAGTAATACATGTGAACCAAGGCAAGAAGTAGAAACCTAGAACACATTCTACTCAAAACATAATAGGGTCAAGAATTCTCTTGCGGACGATGTTTTCCCCAAACAAACATATTACAACAGACACGAAAAAGTAGAATGGGATGACTTGTAGTGTCAAAACATTACCAAGTTGTTATGCAAACCCGATGGACAGTTCCAGCAGCAATTAGAGCAACGACTTCAGCCAATACAACTGTTCAGAGAGAAACTGTTAGTCCGAAATCGTGCTGATGAGATAAATGAAGGCTCAAAACTTATTGAAGTTTATAACTGAAGGGAACTCGGTATATATGCAGCATTTGTGGCCAGGCTTAAGGAAGATTCACTTAAATGACTACCAGGCATCATGAAGCTACACCATATGCAATAAACATTCTGCTTCGGGAGAAGAATCCAATAAAAGATAACTAAAAGCACTCACCAGCACCCCACCCGGTCTTCATGCCATTTGATTCCTGGAAATTACCAATGAACTGCGCGAAACAGAATTGAGATGCACAGCATCACATCGGAACTTGTTCAGCTGACAGAAAAACTTATAAGAAGATGTTATGCTGCTTCATCAATCTCAACTAATATTTAGCAAAGTAAGAGATACTTGTTGAAGCAGAATGCACCAGCTGGGAAAACTAACATTTCTTCATCAGGATCACATCATTCAAGTAATAAATAATGGGGGTTTGAAGGTGTGGGAGAGGATAGAGCATGTAAGGCTATAGTTTCACGACGTTATTCCTTAGGAACACTGATCCTATACTACAATGAAAAATCAACCATCACAAGGTAAGGTGATAGAAACATGTAAATTTCCAAATCCCAAGCACATCCATATTTTCGCAAATGAGAAGGATGCCCATGAACAAGGTGAAATTAACTCACAGTTAAGAGCACAAGGAAAAGGAGAGAGCTAGTAAATCCTCCCAGAATGGTGAACAACTTAGTAGACGCCAGCTTCCCGCGGTACATCTCTTGAAGTGACAGAATGACCAAGAACAGAAGAAGCGAGTAAAGCATCGAACTTCCAGCTCCTGCCGCCATGTCTTGCCTTCAAATTCCATCCGAAAACAAAAAAACCATCAATTACAGACAAACAAACGAATGATCTCGAAATATCAAAGCAGATCTCTGACTTCGCAACACCAACATTCACGTTCTCAGCAGATTCCAACAAATCGCCGCAAGGTAATAACTCGGCGGAGAATCAATAACACTCTGCCCCGCTCGAAAATCCAATTGATCGAGAGCGAGATCTAAGATCATCGTGTACGAGCCCAAAAACTTCCTCGCCATAAATCAACATACAAAACTCGAATTACCCATTTCAGTTTCGCCCATCATTTTCCCGGGAAGCAAACAGAAAACATATATTCACATCGGAATAATTACGGTGAAACTCGTACCTTATTCCAATCTAGCTCCGCCTTGCCAAAATTTCTCGCTTCTCAGCGTCGACTGATTACATGGACTGACTCGGCTCTCTTCCACTCTGGGGAAGGCAGAGGAGAGCGGACTTCAACTTTTCTAACCAAACAGAACGACATCGTTTATGCAATTTATACGAGGCCATGAGTCCACGACGAACTCATCAAACGACTTCGTATAATTTGGAAAGATCGAAGCTTTACCTTCCGTTGCTTGTTCTTTTCCCTACGATGGCGACGAAATCATTCCCTGCTACCGTTCGTTGCCCTGCCTTTACTCAATTAGTCAAATTCCCGTCATCACAAGGTCCCTCTTCCCTCCCCAAGAATATCGATCTCCTCAGACGGATCCTTACTCCGAATCCGCATCATGATCGCTCGAAATTGGAAGCTTCAAAGCTCCAGAATGATGTCAAAGTCGAAGAGTTTTTGCCTCGTCTGTGGTCTGACGAGTTTTGCTCAGCATGGAGGAAGTGGGTTCTTCCCCACGACGCGGTTTCAGTCGAGGAGAAAGGGGTATCAGATGGGTTTTTAAAGGAGAAGGATATCAAGGTTAGGGTTTTCAAGGTTGCCAGTGGTCTATCGAATGGTAATGGGGAAGGCCGTGTGTTTGAATTAAGCTATATAGCTAAGATCATGAAATTGCCTGTTTGAGATGAATGAACAGAGGAGACGAGAATTGGGTTTGATTTTTAAGATCGGTTCAGAACGGAGCAGGATTTGTAGAGTTCGTGGATTGTGGGGTGATCTGGATGATGGGTGTTTGTATTGTGTTTGTGAACTGCTGAATGAAAGCTCTTGTTATGGTTGGTATGGAAATGAGTGAAGCAGTAGTGATGCGTTTGCATTCAGAAGGTGTAATTGCAGGTGGTTTAGGACTTCCTTGCTTTACATTGGATGCTTTTTGGACATGGCAAGTTTATGTTCGAATCAGCAGGTTATAACATCGTTGGGTCAGACTACTTGGAAAGACGATTCAGAAGTTCATTTGTGGTTCGTAAAAAGTACTGGTTATAGAGAATTGGGAACCTTGGTTGCTGAATTTCTGAGAAGAGAGACAATACAAGTACATTTCTCAGTTACTCCATATGTCAACAATGCTGACTTGAACTGTCCACCTCGATATTTCTAACAGGGCCCTTGAACCATTTCCTAGCATCCAAAACCCACCACAACATCACCAATCCCATGCACACCGCAAGCGCAACCGGCGCGTAGTTGAAGGTCTTCAGTTTTATAGGGTAACTCGTCGGCAACAGGAAGGCCGAACAAGTATAGCCGATCCACAAGAAAGCCACCAAGCATATCGGCCTCCTGGCTCTGCCCAAGTAGAACGGTCCCGGCTTGAAATTTTGCTCTTCCATCACCAGCCTGGCGAATATGGGCACTGCATACCCTCCCACCCATCCAACCGTGCTGATCGAAAGTATGGCGGTGAAGACGACGTCCATCTTCAGGATCGGGAGCCCTAAGATGATGCTGATGGCTGCACACAGCCACACCGCGTTCACCGGGACTTTGGACTTTGGGTGCAGCTTTCTCCATATCGGTGAGAATGGGATGCCGTTGTCTCTTGATAGTGCATATATCTGCAAAATTTGCACCGCTCTAAAAATGGTCAATAAGTAGAAATGATGACCAATCGAACATGTACGATACACATATATCTAACGGGGTGTAAGATTGACCCGGAAGACCCACTTATCCGTCACGACCCGTCCCGTCCCTGAGGGTCGAGACAGGTCAGTTTATTTATAGGGTCAAATTAGGGACGGGTAGGGACAAGACAACTTAGGGATGTGTCGCTTTTTTGATCCTGTGACCCTTAGCAACTACAAATATCTCACACCACATTGGAACTCTATGTAAAGTTTTAAAAGTTTAGATACCAACTTGTAAAATAAAAAATTTGGGTACCAAAACGTAATTTTAGCATCAAAAGTTATGGACTTATTTGTAAAAAAGATAAAAATTAGGTATTAAATTGTATGAAAAATAATTTTGGGTACCAAAAAGTAATTTATAAATAAGTAGTATGTTGATTAGGATCTTAGGATCGACCCACTGACCCGGCCAGTCCTGACCCGTCCCTACCTTTGTGAGTCACACAGGATAAAAAGGAGACAAAACGAGACAGGTTAGTTATACATAGAGGTGACAATTTCAATCCAATCCACCAATCCAATCCATCAATCCATTAGAAATATCCACCTAATCCAATCCATTTAAATCCAATCCATTTAATCCAAATCCAATTGGATTGGTGGATTCATGGATTGGATCCATGGATCATTGGCAAATTACGGTTTAGTACCTATAATTTTTATTTTTTACATTTTGGTACCTAAAATTTATTTTTTTATACGAAAATATCATTGGAAAATTATGTTTTGGTACCTAAAATTTTTCATTATGACATTTTAGTGCCTAAACTTTTTACATTTTACATATTGGTCCTTGGTTGAGGATGTCATTTGGATTCATGGATAATCCACCAATCCACTTGATCCAATCCATGGTTGAGGATGTCATTTGGATTCATGGATAATCCACCAATCCATGAATCCACCAATCCATTAGATCCAATCCATTTGATCCATGGATCCACCAATCCAATCCATCAATCCAACAATCCAATCCATTTGCCACCTCTAGTTATACATTTTTGACCTTCTAGATATGAGTAAGAGTGAGGGACGGAACATACAAATTTTTAGCCCTAAATTCATATATCATGGGAAAATATATGGTAGTATTATTCTTACCACACGGGCAGCACTAGTTGTGACGGCGAGCCCACAGAAGAAGAAGGACCCCCAAATAATGCAGAGGAAAACCACGGCTCCGGCGGAGTTATGGTACCTCCCGTAGAACGCGTCGTAGATGATCTGCGCCGGGACGAGAGCGCCGCCGGTCTCGTTGTTCTCGTCGTAGAGATAGTCGAAATCCTTGATGCTGAAAGTGAGGGCCAAGTTGTAGGCCCATCCGAAGACGGAGATGATGCCGATGCTGGACAGGATGGCGAAAGGCCCAGTTCTGTCGGCCCCTTTGGTCTCCTCGGTCAAATGGGCCGCCGAGTCGTAGCCGTAGAGGCAGTAGTTGCTCAACAAGACGGACATTATGACGGCGTAAGGCCTGCTGGCGATGCCGGTGGATTCAGGGGATGTTTGGAAGTGGGTGAAGACGAATGAAGCCGGTTGGGTTTGCTGTGCGACTAGCGGCAGCATTATTATCACGACCAAACCTCCAATTACCTGTAATAACCCCATATTATTAGCAAGATTGCCTCAAATCTTAGACATTATTAATATATTGTAGTACTATTGTCTCAAATCTTAGACATGCTCCATGAAACCGGAGACCGTACCGGGAAAGTAAGCGGTATAGTATTTTATGGTAAAACCGTGGTTTAACCGTAGTTCAACCGTTATACCGGTAAATACCGCCTATCGGTTTAGCCTCCAATACTGATATTTCGTGGTTTAACCGCCGATACAATACGGTTTCATGGACACTGCTATTTACATACCTGCCACCACATGGAGATGATGCCAAAGAAAGCAATGACTTCAAGTGCAAAGGTGTTGAGGGTTGCCCAAATGAGAGTGAACCCGATGTACATTGACAAAAATACCCCTCTCGACGCGTAGTAGCCCCCTCCGGTGTTGGTCCCCGTGGCCAGCAGAATGATCATTTGTAGCGATTGAGATGCCGAATACGCCTAAATATGCTTTTATTAGTAATAATCTCACAAAAATCTCATATTATTATAATAGGTGATTAAGCCTCATTTACTAATTTTTTCCAAACTACACAGCCCTTAAATTATTACCTGAGCACCAACTCCAGAAACAAGGCCGATGGTCTCGAGCCAGGCGCAGCACCAGGATGCGAATGGGCCCCATCTCGGCCCAGCCAAGTGAGCGGCCCAGAAGTAGAGTGACCCCGTGGTCTGATGATTGAAGTGATCATACAAATTCAGTCAACGAAACAGAGAAAAATACCAATAATTAATTAATCAAATTGTGAACCAGAGACATACAGGGAAAGAAGAGCAGATTTCAGACATGGCGACGCCGACGAACCAAGTGAAGAAGACGACGATGGGCCAGCCCCATATCAGGCTCGCCGGCCCAGCGTATCTCAGGCTCGGCCCATACAGTGGCGTCCCTACGAACACCGCCATGCTCGAAAACGTTATCCCGAGTATCTTCAAGAACGTCTGTACGACAAATAAAATCAATTAAGAAAAAATCTATCATGTACGTAAACCTACTGGAAAGAAGTCTAAATCGAGAACGAAAAAACACAAGATTTTAACGTGGTATTTCTGATCAACATGACTAATTTTACGGGAGAGACGGTGCTCTCCAAAAGGATTTTTCTATCCAACCTTTCACTATACAAGCTCTTATACCATGTAAAGAAGTCTAAATCCGAAAACGGAAGGACACAGAATTTTAACATGGTATGTTTAATCGACAGGACTAATCCGCAGGAGAGAGCGACGGTGATCTCCAAAACACACACGGAAAGTAGTTAATTATTAATTACCATTTCCCTTCTGAGCTCCTGCTTGTATCCAAGCTCGTTGAGCCGCTTCTCCCCTGAATCCAAGACCGGCGCAGCTTCCTCGAGCTCCATTTCCATGGCGGCCACTTTCCTTGACCCACCAATTCCATTCGCTCCTCCTCCTTCTCTGAAACTCATATTTGCAGAGTCTGATCTCTTCTGTGTGTGCAGAAGAGTTCTCTGTTTGTTATTCCAAGGTGTTTGGAACGACAAACCAGTTAGCTAGATCAGGCAGAGTGAATGTGATTAGCAGTACATGTATATATAATCCTTCTGACTATTCTCGTGGATTAGTTTAAAGGTGCAACGAAAAGGGGAGAAAGAAAATGAACTGTTTTGTCTTTTTGCATTTGAATTTCAACGCCGTCCTTAATAAAAATTGTCAAACAATTGGGCTCAATACTTCATTGTGATAGCTACGTGTAACCATAGGGAATGTGGAAAGTTTCAACGGTGTGAGTGCGCCTCAATATGCTAATGGCTAAATTTTGTCTCGATTTTCAACTTCAACGAACTTTAATCATTTTATTTCGATAAAATCCTATGTATTTGCATGACTTATGACTTCTGATAGTCGATTTTTCATCAGACCAACCGATATTTAGCAAATATAGATTTTTTTCCTGTAATCTTTCGTCTATTAGATGGATGCAATATTTGAAATAAGCGAATTTTAAAAAAAAAAAATTATGCGGACCGTTCGATCACATATGTAAACAGTTTAGATTCACAATCAGTGAGTCAACAGTCTTTGGCTGATTTGTTAGAAGCTAGCTTGCATGTGTCTGTACGGCTATTGGATCAAAGAGTCAAAGGAAGGGAAGAGATTCAATATATGGTTAGGTGAGGAGTGTGGTTTAAGCTTTAAACGAACGAGATGCTAATAAACATCGTTTTTTGTGAGGTTTTGTCGTTGAATGAAGGTTTTGTCGTGACTTGCAATGTCGTTGTTAATGAGTTTTTTGTTTGTTACTAATGGCTTCCCATTTTAGTCACGGGAGGTTACCACTGTCTGTGGATCGTAGTTGAGCACAATGAGCTCCTAAAAGCATAAGTGACATATTACGATTTACATAGTTATCCTTAGGGATGATATTGTCTTTGACATTCATTAAAGTTATGATCCTAAGTAGTACAATCAGAATAGTATCTAAAATTTTGCATTACCAAAAGGAAAATTTGGTATGAACAGAAGAATAATTGTTCATCTTTAATGGTCAAACACATTGGGTGTTGATGACACGAGACATATGTCACCTACTGTTAGAGTGTGGTATAAAATCCAGCATAACCTTCTCCCAACAACTCGAGTTATTGGGACCAGGTGGTTTATGACATGGTATCGGAGCTGGTTTGGCCAAGTGGTCGTGTTAGAGTGTGGTATAAGATCCAACATAACCTTCTCCCAACAACTCGAATTATTGGGACCAAGTGGTTTATGACCCCTCCACCGCAGATGAGTTGATGGTTAAGGGAATAGTCAATCATGAAGTCGAGTCATATTCAATTCTTATTAATAATTTACAAATCTAGACAAAATTATTTGTTTATATTGTGACCCATAGTTGTCTGAAACACATCAAATTTCAGACCATACAAAAATACTATCCCCATATTCTTATTACGTATGGTGCTCTAAGCATCGTCATCCCCAATTGTTTTCCAATTGCTAAAGTGAAGCGAAGTTTATGTGACAAATTTTCAAAAATTGGCAGTGATGTGGCTGTACTTGCTATAATTAAGCAAGATTATTAGGAACAAGGATATGATATAGTACCACTTAGTAACTTTTCAATTGAAGATTTAATGTTGATATTATTTGCGAAAATCTTGAGGTTTTAAGATTGTTTAATAGGAATTTGAAGATCAAAGTAATCAATTGAAGATTTAAGGTTGATCTTATTTGCGAAAATCTTGAGGTTTTAAGATTGTTTAATAGGAATTTGAAGATCAAAGTAATCAATTGAAGATTTAAGGTTGATCTTATTTGCGAAAATCTTGAGGTTTTAAGATTGTTTAATAGGGGAATTTGAAGATTTAAGGTTGAAACGTTAATCCGCTTTTTTATAATATAGCAAAGGAAGTTGGACTTGGGACACTATTGTTTTGAAGCAACATATGGATCTCCATTCTCCGTTCCAATAAAAGTCAATTCGGCCGTCTCTGAGACTGAGAGCGACTTTGTCTGTCATTATTCAAAAGGATGGGATGGGAAACATTGACCGCAGCTTAAAGTTACTGCGACTTGGAAGAAAGTTGATTGATTAACCAATGACCAACATAATATCTAGCTTCTCAGATGGAATTGTTTCAAGATAATGCATACGATCGATAAGGTGGTAAATTTTTTAGTAAGAGTATTGTGGAATTTTGGTAGTCGAGGAGATTTACTATGTATTACTGTATTGGTGTTTTGGTTTATAAAAACAAATCGTGATAAATTGATCTTGTACTTTTTGACGCTATAGTGTAAATTCAGTTTATACCTATAAAGAAATTTGTATAATAAACTGAATTTGTGCATATATGTTACTAGTACAAACTTAATTTGTACCACATCATAAATTTTAAATATATAAATTTTTTTATGATATAATTACAATTTGTACTTTTAACATTATAATATAAGTTTAATTTGCACATCAAAACTCGAAAACCAGTACTTTAGAGAACATTAGAAACTTTGGTTTACTTGAGTGGAATGGTGTCGTGTTATAATATTAATATATATCAAGGTTGTTAAACCCCTATCGAACCTCCGTTGGACCCCGTACCGACCTAAGTTGGACTTCAAAACGGCCTCCAGAAAGCCACCCGGTCCGACCCTTAAAGAGGGACAAGAAGAAGGGGGGGGGGGGGGGGGGGGGGGGGGAGGGAGGAAGAGGAATAAATGAAGGGAGATGGTGTATGGGTCATGAAGGTTAGGTAGATTTATTTTGTGGAAAATAAGTTTTTAATAGATACACGTAAGATAAATTTAATTTCAGTCATTAAATCTTTAATTAATACCTTATTTATATGTATATTTAGAGAATGTCTAAAACGACTCAAACCGACCGGATCCCGATCAGACCATTAAACCTCAAACCCCTTACTTGATCAGGTTAATGATTTAAATCGGTTTGACAATCAGGTTAATGATTTAAATCGGTTTGACAAACTTGATTTCTATACATTGGAATAATTTTTAGTCATCCTCTTTTTGAACTTTGCAGAGTATTGTAAAATTGAGTCCCCCAATTCAGGTTTGTTGTCGACGACCTTCTGCAGCTCAGCTCTACACTATCTTCGTCCTCGCGCTACTTGCTTTTCTCGGTGGGTATGTCATATGTGTGAAACTACAAGCAGAACTAGTGGAACGTCTTGTGCAGCTGATTTCATTTCACCATTGGAAACTTATTGGGCTTGGTTATTCCATTGGCCCAATACTGACCTTCCTGAACAGGGCTAGCTTGCTAAATGAGTAAAGCTCCTGGCCCAATCCTTTCAAACAAGGAATCCCGCCAAGCTACCAAGAATATAGCTCTTTGAGCAAAACTAGCCTGTTTAGCAGAAAATAAGAACACGAACTAGAGATAAAGAAAAGGGAAATGGGAGGCGAGAGAGATGATACCAGAGTCGGAGTCACTTGGAGAGGAGGGGTGCTTGCACCCTTTGAGCTTGGAGAAAAAAATTCTCGAGTAAGGGTATATACAAATTAAAACCAGTGACCATTCAGCTGTAAGAAGAATTTCTTACCATCTCGACAGTAAAGTAATAAATCATTGTCTTTTGTTTAAACTCGCTCATTTCTTTTGTAGCTCTACAACAGAGAAATTTCTTGTCTTTTGTTTAAACAAAGCTGAAAGTGAAGAAGTACCAGTTGAAGCTCACTTGTTTGTTTCACAAAATCAATTCAAGGTACTTCTGAGCTCTAATTTGCAATATTTGATGAATGGAAGTCTTGACTTGTATGTACTGAACTTATTTGTTTGACGTTGTAACCGGTGAACGTGAAACTATTTTAATGTAATTGTATGAATTTAGAGTATTGCGATCAGGGGCGGATACATGGGCCTCTAGGGGTGTCCCGGGACACCCCTAAAATTTGGGGAAACGATTATCCAACCTCCGGTAGTAGTTTCGTATGCGTATACAAAATATAATTGGTAATCCGGGACACCCTAACATTTGAAAAAATGATTATTTTACCCTCGATAATAGTTTGCTTATGATTAACAAAATATAAGTGGTAGTCCGTGTTATTCCAACCTAGGACACTACTATTATCAAACATATTCTAATTAAGTGGTAGTCCGTGTTATCCCTTAATTTTGAATTGATCTTATGGTTACACGGCAAGTGTTGAAAGAGTCTTTTCTACTTTGACTACATTAAGAACAAGGTTAGAAATCGAATATGTGATAAGTTCGTGAAGTATTGTCTAGTAGGATATGTAGATTTTTTTTGAACAGTGCAGACACGAAGTTTATTTATATTATTTTTTTCAAAATATGAATTTTAATTTATTATTTAATAAAAAATTTATACAAATTATACAAGTATGATATTTTTAATATACGAATTATTTAATTTATTATATAATTAAATTTAATTTTTGAAGAGGACACCCCTGTGAAAATTTTCTGAATCCGCCACTGATTGCGATGTTGACTTTTTATTTCTTTTAAAGTTGACATTTCTATTGTATAGGTAATTTTTTATGATATGATAAAGACACCCGCTTGACCAATTTTCTGGCTCCGCCATCGCACGTTTGATAAAAAAAATAGTATAGAAATATGTTTTATAAAATTATATAATAGAGTGACATATTACACCTAAAAACCCATATATTCATCATATATATATATGTATATATATCGCGCTACTTTTTTTTTTGAAAAATGCTTTCATTCATTATTCAATAAAGTAGTATATATATCACGCTACTTTTTTTTTGAAAAAAATAGTATATATATCACGCTACTTGCTAGCAGAAAATAGCGAGCAAACTGCATACTTTATTCAATAATTTAATAAAAAGCTAGGTTGCTTTCACACACCCAGTTCCACTGGTCTCGCCAAAATGACTCTTTATCACAGCTGCAACCCACAAACTGGAGTTGCTTGCATCTGCCAAAACATCACACACAATCAATAAGACTCCCAATGAACCAAGACAAATACCCTTTGCCTTAGCTTTTAAGACGCTTAACTATTATATTACGGCACACATACTCTTTAACGCCGAAACGACGTACTTCAACGAAATGACTCCACGTGCTGACGAAATACACGTGACCTTATTTTTCAAACTAACATATGATGACCGTAGATGATTATTTAGTGAGCGAGACGTAGATGAACGCCATGCACGTAGGATACGTAGGAGCGAGAGCTCGGCTTAGAGCTTGAGGGGTTCCTCTATAGGTATGATAACTTCACTGGTGGTGGTAGATTTGAGGAGGCCATCTTCGAGGCGATAGGTAATAGCTTCTTCGTCGTTGTAAAGCTTGTCGGTGTACGAGTAGGAGAAGGGAACTTCACGAGTGGTGGTTCTCTCCTCCAGGGTAAGCCTCACCTGCTTCATCGGAGGCACGGTGTAGTCCTCCTCTATTTCCTTGGTTTTGGTGGTTGTACTGGTCTCTCCCTTCATCGTTCCTTCAGAGTACTCGCCCGAGAGCTCGAGCTTTGCTCCGCCGAGGAACTTGTCCAGAAACAATCCCGGGATCTTAAAATCTATGCTGAGCTTGCCGCCTATCTTCCAGGTCATGGTGCGACTCCAGGTGGCGGAGGCGGTCTCCGTCACCACAAACTTGTGCTTCACCTTCCTTGCCGTCGAGGTTGCGTTAGGAAGAATCCCCCGCTCGGGGTCCTTCATGGTCGCCACGGTGACGGTTCTGGCGTCGTCGCTGCGGACGTCCACGTCGAAGATGCGCCTCTGCTTCACAGGCTCTTCCACCGCGAGGTGCGAGTATCCGTCCACGTGCTGCGCGTTCGCTCTGAGGCAGCTGCCGATTTTGGGATCCCAGAATCGCTTGCAGAAGAGGCCGTTGCCGCAGTTCCTGAGGGCGACCCGAACGCTTTCGGATTTTCCAGACTCGGCCACCCTGACGACCTGAAACACCGTGTCCTTGTTGTCGAAGGTGGCGTCGGTTGAGTCGCATCGAATCCAGTCCTCGTGGTCCGCATCCCGCCTCCAAAAGTTCCCCGTCGCAACGGATTGTATGCGAATGGTGGCATCCGACGGGTTAACAAACACGTGGTGCGCCGCAGACAAGTCCTCGATTGTATCGACCGAGAACTGGAGTGCATTCACCCAGTACGACATATCGGGCATAAATTCTGAACCTATAATAGCAGGAGCACCTAGTATTGGAAGCAGCCAAGAACCAGGCATCATCAAAGAAAGAGGAGCCGGAGGGGGAACGTGAATGCTTGCATGCTTGACGTACTTGCCGTTGTCTCCTTTAAACGCCACGAGCTTAGGCAGCAGCACCACCGACTCCGAGTAATCCACCACCTCACAAACCTCGGCCTGCTCCCGCCGGCCCACCACTAGTACACGGTCGGGCCCAGACTGGCCCAGGTACGAGTTGGACTCGGCGTGCAAGAGCCGAACGACTCCCTTGCCATCGAACTCGGCCTTGAAGAGTGTACAGGCCCATTTAGACGTGTCCTCCTCAGGGGCATCGGCTCCTCCGGAGATCAAGCTCCCCGGTTGGCTGGCTTTCCGCCAGTATTTGTTGTTGTAGCAGCAACTCAGATTGTACATGGTCGTGGACCCTCCTCCTCCTCCGGCCTGCCGGTGGGCGACTGCTTCTGCACGGAACTTGACGAAAGGGCTCACGATCTTGTCGCCGGAGAACTCGAGCGTGCCATTGGCGTTGGGCTCGTACCGCAGGTACTTGCCGTTGGACTTGCTCTTCAGGGCAAAGAATTCGGGCAGTGCCAATATCGGACCGGTACTCATGATTCTGTTTTGTATTTTATTCTTCCCTTTTTGAGAGATGTATGTGTGAGTATGTGAAAGTGGTACGATCCAACCTCATATGCCCATCTCTCTATTTATAGCTTCGCCAAGTTGGCTTTGTTTGTTTCCAGCTATAGCTAAACTTGAAGTTAAAGCGTTCAGGGAAAGAAAAGGAAAGTAGTTACATAACAACCCAAAAAAAAAAAAGATAAAGATTAAATTTACATATTTCGGTGTTTTATCATTCCTGATACCATCGTTTGTGAAACTGTATCGTACACAGGAGGTTCAATCGCGAAATATCAGTACTGTCGGGGACTAAACCGCGATAGACGGTATTAACAGTTGAACTACAGTTAAACCACATTTTCACCATAAAATTAAAAAATATGTACCGCTGACTTTTCCTAATACGGAATTTTACAAACCTTGCCTAATACGAATTTTACAATTCATGATATCTATAATCTTATAAGGATGGTAAGACACAAAAATTTTGTAGGTTTATAATTTAGTACTGGAACTCGGAACATTTATTTGTCGCTATGGTGTATTTAATTTGTACAAAATTCATTGTCTTTTATATATTTCATTATTGATTTTAATTTAAATATTTTTATCAAGTAGATACTCATCTTCTTTATTCGAAACGGTATTTCTCCAAATGATCTCTCTAGTACATAGGGGTGGCAGTTTGATTACCGGTTATTGGTTAAACGACCGGTTAAACCGATAATCAGCCAATTATCCACTAACTGGTAACCGAACTTCGGTCAGTTATTGGAAGTTGGCCAAAATGGTTTTTGGTCTTAAAAGTGGTTCGGTTAACCGATAATCGAGGTAACCGAGAAACCGAAGCCTATTTCGGGCGGTTTTCGGTAAATGGGGTGTTTATTTCGGTTAACCGATAACCGGGCAATTGGTTATCGGTTATAACCGAAATAACCGAATTGCCACCCCGTACATATATACATCTGTAAAAATTACAACATGATCATCCATCACGTTCTATAACTATTTTCCACACGTACTAATATTCCATATTTCCATCAATATGTAGTTCTCGAAACCCTAATAAGGTGCACACGTTGCCATTGGAACTTTATTCCTAATTTATATTTATATATATTGATATCATATCTCTTTCCAAAAGTAGGGAAGAAAACTTTACGCTACAATACAAGCCACTGGTAGTTACAGCCTTCACAGTGGGTCGATACGTGTTATTGTATAAAAGGGTGACATTTGTATTCTCTCTTTCCGCAGTTCTTTCCCCCCATAATTTTCTCTTTTCACCTTCAATTGTTCCTTTGAAATCCATAACTTAAAAGACTAAACGCATTCATACCCTGTTTGATTAAATTAATACTACCTTGATGCCCGCCTCCTCCGCCTGAGAAAATGGAACACAATAATTATCAATATTCGATATCACTGGATTTGAGACCTACTTGAAACGAAGTAGGTGCAATTGGAAAAAGGTCTATACCGATGAAAATAGATCAGACATGTGTACAAAAGACTCTTCCGAGGAAAAAGTTTGAATTCTGTCAATAAGCAGCAGGCGCGCACTACAGGGAAAAATATCCTTTGGTCATGGGAAATCCCGTGTTTGATAGTGTGTTTCCTGTGTGGAATAATTTTATTCATGGAAAATTATCGTAATATATACCTCCGTGTCTAATTGTAAAGGTCACGGTAAAGTTGTACTGTAACTAGTATAACTAGTCGTATACTAGTCAAGATATAATTTCCCATGATAACTTGTGTCTATTAATCACGGGAAATAACATGCCTAATGTCAAATTTTGGAGCAAATATCCTAGTAAAAAAACAATTAAAGACGATATGTGTTTTTTTTAGGACGGTATTAACTATGATAAAATCATTTTCCGTGACTAGACGTCTACAACTAGTCACGGTAACTTACTATGATTAATTACAAATCAATAGTCACAGCATTTTCTATGACTAACAAATTAATATGAATTTTCTCATTACTAATTGCAAAAAATGCTTGTGTTAAAAGTATTAAAATCCTCGGCCACCAAGTATAAGCAAAATGATATTATTAACAATTGAAAGAGTGTCAAATCTTATAGTCAATATTTCTATAATGCTACAATCTACATCACAATAACTAACTGATTAATAAGCTAACTAATGATGACTTCTATGATATTAAAGTCAGCATGAAGATAGTCTAGAGTTAACGTTGGAAATTTCATACTTCTTCTAGCAAACAAAATCTTTTGTGACATGTACTCCATCCCAAGCAACCTGCTATGTTGCATCTGCATGGACAAGGATAAAAAAAAAGACTAATATTATGCCTCTTATGATTTGATCTCCATCACTATAAGATTCATGAAATAGGCATGGAACCCTCGAATGAAATCTCACAAAAAGCAGGAATTGAAACACTATAGAGATTCTCAAGTTAAACTGAGCTTCAACGAAAAGCGGCAGAACATAAAAATGGCTCGAGAATAAATACTAAAGATAAACACGAAATTAGGGAAGAATGAATACAGACAAATTGACGGGATTATCATACTCGTATCTTACCATCTTCTAGTAGACCCTCTTCGTTGGACTCAGTGTGGTATGCTCCATCAAAATCTCAACCTCTTGAAGTAGCGGCGCGGGAGTGTGGGGGGTTGTGAGATGAGCTTCACCCAAATTTGGCACCATCAATTGCTGGGCTTCAGTCGAACTGTGAGGGGAAATGAAGTTGTAGAGAAGAAATTTCAGAAATGAAGTCCTTAAAACGAATTGAGTCTCAGAAATGAATATTCAATACGTCAAATTTTGAAAGAGAAACCTAATTCGAGGACAAATTGATGGAGAATTAACAAGGATTTGAGGAGATGCGAGGGTAAAATGATGATGATTAGGCCACCGCAACTTTAAGGCCTAGAGTCGAGCAGTGAGAAGGCGGTGGCGGAATGTGGGAGTGAATGTGGCCGGCTAAGGAAACAAGGTTTGTTTCCATATTAGATGAACAAACAAAAGGAGAACTAGAAGAACAGAGAAGGAGAGAAGATTTTGGCAGGAGTTAGTGGTGGAACAGACGGTACAAAGATGGGAAGAGAATTGGGTTTCGTTATTTTCCTTTAGATCCACTTTTCGCTAGCCATTAGTATCGTGTGTGCATTACTGTTTCAATTTTAGAGAGCCTAAAAAGTGGCGGGCCAAAGCAAAATTTTGGAGCCAAAAAAAGGGTTAGCTCTTCTAAAAAATAATTGGGAGTGGGGCGCGTTTATTTGGCTGTTGGAGGATTATTGGAGCCAAAACAATTCTTTTTGGAGCCAAACCTAATTTTTGGAGCTAAAGGAAATCCTCCCCTAAAAAATTTGAGCAATTCTTTTTGGAGGCAAACCAAATTTTTGAGCTAAAGGAAATTCTTCCTCCAAACATTTGGAAGAATTTTTTTTAAATGATAAATTTTCACATTGTTCATGATAATTAATCGTGATTAACAATTAATCACGGGAAATCAAATCTAAAAAACAGATAAATTAGTTATAGTGATTAGAACTATACAATCAAATACAAAACTTTTTACCATAACTGTTAATATACTTTTGATCACGGGAAAAATTATCGTGAATAAGATCACATGACTATAAACCAGTTTTCCTGTACTGAGGAATGACGAAACCTCTCATATAGTAAGGGGAGAATTATGAGCTGGCGGTGATTTCATTCCCATCATCTCACTTTGGAATATAATAGGAGAACGATTTCTTCATTCCAGCATCCCATCTCATTTCATTCTTCTTCCTCATCTCATTTCATTCTGCTTTGTGCCATTGCCAGCTTTTGAACTATTTATTTTATGTCGGTTTTGGTTGTGAAACGTTTTCATAACCACGGGTAGATAGAAATTTGTTTTGTCAGTGAAATAGTGAGATTGTTTGGAAACACTGAGTGTACTTCTATTTTCTTGTATATTCTCTGCAATCTACTCTTGCAATAGTGAACCAATACTCCGGAGCTGTTGTTCTCGTCGACTGACCCAAAATCAAGGTATACCACGTAAATCTTCTATGCAATTTATTATTGTCTATGCTTGTTGTTATTTTGAGAATAGTCAGTGTATATTGCATTGATAAATTAAATTGGTCTAAGAAAGTTGGTTACCGTAAATCTGTAGGCTTGCCGCTAGATCCAACTAATCTGGAAACCATTTGCAAGCGTGTGATTTTTAATTTTATAGTATAATATACTTACCTGCTATTCTCACCCCCCGATGGCCAACAATGAGGGGTGGATCCACGTTCAACTTAAGGTGGGCCCCGGCCTCCCCGGGATTGATCCCGATCCTAGGACGTGAAGGATATCTTGTACAAATTTTATAAGTATTACGTGTTCTGTAAATACTATCACATAATAGCTATGTGGTCTAATGAAAATCAAATTTGACTTGTGTCTTTGAGTACATGGATTCGATCCATGTGGTCACATCTGTCCTTTATTTTGCTTTACCCTCTCTACAATTCCCCAAACCAAAAGGAAACTTCTAATTTATTATGAGAGGGTACAAATAAAAGACACCTCTTAATACAACACACATACTCTTAACGCCGAAACAACGTACGTAGTTTAACGAAATGACTTTCACGTGCTGACGAAACAGCGTGTGACCTTATTTAAACTAACACATAACGATGACGATTATTTAGTAAGCAAGACGTAGATGAACGCCATGCACGTAGGATACGTAGGTGACGGACGCCATGCATGCGCGTACGTACGAGCGAGCTAGGTTTTCATCTCCAGAGGTTCCTCTATAGGAACGATGACTTCCTTTGTTGTGGTAGAAGTGAAGAGGCCATCTTCGAGACGATAGGTGACAGCTTCTTCGTCGTTGTAAAGCTTGTCGGTGTAGGAGTATGAGAAGGGAACCTCACGGGTGGTGGTTCTCTCCTCCAGGGAAAGCCTCACCTGCTTCATCGGAGGCACGGTGTAGTCCTCCACTATTTCCTTCGTCTTGGTGGTTGTATTGGTTCCTCCCTTCGTGGCTCCTTCAGAGTATTCGCCTGAGAGCTCCAGCTTCGCTCCCTTGAGGAACTTGTCCAGAAACCCCGATCCCGGGATCTTAAAATCTAGGGTGAGCTTGCCGCCTATCTTCCAAGTCATGGTGCTACTCCAGGTGGCGGTGGTGGTCTCCGTCACCACTAACTTGCTCGTCACCTTTCTTGGCGTCGAGGTTCCATTAGGGAAAATGTCAATCTCGGGGTTCTTCATGGTCGACACAGTGACAGTTCTAGCGTCGCCGCTCCGGATGTCAACGTCGAAGATGCGCCTGTGTTTCACAGGCTCTTTGACCACAAGGTACGAGTAGCCGTCCATGTGCTGCGCGCTTGCTCTGAGGCAGCTGCCGATGTCGGAATCCCAGAATCGCTTGCAGAAGAGGCCGTTGCCGCAATTCTTAAGGGTGATCTGAACATTATCGGAGTTTCCAGACTCCGCCACCCTAACGACCTGAAACACCGTGTCCTTGTTGTCGAAGGTGGCGTCGGTTGAGTCGCATCGAATCCAGTCTCCGTGGGTTGCATCCCGCCTCCAGAAATTTCCGGTTGCAACAGATTGTATACGAATGGTGGCATCCGACGGGTTAACAAAAACCTGGTGCGCCGCAGACAAGTCCTCGATTGTATCGACCGAGAACTGGACTGCATTCACCCAGTACGACGTGTCAATTGGAGGAAGTATTGGATTGATACCAAAAAAGCCAGGCGTCCCGAAAGAAAGAGGAGCAGGAGGGAAAACGTGAATGCTTGCATGCTTGAGGTACTTGTCGTTGTCTCCCTTGAACGCCACGAGCTTAGGCAGAAGCACCACCGACTCAGAGTAATCCACCACCTCACAAACCTCGGCTTGCACCCGCCTGCCGACCACCAGACGGTCGAACCCTGACTGGCCCGGCTCAGACCCACGACCGAGGTACGAGTTGGACTGAGCGTGCAAGAACCGAACGACTCCCTTGCCCTCGAACTCGGCCTTGAAGAGTGTACAAGCCCATTTGGACGTGTCCTCCTCGGGGGCATCGGCTCCTCCGGAGATCAAGCTCCCCGGTTGGCTGGCTTTCCGCCAGTATTTGTTGTTGTAGCAGCAACTCAGATTGTACATGGTCGTGGACCCTCCTCCTCCGGCCTGCCGGTGGGCGACTGCTTCTGCACGGAACTTGACGAAAGGGCTCACGATCTTGTCGCCGGAGAACTCGAGCGTGCCATTGGCGTTGGGCTCGTACCGCAGGTACTTGCCGTTGGACTTGCTCTTCAGGGCAAAGAATTCGGGCAGTGCCAATATCGGACCGCTACTCATGATTCTGTTTTGTATTTTATTCTTCCCTTTTGGAGAGATGTATGTGCGAGTATGTGAAGTGGTACGATCCAACCTCATGCCCATCTCTCTATTTATAGCTTCGCCAAGTTGGCTTTGTTTGTTTCCAGCTATAGCTAAACTTGAAGTTAATGCGTTCAGGGAAAGAAAAGGAAAGTAGTTACATAACAACCAAAAAAAAAAAAAGATAGAGATTAAATTTACATTATTTCGGTGTTTTATCATTCCTGATACCGCAAAATATCAGTACTGCTGGGGACTAAACCGCGATAGACGGTATTTAGCGGTATTAACAGTTGAACTACAGTTAAACAACATTTTCACCATAAAATTTAAAAATATGTACCGCTGACTTATCCTAATACGGAATTTTACAAACTTTGCCTAATACGAATTTTACAATTCATGATATCTATAATCTTATAAGGATGGTAAGACATAAAATTTTTGTAGGTTTATAATTTAGTACTGGAACTCGGAACATTTATTTGTCGCTACGGTGTTTTTAATTTGTAGAAAATTCATTGTCTTTTATATATTTCATTATTAATTTTAATTTAAATATTTTTTATCAAGTAGATACTCATCTTCTTTATTCGAAACGGTATTTCTCTAAATGCTCTCTCTAGAACATATATACATCTGTAAAAATCACAACATGATCATCCATCACGTTCTATAACTATTATCCACGCACGTACTAATATTCCATATTTCCATCAAAATATGTAGTTCTCGAAACCCTAAGGTGCACACGTTGCCATTGGAACTTTATTCCTAATTTATATTATATATTGATATCATATCTCTTTCCAAAAGTAGGGAAGAAAACTTTACACTACAATACAAGCCACTGGTAGTTACAGCCTTCACAGTGGGTCGGTACGCAATTCTTTCCCCCAAGAATTTTCTCTTTTCACCTTCAATTGTTCCTTTGAAATCCATAACTTAAAGACTAAACGCATTCATACCCTGTTTGAACTTGAAACCAAGTAGGTACAATTGAAAAAAGGTCTATACCGATGAAAATAGATCAGACATGTGTACAAAGACTCTTCCAAGGAAAAAAGTTTGAATTCTGTCAATAAGCAGCAGGCACTTCAGGGAAAAATATCCTTTGGTCATGGGAAATCTCGTGTTTGATAGTGTGTTTCCTGTGTGGAATAGTTTTATTCATGGAAAATTACCGTAATATATACCTCCGTGTCTAATTGTAAAAGTCACGGTAAAGTTGTACTGTAACTAGTATAACTAGTCGTATACTAGCCATGATATAATTTCCCATGATAACTTGTGTCTATTAATCACGGGAAAAAAACATGCCTAATGTCAAATTTTGGAGCACATATCCTGGTAAAAAAACAATTAAAGGCGGTATGTGCTTCTTTTAAGAGGGTATTAACCATGATAAAATCATTTTCCGTGACTAGACGTCTACAACTAGTCATGGTAACTTACTATGATTAATTACAAATCAATAGTCACAGCATTTTCTATGACTAATTACAAATTAATATGAATTTTCTCATTACTAATTGCAAAAAATGTTCGTGTTAAAAGTATTAAAATCCTCTGCCACCAAGTATAAGCAAAATGATATTATTAACAATTGAAAGAGTGTCAAATCTTATAGTCAATATTTCTATAATGCTACAATCTACATCACAATAACTAACTGGTTAATAAGCTAACTAACGATGACTTCTATGATATTAAAGTCAACATGAAGATAGTCTAGAGTTAACGTTGGAAATTTCATACTTCTTCTAGCAAACAAAATCTTTTGTGCCATGTACTCCATCCCAAGCAACCCGCAATGTTGCATCTGCATGGACAAAGATAAAAAAAAGACTAATATTATGCCTCGTATGATTTGATCTCCATCACTATAAGATTCATGAAATAGGCATGGAACACTCGGATGAAATCTCACAAAAAGCAGGAATTGAAACACTAGAGAGATTCTCAAGCTAAACTGAGCTTCAACGAAAAGCGGCAGAACATAAAAATGGCTCGAGAATAAATACAAGATAAACACAAAATTAGGGAAGAATGAATACAGACAAATTGACGGGATTATCATACTCGTATTTTACCATCTTCTAGTAGACCCTCTTCGTTGGACTCAGTGTGGTTTGCTCCATCGAAATCTCAACCTCTTGAAGTAGCGGCGCGGGAGTGTGGGGGTTGTGAGATGAGCTTCACCCAAATTTGGGGCCATCAATTGCTGGGCTTCAGTCGAACTGTGAGGGGAAATGAAGTTGTAGAGAAGAAATTTCAGAAATGAAGTCCTTAAAACGAATTGAGTCTCAGAAATCAATATTCAATAAGTCAAATTTTGAAAAAGAACCCTAATTCAAGGACAAATTGATGGAGAGTTAACAAGGATTTGAGGAGATGTGGGGGTAAAATGATGATGATTAGGCCACCGTAACTTTAAGGCCTAGAGTCGAGCAGTGAGAAGGCGGTGGCGGAATGTGGAAGTGAATGTGGCCGGCTAAGGAAACAAGGTTTGTTTCCATATTAGATGAACAAACAAAAGGAGAACTAGAAGAACAGAGACGAAGAGAAGGTTTTGGCAGGAATGAGCGGTGGAACAGACAGTACAAAGATGGGAAGAGAATTGGCTTTCGTTATTTTCCTTTAGATCCATTTTTCGCTAGCCACTAGTATCGTGTGTGCATGAATGTTTCAATTTTAGAGAGCCTAAAAAGTGGCGGGCCAAAGCAAAATTTTGGAGCAAAAAAAGGGGTTAGCTCTTCTAAAAAATAATTGGGAGTGGGGCGCTTTTATTTGGCTGTTGGAGGGTTATTGGAGCCAAAACAATTCTTTTTGGAGCCAAACCAAATTTTGGAGCTAGAAAAGCCCTCTCTTTGTACCCGACTGTAAACTAGTTCTTTGATTTCAGAGTCTGACTGCTATCCAATATGTAACTATCTTTTTGATTGGATTAATATATGATATCTTTTGAAAAAAAAATATCAGAAATCAGTTTTCCTGTATTGAGGAATGACGAAACCTCTCATATAGTAAGGGGAGAATTATGAGCTGGCGGTATTTCATTCCCATCACCTCACTTTGCAATATAATAGGAGGACGATTTCTTCATCTCTAGCATCCCATCTCATTTCATTCTTCTTCCTCATTTGCTTTGTGCCATTGCCAGCTTTTGAACTATTTATTTTCTATCGGTTTTGGTTGTGAAACGTTTTCATAACCACGGGTAGATAGGAAATTTTTTTGTCAGTGAAATAGTGAGATTGTTTGGAAACACTGAGTGTACTTCTATTTTCTTATATATTCTCTGCAATCTACTCTTGCAATAGTGAACCAATACTCCGGAGCTGTTGTCCTCGTCGACTGACCCAAAATCAGGGTATACCACGTAAATCTTCTATGCCATTTATTATTGTCTATGCTTGTTGTTATTTTGAGAATAGTCAGTGTATATTGCATTAATAAATTAAATTGGTCTAAGAAAGTTGGTTACCGTAAATCTGTAGGCTTGCTGCTAGATCCAACTAATCTGTAAACCATTTGCAAGCGTGTGATTTTTAATTTTATAGTATAATATACTTACCTGCTATTTTCACCCCCCGACGGCCAACAATGAGGGGCGGATCCACGTTCAACTTAAGGTGGGCCCCGGCCTTCCCGGAATTGATCCCGATCCTAGGACGTGAAGGATATTTTGTACAAATTTTATAAGTATTACGTGTTCTGTAAATACTATCACATAATAGCTATGTGGTCTAATGAAAATCAAATTTGACTTGTGTCTTTGAGTACATGGATTCGAATTTCGATCCATATGACCACACCTGTCCTTTATTTTGCTTTACCCTCTCTACAATTCCCCAAACCAAAAGGAAACTTCTAATTTATTATGAGAGGGTACAAATAAAAGGCACCTCTTTTTAATTGGTTTAATTAATTCCGAATCCCAAAACTTAATGAGATGCTACTATAAAGAATGAAGTAAAATAATGTCGTGAACTTCTAAAATAATCATTTTTTTTTAATTATTTTCGGCCCCCTAGATCTTGAAATCTTGACTCCGCCCTTACAGCAATCACGTCTTAGAGTAACTATCTCTACTGTCCTGCATCGTCAAAATAGCCAATAATACAAGAAAGACAAACTAATTAGTAGGCATACTTCATTAATAAATAAAAAGTTGATATACTCGGTGGGATACAGATCAACATGCAAGGAAACCAAGAGCCTACTTGCATGCATACAAACACTTTCATTTTTTGCTTTCCGTTTTCTGTTTTCATGTCCTAAATTTGACAACCGCGAGAAAGTTTGTTTATTTTTCATTCCGTTTTTTATTCGTTTCCAACTATGAAAACAGAAAGTGACAACTTCCCTGTTGTTTTCGAAAACGACAAAATAGTGTTTTTACCGGTTTTCAACATCTGTTTTCTCAAAACGAATACATCTCTGAACCCATCCGCGGCACCGCGACAACCTCCAACGCCGTCACCTTCGGCAGCGCAATGCCTTGCCCTTCCGCCATGTCCACAGCCAACCCATCCGCCGTCGCCAAATCAAACCCCTGAATCACCCTCGCCAGTATCAGCTGCACCACCCGCATCCCCAAATTAACTGCCGGACACGACCTCCTCCCGTAACTGAACGGCAAGTACTCGAAACTACTCTGCCCTCCCGCCGCCGCCGGCCGGACGTCCACGTCAGCGTGGCGCGTCAGGAACCGCTCGGGCCGAAACGACGCCGGATCTTCCCACGCTTTCGGGTCCCTGTGGAGCTTCCAGATGTTGATGACCACGCGCGTGCCTTTTGAGACGCGGTACCCGCCGATGGTGCAGTCTTCCATGGCCTCTCGGATTCCGGTGAGTGGGCCCGGCGGGTAGAGGCGGAGGGTTTCCTTGATGACGGCCTGGAGGTAAGGGAGGTTTTGGATGTCGGATTCTTGGACCCATCTCGTTCGGCCCACGTGGATGTCGAGCTCTTGCTGGGCTGTCTTTTGGGCTTGAGGGTGGTTGAGGAGGAGGGACAGGGCCCACGTTACGGTGATGGAGGTGCTCCCGGAGCTTGTCAGCGTTAGGGTCTGCATGCATTTGAAATTTGAGATTAATTATTCCCATCGAATTGTGATCTTTCCAATCTATAGTATTAGGGTTTTTGTAGTGTTATCGATATATCGTAAGTAGTATCTGACGGTTCAAGATAGGATGCATAATCATGGGTTATGCACCCATTCATAACCAAATCTGGACTTATCATTTAGAAAATCCAGATCTAAAGATGGAGAATTAAATATCATTTTTATTTTCCCTAGCTTTTTTAATCGGCTCATATCCTTTTCGTTTTAACTCGAATTTTAATTTTTTTTGCACAGATGGAACGAGTTCATCTTGCTCTACAAAATTAGATCAATTTTCAATATTTTTTTAGAAAAAAAAATTATGGCCTCTCGGTACCAACTGCATACCATATGATATTTTCTTCGTTTTTAATTCGTTTTTAAAACGTTTGCACAGAAGGGACGAGTTCATCATGATCTATTGGATCTACAAATTTCTGGGTGAACAAATTACATGACCAAAAAATACCACACAATACCATACAATACCACCCTGGTACGGGGTGGTATATTATGGTATATTATGGTATTTTCTTCGTTTTTAATTCGTTTTTAAAAACGTTTGCATAGAAGGGACGAGTTCATCATGATCTATTGGATCTACAAATTTCTGGGTGAACAAATTACATGACAAAAAAATACCACACAATACCATACAATACCACCCTAGTACGGGGTGGTATATTATGGTACACAATGATAAAAGTCGTAAATGACAGTTAATATACTTCTATTATCATGTATTCAACCATCCTACAGTTTTGGTTTGTTCATACCACCATGGTACGCTTTTCAAACCATAGGTATGTTCTTATTTCAATACCAGTAAATACAATATGGTCTAGACTGGTAAAAAATGGCTCAATTTTTTTTGTTCGAAAAATATATCAAAGTGGATATCATTTTGAAGAGCACAATTAATCTGATCTAACTGTGCAAAAAAAATTAAATTTCGACTTAAAACGAGTGAGAAATCGTCCGTCAAAGATTAAGAAGGGGAAAATTAAAGGCTTTCCGGGAGAGAGGGATGCTGATGTCATGCTGATGTGGGCTGGTTACTCATGGTTACTCACCATAAGGTTACTGACCTGATCAGTTCCCGTATCTGACCACAAAAAATAAAACTATAACAAGCTTATCTAAAAAAAGAGATATATTACTAATTATATAATTTGTTAATTGATTTAATTAGTTGTGATTATCTGAAAACAAACCACCTAAATCAAACAAGGTAAAAAACGATTGAAGGGAAAATTTTGGATATAAAAAACGAGAGTGAGTTATTTTAAAATTCTGCAAATACAGGTTTGGGCAGAATCCTACATCCAGATCTCTCCTCCAAACAACTCCTTCGATCTTTTCCATTTGAAGCAGATTTTTTATGATACTTATTATACACCAAACGAAAATTGGGATTCTAACTACAATAAACAAAATGGGGATCAGACTGCTAGTTGCCTTAAAACTTCTATTATATATCAATATTTGATACCCATCCAGGATTCAAAAGGATTTGAGTCAGAAATTTTATATTTTGGATAAGCTGTTTTAGAGATCGAGTCGGGATTTTTATGACAAGGTTAAAATATATAATGTTTGTCGGTTATAGTAATATCTGTATTAAATTAAGTTCTAGTCTATACTACTACTTGACTTGAGACTCCAATCTATTTGATATTTATTTTTTTATTACCCAGCCCCAAGTGTCACTTTGTAATAGTGGGTCCTACTAAAATTAGGGGTCACTTGCAATCAAATTCGACGCAAACAGGGCTTCGTCTCCAGTAGCCTTGTACCTCCGGGAACATTAACGGGGACCTCGCTTGGATTCGAACCTGGGATCTTCAACTCCCAAAGCTTTACTGTCGCGACAGCTTTACCGTTAGACTATCTTACCTTCGTATCTATTTGATATTTAGAATTCCCATTTTTTGTTGTTGTTCATTTTGTTGACGGTAGTTTTCTAATCCATTTTTTTTTTCCACAATAGGAAAAAAGATAGTAAAATTACCAAAGTAGTGGCCTTGATAATTGTTTCTGTGCTGTGGCCCGACAATGAAGCATCGTCGCCGTCGTCGTCAGCGAGGCTAGACAGCATCACATCCATAAAGTCGCTGTCACCGTCGACGTCGTCGCCGCCCTTACTCCGCTCTTCCGTCCGCCGCCGCTCCACGTGTTCCTCCAGCCACTTCCCGACCACCTCGTCGATCACCTTGGCCGACCTCTTCATGGCGGCCACGTGTCCCCCCAGATCCAGCCACTCCAGCCACGGCACAGCGTCCGACGCCACGAACACCCCGCTCAGCCGCACCGCCTCCTCCACCGCCTCCTTGTACCGCCGCGCGTCCCCGTTCTCCGCCGCGTACGCGCCCTCGGCGAAGCGCTTCCCCACCAGCATCCGAAGGCTCGTGTTGAACGTCAGCCTCTCCAACATCTCGCTTATGTTGACAACATTATTTCTCCCTGTGATAAAAAAAAATCCCCAGAGTATGAAATCACACTGTCAAAATATATATGAGTATTATTAGATGTGCACCGATTCGATACGATTTTAAAGGATGACCTGGATTAGTTTGTCTATATGGTCAGTTGTGATCGCGTCTTTTTTTTTATTTGTAAAGATTGGCCGGGTGAATATATTTAGTGTCAAGCTCTTTTTTTGCACTATAACCCATAATAATAACTAGTGATATACAATTTCTCATGCTAACATGTTACACATGTTTGTAAAATTTTAAAAGTTTAGGGGTTATAATGCAAGGTAAAAAAATTAAAGGTACTAAAACGTAAACCTTTAAAGCAATAAATTTAGCTACTAAATTGTAATAATGTTTGGGTAAGAAAATTTTAATTAAAAAAATTGTGTGTTTATCGAGAGCCAAATCACTGGCTCGATCTGACTCGACCGAATGATACATATACGGATCAGACAGAGCAAGAATAAGATCAGATCGAACCAAGTCAAGTCGAATGCTTGACTCTATAGAGCCGGATTTTTAAACGTAGCAACAATGTCATGATTGAATTTGACTCCATTTTTCACCTCTTAATTGTGGGATGAGAATATTCGTGACATCTTATATTTAAATCTTGTCCCAACAATATAAAAAAAATGTGTATTATTTATTATCTAAACAGTTTTGCATCGCATACCTGATTTATTAGCGGTTTCTAATCCGCCGTCCCGGCTGCGGCCGTACAGCTCCCTCACGAAATGGCCGAGCTCCGACAGCCGGACGCCGGCGAGCTTGCCGATGCGGTGGTTGGAGAGCAGCTGGAGGGTGGCCATCTTGCTGACGCGGCGCCAGTAGGCCCCGTAGGGCGCCACCGCGAAAACCGCGTGGTCGTAGCCCATGTACTTCCCCGCCGGGATGCCGGCCCGCGTCGCCAGTGTCTGGTCGTTGGTCGTCAGGCAGTCCTTCACGATCTCCGACCCGCTGACGACGAGGAGGTCGTGGATGCCGAATTTGAGGGAGAAGACGGGGCCGTATTTGTCCGTCATGGCGCCGAGGATCCGGCAGGCGGGGTCTTTGCTGCCGGCGAGGAGGTGGATGTGGCCGATCAGCGGCAACGCGCCCGGCGGCTCCGGTGGGCGGGGTGTTTGGATGGGTTTTCCGGTGGTGGTGGCTGTTTTTGGGACGGATCTCCGCCGTAGAGAGTGGAGGAAGAGGAGAAGGAGGAGGAGTGCTAGTGTGGTCATGAGAATGGCTTGGATGTTAGTGCTTGGATGTTGCTCCATGTTGCACTAGTGTGAAGTTGTCACTAGGGTCTCATAGCTAGAATATATAGGCAAATGTTTTTTAAAATTCTTTATATTAGTTTATATATATATATATATATATATATATATATATGGTGCCTCAATTCAAGTTCTAGATAACGTTTTCTTACTCAAGATATGCGGTACTCTGAATTTCACTCTGGATACCGTAGAACTCCATATATATGATTTGAATGGTTGAACGTTGGGACCGGTGTCTGGCCGGTCGACTCTTAGCAGGTGGTCAACTATTGGTATGGTTGTAGTCTTCTCTTTATAGACTTAAACTAGTATCGCCATGTGATGGTGTCTGTTTGGCACCTTGGTTCCTCTAAATTACGAACTTATGAAATCCATATCCCCAAATCGATTGTAGATGTTCAAGGAATTTCATCCAATTAATAACTCATTCAACATTACCAAGATTTTACATGCAAACTAATAGCTATATGAGGTGTATATTATACAATTACACACTCAAATCGTGATATCCGTATCCCCAACTAATAGCTATTAGGTGTCATATACAATCATTATATTCTTGATTGTGAAATCCGCATCCCCAAATCAATTGCAGATTTTAACGAATTTCCTCCAATAAAGAACTCATTTTTGCTTTTCAAATAGTAATACAAATGACAGTTGGATTTGCACCAATATATTTTTACACGCCATCTGATAGCCATTTGCTGTTCTATACAATCACCATATACTTGATTGTCAAATCCATATCCCCAAATCGATCGTAGAAGTTTAAGCAATTTCCAACAATTAATAACTCCCTCCCACTTTGCGACTGTATTAAACTGATTTTTTTTTTTTTTGGTGATAAAATTTATCCACTCGTTTATTGATGTAGCTGAAATGAAATAATTCACAAACTAATTCAAGGCACTTTCATAAGATTTACATAGTGTCTTAATTATTACGAAAGAATTATGTAACATGTTCGTTTGATTAATATATACGAAATAACAATATCTTTCGACCTTCATAAGTTTTACATTTGATTAAATTATTATATTTATCAACTTATCTCGCAGAAGCTTTAATTTGCGTAATGACACTTTGATGAGACGTTGAATATAGTAGGTGATGGTAAATAAATTTTAATTATTAAGAAGTGAATTAAGTTAGAAAAATGTGTTGGACAATCGGAAATGACAATGAAATAACTGACACCGGATTTACGTGGTATCCCTGGATGATCCAGGACTAATCCACGGAAGAGCTCTGAACACTCTTCTAGCTACTGATATTATTGATTGTGTATTTGTTACCTTCTCCTTACATCATTCGGCTGCTCATATACAAGAGAAAAACCCAACCCTAGCCGAACCCTAGGATCACCATCTACAGCCAACGTGGTGTCCATGCATGGGTTACATGGGCTAACGTAAATGGGCAACATCATTGGGCCTAATAACTACAAACAAATAGCCACTAACCCAACAATAATTAACCCATGAAATAATACCCGCTAACAGCCTCCCCCAAATTGATGCTGGTCACAAAGCATCAATTTGCTCGAGAGATACCAATGACGACTGGTGGAGAACGCCTTTGTGAAAACATAAGCAATCTGATCTTCCGTGCGGACATAGTGAAGAGTAATGGTAACCATCCCCAACAAGATCGCGTATGTAGTGGACATGAATTTCGATGTGCTTGGTGCGATCATGCAGGACGGGATTGACTGCAATCCGGATAGCGCTGGTGTTATCCACAAATAGATCCATAGGAAGAGGGCAGCGGACACCCAGATCACGGAGGAGACGACGTAACCAAACAAGTTCAGAAGCTACATCAGACATGGACCTGTATTCAGCCTCGGTGGACGACTTGGAGACCTTGTCTTGCTTCTTACAACGCCAGGAGATAAAGGCAGACCCAAACTGAACAGCCCATCCAGTGGTAGAACGGCGAGTATCGACACAGCCAGCAAAGTCGGAGTCGGAGTAAGCACGAAGAGCCAACGCACCAGAGGAAGGAAAAAACATGCCGACATCACGAGTGCCCTGAAGATATCGAAGGATACGATGAACGGCTGCTAAATGATCAGTACAGGGAGATGCCATGAATTGACTCACAACTTGCACAGGGTAAGAAATGTCTGGGCGAGTAGCAGCAAGGTATATCAGACTCCCAACAATACTCCGATAAGCAGTAGCATCTGGAAGAGGAGTACCAGAAGAACGACTGAGATGAAGATTAGGCTCCATCGGTGTAGCAACAGGCTTGCAGTCATGAAACTGATGATCAGACAGCAAATCGGATATGTATTTACGCTGACTCAAGAGAATCCCTTTGGCATTACGAGTAACCTCAAGACCAAGGAAGTAAGAGAGATCACCAAGGTCTTTAAGATTAAATACCGCACTTAGACCATCCTTCAAACTCTGAATACCAGCAGGATCAGACCCAGTGATAACCATATCATCAACATAAAGCAGCAAAGCAACCAGACCAGAGGAGGTTTTCTTGGTGAAGAGAGAAGGATCATTCAAACTCTGCTGATAACCAAGAGCAGTGATAGTAGCTTGAAATTTCTCGAACCAGGCACGGGGTGCCTGTTTAAGACCATATAAAGACCGATTAAGACGACAAACCTGATCAGCCGTACCAAGAGTATACCCAGGAGGACGTTCCATATAAATGACCTCATCCAAATCACCGTGAAGGAAAGCATTCTTCACGTCCAACTGATACAGGGGCCAATGTTGTAGAGAAGCAACAGCCAGTAAAGTGCGAACAGTAGACATCTTGGCCACCGGAGCAAATGTTTCACTGTAATCAATCCCCATTTCCTGTGTAAATCCCTGAGCAACCAGACGAGCCTTATGACGTTCAATCGTACCGTCAGGATTCATTTTTATTGTGTACACCCAACGACAGCCAACAACAGAGGTAGAAGGAGGAGGACGCGGAACCAGGGTCCAAGTATTGTTGGCATGTAAGGCATCCAATTCCTTCTTCATCGCATAATCCCAAACCGGATCTCCTTGAGCTTGCTTGTAGCGAGTTGGAACAAGAAAAGCATCCACCCCATGAGCAACATAATCATTAAATTTAGGTGGGGGAATACCTCTCGTGGATCTAGTGGAATGACGAGGTAAAGGAGCTGGTGATGGGGACGAGCCATGGGATGTAGTCGATGCAGCAGAGGATGAACCGGATGACGAAGTAGAGGCCGACGAAGATGGGGACGCAGAACCATGGGAGCTGGACGTGAGATGTGGGTGCGGAGGGGATGTAGAGGCAGTAGAGGCGGAGAATGTGTCGTCCGGGGAAGACAAATCAGAGTCAGGAGCGTCGGGGGGAGTTGGTGGAAGGAAATCAACACCATCAATATCATCATGACTGAAACCAGGTAATGACAAGGTAGAGGGGAGAAAACTAGGCGAGGAAGAAGCATCGGTGTAGTACATGATATTTTCAAAGAAAACAACGGTTGTAGCAATGCGCATACGCTGAGAATGAGGATCAAAACACAAGTAGCCTTTATGCACATCACTATACCCAAGAAAGACACACCTAGCAGTTTTAGAAGACAGTTTAGTACGTTCTCGCCGTGGAAGAAGAACAAAGCAAAGCGAGCCAAAAACACGAAGACTAGTATAGTCAGGATGTTTTGAGTACAAGGCAAAGTATGGACTGGTGTTTTGCAAAACTGGGGTAACTTGATAATTGATAAGACGGACCGCGGTAGCTACTGCTTCAGGCCAAAACCGACTAGGGACATTCGAGGCAAGAAGAAGAGCACGAGTAAGATCTAATACATGACGATTTTTGCGCTCAACCAGACCATTTTGTTGAGAAACACCGGGACAAGATTTCTGAGTCAGAATGCCGAGAGAACGATACACCTCATACAAGGGAGAAGAACTAAATTCCCCACCAGGATCAGAACGCACTATTTTCACAGGTCGATCAAATTGAGTATGTATCATTTTTAGAAATTCAGTAGCTACCGATCGAAGTTCTGATTTTTGACGCAGAAAATACACCCAAGTAAAACGAGTAGCATGATCAATAAACAAGGCAAAATAACGAAAACCATGTCGAGAAAGAACAGATGAAGGTCCCCACAGATCAGTATGAATAACATGAAAAGGTTGATCAATCACAGTGGTACTAGAAGGAAATGACCGACTACTGGTTTTTGCTTCGACACAGCTCGTGCAAGAATGTTTCGCAGAGGTACAAGCATTATTTTTACCAAGCAAAGACTGTCTAAACATCACAGCCAAACGACTCGAATGAGGATGTCCTAAACGATTGTGCCAAAGATCCCAAACATCACTAGACTGACTCGAAAAACATGTAGGAAAAGACGCAGGACTACTGACAGACCTATCACGATAATTACTGATAGATGATGATGATGAAGATTTTCCAAGTTCTTCTAAGTGAAAAATCCTCCCCCGTTTACTCCCTCTGCCGATCTGCCTCCCCGTCTTCAGATCCTGGATAACACAACCGGACGGTGCAAACAAAACAGAACAGCCAGCTTCGGTAAGTTGTCCCACAGAAACTAAGTTAGGAACAAGTTGTGGGACATGGAGAGTATGAGGTAAATCAAGGTGAGAATCATGCATCATACCCATACCCCTAACTTGTAACTGATTTCCATTTGCTACCCGCAAAGACAAATCATTAATCGGCAGCACATTCGTTAAACAACGAGAATTATGCGTCATATGGTTGAAACAGCCGGAATCAAGAATCCAAGGAGACGGCTTACCTGAGTTTCCATGAAGGGTTGCAAACGCAGCATTGATGGCCGTTGGTAAAGACCTCTGGAGTGCAGCGTTCACCATTTGCTCAATATCTTGGGCGGACAGACCACTGCTGCCGCCATTGCTGATTGCTTCGGCCATATACGCGGCGCGCTGAGGACGGTCCACGGCAGGGGCTGCTTGGCGATCATAGGGCCAAGAAGAAGAACTCGAAAACGAGCCTGGGGCAGGAGCAGGACGCTGGGAAGGAGCACTCGTCATTCCTCCTTGGGCACGCGCTTCATGGCGCTGCCGAGTTCGACAGTCCAAGACGATGTGACCGGTTCTTTTGCAATAAACGCAAAAGTTCCATCCGCGGCAGTGTTTCTTCAGGTGACCACGTTCGTGGCAATGGTGACACTCCAGTTCAGCGATCGGAGTGCGGCGCTGAAATTGAAGGCGATCGGCAGCATAGGCGGTGGATTGAGAGGCCGAGAAAACTGCCTCCCCTGCTCCCGGTCGCACATCAAGCTGGGCTTGAGTTCGTAGCCGAGTCTCCTCACGAACCAAAACTCCCAGCATCCCATCAAATTGCAACTCGGCCTGATTTAGTAACGTTGTGCGCACAGCTTCATACTCAGGCCGCAATCTCATCAAGAACTGAAACAGCCGAGTTTGTTGCCTCTCAGCGAGGGCATCCGTGGTGACAGCTTGAGGACGAATCGTGGCTTGAATGATGTCATGTTCAGTCCACAGTTCCTGGGCTGAGTTGAAGTACTCGGTGATGGACAGATCACCTTGCTCAAGGCGCGCCAACGCCGTCTGCAGCTCGAACTGCCGGGCAACGTTCACGGTAGAATACGTAGCTTTCAGGCGCTGCATCATTTGATGCGCAGTGGCAAACGGACGAAGACTCAAACAGGTGGAGGGATCGACTGATCCGAGCAGCCAGTGACGAACGCGAGCATCTCGTTGATTCCATTGTTCGATTTCAGACGCGGGAAGGGTTGGACGCGGCTGCGGGACAGTCCCGTCGAGAATACCCAGCAAACCATGACCTTCCACGAACACTCGGAATTGAAACTCCCATAAAGCGAAATTGGTTGATGTCAGACGGACAGAAGGACGATCGGAATTCAGTGGCGGAAGCTCTGATACCATGTTGGACAATCGGAAATGACAATGAAATAACTGACACCGGATTTACGTGGTATCCCTGGATGATCCAGGACTAATCCACGGAAGAGCTCTGAACACTCTTCTAGCTACTGATATTATTGATTGTGTATTTGTTACCTTCTCCTTACATCATTCGGCTGCTCATATACAAGAGAAAAACCCAACCCTAGCCGAACCCTAGGATCACCATCTACAGCCAACGTGGTGTCCATGCATGGGTTACATGGGCTAACGTAAATGGGCAACATCATTGGGCCTAATAACTACAAACAAATAGCCACTAACCCAACAATAATTAACCCATGAAATAATACCCGCTAACAGTATCACATTTGATAAACTGTTGTGTAAAAAAATCACCGACCTTAAAAATTTTTTGTGTATTGCAATGAGATAATCAACAATTTATTTATAGTAATTTTTTATTTATTCAAACTTATATAATGAAAGACTTATGTAATAGGTTTGTATACTTCCTCCATAAATTTTGGGTCTTGTCTTAATCATTAAGACTTATGTTGTACTTTTGTTTCATTGATGATACACAAGAAATACTTATGTCTATGTAAGATGATTCAACCAGAAAAACTCCCTATCAAAAGCTATACCAGTAGGCGATAATTTAGTGGTATAAAATAATTGAACCACAATTTTCAATATAAAAAACTCTATTGTAAACTTATCGGTACAATCTCCGATTAGAAAAACTATTAGGTGGAATATAAAGTATCTTGTTTTCTATCACCTGTATAAGTTATAGGATATGATGCCGCTGTCATGTGAGAGGGTTAGTAACTGGCTCTCGTCCTACGAGATTGTTTTCTATCATCAATGTGCAAATGGAAACACGAAGATTATATATCTGATCTTCCTGTGACTACCAAATGGATCTTAATGAGATCTGCTTGCCTTCAATCATGGCATCTGTTTAACCCTATTGCTTACGCATAATGAATAGAGACATTTTCCCGCTGAAACTCATCCCGTGGCCGACTAGCTAGTTCCCTTAGTTGTGTAAGTAGGTGAAGCCTATAAGGTCTAGAATATCTAATCTTTGATTTTGGTATATATATGATGATTTTATTTTTTCTATCTTTCTGTTTGATTGTTTGGTTGGTTTATTGTTGATGCGATTGTGTGCGTAAGATGAGGACTATCTTTAAAGTATATGTCCTCAAACTCGAATTCGTGGGTGGATGAGACTAGACATGGTGATGGTAGTCCCTCACGATCGATTATTAATAATCAAACTGCGTCGACTTCCTCAAGTGAGAAATCTGTCGGGTCTATTGTTGTTCTCTACTAGACCTGGTGATGACCAAATTGGACTATAATCCTAGAATGCCCTAGGATCGTATTCCATGAGGTATTTTTTTGATAGAAACTACTCAAAACAAATTCTTTTTTCGAATAAGAGAATTCATAAAAGTAAAATCAATAGGTTGACGTGTCCTTAGTCGACTTCTAATCTACTAGACGAGAAAATCACGTAAAATCGTTTATGCAGTGTCCTTTTTTATCTTTCCGCTTGTTAGTTTCTTCACGACAAAACGAACATTTGGAAGGTTTTTATTGGCCATAAGATGTGTAGTCGTACGTAGCAGGAAAATTAGCTTGCAAAGACGTCGACTATTGCAGGAAAGTGCCTCCAACTGCATGAGGCAAAATCGATTACCGTCATCAAAGCTGATGAATATTTTTCTCTCCATGAATTTTCTGTTCTGCTGTTTGGCAGCACCACCGCATGTTCAGATTGGATTTCAGACATTCAAACCAAAGTAAACGGACCGGGAAACTGAGGAACCACGTGGGTTTCATCGACACGTTGCATCAAGAGAAAACGAAAGTAAAAGCACTAAGTAGAAAGAAGCAGTACCCTCATTTTCTCGACGGAGAGGCTACCGGCCGGGCCAGAGAATGTTCACATGGTTGTTGTCATTCGGCAACCAACCTCTAGTACTCTTTGAAATTCATACCACAGAAATCAAATCCACCGTATAAAAAAGTTACAAAATTGATGTGGTTATGGTAGGGACGGATGACGATGGGTAGGGTTGAGTCGGGTTCTGTCAAATTTAAACTCAAATCCAAATTAATGGGTTTATCCGTGAAAAAAATTATCTGGGGTATAACCCACTGAGTTTGGAAAACTCAAACCCAACCCAACCCGCTAGGTATCCGCGGGCTCATGGGTACTCATGGAAAACTCAAATATTAATCTCTTAATACAAATTATCCATATATAAAACACCATTCTAGAAAATTGAAGCAAATCACAAATTATCCATAAACAACATGATAATTGAAAACTTCTTCCTTCTTGCAAATTAAACTTCTTCACTCTCCACTCCATAATATCAACTTCATTTTACACAATTAGAAAGAAAAAAATTAGACATGTCTTCACAAACATAACGAAGATGAGTTGCTTAGAATATTAAATATATCGGAAAAATTAATTATATGAGTGTGGGTGGGTATCCATGGGACGTTTATACCTAAACTCAAACCCAACCTGGTGAATAGTGAACGAGTTTAAACCCGAATCCGGTCCAAAACCCGTCAACACAAATTTTACCCGCATTGATCGAATTGAATCGAATAAGATACTTATGGGTTCGAGTTTTGTTGTCGTACCTAATTATGGGTTAAATGGTAGGTACAACATCATTTGTAGTCTGAAACCGAGCCCTGCAATCATTCAATAATTGAAAGCCTGCACATGCTGTTCTTTTTCTTGTTTGGCAGTACCACCACATGTTATCTCCTAAGAATTTTCTGTACGGTCTCTTTCTAGTTAGTTCCTACTTTTCATTTCTGATGGACGATCCACTACTTTTCTGTACTGTCTCCATGAAAAGTTGAAAACCAATGGTATCTCTTTTACGAGTATACATAGTGCAAGTGAATCTAATGGCTCCATTTGCAAGGTTGGTAACTATGATTATTAGGTTTAACACATTTGATCACTAAAAAATTAGTTAAATATTTCAAACTCTGTTACTTTTCATTAGTTTCTATCAGCATCCATTTCTCAATGTTTTGCTGATGTCAGATCCAAACGTCAGATCAAAGTTAATAGACAAACAGCCAAGAACAACATACTTTCATTTCATCCTCATTGCAAATAAATAAGTCCAACTCATTTTTGCTTTGCGAATTACCTACTGATCGGACTATACACATATTCTAGTGCGTCATCTCAGTCTTTAGACCAATCTAAGGGCTAAGATTAATTGAATCTCCCGTTTCCAGTTTTAGTCCCCTAACTTTTTCAGCCTTATCTCTTATGTGTATTTGATTTTTGCACCAACAGAACTCTACTTGGTGCAAAAATAATGTTTTTTTTTTTTTACAATTGGTAGATTTCATTCCAAAACGATTGAGGTACAAGCTCGGCCTATTACAACAGAGGTGAGATCAAGTCCAGAATCTGAATCCACTCTGGAGGGAGAGATCCAATCCTAGCTTCTTTAGCAACCCAGTCAGCACATTTGTTGTATCTACGATGAGTAAAAGCCACAGTAATGCGGGCATTAAGCGCAAGGATCTGCTTCATAGAATGAATCCATGCCATCACTTGCCAAGGCCAGGATCTACTTCGTCCTAGCAAGATGTTGATGATGATCTGACAATCAGAGAAGATCACGGACGGTAGACCCGAGTCTTCGGCCATACGAAGAGCAGTCAACAAGGCTTGAGCTTCAGCCACAATCGCTGAAGAACAAAATAAAGTCCCAGCCTTTCCGTCAATTACTTGTCCATGGTGATTGCGGACGACAACACCATAAGCCGCCACCTGTGATTCCGAGACGAAAGCTCCATCACAGTGGATCTCCTGTTGGAGAGGGGAAGGCGGTGGATCAATGCTTGAACGGGATGGGGGAGGCTGGGTAAGGGTGGAGGCGGGCAGTGGTGGGAGACGACCATTCCAATCATTGAAGTCAGCGAGAGCCTTGGATAAAGTGGAATGGTGGAGAGGTCGGACACCACTGAAGACCCAACCATTGCGGGCGGTCCAAATTGCCCACAGGCTGGCAATAATAGCAACCACTGAGCTAAGGGCGATCACATCTTTTAGATGGAAAAGCCACATAAGGATAGGCTGAGAGGGAGAGGGAAGAGAGAGGCTGACGAAGCTTCTTTGCCAGATGAGCAAAGAGTGAGGGCAACCAAAGAAGCTATGCCACAGATCTTCAATCTCCCCCTCACAAAGGGTGCAAACAGGCGAGGCAATCACCTTCCTGAACCAAAGATTCCTATTAGTAGCCATGGCATTTCTGGTGATGCGCCACACAAAGCTCCGAATCTTAGGAGGCAAGGATAGGCTCCAGAGCCATTTCCAGGCTTTAGATGTGCAATCAGGGTGGTTTGGGTCCTCTGAGCCTGTCCTGGTGCGTTCATTGATTCTGAAAAGGTGATAGGCAGACTTGACTGAAAAAGTACCAGACTTCTCAGGATGCCAGACCCACTTGTCCTCACAGTTAGCCAAACCAATAGGGATTCTCTTAATAGCTTCCACTTCTTCTGGGAGGCAAGATTGCTCCACGAGGTCCAGGTTCCATTCACTTCCATCATTCATAACCCATTCGAAGACTTTTAGTTGTTGTCTTTGATTGGGTTGAAGTCTAAAACCTGGGAGGCTTGGAATCCAGGGGTCCTTATCGATGTCAATGTTCCTCCCATTTCCCATGTTTTTCCTAGCCCCAAGCTTAAGGATCTCTTTGGCTTCGCAAATGCTGGACCAGATCCAAGAGGGTTTCCTGCCTTTTCCTGCATTCATAAAGTCGGAGTTAGGGAAATAAAGGCCTTTGAGGAGGCGTACCCAGGTTTCATCTCCACCGTTGATAATTCTCCATCCTTGTTTGGCAAGGAGAGCAAGGTTGAATTGGTGGAAGTCTTTGAATCCCATTCCTCCTTGTTTAGCCGCCGTAAGGACACTCCCTTTTCTCTAGTGAATTGATCCTTTGTCCATATTTCCTCCCCAGAAAAAAGCCCTCAATCTAGCATCCATGACTTTAGTTGTGCCTTTGGGGATGAGAAAGCATGACATTAGGTAGGTAGGATAGCTCTGATACACTGCCTTGAGGAGAGTCTCTTTGCCTGCCTGAGAAAGGGCAAGGCTCTTCCATGATTGACCCAGACCTTCCATACGAGCAATCAAGCCAGCAAAGACTTCTTTTTTCGACCTCCCCCATTCAGTCGGGACTCCAAGGTACTTTCCCATTCCATCAGCGCGAGGGATGCCCATGAACTCGGAAATAAGAGTCTTAAGGGCCTCAGGGACATTGGAACTGAAAGTAAAAGCGGATTTGTCGTTGTTGATCACCTGCCCCGTCATACTACCGTAGTCCTCAATGACTTTTTTGATAATGATAGCTTCCGACATTGAGGATTTCCCAAATAAAATGGTATCATCTGCGAACAACACATGGGTGAGCTTAGGGCAAGAAGGAGACAGGGTAATACCTTGAATATTACCGCTATCAACATTCTTGTTAATGAGGAAGGATAAGGCATTAGTTAAGAGAATGAAAAGGAGAGGGGAAAGGGGATCTCCCTGACGAATGCCTCTGGAGGGCATGAAGAAAGGGGAAGGGTTGCCATTGAACATAACCGAGAATCTCACAGAGGTGATGCACTCCTTGACCCAAGAGCACCAAATATGAGAGAAGCCCATAGCTTTCAATATTTCATCAAGACAGTCCCAGTCAACCATATCGAAAGCTTTCTTCATGTCTAGCTTCATCATCATATCCCACTTCCCACCTTTCGGGCGAGTTTTGAAATGGTGCAACACCTCATGGACAATAATGATGTTGTCCTGGATAGCTCTACCGCCCATGAAAGCCGATTGCATTTCAGACACAAGTTTTGGTATCCATTCCTTAAGACGGGATGTCATGATCTTAGAAACCACCTTATATCTGAAGTTGCAGCAACTAATCGGTCTGAACTGGGAAATTCTTTCTGGGTTAAGAACCTTTGGGGTAAGGATTAGATGAGTATCATTCCAACCTTGAGCCATCTTCCCCTCCAGGAAGAAGTTTTTGACTTCTTCACACAACTGTTGTCCAATCGTGGCCCAATAGCGCTTGTAGAACAATCCCGGAAATCCATCGGGCCCTGGAGCCTTGCACGATCCCAACTCAAAGACAGCCTCCTTGATCTCCAAGTCTTCAACTGGCTTACAAAGCGACTGGTTGATTTGATCATCCACCAGGCAAGGGATCTCATGTATTAAGCTGATATTGAACCTCTCGTTACTCTTCTTGAATAGATCCTTGTAGAAAAGTACAACATGATTCTGTAGGAGGTCTTTGTCTTCAATCCAGTTATTGCCTTCATCCAACAGTTTAGCAAAATTGTTTCTGAGGCTTCTTTGATTAGTTGAGTTGTGAAAAAACCGCGTATTGCTGTCTCCCTCTCGTAGCCATGGAATTCTAGATCGTTGTCTCCAAAAAATCTCCTCCTAACACATAAAAATAACTGATAACAACGACAAACTAAAATAATTTTGAAAAGGTAGTCTGTTTAGTCGTAAACTCCGGACGATCGGTTTGGAATTTACCCAAATTGTCCCAAAGAAAGAAGAAGGGGTTCTTCGCACAAATTTTTTTTTTTTTTTGTCATTGTTCTTCCTCTTCCGTCGAAAATCCATTGGGCCCAGAAAATATGTATCATGGAGAAATGTGGGCCAAATATTGGTTTAATGTCCATTATTTTCCGCCTCCAAAAAGCCTACTCATTTGGGCCCAGAAAATAATAATTATCGGGAAATCTAGCCCATCCCAAGTGATGCTGCGATGCTTCTGTTGTGCCTCCGCATATGGGCTGAAGAAATTGGCTCCATCCGGTTTAGTTTAGTTTTTTTTTTTGTGCGAGGGTTTAGTTTTAGTGAATTAGTTAAAAAAAATTTGTAACTCATAAACATCCCACGCACACACTGCTTGAGCGATGGCAGATCGAGACCAAACCCGTGGGTTCACCTGGTTGAGCCCTTTGGACCCTCCATAAGATCTCCATTAAATGTTTTCGGGAACACCATAGCGGATCTCGATAGGGGTCGAACACAGGATCGGCCACTTCCCGGAATGAGCGCCCACTAAGCGTTTCATCGTTAGGCTATGTGAGCTTTGGCGAGTGAATTAGTTAGATAACTACAATATATTAGTCAAATCTCTGTTTAATGTTAACAAAATATTTACCAAAATTTTAAAAATGTAAGATATTAGTCAAACTTTTTATACTATTGCAAGATTTTAGTTTTTGATTTGTTATGGTTAAAAATATCGTTAATGGCGCTCCACATCAGCAATCACGTAAGATACCACAAAAGAACGTGCGTTTTTATTAATTATAAGTTATTACAAAAATATTTTAATTTTGACAAATATATTAGTCAAATCTTTGAACGTACAAAATAATAGCCAACTGTTAAATTCTCGTTAACCCTTTCATTAAACGATTATGACTTCGCAATCACGGTGCTGAGTTTGAAGAGTTTTTGTGACATCACGATCAACCATAAATTGCCACGCCAATCAAACTATTCTCACTTTTTATTAATTTAGCATTGGATGAAAAATCAACCAACGAAGAAAAATCTCTATTTATAGCACAATCGCACACATACAAGCTGAAAAATTATTCTTTTTTATGGTGCGAAACGGGGCACTTAAAGAGCACCCCCAGGCTTTATTCAATAATAAAGCATGTCGTTCGGACCCCAATAGTATCATGGTATAACCAGTAAGAAAAGCAGCGTCAGGTGCTGCAATAGCATGGGAACCAACAGAACATGAATGTCCTAAATTAGCGAGATAATCTTCAACAACATTTGCCTCTTTGTAAACATGGACAATGTGGACTTGCCAGTCCCTCGCGAGCCAGCGTCATATTTCGACGACACTTGTGTAGTGGCGATGGTGCGGTGTGGCGGCTTCAATAAGATGCTTCGCTGTGGTGGTATCTGTCTGCATAATCACCTTCCAAACTCCTGCCTCCCAAGTGAATTTCAATCCTTGCATAACCCTGACAAACTCTGAACTCGTAACCGAAAAATTCTTCTTCTTCAATCCCTTCAAATTTCTTACAGCAGACAAGCCATTCACAATAGAAGTTCCTCTGGCTAGCAAATGACATTTCGTTCAATTTCTCTTCTGACTCTGACGTGGTAGAACCCCTATCGATGATCTGTTTTCATATTTTATAATTCTTAATGCACTCTTTCTTGTTTCCGCTCAATTGTGCAATCTATGATGACGATAAGATCCACCATATAAATGGTCAAGGAGCGCTCACTGAAGGAACTTCGTCCCCGTATTAACGGTATCATATAAATGGCTGAAATTTTGCAATATGAAAAGATTGGCTATATTATTGTATTTTCTTAACATTAAGTTAAATTATTCAAGAAATTGAGATCATGACTTATTTACCACTTTATATAGCTAAAATATTATGTAAAAAAGTAAAATCATAAGTAATTTGCATATATTACATGTAATTTAGGAAAAAATCTGTAAAGAATTAGGTGAGTGTCCATACCCGCCCAAAATAGTTCAAACAGATTGGGAAAAACTGGTCATGTCAAAATTGCTATCCCTACTTGGGATAGAGATCGTAACATCATAGTGGTTGCTTCTATGGTCAGTTGTTTTGCAGGGATTTTTTGATAATGCTATGTAGGTAAACCAAGATATTGCACCCAATTTATAAGTATATATCAAGTGATAGTTTGATCTTAATTTTTTGTAAACTTTATGCTGCTAACTCAGATGTCTTTACGGTGGAATTACTTGCATTTCAAAATCCTACAAGATGGTGGCTAATGCATAATTTTTATTATTATGCCAGTTTGTGGCTCAAAACTAGTCAATCGGAGTGCTCTGTCAAAGGAAATTACACACTCCTTTGTAGGGCTATTTTGAAGGTGTTTTTACATCCTTTACATCAATGTCGTGTTTTTTACTTTTTTGTACTCTTTGCAGTTTCAATAGAATTATCCAAATTAGTTGCAATCCTTCTAATAATTAAATTTCTAGACCACGGCTTTTGGACTTTCCTCGGCAAAGGAACACTTGAGACTTATGCAATGCAAGTGGCCTTATTTATATTTAATTAATTTCACGTACAGCAACTGTTATTTAAATAATCATTGAATTAAGTATAATAAAATCTCTTAATCGATTCATTAATAATCATCTCTCAGTCTGACAAGTACTTGGAAGTTGAATACAAGCAAACTAAGAAGGAATACGACTTTAGATTTCAGACTGTTTGACCTTGAAAACACTAAATTATGAATGATGATATAAATATAATCGCAACAAAAGTACTAATTATTTTTATTTTTTTGAATGGAGGCGACCATATTGTTCTACTGCTACAGTAGCATTATTAAAAACAAAAAAAAATTCATAAGCAGTGTTTATAAAATCATATTGTATTAACGATCTGATCGGAAAACACTTCTATTGAAGCAAAGCCTACATACAGTTTTAATGATATGAAAACGCTAAATTACGATTTAAACATAAAATACTTTATCAACAATTGAGTCCGGCGCAATTTTACCATCAGAGAAGTGATGATGTTAGGCATTATTTACATCGTTGAGTTGCTTGCTAGAAAAGGATATTATTATTTAGAAGAATCTTAATCGTCGCTTTCCCATAATATTAATTAGTATGGAATAATCATTAATTACTAAAGATAGAAGTTTAAGAAGGTATTGCACTTAGCAGTTAGCACGACCCGATCTGATATTTGCCATATTACATTATGATTTTTGGTATTGCTTCATGACTTGGCAAGGTTTGCATATCATACCAAATCAATGTACATGGACCTTTTTTTCTTCTAATTGCCAACTTCATGGCCTGCCTTGTATGAGACACCATTACTCAGCACCATGTGGAAGAGGTCGCTAGGGCAAGAGAAATGGACGTAAATAAAAAAATGATATAATGATCATAATATTTATTAAAATAAATATGATTTTTCTTGTGATTTAAGGAAAGAAATGCTAAACAGAGGAACTGCGGGATCCATCGTTTGAATGACAAAGTTCGATAAAAGAATGGGAGAGGATAGTAGTAGGGATGACAATTTTAATCGAATTCGTTTAATATTATATGTTTGACATGTTTGGAAATCACTAATACTCATTATGTAGGTACGGCGGGGTGAGTATGGGTACTATCCTCGACCTTATCCGTCACAATATTGGCCCGTCTTTTGTCTAAATTCCTTGTAATTTTTTCCAAATTATTTAGAGTTTTACTTTTATTATCTCATATTTTAGATATAATAAAGTTGTAAATAGGCGAGAACCTCAATTTCTTGAATAATTTAATTACATTTATCACTATCATATCAACAATATGGCAAGAAGGATCTTACTATCATACCGTCATATCATGATGTTATTACTGTGGTAGTATATAAATATCACTATATGAGATACGATGACATCAAATTTATTTGCTCAAATATATAGTTGCATATTAACTTACATTGTCATATACCACCATAAAAAGACTTCATAACATCATCTCACTACTGTCGTACAATGATCTTACAACAATGGTAAGACTGACAACACAATCATATCGCCGTCATCAATTTCTCCCTTTTCTCATAAACGCTGTAACTTCTAGCAATCAGCTCCGAAAATTCATTTTTGCTTTTTCTATCTTCTCTCTAGTGCCCCCATCTTCAGATGAGAGAGGGGGCTAACGCCGACGTCTCTCCGGGGGCTGGCGGCAGCCCTTCGCTCCTCTTTTTTCCTTTGTTTTCCTTCTGCTTTGCTTGTTTTCATCTCTTTTCGTTCATGCTTTTACGCTTTCTAGCCATTTTGAGGCTCTGTTTTCTCCCGTTGGTGGGTTTCCTTTCATCCCTCCTTTGGTGGGTTGAGTGTTTTTGTCCTCTAATATGGTACCCAGATCTGGAGATGGTGTCTCGATCTAAGATGCGATGGAGGCAAGATCTGGTCCTGATCTGACTTGTCTTTTCATTTTCTCTCCCATGTCTATCTCCTTGTCTTTCTTGTAGATCTTGGTGAGTCGGAGATGTAGTTATTGGCGTCGGACTCGGAGGGGAAAGCTTGAAGACAAAAGCACCTTTCCCTTGGGTTCTTTTGTCGTTGACCGGTCGGATGATATTGTCTCAGGGTTCGATCGGCGGGAGGCTGAAGCTGATTGACTCGGGGTGGGTTGGTGGGAGGTTCTCTTCATAAGCCCTCCTTTAATTTTGAGGTCGTCGGGAATCAATCCCCATTTTGACGCTTGGCAGTGGTGGCGACGTTGGTTGGGTGGCAAAACGATGGTAGTGGTTTTCGACTGCAGGGGGGAGGATCTAGAGGGTGGGGATGTGTGGTTAGGGTTTGAGAATCTTAACTTGTTTTGGCCCGGGTCTGGGCCTTATTGGGTTCTGGGTCGTGTGTTTTGGGCCTCTTTGTTGAGGATTTTCATGTCCGGTCACCATTTCTACTTGTATTTCTCCATTTTGGCTTGGCCCAGTCGTATACTTAATGAACAACCTTTCAAACAAAAAAAATCATATCGTCGTCATATCATGAGATAAGATGTAAATTTTTTTTGCTAAAAATATCAAAATGAATTTCCTTTCGTAGAGCACAAAAAATGTGATTTAATTTCTATGCAATTTTTTTAGAAATCAACGTAAAAAATTAGATATCGTTCTTTCAAAATTCGTAAGATATTTGAAAAGTGCATTAACTGCCCCCTCGAGATACCCACGAGCCCCATAAATTCACACAAATATCCCCAAAATCCCTAATTTCCATCATTATACCCCCATACAATGTGGATAATAAGATCTATCATTCCTTAATTACAACCATTAGATCTCATTTGTAGTTCTACATATATAATGGATTTTGTACGATAACCCAGGGTAGAGTTAATATTTTCATATGGTCCGAACTTTATCATAATTTATGATTTTGGCCTATCTTCTCATAAACTCATAATTTGGCCTTTACTATCACCAAAAATAACTTATTTGGCTCAGCCTGAGTATTGACCGTTTTGTTGGACGAGTAATACTGTTAGCTAAAGGAGACTCTACCAGTTAGGTATCTTGGTATACCACTAATTGCAGGAAAACTCACTTCAAAAGATTTTGGCATATAGAATCAGTGATGTACTCCCTAGTCTCATTAGTTCCAACCAATATGCTTTCATTAAAGGGAGATTAATCGGTGACAATATTCTACCTGCACATGAGTTGTTGAAATGGTAAAATAGGAAATCATTCTCTCCTCTTTATTTTCACTAAGGGATCAGTCAAGATAATGAAAGTAGTTCCCTAAAAAAAATTAATGAAAGTAGTTTCAGAAGTATTAGACCATATCTATAAGGTTTCTGGCCTTAAATACAACCCGGGGAAGAGTTAAATGTTCTCTGTTGGTTTATCAAATGTTGAGAGGAGGGAAATTGGAGTTCGGTTAGCATGCTAACCCCCCTAGGGGTTGGAAAAATGACACCCCCTAGTATATTAAATACAACTATAGAATTTAATACACACATTAAATACACATTAGGAATTAAATGTACCATATTAATTAGGAATTCTCTCACTATTAAATACACATTAAGAATTAAATACACACATTAAATACACATTAGGAATTCTCTCACTATATTTGATTTTTCCTTTTTCAGCAGTCTCCGACCACCAGACTTCCTCCGACCGCCACACTTCTCCGGTGAAAATCCCATCGCAGACTCCCTCCGACCACCTCCAAAAAATATACCACTGCACTGATACGGTGTACCACTGTACTGGTAGATATACCACTGCACTGGTAGCGATATCAGTGCACTGGTAGCAATGTCATATCTGAGTATTAGTGCAGTGATACAAATACCAGTAAAGTGGTAATTAATGTGGTGTATTTAATGCTTACTTTGTATTTAATAACAGAACATTTATTATGTTTACTTTCATTAAGACTTGTCCATAATTAATGAAAAATTGACCAATTAAAGGGGGGTGTCAAAAAACCAACCCCTTAAGGGGTTAGCATGCTAACCCGTCACGCGAAATTGCAAAATAGTCTCATAGTCTGGCTTTCAGATGAGGCCTCTGCTAGTTTATCTTTCGGTAGAGAAATTTTACAATGCTATATAGTATTGGTGCTATAGGTTTTATCTTTATGGTACAACTTAAAATTGTACGTATATTTACATTATGGTACAACTTCAGATTGTACCTATACTTTTGGTACAAATTCTTTTATGGTACAACTTGAACTTGTACCTTCAAGTTGTAAAGTTGTACCATAACATAATGATACAAATTGCTTTATGGTACAACCTAAACTTATAGATTTAATGTTATGGTACAACTTTAAATTGTACATTAAAACACCAATACTATATAGCATAGTAGAAGTGCTCTATCTCGGTATACCACTCATTGCAATAAAACTCACCTTAAAGGATTGTAAGGCTTTAATTGATAAGATCACAAAAAGGATAGATGATGGGAAAGCAAGATTACTGTCTTATGCAAGGAAGATCTAGCTTGTTATTTATGCGTTAGCAAGCATCACCAAATACTGGATGAGTATCTTCCAGCTTCAAGGCAATGTGTTAGCAAGGCACTAATTATACTCTAATCAAAACCAATACATAAGATAATAATTTAATTGCGTGATTTTCTCGTTTGATATGAACGAGACTACCGCATAGAAAACATAAACATAAACTTCACGACTTAAGAGGGTATGCGGGTACAGTTGCCCTAATAAATCCATGAGTGGTTCTTACTTCTTAGCATCCATCCATTTCATACCCATGAATTTTTTACATACTAGAATAATTTACACTTGCTTCAAAATAATTCGAGGCATATTCTCCCATAAATTCAGCTAAGTTTTGACAGACATAAGAGGAATCGTGCACATCTATATAGATAGGGAAGAGCAAATGCAGGTGTTGGGGGGATGAACTTGGGTGGCGATTGCATCTGTGTATTTGAAAACCCGAATAACTGTGACCGTGATAATGTTAATTAAACCAAAACCATTAAAAAAGAAGGTTGATTAAACAACGGTAACAGACTTTGTGCGTTCTTCAAAATAACTACTCATCACATGCAGATTCATACCTTCTTTTACATATTTGCGTTTTGAGCTAATAATTAATTAAGTAATCAAGGAGTCAGCTGATAGATTCAATGTACGATTTTGCAGCCAACGTACACAACGTCCCACCAGAGGGCCACCCTAAACCTAATTAGTGTGGAGGAAGAAATATTCAACAAAGATTATCATGTACAAGAACGTAAGTGTGCTAACATCTTATGTGCTAGTACTTAATTAATTAATGTATATAGTAGCTTCTTCCTTCATCATATCCTCCTCTCGTAGTTTCTGCCTCTCACTCTCCACCTCTACATTCACTTCTCTCGCTATGAAAACAAACCTAGCATGTTACTTGTAAAAGATATCATTTCACAATTATAAAAAAAAGTTTATTACTTGTGATCCTCTATAATGTTTATGATTTCAGATGACCCAAAAAAAAAAGCTAAAATGTCCTTGCAGAAAGTAGCTTTCACAAAAAAGGAAGGTGGGTTAGGGTGTATGGATTTGAAATCCTGGAATACTATATGTGTAACTAGGCATATATGGGCTATGTTGTCTGATATGGACACTATGTGGATTGCATGGTTAAAGGAATATCGGTTGAGGAACTTGTCAATATGGGATACATATTTCAGGTTCTTGGACTTGGAACATAATTCTGCAGGCTCGTTCTATGATTGCAGCAGATCAGTTCCAGTGCTCAAATCAAGGGGTTCTGTGGAAGGGTGTGAAAATGGAAAAGTATAGTATCAAACAGATTTGGGAGGCTATCAGACCAAGGGGAGAGCTGCTGCCTGGATGTCAGTTAATCTGGGGTCAGTTTCAGATCCCTAGAAACTCTCTGTTAGTATGGCTTGCCATGATTGATAGAATCAACACTCTTGATAAAATCAAAAAGTGGAAGACTGATGTAGATGAAACCTGTCCTCTATGCATGATCTTACTAGAAAGTCGAGACCATATTTTCCCTTAGTGCAGCTATACCCAGAATTGCTTGAGATTTTTCCCTGCAAACTGGGGGTATTTTTCTTCTGGTGGCTGGCAGGAGAGTTGGAGGACTACTACTAAGAGGTTGGGAAAGTGCAGGATTGGGCGCCTGATGTGGTGTTTGCTAATTAGTGAAGTTTGGAGGGAGAGGTGTCGTCGGTTATATGGCAAGACGTACCTCACTTGTGATTAGTTGATTTCAAAAATGCTGAAGATCTTGGGGGATTTGGAATGTGGAAATTGTGAGTTTGCAGCAGCTGTGGTAGTGAAGCCTTATATGTAGCAAGTAGATATGGATAGACTGTTTTTGAAACTGTTAGCTTGTATAGTCAGTTTGAGTTTGTTTGTTTGATTCTCGAACAGATTGTGTAGAAATCTGGATCTATGTAAAACATATGAGTGTAGATCGTATTTGATGAAATAAAATCTCCTCTTTTCATAAAAAAAAAAAATAAATTAGCAGTGACACACGCATGTTCCCCATATAATTTTTTAAAATGACAATTGTGCTCCTCCCCTTATAAATCCGCATTAATTGTGGTCAACCCCTTCGATATAAAAACTCATCAAAACTTCTACACAGAAAAGGTCATCGAAACAAAATATTCATATTGGCTGGAATTAATATTAGCATCATGCTCTACCAAATTGGGTGTTAGCACCCTAACCTAAGTTAGTATGTATGGAGCTGGTGCTATGAGCCATTGTTAGAAACGCGCGACTTTTTTATTTTTTATAACCGATAACCCTTACTCGTGGTTGCCACATTGTAACACCACGAGCAGGTTAACTTGGGTATGCGGCCTCACGGGCCATGTCCATCCTCGAGGGTAAGGATACACCTCGCGCCTACATGTGCAGCCGTGGATTGAACCGGGTCGTTTGGCTAGGATCTTCTCACAGATAGCAAGAGCTGTCGCTAGGCTACGTGCTCTTTCGCAGGTCGCCGACTTCTCCTCCCATTTCTCTTCTTCAAATTCTTCTTCGTCATCTCTAACTCTCCTCTTCAAACCCTACAATTACCCCAATTTTTCGTTTATCTATCACCCATGCAAGCGACTGTGACGAGAATCCGAAGTAAAATCCGTGTTGATGCCTAGCTACGGGTGACCTAATTTAGCTTAAGAGAATTGAGAGTGAGATGGTAACACCATGCCATGGTTATTGTTGTACATTTGAAGGTAGCCTCCGTTGAGACATGTCTAGAGCATCGATGGAATTTTCATTGACCATAAAAACAATTTGTCAAAGTAATTTATTGTTGAAGTTACCGTACATATATACGTTCAAACCATCCGTAATTACTATTAGGAAGATTTGATTATACAATTTGATGACCAAGGGATGGATTTGACCTTTGAATATTTCAACAAGCTACCTAGTTTGGTACGTATACGTGATAATTACTCTTCCCCCCTTTTCACCAAGTCAACGGTTCATATGGATACTTTTTTTTACCGGCCGCTCTCGCAAATGTGAAATGTCTCGAAAGTACGTAACCGTGAAAACAACGTAGAGTCAGTAATAAATGCACTTTGGTGAGACGGCCGTCCGTTTAGGCTGCTTGTTAATTCCCCAATCAACTCTTTTACTGAGTTAGAAAGTTTGGATGAGTGATTTAGTACGGCTAATATGGTATTACATAAATGGAATGACAGAATGGTAATATTATACAAATGAGTTATTTAAACGCTTTCGAAACAAACTTTACATGAGCACTTCTACTATGCTATATAGCATTGGTGCTTTAATGTACAACTCAAAGTTGTACCATAACATTAAATGTATAAGTTTAGGTTGTACCATAATGCAATTTGTACCATTATGTTATGGTACAACTTTACAACTTGAAGTTGTACCATCACATAAAGGTACAAGTTCAAGTTGTACCATAAAAGAATTTGTACAAAAAATATAGGTACAATATAAAGTTGTACCATAACGTAAATGTACAATTTTAAATTGTACCATAAAGGCAAAAACCTATAGCACCAATACTATATAGCATTGTAAAATTTCTCACTTTACATATGCAAATTTCTATACTCTCAAATGTCTATATCTCTTAAATGTCTATATTTGAGCAAATATCGAAAATGTTGGGAAGCTATTTGAGTGACAGAAACATTTGAGTGCTCAAACAATGAAACTTTCTTTAGTTAGTATCACCCTTATTCGGGCTAAGCCGGCCTTCTTTAGTTAGTATTGACGGCTCAAACCGCCATCAATTTTACCGGCCGAACTGAACTGGATCAGATCATGACCCGTAATAATGAATATACATACTGTCATGATCATGGAGAAGCCAGCAGCTACGCAGCTTAGCTAAACCACGGCCGGCACCAACCAACCAAAACATGCTTTTGTACATCTTTGACGTCATCGGCCGGTGAAAGCAAAGCAAAGAGAAGACTGGAAAGTGGAAACCATAGACAATATCATCACCATGAAAAATCAGTGTCTCCAGGACGACAGCCTAACAACGACATGACAGCAAATCGACATGAGACCAGTTGCTTCTCTGGGAGAGAATTGCAAATGTCGAGAGGATTTGTGGTAGAACTGTTATGACCTTTTAATATTAACGATTTTTTAAGGACCAAACGTATAATGGGATTTGTGTGAAGTATTATTGCTGCATCAGTTTGATGTGAAAGGGTCCATCTTTTCTTCGAATAAGATCAACCCTCTTAGGTTTAAGTATATTAAAGAAAGCTGGTGTTAGTCATTGGTCATTATTTTTATGTATATATATACATACACAAGACATGTATATTATTATTGATAAACGACTATAGTACTATTTGTGGTCTGAAAGTCCTATTTTTGTTCTAAAATGACACAAGTTATCTTTATTGGATTAGTTGTGACAACGTCTGAAAATAATTTTCGAAAGAACACAAAAATTAAAAATTTAATAGAAAACTTTATCTCAAATTATTTTTATATAATGTTATAACTATTTTTATTTTATTATATTGAAAAGTTGGGCCAACTCTCAATTTTGGAACATGGCCTCCACGATTCATTGGATGGTCTGCATATGTGAATATTATTTACAACCTGTTTACCTTTAAAAATTAAATTAGTTACTACGTTAAGTAATTATAAAAAATTTAATAACTTTATAAGATCAACTCAACATTAAGCATTAAAAGACTTAAATTGTGCTTAATTAAATTATTTTTGGGGCCAGTGGCCAAGCGCCTCTCCTTCTAACCTAAGTCGGCAAGCAGCTTCATCTCCCTCATCTAGGTTGTGGCCTGGTCCAAGTTGGCCTCAATAGACTCCATGTCAAGTTAACTTCCAAAAGGTAAGTCTAGAACCTCGAAGGTGGAGACATGCCAGACAATATAACAACCCGAGGAGACAGGCTAGGTGGCAAGGTGATGGGGTTCAAAGCCGAAAAGGCGACAAGGTATCAAACAAACAGTATGGGCATGCCGGCAAAGCGACGAAGTAACTCGCTTAGGAGGTCATCCAAAATCTAAGTATGGAGCTCAAACCGGTGATCCGAACTTGATATCAAGATGACAAGTTGACAGAGCATCAAGCCTGAATGTATCAGGTTAGAAAGATTGACTTGGAGACGGGCATGGTTGGAAGCTAACAAAACTGGCTTGTCGGCAAGGTGACAGGTGGCAAGCCGACGAGTTAGGTAACAAGCCGATGAGATGGACTTGCCAACAACATGGTAGGGTGTCTAGCCAATTAGACAGACTTGGTACCAAACTAGTAGGGTACCTAGCCGACAATACGGGTTTGTCGGCAAAGGCAGCAAGGTACCAACTTGATGAGGCAAATTTGGTGCTTAGATCCTCTAGGGAGTATCCAAAAGCTAAGTATGGAGATCAAACTGATAGGTCACCAAAGCCATCAAGATGAACTTGTTGACAATTTGACATAATGGTCTTGATGGCAAGGAAAAAATCTATCAAGATGACGAGACTGGCTTGGTGACAAGATCGAAGGTATCAAGCTGATGAAATGAGCTTGGTGACAAGTTTGCTAGGTAACAAGTTGAAAAGATGGACTTGCTACCAAGCCAACAAGATGGTAGCATGTCAAGCTTTCCTAGACAAAATATGAAATCTTGATGGGTAAGTGACCATGTACTTATGTTAAGTCTAAGTTGTCATCACTTCAAGGTGGGTAACAAGGCCTAGATATAATGTCGTAGAACATTTTTTTTTTTTTACCTTTTTGGTAACCAGGATCGTAATCCCTCAGGGCCTCGCATGATCAATTACTCATATCGTAAGAAACTTGTACTTTGGACTTTTAAAACTAATGCGGAGGTTGAAGTGCCTTGATGTTGAGGTTCCTCTTAGTTATTGACAAATGAAAATGAATCTGAAAGTTGAGGTGCCTTTGAGGTTGAGGTATCAAGCTGATATAATAGTACTTTCTACGTATCATAAACATTATCGTAAAAAATTAAACAAGTTAAATTTTTTATAAGTAGGCAAAGAAAGGAAGTCCAACACACTTACATGTACTCTAACGCTATGATTTCATGATTTATCCATCAGAAGAAAAAGAGACAAAGAAAAGTTTTCCACTTGATTATCATATGCCACATGCAAGATGTTGTGTGCTTTTAATGCCCGTGAGATAGAAACCATTTTGTTTAGAATAATAGTTCGAAAATATTTAACCAACCCTCAAGTAAAAAAATTGTGAATGGTGGTGCCTAAGCTTACACAAGGGAAATTGATGTAGGCCGGTTAAAGGTGGAGGATGCTTGTATTAGGGGCAACCATATGTCCACATGCACAAGCTACCATTGACCTTTGATTCTACTAATTACAATTCTTTTTTTTTTTTATAGAAACTACTAATTACAATTCAAAAGAGGGTCTTGCATGAATTTATGAGACATTTGATGTGTAAAGATTTTTGGTCACCGTCCACTCCTCCTCCCAAACACAAACACATCATTTTCTTCTCGTTGCTTCACCTTCAATCCTAGCTAGGCAAAGTAGAAGGAAGAACTGACAAACCCAATAAACAATGGAAAATCAAGAAGCTATATATTTTTTTTCTTAAGATTAAAAAGAGTTGACCTTTAGATGGAGATGATGTGGCCTTGAGAATGTTTCCCCTATAAAATCCAGCCTTTTGTACCTTCCTTTCTTCTTCACTGCAAACCCAGCACCTACCAAAACAGAAGCCTTACAAAGTTCAAAGCTTTTTCCCCCTCCTTTAATGGCTATCCCAGTGGTTGATTTCTCCAAGGTTGGCAATGGTGCTAGCCCTGAGGAAAGGGCAGCAACCATGGCTCTCATTGCCAAGCACTGTGAGGAGTGGGGATTCTTTCAGGTCAGATAATAATATCTTACAAAGCTTCCTTTTTTTTTTTTTACCTTTGGGGGAACCATTATTAGAAAAAAAGATTCCAACTTCTTTACTTTCTTTCATGTAAACAGCTGGTGAACCATGGAATCTCAGAGGAACTCCTTGAAAGGGTGAAGAAAGTTTGCACAGAGTTCTTCAAGCTGGAAAGAGAGCAGAATTTCAAGGAATCTCCCCTGTTCAAATCCCTCAGTGATCTGCCTGATGGCCAAAAGTTGGAGAATGTTGATTGGGAAGATGTCATCACACTTCTTGACCACAATGAGTGGCCCTCCAAAACCCTTGGATTCAAGTAAGAACCCAAAAAAAAAAGATCACTTTTTATCAATTCCCCTGTTTTTGCTCCCTTTCAGCCTCTAATTTCCTGTTTTTATATTTCAGGGAGACAATGGCAGAGTACAGGGCAGAGCTGAGGAAACTTGCGGGGCAAGTAATGGAAGTGATGGATGAGAATTTGGGTTTACCAAAAAGTTACATCAAGAATGCATTCAACAGTGGTGGAGAGGAAGCCTTCTTTGGGACAAAAGTGAGCCACTACCCACCATGCCCCAAGCCAGAGATGGTGAACGGGCTGAGGGCCCACACCGATGCAGGCGGGGTGATCATGCTGTTCCAGGACGACGTCGTTGGAGGGCTCGAGGTGCTGAAAGACGGGGAGTGGTTCGACGTGCAGCCGATGAGGAACAGCATTGTGATCAACACCGGGGATCAGGTCGAGGTGCTGAGCAATGGCAGGTACAAGAGCGCCTGGCATCGAGTCCAGGCGAAGCCAGATGGCAACAGGAGGTCGATCGCGTCGTTCTACAACCCGTCGATGAAGGCCACCATTGCTCCAGCTCCACAGCTTGTGGAGAATGGTGAGGTGGGAGTTGATGCCTTTGGGTACCCTGAGTTTGTGTTTGGGGACTACATGTCTGTTTATGCAGAGCAGAAGTTTGACCCAAAGGAGCCAAGGTTTCAGGCTGTTAGAGCCATGTGATGTGTGGTTACCAACTGTGAGTTGGGTTTCCTTTTTTTTTTTTTTGGTGTTTTTTCTCCCCTTTTTTCATTTTGTTTTTACTTGATAGCCAAAAGGGTTTGCTCTTTCTCTGAACAATACATAATGTGTTGGGAGAAATGAAGTGGGTTATCAGTGACAGTCTGTGTGTGTGTTTTTGTGGATTTTGATTTGTCTATCATGTATTATTACTACTGGCTTTGAGATGGAATGGTTGGGGAGAAATGCATTATGCATACATGAACTTGGTTGGCTCTCTGTACCATATACTATATATGTCATATTCTAATGGAGAACTACTATTATACAGTGAATCTTTCTGTTCTTGTTTTTTCCTCCTTTTTTTCTTTTCCTAGCTAGTTGGTGCACTTTGCATAAGAGGAAAAAAACTAGCACAGCATGTGTTTGTTGGTGGGAATCCATATATGAATGCCACCCCATATTTTAATCTTCTTTTGTATAATATAAAATTTGAAAAAATCAAGAATCAAACCAGAAATGTACTTTAATTTCTTTTTTATGTACTATTATATTGAGTTTGCTAGTTGTTAATGAACCGAAAAGAGCAATGACGACATAACGTTATGTTCGAATTATACCCAATGGTGTCAAAATTTCAGTTGATGTGGGTTTGAATTAAAAACAAATTTAGTAAATTGATGTTGTTTGGATTTTTAGAACGATCTTTGACGTATTTTCATATTTCAAAAAACTTCTAAAATACATTTATCATTATCAAGGTTGAGAACAAAGAAGAACCTTCGATGAGTTAGAGGTTGACGAAGTGGAGAATAAACAATTAGAGGGGTAGAGTCTTACTTTAATTTATATTAAAAAAAAACACTGTGTATCGTATTATAAAATATATTTATATGGACACGTCTATGAATTATGATGCACTATGATACCTACAAATGGTTCGCAAAGAATTTAAAAATTAATATACAAATGATTCCTACACCATGTCAAACATTTAGTAAACATTTATTGGTAACAATTACATTACATACTCGTTTATATTTAATCGATAAACAAATGATGTCATAATCATTTATAAACTGTAATGGTATATTATATTCATCTAAAATTAAACATATATCATAGATGACTCGTTTATATTTAATCGATAAATATATGTAAACTGGTAAATGAAGTTAGTGTTCAAATTCATCTTTACCATATTGTTTCTCATAATTTTTCATATTATATTCCAAAACTTAAGCGGGTTCCTAACCGAGTGGATCTCGAGACCCTCCTTTCTTTCCTGTCGCTCCTACCCTGATTCTATCACAAATTTACAAGTAACAAATAGTCAATAAGGATTTGATTTAGTGGTACTACCATTGATTCTCAATTCGGATATTCTAACTTCAAATCCTATCTGGTTAAATTCGCCTCCACCACAGACCCCTTCAATAACAATTAACAAGTAAATTTTAAAATGTAGCGAGCGAATGAACAAGTAAATCTGTAAGCTTTTCGAACGCTTTACTTATGTTGCAACTCCGAAACTACCTTCCTCAATCAATTTGTAGTGAGAATGAAGACTAACAACTTAATCCACCATTAATTTTTTTGGGGTGAAGACTCTAGATTGATGACTTGGGTGAGTTGAAATGCACCACATGAAAGGGATTTTTTTTAGTTCTTTTCACTACATTGTTCTTGACCTAACCATAACCTTCCATAGTAAGCAACTATATATGACTTCTTGTCACGCAGAAACCAAACAGCTCGCCCATTCTAGTCTTGCCAAATGGTCACCAACCAAACAAACAAGAGCTGTTATACTTAGTTAGGTAAATGATGATGATGGTGATGATGTTCTTCCTTTCTTTCTATTTCTGGGTAGGAAGGGTTGACTAATCCAAGCATTGTGATTTTGTCAAAAAGAGGCTGGTATGTTTCCATTATTGTGAGATTATGACACAGCAATTATTGCTCTGACCAGATCATAGTTGAGAAATGTTTTGTTTTTTAAGTTGGACCACAACCAGATCACAAGATTTAGAAACTCATTATTTTGATTAGTAGCTATCTCCAATGACACAGCCAAGAAGATGCACTAGTCCTACGAGTGAGTACGGTCTGGTTGGGTCTAGGATCGGACTGAATCGGTGTAAGAATCAAACCGAAAAATCATGACAGATGATGAAAAATGTGGTTCGTTTCTTCATGTACAATGAGATTCAGTGCAATCAAAAACCAAAAAGTCTTAAGCTTGAAGCTTGAGGAATGAAATGTAATCAAGAAACATTCGATCGGGTTTATTCAATCCACAAACATCGATTCCGACTGCCAACCCAACTTCATAAGAAAATATAATGTTCCCAGAAAACAGGTAAAAGGACTATTATTTTCATTATGGGCACTGATCATCGAAGGTATATGGGTTACAGCCATTTTTCCCAATACTGGAAGGTGCCCAAAAAATATTTCAATGTACCCTTCCTACCCTCTCTAGAACCATATATATGGTGGATGGGAGTTAACAATAATGTTGATTGACGTATAAGGTAGATGCTTACTAACTGTAAAAGGAAGAAGAAACTTCTGTAGTCGTTCTATATTGCAATTCTGTACAGTAATAATGTACACTGACAAACCTCGTGGGAGAATAACTTCACAGGGCTTTCTGATCTTGCCTTTCGTTCCAGTTGAGACAGCGAATCAAGCTGTGAAACCAGTCACCGGTTTGGTCGTACTTGTTAACAGTAGGAAGTGGGTGCTGGCTCATCGATATCTTGACCGAATCTCCTCTCGATAGTTGCTGCCTTCTCTTCCCGTCGAATGAAACCCACGCATTGCTTCGAGCATCCTCAGGAATCTGTTTCAGTAAAAATGCACTTTTGATCAGAACTAGATCCTTTAGCTGAAATAGAGATGACATTTTCCCCTTCTATCTACCTTCAACTCGAGCCTCGCGGAATCTGGAAGTATGACTGGCCTGAAGGAGAGGGAGTGAGGGCAAATTGGAGTAAAGAGCATACAAGGAACATTTGGGTGCACCTGAACAAAAAGCATTTCAGCACAGCGTTTAACTTTCAGCTTTAAATTTAACGTTCACATGTCAGAGAACAGTCAGCAACAGAGTAACTGAAATCAATAAAATTTAGGTCTTGGTATGCAAGGCACGAATTAGAAAAAGAGGGGAGAGAAGTTCTTACCATGGACCCTCCAGCTGCAGTAGAGTAAGCAGTGCTGCCAGTAGGAGTTGCCACAATTACTCCATCACCTTGCACCTAAAAAAAAGACTGACTTCGTAAAGGGGAGAGACAAGAAGCATGCAGGGCCAAAGAATGAGGACCAAATTGCCCCCTTTTAATATTAAACACTCTGATGTCTCTGTAACGAAGACTTGGGTCAAGGAGAATGATATCCAACCTTGGTTATAAGTCGGTCATGTTCATAGCATTCAATCTTTGAAAGGTATGGATTTGAACCCCGATCAACAACCACCTCATTCAGGACATCAACTACTTTCCCAGGGACTGCTTGTCCCTTGCGAAAGATTTCACACCTTAGACGCATCCGGAGAGTTATATACACACCAACCGTGTTGTTCACGTGGATCAGCTTTCTTAGGTCCTTCCTGTAGTCTCCAAACTACACCCAGAAGAATAAAAAACCGAAAAAGTATCAGTTTGCTAAACAGCCAGTTGGAAGGGACAAGAAGCAGTACAATAACAAATGAGAAAAGGATCTGAAGATTTTACACTATGAGAAGTGAGAAAACCAAGCGATCCAAGATTAAATGACACAACAGGAGGAACAGCATCTCTGAACAAATTAGATGCATGAAGTATAACGCCATCACCTCCCAAGCATGCCACAAAATCAATCCTCTCGTGAAGATCACTGCACCAAGTGGACACCAAGCTTAGGAACTAGAAACCTGCTATGTGTGGAAGCTAATTACACATGAATATAGCATATCTTTTCAATTGACATTAAGATGATTACCTTGTATCTTGACTATAAAAGGTTTGAATGAAGCCAAAACCTGGCATTCGAGCAAATATATCGTGAACATCCGGTTCCACGATGACATTCATATTTTCTTGGTGATATAAGTAAGAAGCCACCTGCATTTTAATGCAGAATTTAGTTCAAACTATATCATACATCAGGTGATTCGATGAGCTCTCCTTATCAAAGTAACTCATCTTCTGACGTTGGAGGGGGAAAGTAGCTGATTCTTTCCAAGAAACAGGGACAAATTCTAAGAATACACTGACAATCTACACATAACTGTATGCTCCAGACATAAAGGATACGGCGTTTAACAGTATATCATGTCATAAATAGTAGACCTTGCTAACTGGAGCCACATTTCAACAAATGAATATGCACCCTAAAGATGGCACTTGATAGAGAATCACTGGTCTGGAGAGTGATTGATCTGACAACTAGGCTTAGTAGTTCTAGATCAGGATATAAAACAGCATGAACAGAGCCTTAATCAAGCTCCATTCCATCAATGTCAAATGAGAATAGGAACTGAACCCTCAATTGGTTAGCAAGCGCAGTTCCGTGCCAGTTTTATATCATGAAAGCTCATAAACAAGGTAAGACGCATTTCCTAAGGGCTAAGGTCAAGTCAAAAGGCTAATACCTTCTATGCAGTTCCAATATATGAAGTCAATGACCATCAGAAAGTTTGCGGCCTGAACCATAGCAAGTATGCAGGTCCATGTACCAAAACTAAATCTATATCCAAATTGCATAGTCATTATCAAATTCGTAATACTTCTAGGTTCCATAAATATTTTCAAACTCGTAACACTCATATAAATAATGAGCAGGACACCACAGTACCTCTTTGGCTTCTTCCATGAGTTCTTGTCCCAGCTTCTTCAATAACAATACCGTCTTGGGTGGAGTTTTCCACATGAGCATCTGCTGCTGGGTACTTGGGTGAGTAAATGCCAAGCTAGATTCAGTAACTTTTTCCCTTGTACAGGAAAATCCATCTGTGCGTACCAGGAACATCTCTGCTTTTTTCCTAGACTGTATCCTTACCACACCAGTCGCAGAAGCACACATGTCTCCTCCCAATGAGCCCATCTCATCATCACTGGAGCTTGACGAATGGCCTACATCTGTGCTCTCCAAATCATATTTAACAGAATTACATCTAACATGCTCACTTAAGCTTTTATTTACACTAGTAGAGACACCATTTTGCAAAATGGAATGCCTCTCATGGGCATTGAAAGCATTCACATCAGCACCCACAAAAGGTTGACCATTGCTACTATTCAGGTGCTTCTCAACAACAAGTGATCTCTGAGAGCCTGGGGATGAGCTCCTACTAGTTCCCAATCCATTTGTTCTCTCGAAAAGCTCTGGTATCTCATGAATTTGTTTCCCAATTTTTCCGTCTCTCAAAACAGTAAACTTCTTAACCTTTGTGGATTGATGCTGTGAGAAAGCGGAAGGTGAGACCTTTTTACTCTTCATGAAACTTGACATCACTGCCTTGGAGAAGACATCGCAAGGAGGTAACTGAGAGTTTAGAGGGTCAGCTACCCAACCAGCATCTGATAAGGATCCTACCTCTTTATCAATGGTTTCCGAAGATACATGAGCAAAATCCAGACCGTTCAGTGTACCATTGATGCTCTGGCCTTTCGCATCTATAAGTGAAGAGTCAGCTTCACCATGAGATAATCCATTGGAAGAGTAAATCTCATGCAGAGCCTGTGTAGGTGATCCATTTTCCTGGTTTAGGAGCGCCTTTTCTCCCATTTCACCTGCATCCGGTACCACCATACCACTAGGAGTGGTGAATTGAGATGGCTTTCGAGTCATGTACTGTCTCCACCTGGACACCATCGCAGATGTTCTCTGCACTCCCTCTTTACTATGAAGGTATATCGGCTTTTTGCTGAAATCAGAAACCAGCGAGGCAAACATTTCAACCTGCTCTGCTGAAGGTGCAGTCCCAACCTCAATGGGAATTCGAATTAGTTCTACCTTCCCAGCCAAAATAGCATCATCTATGGCTGCTTCATAAAAGTTGTCCTTTATGGTTTCTGCTCTAAGATCTACAATAGTCTTAAATCCCTTTTCTAACAACCAATTCAAGGCCTCCTCTGAAACCTGCCCACCCATCCAAAATTGTACCTCAGAAGTCTCTGTTGCTATTTCTTCTTTTGAAGTTGATGAATAAACAGCATTCCAATTTGCAAACACTGTATGACAAGGATATGTATCGGAACGAGGGAAGCCAGAATCGTAGCAAACGTTCTTCAACCTTTGCAGCTTCCTCCACACCTCCGGGCTTCGATCACCATCAGGTGTCAAGTAGTTTTCAAGAGCAACATGCAGACTTTCGCAACATCTTTTCATCTCACTCCTGAAAATAGCAAGCGGTGGAAGCTTATCCTCCATCGTGCTCACGTCTGAGATACGAAAAGAACTCATGGCCGAGGACCGTCCAGAAAGAACATCTTCCCTTCCTTTGTTAAGAAGCGATAGAACAGCTCCAAGGACGGATACAATTTTATCTTCCAACATAGGTTTTTCCTCTGCGGGGAAATTGTATGGAGCACTACATTCCCCAGTCACTGGATTGCATAATGTGTCCATCAATGCAGTATGAAGTCGTTCAGCTGCTCTGAAAATTCTGCAATATGCCTCAACTTCAGCAATATCCCCCGGAATCGGACCAATCCAAGGTGACTGTGACAAGTCATGAGGCTGGTAGTGCTTCTAGTTAAGATGAAGCCAAATCAGTACAAGTTGCAATATAGAAACCAGAAAGAAAAAAAAAACATTCATCTTCAATAATCCAATTAAAAGAACTGCATCATATTGATTAAATTCACCAGGCAAGAGAAACAAACAAAAACATATGCGGAGAGTCAAGAGATGAGACTACAACAGGCAGCGGGAAGAAGCAGCTACTTTCCCACTCGAACATGAAAAAGCAATTATCTATGATAAGCTAAATCAAGAGATGAGAATGGAAACTTGATACTATTATTATTCCGGAAAGTCCACCTCCATATTTCTAGTCGAACGTTGAAAAGATATGAACAGAATAGAAGGCTTCACTTAACTGCCTACAATCATCTATATTCCTTTCGAGTGTTCCAGTTAACTAACTTAAACTTCCAAGATGGAATGCGTAACTACTATTTAGTAACCTACCCAAACCCATTGTTAAGAAGAAGAAAAAAGAACCTACACGACACAACTTCGAATTCAACAAAAAGAACAAGCAAAATGGTGACCTGCTAATAGAACAGCATCAAACAGCAATCAGACGAGCAGCGGTATCAGATGGCAATGAATGTCGTCCCAACAAGATTCCTAGCTTCCAATGAACGCAATATTCCATATCCACCACGTAAACTGGATGTAAACATAAAAATTGCAGCTTTCATAGTTCAAATCATTCAAACACACAAATTGTGATATGCAGGAGGCAACAAGTTCCAAAAGAACTGATGAAACCAGGTACCCAAAAGAAAGAATGCAAAGCCACTGCCAAAGCTTTCACAGACGCATTTCATCAAACACCACCGCGTCAAGAGAGGCGGAGAAGGCAACAACAACAACAACAACAACAAAAACAAGGACACATTGCAGACTAAAAGTCACAAAGGCAGCCACTTGAGAGGGAAATTGAGAAGGAAGGAGACGAATATTGAAAACCTGAGAGTCTTGGAACCCCAAATTCAAGGAGAAGGACTTAGAAACCTCCGCGGAGACAACGAACTTGAGCTGCCGCCTCCGCTTAACCCGCCGCTTCCTCCGTATCTCCGACGACCCAATACCCGGCAGGTACCCGCCACCAGCATCTCCTTTATGCAGCAGCATCGCATTCGAAGTAGCCGTAGGAGGAGGGGAGAGAAAGCAGCCTCCGATGGCCGGAGGGGAGAATCGGGTCATATCGGCGGTGGACGCGTGGCAAGAGCAGACGAAGAGGCCTGCCATGATGCCACCATGTGGTGTGGGTACACTTGAGTACTAGACCGCGCTGCCAAGTTAAGTGAACAATTGGGCTTTGCTTGGAGAAGTAATGGGTGGTTGGGGATTTTTTATAACAAATTTTGGATTTTGCTCTGCAATATCTGTTGTCTCTCCGTGGCTGCTATATATATATGGCAGAAGGAAGAGGAAGAAAAACTGAAGGAAAAGAAACGCAGTTCGGATGAAAGGAGAAAAGGACGTTGGGTGACTGACTCTGTTGCTGCAAGCGAAGTAGAGGGCCTACATGCCCTTTTCTTCTTCCTACATTGGATTGGATTGGATGGATGGATGGATTTCAGGGCATTTCCATTGGCGCGTTTGTTTCTGTGGGGTTGGAGTTGGAAAGGGTGGGGATGTGGAAAATGTGGAGCAAACTAGTACTCTACTTCTATAAAATAATGGATGTTTCGGGATTGGATGTTTTGAATTCGCCTTTAAGAATGATTTTAGTTTCGTTGATTTCATGACTTGTTATGTCCATTTATCGTTGTAACTTATAACTAAAGGTATACATATAAAAAAAACCCACAAGTATGGGAATGATGTTGCAAATCTTCCTCCGTGAGTTTGGAGCAAGTATCAATTTGAATATTTGTAAATGTGTACGAAGATGGTTAAGAGAAATATAGGTTTAACATAGGATACATCACCCTTGGTTATGCACCTTGCATAATTAGATCTAGGTCCTTAGTTTTAGTGGGGGCCATATATAAAGGGTGGGAATTATTGGGTTTTTATTTTCCCTAATTTTATTTATTGGCTATTATCGTCTTAATTCTAACTTGGATTTCAAGAAAAAATTTGCACAGATGGAACGAGTTTGTTGTCATCTACAAAACAAGATCCATTTTCAATAACTTTAGAAAGAAAATTAATACCACTAATTACCATCTTGGTACCACTTGGTATCACTTTCGCTTTTAACTCGAATTTAAAACAAATTGCATAGAAGGAACAAGTTATCAATTGGATCTACAAATTTATGGAAAAAACAAATACACTACCAAATATACCACTCTGTACCACCCTAGTATAAGGGTGGTAACTAGTGGTAAACAATGATAAATTTGATAAATGACAATTTGTATATTGTTGCTATCATGTATTCAACCAATATGCACATTCTACCACCATAGTACACTTCCATACCATGTGGTATTATTTTATACAATACCAAGCATTATCAGCATGATATAAACCGATAATTAATATCTCAATTTTTTGTTTCAAAATATATCAAAATATCATTATCACAATAATATGTGCAAAAAATAAGGTAAGTCCACTAATATCCATAAGAGATGCAAAATGGATATGGCTCGTGGAGAGAAGAAAAGCAGCCAAGGTTCAAAGCCCACAAACAAAACTAAAGTCAACACTCATGACGAAAATCACATTCGAAGCTAGTGATTTTTTTCCAAATTACCATACTTAATACAAATAATTTCCACACTCCACATTTGCACTTACATTTCCCAAACTTGTAGAGTTTGGAGCGTTTGCTTGACAGCGGAACAAATAGTAGTTATCGTTCGTGGCAGACATAAGCAATTCAACTTGCTCGCTGAAAAGAATCATATATTTGACAAACCAATGCATTGATTTAGGGGTCGTTTGGAAGTTGCGATTGTTAGCATTGTATTTGTTAAATACATGCATTGTCCATAATACAACGTTTGGAAGTGTCAAGTTGCAAAACAATGCATGTATTATTTTGTGTGGGTCCCACCAACAATCAACAAAAATGAGAGATTGGACAATCTCAACTAAAAGCTGAGATTGTTGTGATTGTTGGTTTAATAATTGAGCACATTTACTTTTTCCAATTATGTCCATAGTTCTTTTTGTTTTATATTAAAAGTGGAGGACAAATATGACATTTCCTTATAAAGTAACTTTATAACAATCAATTCATAAATTATAATCTCAACAACCAAACAATGTAATTTCAAAATGCATCTATTGTATCAATGCATGCATTTATATCATAGTGATTCATAACAATACAACGATTTAAGATACACAACTTCCAAACGACCCCTTAGTTATTTAAATGAAGGGCATAGTAACCCATCAAACAACTCAATTCACTCATGAGTTATTTCAATCAGTGTTATTTCCAAATAACCGAAACTCGAGTTATTCTAAATAACTCATTCGGTCATTCCTTCCTCCACTTTTCTCTTTTATGATACTACATTACTACATGCAAATAACTCACAAATTTTCTTATTTCAAACAAGACATTTCTACACCCAAATTTATCAACGGACACAAATATCATACCACAATCAATAACTCGTCCAAACAAGCACGTTTATAGAACACATTGTAAAGGCCCACTCCCAAAACATCACTAAGCAAACAATCTAGTTCTTCAAATACCATGAACACATGGAGCGAAAGAGACATCGTCGCCATCTTCAAACGATCGATGAGGAAGCTAAGCAGAACACTAGAGAACTTTGTAGAGGAAGATGTTGAATGTATTCAACAGAGAAGATGAACACACCAACCTCCAGACCCAAAGCAAAGCATCCACAGTGAAAACAACCTTGCAATCAACAATCACTGAAGATTGGCTGTACCCTTGTAGATGAAGACTACTAATCCACTAAAAACCCACGAACATCGAGTAAAGCAAAGAGTATGAAACTATGAACACATCAACTATGATACAGACCACAAACCAAAGACAGAACCTCTTGGCTCCCTTAAACGACCACCATGCAAGCACATATTTGGAGAAACCAGATCAGAAAGAACAAAACATCTCCAAAAACAGGCTTGTGGGACGATTACACTTAAGGAAAGGGGAAAGGCCATAATGACGGAAATAGCAGAGGAAAGCAAAAAATAAAAAGTAGGGGGAAAAAACATTGCGCTACCACGGATCACCATGAGGTGGAGTGGACAACCCTGGGAAAAGACACACGTTAAGAGGTTAGGGAAAATGGAGGTTTTTCAAACTAGAGTGAGAATCCACAAGACTTGCTGCTAACCTTTAATGAGATAGCCGCAGCACATTTCTCTTTCAAACTCCATCTATGCATACTACGTGACATTTATGGTCGTTCTAGAGGTGCCTTACTCACATATTTGTCCTACTTCAAGCCATGCTACTTCGAGTTCGAACTCTATCGATAAGCATTTGTCTGCCTGTCAAGTCTTCTTCATAACTAACAACCTGCAGGCACAGCACGTATGCAACATTCATTGTCTGCTTGTCAAGTCTATAGCAACCAAGCCAACTGTAAGGAAGATGCCTCCAACCTGGGAATCCGTTTGCGTCTCGCTGAAACCATCATAAATTCCTCTATTTGCGTCTTTGGATGATTCGTCTCTTCTCCCAGTCCTGCACGAAGAGCAAGCACGTCAAAATGAGAACATGTCTAAAAGAGGAAGTATTTGACAATGCAGACTAGAGAGCAAGTCTCATATATTTTTTTCCACTTGTTTTGACACAATTTCTCATGATTAAGAACGATACCTGTTCGACCATTGCTTCGGTACCCCGCTGACGGAACAAGGGCCCCCATGGTCATCACTGAGCATTTGACATTCAGGAGGTTGGTAAAGCTGTTACGTAGTTAAGGATTCAACAGAGGACAGAAAAATATTTATGCACAAAAAGAAAAAGCAAAAGGATACGCTTTTGTCACAAATAGTTCTCTCAGGTGACTTGTGTTCGTGAATCTTGAAAAAGCAATAACAAATCAAACCACTAGTCAGTCCTAGACCTCTGAGATAAATAGAGAGAGAGAGAGAGAGAGAAAAGATCAAATGCCAGTGACTTTACTTTGCTTGTCTGTTCTAATAAATCCTCAATAGCGGCAGCTACATCGGGAACAATATGGGAAGAATCTCTGCTGTCTATGCCATTGCCGCCCATGGTGGAGCTTATGTTGTTGAAACCGTCATTGGAGTTCATGTTGATTATACAATCTCCTGAGTAGACTCGAGAAGATGGCAGGTTCGTTCGGTCATCAGTTTCCACATGACGTGCCTTTTTAGACTGATTTATGGATTGTGTGGCCACTCCCACCATACTGCTAATTTTGTTCTTAAGAGTTAAGACTTGGGCCTCAGTGACGTCTTGCGACTGACTTCTCAACTCTGATGTTGTTTCTCCATGTGTCATCCAAACATCTTCAGAAGGGAATTGGCTCACACTGGCTAAGTCAGTCTCCTGGTCCTGCTGGCTAACTTCTTTTGGGCGAAATGGAGCCAATTCAACCACTTTATTCTGCCATAATCACAGAAGAAGATGTTGGGAAACTACAGAAAGTAGCTGTGCACAAGACTAGCATATGCCAACACACATCCAAACTTACGGGGATAATCGGTTCTGGAGTTCTGGTTAGACAGAAACCCTACCAGATAGCCACCCGTATCTACAATATCACAAATCAAGGGGTAGATAGCCACCCGTACCTGTCTGACACACTCATAGATCCACTCGGCTGTAACCGAGGGTACCCCCCATCTACAAGCAGCTTCATACTTGGGTCCACAGGTTTCCTTACAGAGTAAGTGAGTGACCTTTCTTGTCAACTTGTGTGCAAATTTCGCTCCGAGAACAACACACAAGTTTATGAACAAGGACTTGTCTTTCTCGCTGAATTGAGAAACACAAAGCCGGAAGCTTCCAAAACCAGGCAAAGGAACCTGACATGGAAGAGGGGAATAGAGGATGTGACCGCCGATGTCTAGCAGGATTCCATCCTATGTTGGAAGGCATCAAATTAGCAATTAGCAAGGTATAATATCATGTTTAACCAGTGATATAATCCAACTCCATGTTATAAAGAAGTAATGACATCATATGATGAGAAAATAAAAAAATGTAATATACACCATGGAAATAAGCCACGCTACTCCATTAGGTGATAAATACTCGCACACAAAAGGCTGAACCAGACACTTAGGCATGTGAGTGAACCATACCTCTAAACAAGAACGAACCCAGTGACTGGAAACAAAAGCAGTGTGGGGCATCGATGTGGGTATGATACCATGGCATTCAATTGTGAAATCCACATTTTGCACTTCATCATCAACTAATGCACCACCACCTTGGTTGATCCACTCAACGATCTCCGTTCTCTGAAAGAAAAATCAAGAAAACAGTTCGATGTGTTAAGCGATTACCAAGATATCATAGAGCACCACAACTGAAACTCAATGACAAAGATGATTTGTTCTAGCATGCAGATTGACAATTTAGAACTACCATTAGGAGAGAAAGGAAAATTAGAAACTCAAATGTTGCACAATAAGGTGAGGACTTCCCCAAAGTACCATAAGAACGTATGTCACAGATGTGATTCCAATTGCTTACCCTATCTGCAGGAAAGCTCTTTGAAAAGCAGAAGCTTTTTCCCTTAAATACAGCTTCGTGTATCCTGTTTTGAGACTTGTTATCATAGGAATCACGGCTTGTCCTCTTTCCAACAACTTTTGTATCATTATGCACAGGAAATGTGTTTTCCTGAACTTGTCTAGTGGTTGCATCTGGATTAGAGGCTTGATCAACAAAATTGACTTCTTGCTTCTCCTCTTTCTTCTTCTCTATTGGGAATGTCGCTGCCTTGACAGAATCTAGATGTCCATGTTCCTCTGTAATTCCAGAGTCCACAATCAACTCTCCGGAGTGTACACTTGGAAAAGAACTATCTGGCTTTTTTATGCCATCGGTAGACGCCTTTATGAATCTCAAAGAATCTGTTCATTCAAGACAGAAGAAGAAATCAAAGGCATATTAAGAGAATACAAAGTTCACCCTGAGCAACAAAGTAAAAAGGCATAAACAGGACATGTTAACTAAAATGCTCAGCTGAAAAGAAAGAGGAACCATGTTGTAAAATGGAATACCAATAGCACCTTTAGGGAGAAGTAATTCATAGGCCACATGTTGTCTAAGAACAGGAACTTCTCTCTTTTCCCGATCGCAATCTTCAAGCCACGTTGTTTTAACTACATAAATTACCCCAGAAGCAGCAAGGCTCCTTAGCTCTCTTTTTTCACTACATAAACGAAAAAGCATGCGTAAAAACAGAAATTTTCAACAGCAATATACAGCCTTAAGCTCAATAGCCAAGTGAGCAAAAACCACTACAGAACGACAAGAACCCAAAAACACATGACGAAATCCATAATTTTTCAGTTGATACCACATAATGTCAAGAAATACTTACTCCTCGGTTGGGGATCCGATAATAATATGTGTCAACTGATCATTCAATACCACGTAACGGGAGCCCCCACCTCTGCGCACCATGTTAACTAGTTTACGTGATTCAGAAGATTCAAAGCCAACAAGTGATATCCTACAATCAGCCAGGTATAAATCGTTGTCTTCTGATTCAGAATCATTGGCAACACAATTACTAAAGCCTGTTTCATTTGTCGGCTGCAATACAGGAACCTCATTCTTGGCTTCTTTGACATATATGAAAGGATCCGAGAACATAGAAGACATGTTCTGAGAGAGAGTTGCTTCCACATCCGAATCTGTGAAACCAGTTGATTGACATACAGCTGAGTTTGAATCAATAGCAGCTGAGGATTTCTCAGATGGCAACTGCCTGGTAGTCTTCTCCTGGCTACACTTTGATGTCAGGAAACTGCGGAAGCTCGTGCTTGAAGATGCAGAACCACCCTGAACAGGATATGACTCCTCATTTAGACATGCTATTCATCGAAAAGGAGAAATCCAAGTCAGATGCAGCTCATGAAATGTCTAGAGCACCACAAGGGACATCTAGGAAAAAGTAAGCACTCCCGGAATGTATTTTTCAGATTAAAGAAGAATCACTTTTTACCTCTTTTAGCAATAGACTGATCAAGCCATTTCCGAGTTACAATGTTTATACAACCCCATTTTGAAGCTACTATAAATTTGTCACCTTTAGGAGCTTGCAAGAAGTCAAGGAAACAGTACGAACTAAACATGAACAACTTGCACTCGAAGTTCAACATCTACTCTTCACCATATCAAATAAAAGACTCGCAGCTTCAACATCTATCAGACCCAGCAGAAGCAACACAAACAGCCAAATGCTGCTAACTCTTCAAGAAACACACCCAGGAATATTCTAACTCAAAATCTAGAGGAACTCTGAGCACCTATTTACGATAACATATCAACTCACACTTTCTTCACAGGAGTGGCATGGCTACTTATGCTTCTTTGCAAGTCAACTAAAGACTATACTGGTTAACTCACAAACATACAAGTAACCTGTGGAAATAAAATCTAAATGGCCAATATAATGATTGGTCATTTGTAACCTCGAAATAATATCTTAATGGAAAATAGTTAGTTCATAAGAACAATGGAAACAGTGCTATGATTATAACATAAAACTCATATCAGCATATAATTCTTAATGATAAGGATATTTCACAGATCAAATGTGTGCATTGCTTGGTCAACTCAGGAGAATACTTTCCACCATTTTGAGTGATAAGCGTCTCAATCTTCTTCCGCTCTTCTGAAAGAAACCAGGAACCAGAGTTAGAGAAAAGAGGGGAAAACAAAAGGTCTGTGGAAAGCAACTGAGTTTAAGAAGTAACCTCCTACAATTCCAGTAACACAAATTCTTAAGCCACATAATGGAAGAACCCTATGTAAGTCTTGGGGGACAACACGATGCTCGGTCCAGCACTGGTATAACCAACTAGCAGTAACACCTGGTTTCTTAAAAACATTCAAAGCCCACTGCATGCCAATTTAAATTCACGTCAAATGAGAAGAATCGAAAACTAGGTTTTCCAACCGATCAGGCATTCTTAACAGAGATGCATAAAAGGAGGACAAAACAGGTAGCAAATAAAAGCAGGCTGTGGAAACATTAGACAAGTACTGGACCTTGTACTTGGCAGCTAAAACATCCTTCACAATTACGAAACTAACATCCAAGGATGCCTTAGAGCACAACTCTCCTCCCATTGCTTTAACCAACTTTTCTATCTTAACCTGCAATACAGGTAGAAAAATTCCATGTTTAATGAACTAGTGATGAGAGGCAGCATTAGAAAGGAAACTGAAACCTCATCCAGCTCTTTGTTAGGACCAAGAGAAGAAGAAAATGTCTGCCGAAAGCTTTACTAATACACCAATCAACCCATAAGCCACTAACCTTCTCATCCGTATCAAAACCAGATGCAAGTACTTTGAGACCATCCATTGCTAGGCAACAAGTGAAACCTTGCTTAGGCAATTGCTTGTGTTCTTTAGCACATGAGAGAACACACTGCGGACCTATCCAAAAAAAAAAAAATTAGAATTAGGTCAAGCACAATCCCAAACCACATACAAAGCCTCTCTGCCGCATGTAGAGGCTATACCTAACAAATTACATCCCTTAGCTCTAAGATCCTCGAATTTCTCCTGCAAAACGAACCAAGAAGAAGAAGGAAACCACAATCACACCACGAAACTAGGGATGGAATGTGTAAAAGGAGAAGTGGAAATGGCGGGAACCGCTGGAAATGAGCAGCACCGGTTGTAAGTAAGAGAGGGCTTACGTGGTCGGGAGAAGAGATGACGTGGTAGTCGTTGGGACCGCTCCGGGAAGGATCGCAGCACGGGAAGACTTCGGCGCCGTTGAGCTTGAGAGCGTCGAGGAGTGTGTCGAAGATCTCCGGCGGGACGAGGTTACGGGACATGAATACGTTTGCTCCCTTGAAGGTGTTGGTCTTCAGCATCTTTCTCCGTTGGCTTATCTTCGCCGATTGGGCTGAATACAGCTGAGGGTGGAGACTGGAGACTGAGCTACGAGTCGTAGGCCGTGGAGCTTCCGGCTCCGGGGGTAAGCTAGAAATGTGAGAGTTAGGTTTTCTGCGATTTGTTTGGGGAGGGAAGTCAATTCGAAATCTATTTCGAGAGAGGAAAGAAATGGGGAAGGCGGGAAGGATTGAGGATTTTGACGTGGTCGCCTGCCCAAAGCCCATATGCTATGTACGGGTTTTGTTCTGGTAGACTTGCTGTTTTCGGGCTTTTTTCCCCAATAGGCCCAGGATGGGAGTAGATTTTACAAATCAATTTTCTCTTCCTTTTCACTGTTTAGACTTTAGAGCATGCAATGCTGACATTGCTGAGGTGTCCTTACCTGTGTTATTACTTGATCCGAGCAATGTAGTCAAATCGTGTTTTAAAACATAAAATAATAGGAGGTCAACATTTGTCGGTCGACTAACTTAGTCATCAGTCGTATCCAATCAACCTCGTCCGAGATGTTATTCATCTCGAGTTTTGTGGTTCAAGCCATCATGCTTGTTCTTCACATTTACTTCTTCAAGCTCGACATTCTTGTCATTCATGTCTTCACTTGAGAGGGAGTGTTGCGGTTACTTAAACCGTGTTCGTATTGGGCCTTGTTGGGCCTCGTCTTAATCGTTGGAATAGGGTTTTAACCCTAAGTCTTTCTCTATATAAGCTTAGCTATGAGATTGTCGTATGCAAACCGTCAAGATGTAATCCTAATAAGAGTTCAGCTGTGAGCTCTTATGAGCCCACCGTGGATTAGTCTCGATCAACTTAAGAGACGGAGCATCGAAGGTTGTTGAGTATTTGGATGGAACGTTTCGTTGGATATCGGTGGATGATGCTTCAGACATCATCACTGTCCACAACTTGAAGGATTTTCGAGTTATCTTCAAGAGCAAGTTCTCTGTGTATGAAGAGTCACATAATCCACATTTTGAGGAGATGAAAGTGGCGGTAGCGATTATCAGGTTGAGTTCTATTGGGAGAACAAGCTTGTTCGAGAGTAAGTGTGATACAAACTAAATGCTAGTTCCCTATTTTTGGTTTCTGTTACATGCACATACATCTTTCCATTAGGAGCACTGTTAATGTCATACAACATTCTGAAACCATTTCTTTCTTTTGATCGACCAGACGATTCAGGTTTTTCAATAGTTGATGATTGCTCCAACTGTGGATTTGATAATACCATATAGAACTTATTAGTGGGAGATAGAACTTATTTTTCAGGATATATGATTGCTAGCTAATGTACCAAGAGACTATAGAGCACTAGCACAAAAATGCAAGAATCCATGTATATAGTTATTATGTTTTTTTCTTTTTGTAGTCATAATGATTAATTTGATGGAGATTTGTGTTTCGGTGTTCTATTTGCTTCTTTTTCATGTTGGAGTGGGTTGTAAACATAGCTCCATTGTGGCATTAAGGAGTTTCAAGTTAGTTTTCAAGAAGTTTGAGAAAGTCAGAGCTGATGGCTGCACTAATGGAGAGCTGAACAACTTAAAATACGAAGCAACGAAGGCTGATGGTTATTCGGTTGGAACATTCCGGTTGATATCGGTGGCAGATGCTTTGGACATCATCGTTGTCCACCACTTAAAGGATTTTGGAGTTATATTTAACAACAAGTTCTTTGTGTGTTAAGAGTCACAATATCCACATTTCGAGGAGATGAAAGTGGTGGCTGCTACTTACTAGGTTGAGTTCTATTGTGAGAATAATCTTGTTCGAGAGTAAGTGTGATACAAACTAAAAGTTAGCTATTGCCCTTCTTTTTATTACTATTGCATGCACACATCTTTCCATTAGGAGCACCGTTAAGGTCAGACAATATTATCATACCATTTCTTTATTTTGATCGACAAGACAATTCAGGTTCCTCAACGGTTGATGATTGCTTCAACTGTGGATTTGATAATGGATCATGGATGTGCTTTCTTTTATGATCTCCAAGGTCCGAGATAATGGGAGAATTTTTGGCTTCTTCGTGGATGAGGAGTGCGGTGGGGGGGGGGGGGGGAGGTCACTCATTTACTGTTAGCTGATGACACTTTAATTTTTTGTGATCCTGAGTACAACCAGGTGGTTAACATCCTCGCTACACTTGCTTGCTTTCAAGCAGTTACAGGTCTCATAATCAACCTGGAAAAATCAGTCATGTTCACTGTTGGAGATGTGCCTAATCCTGATTTTTTTGCTTCCATTTTTGGATGTAATTGGAGTGCTGAGGCTTCAAGGTACTTGGGTTTTCCTCTTGGGGCTAAGCCCAATGCAGTCTCTTTGTGGGATCCTATTGTGGACAAATACCGGAAGAGGCTCGAAGGCTGGAAAGGCAGGTATCTTTCTCTTGGTGGAAGATTGACCATGATCAAGGATGTTCTTTCTAATCAGTTGGTATACTACTTCTCTCTCTTCTGTGCTCCGTCTTCGGTTATAAAAAACCTAGAAAGTATCCAAAGAAGGTTCCTGTGGAGCGGCACAAGTGATAGCTAGAAAATGGCTTTGGTCAATTGGGACATTTGTAAAGCTCCTCTCTCTAAAGGAGGGCTTGGGATTCTGGACCTAGCATCTTTCAATAGAGCCATGTTGGGGAAGTGGCTTTGGCGCTTCTGTACTGAAAGGGACAACTGGTGGAGGGCATTAATTAACAACAAATATCCGAATCAGCTCTCGGAGTGGGGTACTGTAAGATGTAGGCAAGGTTTCTCAGGATCGGTGTGGGCTAATATCTCCAAAGAGTATGACACTTTCTGGCAGATGACTAACATTGATCCCGTCAATGGTGATTGGGTCTCTCTGGCATGATAGTTGGATTCCCGGAGTGGTGCTTGTCGATGCTTTCCCGAGGGTTGCTGCTGCCTCTAGCTTTCCAAACGCCAGGGTCTCAGACACCATAATCCCTTCAGGTGAGAGTATTAGTTGGTCTATTCCTTTGCATTTTAATCTTAGGGGGGAGCGGAGGGAAATGGTTGATTTTATGAATTTGCTTAATAATTGGGGGTCTAGACGTGTAACTAGCGGGCCTCCTTGGCCGGTTTGGTTGCCCTGTCCGGATAGCTCTTTCTCGGTTTGTTCTATGTACAGGTTCCTAGCGGGTGAGCTGTTCAAAGGAGTCCCTGAGTTCCCTAGCGAGTCTGTTTGGCGCACAAACGGATCCTCGCTCTTGATAATCTCAAGGCAAGGGGGTGGTTTCTAGCAAACAGATGCGAGCTTTGTAACATGGATGAAGAAAATGTCAGTCATATTTTCTCCCACTGTGGGTTTGTTAAGGAGGTGTGGAGCAGAATGAAAAGGGTTTGTGATAGCATTGAGTTTCCTGCTAGCGACATTATTGAATCTATCAGGAGGTGGCCTAATAATCCTGATGGTAGCTTGGACAGCTGGTTCCTCTTCGGAGCTCTACATGCGTGTGTTGGCAGGTCTGGCTCGAAAGAAATAGGAGAATCTTCAAGGGTCATCTGCTTCCAAGACTTGTTTCCCGTAAAGCACTTAGGGATACTGTGGAGTGGGCCATTACCTTTGGTAAGATGGATAGGGATCACGGAATGCACTGGCTTGAGGATAAGTTGAAGTGTTGTTAATCAGTGCTTTCTCCCTGAGAGTTGGATGGTTGTGAGCTGCTGCTTGTGTGTGGTTTTTCGTGGGATGCTGCCTTGGTTTCCTGTCTTGTGCTTTTTCGGCTGCCTCAGATTGCTTTGGTTGCTGCTCGATTTTTCGCCCTGTCTGCTTTGCAGTGTTGCTGGGTTCCTTTGGCTGATTGCGATGCGGTGTGGCACTAGCAGGAGTGGCTCGGTCCACTTAGCTAGTTGTTGTTTTGTGGCGTCTTTGCCTCTTTTCTTTCTTTTTTTTTTTTTTGCCCGGTTGTTTCTTTGCCCTCTGTACTTTCTCGGTTGCACTTTGGTGCTCCTGGTGACTTTTTTGTTTTCTGGGGAAGTTGGGTTCATTTTCTTGTGAACCCTTTCTTCCATGACGCTTTGTTTGTTTCCTTTGTTTCCTTTTATTTCAATTCAATCACCTTTATTAAAAAAAAACGTATACAGTTCCTATGTTTTTTGTTTGTTTGTAGATGTAATGAATAATTTTGATGGAGAGGTGTGTTTCAGTGTTATATTTGCTTCTTTTTTAGGTTGGAGTGTGTTGTAAACATAAGTCCTTTGTGGCATTAAGGAGTTTCAAGTTAGCTTTCAAGAAGTTTCAGAAAGCCAAAGCTAATGGCTGCACCAGTTGAGAGCCGAAAAGCTTAAGAGACAGAGCATCGAAGGCTGCTGAGTATTTGGTTGGAGCATTTCACTGGATATCGATGGCAGATGCTTCGGACATCATCGCTACCCACCAGTTGAACGATTTTTGAGCTACCTTCAATATCAAGTTCTCTGTGTATGCAGGATTACTGAATCCACATTTTGAGGAGATGAAATTAGTGGCAACAACTTATCAAGTTGAGTTAATTGTGAGAACAAGCTTGTTCGAGAGTATGGTTGATACAAACTAAAAGCTAGTGCCCTTTTTTGGTTATTGTTGCATGCACATACATATTTTCAGTGGAGCACTGTTAAAGTCAGGCAGTATTATGATACCATTTCTTTCTTTTGATCGACTAGACTATTCAGGTTCTTCTACCGTTGATGATCGCTCCAACTGTGGATTTGATAATACCATATATAAACTATTAGTAGGAGAGAAAGTTTTCAGGAGATATTATTGCTAGCTAATGTACCAAGAGACCATAGAGCACTAACACCGAATTGCAAGAAGCCATGTATACAATTATTATGTTTTGTTTTATTTTTTTGTGTTGATAGTCAGTAATGATTTTTTTTTTTTTGACAATCCGTAATGATTAATTTGATGAAGAGGTGTGTTCCAGTGTTGTATTATCTTCTTTTTCAGGTTGGAGTGTGTTGTAAACCCCTAACTGATAAACCCCAAACTTCAATTCTCTAAACCCACATTCGAAGATCAATTTAATAAATAAACCCTAACATCCAATTCTCTATATTCTTGATTATCATTGCCTACTTTTTCCAGAATTCTTTATTCTTATAGTTGTAGGTATAGACAAGGTTGTAAAATCGACTTTTACAATTATGTTGGTTTAGAAAGTGGTATGATTTGACTCGAATGCAATCGGTTTATTATGCCAGATTATCTTGGTGTTGGGATAATATAAAAGAAAGTGGAAAACCATTAACACCAAATGAATTGTGCATTTATATATACAATCTACCTATAATCTCCATCCATATTCAAATAAGATACATTACAAACAAAATGACAATCATCATATCTAGACGCAACATTTAACATCAATATAAAAATATTTATACTTGAATCCAATAAATAACATCAACATACAAATGTTACTTGAATTCAACAAAAAAATTTATTTTCATTAGTCCATTCCAATAAAACGACGTCATTTTATTTAAGAACTAAAAATTTATCATTTTCATCGTACCATTCTTTTATACGTTTTTTTTTCTTCTTTCGGTTTTAACTACAACTTCATACGAGGGAGTCTTCCAACTGATTTTTGACAAATATCAGCTGAACCTGATTATACAGGCCGGCGGACATTGATGGACTTTGTGCAGCATTTTTTTAGCTTGATACTCCGAGCCTCGCCATTTCCTCTGCATAATTACCCTTTTGCTGTAAGGAATGAGTTAAAACTTAAAAGTTAAAAGACAACTAAAAAAGCGCAAAGAAACCAGAATTATTTGTTAGAGCCACATCTCAAACTCAAAGCGTATACATTGCACAAAGTGAATACCACAGTCCACAGGCACACCACACAGGCATTGAGCATTCTGCCATATCCTGCTTTTACACAAAAGCAACCTCACCTTTAATTACAAGAATTGGTAATTTAGAAAGGAAAAAAAAATCAGCAGGTCAGAATGGGGACACCCTGTAATGAAGGCGACCAAAAATCTAAAAAACCAAAAGAAGAAAGAAACTGTTACACAAAATCATTTCCAATGGTGGGTGGCTGTGCTGTGACTCTTTTTACTACATCCCGTTGAATTGTACTTGAATCCATCAGCTAGATTGTTATTGTTCGAAACTGTGAGGTACCGGCAGGACAGCAGATTGAAGACTTAGCTTCTGGGAAACCACAGGAGCTGGCTTAACCGACTTGTGTCTTTCATCGCTCGACTGCAAATAAGTCTTCTCTGACCGGAAGTGGGTTTGATCCAGTTCGGCTTCTGGTTTTCTCTTCACCTTTTTCTTCACCGAAACTCCTTCACCAACAGCAAATTCCATTTTCACTTCTTCCATGGAAACACTTCCTTTCGCCCTGTCCTGCTTTGGCCTCTCCAAATTATGGGCACTCCCCAAGATACTACTACTGGTTCCCTGGGTGATCAACATCTGGCCGGACATCGGTTTGCTAGCCAAAGCCAACACCGGCCCACCACCTGTGTTGCTAGTCGATCTCTCACGCAAGTGCTGCTGCGTCTGAGCCTGGGAAGCTGTACTTGGATCAGCTCGGTCAGGTTCCTCTGGTCTCGCTTGCATTATCTTTTTCCTTCTGATTTTCTCCTCTTCCTTGCAAAAGTTTTCAACAAAAAAGTACTAAGCAACAGAAAAAACAGAATTGCTTAAAATTGTTCTCACCTTAAGAAAATAGTCGAGAAGAGGCAGCATGCATACCTTGTTTCGGCTGTAAATAGCCCTTCGTCTATCTTTTGCTCGACATATTGCTCTTTTGATGCCGTGGTTGTCCATGGTACCACTTGGCCACAGCCCTACGAGCTGAAATGTAGACGACAAGCCCAGAAGACTAGTCAGCAAATATTTGGATAGGTATCCCAGAAACAGAAAATACCCATGCTACACAAAATGACAGAAATTAAAGTAATTGAATATCCCACAAGGAAACAAGGTGAACGTTTGAGACTGAAAACAAACGCACGCTCCAGTCAAGAACATACTGAAGCCAAGTGCATAAAATGAAACAGGAAATAACGAGAGATGAACAACCTCCATATACAACTTTCTGACATGTGGACCTGCATCTTCATCAAGTCCCTAAAATCATCAAAGAGTTAGTGAACCAGATCATATGAAAAAGAGAGTAACTTTTGAAAACCAAGCAAAGGGCAACGTTAGAAGTTATGCATACATCAACAAAAAGGTCATAAAGATCACAAACTTTGTCCTCCAACACAGCATCCATGCCGAACTTCCGTTTCACGACTCCTTTGTTGTCTGAATTAAGATCTTGAAAATCATCAGATGATCCAGCTTGGTGCTCAATAGCCTGATAATACAGATTGTGAAACGTAACTCAAAAAGAGCTACAAGTAATCTTATCATCCATTGACCAATGATGCAGGTGATGGGATAGAAAAGAGCACCATGACTAGCAAAACACTTTATCCAGACCATAGCCTGGAGAAAAATCACAGTCAAGTTCATAGCTGTTCTGAGAAGGGAACTGATAGTTACAGAACCATAAATGATACTATAAGGTTTCCTAATCTAACTCATCTTGCAAAACATAGGAGGGGCAAGAAAAAAAAATGAGCAAAAAGGGGAAGTTGAAGAAAGTAGCATAAGGAGTTTTTAGCTCCTTCAGTTCTTTGAAGAAATTCTTATCAAAACATTCCGCGAAGAAACGATGAATGCAAATGTATTGGTGGAGAGAAAGGGGAAGTCCGGAGTTCATACCTTGGACTCTGATGATGGGACACGAGTCTTGATCATCTCAGCAACTTCCTTTTTAATCATTTGAAACCTATCATCTTTCTCTTGCATTGCTGACAAGCCTGAGTTCACCATAATTTTTAAGTTTCTCTGCACCGAAAACCAGATTTTGTTATCAATGGTTCATCCATAAAAAACCCCCAGCATATGTATCTAAGTTATGAAGTAGAATGAGATCAAAGTCAGAATTCAGGTAATGATAATACCGGGTTTCATAGTCAAAGCAAGATACAATACTCTTGATTGAATTCTCTATGATAAGAATCATAACTATTGCTGTCTATACTTTACTGTTAGTGACCAATGTGACTTAAACGAGCCAACATTTACTTGTGACCTAATCTCACATTCCAACCAAACCACACAGTAAGCTCAATCATCACAGCCCCTCCAGCAAATGTTATTATTGTGGACATACAGGAAGTAGGCTCGAGAGGGACACAAAAGATCACAGAAGTTGAGATGTTGATAAGAATTCCAACAGATACCTTCAGCGTCCGGAGCTGTATTAAGTGACCCAGGATACTCATGAGGCGATTTATTAAATCCATTGACATTTTTCCTTGGCTTGCCTGAAGTAACATGAAAAATAATAAGTATAGCATCAGTGTCAATGCTTGTTTAAACTTTAAACTACCAAAGACGTAAATTTTTTTCAAAACTTCACATGGACCTTGATATTTTAAGAAACTTTACCAGAAGACCTGACTATCAATAAAAGAAGCAATAACTAGTTCGAGGTGATACCGCAAGTCGGGCAACTTTGGCTAGCTTCATCTTTATTTCTCTAGGCAACCTCCTTTTAATTGCTTGCGACGAAGCATCACCATCTTGATTGTCAATTGCAGGTGGCCTTGCTGCAACAGTCATATACACATAGAACAACTAAGCCTCAACCAGTAGGAAGATCCCAGATTAACATAGTGGAAAGCAAATTCTCAGCTTACATTCTGCAACCATTCTTTCCAGCTCCTTGATGGCCTTTTCTAGCATTGAGCCTTTTGGCCTGACACTGGAACCATCCCTTTTGTGGACAGTTGATGCCTGCTATCATCAGCAACCCAAGTTGATAAAGGACTAGACAAAGAATTATAACCATAACTTTCAACGGCAATCCCAGACTATTGGAGCATAATGTACAGAACATATATCACCATCTGTAGTGAACAAAAGAAAAGGCAACACTCCTACCAGTGGACTAAGTCATTAAATGCAGATGGAATACGAGAATTATTAAAAGCATCAGAACACCAGAACGTAAAATTCATATACTTACTGTTTTATGCACAGTCATCTTTCCATCAGGAGCACTATTAAGGTCAGGCAGTATTCTGAAACCATTTCTTTCTTTTGACTGAACAGACGATTCGGGTTCTTCAACATTATTAAAAGGTTTTCCAGACTGCAACTTATTTTGTCCATAAGCACTTTTATCCTGAATCTGATGTATGAGGTGTGAAGCATCAGAAGATCCACTAGCATCTTTTGATTTACTTGAAAAGTTCTTTGCTTGGTGACTTCCAGGCTTCTGCATCTGAAAATTCTTGTCTTCTGCCATTGATGCCTTACCATTTGACATCTTTGTGGTTGAAGATGGATCCAAGCATAGTTTAGCCTCTCCAGATTTCTTCTTGGAAGAAGTTCCAGACAAATTAAGGGGCTTCACATCCTCATTATATCCACCTGATTTAACCAAATCCTGTGAGGGGCTGGAGGAGTTCATTCCAAGTGATTGCACTGTCTTTCCAGCTGCTGATTTTCCAATCTTAGCATGTTTATTAGATACATTAACATCGCCACTGTCACCAGGAGCCTTATTTAAATCTTTTCTCCTCCGTTTCTTTGGCTGCAGGTTGGGAATAGCAGCAGGCTCACTTCTGAAACATACAAAAGTGTAAGAAATTAGTACAACAATGAGTTCACGCAAACTCATTGAGACTGATGGATCTGACTTCTTCCATAATAAACATGTGAATCACAATTATCTAATGTCACGTATTAACTTTCCCGGGATTACTGATGAATCTCAGATGCCTGCTCTAGTGGCCAACTGATAGATCCAATTAAGCCTCAATGAGGCACTGCAGAACACTGACAAGATTCTATTGAAGTGGGGGAGAGAAAAATAAAGTGATGAATGGGTAACGGGCAAGAAGAACAGAAGTTTCAGGGTGGTTTTAGCACACCGACTTCACTTAAATTTCAAAATCACTCTACAGACTTGAAACATCTCAACCACTCTTCATTACCACATCGAAAAAATCCCAAATTTGCTTCTGTACCCTTTTGATGCACAAGAAACTCAAGATGGCAGCCATATACCTAACTTGGCTCGAAGGCATATTCATGAAGCATAATTGCATAAAGTTCAAGCAAGTACCTAAGCAATTTGTAAAAAGATAACCCCAGTTAAGAAACACTTGGCCCTACAGCAAGCATGTACAGGAGATAATACAACAACCCTAAGGAGATACATGCAAAGCTGCAGATTCTTGAGGAATGACAAAGACAAAAATAACATGGTTGAGATAAACTTACATGCGCTCAAGTTTTCCCCTATTGACAAAGAATCCATCATGCTTTATTGCGGAATTATCAACTTCAAAATATTCATCCTGAACAGGAAAACAATTGTTATTGGAAACATAAAGCAACCCCTGCAAATGTCATTGAAGAAACTGAACAGAACAGGTACCAACCAGCTCGGCGTCATCAATAAAAGAGTCTTCTGTATCATACTGATCATCATCAGGGGCATCTTTCATATCTTCATCATCACTACTATCCTTCCCCTGAAACAGATCACATTAGTAATGAATCACCATCCATCATTTTAGTTACATTTTTACATATACCTGGGACAATACATTACCATGTAAAGGCGTTCAATCTTCTCAATCACGGCACTGAAACGATGAGGATGAGTATCATCATTTTCTTCATTATCTGCCCCTTGTCCCTAACGAAGGAGAAGCACCACAAAGAATTCAGTAATATCATTATGGAGCACAAAGGAAACTAATCAATAGGGACTTCGCTGTTCATATCAGATGTTTCCCACCATATAAAACAAACCCAGAACAGTGGATGTGGTAAATTATACTCCTGGCAATGAAAAACTTCACCGATATGCCGATTCACAATAAACATACAACAATTATAGATAAACTTGCCCAGGAAAGAAAAAAAGTAGTTCAGTCATCATGCTATTTCACCATTCCTGTTTCCACCTAGCTCATGATTGGTTCAGCTAATGGGCCAAGCTAAACGGTATGATCACAGCTACTCAGGCACCTTAGAAATTGAAATTTCCAAGAGACAGGTTAGAAATACACAAACTTCAATGGTGAAGAATACACCAAAAAAAAAAAAAACAGCATAATGCTGCATTTCAATGATTGGAGCACTCACTGGGGCAATACGGGACTCCAGGTTGGGGTGGGCGTTGGCCGGAGGAGGCGGGTCGGGAACTGGTGCAGATCCACTGCAATTCTTGTTGGCGTCTTTCACGAGCTTCTTCCACGAGACGAATGTAGTCTCCCCGGGCCGGAGCTCCACCGTGAAAATCTGCCTGTCCCCCAATTTCACGTAGGAAGGCGTGGTCCTTGAAGAAGACGACTCCCCTCCTCCTCCGCCGGCGCCGTTGCTCCCTTCCTCCATCTCGGAAAAGTAAGATTTGAGGGTTCCCGAACTCTAGGGTACAGAATTGAAGCAATTGAAATTTGAAAGGACCTAAAATTCGCGAACCATAGAGGGGAGAGAGGGAAGGCGGCGAGAGCTGAGATTAAAGAACAAACCCTAGGGACAAGAGTCTAGCTGAAGGGAAGGAATGAAGAAGAAGACAGTGTCAGTGGGTAGAAACTAGAAACTAGAAAGGAAGGGAAAGAAATTCTTTTCCGAGAGACAGAAGGAAGAAAGCTGAAGAGCTGGGCAGGCGGGACTCGGAAACGGTTCTTCCGGAGGGTTTAACTGGAAATAAACGAGAAAGTCTTTTCTGTTTTAATTTTCTCGCATTTTCCTTCGCGAGAAAATAATTTTTTGAGCGAGGGAAAAGCGGAAAAGGGGGGTAATTAGCATAAATGGTCACAAACCTTTGCACTTAGTACAAAACAGTCACAAACCTTTAATTTGTAACCATTTGATAACAAAACCTTTTCACTTGGAACAAAACGGTCACATATTAAACAGTGTGACCATTTCATACCAGTTCAAACTTTTGTTACCGTGTCGTTGCAAATTAGACTTTTGGTGACCGTTTTGTACAAATTAAGTTCAAAAGTTTGAACGCTCAATCACCATTACAATTCACTCTAGTTGTATGGTGGTTTTGTTAATGTATGTGAATGATATTCTGTTGTTAGGATGACAATGAAAGAATTCAATGGCTCACAAACGGTTTCCAGACTGCTTTTTAGTTGAAAAAACTATGTCTACTTTCTTATTTTCTTGGTATCGAAATTAAAAAGTCAACTGAGGGCATTCTTATTCGGCAAAGCAAATATGTCGATGAACACATGACCTGACATCTTATATGTCGTTCAAGTGGTTAGTCGCATATACTTAACGAACAAACTACCCGACCTCAAAACATGACAACATTTAATTTGTAACGATTCGGTAACAAACCTTTGCACTTAAAACAAAACGGTCATAAATTAAATAGTGGTGACCATTTTATACAATTTCAAAGTTTTGTTACCGTATTGTTACAAATTAAAGGTTTGTGACCATTTTGTACTAAGTGCAAAGGTTTGTTACCATTTATGCTAATTACCCCGGAAAAGGGCGGGTTATGAGCGGACCTTTCTTTTTGACCCGACCCGTAAAAGTCCACCTGATGGTGATAGTGGGCTTCTTATTGGGCTAATGGAATGGGATGCTATCTTGCGTGTTTATCTGCGGCCCATTTACAATCTCTTCATCTTCCCCGCTCGGCTGCGCTATCTGTTCCTCTCGTCTTCGTCACTTTTTGCTTCCCGCTTCGTCGCTCACCTCTGCTTCTCCTCCACAACTCATCCGCGCCGCCGACGAGCAACGGCAGAGGAGAAACTCCTCGCCCCTCATTTTAACTCTCTCACGCTTCTAGCATCGAAAGCTGCTTGCTCAAAAAATGGAAGTAGCGCGCTACACCAATTAAAAGGAGCTCAGTGTCGCAGACTTCCTCTTCCCTTCGTTTTCAATTTCACCTAACAGAACATTCTCCCATGGCTGCCGCAGCAGTCAACACTCTCAACCATTTCACTCCACCAAAACCAGGAACCTGTCTAGCGAGGTACGCGGCCCGGAAGTCCAGCATCGCATTGTTGCCTTCCTCCCGATTCGAACGCCACCGCTGGCAATTCCCTTTGCCTTCTAGAACCCGGAGAGCGCTCGTGCCGAAGGCGGACGACGGCGACGCTGACGGAGGCGGTGCCGACGATTACGACCTGGATGACGAAGAGGTGGAGGAAGTGGACAACACGAAGGATTACGATGTGGAGTACGATCCTTTGGCTGGCGACGGAGACGACATTGCGATGGTTGCCAGCAAGAATTTCGTGTCTACTCAGGGGTGGCATTCGGAGAAGATCGTTGATTACAGAATTGATGAAGATGAGTTCCACAAATTAAGCTTATTTGATTGTGATTTCTTTATCAGGAAGCCGCCGGACCCTGATAATGATGTGTTTGATTTCCGGGAGGTAAGTTCTGAGTAGGGTTTCACTCATTTGTCTTTTGATTCTCTGATTGGTGAGTTGATTGTATTTGACATATTCTGGGTTTCTGGTGGTTTCTTCTTGCAGATGTATGTTACTCCGCCGGATACTGATGTCTATGCTATCCCCAGAGTTCTTTGCCCTATGCCGCAGAAGGTAAAGTTAACTGGACAGAAATATTGAACTGTTTGTGATGTTGTAGTTTGATCCCCAGGTTGGTCTGGAAACCTTAGAATTGGACTAAAAAGTATAGCTACCGTACATCTTAAAGGAAGTTGATCAGTAAAGATGGTTTCTTTTGGTTACTGATGAAATGCTTGCTACTGTCTGCTGCCAGTTCTGTGTTGTTGTAGCTTGATCTCTTGGTGTGTCTCAATAATGAGTTTCTGATATGGATTGTTGAGCCATCAAGCTTGTGTTAATGTGAGCTTTTGTGTGCAAATCAGTTGCGTTGGTGAAACCAATAGTTTTATACTTTTAAAGCCATTTGATGCAGGGTACATTGAGATCCATGAATTTGGGTTTGATGCACTGATCTTATTGCTATTTCACAAATCACACTGATGGTGTCTGAATTTGAGTTTGATGAACTAATGTTATTGCTATTTCACACTGATGATGGTGTCATGTCTTCTGGGTAAAACTTACAGTATATTCGATGTGCAAAGAGTAACTATGGATGTTACAACGTGACAGAACCACCAATTGATGCACCCCGAGATCCATTGTATAAATCCGAGAGGGAGGTGTGGAAGGTAAGTTATGATGGTGTTGCATTTTGCATACAATGTGTTTCTTGCCCCGTGCTATTAATTCGAGTTTCTTGCTTTCTTCGTTTAAGGTTTTCTTGACAAAGCACTACAGGAATCGCAGGCAGGGAGATCCCGAGTTTATACTGGACTTTGAGGAAGTTTACGTCATAGATTCCAAAACAAAGTCCATAACCAGAGCAAAATTAGTGGTGAGCTTTTTAGTTTAGTCTGGTTGCCTTGACTTCTATTGTTCACTAATTGATTAATTATAAGTGGGAAAATCATATGGGTACTTTCTGGATCAGCACTAAGAAGGAAATAGGACGTTGACAGTTATTTCTAACTTTTGGTTGAATCCTACTCCTCTTGGATATGAAGTGAAACAAATCAAACCCTGTGTCTTTTAGTTTTCAAAATGTAGGTCTTTAATAGGTTTACTTAGGGGAGCACCCTGATCAGGCAATCACATCTCTGTTACATGCAACATTAAGTTTAAAATAGTCGCACTACTGCACATTTTGATTCCTTAAGTAATACTAGACTTGTTGTAGCTTTCCAATATCTCAAGAAAGGAGGCAAGTTATTGCTTTATCTTAATACCTCCCATATCTCTACCATTCATGGAATAAAAACATATTGCCTAAGTGCACCTGCAAGGTTAAGAGCAGTCTACTCACTGGGAATTGGAATTTTGTCTTTTTCAGTATGAGCTCTTTCGCACTTCACTGTTCTGTTACAACTTTGCATCTCTGAATTTTGTTTGGTTTTTATGTCTTGAGCATTAATAATTTACGCGAAAGACTTCTTTCTTCTATCCTTCAGTCTTAATGTATGTCTAAAGAACCTTGATTTATGTCTGCTTCTGTTTCCAACCCTTGTGTTTTCATCTGATCTATTGCTTTATCATTTATGTCTTGCTATAGGTGACTGTTCCGGGCGGGAGAAACAGGGATAGAAAGAACGACTTGCTTGTTATACGAGATAACGGGACTTCCTTCAAAATAATTGATTCGGTAACAATACTCCCAGTCCTACGGGCATCTGCAATCGAGTTTCTTTCCTGGCTGGTTCGATCAGTCCTGATGCTTTTCGCTGATTGCAGGCTCGGAGAGACGACCCTACCACCATAATCGAGAGGGAGGAATGGGGTAAGACTAGAAAAGACATGGAGACACACCTCAGCAAGCTACGCGACTTCAGCGTGTCAAACTGGTTCTAAGGGATACAATATTACAAGCTTGATTATGTTCCGGGATTAATGGGAAATGATTCCTTCAAGTAACTGAAGAAAATCGGTAAGTATCATGTATCCTACTGATTCAGACTGAGTCCTTTCCAGCATCATTTTGATCAAATCTAATGTCCTGTGGTTTGCAGTGTCCGAAGAGATGACTTCTGACAAGCCCGGAACGATTTCAAGACATGAGAGACTTTGGGAGGGAATGTGGGCTGGCTAGAAGGGTAATCTCCCTGCCATGGATCTGGATTCTGGTGCAAAGTCATGGATTTTGAAGAATCTCATTTACGGTTCATTGTTCCCGAAATGGGATTTGGTAAGGTAGAAAGTTATATTAGTGGTGATAGCTGTGGCCTGTGGGATACTGGGATAGTGTATTGCTTGCTAGTAAATGAAGAGCTTGTTCAAAGATGCGTAGTCCTGTTTGGACTTTCATTTCACGACAGCCATAGACGCACAATGGGGCCGCTAGGAAGCGAATTGGGCCGGTGGCGCACTGAACCTCTTAGTGAACGAGTAGGTCGATTTTTTATTAAAGACAAATTTACCTTAGAAGTACACTGTATATGGTCCGACTCTTGGGTTGACTATTCAATTGTTTTTTTTTTTTTTTACCAATAGATCACTTGTATTACCAAGGCAAACAGCTAGAAAAGTTTACATCTCAAAAACAAACCAACGACAAAAATCAAAAGTATCTACAACTGCAGGCAACAAAGAAAGGGTCTTCCTAGCCACCTCATGGGCCACCCGATTGTTACTCCTGCCAACAAAGGCCACCTCAAAGCGCTGGTAGAGATGTCGCAGCTTCCGAATTTCTTTCAGAATCCGCCCACCTTTCACATCCCAAGCATCACTGGTCTGAATTTTGTCAATGACCACCTTCGCATCCCCGCAGAATTGCACTTCAACTAGACCCTTCAAAGAGCACCACTGAATTGCATCACGAAACGCCACCAACTCTACCAGAAAGGGATCCTCCAAACCTACATACCGAAAACCTTGAACAAAACACACCCTACCCAACCTATCATACACCACCAACCCTCCCCCCCAGCTCCATGAGACCCATCATGAACAGCATTATCCACATAACAACAATACGGCATGGCAGGCTGCAAGCCCCAAACCACACCAGCCTCTCCTCGCACTTGCTGCTCCTGAGCCTGCCTATAATCACCAGACTCAATCAACGCCAACCATTCACGAACCTGCTCCTCAAATTGTCTCACCAATGTACTCATCCCATACTGGACCTGATCAAACACAACCCAATTCCGACTTTTCCAAATCCTCCACAGCAATGCCACAAACCGAATTATCCTCTCTACACTGGTCTCTTGTTCAAAGAATCTGCGAAGGAACAAGGCAAAATTCAATGGAGGCTGCCTCACCAGACCTGTCCCCAAACCCGACCTCTCCCATATCTCCAATGCCAGCCGACAAGATAAAAACATATGTTCTAATGTCTCTAACGGTTCCCAGCACACCGGGCACTTGGGGTCCACAGCTGCACCATGCCCATCATGACTATTCAATTGTAGAATCAATCCTTTTCTTGTTAGTGACTTATAATTCTATCTGTAGTGAAAATGAACAAAAACATAGGCGAAAACGAGATTTCTCATCAAGAAATAGCACAAATAATAATGATCTAATAACAGGAGAAAACTATAATGACCTCGAGATAATTGAGGAACATATATCATATATTACTGGTGACTACTTTGGTGCACTCACAAAAATGAGTGCGTTCAATGCACCCAACTCAAAAACTAGTCTTAAGGTGTCGGATTTTGAATTTTAATTTGTAAAATTAGTGTAATATGATTATATAACATATGATAACAACTAATTAGCGGATTATCCTAAGCCCTAGACCTCCAATTTTGAGTTCTAGCCCTAAACCCCAAATTGTAAACCCTAACCCTAAATCTCTAAACTCTAAATCCTTCAAATTAAAGTAAATCTTCAATGGTTTTTGTGCAAATTCATGTGCGTTATTGTTCATCACATCATAAGTGATGATTGACATCATTTTGACATAAATCGCATGTTTAAAATGACACTTATAAAGCGAGTGCACTGAATGCACCCAAAAAAGTGAGTGCACCGAAGACGCCACCTATCCTAGGTCTGTATAATGCATGTAATAAAAAGTTATAAAGTCTTTTTTTTTTTGTGGGATTTTGTTTTTTGGTGGGAATTAATATGTTTGGACAAAATATCCGGGTATTCCATAATTGGAGCAATTAATATGGCTGGGTAATGCGGCTTAATTGGCATGTTATAATTGGACAGGACGAGAGATTTGACTTTTGAGTCGTCGACGGAATGAGGAGTACAAATACACAGTGAACAATCGATTACACCCACAACAATGCACAAGAATATAGACATCACATCCATTATTGTGGGGATTGGCCAATCGATCCAGTGATCCCTCCCAACAGATTTCACTGTGCACACTACTCAGACCAGTCTTCCCTCCCCACGCCACTGCCTCTCTAAGCCCGGCCTAGCTATATAGAGCCCTAACCCTAGCAAATTACTCACCACAACTCCACGCATGGAAATAGGATGGAATATATGATTCGAAGGTCGATGTTATTGGTTCTTCACCGGGTACGTAGACTCCATACTGGCGGTTTGGGTTAGTCAGGTAAAACCGGTCGGGTTGGCCGTGCTTGACCCGCATTGAGTTTCGCCCAACTGATGTCTTGGGTCCTGGCACCCGGTGGCCGTGTGTCCAAGTCGACTCAATTCAACCGTCCAGTCGGATCACGGGTTACCAACCTTTCCGCTTAGTCGTGAGTAAGTCGACCATCTCTCGAGAGCACATGAGTCGAACTCGACCATAGATGTGTTATTTTTTCTTGATCATCAATAGTACATCTTATGTTGCTAAGAGCATCTCCAACAATGCAATCCTTCTTCACTTTCAAGTGTGGTCCCTACTGCCACCTAAGCAACTCTAGCAATTACTTCACTCATCAATTTCATACTAGCTACATCAATGTCATTCCAATGCAATTGCACTTCTGGGTCTCACTTACATTTTAATACCACACAAATGGTTGGGAAAAGAAAGAAAGAAAAACAAAAACAAACAAAGGACCCACTTGCAATTGCATGTCAAATTTTCATGGTGTGCAAATTTCCATCCCTTGAAAGTGGTCTTGCATCAATGTCATCCACTTTTTCAATTGCACATAGCTGCCACCTCAGCTTGCAACTCCCTCCATTTGCACCATTGAAGATGCTCTAAGTATTAGTTAGAAGAGAAAATAAACCCAACATACAATAGTGTTGTTCTCGAAAAATTTGGTATGAGATTCACTTTTGAACATTTCTCAACAACTCCAGTATTTGGGATGAGTTGATTGCCAACATGGTGTTAAAGTCATTGCTTGAGAGGTAGAGGTGGAACCAAGACACAAAAAGATGGGTCCCAACTCCCAAGACTTACAGTGGCTCGGGAGAAAATGTGTACATATAAATACATAGTTAGGTATCAGTAAGATTTGAACCCTAAACATTGTCAGTATTAGTTAATATTTCTCTAATCTAGCCACAATTAAATAACGACTTTAGTTGTTGTCATCTATATATAATGCATTCTAGTTCCTACATAAAATATTACAACAAAGTATAACTTCGTCCTTCAAGTATGAAATTCTTAATCTTATTCCTCTCCTTCCACCAAATCCTTTTTTTGTTGAAACTCGCTGTGTTCATTTTATCCTAGTAATGAGTTCTCTAATAACTATTTCTTAAAACTTGAACCTCAACTAGATTACTATTGGTCGACTAGAAGTTATCTCAAACTAGATATAATTCCCGAGCTTTTAGGATCATGGTAAATGAAAAACGTAACTTAACGTTGTTGCTACCTAGGCCTCTAATGCAAGTGTTGAAACGAGATCTGCAATGCGCTAAATGAAAAAAATAAAAATTTAAAATTGAATGAGTGACAAAGTCATGAATGATTATTTCATAAGATATATTGAGATTGATATCATATGATCGTATCTTAGTATATTTATAAACATGAGAAGACATTGTGGGACACTGTGAATGGTCAAAACTTTTCTTAAAAAAATATATATTTTTAGATCAAACCAACCTTATACAAAATTCTGTCTACGCGAATGTCAAGAGGACGTAAAGTTCTCGAGTAGTCACACTTGAAACAAAGTTAAAAACAGAAATGTAATTCATATGAGTTTGAATTTTCAAATAAATTAACTAATCGAAATGCTGCATCCAACCCACAAATTATTGGGAATGACTTGCATAGTTTTTGTGATTACCTCTAAGGTCCAAACATAGTTTTCCGTAATGAGAAACCCAAATGGAAGAGCGACCATTAATTAATACGGCTCCACGTTGCTGCTTTTGCTTGCCCTAGTGCCGAAAAAACCCTGGAGCCGCTTTTTGTCCATCCCTTCATTTCGGCTAAATCAAATCTCCCTAGCCTATCTGAGCTTGAGCTGAATCTTATGATTTGCGTGGGTTGATTTGATTTCCCGATCTGACGATGTGATGGTGAGATTATTTAATCACTGTGTATCATGGTTTTTTGTGTGTGCCATGCATTGTTGTGTTTCCCATTTATTCAGCAGTAGCGTGTTTGATTGTCTTTTCTTTTCCCCAACAATTGCTTAACAATCAATTAGTTTAGTTTGGCCCTGCTGTAACTTTTGCAGAAACAACTTCTAGCTGGAGCTTTCAGATAAATATTTTTCAAAAAAACCAGTTTAGTATTTGGCTGTAAAACTATTAGAAGTGCTTTTTAATACGAGCTGTTGTGTAAAATAACTATAAAGGACTTATAATATAAAATATGAATAAAAATTCTAAACAATAAAAAGTAGTAAAAATGGATCTTGTTAGATTTCTTTTATATTAAATAATATGATTTTATAGTTTATTTTACTTTTAAAATGATATAAATGAAGAAAAATTATATTTTCTGAAATAAAATAAAATATGGTAAGGATAATCTTGTATTTTCAAAACAGGTTTTTTGTGTGTGCCATGGATTGTTGTGTTTCCCATTTATTCAGCAGTAGCGTGTTTGATTGTCTTTTCTTTTCCCCCAACAATTGCTTAACAATCAACTTACGAGATCAAATCATCGTGGTAATTTAAAAATTTATAGGATTGCGTATCATTTTTATTTTATCAATTAGTTTTTGTATATTCATCGTTATCGGGGACCATCGAACTAGTTACTATTACAGACGGTTGGATAATTCATTTCATTTTAAAATGAATTCATGTGTAGAATTTATTATCAAATGAATTCCTGTGTTTGGTAGTCATATTCAATCTTTAGAAATAAATGAATTGAATTCCCAAACTATGTTTGATATATGTTTAGAATTGAATTAAATTAAAACTTTCTCCAACTACACCCTTATTAATTTTTGAAAAACAATATTCATTAAAAATTCATATTCTAAAAAACGTCTTTGGTCCCATACATAGAATATCAAAAGTGTTCTTGTGTGTTTCTATTCTATTAATTAGTTCTTTTCTAATATTTCGTGGATGAACCCTACAATCTAGTTGTGTCTTCTCAAAGTACTGATACAATCGAATCAAAAAATAATAAATAACTAGCATATGTACTAGCGTTGCAATCAAATTCTTGGTGACGTTTCTCGTACTGCATCAATTGGCGCCAAATAATATACGTAGAAGTAATTTCGTTAATAAATGAGGATAATTATGTCATTCTATTATAATTATTAAATTCTTGTGGAATTCATTTGCAAATTCCATCTCAATTCCTCAGAATTGCTACAACTAGTTCCAATTCCGTAGAATTCAAAATTTGGAGTTGCAAATGAATTCTTTTAAATACCAAACACAAAAAGATTTCATTTCAAAATGAATTCCTCAAAACTTCTGGAATTCATGTTAGTTATTCTATTCGGTTTTGGATTTGGTTTTAGTTTTTTTTTTTTTTTTTACAATGATTTGGTTTTAGTTAGTGTTGAAGATTTCATTATTATGTGCTTGTTGAATAAGTTTCCATATTTCACAGAGGAAATGGGAGAGGATGCCGACGGCCTAGGAGGAGAAGGATATGGATTTTGAGATTTTTCGTTACCTATAAATGTTTTTTTTTCTTTCGTACTTGCGTTTCATGGAGAGAAGATTGGAACCCAAATCGTATATATTTTTTTTAATTTTTATTTATTGCAATATTTAAGTTCTCATTCTAATTTGTACGAATATAAGAGATGTCGAAAACTATCACAATGCACAAACTAACTAGAATCATACAATCGGCATGAAATTATTCCTTCCTAACGTGTGTGTAACTATAAATCGATCAAATGGCTACTTATAATTTATAATCCCATCAATTACTGAGCGCAAACATCATAATCGCCAAATCGCATGGCACAAACCCTAGATTCCTCGCTAACATGTCCACCGCTGAAGTACATACAACTGTGATCCAAGTAACCTGTAGCCGTCATGAGACATCCGATGCAGTGATCAGAGGTTGGGTCGACGCATTCTGCTTGCGCCCACATTGCAGATCCCTGCACCGTCGATTCGATACACGTGGCGTGCTCCCTTCGGTGAGCCGATGCGTAGTGGAGTTTGACCAAATCCACAAGGATTTTTTCTCTCACCTTGCCTAGCCCGCTCTCTTCTCCAATCGGGAGCGGGCTGCAGTAGTGATCAGGGAAACTGAACGATTCCACTCCATCGCCAATGCACATACGGATCGCGAAGATAAGTACTATAAATTGTAGCAAACTCCTCATTTTTGAACGCATGCAATAATATTGCGCGTGTGGTAGATGATTAAGAATGCATATGTGTGTTTTGCATGTGCGTGTTGAAACGATAATCAACTAATATATGATTCAGATTGTTAGCTATAATAAGACTTGCACGTATATCGTGGATAAGATTATCCACGATGTCCACAAATTTATCATTATGTCACGACTAAATCATCCACGATGTGCGCTACATCTGTAACACTCTAAGACTAAACTATAATCACAATTTCATTGATCTAAATTCTCCCTAGACTAAAGCAATTGTCGTTTGGTCGACTTTGTACACATGTACACAAGATTCTGCTCGATATATAAGTTGCTTGCTCTGTTCCAGTTATATTTATTGCGTATTAAGGTTTTCCTTTTCTCTTTATGTAATAGCACTAAGGGTTTTGAACCATATCTCTTTATTGTAATTGGGGAAATGAACCAGAAACCCTAGCATAGCAAGGAGTGAAAACCCTAGAGAAAAGAAATCCCAAAAGCTCGGATGCTTATTAGCTTTAGCTAGCAGCTAGAGGTGGGAATAGGATGAAAAGGAGCAGAAGAGCAAAAGAGAAGAATAAAGTTGGGGGAAAGAAGTAGACCAGTGGTTAAGAAGGTGAGGCACAAACTACCAAAGCCACACAAATCAATCAAACCCATCACACTACAAAACAATCAACAACAAAAATGAGAAATAAAAAAAAAAAAAATGGAACCATAAAAGAAAAGAAATGGAAATCGAGAAAACAGCAAACCCACTTCCCCATTTATTTCCTTTCCCTTTCTTCTTCCTCTTCAATTAATAAGAAGAAAAATTGAAAAAAGAGAGAACTAAAAGCAATAATGCCTGGTAACCAGAGAGTTGGCTGTGTCAAAACCCCAGAAACAAACCCTTCTCCACTGTCCCACTTAGAAAGTTACATAACCTCTTATCCCATTTTAGAAATTCCCCTCCTTCTTCCTTCCTTTCCTTCCCCTTTGATCTCCACCTTCCCCTTCCCATCTCTCTTTAAAGAGAGAGTTTTGAATCTTAAGCAACTTCCTACTTTACTAGCTCTGGTGGGTAGATAGAGAGATAGATCCAAGAGGAAAAGAAGGAGGGTTTCCACACTTTGTGCTTGCTAGCTAGTTAATAATTGCTTCTTTTTTCCCCCCACTTTTTCCCTTCCCTCCATCTTCCTTCTGCACAAGTCCTGTTACAAGAAGAAGAAGAACAAGGTTGCTTAGCAAGATCGAAGTGACAGTAATGGGTCGGGGGAAGATAGAGATAAAGAGGATAGAGAACTTGAGCAACAGGCAGGTGACCTACTCCAAGAGAAGGAATGGAATCATCAAGAAGGCCAAAGAGATCACTGTGCTTTGTGATGCTCAGGTCTCCCTCATCATCTTTGCCAGCTCTGGCAAGATGCATGACTACTGCAGCCCTTCCACCACGTAAATCTTCTGACGATCTCTACATATCTCTCTTCCTTCTCCATCTCCAGCAACTTCATGACATAGTAAAATGATTACTAATTGATCATATTTCATCTAATCCATCTATTTCTACCTTCCACCATATATGTATGTGAAGGCTGCCTGATATACTGGAGAAGTATCACAAGCAGTCTGGTAAGCGCCTCTGGGATGCTAAACATGAGGTAATGGAGCTCCAAAGTTTTTGGTCTTTTTCCATTTTTTTGGGGGCTCTCTCCTCTATATGATGTGGATCTGGATTTTCACTCTTTTTCTCCATGAACCCGTTTTGTCAAATCAAAATTTCTATTGTTTTGTGGTGTTTATGTGTGTTTTATCTCATTTGGGTTGTGGGTAAATGGAGGATCTGAGGAGGGAAAAAAAGAGAAGGAGACTTGTTGTTCTTGTTGTTGTTGCTAAAAACATGATAAGGAGCCTGAAGTTTGAGTTCCTATGAACAGATCTACATTTGGGACATGTAAGAAAGGGCTCAAGAGAGAGAGAGAGAGAGAGAGAGAGAGAGAGAGAGAGAGAGAGAGAGAGATCTCTATAAGCTCTATGCTCTCTAGCTAGTTTATACCTGCTCTTGGAGTTATGTTTGTAGTTGTTTTTTTTGCCCCATCCCATCTCTCAGACTCTCACAAAGGCTGAAACCAAAAAACAAAGAAAGACCAAAAAATGGAATGAAATGTAACATCCATCAAAAACAGATCTAGTAATCCACACATGTTTTTCTTCTCATCATCTCTGACTCCTATGCATAGTCAAAGCCCTTCATGAACACAAACCCATCAAAATGTTTCTGTCTCTCTCTCTGTCATCCTAATTCCCCCTTTTTGTCTGTTGGTTACATTACAATCTCTCCAAGAGGAGCCACATAATCCAGCAGCTCACCTAGGGTTTTAGCTGTTGCTAAGCGCCTAGCATTTAGTATTATAGCTAAGCTATTAGCTGTTCCCATGGTTAATCTCCTGTGCAGGTCTCAGCTGTTGCTTTTTATGTTACATGTTTTTACACTTCAATCAACATCCTAATTGACATAGTCAATGGACTTGATCTCTCCCTACTAATTTATTATTATTATTATAAAAAGAGTTATTCAGAAGGTTTTGCTCCTTTGTGCATTTTGTTACTGTCTTACAAAATGGTTGATTATATATTGGACAGAACCTGAGCAATGAGATTGATAGGATGAAGAAGGAGAATGACAACATGCAGATTGAACTCAGGTGAACATGATTAGCAAAACCAAAATATGTCTTTCTCCATACTATCTAATTAAATGGGATTATTTGGTTGTTTCATGTTGATTAAAAAGTATTATTAATTGTATATGTTAGGCACCTAAGAGGAGAGGACATCACATCACTGAACTACAAGGAGCTGATGGTGCTGGAGCAAGGCCTTGAGAATGGCCTCGCCGGAATCCGTGACAAGGGGATGGAATACTACCGCCAGAAGAAGAAGGAAGTATGTTAATTTGTTCATGTATATATTTTTTTTTTTACAAATTACATATGTTTAACTTAATTTACTCCTTGTATATATATGGGAAAATTGAACTGATGACTTCTCCATCTATTTCTCTATTTTATTTGTTGGGATCTCACGCAGGAAAAGGAGCTGGAAGAAGACAACAAGCGCCTCAACTTCATCGTGGTATATATATTTTGAACTTAACTATACAGACCATTAAACCAATATTAATTACATTAGAGTATTTTTCCCTTCATTTGGTTGGAGATTTTGGTAACAAAGATAGAAGTCAGATCGACAAATCATCAGAGTAGACAGGAAACTTCATAAAAAAGAAAAAACGTAACCACTTACAACGTAGAAAGAAAGCAGATGTAGTTAATATTCGTACTAACTCGATCTTATACGAGAGCAAAAATAATTTACTCCTTCGAAACGAAGAATATTTCACACGAGTTATGCGATCCGCTGTTGGTACATTCAAGATTTCTGTGGATCCATTCACATATATTGCCTGCTACATTCAAGATTTCACTGTGTTCTTTCTTTCTTTCTTTCTTTTTATGTGTAAGCAGATGCAGCAGCAGGAGGAAATGGGGAAGAGGCAGCAAGAGATGGCAATGGAAGATCACCATCACCAGCAGCAGCAGCATCACCACCATGTCATGGAAAACAATGGCGGCGGCGGTGGATACCATCCTCACCATTCACAGCACAGAGCTGCTGCTGCTGCTGTCAACTACAACAATGGCGGTGGTAACAACGGCAATAATGTGAACTCCCAGATGCCATTCTCGTTTCGGGTTCAGCCGATCCAGCCCAATCTCCATGAGAGGATCTGAATCTCATCATTACAGTTAACCCCCGGCTGGCTTTGCTTGCTGCCTGCTGGGGGTGGTATTAATAAGCTGCTAGCGTTGTAATGTTTATGTTACATTTTGGGATCCATGCGTGTTTTATTACTTAACTCCTAGCTATGATCAGGGCAAGCTTGATTAATTAACTACTGCGTCATATTTTATATGACCTAAAACTTGTGCTCTAGTTATGTTATCCTTGTTAATTAAATTACTGGTCATGAATTAACCATATGTATTGTTAATTTGTTATTCTCTGTTAATTGGATAGTTTGTTTGTGGTGTATTGTGTGTCTAGCTAGCTAATGATCTGAGAGATGCGTGTTGACCTACGATTCTTGAATTAAGAAAGAAAGAAAAAAATTGAGCAAAGATCGTGAATTAAGCCAGAAAGATAGATAGATAGGTAGTGAGTGAGTAGGATGTGACCACACCGTGGTTGCGTTGGATCTAGCCGTTTTTTGTTTAGGGTTAGGCGATCAGGAATTCAGGATCGATGTGGAATTGGGGATTAGTGATTGATTAAGGATAGATATATGAGGCAAAATGGAGGAAATTGAGGGAAGAAAGGGGAAGAGGGGTCGGCGACCAAGGTGGCGACGATGATGTTGGGGTGGGGGTGGGGGGAGGGAGAGAGATCGGTCTAATAGTGGGAGAGAGAAGATCAGGGTTCTGGGAAATTCTATTATGTATTTGCTTAACGAGAAAAGACCCAACTAATTACAAAATATATAATCCGACTAATTCTCACCAACTACCCAAAATAGTACTGCATAACCGAAATACCCCAAATAAACTCAAATATCCCTCAAACCCTCAAAATAATATCCAAATCCATCCAAACATATATAAAATGACAAACAAGTCCAAAAGCCAAATCACCTAGAAAATGGTTTTCTAACAATCCTCCCCTCTCGGGCAGGAGCAGCGTTAAGGCGGCGGTTTGCACTGCCATACTTTTACTTCGTGGGTTGGACTACTTAACCAATGGACGACCTCTTCTCATCATTTAGATGTCTTAACGAGGACTCCTCTAGCGGCAGTTGGACTACATGCTGGCCGCTGCTAGTTTCTTCTTCATCTTGGGCCGAGTCTTACTCTATTAGACTTGTCTTGGACTCACATAGTGATTTCTAGTAGACCTCTCTGTCATTGGACCTCTTGTTTATTGTAAAAGCTACATATTCTTCTCTTTATAGCGCTTTTGGTCCTCTAGATTTCTCCGATGCTTCATCCAAACTTCCTTAGTTTGCTTTGTACCTTGAAAACCATAAAAAAACACCAAGAATGCATTATAGAATACAAAAATAGAACATAGGTCTATTATAATAGTTATGATTTAGATAGGAATACTAGAGAAAGAACTAAAAATGTTTTGATAGAAGGGAGAAAATGTATCAAGAATAGGAGTGAAAACAATATAAATAAAGTCTCAACAGCCATCATAAAAGATGTTAAGAATTTCAAGAAAAAATCTAAAGTTGAAAAGCAAAGGAAGAACATATCATCATATCAAAAGAAACACATAAAAAGAAGAACACATCAGAGTAAAAAATAAAAATAAAACGAAGAACAAATAATAAGAGACCTTAACATGTACTAGGTTGTAATTTGAGCTTGAACTTGTTCGTACTCTCCCTCAACACAACAGACCTCCCCCTTAACATGTTAACTTATTCTTAAGCTAGCCTCATTCTCATTCTCCCCCTTCGTGGCTAGGATCCCCAAGACTGTGATAGGTACTTTTGGGCGCAAGAATCTTGGGAACATAGTCAGAAACACACTTATGACCAATAGAGTATCCATCAAGATCACACCCAATCTCAATAAAGAACTGGGTGATAAGGATGGCATAGGGAAGAGCAGTGTCGTAGAAATCTTTGCAGGGAGTAATATTGGTCATGTGAACACACATTAGTGAGGCAAGATTGACCTTTCTCCCTCAAATAACATTGATTTGATGTATCAAAATCACGGTTGGAGTTTGATGGATTTGGAGATCTAGAAAAAAATTTAGTTCTTCCATCATACTCATTTCAAAGGTACTTTGAATGAGATCACAGAATTCAGCCATATGTTGTTATATGTGGCCCCAAATACTATGTCGTCCATGTAAATTTGAACAATGAGGAGACCGAATGAAGAATGCTTAAGAAAGAGTTGTATCAATGTAGCCCCTGGTGCAGATATTCTCTAATATGAAAGTACTTGTCTCTCATACTAGAACCTAGGAGCTTGTTTCAGTCCATACAAAGTCTTTTTAAGTTTGTAAACATGTTAAGGAGAGAAATGATTTTCAAAACTAGGAGGTAATTCTACATATACATCTTCATTTAGAAAGCCAATTAAAAATGCACTTTTGACATCCATTTGATATAGCTTGATTTTATTTGTTCTAGCAAATGGACAGAGTAACCTAATTGTTTCTATCCTGACTACTGGTGCAATGGTTTCTTCAAATTATATTCCTTCTTGATCATAGCCCTTGGAAACTAAATGAGCTTTGCTCCTACTCATGTTTCCTATTTCATAATATTTTTTCCTAAAGACCCACATAGATCCAAAAACTAGCCAACCTCTATTAGTTATGTAGCATGCAGTATTAACTGCTTCTGTCCACAGATTTTGAGGTTGGTTATATTCTTGGAGCAGGAAGAATATAGAGTTCTATTTTTCCTTTCAATAACCCCATTTTGTTAAGGTGTTCTGGGGGCTAAGAAGTTATGTTGTAACCTTAGACTGTCATTGAAGGCTTCAAAAGTTATGCTCCACAATTAATGGATCGAAGACACCATGCTGGAAGTACCCATTCCCAACAACATAAATATGCATGAGCAAAGTGCAAGCCATAAGGCCAGGCGAGCAACCAGAGACACAAAAATGAAAAATCAAGGTTGATGACTGTGGGCAATACAATCATTTGGACATAACCGCATGAATAATTTTTATTTCAGTGGAAGTTTAAAATCATAATAATTCTAGAGATTCGGATTCAATAATATCCCATAGGAGGTCTAAAATCAAGGCATAATCAGTTATAAAGCCAGATCGTTATAAGGCAAGATGTGCGATCACTCTTAAAGAAGGTAGAATAAAGGGCATTGATCCCAAATTAGCTTCCATGGTAGCTTTTTTAAGAACAGAGAGAGGTATGAAAACTAATACCAGTTATAGTAATTTATTTTAACTGTCGACATTGAAAAAATGTAAGAACTAAAAAAAGTAACACTATCATTAATTTATTTTAAAAATTAATGGAATTTCAAGCTCCAACAAATTAGCTTCCAGACGTGGAGCTAGGACAGAGATTACAAGTCTGAAAAATTGCATACGACTCATTAATTTCTTGTAACATGCGAAATATTAACGACGATACACCACAGAAGTTGGATTTATGTCTAAATGGCTAACACCGTGCACTAACTAAGTACAATCAGATAAAATTATTCTCCCTAATCTGTAACCATAAATTGATTATTAGGTAGATACTTATAATCTACCTATAATTACTGAGCACAAATATCATAATCAGCAAATTGTAGGGCACAATACCCCATATCTTCTTTAACACGTCCACCGCTGAACCACAAGCAATTTTTGTCTAAGTAGATGATACCACCTACAAGACATTTAAGGCAATTCATGGTGTGTGGTTCACCGCATTGAGCTCGGGCCCACATTGTGTATCCGTCCTCAGTCCGTTTCGTACATGTAACATGATGTCTTCGAAATCCAGGATGAAATTTATCTTGAACCACGTACTCAAGGATGTGTTGTCTCAGCTTGCCTAACGGAGTATTTTTACCAATCGCAAGGGGGCTGCAGAAGTGCTCTGCATAATTCAACATATAGCTCTCCGCCCTCCCTGCAATGCACATGCAAACCATGAAAACAATTGTCGTAAATTGAAGCAGATTCCTCATTTCCAAGGTGTGAAGTTGGTGTAGTGGATAATAAGGTATTCCTTCGTATGTGTGTGGAAACTATAACAGATATAAGATTATATGATTTGAATGTTCATTAGATTTTGCTCTTATATAGGAGATTATAACAAACTTGTCGAATGTCACGGATGATTTAGTCTAAAGTATTTAGTAAGTTTGTTACTATGCCATTATAATATCCTTTATATGCACTATCTATAATAGGCTAAAACTAAATTATGTATAATCACAATTAGTTTTACCTAACTATTTGTAACTGTGACAACTCAGTCTCTAGTCTATACCACACATACACCAATTTTATCACAAATTTATTTACTAAAAATAGAGTTCAGCTTATGTGAATCCAACTACGGATTATAGTGCAAGTTAATTTCTTAGTTCTCCAAAATGAATCAAATGTATAATGTGATTTTGTAATCATTTGGTCGTCGGTAATTGCTAGGATAGTTGGACCTAAAAAAGTTGAGATATCTCCAAATTATATATTAATTGTTTCCAAATTGTTTCTTACCTTTCATAGGCTTAATTTATTTGTCTCTTAAATGCATTGAATCAAATCTTTATCATGATTATTTTAACATTTACTTTTTGGTAATTGCTTGCGTGGATTGATCTAAGGGTGTGCAACAATACGGTCTGGACTAGACCAAACTCATGAGAACCACAGTATAGTAGTGAAAGACATCTGAGGACCAAGTATCGAACCAACAATGCATCTCACTTAGGATCATATCACTTGAAGACGTCCATGTCTTATCTTGAGTTTCGAGTAAGACATTGTGCTCTTACTTTGGAATAAGCCTTATACACTCAACCACTTGCCTTTGGCATCCCTCATTCGAGTAAGGAGCATGATAATACTTGGGTACTTTCTTCGCTCACGCACCCTCAAAAGAGAACATAGTCAGTTTTGCCCACTAATGCTCACTTTCCATTGATATTGTATGCATGACATCTACTAGGACCTCTATAGTGCGGTTAGGGGATGTACGCTTTACAAGTTAGTAAAATTTTAACCATAAATATAGCATTTTGATGCGTTAAATTTAATATGGCACCAAAACTGGCGAAGGTGTGCTTTCTCTGATGGTTGGGTGATCCTTGAGAATTGAACTTATCACAAAACCATGAACGATTATATAATAGGAGACACTAAGAGTGTCATTTTATGACATAATTTTTGAAACTGAGCCCTAACTTAAATGTTATCATGACTATGTCGCTGTTTGTTGGTTTTTTCCCCCTATTGTACCGAACCCACTATTTTGTTTGGTTTGAAGTTAAAACATATGCGTTGTGATTACAGGTACGGTCAGAATGTTGTTCATAGTATAAAAAATAAATATAATTTTGAAACATTTTTAAATTGTAAAACCATATAAAAACTAAAATAGCAATTCATCTTATTTGAAATTAATTTTCTAAAATATAACAAGAGAGAAATTAGCTATAGAGAAAAAGGAGACCGCCTCAATTGAAAAATATGGCCAAAACAACAAACTAGTGAAGCCACTGAACAAGAAAAATGGAAGCTAACTCTAAAGAAGACTACAATAGGGTGTCACGAGCCACTTTATATGTAGTCCAATTTGCAACTCGTTGAAATGCCCTCAAAGCTATATTACCAAAAAAGAAGAGAAAAAAGAACCCCATGAGAGGGGCTCTCCTAACAAATCAACTACCACTCCTTGGCGAAGCTCAAGGATCACCATCTTTGAGTGATTTTCTAGACAACCTTTAGGGAATAGCAACGAAATGTGAGAATAAAATAGATAGTTGTTCTACAACTAACGGATGGTAGAGGGACCCACTGCCAAAACATATACCTCAGAGGCTATAAGGTCAGGAGAGCAACAAAAGTCACAAACAAGAAAATCAAACTTGATGAGTGTGGGCAATACAAACCTTGAGACATAACAACATGAATATTTTCAATTTAACTATAAGTTGTGTAGAACACGTGTAGCACACAAGTAATCTTATAAAAGAATATAAATATATATAATTATTAAAGAACCGGTCGTTTGGACTCCAGTGTAGGGCTTGACTCGTTACTAGAGCCCTAGTGTAACTGATTTGGACGTATTTATACATATTTACCCCTTCATGTCTTGATTGTTTTCCTTGGTAATCGTTGCTCCCGACCTATTTTATGCTAGGTTGTGATCTTTTGTTACATTTGACGACTTAGTACGTGTGGAAAGGTAGGGGATGAGTTTCGGGATATTTGGAGGTCAAAACAAGCCAAAGAGTGAAGGAAATGCAAAGATCACGACCTGGAGGTGAAGATCACGGGCTCGGACCATGAAGTGGGCAAGAAGGGCGTGATCTTCGCAAGGTTCCAGTAGCTTTCTCTCAATCAGATTCTATGATGGTAGATCTTGATTATCGATCGTATTCCTCCTTCTTGTCTTTCGGAGTAATCATCTGGATAGTATAATCCTCTTTGGCGATTCTCATTGCAAGTTTATGTTTAAGAACATCGATCAATGAGCCAAAAGTGGCTAGGAAGGGTCTTCCAAAGAGGATAAAGTAGTCTATATCCCTATGCATGTCGAGTACTACAAAGTCGAGAGAGAATACAAAGGGTCCTATCTCCACCTTCAAATCCCTCACCTTAACTAATGGTTGACAAACTGAATTGTCGGCCAAGGAAATGAACCTGTTTGTGATCTCTAGTTTGTATATGTCAAGTGACCTAAAGATGTTAAAGAGCATAATGTTAAGATTAGACCCTAGATCGATAAGTGCTCTCATTTCATGATGATCATTGAGAGTACATGGGATTACAAATTGACCCGAATCGGGTAACATTCGTAGTACTAAGAGTTGCATGTGGGAAGGTATGTCTTCTTTCATAAGCTTGTGAGTTTGCTCATGAAGTCGCCCTACTTCCCTTTGGGGATCATATATCTCTGTAAGGGATTCTAGCGTTAGTATGGCAGGTGTTTCCCCTCCTACAACAAAAATGAACTCATTAAGTACCCTCTGGTCAGTTTCAGAAACATCATTAGGAGGGTTGGAAATGGTGCCTCATTCCGTGTGATTGAAATGATTTTGCTGGTGGGGACATCAATCCATCTATGATAAGGACTGGTCCTCGCGCTAACTGCCATTGGAGTTTGACCTCCTCGCTGAAATGCTCATACACATGTTTACGATTGGGAGGGGTCATTCCCAAGTAGAGAAAGTACTCCTCACCTTTATGAGTGATAAAATTTATTTCTTCTTTCTTCTTTGTGAAGAAGGTGCCTAAGAGGGGTTTCATAGGGCTATCGATTCATTTTCATGATGAGGTTGTGTGAGATACTCCTTGTAGGAGTTCTGCTGGTTTGTGCTTGCCTCATCCACATGCAAGATGGTTGCCACGTAAGCGGTTTCATTATTTGATTGCTTTTGTCCCCAAAATAGGACTTGGAAACTTGTAACAAGCAAAGAGAAGAACTTATGCACGAGTGTCAACTAACTTGAGTTCCCCTTGGCAGACCTTATTGATCAAGACAACCTCATATTATGCCCATGCAACCTTGAGGACTCCAAAACATTCAAGGACCTGGCTTCTGGTGTCTTTTTTGGGTGCCTAAAAATAGGCCCAGGTGGTGCCAATTTTAGCCCAAAAGGAGTGCCTACGGCGGCGTTTCAGATATGCAAGAAATGCCCACCTTTGCTTCCAGCTTTGTATCCTCTAAGTTTCTACCCTTTTCCACTATTGGGACGTGGCTTGAACCAGATGGTTCGACCTCGAGTGCCCAACCTGTTCTTTAGGATTGTTTTCCGTGTTGCTTGGAAGGTTATGGCTGTCTATTGGGTCTTTTCAAGCTCCAGAAGGGAAGCTAATTCACACTCCATGTTTTTAAGAGTCACCTCCTCGCCTCGAATGTATGTACATAGCTCATCAATTGTTAATTGTTCCAAGACTTCAGGAGGTGTGTTGTTCTCTCTGAATTGAGGGTGTCTATCGAATCCTGGTGGTGTAGGATTTAATTTCCTTTTCCAATCTGGAGCTCGACCCTCCCACTTCGTGTCATGAAGATACGATGCATTGATGGATGTTATTTTTGGGTAGTCGGTAGACTTTTATCTTCCTGGGAGGGGCCATTATCCTGTCAGAAGCTGTCTCCAAGTTTGATAATCGCCTGAAGGGTGATTTTCGAAGCTCCTATAGGCGTTTGAGGAATTGGGAGGTAGTTAGTTCTGATACCTAAAGTTGGGGCGATTAAAGTCCCATGTTTGAGGATAAAAGGTATTTTTGAAATCGACCAACTCGTTTAAAGGACTCCTATAGTCCCACAATTGTACCCATCATGACCATCCTCGCCGCATTACTCGCAAAGGAAGAGTTGCGCGACAAGGGTGTTTCTACTCATATTGAGTGCTTGCACCTCCTTAGCTACGACAACAACTTGTTTTGCTCTGGCGAGAAAGTCATATGGATCTTGTACCATTTTCAATGTCACAAGAGCATTTCTCCTCGACCAGTTTCTAGACTTGGCAGCCATCGACGCATAATGCTGGAAAGCAGGTTCTGCGGTCATTTCAGACACATCACTGTCTGCCTCTTGATTCATCATCATCATGGTGTTTAGATTGAGGGCCTTGCCAAAGATGTCGGCTACTTGTTCTTCTGCGAACCAATGATGTGCGCAAGCACACAGTAGACCTTGATAATGCTTACATGCTTCGTACAACTACTCTTGATGTTGTTGTTTGAATCGAGCAATTTGGTCCCTAAGATTGTCAGTGTCCAATCGAGGGAAAAACATTTCAATTAAAGCTTTGACCAATGCATCTCACACACAGAATGTTCCTTGTGGTTGGCAAGATAGGCAGCTCTTTGGTCTCCTCGTAAGAGAGAAAGGTAAGAGACGTAGCCATATTGTGTCAGCCTACATTCCTAGCTTATGTGAAGAATCACATATTTCCATAAACATTTTGATACATTTGACCGGATTCTCGTTATCGAGGACCTCAAAATGTCGAACATACCAGACCATGTGGATCATTGAAGTGCGCAGCTCAAAATTAGACATGTTGACCTTAGGCAAGATGATGTTGGAACCGAAGTTCACAACTTTAGGCCACGTATACTCGCAGAGAGTTCATTCCTCCATGCCTCTAGGTGATGGGGGTTCAAAGGGAGAGGTGTTACTCTCTACACTTGAAACTTCGTCTAAGAGGGGATTTGAACGAAGAGCAGTAAGCAACCTATTCTTCCCCTTTCTTTTCTTTGAGGTGGTGCCTTTGGATCTAATGAATCAGAAGTACCACTCCTATAATCACGACCTTGGGCAAATCTTTTATGTCTAAGATTCTTGACTTCGACCCTGATTTGTGATAGGATCATGCACTTGACATAGATAAACTTCTGGAAGCAGAAAGACCTTCCAGAAATTAGGCGCCCGAGTATCAAACACGGGAAGGAAATTGCCGCTTCTGGTGCCTATTTACCTTGAGGTGACAATAGTGGGAAACAGGAGATAAAATGCGCCTCTTTCTCTTTTTCAAAGTTCGCGAGATGTCCTCGACAATGGCACCTAAATTTGATATGTCATGTAGTGTAAACCAAATGTACTTGGCCCTAATGCTAGGATCGTATTCCCTCAAGATGTACAGTTCTATTGAAGAAGAGGTCGATTTGTGAGGTTGACATTCCTCCGGTTTTGCAGAACTTAGGAGTTCGAAATGTAAAGTAGGTGCAAAAGAGTAAATTTAAGCTACTGGGAAGTAAGAGAGCAGGAAAGGCATAATTAATTATCGTATGAACCCTTCAGACATAACTGCATGAAAAATTTATATTTCAGTGGAAGTTGGACCCCTAAAATCATAATAATTCTATATATTTTGAATCAATAATAGCTCATAGGAGGTCTAAAATCAAGGCATAATCAATTATCAAGCCAGATCCTTATAAGGCGAGATGTGCGATCACTCTTAAAGAAGGGAGAATAAATGGCATTGATCCCAAATTAGCTTCCAGGGTAGCTTTCCTAGGAAATAGAGAGGTATGAAAACTAGCTAATACTAGTTATAGCAATTATTTTAACTCTCGGCATTGTAAAAATGGAAGAACTAAAAAAAGTAATACTAGCATTAATTTATTTTAACATTTAATGGAATTTCAATCTCCAGCAAATTAACTTCCATACGTGGAGCTAGGACGGAGATTACAGGTCTGAAAAATTTCACACGAGTCATATTAATTTCTTGTAACTTGCAAAATATTAACGACGATACACCACAAAAGCTGGATTTATGTCTAAATGACTAACACCGTGCACTAACTAAGTACAATCGGATAAAATTATTCTCCCTAATCTATAACCATAAATTGATTATTGGGTAGATACTTATAATCTACCTATAATTACTGAGCACAAATATCATAATCAGCAAATTGTAGGGCACAATACCCCCTATCTTCTTTAACACGTCCACCGCTAAACCACAAGCAATTTTTGTCTAAGTAGATGATACCACCTACAAGACATTTAAGGCAATTCATGGTGTGTGGTTCACCGCATTGAGCTCGGGCCCACATTGTGTATCCATCCTCAGTCCGTTTCGTACATGTAACATGATGTCTTCGAAATCCAGGATGAAATTTATCTTGAACCACGTGCTCAAGGATGTGTTTTCTCAGCCTGCCTAACGGCCTATCTTTTCCAATCGCGAGGGGGCTGCAGTAGTGCTCCGCATAATTCAACATATAGCTCTCCGCACTCCCTGCAATGCACATACAAACTATGAAAATAAATGTCGTAAATTGAAGCAGATTCCTCATATCCAAGGTGTGAAGTTGATGTAGTGGATAATAAGGTATTCCTTCGTATGTGCGTGGAAACTATATCAAATATAAGTTTAGATGATTGGAATGTTCATTAGATTTTGCTCTTATATAGGAGATTATAACAAACTTGTCGAATTTCACGGATGATTTAGTCTAGAGTACTATTTAATAGGTTTGTTACCATGCCATTAAAACATCCTTTATATGCATTGTCTATAATAGGCTAAAACTAAATTATATATAATCACAATTTGTTTAACCTAACTATTTGTTACTGTGACAACTCACTCTCTAGTCTATACCACACATACACCAACTTTATCACAAATTTATTTACTAAAAATAGAGTTCAAATTATGTGCGTGAAACTCTGAATTATAATTTCTTAGTTCTACAAAACGAATCAAATGTATAATTTGATTATTTAATCATTTAGTTGTTGGTAATTTCTAGGATAGCTGGACCTCGATAAGTTGAGTTATCTCCAAATTATATATTAATTGTTTCTAAACGATTTCTTATAATAGGCTTAATTTATCTGTCTCCTCAATGCATTGAAACAAATCTTCGCCATGATTATTTAAACATTTTTTTGGTAATTGCTTGCGTAGTTGGACCTAAGGGTGTGTAACAGTACGGTCTGAACTAGACCAAACTCATGAGAAGCACAATCCAGTAGTGAAAGACATCTTAGAACCAAGGAACAAACCAACACTGCATCTCACTTAGGATTACATCCCATGAAGACTTCCACGTCTTATCTTGTGTTTCGAGTAATGCATTGTGCTCTTACTTTGGAATAGGCCTTATACACTCAACTCCTTGCTTTTGGCATCCCTCATTCGAGTAAGGAGCATGATAATAGTTGGGCACTTTCTTCGCTCACGCACCCTCAAAAGAGAACATAGTCAGTTTTGCTCACTAATGCTCACTTTTCATTGATATTGTACGCATGACATCTACTAGGACCTCTATAGTGCAGTTCGGGGATGTACACTTTACAAGTTAAAAAAAAAAATTAACCATAAATATAGCACATTGATGCATTAAATTTATTATGGCACCAACGAAAAATCTTGGGGCGCTCACCGCAGGCCTGACCCAGGCCTTGTGCTGGTCAGATCCATAGCATAGGGCCTCAAATATTTTAGGGGCCCATCTGATCAGCCCATAAATTTTTATATATACTAGTCCATCTATGTCATGTTGTGCTACGGTTCGGGTTCCCATAAGATATTTATTAACTACAATATCAAAGGCCCGTAGAATGAGTTAATAGGGGCCAAAAATTCAATTTTTTCACCATTCCTTCGCCACCTACCATATATATATGGATTCCCTTTCAATTATTATTAGAAATTTTTTGTAACAAAATATGAAAGGATAAACCCTCACCAGTCACCACCCTCAATCATCATCCATTATTCCTTTTGTATAATCGTTGCTACTATTTATGGCCGCATGTCGCTGCACTCATCTCATTGTTCTTCTCCCCCCCCCCCCCCCCCCCCCCTCTGTTAATTTCCGTCACAATTTTCCCTCTCCATCTCAAAATCTTTAAAAACTCCTTCTGCGTTGGCTACTCCGTGGAATTCAAGTGAACATGTTAGCACTAGTGGATATACTCCTTCTAAACCGTGGTGGTGCCACGCGGGAGAAGCGATGGATCTGCCTTATGAGGCTGAGAAATTTCGTTCTCGACCTCCTCGGAGTAGCCCTCAATAACGCGGTGAAGGTTTTGGCTGAAGATCTGCATCTTGCGCTCATGTTGTTACTTTTCAAACAATCATAAACGATATTATTCTTTTTGTAATAATTTTCCGAACTTATGTATTTTTTATTATTTAATAATTTTATTTATAATAAATTTGAGGGGAAAAAATTAGGCCACAATTTTAATTTTCGAATAGGTCCTCCGAATATCATGGGTCGTCCCTGGCTCACCGACCACCGTCGCAATACGAAACTCGAGGTCGAGGTCGGCGTTGGCTGGAGGAGGCGACTCGACAACCGCAGCAGATCCACTCGCATCTTCCAAGAGCTTCTCTCCTGAAAATATCGTTGTATTCCCAAGCTCGAGCTCCATCATGACAAACTTCCAGTCCCCGAAGTTCAAGTAGGTCGCCGAAGGAGACAATCCTCCTCCTCTTACGCCAGTGGCGCTGGTGCTCGCTTCCTCCTCCATCTCGAAACAGTCGTCTTTGCCCCCTTCCGCACGGTTAAGCAGAGAATTGAAAAACCGGCGGAAGAAAAGAGCGAGAGAGTATGAGAGATACGAATTGATTTATGTCAATGGAGAACGGAACACTGAAAACTCACTCACCGGAGCAATAAGAAATTCGAGGTCTGCGTTGGTTGGAGGAGACGACTCGGAAACCGGTGCGAATCCACTCACATTTTCCAATAGATTACCCCGAAAAGATCGTTGTATTCCCAGGCTCGAGCTCCATCGTGACAATCTGTCTGTCTCTAAATTTCAGGTAGGTTGCCGAAGGGGACGATCCTCCTCCTCTTTCCTCGCTGGTGCTCGCTTCCTCCTCCATCTCAAAACAGTCAAATTCGTCCCCTTCCGAACGCTTAAGCAGGGAATTGAAGAACCGGTGGAAGAAAAGAGCGAGAATGTAAGAGAGGTACGAATTGAATTATGTGAACCGAAAACTCTCATGGTGCACTCACTGGAGCAATTGGAAACTCGAGGTCGGCGTTGGATGGAGGTGGCGAGTCGGGAACGGATCCGCCGCAACTCGTGCTCTTGATTGCGTCTTCCGTCGGCTTTCTCCCGGAGACGATTGATGTCTCCTCTGCCTCGAGCTCCACCCTGGAAGGAGACGATTCTCCTCCTCCGCCTCCTCTGCTGGTCGCTTCCTCCATCAGGCTTGGGCGCACAAGAGCTAGAGAGAGTGAGAGTATGAAGGAATTAGGAAGAAAAATACAATGTGAGCGGGTAGAAAGAAAGTAAAGAAATATCTTCAGAGAGACAGAAAGAAAGAAGAAACAACTGAAGTGCTGGGCTGGGGCGGGACTCGGGAACTGTTCGTTTCTGTTTTGATTTTCTCACATTTTCCTTGGTGAAAAACTTTCTCGAATCTTTTCTTGAGCGAGTGAAAATGGAGAAGGGCGGTTACGAATCTTGATCAGTGGATCTTTTCCCCCCAATCTTTTGACCTAACCATATAAAGTCCCACCTACTGTGGGGTAGTGGGCTGCGTATTGGGCTCATTCGAAAGGAAATTGTTGAAGCCACCATATAAAAACGGGGATCCGAGGCCTAGGCCCAAGCAATTGCCTACAAAAATAATAGCATTCGGTCCCCGTGAGCCGAAAGTGATCCATTCCAGTCAGATTTTCAGAAACTGAGGAGCTAAACTTAGACAAAGGAAATGCAACGCAAAAATAACGACAATTACGGATACCCGCTCCAATTCGATCTGATTGGGTAGAATAAAATTTAAACTAAATAAAATACTCAGATAATACGGTTAGAATTTGAACTCGAATAATACAGATAATAGGTATGTATGTTTTCTTATTATTCAACTCAAACATGCCTGATTATACATGCATGTATAATGTTTTATATAAATCGTTATTTTTTATTTTAATATATACAATATGTATAGTATATTTGTAGCATATCAAGAACTAGTGTTCCTTTAGTATTATTCCTCTTATCATGGTGATTTGTTATTTAAAAATTTTCACTTTTGTAATATTAGTATACCTGTAATTAATAACACAATAGTAAGAACATAAAGAAAAATAAATACCTGAAAGTCGATCAAATATGTAAATATCTTAATTTACTACTCGAATCTTGCATGAATATGTGTGGATAAAACTCAAACTAATTAAGGTAGAGCAGGGTAATAAATACTCACTATCCACCAAATTCCACTCGTTGTAATCCTTACCCTGGAGATTTGTAGTGCTTGGCAAAAGATTAAGTGTATAATAACATCACAACATATCACATATCAACACAACACAACACAACACAATCTCTCACGATGCAACATCTAGTGCAAGTGGATGAGGAGTATTATGGTAATTACATGGTCCAGTTTCTTATTGGCTTCAAATACGAGTTTAAAGGTGTCAACTCTATTTTTGGCCACTCTAAGAGTTGGATAAAATATTTTCGCAATCTCGTTTTTTTCATAACCGAATCATATCTCTTTCTTTTGAATTTCATTTCAAAATTTACATTGAAAAAGCTTTTTACATAAGAATATTTATTTTGATATTTATTGTGAAGAAAAATTCGAACCTTCAAAATTTGTATTTACTGTGGTAGAAGGCCTCAAACTTTCTTCTAGAAGGAGGCCAGCTTTTGTATATTTTCATTTTACAATGGAATCACTTATATTGCTCATCAAATGAATTCGGTTACATTGAGTGTAGGGATGGCAATGGCTCGGGTCGGGTCGAGGGCGGATGAGGCATATCCGTTACCCTACCCGAAATAGTTCGGGTTTTACCCATACCCATACCCACATAAGAAATGGGTAAAAAATAAAAAATGTGCCCATACTCGTTCGGGTTTCGGGTATCCACGGTTATCAATGGATAATAGTTTATTTTTAAAATTCCAACCAATATGTTAACATCCACACATATACTCACATTACTTAAGAAGAAACGTACAACAATAAATTATTAGAATGGAGAAAATTAATTAAAACAACATAATTTCATGAAAATATTATATTTGTATGCTAAATATAAAATATGTTAGAGAAAAATAATGATTATTTCTAGGTAAAATATGTATGCATGTGTACAATCGGGCGGGTTTGGGTTGGATAGTGAGAAAACCATGTCCACCCATTTCCCACAATATTCAGGTTCGGGTTTTACCCGTACACACTAAAACTCTTTCAGGTTCGGGTTTTACCCTACCCGATTAGGTCGGATTCAAGCAAATATCCACGATTATTGATATTTTGCCATCTCTAATTGAGTGGATACCATCTTAAGAAATGGAAACAAGAAAGAACAACAACAAACATCCAGCGGAACACACCAAGGCAACGAGGAAAAGATCGGGACAAAGGAAAGCAAAGCATGATCCAACCAGACAATGGCTTTCTTTTCTTGAGCCATAAAACAAAACATCCTAACCACTCTTTGCTTCCTCATTCATCAGAATTTCTCAAAGAACAACTTCAGCTCGTCCAATACAGGCTTGACCATGGCAACTGAACATTGCAACACCACATGCCGCCTCTTGAGAGTTGTTCGAAGACGACCCATCACAGTGAACCACCAAAGAGATTACACGGCGGTGGACAGGACTGTACCATATTGCTCGGAGCTGAAACAAGGCAAGGGAGCTAACAACAGAGGTAACCATGACAAAACAGAGTAAGATTGCACCAAGGCTTGGAAAGAGCCCACAAAAAACAAAAGAAAAGAAGACCACCAGTAAGAACCGCACCTGCAGAAACACAAAGCTAAAAGAGACCACCCAAAACCCAAAAAACAACAAAAAGAAGCAACACTCACAATGTCACCAACCACCCACAAACACAAAAACAAATCAACCCAAGGTAGAACCCCAAACTCAGAGAGTCATGAACCCGCCGCCTCAACATTCGGAAGAGACAAAGCTACCCACATCAGATGATCGACAAGGCTGCAAAAAGTATGAAACGGTGACGATGTCTGAGGGGAAACGATGAATGCGATCACCAGTGGGATAATCACACCAAGAATGGAGGAATCTTTACAACAGATCAAGCAGAAACTCCCCATAATGCATCTTCCGTACCTAGAATAGAGTGACAAGATCTAGTGAAACCAGATCATAACAAGACTGAACATCTCCACCAGGGAGGAATGTGGAAGGAAACCACTTAGGAATCCTAGAGAAAGCCACCAAAGGCAATGAAAAGCCATCAAGGCAGGAAATCAGATCAGATCTGCAGAAGCCACCAAGGGCTTGAGAATCAGAAACAGAATTGGAGGAGCCAACGATGGTTGGAGAACAAAGACGCACAAAGGAAAACTGGAGAGAAAGAGAAAAGACTATTAAAATGGGAATTAAGGCCACCATCGATCACCAAAGTGGTGCCAACGACAGCCTTGTGGACCATAATGTAGAAGGCTAGAGAGAAGCGAGAGGATTTTGAAATAGGGGAGAGCTTTTGTATTTAAGTGTCTTTGTTTCCTTTTCAATTAACCTTCACCATTTGGATGGGTCTATTGAAAAATGAGATAGTTTAGCCAATCGTCTCATTTTACAAAACGAGTCATTTAAAATGAGTCCATTCGAATTGTCAGCATCTACCCCAGACAATTGTAATGGCCTCAAACGAGTCAATTTGAAATTCCCTAGGCAGAATTGCTTCATCTAAATTTTGTCCTGCCAAACGGATCAATTTGGACAGATTGTCTCAAAACAAAACAATTGGGTCAAATTGATATGTTAGAATTTCTCATCCCAACGTTCTTTTAGCTAAATTGAGGTAGGTGATTATGAGGTTAATCGGCCTCCCCATTAACAGTAGAAGTTTGATGTTGGTATTTGGAATATACCGAAGTTAGTTGTGCATTTGTGAATAACCATAAATTATACACCCTATCCTAGACCCTCCCCTGATAAGTACAAACCAAGCGAATTATCTTCCTTCACTTTATTTTTCCCCCTTAAGTTTCTTTTTATGTCATTTATGCCTACTAATTGGATACACAAGCAGTGGAGGAGGGAGGTGAAGAGGAGTGAGGTCCTAGGACCCCACTTGGAAGGAAAAATAAGATGGATTGAATATGTGTAGATACTTGTTGATTATTGGTATGTTAAGGACTTAAAACCCCTTTCTTACAAAATTTAATTATCTTCAACATTACATAAGCATATAAATAGCGCTATCGATAAGGTACAATGAAAAATCATCATTTTTTTTACCCTTAAGTTAATTTTTTTCCATTCCACTAGATACACATGAAAAATCTTTCGGTTATAATGAACAAGAGTTTGGTCTAGTGATAATATCACTATCCTTAAACCTGGAGATCCCATGTTTGAATTTCTTAAGTAATCATAATCACAAGCCTCTATCACTCTTATAAAAATTTTTTGGTATAACTAGCTAGAAATAGCTTTTAACCCAAAACTTTTGTTCTATTCATATAAAAAAATGTGTTCATCAAATCCGTTTTATAATCTGACATATGCGCTAGTCTATTTACTTGTGAAACTAATGCATATTTTAACTAGTTGTCGGAATGCCCTTTTCAACTATGATTTACACGAGAAGTAAGTTACATAGACTACTACTAATAATTTGATGAGACGACTACTTGATCTAATATATTGAAAGTAATATATTTTTATAATTGAATAAGAATTGATTCATAGATAGGATGACCAAGTGATGTGTCTGTTTAGTATCTATGTGTCCTCTCAACTCATTATTCGAAGAGCTCAACGAGAGAACTCATGATATGGGTGGTGCATTACTTAAAGAAGTCTTCTTTTAAAGGTCGTTCTCGACTATTAAGTTTCATTTTTCTCGTAGACATTTTAATCGGACCGAGGCAAAACAAGTCTTTTCATCTATATTTCGACGTTAGTCTAACTACTGCATTTGGTTATTCCAATCTTTGCATTTCAACATATTTTGTATGATAAAAAATATAGGACCCCACTAAAATTTAGTACACACATTAACACACGGTATATAAATAATAATAACTAACAATATAATTATTAACCTCGATAACAATGAGTCAATGATGGAGGAAAATACAAGAAAATCACATATAACTCACTCAGAAATGGGCAGGTAATTCATAATCTTTTGGATCTCCTCCGGTTCGCCCTCCTCTTCCGATCCCTCATCCAACTCTTCCTCGGATTCCTCCTCCTCCTCCGATTCAGGGAATGTAAGTGCCTCCTCATCCGGTTTAGGGAAGTTTTCTGGATCGGCGACCATCGCTTTAAGTTGGTGATGGATTATAAGCCTTTCGAAAGTGTCAGCATTCATGAGATCGACCACCGGTGGTTCGAGTTCAGATCCAGATGACTTGGACCGGCGTTTAGGGATATGGAGGAGTTAAAGAGCTTCTTATCTGTTTTGTGTTTTTCCTTTGGCTGCTGTTCTGTTTCGTGTGTGCCTTTGTTCTGTAGGTATTAAGTCTGAAACTTAGGAAGAAGCCTTCCCCAACACCCCTCTGTTACTTAAGTTATCGTCATCGTTAAGGATTTTGACGAAAAGAAAGACGGCGACGCATTTGAGGTGACAGCGATTTGGGAACAAAGTCGCCGGGGTTCTAGGGTTACATCGGTGCATGGAAGAGAAGACAGACGACGGTTACCTGGAGTAACTGAACGTTCGGTTCTTGTGATTCGCTTCTTGCCGACTGTTCAGATAAGTATTCCATCATTTATTTATTTATTTATTATTATTATTATTATTTATTTCTTACCCTTAATAATTATCCTTCATACTTTATTTGTTTTTAATTATTCTTTCCGCCTTTTTTCCTTTTTTCGTATCTCTTGTCTTCTTTTTATAATTATATGCTTGCAATTTGTTAGGTCCCCGAAATTTAGGTTGTAACCTTTTATTAAAAAAAAAGGTTAGGTGTGTTTCGGGTGGTACCGGTTATCTAGGGTTTCCCGATGACCTGGTACTCTATTTCAAGGGCGAATTGCTGCCTTGTGTCTATATTGACTTGTTGGCTCTTTGGCCTGGATTGTCCTACTAGGGACCTTTGTTTGCTCATTTTGCAGGTGAAGATTCAATTGCACAATAGTCGATCGGTGGTGGCTGTCTTGTCCACTAGGTGACCTTTTGATTAGATTTGATGGAGCACTTGGAAAATGATGCTCATGATGTTGAAGGAACCCCTTGAACACTATTAATGTTTAGTTTGATGGTGCGGTCAAGCATAGTCACGAAGATAGTATTGGCTTTGTTCCAATCGTCAGGTAATATTCTCTTTGCTTTCGGAAAGTGTTATGAAGGATTGCAATATCCATTTGTTATACTGGAGGCCATACAGTGGTGCCTGACACATTCTTTTGTCTCTGTCAAATTTCATGGGGACTCACAACAATTGATACGGCGGGATGGTCGGAGGCGACTAGGTGCATGATCGGGGTGGAGCTCTTCTGGAGGATACTCGGAGCTTAGCTTCTCACTTCAGTTGGATTTCCTACTGCTTTGTTTCTCGTCGACTTAATAGGTTGCCCATCATGTGACACTAAAGGCCCTCGATCGACTCCCGCGTTTTTTTTCTTCTTCCTCTTTGTGACTATCTTTTCAACACTTACTTTGCGAGAAAAAAAAAGTACAGGTAATTCGTTGAATTAGGTTAAGGGGATATTTTTATTTTTGTAATCCTCTGTGATAAAGGTATTCCTTTTTATCGCACTACTTTTCTTCATTCCTCTTCCTTTTTTCTATTTTTTTTTTTTTTGGTTTACAACGTTTAGGTTTTCTGTGTCATGTCGTTTGCTTGATCAATAATAATTTGTACGGATTACGGTTATTGCTTTGCTTTCGGGTGCTTATCGGAAGTCGGAATCTGCATTCTTCCTTCCTTGCTAGCGATTCTAAAATGGAAGAAGGGCTTTTGTTGGTCGTTGCTGGGAGATAGCGAGGAGAGTGAGAGAGAGAGAGACGGAGATAGGGAGAGTGGAGGACTCTTCTCCTTAGGTTCTCCCCTCTTGAAGCCGCCGGTCACAGTTTTCTCGCCGCCGATGTTGTGACGGTTGTGCGCAAGGGAAATGGTTCTGGATGTTAGGGTTTGAATCGATTCAATTAAGGCTTGCATTGCGCGCTTGGTTTGGGTTTAGGATTTGAGCTTTTCTGGGACCAATAGCTTTTGGTTTTATCAACTTATTTGTTCGTTGTTTTCCTTAATGGTTGAGGTATGTTTGAGGAAGGCCTGATGGGTTCGTGTGCGGATGCTGTTGCGGTCAATGAACCAGTCCATCAACCTGCTTTCGAGCAGCAGCAGCAGCAGCAGCACTCTTCCTGCATGGAGTTCGTCGAGAATTTGGTTGCTGATGACCGCCTACCTTGTTTGGAAAACGGCGAGACCTCCGCCGCGGCTCCTGATTTGAATCCCACCGCTGTGCTGGATTGCTCTCTGGGACCGGCTCAAAATGATAATGCTGCTACTAGCGTAACCCCTGCCCACGCTTTAGCTACTACATCTGTTGAAGATGGAGTTGCGGTAATAGAGGCCGGGAATGATAGTGCGGTCGGTTTGAACGCAGGAAATTTGATATGTCAGGTTAGTGAGCATTCTTTGAGTATGATTCATGGGGGTTATGTGCAGTATAATTATAATGGGGATACTGATGGATTATGTTGTGGTAAGGTGGAGAATGATGGATGGCTTAATGATGAGCACAAAGGAATGAGGGATGAAAACGGTGGTAGTGTTGAGATGGGTGTGGAGGAGGAAATAGATTCTTTCTTTGCAACTGAGTTTGATAATCAGCAAGACCTGCTTCCTCCACTGGGTCCTGAAATGCATGCCGAAGTGAATTGTTTATCTAGAGAATGGAGTTATGTAGAGAACAAACAGATTCCTTCTACTAATGAGGTTTTGTGTGTTACCGACGAGGAACATGTTGATTCAGTAGGTGGGGGCAGTGATACGGAAAGGCAAAATTTGAGTTCACTACCATTTGAAACTGCAGGGTGCATACCTCCTACTTGTATTCAACAGGATATCCAGAATGATGATCTGTCTGTTACTTCTTCCTCCTTCAAAGCATTGCCAGAGGTTGTCGACAAGACAGATGATGCCTTACACAGGCTGGAGACTACTACTAGTGGCCAGTTGTCTTCGCAGCGTTGTGTGGAGTTGTCTAAGTTTATCTTAACAATTGATTCAGTGCAAAAAGTTGCTCACAAGAATGATAATGAGCCTGCTGCTTCTTCCGTTGTAGAAGGTGCTGAAGAAATCAAGGAACACGAACATGAACCTTTGGGGGCTGCTGGAAGTGTTTTAGAGGGCCGATTGTCTTCTTCAGTTGAGGGCAGAATATGCACAGCAAAAGTTCCATCGTCAACTGAGTGTCCTCAACAAAATGAGCCGGACAACTGGACTATCAGTGGTTTAACATCAGAAAAGATTGGGGATGGAGAAAGTGATGCTTCTGCAGACACAGAAGTCGATATAGGCACCTGGATATCACCACATGGTGATGAGTCTCCCCCAAGAACACTAAGCAATAGTGGTCCTATGATTGGTTCTGAGAAGAATATTAATCAGGAATATGACAAAGCTGATACTTCTCTTGTAAATATTGACACAAAGGGTGAAAAAGTTTGTCGATTTCTCCAAGTATTGCCTTCACTAGCTTGCAAAAAGACCTTGGAGTACTTACCTACAGCTGCTTCACTCAGCAATTGTACTCAACAGAATGGGAAAATGAATGGAAGAAATGTAGACAGTTCTTCTGCAGAAAGCACTTCAGAAATTTTGGAGGAGAGAATTGATACTTCAACTGCTAAGGCTGAATTTGTTCATCAGACAATGTGTGTGGAAGGAAATAACTGCTATCTTCCGGATGGAATCCCTAAAATTGCCACCACTGTATCTATTGAGAAATTTGCTTGTCCTGAGTCTTGCCAGCCCTGTGACATTGCAGAGAGTGGATTTTCTAATCGAGTGGAGGGTCCACATCCTTGTGCGACGGACAATTTCTGTTCCATGGAATCTGGCAGCACAGATGCATGTAATGAACAGACAGAAAATGAGGGTAAAAACCAGCGCAGAACTGATTATATTTTAAAGAACAAATGCCTGCGCACTCAGTCTGATCCTCCACGAAACAGCCGAGCTGGCAGATCAAGTCGAAAGACTCGGACCACAAAGACTAAGAACAAGGGAAGGAGAATAGCTCAAGTAATGGACTTCAAGAAAAGGAAAAGAAGCTTCCTACCCAAACGGACTCGAGCTTGTGAATGGGGATCACTGGGGAAAGTCATGGAGTATTTCAAGGTGATTGATGAGCTTGGAGATGGTGAAACTGGGAATTTGAAATCACTAAAAGAAAGGGCGGGTCAAGCAAGTCGAAAGCAAAACAAGAATAGAGCTCAAGGAAGCTTGCGCGAATCCGGTGTAGGAAGCTATACTTTGACTACTCGCATTCGTTTGAAAGTTAAAGTGGGCAAAGAGGTTAGTCAAGCAACTTTGAACAACATTGTTCATAAGGCAGAGGTAGTTAACATGGCAGTACCCATGGATGCTGGTACTGATGTCCTTGTAACCAAGTCCTATCAGCAAGTCACCTCTGACGTCTCGAAGATCAATGTTGATAGAGATGAAGTTGTGCAACAGACTCTTCCTGGCACGCAATTGGAGAAGTTTCCAGCAGATTTTGATGCTTCGGTTGCAGATGCATATTATTCAAACAATCAGCTCGAGTGCTCTCTATTTAATAAGAAGTCAACTGAAGATGTGGCAGGGGATTATCTTCAGGATCATGCTCATATAGGGGTTGGCTTTGAAGCATCTAGAGAGAGGACTTGTGCTAGTTTAGGAAATTCACCAGAATCAGAAGTCATAAATCTAGTACCTGAGATTCAGGTTGGAGCACAATGTTTGCAAGATACGCCGCCTGATTGTGGTTTGGCAAGTTTAAAAATGATAGCTCCTTCTGGGCCTCTTCCCGAAAACAGTAAGGGCAAGAAGAGTAAATCAGTTGCTGCAGGAAGCACAAACAAAGAAGTTAAATCAGCCAAGAAGAAAGGTGTTAGGCAGACAAAGATAGAGAAATCTTATAATGGTGGTGTGCTGACTTCTTCAGTGATAGAGAGAACGTCAGGCAACTCATCAAGCAACAAGGAAGCTTCTGTTGAGCAATTACCTTCATCAGAAGAAACTGAGTTGACAGTCTTTAGAGAAGCCAGCGATATGGATTTTAGTTTGCCCCAGTCACAGGCGTCCAAGGATATGCTTCCTTCAACTAAAGCTAAGGGGAGTGGAAGTCCAAATACTTTGGACGGATCTACGAAGGGAAGGTCTAAAAATTCATCTTCGGGGAAAAGTAGAAGGTCAAGCAGTTGTAAACAGAAGGTAAATGAGAAGGGGACTGTTAGCGATGTTGATGCAACTGCTCGTGATCCTGATGTTAATGGAGTGGAAGGTGGTTTGGGAAAAGGTAAAGAATATCAGCTGACTCTATACTCCTGTTCTTGTTTGTTTTGTTACATAAAAGATTTGCTCCGAGGATAATGGTCAGTCATTTTGTTGCACGTTTTTTTTTATTCATTGCTGCTGGGACTATCGAAGAAGACACTGGTGTAGCTAATGTGGACGGTGTTCTTGGTTGCCCAGTTGTTGATGATTCGGGCGCGTCATTGGATACTGTACCGAAGCAGCATTTGCCTGTCGATAGTGCTTGGGCGCACTGTGATGATTGTCATAAATGGAGACGTATTCCAGTTGAACTGGTGCAGATGATTGGACAAAATGACCGTAGATGGTACTTCCCATTATCCCTCTCTGTTTACTATTTCCATAAACCGTGTTGCTCTTCTTATCTCATTCTTTTGTTGTATCTCTTGTATTTGCACTCTAAATTATGTTATTATTATTCTGCATTTTGCACACTAAATATCCTCCCAATGCATAATGACTTACCCAGTTATGTGCCTTGATCCCGAGGAGACTGAATTTCATGAAGAATATAGAATACACCACTTGTCTTTCCACAAATTATTTATTTTTAATTTGTTTAGTGTTGGGAGGCTGGGAGCTTAATACTGATGGGTTGAATTTACTGTGACCATTGTATAGCTGAGCAGCTGAGCCAGTTTTCTGATTTCATGATACTATAATTGTAACATTGCTTCTAGCCTGTTATGCATGTATTTCATGCTCGTGATAGGCTAGTTTTGAAAACATGACATGAGGTGAAGCTATATGTTTTTTGAGCTGGAAATGTACAGTCATGTTCAAATCTAACCAACTAGTGCACTTGGGAGTTTGTTTTTAGTATTCGTTTTATTGCGCTACGGAGTGTTTCAAATTGCACAAACTTTTCGGTCGGGTCATTTATTGAAGCTTTTGCTAGACAAGTTTGTTTTCTCTCATTTGAATACTTCTGTCTTTCAATTTAGTTCTTCTAACTCCATTTTCTTTGTCTTCAAGGACATGCAAGGACAACGTGGAAAAAATTTATGCAGATTGCTCCATTCCCCAGGAAAAGTCCAATTCAGAAATTAATGCAGAGTTGGGAATATCAGACGGAGATGAAGATGCCTTCGATATCCCTGTGAACAATAAAGGGATAGAGAATAGACAAATAGGTGAGGTGAATCGTCAGTGTTACGATATGAAAATTAGATTTCAGCTTTTGGAAATGCCTGATTTGGAATTTATATACTTATTTTCAAAGCGTACTTGGTGTTCTCTTATCGATTTCAGTTTCCAAGGAGCATGAATTTACACGGATTTCTACTAATCAGTTTCTGCACCGTCGTCGTAAGACTCAAAACATTGATGAGGTCTGGATCTACACTTTCTTGTGGCTCTTGTTTGATACTTTTGGAAACATTAAATATCATGAACAGGCATATGAATAGCTATCTTGATGTCATGTGTGCACATGAAGCCTCGTCGTGTCCAGACTGGAGCTTATTCCAGTTGGGTAAGCTAAGGTCTTGTGCCACCGTGGCTGTCCTTCAGCATTAGGCTGTAGAATCCTTGACATTCCATTTTACAGTACTGGGTACTCTTCTGGGCTGAGCCAAACTCGTGGGAAAAAGTACTGACTTATTGCTGAATGTGAAAAGGCTTGAAGTTGGAGGATGAACCTTCAGAAAGTTAGAATTTTTTCACAGGCTACATCATATGCTTTTCTTAGTTATTTGCTTTAGTCTGTTTAGCATCTCATATGGGTATCATGCTATCATTTATTACTGGTATATGGGGTGCTCTAAACTGAAACCGGTTTTTATTTTTCATCTGTACTACTAGTTAAGTCAATTAGAAATTAAGTACATATTTTGGAGGTTTCTCAACTCTTAAGCCTAAAAAAATCAGTGAATTTGTGGCATATCATTTTACTTTTGTATATGTTTATGTAACATTATGCAGGTTATGGTTTGCCATTGTCGACCACCAGTAGATGGCACGCTGGGATGTGGAGATGAATGCTTGAATCGTATGCTCAACATTGAATGTGTTCACGGCACCTGCCCTTGTGGGGACCTCTGTTCAAATCAACAGGTAACACAATCTTTTATGGCTAGTTAAATTGTCCTGCCCTACAAGTTCAGAAAAGAGCATTGACAGTCCAAGCACTTTTGTGCAGTTCCAAAAGCAAACTTATGCCAAGATGAAGTGGGATCGATGTGGCAAGAAAGGTTTTGGACTGCGAATGCAAGAGGATATTTCGAAAGGGCATTTTCTTATAGAATACGTTGGAGAGGTACTTCTATAAAATTCCTATGTTTATATTCTGCATTCTCATAAGAAACGTTATTTACACAAAATGCCTTGTTCAAGGATACACTTTTTCCCATTCTCTTGGTGCAAATAATTTCTCACAGACATTGGTATGGGATAGAATGAATAAACTAGATTATGAATGTAAATAAAGAAGATGGAGGTAAGTGAAGGACTACACTGATTTGATTCTGGTGTCATTGTTCTCCTTATTGCTGGACTGAGTTGTCAGGAGAAACTCAGCGAAGGATGTCTAGGTATTACGTTTGAGCCAACCTAGAGCTGGAATTGATGAGTGTTGTGTTCTGGGTTTAAAATCTAACCTAATTGAATCTATCTTATTGTAATTTTGTATTTGGACTGATAGAAGAGTATTACTTGTTGTACATTTCAAGTATGTCTTAATTTTTGCTTCATAGGTGTATGATGGGCATGGGCGTCATGCTTTTAGATTTTACCTTTGTGGTTACTAAGATATAGCCCCGTCAATACACAGATTACATCTTTTGGCCATCTTTGACTCTCAAGTACCTTAATAATGTTTTCATACTATAGTTGGACAAACTTTGGACTTTGCTTACATTGCTGGACACCTTTGCTGGCGCTCTGTGTCTCTCTCTTTTACGCACAAAGACACACGTAGATGTATCTAAATATGCCTGGTATTTGTTGTAACCTTTATTATTTATTAAGATATAGCCCTGTTAATGAACATATAAAATCAACCATAAAAGAAAATAAACATATAAAATCTTTTGGCTTTTATTTTACTCTCAAGTACCTTAATTTTGTCTTCATTCTACAGGTCGATAAACTTTTGCTTATGCTTACATTGCTGGACACAGTCGCTGACGCTCTATCTCTCTCTCTTTCAAGCACAAACACATGTAGATGTATCTAAATTATCTCTGGTATTTGTGTAATGTGGTCTATTAGGTGCTTGATATGCGAGCTTACGAAGCACGACAAAAGGACTATGCAGCCAAGGGTCATAAGCATTTCTACTTTATGACATTAGATGGCAGTGAGGTATGTGTATTATGCTCTTCCACCAAAGACTTCTCTTTTCTAGTGAGTCATGTTCTGTGAGTGACCAGAATACTTGAACCATTACAAAAAGGAAAAGAGGTGAAAGAAAGAAAGAAAAAAAAAAGTGGAAAGCAATAGCAAGATACCATGGTTGCTTTAAGATTCAAAGATGAGATGTTATTACTGTTACGTGATCACATGTCCTGAGTACCCTCAACAGTTTCCTCATTATATGTCTTGTGTTGAGTATATGCAATCTCTTCCTCTCTCTTGTTTCTATTCACTTGTCCTGTTGTTTGTTCAAATGTCTTTAATAGGTTATTGTGCCCTCTGTACAGGTAATCGATGCGTGTGCCAAAGGGAACTTGGGACGTTTCATTAACCACAGCTGTGATCCTAATTGTCGTACTGAAAAGGTGATGCATGTGGAAATTCCTTGTGCTGTGTCTTACTATTTTTCTTATTGTCATATTTGCTTCTTATTGTCGCTTTGTTTCCCTTTCCTTTTATACTGAATTCATGGTTTATGTATTTGAACAGTGGGTTGTCAATGGAGAAATTTGTATTGGGCTGTTTGCACTGAGGAATATTAAGAAGGTATGTTTGCTGTCTGTTTAATAATATCTTATTCTGTCATATACAATTCGAGAACTGCTACTGCCTTCAAATTTGCTCTGCTGATAGATACCGGTTGGACCATGATTATTTATTGTTCACTGATAACTTAGAAGTTTCAACTTCTCGATATAGTTTCTTTATTATGTTTTCGGGCTTCACTGGATGCCACTAGCATGAGAAATGAGAAATTCAAAGAGTCAAAGTTGCCATCGAAGTAGTGGTTTTCTCACACCGTGGCTTGTTTCTTGTCATATGTGGTCTGTCATTCCCGGTCTTTTGGAATCATGGTGGCACTGTTGAGGCTCATGTTACTTGTTAGACATAACAGAACTCTAACTCAGCTGATAGAACTGTGCCCGATTGATTAATTCAGTAACTCGCGAATTTTGGCAGGATGAGGAGTTGACATTTGACTACAACTATGTAAGGGTTTTTGGGGCAGCTGCCAAGAAATGCTATTGCAGTTCGGCTCAATGCCGTGGTTACATTGGCGGTGATCCAACTAACTATGAAGTGATTGATCAAGTTGATTCAGATGAAGAATTTCCTGAACCTGTGATGTTTGATGACCGAGGAAAAGCTTTGATAAAAGCACGGTCTTCTGCACAAACACAGATTACGGAGAGTGTTTCAACAGAAAGGTATAAATTGGATGAGGAAGTGGAATCTCTCGGAAAATGCATGGTCTCACCAAACGTCAGTGCTTCTATGAGTAAATCTCCTGATATCTCTCATGCTCGTGGTTCTTTGGAAATGACTGATATAAATGCAAAAGACCCTCGTCCATCAATGGAAATCTCTTGCCAAGCTGAACAGATAATGAGCAACCCCTCCTTTGATATTGAGAAAGATATTTCAATGGAGGAACCTGTTGACAGAAGCTCTAGTTGTACGCAGATATCGGAGAAATCTACTATCCCAACACCTGTCAAACCATCAAGTGATGATACTGTCGTTAATAAGAAGTCAAAATCTGCCTCTGAAGAGAAGCGGGTTTTTGTAAAGTCCCGTTTTCTATTCAAAAGTCAATCTGGATCCACTAAGAAAGGGAAGCTTAACGGTAGTCCTCAAATTGTAAATAAATCTCAGACGGGGACCAACAAGCTTCAAGTGCAACCTCTAAAGGTTAAAAAAGGCATAGAAGGTGTTCCTAATGGTCGTCTTGAGACAGGTTAGCTCCTTTTGCTTCAATATGCAGGCAGAATTTTGCTTACAATATATTTTAGATGCTAATGACTTTTACGTGTTGCAGTCGAGGAGAAACTTAATGAACTGTTAGATGCCGAGGGTGGCATAACAAAGCGAAAAGTGAGCGACTCTATCACTTTTTGTGTGTGTTTATCTTTGTTGCAGCATTCAGTAATCTTGTTGTAGCACCTTTGCTGTCTGTTTAATTTGTGTGCGGTTTGTTAGTTCTAGAAAACCTTGGGTCTTTTTGTTTAGTTTGTGCTGTTGAGAGTACCAGTGGCATTGGCCTTCATTTTCTAGTCTCTTTAGCTTCTTCGTAGTGTATTGATGTGGTAACCGCTTGGCTTTTATTATTCAGAGCCTCGAGTATAGGTAGTTTACTGCTCTATGCTGAATGAGAAGACTTATTTAATTATCACAGTTATGTAACTCTTAGCTTTCTGTTGGGCTCTGTGGTCCCATGCTAGCCATGTCCTATCCATATAATTCACATCTTAGGTGCCTGTTTTTCATTTTGCAAACTTTTATCTGTTCTTTTCTGCCTCTAAACTTGTTGTCAACATCTCTGATGCAAATGTGGCTTTACAAACTGTTCTCACAGATTGCAGTTGAATGGTAGAATAATCACCTTGAGCTTATTTCATTGACAGGATGCAGCTAAAGGCTATCTGAAGCTTCTGCTTCTTACTGCTGCTTCGGGTGCTGGTGTAAATGGTGAAGGAATCCAAAGGTACTTGATATGATCAGCTTGTAGTCCTATGTAAAATCTGAATGACTTTCTTTTTCTGACTGGGTTGGTGCTTTCTTGTGTTGCAGTAATCGAGATCTCTCCATGATCCTTGATGCAATTTTGAAAACCAAATCCCGGGCAGTCTTAATTGATATAATTAACAAAAATGGTGTGCCTTCTTTTGTTCCACGTATGCCTCTTCACTTATAAATTTGTGTAGAGCCAATGGTTTCATCATAAATTTGCTTGCTTTCTTTCCAGGTCTGCAGATGCTTCATAATATAATGAAGAGGTATAGACGAGACTTTAAGAAGATTCCAATTGTCCGTAAACTTCTAAAGGTACACATAAAGGGACATGCTATTCTGTTGTTATTGTATCATGCCAAGAAATTAGGTTAATTCCTATCCCCTCAACAAGAATGGGAATCAGAAAAAGATTTCCCACATCCAATCTTTTTTTCTTGTTTCTTTTTTTTTAGTTATAGGACATAATACATTCGATGTACAGACTTGTAGCAAGATATGAATATAAAACTACAAGGCAAGCGACTAGAACCTATTACTGTTCACAAATGAAAGAGACTAATTGCTTAAGAATGAAATGTGAACACAGTAAAAAAACGGATAGAAATGTTGATGTAAGTGTTTGTTTCAGGACTGAAATGTAGTCAGTTCTTCCAGAAGATTTAGCATGGAAAAATTATTCTTTATGTTCTTGTTTCCTGCAATACTCGCATTGGAATATGTAGAGCATTTCACAGGATGTGTGTTTTTAATTTGAAGTTTGGTTTAACATGTTGAAGTTTGGGATTAATTCGTGGCACTGTGCAACAGTATGTGTGTTGATTATTTTGTATTTTGAGGGCCATTCCTGGAAGCTCAAAGACCATAAAGTGCCACCAACTATCTTTCTTATGCAGGTTATAGAGTATTTGGCGGTCAGGGAGATACTTACAACCGAGCATATATATGGCGGGCCTCCACGGGTGGGCATGGAGAGGTAAAATTAGCTAGCTCTTTTTGAGTGTGCAGTATTTTCTACTTGGTTTCTAGATCATCTTGTCATTAGTATTAATCATCTTCACACATCATCCTTCACTGCCATTTGCCCATTTGTTGTGACTTTTGTCTTCGGTTGGTCGGTACTGTGATTGAGCTTTAATTCTTGTGTCTTTGAACCGCAGCTTGTTTTAGTAGCTTTGTCGCTCCATTCATATAGATCTTTTCTAGCATTTCATGTTTTGTTGGAAAACTGGAATGATGCTGATAATTGATTCATGCAGTTTTCGGGAATCAATGTTGTCCCTGACAGAGCACGATGATAAGCAGGTACCAGATTGAAGTTTCCCTCCCCCTGTGGAATTCATGTTCCCATATATAGTCGGTTCAATACTTTCGTTTATTTTATTGATGACTATTGTTAATGGGTATTCAGGTACATCAAATTGCACGGAGCTTTAGGGATAAATGGTTTCCTCGACAAAGGTACGAGTTTAGGTCAAGCTGTCCAGATAAGGATGAGGGGAGGAAGGAATTCCACAGGGTATCGAGCGGCCATAGGCCACCATCAATAGTACACAGTTATCGAAGACATGCTCAGTGTGCTAGATCCACAGAAGCCATAGATTGTGTTGGCCAATCAAAGGTCTCAACAACTTCATCAGACAGTGCTGTTGTGCTTTCAGAGGTTCCATTGAGTTCGGTTGAAAGAAGTGTGAATGAAGGCTCTTCTGCTCCTTGTACTACTGAAGTCAATCAAAGGACCCGCAAGCGGAAAAGCAGGTGGGACCAACCAGCTCCGAGTAAGCATGATTTTCAGAAGAAGCCAGAGGAATTTGAGAATTTGAGGAAAGTTGAAGACAGTTGCTATCAGCAAGGTGAAGCCAGTGATGCTGTTGATGTTCCACCCGGATTCTCATCTAATCCTGTGGTTTCCTCTGTGGAATCTTCTGTTAACTGTCAGCAAAGTGAAGCTAGTGATGCTGTTGATGTTCCACCAGGGTTCTCATCTAATCCTGTGGTTTCCTCTGTGGAATCTTCTGATAACAGCTTGCTCGATGTCGCTGATATTCTCCCAAAACATAGTACTTGTCTTCTGAACTATCCACTGAATGAAGTTGTCGGAAATCTGCAGAAGAAATTCGACTCTTGCTTGCCTGTCTCGTATGGAATTCCCTGGCATATTATGCAGCAATTTGGGTCACCTCGGGATGAAACTGGAAGTAGTTGGGTTGTTGCTCCAGGGATACCGTTCCATCCATTTCCACCCTTACCCCCTGCTCCTTACCCTAAGAAGGAAGCCCAAGATTGTCTTGCTACAAATCACCAGGAACTTGTCAGCCGCCATTCTGGTGGCTGTCCAGTTGAAAATATTGTTGCGGGCACAGCTGGTTGTAGCAATGTTGACACTGTGATTCCTTCTGGAACTGGGACACATGCGTTCAATCGCCCAAAGGGCGGTTCGTATGGTCTGGGGAGGAAGTACTTTAAGCAACGGAAGTGGAACAAAAGGTCCCAGTGGAATTCGAGGAATGAAGGGTCGGTACATAATGGGAACAATACGAGAAATGGGGTGGTTTGGAGCTCCGATATGGGAGGAAGCACGACTCAACACGAGCACACAAATTCTTCATTTAGCTCATCCACAGGTTGTAACCAGTAGTTGAAGAGGAGAAAACTGGCAATTTACATTAACCCGCATATGCACAGCACCAAAAAATGAGAAGGATAGCGTCAAATGATGTTTTTGGAGAATTTTCATTCCATACATGTTATGTATGTCAATTCTTTCCAAGAGTTAAATTTAAAGATGAGTTATTCATTCAATACAAATGTTGCTTTTCTGGTGGCCCTCATGATGGAGCTCTTTCAAGTTGCTCTCTCTGAGATATTGAAGAACTTGGCCTCAGTGAGGTAAGTAAGTTGGTGTCTCTTGATGCATGATTAATAATTTGTTTCCTTACAAGAAAGATTGTGTTAACGGTTCTGTTCTGTGGGGGATGGTAAGGTGAAAAGGCTCTGGAATGGTTTCTGATATACTCTTCAGTAGTTAGCTCGTCGTTTTGTCGCATAATCGTGATTAATACCCTTCATTGTCCATGAATCTCTTATCGTGCTTTGATTGCATTTATATGTTCTCCGTCTGCCTCTTGAGTATCTGTGGCCAATTAAGTAGATCACCATTTGGCTTGGTAGACAGCCAGCCATGACATGCATGCAGACCACAAAGAGAGGGAGGGACCTGGTGTGGTTTTGCGACATATATAGGTGCGTTTTCCTTTTCATGCTTTGATTAAACTTACTATAACCATTGCTTTTGTTTGAGTATTTTATTATGGTAAAATCGACCATTAGATTTGTGGTTCTCACTGCCCATCTGTTCCTCATGGCGACGGCTAGTAACGTAATAAACTTAAGGACCTAGCTAGCTTATCCCATGTAGCAAAGGAAGGACTGTGGCTGGTTATGAGTTTGGTCCAACACCAAATCAAGAGATATAAGAGATTTAGTAGAGTCCTCTCGTTTTTGCCCTGGTTGTTTAGATGTGTGCCAAACGAAGATGTATTATATTACGTTCATGCGATTGAAGGCATTGATGAGTATTACTGAATGTTTATTACGGTTCCCAGTTTCTGTAAAATGGCGGCAGATTGTTTTCCCCCCAGCTGATGGAAAGAACACTACGAAGTAGATTAGAAATCTGTCTCGTCCTAAGATTACAATTCATTTCTTGTCGTAAGTATTCACTTGTGGCCTTTGATATGTAGACAGATCGGCGCAACTCTCCTGTCACATGTGCATTTGTAGATCATGAATTCCTAATGGCATAATGGAGCAGGGAATGGAAATCTTCTTTTCTGTGCTTCCTACGTTTGCCAATTTCTTCAACCTTGTCGATTGTGGATCAGTCAGGGTGCAAAATTCAGCAAGAGAATCAACGCGTTGCTCAGACGATAGCTCTGGTAGAGATCGGGATGAGAATTGAGATTACATTAAGCGTGCTCGAGTAGATTACCTGGTTGTTCCCGAGAAAGAAAGAGGGTTGGGCTTTAGGTAAATGAAAACTAACGAGATGATATACACATCAGTTGGTCCTTCCTGGTCCTGGCTCAAAGTGGTTAATGTTCTTACCAATCTGTCATGTGCGTAAATGGCAATTTCGCTTGGGATGCTGAGTTTCACTTGTTGCGTGCTACCGTTATGACCAACTCGGGCAGGGCTGCTGCCACAGCAGGTCTTCTACATGATCACCTCAGCAGACGCCATGGATCTTTCACATGTAACCTGGCCTCCTGTTCGATTACAAGTGCCAAGTCAAAGGGGCATCTAAAGGACCAAGGATGGCGTGGAATAGTGGCTACAAGAATGTGTTGCTCAACCTTAACTCTGCTACAGCCACTGCGATGACATGCTTGCTGAAGAATGTAATCATACTGCAGATTTTCTTGCTAGCAAGGGGTCATAGATTTGTTTGGTAGGCATCTCTTCGATGTGTGTGAACCTGAATTTAGGTATTGGTTGTCCTATAACATTATGGAGATAACCTAGCTATGTTCAGTTTTATTACAAGGTTAAGCCGCTAATGTGTTGATCTTTCTACCAAATATCAAAATGGGAGACAACCTGATGTGTTGATCTTTCTACCAAATATCAAAATGGGAGACAACCTAATGTCCGTTTGTGGTTTTGTAGCTCTGCTTGGTTTGGGTTGTACTTGTACATCAATTCGATGCCAAATTGCCGAGAATGCGTTTTCAAGGGAGCATGACAGTAAGAGGCGCCAATGTATTGAGGTGACAAAATAATAGGGTACTATTATGAGGGGCATGATAAATACTCAAAACTGAGAATGCTTCGGAGAAAGCAGACATCTTCTTTGATAGACACTACCGGAGAAGATTTCAGTTGGATGATGCAGACCACCAAGTACCACTCCTTATGCATCTACCTGCGTTTATATCTGCAAAACAGGAAACATCGCTTCACTGTCAGCATTCTTTTCGAAAAAGTATAGGAATGCCTTCCAATAAGAACGATTCTTGGAACGGTTGCCTACCGTGATTTGCTCTTGAAAGAACTCTTGGCCTTTTTGCGTAACCCACTGCCGGAACCCTTGTTTAGCTGTTTCCTATCACTCATATCGGTCTGGAATAGATCCTTCATCTCTTCGGTCCTGGATTGATTTCTTTGGGAAGGGCGCTTTGATTTGTTAGGGGCCTTCTTCTCTACGAACTTGCCCGAATCTTTCGCCCTCTTGACAGCTTTTACTGCCTTGGCACGTCTATACCCTAGGTCAACCAGTGACAATCCAGCCTTTTCTTTCTCGTCTTTTCCGCTACCCCGCTGCAACATTTTGATGGAATGTAAACCAGTCTAATTCTCTTAAATACAGATGCAAGTTTGACTCTAAACGGGAGAGAGAGCACATACCATAGGTTTGACTTCATCTTCTTCATCCAGCATCTCTCTCGCTGCTTGTAGTTTGCGACGCAGCTTACGGGGCAAGTTCCTCTGATACAACAAGTTGGGCGCTTTTAATTTACTACTCTACTCGCAATAAATTGTGAAAGCCAATTTATATGAAAACACAACTTAACAAATTTCAGGTCAGTTGAAAAGTAACAACAGTTATCACCTCATGCTCTCTCTTCCTCTTTGCCTTCATTTTTAGGTCCTCGGCTTGTTGGGCACTGATCATGCCTTTCCCAGATCCATTTTCGTTTTCAGCCGTTGCCTGGTCACAGAAGAAAATAAGTGAGCACACACTAAGCCCCAGAACCAGAACCATGATATGAACATAGCACATTTGACGTGCTTTCAAATAATAATGCGGAAAGGAACTATCAACAGAAGGGGGTAACTTCTGACACACTAGAAGAACCAATTTGCTTGGCTATAGGCTCATCAACTCAAGAGTTGCCCTCAGAATCAGAGAAATCATTTCTATTTCCAATGTCATGCCAAACTTTATAAAGGAAGAGCCATTGAAATTAAGATATTGACCAAACAAGATCTCCATTAAAAAAATTGACCTAACCCAAGATGTAGTGAAATCACCTTTGTTGCTTTTTCCAAAAGCTTCTTTTGCTTCTCTGTCATGAACCATGTTTTTTTGGGCCGGGAAAATATTTCTTCCTTGTGTTCAATCATATTCTCAGCCTGCATAGATTCAAAGATGGTTAATACTCTGAGTGCCACTATCTCCATTGAACTTTTGTGGCAGAAAATACCTTTGTTACTTCCATCTCAATTATATACACGAGATGGATATAACAGTGCAACACAAGAGAATAACAAATATTTAAGTAACTTTGACCATCAACACTGTTTATTTCAGATGGGAAGGGGCAAGTTACCTTTGTTACTTCCATCTCAGCTTTTCTTATAGCCATCTCTTCCCTGCAGTTATTTCACACACTAAGTGCCCAAAAAAATCTAGTAAAGAGAGCTACAACTGTTTCAAATCTTAGTCATTACCTCTCTTCTTGAAGAACCTCAGCAACTTGATCTTCCATTTGCTCGATTATCTGACCCCATTTAGTAATAGATTGCTCAGCCACAATCCGACTCTTCAACTTTGAACCCACCCTTTTTGCCTATCCATTGAGATTAGACACACATGAGCTATTTATCTTCTCGGGTAGGGCTGAAGGAAACACTTTTTCAAGGAATGTAAGAAAACAGTTAAGAGTATCAAACTTAATCTTCAATACATTAAACCATTTATCTCCGCCGTGAATGGGAATGAAATCTATGTAAGTATACTGCTCAATAATTATTCAAACATAAATTGCCCACTGAAATAAGAATAAGTTCTATCCAGATATATAAGTGCCATGAAAACTTAAGGATAAGAGCATGTCAGTAGCTTACAATGGATTTCAAAAGAGAGCGATCATTATCTGTTACGAATGTGACAGCATATCCCTTCCTACCAGCTCTGGCAGTACGGCCCACCCTATGAACATAACTGCGTAAAAAATAATAACCATATCAGTAAACTGCATAATGGATATCATCTAGATAAAGAAAGACATTATCAAATAGTAGCAGTAGCCCTCTCTCAACAATTACCTTGTAAGATCACGGGGACAGGCAAAGTTAATAACTGTCTGGACACCAACAATGTCAAGGCCCTACCAATGGCAATGAAAACAAGTGAACGGAAATAGTTAGTAATCAAAAGGATTAACCAGCACCATCAAAGAGTGTATGAGTCAAATATTTTACTGGACTTAACCATCTTATTATTAATAACCATTTAATCTAATACGACAAATAGTAGAAATATGATTGTATGTATCAATACAAGCCATTTCGCATCAACAATTTATTTAAACTGGTAATGAACTACTAGAAAAAGATATATAACAGTTGGAATATGTACTCACACGAGCAGCCACATCAGTTGCTATCAAAAAGTCAACTTCCTGCTTTCTGAATTGCTCCAAAGCCTGATATAAGCAGCCACAAGTCCGGTTTAAGAATCCAAAACAATTATTACTCGAAAAACAAAACAAAGAATCAGTGAGAGTGCTAATATCTAGTAGCGATACCACTAAATCTTGATTTAGCTTATTCTAATCCACTCACATCTAAACGCTGAGCTTGAGTAAGATTTCCATGAAGCTCAGCAGCTTTAAGGCCTGCTAGTCCAAACAGAATCTTAAGCCTATGTGCAGCTTGCTTAGTGCCACTGCCAAAAAATAATAAGAAGTTAGTAACCAATTACAAAGTTCCATGACAGATTACCAGTATTCAGATGTATGCACACCGAATCTATACTGACACTGATTATCATATAGCTCAGAACAAAGTTAGCAAGTGAATGCAACAACCTGAAAACAATCACTTTTGATGTGAAAGTTTTTGTGCACAATGCCAGAAGAACTGCTTCGTCATTCCCCTCACGCATTCTACGTATCCTAATCACCCTGAAAACCAAAACGATCAAACTCGTAAGACAAGTGAAATTCTTAATTCTTGGTCCAAGAAGAAGCTATCCAAGCTCACCATGCTTGTCAAAGATGGATTGATTTTTAAAGCAAAGTAACTGCGGTTGTTACAAGAATGTGAAGAATAGCAGATAAACTTGAAAGAAACAATGTGAAAAACAGATAAACTTACTCCTCAGTCAATGTTGCCGGTCGTTTTGTAGATGGGTCAGCTGAGAGCCGCAATGGTTTAGATAGAGAAAGTTTTATAAGTTCATCAACTTCTTCGGTCATGGTAGCCGAGAACAGCATAGTTTGCCTCCTTTTGGGGCACAGCCGAACCTAATAACAAATAACGGAATTAAAAAGATTCAGGAGTAGCAACAATAACAATCGGAGATAGTAAAAGCCAACTAGATTATTGAGATACAAGCAGCTAATAGTGTATATAATCCATGCAATGCTCCTGAGCAGTACATAGGATAAGGTTTCAAGATCTAAAGAGGACTAGCAATTACAAGACTGTCTGATTAGAAAGAGAGTGATTAAAGCCATAGAGATTCACATTTATACATAAAAGAAAAATCAGAGACTCCTATTTTCTATGAAAATATACTGTTTCAAGAAAGAAAACAACAGCTTGCTAGTACCAGTTCTTGAATTTCTGCACTGAATCCAAGCTCCAAAAGACGATCAGCCTCATCAAAGATCATAACTGCAAGGTCATCCAAGTCTACAGACATCGAATTCCGCAGATGGTCTATCATGCGCCCTGGGGTAGCAACAACAATATCTGGCATTGTTCTCAAGGCAGCTTGTTGAACCTAAATTGAAAAGGTGTTATTACAGAACTAAATAAGCATACATATAGTAAAAGAAGATGTATTCCCCACAAACACATCTACCTTAACCCAGCATGGGACAATGGCTATAATATCAAAATGGAACCAATAATATTTTGATAACATCAGGATCAATTGAAAAAAAGGTGCACAGGATTTACAAAGAAAAAGAGGCACAAGAGAAATGTGCATGGGTTTAGGTCAGAATTGAACAATATCAGAAATGATTGAAACAAGAAAAAAAAGAATGTAGTTGAATTCACAGATTGAACGTCAAAATTTTGAGGCACCACACAGAAACAAACCAAATCAATGACAAAAGAGTATAAAAGACAACTAACCTTAGATGAAAGCCCACCAACGATTAAGCAACATCTGATATCGGTAAACTGAGCAAGCTTCTCAATCATGCTATGAACCCTGCATTGGATATGTCCGATATAGATTTTCAGTCAAAAGCAATGATCCCTACAGTAGAAAAGGCTCCAGAAGGCAGAAGGGCACAAGTATTGCAAACATAAAGTAAAAGTTAAATATCAAGAATTTGGTTACACTGGTACATAACTATGAACATAGAAAATGCAATTTAAAATTTTCCAGTATCTTAGCACAAGTTACACACGGGAGTGGACAAAATCCAAGTTCACTGGACAGGTTGAAAATAACACTTACTGAACAGCAAGCTCTCTGGTAGGAGTAAGTATAAGAACCCGTATTGCTTGAACACGTTTTGGCCGAAAAAGTAACCTTTCCAGTGTAGGCAATGCAAAGGCAGCTGTCTAAAAGAGAAAAACACAACAACAGAAACAACATTATCAGCAAATGTAAAGCATCTTCCCTGCTCAGCCAATGTAACTGACTCAGCAAATAAATGAACCCCAAAAAGTAAGTATACCTTCCCAGAACCAGTAATGGCACTACCACAGATATCCCGCCCACTGAGTGCCAGAGGTATGCAAGCCGCCTAGAGGATAACATTTACAAACAATCAACCAACCGGAACCCTATAGGAACGTAAGAGAGTGAAACAGGAGGTGACAACAAAAAACCTGAATCGGTGTAGGCTTAACATAACCTAACGCCTCACAGGCTCGAAGCAACGGTCTTGACAAGTTGAGCTCTATGAATGAATTTGCATGAAATGAAGTTCCTTCAGAGGATGCAAAAAATGACTTTGGTTCGTCAACATTAGTCGCCTCATCATCATCGTCGTCATGCCTGTATTCTTCCTACAGAAGGAAGAAAAAGGATTATCTTCCAGCATACCATCTATCGTCACAAAGGTTATGCAGAGAAATGAAGGCCAAAGTTTAGGAGCGAAATCCCAACTCTCTAGTCTTGGGCATCTAAAACCAAGTTCTACGGGTGCTGATATTACAATCAGCTCAACAGCTTCAGTGTAGAAGGTTGAATAATTGTTCACGGATTTCTAGTAAATACACCGAAACAGCTCCTAAAACTGAACAATCTTCAACTAGCATAGTTAGGTTGAACATACCTAAGCGTTCACAATCATATGAATTGGATTATTTAATAGAGAAGAGAAGCTTTAATTACTTGTCTGTCGGACTCAGCATCGGAAGCATCAGATGCTTCGTCGTCACTGGCGTTGTTAATGGGAACGGCGAGCTGCTGGCGAGCTCTTGAGATCTTGTCGTCTATGGAAGTGGTTCTCCGACGAGCGTGCTCCTCTGCTACAGATTCCGAGAAGGCTGCGAAATCCCACGGCGACTGTGTCTTGGTTTTGGAAGGCTTAACTCGTTCCTCTTCATCCTCATCCTCCTCCTCGTCTTCATCCTCATCTTCTTCTTCGCCGTCGCCGCCAGTGTCCTCCTCCGCCGCCGCTGCCTCCGCTTTCTCTTCCTCTTGTTCTTGCTCTAGTCTTATTTTCCGCTGTTTATGTGGCGGCTGCTCTGGTTCTTCTTCTTCCTCGTCTTCTTCGTGATAAGAGAGCTCAGGCTCTTCGTCGCTCGGAGGTTCGAAGAAGAAGCTGGGAGCCATTGAATCGGAAGACGGTGGCGCGATGGCTGCGGCTTCTGCTGCTAAATTGAACTCGTGATATTCACCAGCGGAGGGGAAGGGAGGGTTTAGACTTCAGGCGAAGATGGCTGTCTTAGACCGAAAGTTGAAAAGGAGGGGGTTTAACGGGCAACGATATCAACATCGAGCTACGGCGGCGTTTGGTAATCTTCCTCGAGTACTAAATGGGCTTTCAGCCCATCAACGACATAGGGGCAGCCGGGCAGGTATTGTTTTGACCTAATCCCTAAAACAGGTAATTCTCATGCTGGAGCTGGAGTTTCGTAGCGGGATTAGGGTAATGATGTTATGGAAGCTAGGTAAAAGTTCAACATTTTTTGTGGTTTTACTTTACTAATGCGTTTAAATCGAATCGAATCGATGTCATATAATCACGTGATGAACATAATTCTTTCTTGAATATGTTTGAAATTGTCAAGATATGGAGAGTGTTTTTACATTCCAAATATTTAAAAGTTTCCGTGATTTATCTTCTAGTTTTGAAATTGTGTCGTCTAGTGATAGTGTGTCCTCTTTTATTCGTAGGTTGAGTCTAATGTATTGTCACCCTATTAATCATGTTGTTTATATGGAGGCTTGGTGTTTGCTTGCTTGGTCTATTTCTGTGTTAGTTTTTGTTAGGAGTGTGCAATGGTCCGGTCTGTACCGGATCGCACCGGTCCAAACAGTTGTTCAGACCGAACCAGATCAGACCGAGTATAATGCGATTCGGTCCTTTGTCCTCGTGAATTTTATAATTACTAAAGAAATGATGGACTGTGTTCTTTTGATCCTAAAATGTATTTTAGAAATGGATCGCGGTTCGCATGAGTTTTGTCCACTTCGTCCTCCCACTTTTATATTGCTCTTTAGGATAGCAATGGTCCAAAGTTGATCGTTTTACAGGCATATGTCGTGTATTGGGCTTTGGGCCTTGTTCTTTTAATTGAACTAATTACTAAATTAATATTAGCTACCCAAGCCCAGCCCACGAGTAACTGAAAAGGAAGAAGAAGACAAAAGAGTGGGGCATCTCTCTCTCTCTCTCTCTCTCTCTCTCTCTCTCTCCCACCTGGCCACCTCACTCTCTTCCCCAATTTTGCAGAGTGCTCTGCAAGAAGCTTCTCACTCCGTCCTTCCCACTCCACTCTCACCGTCATTGCAATTGCTCTTCCCTGGCCCCTGCCATGTCGCAAACCCTAGCTCGTTTCATCTACACTTCTCGCCGTCTCACCAGGTCCAGCTTATTCCTCCCAAAATGTACCCACTCCTCCGCCGCCTCTGCCATCACTCACCGAACTCCTTCACCTCCAAGTGCTACTCATCATCTCCGCCGCCCTCCACTACCGTACTCGCTCTCCCATGCTGGAGCATCTTTCCGCACCTCTCACACCGCGACTCGGTGGCTCCATTCCTACTCAGCTGGTGCCGAGATGGAGGGAGAAGAGGAGATGACGGCACCGCCTGCCGGAGCTGGCTGCAGCGACAGTAATCGGCATCAGCTCCGTTACTACCTCGTTGTTATGGATAATCACCCTAGCTACCTGCAACTCCCCCAGAACCAACTCTACAGAGACTCTTTTGTGAAGATGGGTTATCTCCTTCACAGGTAGACCTCTTAATGATCTCTCTAATTTGATTTGGCGAATTTATCGTTGATTGTGGTGTTTATGGTCGAATTGTTGTTGTTTGAGTCAGTGCTGCTCGTTTTGGGTTGTAGAGTTCGAGTCAGTAAACTTTTTAGCGTGTGTAGCTGCTTGTTCTAGTTTGTTTTGGAGGGTTAGATGTGGCCGAGATTAGAGGAGTCAGTTGTGAATCCGCATCTCTGCAGTTTTTGCTTCAGCTAAACATTGTTCCATAATAGTGAGGTTTTGCTCTGCTGATCATCTAACAAGTTATACTGAACAGAGTTTACGCGAGATAGTTTGCCTCAGTTTCAGTTTCGATCATTTGACCAATGTGTATCTGTTATCTTATTTCTATACTCTTGCATCAATATATAGTTATTTGCTTGCTTTTTTTCCTTTTTGCTGGTTCGATGACATATAGCATTTCAGGATCCCGGGAGCTAAGAAGAAGAAGAACTACTTAGATTTTTATGTTCGCGGGGATCAGGTTGCATTTGGTTGCAAGATCAACACAGAGACAGCAAACAAGCTTAAAGGTTTTTGCTAAAGTCTGTTTGAGCAATTAGTTTGCTATGTGATTAATTGAACTCTGAAATCAAGCCGTTCGTTACTTTTAAACCAGGAATGCCTGAGGTTGCCAATGTCATTGACTGCAACAGCGAGCCTGCCAGTCACCTAGGTGGCCATTCTGACTTGACGACCGATGTGGGCTTAGAGAATAAACAGCAGCTGCCTTACTGGCTCATTCGCATGGATCAGCCCTGTGGCGAGGAACTCACCGAGCAGCAAAGGGTGGACTTCTCCATGATGAAGTTGGTCCCGATCCTTGACAGGTGCTTAATCTCCGTAATTTTGCATCGATGGATATAGTTAGTTAGTTTGCTTGCTTGCTTGTTTACTGGTTTACTTTGTCGGTACGATCAGCCTCCTGAACAAGTACAGCTTAGACATTTTAATCACCGAAGATGAGGTCGCCTTTGGATGCGAGATCGGTGAGGAGACTGCGAAAAAGCTGAAAGGTTTTGTCTAGTGATTTAGTACTGGATTAATATTTACTGGAAGTTGTTAAGCTGCTGCCACATAATTAAGCTGTGAACTCAATTCTTTTCTTCCTTTTGAACCAGGACTGCCTGGTGTTGTCGATGTCAGTCAATCACCCCGGACCCATTCTGCTGCCTGCTACTTTGAATTTGTAGAGAAGGGTGCGGGGCTTTATGAAATGTCTGACAACTCTTCTTCCGATGAAGAGATGGCGGACTTCGAGCCTTTGCCTCAATTCCCTTCCTCATTCTCCGATTTTATCGGTGATCAGCATAAGAAATTGCATCACTGGATCATTTTGAAGGAAAAGCCCCGTGACAGGGTGCTCACCACGGAGAGGGAAATCGTGGAATACTCCCTTCAGACGTTGTCCCCTGTTTTATTCGATGGGTAGACTTCACATTAATCCCTCCTGTGTCATTTATTCGCGTCAGTATAGTTAGTTACATTTGACATCGTTTGGTTGTGCTTGTGCATGCATGTGTTGTTTGTTTACTACTTGTTTCTTAATCTGTCGGGTAGAGTAAGAAGGGAGAAGGGAGCGGCGCCAAAGGGAAAACTGGAGTTGGCCTTCTATCCTTGCGACGATTGCTTTGTTTTCGGATTGGACATGGAAGACGAGAGTGCAAGCAAGCTGAAAGGTTTGTTTAACTGTTTAGTGAATAGGGTCTGCAGTTTCTTAAGCTGCTGCACTTCTGAATTAATTAGTTTGCCATTTTGCTTGACCTGTTCGATCCTTTTTTATTTCTTTTCTATACCAGGAATGCCTGGTGTACTCAGTGTCGTCCGGTAAGCTCTATATTTGATTTATGTTCCTAATATTTTGTGTTGTTATCATGCAATATTTTAACATCAATTGCGTTATTTACAGTACATTATATCACGACGATTTCAGTTCCATTAATGCGTCTTCGTTTTCTTGAATATCATCAATTGCAGTGAAGGTGGTGATCATTATGAGAAACTGCAGCTCTCGCTTGTGAAAGCAATACCCTATTTCGGTCATTTTAAGACGAAGTTTTATGTGAAGTCTGAACAGAATGAAGGTCTGTTCACTTTGGATAGGTATGTAGTACTGACTACTGGTGGCAAAGGGGGAGGGGAAACGTTCCGACGAAGTTGCTCAATACCGATCTCTTTAGAGTACAAGATGAAGGTGTAGGTAGGGTTTATGTAAAGTTGGGAACGCAGGGTAAGTGAAAAGAAGCATAGGGATGATTGGGGGGAAGTTTTTTTTGTGGCTAAGGCAGGATGTTTTTGGGTCTGTACAGAGGAATGCTGCCTTAGGTTTTCTGATGAGGAGTCTATTCTGGTCAGTGTAATTCGTGGTATGTAATGTTAACGATCAACTTTCGGAACAGCAGTCAAGGTTGTGCATTTGTCAATTTTTAGTCAATGTTGTGGGTTTACCATTTGAACCGTTCCTCAATTCAACACTTGTTGTTTGTTCGAATTTTTTCTGATGTTTTTAGAAATAATATGTTTGATAAGACTGTAGATAGTGAGATTTTTCAAAATATGTTTGAGAAGATATTCAGAGACGTGAAGATGTATAAACAAGAATATCTTTATTACATTCGGACAAAGTATTCAAGTAAGAATACACGTTATTATGCGATGGACTCATTACAATAAAGAAAGAAACAATCAAATTTATGATTGATAAGGTACAATATTGGCTCACTTTGTTGGTGTTCCTTTCACCTCAATTTGGAGGAACCTAAATTTCTTATATTCTAATACCTTCATCCAATTTATGGTTTTTTTAAAGATATTCCCAACAGGGAACAACTAGATACAAATTGGAAGTCTTTTTAGGAAACCATAATAATACATATAAGAGAAAGGGGCGATGGTCGACAATTAGTCGAACCATCGATAAGAGAGTCTTTATGGTCACGCAACAGAAAACTCTTTATACCTATACGACATAGGCAATATCCGTGACTTCTACCCTATAAAGGTGAAAATCATAGAACTAACCATGCTGAAACTGAAGTAGAGAAGCAAATCCTTGCAGTTCTAGTAGGAAGAGGCACCTGCAAAATAAACAAAGCGGCAACATGAAGCGTCAAACAACATCCCAAGTAGACCTGGCCAAGTTGAAATAGCAGTTAGAAGAAATACAATCCTTGTTAGCCGGCGCTGAATTGCCACCTACAAAACTAGTTTTTTACCCGCCCGTTGGGCGGTGCATTTTGTTTGCTCAATTTATTTTGATTGATGTATGTTGCACTATTATACACGAAATTGTTAATCTCACTTAGCTATTTTCATATATTGTTACAAACTTATTTTATCTTTTTTTATTTATGAATATTTTAATTTTCTTAAATTATCTCTATGTAGATCTTTTTTATTGATTTTAGAATTTTGTATCACGTCAGCCATTTAAGATATATATATAAGAGATTATTAATTTTTTAGCCCAGAAAAGTGATAAAGAAATTAAAGATCTAAAGGCCACAAATGAAGAAGTTAAAATAAGCAAATAGCTTTCAATTAAAAATAAAAATTAAGTGAATAGTTTTTCCTTTTCTCTCCTTTCTCGTCTTTCGATATAAGATAATATAAAATACCATTATCCAGATCTCATGAAAATCGTGCAATATCAGTTGCCCATGCAATTTTGAAAGAATGATGAATCACATTGTCATCCGCATCAACAATCTTCCGCTTTTCCATGTAATCTACCTTGAAAATGTTTTAGCGAAATCAATCACGGTACCACTATTAGTATAAAGGTATGGCAAACTTTAATACAACTCAATTGATTCAATCTTGTACTGTCTCCATTCATGAGTCGGGTCTGATGCATGAATACAAACAACAATTGGTAAGAAAAACAATTATGCCAAAATCAAAACTTGAATTAACGATTCAATTCAGCAAAAAACAACACTACCATAACTAAATAAAAATGTCAAAACTAATAGTCCGTCCAAATAACAATTGTCTGATGCATCAATACTAACAAAAATTGGGAAGAAAAGAAATTGCACTGTCTCACTTCAGGAACATAACGGCCGGACCTTCTGTTGCTGCTGAATCAGCTGTGATGGCGTCGTTTGAGGGTCCATCAGAATATGCAGTCGTTCGGTCTCATGCAGTCGTTAGGTCAATAAGTTGGCTCTCATACAGCCGTTGTAGGTATAGCTCCAAGGTCTTCTGCTTCAGCTGCTGTTGGTGAAAAGGTCGAGGAGGGAGGCGGTCGGATTGACGTGGCAGAGTGCGGTGTGAGATTGCCGAATGTTAAAGGAATCCAGACGGTTTTTTTTTTACAAATATTATCAACTTTTATTCCACCATAAGAAAGATACACGCTAAAAAGCTATTATAATTTTAGAGGAGATCAGAAATTAGATCAAGAATATTAATCCAGTCATCTGTAAAATAGATTTAGCTTTTGATCGTGCAACCCAATCTGCTCTGACGTTGAAAGCCCTTAGAACCTCTTTCACCGAAATTGCTGGGTTAGTCCTAAGGATATTGATCATTGTTCTAATCCAGGCTGCACATCTCCAGGGCCATCGAGACTGATTATGATTCAGGGCCTTCACCAGCAATTGACAGTCAGATTGTACTGTACACACCGATCCATATTCTTGTGCTAATTTAATTCCTTCCAAAAGAGCCTTTGCTTCCGCTTCAATCGGAGTGAATCAAAGAAGATTTTCAGCTCTCCCATCACACACTTGTCCATGGTGGTTAACGACAACAATACCATATGCCACCGATTGGGGGTCGCTAAAGAATGACCCATCATAGTAAATCACTATCGAGTGATTACTTGACGGTGGATTCGTAGTAGGATGGGATCCCTGAGCTAAGTGGGACCATCTGAACCTTGAGGTGGGGGCCTCGGGCAAGCAATCCATTCCGTAAACTCTCTATAAGTTTGCAGACACACGTTTGGGAATCCAGACGGTGAGCGTTAGTGATCGGATGTCGTTTGAATATATTCATTTAGTTTGGGTAAAGGAATGACCACTTTCTGATGGGCCATTAAGGGAGACGAAGGGTCCAAAAGCTAGGGAATTGTAGAAGCGAAAAGATAATGGTAAAATTTACTTTTACCGCAAATAATGGGAGAGGCTGAGAGGCAGCCATGTGCTGATATGGCATAATATTGGTTTTGAATTCCTATAATATTAAGTAAGGATAGCAAACAAACTTGCCCCTAATGATGAATTTTACTATGCTTTAAAGTATTGGTGTTTTAGTTATTTCCTTTGTGTTATAACTTGAAATTGTACCTTTAACGTTATGGTACAACTTCAGGTTATACCTATACTTTTTTGTAAAATTCTTTTATGGTTCAAAATAAAGTTGTACTTTTATGTTATGGTACAAATGATGCAATTTGAAGTTGTACCATAACATAAAGATCGAATTCCCTTATGGTACAACTTCAATCTGTACTTTAAACGAAACGGTACAACTTTCAGTTATACTTTAAAGCACCAATACTTTAATGTATAGTATAAGTACTCGCCCCTAATAGGGCAAATCAAGCAACCAAATAGCTCAACATAGCAAAGCCACAAATCAGAATCAACTAGTAAAACTTAAACAAGTAAAATGACATTAGTATACGATAAAATTGGCCAACGAACAAGGACAATGATAAGCCTAAACCTCGAGGCTTGCTGATCAGAGTACACAAAACCACAAACCCTCAAACTTGTTGGATGAAAAACAGAATTGAAAAGGGGAAAACAGAGTAAAAGAATGGAGTTGAAAGGTGCAACTTCAACGCCAATTTCGGAGAAGAGGCTCGATCCAAATAAAGTTGCAACTCAACCACGGTTAATAGATTCTCCACTAGGTTCCAGTGGTTATAATCCTCATTAAACTGGGATACACTTTCACGCCTCTCTTTTCAAATCTGACCTCTCTGTTTAGGCTATAGTTACAGCCTGCAATAGTGATTTGATACCACAATGAAAGAGCAAAATCGTTGAGCAAACTGACAATTTGTTTTATAAAGTTGATATATGTTTTTTTTAATGTACTATTTAAGGGATTCGAATCCGGCACCTTCAGGTTCAAGGCTAGTGTAATTATTACTAGACCAAGCTCTTATTCGTGCAATTTTAAGTACATGATTCTTTTCACTAATCTCGGCACTTAAGCTCCACGTCTTTGTGCATCATATCATGGAACAGGGCCGTCGCCATGCGTTGGTATGTATGGCTAAGTTCCGTTCATAGCCTTGGACAACCACTGACGATCTGTCCTCACTAACACCCTCGAACCCACTAACTTACAAAGTAGCTCAACTAACAACTAACATTGAGCTAATCTCCACCTTCATCAAACTCTCAATATCTACCCACGAACAAGCTTAGTCTCACATACGAGGACCGAAGAATTGCTATTGATATATGAAATCCATTTCTAGAATTCGGACAGATTTTTCATCAACAACTAAGAAAGAAAAGGTGGAGGGGACAATCTTTGTTTGGACTGACCCAACTAGTCTTGAACCTCGAGGTTAAAAAAGGAGCCACCCGAGAAGGACAGGTCGCAACGCAGGAAAAGAATATGGATGTTTTAGTTTAAATTTTTAAATCTTTATAATTATATGACAGCTGGCGGGACGGGACTGGCCCGATGCATCACATCACCAATCCTTGCTGGTGCACCCGGGCCACTGTAAGTTTATCGGATCTCGGATATAGGAGGGATCACAAATTCTCATTCTATTTTGGAGGAGAATAAAATACAAGAATAACCATGATTGCCAGAGCCCAGATGAATCAAACTCTTAGCTGGGTACAAGAAAAGAAGGGCAAAAAAACTGCTGCAATTCTTCCCTTTACTTTTTCTCTGGCACATGAGATTGTTTCACCTCTCTTAAATTTGGCCTTTCATAGAAGAGAATCTATCTGCCCTGGACGTACTTTCTGTCAGAATTTCATTCTCTTAGCCGGACCTTGATCAATAATGGGATCAATGGAAGGAGGGGGTTGAGCATCTCCTCCTTGTTGTTGTCCTTCAGCTGCTTTCTCTGCTTCACCACTCGCAGGGGGCACGTAGCCTTCTGGGAATGGTGGCGGTGGAGGAGCAGGTGGTAACTGCAAGAAATGAGAGAGCAGAGTTTGCCAACTTGAAATTTGTCGTAACGAATAAAGATGATGACGGAGACATTTGTTCTCCGTGTATAGTACCAAAAAGGAATACCTCATGAGCCTAAAATTGGAAGTATGGTAAGAATGAGTACAATTCATCTCGATGTGATCGACCATTTATGTTTTTAACGATTTGAGAGATGGATGAACCTGCCAAGTAAGTTTACCTTGCGCTGTAATGAAGCAAGAAGATGATCTATTCTCTTGACTTCCTTGAAGTCGATTTTCTCTTTGCTGGTCTTTGAGTCAGAAGGTGCCTCCTCGCCCTCAGTTTCAACTGCGTCACAACGTGAGAGGTTGCTATCAGTAGCAAGTAGGTGAAATATCAGGAAGTAGGGATAGTGCATTCATGGGGATCCAAGCAGAAAAGGTTTGGTACAAGTTCCATGATCTACACTTAACAAGGAAAGCAAACACTCCAACACGCTAATGAAAATGAAACTAAGTTGTCCAGAACAGGGAAGCAATAAGGATTAAACAACCATACACTTGAAGAATTCGTTACAAGTGCTATCCAAAGCTTGGCTCGGAGCATTAGAAACTGTACACAGCCATTACCTACCAATCTCATTGCATATGCAGAGTGAAACATAGGTAGCAGTCAATAAACTATCCAACCAAGCATGATGTTATTCTTGCCTACAACGACATAACATTGAGCTAAACAGATGATCCTATTAGATAGAAGCATTCGGCATTCACCAATTCACGAGACCTATCTGCACCACCACCTGATAATGATTCTCTCTTTCCATTCAAATTATAAATCATCAAAGCCACGCTCCTCTGAATGCAAAAGCACAACATGATAACCATTTTGATGAGAAGAAAGACAATTACCATAGCCAATCTTCTCCAACTTCGAAGCTGCAGTAGTAAAAGCTTTGGATATGTAATGCAAAGCCCGCCCCTGCAACCATTAGCAGCCAGCCAAATCCACACTATATCACAACTTTTGTCCTCAGACAAACAAACATTCGAATCACAACGAAGATCGAATGAAACCAAGTCGATACAGAAGCCAATGCACTGCGAATGGACTCATGAACTGGGTCAGAGAAGGGGGCTTACAACTCGAGCAGCAAAGACATTGCTGACGTGCGGAGCCTGGTAAATGGAGCCATCCAAGACGTAATAGGTGAGCAATGGAGTGACTTTCTCAGGGCTCTCCCTCAACTGCTTCCTCATCACAAACATGTGGGGCTCCATCACTTCGCTCAACATGTACTCATACCCTTTCATCGTCCTGCAACACAAAACCAGCAACAACAAAAAACTCAACAGCTTCGAAACGGGAGATTGGAATTCAGGGGAAAGGGGATAGAAGTTGAAAAGTGTTTTTTTTAGGCATTTACGAGAGCTGGGAGATGTCGAGAGGGTGAATTGCGCGCCTCCGGAGCTCCTCGTTGTTGCATCGCAGGTCATAAAACGGGGAGAGAGCGAAGTAATCGAAGATTAGGTTACGATCGAGAGGGTATGTGTTGAGCCATAGCTGGTCTCTGAAACACATCCCCGTCATGTCAGTACCCGGTGGCTGTGGCGGCGGAGGAGGATTTGCTTCGAAGTTGACTCCCCCAAGCGGTGGCGGCGTCGCCATTTTCTCCGATTTGTCTTAGACCCTGAATTCTCGATTTAGATGGTCTTGCGCTTAACGATTTTCGAAATCTTAAGAGCTGACGAGTTCAGACCATGCTCAGAAACCCTCTCGGAGTTTCGATTACGAAGAAGAACTCGAACTGGAGAAAGAAAGGAAGAGAAAAGAAGAAGAGGGCCGAGACGCCGACTTGTGGGGGCAATCGTGAAGCAAGAAAGGAGACCGTAGAATTCACCGGCAGCGGCAGCCGGAGGCGCTGGAGGAGTTGTGCTTTCAAATCCACGATATGATCCGAGTCCACGACTTACTTTTAATCCGGCCCAAAAACAACCTTGACCCAAACAGAATACCGGCCCACAAAATTGAGGGAAAATAAAAAAAAAAAATTAAATCGTCGCCTGAGAGATTCGAACTCTCGCGGGGAAACCCCATGTACTTAGCAGGCACACGCCTTAACCACTCGGCCAAAGCGACAGTTGATGTTAACGTAAAGAAATAAAACATAACTATAGTATAAAACATAATTTCATTGTTAATATTAAAAAAAAGAATCTTTTACTTAAGTAGAGTTCATCCAAACCATTTTTGAATATGGGAGACTCAAGGATTCGTTAACTAGTTTTCTAGATCTAAACTAAACAAATTACACTATTTTCAAGTTCTACTAAATTGCATAATCAGATTTGGTCACTTGATTTAGACGAAGTCATATTTAATGTTTGAAATTAAATGAATTTTATCTCCCAATTTTTTTTAATATACGTGTACCTCCTATGTTTTACCTTGTGTTTTAAATTGTGAATGTAAGGGTTTCTCTTTATGCTAATTACCGATAAGACCTTTAATGAGTTGGATTTTAATTTTGGTGAGACATAGTAGTTCAGTTTTTAAATGGTTTCAAATTGGTTAACCACACCTAATCTAATCGACACCCCTACTCTCAGCCAACGAGTCGTGCATTATTCTAGTGAGAATGGAAGCCATTGCACTAGAGCTCTATTGTTCCATAATTCAAAGGGTGTTAGGACTTTGGAGGAGCTTGTGGGCTTGTTTGTGGCTCAAATTTAGTATATATAATATAAGTTTCTGATTTGTCCCAAATATTTGGGGGTTAATTAGAATTTATTGAGTTTGTGCTAGCTAAAAACTAAAAAGTGACTTCAATAAGCTCGACTGAATGAGTGTAGGGAACCACAACTTTCATATGCTTTGAGACTTGCATGTGTCACAAGATGAGTATTTAATATACTCATATGGTATCAGTTGGTTTGAGTTTCCTTTTGATCTCAAGTCTTTGCAAATAAAGAAACTGATTCAACGAGAAAAAAATATACTCATGTGATATTTTATTATTGTGTAATTTGGAGATAATATCCAGTTAACTAAAAATAGCAATAACAAAAATAAAGTTAAGAGTACTCCTCTTCTATTCTCCATCTTCATGGGCAAGCTTTCCCAATTCCAGGATTGTTGGACCAACTGCATTTACAACAACAACAAAAAAAGAAGGGAAAATTAACAAAAAAAAAATGAAGAAATGTATTAGTCAAGCATTTTAAAAGTAATTTAACTTTAATTAAAATATTTTGTACACTTTATTTCATATCAGAAATTTTCTGTTCTTTATTCATTGAATGATTTGAATAATCCGGAATTCTGTTTTTTTTTTATGCATGTTCCTTCTCTAAAATTAATATTTGTCTACATGATCATAATTAGTTTACATAAAGCAATTAAAAAGATAAGAATAACTCACTCGAGCGTTGGAACGCATAAAAGTTCAATAGGAAGGAATCCACATAAGTTATTGTTCGAAATGTTCCTGCCAAATAGTAAAAGGAAAAGGATCGTTAATACTAAACCACACACATATATAAATCATCACATACATTAAGAGTCTACCTCCGTTTTAATACAATTATACGAATATGGATCAAAATAAAAAAAACGCTTGACCCTCAATTTAATAAAAAGAAATTTTTTGGTCCAATTGTCTCTGATCCCGTATCTAAATGGATCAACACGATTGAGTCAAATGATCAGATCTACACATTCCATTTATAATCATTAAAATATGGTCCAAAAAACACTCACAAAAATTTAAGATTTGGAATGTTGCCAAGCTCGTGCGGAACCTGCCCAGTTAATCGATTATCCTCGAGCCCTCTGGACCGAAAAACAAACACACAAAAATCGTCATTTTATATTTGGAACAATTTAGAGAACTTTCATTATATCAAATTTGGGTCAATGTCGATTCCTTGCCACATAATGCATTAACAAGAAAAAGAATGGACTTACAAAAATGTTAGTGACTGTAAGTTCTGCTCCAAAGATGGAGGGATTGTGCCTGAAATTGAATTGGCCCTCAAATCCAGGGCCATAAGATTCGTCAGGTTACCAATATCTGCTGGGATAGTCCCTTCAATCTTGTTCTCGTATAAACTCCTACAAGTCAATTTTTCCAAACCGTCGAATTTATATATTAAATCAACCCTAAGTAATATATAATCAAATTAAATCAACAAAGACAGCGTTCTATACAGATATTGCAGTTGGTCCAATGCGGCTAGACCGGTTGGTAATTGCCCTGATAAACCCTCAAACCCTAAGTCCCTGCAAAATGAATCCATATATGAAATTATGTCGCATCAAAGTAGGGTTCGCATCAATTCAAAATCGCAATGCAATTAAATCGGGGGAAAATTCAGTAACAACTTTTTTATAAAAGGTTGTATTTTTCTCACTAAAATTGCTACAAAACGGTGAAAGTTGAGGATGCTTACAGTCGAACGACGCGATTGTCCGAGTTGCAAGTAATGTGAAACCAAGTGCATGGAGTTACGAGAGTTGGATCCCAACTGGCAAGAACATTATTTGGGTCAGCAAGGCTGTTTCTGAGACTGGTCAAAGCCTCTTCTTCCGCGTTGCTCTTTACTTCCCCAGCTTGCAATATTAAGGCTATGAAAACGAAGACGAACGGGACGAGTACTGCCTCCATGGCTTTTTTTCTTCTTCTTCTTCGTGGAGTTTTGCCCTTAACCAGAAAGAGGAATGGGATATTCTGTGAAGCAAGCAACTATGGAGGTAGTAGAGGTTCTTTTATATATATATATATGGTATTTGACGTATTTTGTTGGTGAAGTTTATATGGTGTCTTGTAATTTATTGGGTATCTTTTTCTTCTCTTTTTGGTCGGAGTGGGTATCTTCCTCTTTTATGTTAATTACTATTACTATATTCAATGTTTTCATTAAGTATTATCATTATCATTATTTTGTCATCTGATCTTGCCGTATTTGAATGAGAAATTGAGATTTTTTAAAGGTATGTTTGCTTCTCTTTGTTCAAAATTTGAAAAGTTCTACAAAAAAAAAACAAATTTGAAAAGTTGACATTTGAAGAAGAGGAGAACATAGACTGATAGACAGAACCGGTAAATAATTGGTTTAAATTCATGAACAACCCAAAAAGGGAATGGTTTAGAAGACACGAGTAGATTTGCATATCATGTGATTTTCGATTATAATTATATTGGTTGGATTATGACAAGGAAGCAATGATGCTTTTGTGCACCGAGTGCACCTAACTTATGTGGTTTGGTTTTCTAAGTTTGAGGGTTGATTTTGTAAGTTAAGTATGATCCACCATCTACTTATGAAAGTTATGTGTCCTCTTGAACAGGGGCGGACCCATCTGCTAGCAAGGTGTGTCACCCAGCACACCATCGTTGGAATTTTTATGAGAGACCCACGATTTTTGGGATGGGATAGCGTCACTTCTCTTGTGGGGATGTGAGTTTCACATCCAAAGACAATTTGGGTATGACAAAAAAAAAACTGAATTTATTAATTTTTTTTCTATTAATTACAAAATGGGAATTAAAAACCCATTAAATACATGTTTCTTAATTCAAATCCTAAAATTTAATACATTTATATCTCTCTCAATCTCTCTCTTCATTTTTCAATAGCCTCTTCACTCCGATTGCCAAACTTGCTCCGACCGGCACACTTTTTCTCGGTGAAATCCTCCAATCAGACTCGCCCCGGCGATCTGCAAAAAAATCACTATGTCAGTGCGCTAGTGGTACTGATTCCCGTCTAGTGGTACGATATCAGTGGTATTGGTACGCTACCACTACCATTAGTAGCGGTACCAGTGGTAGCATGGTACCGCTACCAGTGAGTAGTGGGTATCTACCACTACCACTGGTAGCGTACCTCTACCACTGGTACCGTACCACTAGACAAAAGTTAGTAACACTAGAGATTAACATAAAAAATCAGATATGGAAAAAAGTTTAAGGGATGATGAAAGGAGAAGGCAGGGGAGAGATCATTACATATGCGGCGACGGCGGCAGTGGATGAGGGTGGTGTAAGGAAGTGGTTAAGTACCATACATAGGCCTGTATAATATCCAGTATAACCTTCTCCCAACAACTCGAGTTATTGGGATCAACTGGTTCTTGACATGGTATCAGAGCTTGTTTGTCCTTGAGGTCACGTGTTCAAGTCCTCACGACCCTCAATATTAACCGTTGTCTTTCAAGCACATGGTATGGCGGGCCTGTGCAAACTTCAAGCCCATGAGTCGGCTTTCGTTTGAGGGAGCATGTAAGGAAGTGGTTAAGTACCATACATGAGCCTGTATAAGATCCAGTATAACCTTCTCCCAACAACTCGAGTTATTGGGATCAACTGGTTCTTGACAGGTGGCGACTGTAAAATGATGGGAGAGAGGAGGAGAGATGTGACGGCGAGAGGAGAGATGACGAGAGAGGTTGTTACCTCTGCGGCAACGACGACAGAGGATGGTGGGAGGCGAAGACCACGACGGCTGCGGCGTGATGACGTAAGATGTGTATGGGTAAGCTGTCGAAAAGTCGTCTACTATAAATTGGGGGAATGTAACCACACTTATGGAGGTTGGATTCTCTTAGCAAACCCTACCCACTACATTTCTCTCTCTAAAAAGAACACTCGTGAGTCGTGACTTGATCATTGATGGTCTAACAAACTGAGCAAACCTTCATTGATTTGTGCAGGCACAAGGTGGTCGCAACTTAGAAGGGATGCATAGAGCAGTTATGATCGAGTACCCGTAGTCGGGATTTAACAATTAACTCGTTATAAATTACTCCTTAAGATCTCATGTATGATGCTTAATTAATTATTGTTATTATTATTATTATTATTATTTTGTTTTTGCTTATGGGTGTTCATTATGAGACGAGTAGGGATGACAATCAAACTCATGGTCGCGGATATTCGAACGCCAGTCAACGCGGGATATCTTCGCATTGATTAGGTAAGGGAGGATATGGGTAAAACCCGCAAAAACTTTGATGGGTATGAGGCGGGTATAGTTTTAGCCTCTCTCCACTCCCCACACCCATACCCATATCCGCCCCACCAAGAGCATTTCTTCATATATATATAAAAAAATATGTGGATCAAATTTGTATAATTAATAGTGAGGATAACTAAGAGAAGATAAATAGTAGAAATTCAATTGAGTGGCCACCCTAATCAAAACCTAATTTCTTTCACTCAATTATCTCTTCACTCTTTCACTTTTCCCCCTTCTTAACAAGTTTATGTTGTCCCTCAAAAAAAAAAGTTTATGTTGGTTAATTATCATTTAGTAGATCTATTAGAGTTAGAGAATAATAATTTGAAAAATATTGTACTCTATCAGTCTATCTTATGGATTAATGGATGTTTTAACATCATATTCTTTGAATCGTATTAAGAATGACCGTGTGTTCGTTGACTTCATGATATAGTAGGTCCGTTTAGTGTTATAATTAAAAAATTTCATGTAAAGTTTTAGGTATAATAACGTTGGATGTACGGGATGAGTATTACTCACGGAAACCCAAAAACTATGGGTATGGAAATCAAAATATTCCTCCGTGTGGGAATGAGGCATATGTGGATTTAGATATTTGAAAACAAAAATGAGAATGGTTTACATAAACCCGCCCGAGACCCGCCCATAACCATCGTGCAACCAGAAACCCAAGTCATCAAAATACACGCGAATCCAGTAAGTTATTATATGTTTTAGTTATTCCACTGTCTTAACAGGTCCATTGCGGAAACACCAGTCAAACTGAGATAACAAAAGATAATGGAAAGATTTTCCTTCATTTATGTATCCATCTTCACTGGCAAGGTTTCCCAATTCCAGGATTGTTAGACCAACTGCATTTACAACACAGCAAAGGAAAAACAAAAATAGTCAATATATATAAACAAAAAATTTAATTACTCAACCATATCAATAATAATGATAATAATGAAAAGCCAATCATATTAATAATTGTAAAATAAGAGGAATAATAAGAATTATAAAGTTTTGTAATACGAGAAACAAAAACTAAGAAGTGATTAAGAACTCACTCAGCGCCTGGAATGCGTGCAATCTCTGGAGGAACATCTCCACATAATTTATTGTACGAAATGTTCCTGCCAAATCAAAAATCATTTATCTTCAAGAATTGAAATGATGATTAATTCTGGTTATAATTAATTATTTAGAAAATACTCACAAAACTCTAATGGTTGGGATCAAGCCCAGGTCTCTTGGAATATATCCGTCTAATTGATTATGCTCCAGATGTCTAGAAACCAAAAAAAAAAATTGAAAATCAAATTAGTCCGGGCCAGATTCTTTTTTTACGTAACATATAAATAATCGACAATGTGTTGATTGTGAGTCGAGTATGCTAGACAAACTATTACCGTTGATCGGTTCGATTTTGACAACTCTATACCAAAGGGTGAAATAAGAAAATGAATATTATATATTTTGACAGACTTACATAAATTCGATTTTTGGTAATTTGCTCAAAGATGCTGGAATTATGCTCTCGAGTGAATTCGAGCTCAAATCCAAGGATTTAAGGCTCTGGAAGCCGTGGCCATAGACTGTTGGAATCATTCCCCCAATCTTGTTGTCGTAAAGATTCCTATACCAGCCACCAAAATTAAATATATAATAATATAAAAAAGAACTTTTTTTTTGTATCATATTTATAAAAAACGACATCAAACAAAAGCAACAAAGAATCGTATCATTAAGCCTTTTTCTCGAAAAGAAAAATTTAGCTAAATTTTTATACGTACAAATATTGCAGTTGGTCCAATCCGGCTAGACCCGGCGGTAATTGTCCGGACAAACCGCAGCCGGGCACGTCCCTGCAAAAAGGAATCCATGCACAAAGACATTGTTAATATGTTATGTACTCATCAGAATACGGAGGGAGAGAATGGATATAAATGTAGGTACGAAAAGCACGTACACTCGAACAACGCGATTATCTGAGTTGCAAGTGATGCGAAGCCAAGTGCAAGGATCGACGAAGCTCGGGTCCCAATCATTCATACATCCATTTGGATCAGTCATGGCGTTTTTGAGAGTCATCAGAGCATCTATGTCTGTGTTGCTCTTCACTTCCACGACACTTAGTAACAATACAGAAAGAAAGACCAAAATTAGCCTCCATAGCCAAGCTTTGATGAGTGGTGCCTCCATGGCTTGATTTCTTTGGAGCTCTTTGTTTCCTTGATTTCTCTCAACAGGAAAAAAGGAGGACTTTTGGTTGATGGTTGGTGGTGATGGTGGGTCTTTTGGTTAGATGTATGTATGGTACTTATACATGTTTTAGTGGTGAGTTTATGGTATCATATTAATTAATTGAATAATTTATGCATGGTTTAACCTAGCTTTTTGGAAACCGTTATGGTGTCATGGATTATTATTGGATTGCCATATTTGATTGAGATTTTTATAGGGTATGTTTTTTTGTTCAGATGCTATTTAAGAAGTTGGCATTTAAAGAAAAGGAGGATAGTAACCTTTTGGTAAGTTAGAATCACCTTTTCCCTTTTTTTCTAATGGCTAAACTAAAAGGTTATATGTCATTTAAAATCACGAGAACGAAAAATCCATTACACTAATAAAAAGAGATGATATATTTGCACTTGTTAGTTAGCAAATCTTTAATATTCGTTCCCGATATGGGCGTGGCTTGAAAGAAACCGCCGAATCTTTAAGCAAGCTAGCCTCCCCCTGATGTCATTTCCAAGGTTGTCAACTCGCACGCTGACCCGGACCCGGTCGAGCTAGTGGGTCAAGGTTTAATGGGTCACCCATTTTAGCACGGAAGTATAGAAATGGTCAGTATATTGTACTTATCCTGATAACTTATATCAAATATCATCTAACATATGAGTTATAACATATAATATTACACCAAAATAACATGTCGTACTTAGATCCAACGTATAGTGAAATGACATGTCGTACTTAGAGTTATTATATTATACTTTAATGTTATTCTCACCATAGTCAAAAAATTATTATTACTACACATTATTCCTGGAAACTCTTTCCCCTCTTCTCTTTAATCTACACAAATGTCTCCCATCTACATAAACCACAACATCAACCTGCAACTCTATATATATACACTTCTGCAGTAGTTCAGTATACCTTGAACTGACTTCTGAACCTAACGAAACACCAAGTCTTCATCAATGTCTTATATCTTCTCCATCCATCAAAGTACTTCCCAATCACCTTCCTGTAACTCGGTCTCTGCTTCACCAATTCCCAGTACTCAGCCACGTTTGGCCTCGTTCCAATGTACTCATCTCCCAAATTCAACAGCACCAACCGAGCAAGTACAGGGATCAGCATCACGTCAGCCAACGAGAACTCCTCCCCAGCTAAGTAAGCTGTTTCCCCTAGCTTGGACTCCACTTCATCCAGAAGTCTAATTAGTTGCTCTCTGCTGCGCTTTACAACATCAGGGGTTTTCAGCTTCTCTTCTGTCTCGTATGTCTCTTTCAGCTTCCTGTGGTATGCACTGGCTAGATCAGGAGATTCGGCCATCCGAGCTATCAGAACCCGCCTTGTGAATTTGGAGACTGGAAGGCGGTACTTCTCTGGGATGCAGGAAAGCGTGAAGAACTTGGGGTTCCACTGTTGTATCTTCTTCATCCAATTAATGACTTCCATGTTGCTGAATGCCATGTCATTGGCACCTGTTGAGACAAATGCGATTCTTTCAATGTACCTGCAAAATTGCTCTTGGTATTTAACAACTTAAACCATATGGTCGATCATTTCAGAAAAAAACATTTGAGGAAAGTAGTAGATGACGTACTGGACTATCTCGATGGTGTCGAAGATGATATGGGTTCCATTCTGGAAGACAGGGAGTCTTGCACTTGGATTCATCCTGAAGAACGATGCGTCTAGATTCTTGGCAGTTATGGGGTTAACATGGTTTGAAGTGTAGTCGATGCCCTTCTCTTCCAAAGCTAGCCGAACTTTCTGGCTATCCACGGAGAAAGCATGGTGGTATAGCTGCATCCTAGCTCAGAAGAAGGTTCACTCTTGAACAAGCATGCAATACCAGCGAATTCACGTTACCTGAGCTGTCAAAGACCACAAATGAGAACCATTCTGGCACCGTAAGCATTTAAGGAAACCAAAACCAGGTTGCGAAAAAAGTAACGTATAGAACAGCCACAGAAGAGTCTTGAAATGAGAATGACTTCCAGTTGGAGATGACCTGTAGTGTGCAAGAATCGGCTGTGCTAAAGGGCATATTCTCAGAGCACTAAACAAATTTTTAAGAGATGAGACTTGCTGTTCTACCTACACCTCCCTGTCACACCAACTATTGCTAATTGAAATATTCCTTCAGAGATGAAGCAAAAGAGTTTCTGTCGTGGGTTATAGAATAACTTCTAGACGCCTGAACCTAACTCTATATTCAGACTTGGGCATCCTCTACCTAACTTCGCCTCTACCCAGTTACCAGAGAAATCCATGACAACAATATTCCAGTCCATAAGGCCATTAGCGTGAAAATTAAAACCCAATTTTGGATTATCTCAGTTCATGCATCTACCAGTAACCTCAGTCCAGAGTTTCCAAGGATCCATTACCGAGCCATCCTCAGCTATGTAGATTCTTCGGTACACATATCCTTCCTTGTGAAAAAAGCTACAGTTCTTCCAGAAGGGCAGAACCCCCAAATTCACAAGCAATCAGACCACACAAGAAAATCTCTTCTGATAGTAACATGCCAAGGAGGACTGCAGTTTTTTTATTGTTCATCATCGAATAAATTAGAACAGTTGGAGTTCTTTCCTAATACTAAATTTCAACTTGGTGCCAGAATCCACATGCGTAATCCCGACGCAGATTGAATCCCCTTCAACGGCAGAGAACAAAATCCCTCTCACGGACAAACAACAGAACAGAAATAACCGCCCCCAACTCTATCAAAGATCAAAGCTTTTCTACAAATGGAAGCTCAAAACAATCGGACCCAGTTAAAGAAAACTTGACAGCAGTCAATCAAAAGCGATTGCATAATTGGAACAAGCAAGCAAGCAGGGCAAACCCAAGTGGAAAGAGACGACGATGATACTTACCCAGAAAGCCGTCGTGACAGAAAGGCTGGAAAGTTGAGCAATTTTTCCCTTTGGACGAGCAAAAAGCTGAGAAGGTGGTTGACTAAGGGTCTTCTCCTTTCGGTTAATGCGGTGGGTTTCTGAGATTTTGTCTGTTTAATGGCCGGTGGCGTGGGATCCAATTTGGCCGACCTTCCAAATTGATGGCACTTTAATAAAACTTTCGGCCTGTTAGAAAAAGGACAGCAGAAGGGTTTAAGCTAGAAGTTCCCAGTGAAAGTTAGCATTATGTATTGTACTTATATGGTCCAATTTCTACCCTGTTTGAGCCGCAGGTTTATTCAGTTTTAGGTCACCACATTACATATTAACATATACAATCGCAGAAAGGAATCCTTGTTGTTGGTTAAGTGCTAGTTTACAAATTCATTAACCATTCTTATGTTGAAAACGGCATTTATATCAAATATTGGTGTTTTCGGAAAAAGTTATAATGTGTGAGAATTATTTGTGAAAACATGGTTTGATTCAGGGTAATTGTGGAAGAAATAGTGTCAAAAGGCGGGGGAATTTATTGATTAAAAGTGGGAGAAGATACATGATTCCCATTTAGAATGTAATCTCAATTATTTTCTGTCCTCGATGGCAAATATATAAGAGGTTATTGATGATCTGTTCCTCGTCGAGTTATTGGCTTGTAGGATTGAACACCGGTGGTCTTTATGGGTGACGCTAAGATTGTGATTGAGAAGATCATGGAGGGGCAGTCTACTATTACCCGTGGGGGATGGTGATTGAGGAAGTCATGTATCTACATCATGCCTTCGATCCGTTTAGTGTTAGATTTGTTGGTTGTAGTAGTAACAATCATTTGATGGCACGAAAAACTCTTTCATTGTTCCATTCTTTGATTGAGTTCAATTTTGTTTATTAATTTTTTTCCATCATGTAAACCACTTTGTATCTGGCTGTTTTTCTCACTAATATGTGCGATCTCTTAGTGTAAAAAAAAAAAAAAGAGTAAATACAATTTAATATCCAAACCTTTCATTTTAAACAATATAATAGCCAAACCTTTTCGAAAACAATCTAATATCCAAATCATCAACTTTCCGTCCGTTTGACCATTGGTTAACACTTCAAAAAAGCTTTGTTTAGGGGAAATTGTCACAATACAACTTTGTTTTCTTGTTATGGCATTGCAGATGACTGAATATTTAGATATTCTATACCACCATGGTGGAGTCATGGACTTCTCGGGGTTGGAACCACGATATCTTGGTGGTTTTTCAGAGAAGATATCGATGGATATTGATGAAGCGTCGTACTTCGAACTTTTTTGAAGTGTCAACTAACGGTCAAACGAACGGAAAGTTGACGATTTGGATATTAGATTGTTTTCGAAAAGGTTTGGCTATTATATTGTTTAAAATGAAAGGTTTGGATATTAAATTGTATTTACCAAAAAAAACAAAGTGAAAAAATTCATTTTGTTAGTTTGTACGAAGCAACAGTAGATTTTGGGCTTACAAATGGCAGTAATTTTGACGGGCTTTAGAAAGTCCCCTTTAGCTTCTCCCAGCTGGGTTGGGCCTGCTATCTTCCTCCCCACTCCCCAGTCCAATCTAAGTATCTAACCCTCCACGTTTAAGCACTCTACAGTCTACACACACATTTAGGGCTTAGTGACCACGTAAGGCTATTGCATTGTCATTGGGCTCATCCAGCTCGGCCCAACACATGATCCCCAAGCCACAGACTGTTTTTTTTTTTTTTTTGTCATAGATAGATCGTAATAGATAGAGCAGTGTTGTTAAAGCCGGACCGAGCCGGTTGGTCCGACCGGTAAAACCGAGATCCGGTCACCAGCTCGGTCTGGATCAGTCTAATAATCGTGACGGCCAGTATGGATGGGCGGCAGACTGTCGAAGCGATTAACCGCTCGGGCCGTCTGACCGGTTTTCAACTCATGGTCGTCGGTCGCGAAGAAGAAGAAAAAAAAATGGTTGCTGGGTTGACATCGCTGGAACTATCGGAATTTTACAGACGCCAGAACCCAACCGACAGGAACAGAGGAATGGGACTCTGATATGTCGACATTGACGGCTCTCTCCACTGTCTGCTCGCTCCATTCCCCAAGCATACCCGTGAACCACGAAAAGAGAAAAAGGAAGAGCTCCATTGCCGACGACTTCTACTGTCGGCCTCTGTGTGTGGGAACTTGAATGGAAGCAGAAAGAAGAAGAAGGGGCCTTGAACAGTATGAGAAAGAAGAAGAAAGAAGTAGAAGGGCGGTCGTCTACAGGAAGAAGAAGGAAGAAGCGGCGGCTGCTAAGGGGGTTATGGTAGGACTAGGGTTTCTTTAATGATTATATATATATATATATATGTGTGTGTAAAATTACTAAATGATACCTGCAAACAAAATTTTATTTTAGCTATTAAATTGTTAAATTATTACATTATGTATCTTCTACTTTGATATTATTGTTTATAAGGTACCGGTTCTTTAACGGTTGTTTAACGGTTTAATACCGGTTGGACCACTAAAGTGTGAGCCGTTCATATTATCGGGTCATGCTCCGGTTCGGTTTTAACAACATTGATATAGAGTATTACAGTGCAATGGAAATAAAAACGTGGTAGTCAACCATATGGGTCGCTACCGATGCAATGGTCGTTTGTGCCACGCGATGGGCAGCCCTGTTAGTTCTACGAGGAGCAAAAACAAAGGAAATAGAAGCAAAAGAAGTCTTCAGCTTCCGCACTTCCTCAAGCACCGCTCCTCCGCGATCATGATTGACATCATTCTCCAATGCACGTCGGATGACCAATTGGGAATCACCACAGAAACAGACAGCAGAATAAACACGATTAAGGCTCCATAACATTGCGTCACGCAAAGCTAACAACTTCCATAGACTGCTTTCGCCCAACGCCAAACCTTCAAACTTCATATAACAAACTTTCAGAAGGTAAAGAAACTCTTCTTAACAACAACTTCAAACCTTTTTTCTAATCTGGCGCACAACCATGTATTTTCACGCGAGGTCATCTATATGTACATTGCTCTATACTGAACATGTGTAACTTTAAAGTTCTTATAAGAATTTCTTCGTTTCATCTCAAAATGTGTCTTCTCATATAACGTTGGATTATTTCTTATCAACCATTAATAATCTCATGTACTTTGTCGGTGTTGAATTTTTTTAAAAGTGTTACAGATCTCCTCTCCTTTAAATGTAGTCGTTATTGTAATTTTACTCCATAGTGAGAGGGAAAACCCCAATTTACACTAAAACAAAGGTAACTATTTGACCATGGAAGTAATGAGTCCAAGTAGTATGTAAATATATACTAATTAAGACCCAACAACTATATGTGCAGAGTTTGGTGAGAAATAGATGAGAGCGTGGAGCCAAAATGTAGATCTTCTCATCTATATATATGTTTGTCACATGTATTGACTAAGACATCAAACCATTACCCATTAGCCTGAAACAATTAATAAATGTTGCTAATATCTTATCTCTCTTTAGCCATTTTTCCTTCTCTTTGTTGGTTGGTTTGTGGAAATTCAAGTGCATGTGATCCATGTCTGTACAATGAACCATAGATACCTTGTTTTAGAATTGAGATGTGGTCTATTTTTTTAAGTATAATAAAATAAGAATGGTAGTTTCATGGAATATCATGTCTAAATTATATTTAAAGTTCTTTCAACAATTCAGTGGTAGAGTATTGATATCCGGTGGAGGAGTTAGATTGAAGTCTGGAGGGGCTATAGCCCCCTCAAATTTTAAAAATATAGTACATGTGACATTCGTAACAAATTTAGGAAATAGAGTAGTTGGTAAGGGCTTAGCCCCCTTCCCCAGTTATCATAGTTAGGAATGACAATTTTGCTCATACCCATGGATTTTTAACTATCCAACCCAATAGGGTTGGGTATGAAATCCAAATAGATGGATATGTGTAGAGTTTGATGGGTTTGTACCCATACCCATTTACTTGGGTTGGGTTTATAACAAATGGATTTGGGTTTGTACCCATGCCCAAATGTAAATTACAGTTTGGTACCTAAATTTAATAGATATGCATATTTAGTGCTTAAATTTAATTTTGTTGGCATAAAAGTCCTCCAAATATCGATGAAAATTTACGTTTTGGCACCTAAATTTTTTTGGTCTTACATTTTGGTACCTAAAGTTTTCAAGTTTTACAAATAGGTCCAATTTTTGCATGTGTAGTTAAAACACTCTCAAGTAAATGGATATCCATATCCAACCCATACCCATTTAGATTATGAAAGCAATATTCATACCTATACCCAACTCATATACACTTCACCCATACCCAACTCATTATGAATGGGTTTACTTGGATTTGGGTATAATTACCCATGGGTGGGTAATTGCCATCCCTAATCACAGTTCAAGTAAAGCCTCCTAATTCAGTTTCCTGACTCCGTCACTGTTGATATCATATTGAAGTCTAGGATTACTTATTTGGCTGAGTATTGATGCATTTAACATTAATATCATGATGTGGTCATTTCTTTTGAGGGGACGTATTAAAGAATTGTGACTCCTATATATTTTGTTTTTGGGATAGGACAGTATAATATAACATCGTAAATTGCAGTTAGGGTGCTAACACAAATATGAGTCTTTTAGATTAATCTCATGGACCTATCACCTATTGTTTACATAACTAATCCCTCGTTATTTTTTTTTCGGTAATTAATCCCTCGTTATTTATCAACAACTATATCTCTTTCATTTTAAATAAAAAATTATATCAATTTCAAATATATTAAGGAAGCTGAAATAATATTATCCAAAACCCTTACCAATATTGGCAGAAGCTGAAATCGGAAGTTAATCAATTGGATGGGTTCGAGCCCACCAACTGAGAAGGCTACGTTGCCCCCGTTACCCAACAAGCACGCTGTCGCGAAACACATACGTTCAACGGCGGCGGCGGCGGCGGCGGCCGGAGATTAAGCTGTAAGTTTTGTACCATCACGCGCCATGTCGTCAGATTGCAACATAATTTGTGAAACACACATTATAATGATTGCAATATTCAGTTAATATGTCTGTTTTGCGTCTTCCAAACCCCATCTTTAACTTAACAGCAACTAAACACCTAAATAACCGATACTAAAATACGTTAATTTGGTATATGGTCTAATTAAAACGAAGCCTCCAACGATTATGAAGTCTTGTTAGTACTTAGTAGTCATTGAGGCATTCTAATTCACAATTAATTGAATCTCTAGTTCGCAATAAGCTAAATATATGAGACAAACTGTAATATTTTGAGAAGGACACACTGACGTGGCACAGTTGCGTTGCAAATAATATGGTCACAATGATGATATCCAAAAATATATCAAGATTGATCTTATTAGATGCAAAAACTTACAGGCATATTTTACAAAAATTTAATGAAAAATAATCATTCGTCAAGGCGTCGTAATGCTCACAAAAGGTCTTCCATTTTTACTCAAAACGCGTCGTATCAGTTAAAATCAATTTCTTACTTATAAAGTATGGATCTTTCCGATGCTTTATTGATCCCTAGCGACATTAATTTTTTTTTAAATGGTGTTTTCCATTTATGTTATATGGGGCCGGGGGAGGAGAACTCTATTGAGTATTGCTCAAGTCACCTTGGTCAACTATAAATCATAGAACTAATTAATGCAATCCCGAATTTACAATTAATTATATTATAGGTTGGTTTATTGGGCAATGGAAATCCCCTGTTTATGCGACACCATTCAGATTTCAGGGCTTGTTTCTAGTGAAACCTAATATGTAATTAATAAGTTCCTCCGACAGCCGTACGTTGTTCTGTTACAATCTTTTTTTGGTAAATGTTTTTTCGATGACATTCCAATAAGTATCACACGTATGTAAATAATCAGCGCTTTTAAAGTACAATTTGAAATTGTACCATTATGTATAAAGATACAAATTAAAGTTGTACCATAAGAGAATTTGAATCTTTACCTGAAGTTGTACCATAACATAAATGTATAATTTTAGTTTGTACAAAAAAAAAATATTTAACATAGTATAAATACAACTCCAGGTAAAATCAACTTGTAATTAAGACCAGTGGCGGACCGAGAATTGTCGAAGAGGGGTGTCGCCGATAAAAATAAAAATAAACAAAAAAATTAAACAGAAATTACTAGAAATTAGTTCATAAATTCACAATGTCAGGTTTACAACGAATCACGACGACTTTTCATGTCCTAAAATATTTTTAACATACATTCATCCCTTATGTTGCACATAAACCCTTTTTCGATATACACAACTAAAAAATCATTCATAAACTGGTCACCCAATACCGATTCCGAAGATCACTCTTGATGATGATGTTCATAGCTGAAAATGCTCTTTCGCAACTTGCAGTTGCAATAGGTAAAGTCAACACCAACTTCAGAAGCATGTAAACTAAAGAATAATAAGATGATGAATACATTTATAATAATAAATAATTTCTAGTATAATGAATGGGTGTTGTGTATAGCTATTAGAGCGGTACGTGTCAGAAATTTCGTATTAAAATTTTTCGTACCAAGAAAATATAGGTACTTTACAAAAATTTTGGGCGACCGACACCCCTAAGCAACACGTAGGTCCGCCCCTGGTTAAGACCACTCTCCCGCGAAGAAAATGTACATGCATTATGTTAGCTCGAGTCGAGGCCCTCAATAACCTCTTGAATGTTTGGGTAATGACGTGGTGTAACAACATCCGTCGGATTCATGATACCCTATATATCTAGCTAGCTAGTAACGTATAGACTGTGGCAAGTAGCTAGCTATCTTTTGGTGTTGGAAATTAACTTAAAATGAAAGCTGAAAGCAAGCTAGAGAAGGAGAGGAGTTATTGCGTGAATGCATCAGCCGGCCCCGGCCGGCAGCCATATCAGCGAGAACATGGATACGCGATCCACGATCTAAGTAACAAGCGACGCCCATAATTCCCGGCCGGTCTTTTAATTCGGGTTTGTTTTCCGGTAGCTAGCTTGCTAGCGTACAAACAAACAAGCAAACAAATAGGATTTTGTGATTATTATGATCAACTTCTTCCATACCTAATTCCTAGGGTGGCTCTTCGGTCTGGTCCGGTCCGGTTAAACTGATCCGAATTGATTCGGTCGCGGTTCGGTTTTTTTAGAATATAAGGACCGAAAATTAAATTGGTTACAGTCCGGTTTTGAACTGGTCCGGTCCCAATTTGGTCTTAATTTTAGATCGAGCTTGTGGGGATTTGAGTGGCCTAAGGCCTGAAAGGGTGAGGAGGTTAAATTTTGAGTGTTGGGCTCTCTTATCCGGTCTTTATCCGGTTTTCGATCTGGTCCCAAACGGTTTTTTGTCTCAAATCTAGGCTCGAAGATTGGATTAGATTGGATTGTTTGTTATCCAATCCTAGTCCGATCTCGATCCGGGTTATACGGTCCAATTTCGAATAAAACCAAAAAACTCGGACCAAATAGCCAACCTTACTAATTCCCATCTCGTTTTATGTATACTTTCCAACAGATTTTCTCACACTGAGAGCGGACGTTGCAAAGCCCATATGTCTGCCTGCCGCCCCACTTCTTAGTTACTGCTGCTGCCTTTGCTTTGCACCTCCCACGATGGTGCACATGCTGCTGCTGCAAATATATATCGTCAATGGGGGCCGGCCGCCATGTTCATGTGCTCACTCTACCACCCTCAACACGAATCGCAATCTACTGGCCCCTGCATTCAATAAAAATATATATATACACAAATAATAGGTGCACATCAGAAAGTCCAAATTAAATAAATGGTCGTGATGAAAATAAGTAAGTTACGAAACTAAGAAATGAGAGGCATCAGTCCATGGTAAATTTACATTTTATTTCATCAATTGACGCGAAGTTATTTTGCCAATACGATCATATATGTTAGAGAGTGGTATAAGATCCAGCATAGCCTTCTTCCAACAACTCGAGTTATTGAGACCAACTGGTTTGTCAAGTGGTCGTGTGTTCGAATCTCCACAACCCCTCAATATTAACAGTTGTCTTCAAGAATATAGTATGATGGGCTTGTGCAAACTTTAAGTTCATGAGTTGACTTTCGTTTGAGGGGGCGTGTTAGAGAGGGATTTTTCATTATGACATTTTAGTACCAAAACTTTTCAAATTTTACATTTTGGTCCAAGCCTTGGATGTCATTTGGATTCATGGATCAATCCACCAATCCATTTGATCCAAACTATGAATCCACCAATCCAATCCACCAATCCACAAATCCGATCCAATTATCACCTCTAATTGTAACTATCCCAACCAAACTACCTATTACCAAAACCAAACCACCCGCGTAAAGCTCCACCGACAGTTCTCCCGTCCCCTGGCCCGCGGGTCACCTTTCCAAATTGAAAACTTAGAAAACGAAATTGTGTATTAATAATAAACATCCTGTTAGTGTGTATAGGGCTCGGCCCATGTATATGTACATATGTATCCACGTCCTTGGCCCATCCCATGCATACGTAGACTTGATAAATGCATGGATTAGGGTTTAGGTCATATGTAGGTCATATATATTCCTCTGTACTCTTGGTTGAAAGACTTAAGATGAATAAGAGACCGCCGTTCTCCGTGGACTAGTCGGTATTGCTCTCTGCAATACTGGAAACCACGTATATCGTTTGTTCTGTTACTTTCAGCTCACAGGTTTACTAACATGGTATCAGAGCTTACGGCTATGGATTCACAGAGGCTCTCTGTTCGATTGAATCACAAGAACTACGCTTTATGGGAATTCCAATTTCGCGTCTTCGTTGAAGGCCATGGTTTGCTGGGGGTTCTCAACGGTACGACCGTGAAGCCGGCCGCGCCGGCTACGGATCAAGAGATTGCTCGCTGGGAGCAAAGTGATGCCCGGATTCGCTCCTGGTTGCTTGGTTGCGTGGATCCCATGATTGCTTTGGGGCTTCGGATGCATTCAACAGCCCATGGGATGTGGGCTCATCTTGCGGCAACCTATTCCACCGTCAACACCGCACGCCAATTTGAACTTCAGATTGCTTTGGGGCGGCTGGAGCAAGGGAACAAGGATGTCGCATCCTACTTTAGTGAAGCACAGGAGCTGTGGATCGAGCAGGATCTGCTTACAGCATCGCTGCGATCCAAGGAGGCCTCGGCTGAGGTCATGGAAGAACGGCAGCATGCGCGCCTCTGCCAATTCCTGATGAAACTCCGCCCGGAGTTTGAGACCGTTCGGTCCACGCTGCTGAACAGGGATGACTTGAAGCTCGATGGGATCCTCGGCCTTCTCGTTCGCGAGGAGATTCGTCTCCGCACCCAGGCCCAGCTGGACATTCGCCCTGGCAAAGGAGAGACGGTAATTGCGGCATCAGCGGTTTCTGATCAGCTGTCATCGGCTGCTTTTGCTGTCCAAAAGCCTCACTTTCAGCGACGTGTAGCGGCTGCTGATGTGGAGTGCCATCACTGTCACGAGAAATGCCATTATCAAAAGCATTGCCGCAAGAAAAACTTCTGTGTATACTGCAAGAGTCGTGGGCACATCGTGACTGATTGCAAATCTGCTCAGCGTGCAGCGGCGCGCGCTAATGATCCTCGTTCCACCTCTACGGACCGCGCCGGGGGAGATCGACCTGTCTATGCAACCCCGGCGGCTGTGGACGCGGCCCCTCCGTCGGCGATCAATGCTGCTGCTGCCGAGCAGCTCGTGAGTGCTGCTCTCCAATGTTCTCTTCCTAGCGCTATCAGTAGCGCATTTGCTGCTCTCCAAGTGACAGGTATGTCCAAACCGTGGTAGATTGACTCAGCTTGTTTTAACCACATGACACGGGATGTTAGTTCCCTTAAAGGTTTGGTTCCAGTACATGATATGGCTTTACATGTAGCAAATGGTCAAAAATTAAAAGTAAATGGTGTTGGGAAGGTTCATAATTCTCGTATGCTGCTGCCAAATACGTTACATGTTCCATCCTTAGTGCCTAATTTAGTCTCTGTGGGTCAGCTCACCGAGCAAGGTTTATCGGTTTTGTTTGGTCCTTCTGGTTGTGTTATACAGGACACGATGACGGGGAGGCAGATCGGGCGAGGGAGTAAGAAGGGGAGGGTCTTTCATCTCGAGGAGCTCTCGAGTTTAGTATCACCATCGTCATCATCAGTTAGTTCAACCCTTGTCAGTAGTCCTTCTAGTAGTTCAGTCGATAGAACCATTGTTCCGTTGGTGTCTAGTGTCTCGGCCTCGTTGGCCTCTTTTCCTGTGTCTTCGTCTTTGTCGAGTAAATCTGATAATGTATGGGATTTGTGGCATGCGCGGTTGGGTCATCCAAACTCGGCACGCCTTTTGGCTATGTTTAAACAAAACCTTCTTGGGAAAAATAAGATGGATGGTACTGCTTCACATTTATGCACGAGTTGTATTGAAGCAAAGATTACGAGTATTCCTTTTCCCTCCAGTACAACTGTGATTTCTGAACCATTTCATCTTATCCATACTGATTTATGGGGGCCGTCCCAAGTGGTTTCTCGTCATGGTTTCCTTTATTTTGCCTTGTTTGTCGATCATGCTACCCGGTTTACGTGGGTTTATTTTCTCCGCTTAAAATCAGACTTGTTTGTTGTTGCTTCGGAATTTTTGAACATGATCCGAACTTAGTTTGAACGTCCGGTCAAGATTGTTCGGTCTGATCCCGGTGGGGAATTTAGTTCACACCCTCTCCGTGACCTTTACCGCTCCCTTGGCATCCTTAGTCAAAAATCCTGTCCTGATGTTTCCCAGCAAAATGGTCTGGTTGAGAGGAAAAACAGACATGTTCTCGATCTTACCAGGGCACTGTTGCTAGCTTCTCATGTTCCCATGTCTTTTTGGCCTGAGGCCGTTGCCACGGCTGTTCGTCTCATTAATTATCAGATTACTCCTGTTCTGGGTCATAAGAGTCCTCATTTTGCCCTATTTGCATCTCATCCTGATTATTCGCGTCTTAGGGTGTTTGGATGTACATGTTTTGTCCTCCTGTCCAAGAAAGAGCGTCCTAAATTGTCTTCTAAAGCTGTTCGTTGTGCCTTTCTGGGTTACAGTGATGTCCACAAAGGGTACCTTTGTTATGACCCTATCCTCAAGCGTATTAGGATCACTTGTAACGTCGCCTTTTTTGAACAGTTCCCTTTTTTCTCTGAGTCGAGTCCTCCATCTATGTTGTTCTTGTCTTCTGCGTCTACCTTACCTATGTTCGACGAGAATGATGGTGATATTGCGGGTGACCTTCCCCCCACCCCCCGGATGATGATGATGCCCCGCTCGATCTGACTCCCCCGGCCTCGCCTGCTTCCTCATCCGCGGCTTCACCGTCCACTGGTACCACTGGTACACAGGACTCCTCAAGTGCATCACCATCCACCGCCTCCAGCTCCCTCGCATCAGCAGCTGCTTCCAGCTCCCCCACGTCAGCCGCTGCTTCCAGCCAGCTCACCGAGTCTCCGGCTACTCCTCCTATGCCCCGTCGATCAACGCGCTCCACGCTGGGCCAGCCCCCGCTTTGGTTCCAGGACTATCATGCATATGGGGTTGACTCGGTCCCCATTCCTACACGCTACAAGCAAGCCCATGGTGATCCAGTGTGGGATAACGCCATGGACGTGGAGATTGATGCTCTCCATGCAAACGGAACTTGGACTGTGGTTGATCGCCCACCTCCCCCAGTGCCTGTCGTGGGGATTAAGTGGGTATACAACATCAAGTTCCTCCCGGATGGTTCGATTGAGCGGCATAAAGCCCGGGTGGTTGCCCAGGGGTTCACTCAGGAGCACGGTGTGGATTATGATGAGACTTTCGCTCCCGTCGCGAAGATGCCTACTGTTCGGACACTGCTAGCTGTTGCAGCTGTTCGTGATTGGCCTCTATATCAGTTGGACGTGAAGAATGCCTTTCTTCATGGCGATCTGAAGGAAGTTGTGTATATGGAACCTCCTCCTGGGTATAAGTATGCTTCTCCTGGTCAGGTTTGCCTTCTTCATCGATCTCTTTATGGACTCAAACAGGCACCCCGTGCCTGGTTTGAGAAGTTTCATGCTACTATTCTAGCCTTGGGACTTCGTCAAAGTCTCAATGATCCGTCCCTCTTCACGAAGACCTCGGCGGCAGGTATTGTTGTTCTTTTACTATATGTTGACGATATGGTGGTTACAGGAGATGATGTGGAGGGAATTCGGTCTTTGAAGAGTGGCCTGCAGGCTGCATTTAGTCTGAAGGATTTGGGGGACCTTCGATACTTCTTGGGCCTCGAGATCACTCGGTCTTCTCAGGGGATCACTCTTCACCAGACTAAGTATATCAAAGATCTTCTTTCTGAGCATCAGTTTGACTCCTGCACTCCGGTACGCACTCCCATGGAGCTCAACCTGAAGCTTCATAAGGAGTCTGGTCCTCTGCTAGCCGATGGTGCAGCTTACAGGAGCATTGTTGGTAGCTTGATTTACTTGGCTGCTACCCGCCCAGACATTTCTTATGCTGTACAGATTGTCAGTCAGTTCATGGCTGCTCCGCGCCAGGATCACCTTGCCGCAGTTCATCGTATTCTCAGGTATCTGAAGGGGACTATGGATGTTGGCCTGTTCTTCTCCTCTCAGGGTTCGATGGCTCTTCAGGCCTTTTCAGACTCTGACTTCGCTGGGTGTGTGGACACTCGCCGGTCTACCTCAGGATGGTGTATTCGTTTTGGTTCTTCTTTTATCTCTTGGAGGAGTAAGAAGCAGGATCGGGTTTCTAAGTCGTCGACTAAGGCAGAGTACATGGCTATGTCCGAGGTTTCATCTGAGGTGATATGGCTTCAACGTCTGCTTGCTGATTTTGGTGTCTCCTGTTCGTCTCCTGTGGATTTGTTCGTGGACAACACTAGTGCTATTCAGATTGCTGTTAACCCAGTTATGCATGAGCGGACCAAGCATATTGAGCTTCATATCCACTACGTTCGGGACTTGGTTCGTGATGGGGTCCTGCATGTGCATTATGTGGCATCCGAGGATCAGATCGCTGACCTTCTCACTAAGTCTCTTCCCATCAGTCGCCATTGGTACCTGTCAGGCAAATTGATGCTTCGTGACCGGCATCAATTTGGGGGAGGCTGTTAGTGTGTATAGGGCTCGGCCCATGTATATGTACATATGTATCCACGTCCTTGGCCCATCCCATGCATACGTAGACTTGATGAATGCATGGATTAGGGTTTAGGTCATATGTAGGTCATATATATTCCTCTGTACTCTTGGTTGAAAGACTTAAGCTGAATAAGAGACCGCCGTTCTCCGTGGACTAGTCGGTATTGCTCTCTGCAATACTGGAAACCACGTATATCGTTTGTTCTGTTACTTTCAGCTCACAGGTTTACTAACACATCCATCAGACCATCACTGATCTGCACTGCACACTCTATATATATTGTTTATCCAAAGATACCCTGCCTAATTTTGCCGTTTGGGGTGTGATAATTAATAGTATTGATTAGAAGTAATTAATCAGAGGAATTTTAGAATGCTACGTAGGTAATAATGTTTTTATGTACAAATTGAATGTCTCCTAACGTGCAAAATTTGTGTGTATTGTGAAGAATTTTTACAAAAAGTACAAATTGAATTTGTACTACAACGTCGGATATATGTTCAGTTTGTACTATAAAAAAAAAGTACGACAAAAATATATGTACAAACCGAATTTGTACAGGTTAAATGTGCACATTTAATTTGTATCTAACCGATTTGAGGCCGACCTGTGTGCATTCAATAGACAAGGACGGCTGCAATGGTACATGGTGTTCATGGCCCTTCTATATTTGGGACCATAGCCCTGAATCACATGCAATTGAAAGCCTTTGTATTAGGGTGATTGTAAGGTTCGGTCCGGTTAAATTGGTGTGAACTGATTCGGTCTCAGTCCGGTCTTTTCGAGAATATAAGGACTAAAGATTGGATTGGATACAGTACGGTTTTGATCCGGTCCGGTCCCAATTCAGTTTTTATTTTAGATTGAGCTTGTGGGGATTTGAGTGGCCTGAGGGGGAATTTGAGTGGCTTAAGGAGGTTAAATTTTGGGTGTTGGGCTCTCTTATCCGGTCTTTGGTCCGGTCTCAAATTATTTTTTTTATCTCAAATCTAGGCCCAAAAATTGGATTGGATTATTTGCTATCCGGTCCCGATCCGGACTTGGTCCGGATTATACAATCCAATTTCGAGTAAAACCAAAAAGCTCGAACCAAATAGCCAGACCTACTTTGTATTATATAATATCTGCCCTTCACCCACCCCACCACTTTCTAGGGGTGTTCAAACGGTTTGGTCACCGTGGTAACCGTTTTAACCGGTACCATTTGGATAATTTGGTTTGGTTAATTTGGATAATTGGTTTGGTTTGGTTAAAGTTTTTAGCTTGTTTGGTTTAGGTGGTTTGGTTTGGTTTCACACTCCTAACCAGTCAAACCAAATTAACCAGTTAAGTAATTAGTCATATATCTAACATATATTATATACACATAATACTTTGCATAACCACTCAAGAGTTAACGTTCATCCCTTTTAGACTCATAAAATATAAAGCTCAATATTGCTCATATAGTGTATATTTGTATATGTAAAGTCTAGAGCACAACATATGGACGCCTAATTTAGATAAATTTCATACATTATGATGAATGAAAACTTGTAAGGAAGGTCATTTCCAGCCTATGATAATTGCTAAGAGATTAAGTCAATTTACACAAACACAATAATTCATTAACTCATACCATTGTCATAATTTTTTGTTAGGTGAATACTTCTATACTAATCGTAAGATAATTGTCTTAGTTGCATGTATTTTTGTTAAGGGTCAACTATAACTACGTGTTGATTGTCATGTTTTATTCATTATATAAATTGCGAATTGTTGCATTAACCGGAAAATTTTCATCCTCAATGATAATGTGATTTTATATTGGTTAATCTGGTTAACCAATTCACCAAACCAATTAAACTTTAGTTTGGTTAATTTGGTTGTTGTATTAATTAGTTTGGACGATTTGGTTATGATATTGTATTCTATAGTTAATGAAATTTAGCCTTATTTGATTTGGTTATAACCATAGTAACCATTTCAACACCCCTACCATTTTCGATCGACTGATCTCCTTACTCTGTGGACTTTGCTCTTCTTTTCTTTTGGACCCATCGTCCTTTTCCTTTTCTTTTACAAATTTTCTAGTGTACACACAATGTGACGTGCACTATGATTTCATATCTCTGCCTCTCAATCAGACTGGTTATACATCGATCTGTCCCATTATTAATTGGATATAGGGCTAAAAGAGTTTGTGTAAATTACTTAGGTTCGATCATAAGCCACAAAATTTCAATGTTTCATATCGTCTCCAAGTTATAATCGCAATTTAAAATTTAATAAATCTTGTACTTTTATATTTTTAGATTAGTAAAATGCTTTTACGAAGAATCATACTTTTCACTTATAAATCAAAATCAACACTTTAAAACCGAAAAAATTTATGTTTTGACTGCATCGATCGCATAAAATTACATATTTTATATATAAAGCCATCCGCATAAAATTATTTATAATCCTCATCTATATATGTGGAGGAAGATTGCCTATAAAACCCTAATACAATCATAGCTACTAGCACTTGCGAAATATGTCGAGATATTTTTATTAGAAACTACAATACCTCTCCATACATACCTTCATATGAAATGGAACTTCCTTAAAGAACCAGATTCTGACACTATTAGATAATATCTGTGGAAGTTCCAAGCTCATTGCAATTATACGGGAAAATGCCACATTTATTATTGGAATTACTAAATCGTGTCATATTTAGTCATAAAAAAAAATTAATATCAATTTTGGTCACTCGAATTACTGAAACAGGCCACATTTAGTGACTCTCCGTTAGACTCCGTCCAACTACATTAACAGAGGCCTTTATGTGTTAACATGGCTAAGGGGAGTGTCTGGTCGCTGTTTTGGGTCGAAAATGGTCAAACCCAACTCGCCAGGTCACTAAACCCGCCATGTCATACACCCAACCCAATTCATGAACCCAACCCGACCCAAAACCAAACCCGAGCCCACCTAACAAAACAAAACTCGCCATCTCTCTCCTCCAACCTCATCTCCCAATTCCCTTCCTCAGCAAGCTCGAACTTCATCAATCTGCGAAGCTATTCGTTTCCGTTTTCCCGAACACGTACGGTCAAGGAAACACGTAATTAAGTACAATGGAGGCGGCGGCCGGAGATTAAGCTGTAAGTTTTGCATCATCATGCCCGACGCGATGCCGTCAAATTGCAGCAGCATTACTTATTTGTCAAACACTGATCATCATCATCATCATAATTATTACCTAATAAAGCGGGATCAACTGGGCTTGCTTGCCAGCTTTTCAGTTAATATGTCGTTTTGCGCCTTCTTTATAACTGAACGGCACCCTGTACCTGCAGTACTAACCAATTTACTACAGGCTAAATTGGATAGCAATTGTGCACCTAAAAACGAAACACCATCAAAACAAACGAAAAGGACGTTAATGTGGCATGTCGATCGGGAGAAGAAATAAATCACTATAATTATAAGTTGACAGGCTGATTTCCAGTTTGGTAATAAAACAGTGTAACTAATTTATTTGTAGTAAGAGAAAAGAAGTAATTATGACGACGAAACAGGGAATTGACAGCCAATGAAAGGGGAACATTCATGCCTCTATGTTAAGAGGTTGTTTTCCATTTCTGTTTATGAGTACTGGTCAAGTCAAATTAGACTCTAATTACAATTAATTAATTAATTAATATTTGGTTAATTGGGAAATGGGAATCCCCTGTTTCTGCGACATAATTAAGGGGTTTGTTTCCATGGCACATATTTTAATATAATATAATTATTAACTAATTTCTGATCGAGGTTGCTTTCATAGTCAGCACTCTGCAGCAGCATCTTTTAGCGCTCTCCATAAGCCGTACGTTGTTCTTTCATAAATCTTTTTTTAATTAATTAGCCTCTAGCAGTAGCAAGTGGGATGCTTTTAATAAGTTAGTTAATTTGGTCAAACTAATGTATGTATGAGAATTGGTGCTCTTGTTGTCTTCTTTCTTTCCCAATGAATCCAATGCATGGATAAGAGAATATATATATGGCTTATAAATGCTTGGTTTGGTTTGCAAGTAAATTCCTTCCTCATTTCAATGTACGTGTATTTATGATTTGCTAATTAGGTCATACAAAGGAAATACTAAAAAAATGATCGAAGTATTTTTTTTTTGCATCAGGGGGAGGCTAAAAGCCAAGAAAAAGAGTTACATGGGGGAGGTGAGAATAGGAGAGGAAGAGGTAGCAACCACTCTACGGGTGCTGGTGGTGCCAATCCTGTCTTCTCTGAGCAGGGAGTTAATTCCCGGAGGCGGGTTCGTTAACTCATGCATACCGTAGGGATAGACGAGACTGTGCTTCGAGAGCCAGTCCGCGACTCTATTCCCTTCCCGGTAGGTATGCGTTAAGCGAACCAGCCAGTCGCGGTTAATCTTCCTGCGAATAGCGGAGAGGAGAGTAGCATACGGATGAATCGGGTCATGTCTAGCCTTGATGAGCTGCAACGCCAACTGCGAGTCAGTCTGGATGTGGATGGTTCTTCCTCCATGCTTCCAAGCGATGTCCAGGCCAAAAGAGATTCCCCAGAGCTCCGAGAGAATCGAAGTATTATTACTAATAGATAAAGGAAAGTTAGACAGGAATTTATTGTATTTAACAACATACAGGTAAAATGCCTTTTCAGGAACACCCGATATATAAATAAATAATCGCTATCTTATATTATCTATCTTGCTTCAACATAATCACCCAATTCCAACATAAATAATGATCAGCGCCTTAATTAATGAGTGAAAACACACGGGGCCAAGTACAAAATTTTGTTTCTCAAACAGTAAGGATGGTGAATACGTTCCTCGATCGATAAACATCTAAGCCAAATGCGCCATTTTTTATCAAAATCGGTACGACAAATGAACTAAAACAGTAAGGATGGTTATGAATATCCGTTCATATATATCAGTCTCTTATTTTGCGAATTCAGAAGAAGATGGCGCCGTGGAAGGCGAAACGGCTGTCTTTTGCCGCTCGCCTTACTGTTGCTAGATTGGTAGCTGCTTCTTTACCCGTTTATACTATGCATACAGAGCTAATTCCTAGTGGTGTTTGCAGGAGCATTGATAAGATCAGTAGAGATTTTATCTGGGGAGATGAGGAAAATCATTCCAAGTTTCATCTGGTGGCTTGGGATAGATTGACGAGGCCCAAAGCGCAAGGGGGAGTGGGGATTCGGCAGACTCGGCAGGCGAATCTGGCCATGCTTGCCAAGGGAGGGTGGCGGCTTCTCAAGGACAAAGAGTGTATCTGGCGGGAACTCATCCTTTCGAAGTATGGGGGTCAGAGAGCCGATCTTGATGTCCTGAAGAAAATTCAGGGAAGTTCCTTCACCTGGAGTAGCTTTTCTAAAGCTGCTGACCTTCTTAAGCAAGGTTGCGCGTGGAATATTAGGAATGGGAGAAGAACTAAATTTTGGTCTGATCCGTGGATTTTGCAGGTGCCTCTGAAGGATTTGGTGATAGGAGATATGCCGGAGGATGCAGATGAGGCGATGGTTGCGGATTTTGTTCGTGCAGACGGCAGTTGGCGTACTGAGCTCCTCTCAGGGCGCCTTCCTCATGACATCGTCAACAAAATTACGAGTACAGCGGTGGACACTATCTCTCAAGAGGAGGACTCTCTGTTCTGGGCCCCAGCTGCTGATGGCCGGTTCTCCACTAGATCGGCCTATGCTCTTCTCACGGATCAAGGCCAGCAGGGCACTGACGGGGTTTGGAAGGAGATTTGGCGGTTACCAGTGCCTGAACGTGTAAGATGTTTTATTTGGCTGGCGATCCAGGGTAAGCTAGCCACGAATGTGATGCGGTTCCAGAGGAAGGCAGCTGAGTCACCTTGCTGCCAGAGGTGTACTGATCATCCGGAGACTGTGCTCCACATTCTTCGAGATTGTGCCCCCGCAGCATATTTCTGGTGTCGCCATGTTCCCCAGCCAAAACAGCATGAGTTTTTCAGTGATAGCCATGAAGACTGGTTCCGCAAGAATATCACATGCAAGGAGGTCAGCAGTACAGGAATTGATTGGCCGGGGTTCTTTAGCATGACCTCGTGGCTGCTATGGAAAAATCGAACCACGGCCTCCTTTAAAGGGTTGAGTGCAGCTCTTTCAGCTTCTTCTTTAACACACTCGATTGTGACGAAGACCAAGCTTTGGGATGACTCTTGGCATGCCCCGGAGCTGTTCTTAAACCAGAAGAGGAAGCCGGTGGAGCGTATTGCGACAGCAGTTGGTTGGACTCCGCCATTGGAGGGCTGGGTCATGCTTAATACTGATGGAGCGTCGAATGGTAATCCGGGGCCAGCCGGAGCTGGAGGGCTGGTGCGTGACTCGATGGGCAGATGGCTGGGAGGCGTGGTTGCCAATCTCGGAACTGCGACGGCGGCGCTAGCAGAGTTATGGGCCATTTGCTATGGTCTGGATTTGGTTTGGAACCTCGGTTTCCGAGCAGTTAAGGTGGCTTCTGATTCCAAGCTGGCTCTGCAGTTGATTCAGGAGAGACATGATCCCACCCACCCTTATGCCACTCTTCTGAGTCTTATTCGATGAAAGATTGGGCAAGATTGGTTGGTCAGCTTGTCTCATACGTACCGGGAAGGGAATAGAGCCGCGGACTGGCTCTCGAAGCACAGTCTCGTCTATCCCTACGGGAAGTATGAGTTGACTGACCCCCCTACGGGTATTACCCACATACTGCAGGATGATGTTAGAGGTGTCACCTTTGAGCGCCAAGTTGTGGCAAGCTCCTCTTCCCCCACCTAATCCCCCCTGTAATTTCTCGTTCTTGGCCTTTGCCTCCCTTTGATGCAAAAAAAAAAAAAAAAAAGATAGCTAGATATCTGTTTCGTGTAAAGCTGAAAGCAAATTAAAGCAGAGATCATAATGATGCCTTAGAGTAGGAGAAGAGTTATTGCATGCATGCATCATATCAGCAAACATGGATACGCGATCCACGATCTAACAAGAGACGCCCATAATTCCCGGTCTTAGAATTCGGGTTTGTTTTCCGTTAGCTAGCGTACAAACAAACAAAGAAACAAACAAGTAGGATTTGTGATGTTCATCATGCAACTTCCATACCTAATTCCCATGTCGTTTTGTGTATCCCTTCCAACAGAAATCCCGTCCGATCGATCACAAATTTTCAGATGTTCTCGCATTGAAGATTTTGTCTCTTTGCGACCCAGAGTGGCAAAAGCAAAGCCCATCTGCCTTTGCTTGCACCTCCCACGATGGTGCACATGCGGCTGCATAAATCGTCAGTTGGGGCCGGCAGCAGCCATGTTCATGTGCAGTGGCGGACCCCCGTTTTGCTCACTCCGATTTTTTCATGCTAAATTTTCATTCAGCTGACAATGACATGTACATAATCCTCTCCTGAGTTGATATATTGTTTGATCATGGGAAAAATAACTTCAGTGTCGTTAGATCAATGCAAATAATAATAACAATGTTCATCATGAGGTAATTTGGTGATGTTATGGGACAATCCAAGTACCGCATCGGAAATACAAGGGAAGGAACCATTGTATACTAGCATAGGGCCCCGCCCGTTGGCGGGAGAGGTTGACTCGTTTGATCAAAGAGTTTAATATTTAAATAGAGGTTGTACTTAATTTAGAAGTATTTGTGCAATAAGCAAGCAGCTCATTTTTCCTGTACTTATATTGTAAATGCTTGGGTGAATGTTTTCTTCTGGTAGTTACCAATGTATAATTAATTAAATACCAAAAACGTATAAAACATGTCTAAAATAGAATACATGTACCTAATATATACATTATCTAATTCAACTACATATTTGTAAATAAAGTCTTATTGATATAAAAAGTTGGTAAGTAACAAAGTTTCTTTTAATGAGATTTTCGTAATAAAAAAAGGTTTGTCCTTTGATGAAGTTTAGAGCATCCGTGAAATACTTTTCTCAATAGTAATCTTTGTGGTTGATTATTGCACAGAGTATAAATTTGGAATTACATTTATTAATGAGATAGAACTATTTGCAAATTGGTTACCAATTAGTTGAACAATGTACTCAAACTATAATTATATCTTCTATATGTCAAGCTGCCATGTATCAGTTTCATTGAACGAAGTCATGTAATATTAGGAGTTCAAAAAATAATATTGGTGGATTGATTGATACAGAATTTTAACTATTCAACAAATTAAGTACATCATCTATGGACCATCACAACCGGTTAGAAAGCAACTTGTTCGCATTTATACCAAGGAGATCCGATATTTTGTTTAAGTTGTAGTGAAGTTGATGGAGTCCCATCAATGTGTTAGTAAGCAAAATGTTGCCACTTAGTTCGTAGAGGAGAAATTTAAATATGTTTCCATTCAATAGTGATCACTCATGTTAGTCTCTTACCAATCAACCTAGTGTGAATCCCACTTCATTAAAGTTTCATAACGGTAACGACTTGTGTGAATTTTTTTAGGATAGATGACCCAAATTCATTACTACATACATCGCAGCCATAAATCAAATTCATAATTCACAAATTACACAAATAAATTACCATTTGAGTTTATAACCCAAAATTTAGGTTTAGAAAAGTAGCACACAGTTATTACTCATTAGGGTATAGAGAACAATACAATGCTCCAAAATTTATTGAATTCAAGATTTAGATAGTATTTTTTATGCACCTACCTCATTATGAACCGTAATTTTGATTTGGCGATTCAAATTCTTTAATCATAATACAATGAACAAATAATTAAATTAGTTGAATATATAAGAGGATGAATTGAATTGGATTGATCGTTTGGATTGTAAATTGCAAACTCTAAACATGGGTTAATCTTAATAGTTGATATTCGTTTATAGACCATTTATGATGTATTGATTGACGGATTTCTTTTTAATGGGCTTGAATGAAAAGTGGCCCAAGTAGCAAATTAAGAAGGCCATGCCCATACTCTGTATAGCAATAAGTAGAGGAAGCACCGGATCGGAATGGAATGGCAGAAAAATTATTGGTCCAAAAAGACCAGAACGGCCTTCCATGGATTGCGCAGGGAGCTCCATTTTTTCAATTATGTATGTTCTCGCGTGGAACATGCATATAGTGTTGGGAGGATGCAGAACCCCAAGATGCAACTTTTTTCAAGCAGTCGCTCCACTCATAATATAATAATACAATCTTTCTTTACCTGATGGATGACAATAATACAATCTTCCAATACAAACCTTGTTCTTCCTCATCTGCCATCTTTTCAACTTTCGATTCCGAAAGAAATATTGAGAAAAATCCACAAAGTTATATTTGAGCATTAATTTTCATCCATGCCAATAGCATTGATGTTTCATTATTTTCAATAGCTTTTTCAATTTGTTCGTTCTCCCTTGTCACCACTTTGTTCTCCTCAGCCAAATGACATGACATAAGCAACACAGAATGTGAATTACAACTAACCAGCATACCTCATTCGATGCGGTTTACTAACAGTTTAGAAATATCATTTTCCTCATTTGGTGTTATCCATTGCCACTTTGTTTAGATGCCAAAGTCTTCATTGCTCTGTCATCTGATTTGTTGATATATTTGAAACATTGCCACTTTGTTTCGCTACTTGAAACATTCAATAATAAATTAATATAAATTTACTGAAATAACAAAGTAATTAAAAATTAAAATTCTTCTAATTTTATTTTAGTTTCATTAATTTAAGTTTCCAAATTCCATTTTCCGTTTTTTACTCTTTTCGTTTCATTCCAATTTAATCTTTCATGTTTACGTGAATTAACATTAATGTAAAGGATATTTGTAGTTATAAAACATTCGTGTACTATTTTTATTTTCATAAATATTTTTAAATCTAAATATTTTATTATTTTTATACCAGGTAGCATCCACGTCATCAATATTGGGTAACTGAGCAGTGACATGGCGGGTTGATCGTTTTAGTTAACGGTTTTGACCGTCGAACGTAACAATCAGTTTTGACCATCCAACTTGACGATCGGTTTTTGACCGTCCAACTTGACAATCATCTCTCAGAATTGGCCAATTTGATAAAATTTAAAAATAATGTTATTGATTGAAAATATTGTACACATTAAATTTCACATCCGGTAGAAAACAATAAAGTAAATAACAACGTTTGTAGTCTTGCTTAATTTTATAACAATAAGCCCACATAAATTAAGGCCCTTTTCATTCTCTCATTCTGTCCCTACTTTATTGCTACGTAAGGCCCATGTGTGAGTTAAAATGATGTTTACCTAAATGACCCTCCGTTCTCTGCGCAGAATGCAGGAAATTTTGATTTAATAGGATTATGGAGGAGAACCTCCATATAAGTATGGTTTAGATAAGTGTCCATCTAGCCCAATTAGTACGAGGCTTTTCGGGGAGGACACCCAAGAGTAAAACCGTGCGGGCTTGGCCCAAAGCGGACAATATCGTACTAATGAGCAGTTTTAATCGGCCAAAAAATGGAAATCGGACGATCGATCGAGGCCCACAGATATCTAGTGACAGAGACCAGGATGGATGGATATGCACCAAGCACCATATTGCATGATTCATATATTAGCCAAACCTTTTGAGTTGTCCATTAATATTTCGGAATGCCCTCTTCAAACTGTCATCGATCGGTCCACTCTTTAAGTTTGTTTGATTTTCCTTTGGTTTTGCTTAGGCGTTCCTTGTTATTCTTGAAGAACTGATCGTGGACAAGGAAAATGGAAAGGAAAAAAAAGGAACTACTTTGCTATGATTTTCAACAGAGACAGGCAAAAGTTGGCGGAGGAGATTATTAATATCACCAAGCAAACATAAGATTCATGATCTACACCCTTTTAATTACAACTCGCCTATACAGATTATAACAAGTCTACCAACAACAACAACAACAAAAGATTATAACAAATTGAGTAAAACGAACTAGATCCAAGTCTCCAACATTGTGTACCCAGCTCTTTCAATTATTATTATTATTATTATTATTATAATATTGCAAGTTAGCTCTTAATTATTCGATGAAGTTATAATTATAATTAGTATCATATCGCTGCAAAGTGCGAGCCAAAATACTAGTTTAATTAAAAGTGCAAGTTTACCATTCACTATTTTCATAGTTCCTTACGAAAAAACCGCTTAACCCCAATCCCTTCCGAAAACACTGTTCATTGTGTATTTATTATGGTTTTTTAATATAAGTTATAACATGACTGGATTCACAAAAAAATGAGAATTCATGTAACCTCTTCCCAAATTCTATCCATGACGTAACTACTAAATATATCTGATTGAATTTTTGCACCATCAATTTCAAGAACTTAATTGCATTATTAACAACCCTCAACTTGCATTACGCAAAGCTTTCATAAGGTAAAAAGAATTCTAAATAATATTTCCAACCTTTTCGAAAATAAAGTTTATTATTAGACCACAAATTATGATACTTTTCGTGAATTATTAGACCATAAAATATGAAAATATTTATGTAACACCGTTCTATAAAAATTAGGTAAATTAAAAATAACTATCGTCAAATTTATGATAGATAGTTATTTCTTTTTGTATTAATGGTACATTAAGTCTTTCGTAATGATTTAGACAATATGTAAAATTTATGAAAGAATAGTTATTTCTTATATATTAATTAAAAATAAATTATCCAGTCTTCCATAATATGAGTTTTATTGAAAATTTCTTTATTAATAAGGTAATTATTTTATTAGTAATAAAATTCCTTTATTCTTAACTACAATATTCACCATCCATCAGTTTGCATTATGCAAATGTTCCATAAGGTAAGTTAATTTTTACATAATAGTTCAATCAAATGTGATACTATTTTTTTTAACTTGATGTTATTATTAGATTATACATTATAAGAAAAATTTACGTAACACCATTCTAATAAATTGTATTTATCCTAAATATATTGGAGGAACAATTATTTGTTATGTATCATTAAAAAAATATAAGCATAATTTTTACCGCCGCGAAATGCAGACAAAAAACTAGTTATATATAACCAAGATTGTCAAATCAATTCATATCATTATGCTGATTTAACAAATAATATGATTCGACCACTCATACAACTGATTTGTGTCGGTTCATATATATTTAACATATAAATTTTCAATTACATATAATAGCCTACCCAACCTTTTTCATTGGCCCCTACTTCGAAGATAACAACTTCTAGGTACTATCATTTTCTTTTTTTAGAAGATAATTAGCCCTTGGCTAGTGGCCCCTTGTTCAAGCTTCTTACCCCTTGGCATTAATATACTATAGGGGTAGGGAGGGGATATACGGTCCGGTCCGGTTAAATTGATCCGAATTGATCCGGTCCCAATTTGGTCTTTTCGGGAATATAAGGATCAGAGATTGGATTGGATATAGTCCGGTTTTGATCTGGTCATGTCTTGACCCGGTCCGGTCCCAATTCAGTCTTGATTTTAGATTGAACTTGTGGAGATTTGACTGGCATGAGGCCTCAAAGGGTGAGGAGTTGGTTAAGTTTTGGGTATTGGGGTCTCTTATTCAGTCTATATCCGATTTTCGATCAGATCCCAAATGATTTCATATCACAAATCTAAACCCGAATATGAGATTGAATTGTTTGTTATCCCGTCTCGGTCGGGATTATACGGTCCGATTTCGGATAAAACCAAACCGTCCGGACCAAATAGTGAGCCTTACTACAAGGATCCATATTGAAGCTTCACCGACAGTATACACCCGTCCCGTGGCCCCGCGGGTCAGCTTTCCAAATTGAAAACTATAAACACGAAATTGTGTAATTAATAATCATCCATTAATTCTGATTGATCTGCACTGCATACCCTAATTGTTTATCTGAAGGTAGTACCAAAAGATACCCCGCCTACTTTTGGCTTCTGGGATGTGATCTTAACATTGATTAGCAGTAATTAACTAAGAGGAACTTTAATTACCATGCTAATGCATTGGTGTTTTGGGGTAAAAAAATTGAATCTGTGTTGTAATGTTGAAAATATAAATTATGCATGTATCATCGAAAAATTTGTACGAAACAATATAAGAATAAATTGAATTTGTATCACAATATTCCGTTACACATACTTAGTTTGCATCATAAAGAAATTTGTATGAAAATATACGGAACTTTGTACGGTAAAATTAAATTTATGTAATGTTTTTTTAAACGAAGTCACTCATACATACAAGCACAATTAATTAAGAATCTCATTAATTAATTAATATGTAAACCTCCCAATTAAGTTCCCCCCACCCACTTTGTATCAAGTGTCAACCGATTTGAGGCCGGCCTGGTGTGCATTCAATAGAACAAGGACGGCTGCAATGGTGTTCATTCATGGCCCTTTCTTGTATATTTGGGGACCATTATCGCCCTGAATCACATGCAATTGAAAGCCTTGTAATATATTATGAATATCTCCCTTCACCCACCCCATCACTTTCGATCGATAATTTGATATCCTTTGCTTGTGGACTTTGCTGTTCTTTACTTTTGGACCCATTGTCCTTGTTCCTTTTGACAGTAATCAGAACCGCTCTAAACACAATATAATGACGATAATACTTGATTAGCTTACGACATTCTCGAAAAAAAGGACCCAAAACAAAAATTCACCACCACACATTATTGGCTAAGTTGTCCAATGAATCAAACGCGTATAAATAAGTGTGATCCTGTGGTTTTAGCTTGGACAGTTGATGCCGTTTTAGGGGAATGCATGACGGCGGTAACTGAATTTTAGTAGCCATCGTGGCTACATCAATACCCACCATTTATTTTTCTCTTTTTTTTTATCTCATGGTTAAGATTGCTCTAGAGTAATTTTGGAAAAAGAAAAAAAAAATATACCAGATTATTCTATATATTCTACCCAAACTCTATTTCTGTGAGAAAGTATGGAATTTTAGAATTGAGGAAAATCTGATCTGATTCTCATTGAGTGATTCTGTAAACTAATATACAAGTTTTGGAGGAGATACAACCGTTGCACGTAGGCACTACACAGAAATGTAGGAACAGAAAGTTATGGAGAAAAACAATAAAAGAATAAAATAAAAAAATCATTTATTCCTAATACGCCCCCGCAAGACGGAGGAGGTGTCAACGATCTTGGCTCGGAGAAGAAGAAAGCGTGTGGCCGGTAACGGTTTGGTGAGAGCGTCGGCCAGTTGGTTTGTCGTGGGAACGTAGGAGACCTGAAGACGGCCAGCTTGGACCAGCTGGCGAACAAAATGATAGTCGAGGGCGAGATGTTTCATGCGAGAGTGAAAGACCGGGTTGGAGCTTAAGTATGTGGCGCCTAGATTGTCAGAGTAAACGGTAGGGGCGGCAGCTAGGGGATGATGTAGCTCGTGAAGAAGATTGCGGACCCATTCCAATTCGGCCGTGGCATTAGCAATGGCTCGGTACTCGGCCTCAGTGCTGGAGCGAGCAACAGTACGCTGTTTCTGTGAACGCCAAGAGATGAGGGTGGAGCCGAGGTAAACGAGATAGCTAGAAGTGGATGACCGATCATCAAGATTGCCGGCCCAGTCGGCATCCGCAAAGGCTGAGAGGGACAATGCACCAGGAGAGCGACGAATGGAGAGACCATGTGTGAGGGTGCCAGAGACATAGCGGAGTAGCCTCTTAACACACTGCCAATGAGAAGACTTCGGAGAATGCATGTACTGAGAGAGCTTGTTGACAGAGTAGGCAATGTCAGGGCGAGTGTAGACAAGATACTGGAGAGCACCAATAACCTGACGAAACCGAGTAGCATCGGTAGGAGGAGTCCCATCATCGAGAGTGAGAGAGGTGGAAGCCGCTAGGGGAGTGTCAACAGACTTAGCATCAGTCATCTGAAAGCGATTAAGAATATCAACCATGTACTTGTGCTGGGAGAGTATATAGCCAGTGGAGGTGGGAATAACCTCAATGCCCAGAAAATAATTAACATCCCCGAGAGCTTTGAGTGAAAACCGGTGAGAGAGGGCATGCTGGAAGGAGGCGAGAGTGCCAGGGTCGTTGCCAGTGAGCAATAAGTCATCAACATAGACCAAGAAATAGAGGAGTACCTTTCCATGAGAGTAGACAAACAGAGAAGCATCAGAATCAGTCTTCCGGAAGCCAAAGTCAACAAGGAAGGCACTCAAGGCAGTGTACCAGGCACGGGGAGCCTGACGAAGACCATAGATAGCACGGCGAAGACGACACACATGTTGAGGTCGGGAGGGGTCGACAAACCCCGGCGGCTGAACCATGTAAACCTCTTCCTCCAAAGGACCCTGAAGAAACGCATTGTTAACATCAAACTGGGCTATGGGCCAGGACTGGGAAAGAGCCAAGGTGAACACCGTTCGGACGGTGACGGGTTTGACAACAGGGTTGAAAGTATCAGTGAAGTCGAGACCCGGTCGTTGATAAAAACCCTTGGCAACAAGCCTCGTTTTGAACCAAGAAATAGAGCCATCGGGATGATGCTTGACACGATAGACCCAGCGATTGCCAAGAACGTGATAATGAGGCAGGCGAGGAACCAAGTCCCAAGTAGAATTAGCCAATAATGCGGAATGCTCGGAATGAAGAGCATCATTCCACTCAGGATACTGCAGGGCCTCATGAACAGATAATGGCTCAAGAGGAGGGGGCCCAACCGCCAGCTGAGTGTGGAAAAGCCGCTTCTTGGGCCTGAAAATGCCGTGCTGAGCTCGGGTGAGCATTTGATGGCTGCGAACTGGAGGTGGAGGCGGGCCAATAGGGGACAGCAGCCTGGAGGGAGGAGTGACCGGGTGGTCCGAGGAGGGCGGGGGCCCAGAAGAGGAAGTAGAGAGGGGCACGGGCCCAGAAGCGGATGCAGGCGGAGGCATGGGCCCAGAAGCGGACGGAGTAGAGGCGGGCAGGGGCCCTGGCGCTAAGGAGGACGCAGTGGGCTCGGGCCCAAATAATGAAGGACCTGCCGCAGGAGACGCCGCCAGGGGGGAGCTCGGATCTGGCCTTGTAGTGGAGAATGGTAAGTGGGCCGGAACAGTGCCAATTGTTGGAGTGAGATCCAAGAGCCAAGAGGCAGGAGAATGGGCCTCGACAGGAGCAGTAGGAAAACCTGGGAATTGAGACTCAAAGAAAACAACATGACCCGAGACAAAAAGGTGACATGTATGAGGATCAAAGCAACGATAGGCACTCCGTTGAGGACAATAACCAAGAAAAATACACGGTCGAGATCGAGGGTCTAGCTTGTGAGCCGAGTAGGGCCGAAGCCACGGATAACACAGGCAACCAAAAATACGAAGTTTATGATAATTAGGGGAAACATTGAAAAGAACAGTGTATGGAATGGCACCACGTAAGGCCGATGAAGGTGTAGACACCACATTTTGTCCGAGATAATTGTTTTATTGAAAATAATTTTGTCACGTCATACTACAATTATATTTAAATAGAAGTTGAAGATAGTTTGGTTGAGACTAGCAGTTGCAAGTCAATATGAATCAACAATTATCAAATTTGCTCCTAGTCGATTCTAGGGCCTAATTAGTTAAGATAGGACCGGTTTAAGTTAAGATTAGCAGTGGCAAATCTTACATATAAATTCTCAATTGGATGGAAGAAATGACTTTAGTGCAAATTTTGTTGCTCGAGTTTGGATTTGAATTCGGTATTTGAAATGGGACAAATTGAATAGTGGAATGAGCTTTATTATCAAAGATTGTACAACTTGGGTAATGACCTCTAAATGAAGCAAGAATTATAATTAACTACAATAACTAATGCTAACTCTACAAAATTTGGGGCACCAATCAGATCAAGACTAGGCCTCTTTGCTATTTCTTTTGGGCCCAAAGCAAACCCAACCTGCAGAAAAAAAGAAGACCAGTCAGTTCTCAAGTGAGAGTCCAAGTCCATAGATTAAGCCCAAATCAAAATAATTCAAGACTAGACAGAGCCCAGTATCGGCCCAGAAAATTTATGACAGGCCCAGCCCAGACAAACGTCCAACAAACAGGCCCAGCTCGGCCCATCGAAATCGGACCATAACCGAACCGGCCTGGTTCGGCCTGACCACATCCCATCCACAGCCGACCTCAACACCAGGCACACTCTTCAAAGTCATATTAAAAAAATGGACGAATTATATAGCGACACGTGGCCCTTTGGTTTGCTTTAAATGAGCTCCTTGAGCTCTTTGTTGTAGGGGGGACGAATGGAAAAAAGGAGAGAAACATACAGAAAATTCTAAAAAAAACAAGAGACTAATCTTTTCATTACAACAACTGAGCCCAGATCTGAAGGGTGGAGCACAAAGAAGTGTTCTTGGAGCAGAATTCCCAATCAGGTTGGTACTTTTGACTCTGCTTTAATGTTGATAGATAGCATTTTAGCTCGTTTCATCCAGTCTTGATCATTATACAGTTGCAATATCCATCAACTTGTATTGAAGCAATTTAATTTACAAACACTTCTGCATTCTTTACGTTCAAGAACTGTATTTACTTGTAATAAGATCTGCTCATAGCCATAGCAATTCCAATTCGGCATTAAGCTTCTTTCAATTGAGTATTTATTTACTTCTCCTATCAATTCATAGACTATTTTAAAGTTATGTTATGCTTTCCATTTCCTTGCAAGCAAATAGCTAGCCAATAGTCGATTTATCATATACAAGCAAATAGACAGAGGTCTTTAGAAACAAGCAAATAGATCCGGAGCAATCCAGATCTAGATACAACAAAAACACCCTAAATATGATAAAATTTCAGATTTCAAACTGTTGCAAAATCAAAAGCCGAGGCAGTGATTTGTAATTATCATTACCAAAAATATCAATTTTAGAGCATGTTAATTACTTTCCCATTACAGGAAATTATTTTCTTAGCAAATTCTAGCATGTCATGAGTTCCTTCTAAAACCACCCACCAAACCACCAAGCATAAAAAAATTCGAGATCATCAAACATATACACAACATATATAAAAATCACAGATCTGTAAACCGATTTAAAACTCGCAATTTATCATTTTTTTTTAGTTTAAGTTCCATAATCACTTTAACCATAGTTCAGGACGTCCTTACCCAAATCTGTTCACTCCCAAAACCTACCAAAGAGCCGAAAAGTAGAAATCAGAGCCTCGAATAAACAAAGAAAAAACCAAATAGCAAAAAGAAAAAAACCTACTTAGGTTAAACCCTCGCCGCCGGCTCTGGCGCAGGCCGCGCAACCGGCGACCGCCGCCCTTCCCTTCCTTCCCTCGGCAGAGATCCGAAACATAAACAATAAAAAAACACCAAAGCTCAAACAGGTTAAATCTCTATCTAATGCATAAATCGAACTAAAAGAGACATGCATGTAGAAAAATCTTACCAGAGGGTAAGAGTCACCCCTCGTCGCCATCGTTTTGGTGAGGAAGGTCGGGTTGAGATACTAGGCGAACAGGCGAGAGTCCCGCCTCGGTTCGAGTCGATTTCCGGAAAAACAAAAGAAAACGAAAAGAAACTTAGTAGAATCCATTTGAAAATCAGAAAATAGAAAGAAAAAAGGCCATGCATGTCTCGATCTTACCTAGATCGAAACCTTCTAGGCTGATTTAACTCGACGCAAGCGGTCTCCTTGGCTAACCGAGAGAAAGAAAGAGAGAGGGGCGGCGGTTGAAAGTCGAAGAGCGTTGTTTTAGGTTTTGATTTTGGTTTTTCTCTGGAAGGGAAGGAAGAAGAAGAGGCTGGCGGCGGTGAAAACCCAGAGGGGTTTTTGGTTCGAAGAAAAGAAGATGAGGGCGGCGCTGTTTTTGCTAGGGTTCTAGCTTGCTCTCTGGAAGAGAGACGAGAGATGGAGAGGCAGAAAGGTTTGAGAGATGGAGAGATAGAGAGTGGCGGCCGTTTTTGGTCTGATTGGATTAGGGTTTCCATTTTCGATTTAAGAGACAAATTTATACCCACCCGAAAACGACTAAACTACCCCTAGGGTTTATGGTTTATTACTTGGCCTTGCCACCGCGTTTTTGGTTATTTACGAAAATACCCTTTCCCCTTCTCTGAAGTAAAACGAAGGATCTATAAAAATTTGTTGCAAGGGGGTTTCGAACCCGTGTCCTCGCGCTCGAACAACGCGTTTAGGACTGACGTTTCGGCCAGTTGGGCTGCTGGCCCATCATGCACTGGCTTAATCATCTTGTTTAATTTTATTCTTATAAAATCCTTAGTACGAAATGAATTGCGGATTAAATTTATCTCGTTTCTTTTCAATACGTCACAATACTTCCTAATAACTAAAATACTTGCATTTGTTGTCATAACCTCATAATAATCTAAATGAATTTTTAATAACAATATTATAATACGAAATTCACGATCAGTGGAACGTGATTACGATTAAATTTTCAAAGTCCAAACGAACTACGTGGACTTTGATCCCGTCTAACGGGTACGTAGGCAACCGATAAGGTTCGAGTCCAACTAATCAACTAACTTTATCTTTAAATTTTTACGTCAGTGGGCGATAATTAAATTACAACTAATACGACTCAATCATTAAATGGTCCAGTGGGACCCTAAAATTACAAAATTATTACTAAAATACACCCAACTCGCATAAAAACTTATCGACTTAAGTAGTACCGATTTAGGGCGTTGTGGGGGTGTTGCTTAACTTCCCCACACGTAACCGTACTCCCGAACCCAGAACTTTATTTTCGCAGACCAGATCTCGGTTCTGACCCTAAGGTTAGAGCCGATCCTAAGAGTGTTCGATCCACTCCAAGTAAGATCGATGGCGACTCCCAAAAACGCCGACGCGACGACGTTCGGACCCCCGGACGGGACGGTTGCGACAGTTGGCGACTCCGCTGGGGACTATTAGAGAGTCGAGCTACATAATTAAGTTTGATAAGTTTTTCTAACTTCCTATTACGTGTTGGGTGTTTACTTTATTATTTGCGCAATTATATTTTCGCAATTTAATTCTGCATTCATGCATAAAAGCTCTATACCCGAGCTATCCTATTAGAAACGGAAAAGGAGTACCGTGACATCCACAGTAGTGGTAGTCACGCAAAACTTTCTAACCAAGTTGAACTCGGATCCAAGGATGATCTCGAGGTATCTAGCCAGTTCGAAAGGGCTACGGCAGGATACAACTTGGGAACCAAATCCCTAGGAATTTCTCTGCCAGCATATAGTAAGCATAGAGGCCTCCCTAAACCGTCCAAAACAATCCCCAAAGACACCATGAAACCGTGTCGTTACGCCATTCGAAAGCCCTATGTCTACCTAATTAGGGTAATGATGTAATGATATGTGTTTGCTTATCCAGATGTATGTTTGATTACGATGTAATGATGTGCGTTTTATCTTTTACTCGTAAAACTGTGTGATTGCATTAATGAAAAACGTTTTGAAAATTCATAAACATTGTTCTCTCATAAGATTTTCATTCACCCATTCACAATTTTATCATAAGAAGCTTAAAAATGCATGCATGAGATGAAAAATGATTTTGCATTCATACATCATTGCATTTTTGCATAAGCATCATGCATAAATATAAAGAACAAAATTAATTTAACACTGTTGAGACAAAATCAGGTTTCCTTAAAATTGCTCGTCCACAAGGAAAAAGTCAGGACTTCAAGTACTTAACTAAATCCAAGCTCGAGTTCGTCATGGAAGTGTTCCAGAAAAAGTTAAGCGACATTGAAGGAAAGATAACCGGATTCGATGAAAAGCTAGCCGGGTTCGATGAAATGAAGGATCAACTGAATATGATAGTAAATATCTTATTAGCTAAAGGGAAAGGGGTAGTATCTAACGATGGAGAAATACACTCTGATGAAGAAGATCGCGATGGGAACATGAAAGGTGAAGCTTCTAGTGCCAAGATCCCCGTCATACCCTCAAAAGACGTATTTGAAAAGAAGAACATGGGATCTCCAATACATGATCGAGAGGAAGACAAATTGGAAGAAGCCATGGACGACGTCCTATTAAAAGAAAAATGGGAATACCTGGATGAAAGGGTGAGAGCAATTGAGGGGGTAGAATCCTATGGTTCTACAGATGCCAAACAATTGTGCCTAGTGCCAGACGTAATAATTCCCAATAAATTTAAAATTCCAGAGTTTGAAAAGTATGACGGTACCACGTGCCCCAGAAACCATCTGATCATGTATTGCAACAAAATGGCTAACCACATTAGAGACGACAAGCTCATGATACATTGCTTCCAGAATAGCCTAAGTGGTTCGGCGCTAAGATGGTATATGCAACTCGAAAGATCGAAGGTGAAGAGGTGGCAAGATTTAGCTGATGCGTTCATAAGACATTACAAGCACAACCAAGATCTAGCTCCTGACCGAGAAGATTTACGTAACATGGAAAAGCAAGAAAATGAATCTTTCCGTGAATATGCACAGAGGTGGCGAGGAAAGGCCGCAGATGTTCAACCCCCGTTGTCAGAAAAAGAAATGGTTTCGACCTTCTTCGAAACACTAAAGCCTCCATATTACAACAACATGGTAGGAATCACTACAACAAACTTTGCTGATTTGTTAGTAATTGGAGAACGAATAGAGAAGGGGATTAAGCTAGGAAAAATGGAAATCCCAGAAGCCTCTAAGAAACCGCACCAAGCCCGAAGGGGAGAAGGAGAAGTCAATTATACTCAAACAGAATCATCAAGAGGGAGAAGGTGGGATCATCAACCTCAGGCCAATCAAGCTCGTCCCCATGTTGCAAACCCTGCCATGATTAGACATCCAACTTTTTCTACTCAACGAACAATCCAAAGCCCGACACAAATCGCACCACCAAATAACCAAGACCAGAACAATCCCGGGAAATACAAAAAACCTCTCCAAATCGACCCTATCCCCATTACATACACCGAACTTCTCCCCCAACTAATTCAGAGTCACCTAATTTCCCCAATACCATGTGAGCCAATGAAACCTCCATATCCAAATTGGTACAGGTCAGATCAACACTGTGCTTACCACTCAGGAGTAGCGGGACACTCAACTGAAGATTGTCGAATGTTCAAGATCAAAGTCCAACAAATGATGAAAGCTGGTTGGTTAAAGTTTGAAGAAGATCCTAAATCCCCAGACGTCAGCAACAACCCACTGCCAACTCATGAGAATTAGTAGGCATGTTACAAGGCAAAGCTCGATTCAAGGATGATGTTGATCCTATCTAATAAATGAACTATCGAGATTATTGCCATAGCAAAATATGTATCACTTTTGCTTTTATCATCATAAATAAAAGGTCTCTCATGTTTCGACCTCTTTGGAGCATCAAGTGAACAGTGTCAATCTTTATTTAAGAGTTCGCATCAATGATTTGTTTGTATAACAAATGCCACTTCCAATCTTAAAAAAAAAAAAAAAAATTCTAAAAAAATGAAAGCCATCAAAATCCAGTTTTATTTTCAAGCTAAAGCCATGAGATTTTCATGCCAAAAAAAATGTGAGTACCCCACTGGTGCTGAGATTTGGGACACCCCACTGGTGTCAAGTGATTATAAACACCATGCTACTGTCAATAATTTGAACACCCACTGGTGTTAAGAGTGTACGTGTTTTGCTAAAATCGAGAGATAAACACCCTACTGGTGACCATGAATAGTCAAAAGGTGTAATGAGTATACGACATCATGCTACTTGTAGAATCTCGTCACCATTATAGTCGACTTTCACCACCAAATTGAGGCTCAGTTTACGTGAAGTCAAATAGCCAAACCCCGATGCACATGGAGCCAAACATTTCTATAATAGCAAGAAAACCCTCTCAGAGTCTCACGAGTGAAGCACTCATATATACAAACAAGCACATTGCGTCAGAATCCTCGCTTGTACGGAAAAAAGAATAGTCTATTCAACCTAGCCAACGAGAAGAGGCACCCACATTATCAATCATCAAGACAAACTCTCCACTTTTCGATACTACTCCTACCAAAGACAAATTCTAGATCAAGGAAAATGAGAAGCACATATGGGGGCATACCATAGCCAAGTAAGTCCCGCACGAAGAAAAAAGCTGGAAAAAAATAAATAAATATTTTGTGGGACTTACAAATTAGGTGCCCCTAATTAAGCATTTGAAGTATCAACCGCATGCATCAAGTCAAGGTCTTACAAGGAAAATATAATGACCTCAAGCCAAGACCTTCCATGATAAGAAAGCCTTTTCGGCCAAAATCACTTCGTCCCAGATATTCATCATTTTGAGAGCAAGTCAGAAGCTAAAGCTCCACCACAACCCACATTTAGAGGTCAAACAAAAACCTTGACAAGTCCATAACCAGATTACATTCGCAAAAACTTCAAAACCACGACTCTTGAAACCATAATCTCAAAGACAGGGGGCAAAGCCAGCCAAACACACATTCCCCCAAATATGCTCAAGATTGGCGACATTTTCAAACAAATCTTCGCCGAAAAAAGTCCGGGATAGTAGTAGTTCTCAACCTATCATGTCAATCCCATACATTGGGGGCAAAACCAGAATCCCTCTACAAGAAGCCTTAGGGGTAATACCAAAATCTGACTTATCTGTCACCCATCTGGATAAACCACACTTCAAGAGCAAGAAGCCTCTTTTATGGGAGATCAAAACGTCTGCGATGAACCATATGGTGATCTTCTAAATCAATTGCATCAAGGGCTTCCACATTAAGTAAATCTTCACAAGAAACGCAGTTGGCCACCAACATAAAATGAGACATCTCAAGGTGACCAGAATCTTAATGGTAGCTGAAATGTCGTACACTCAAATCACCTATAGGAATTAGTGGTGAGCAGAACCAAAAGTGGAAGTGAGAGCGAGCAAAATCAAAAGCAAGAGTGAGAGTGAGGGCTTACTGATATTCTCATGGCTTGACTTACACTTCTTTTATTGAAAAAATCAAATTTGACCACATGGCAACTACCACGCAAAAACGATTTTATCCAATTTGCACACACTTCACAAAGCAAAGTCTTAATATGGCTTTCATTATTAATTCTCCAATAAACATTTTCAAACATTGTTGCATTCATCTTAAGTCAAGATTGATAAAGTCACTCTTTGTTCTGGAGAATAGAAAGTGAGCAACAGATCTTTGGGGGGCAAAAACGGTGCAGTATGGAAGAAGGGGAAGTCTGAGTACCCAAGAATCAGATTATTCAACTTCACTCATGAGCTGATGAAGAAATCTCAAAGGGATTTGAGAACATTCAAATCTCATTAAACCAACCATCCAACTTATTATCCTTAAACTTCAGGGTCAGAAGGAGAGGGGACCAATATACTGCACATACCAAGAGATGCACAACTCTGAAATATGTGGGTCCAAACTTGACCGACAAGAAGAACAGAGATAAAACACATCATTACCTTAGCTCACAAAGTATATCTTCGCGCAACTACCACCAAGAAGATATACCTCAGGACAACAAGTTCAAAATCGCTTCAGCATTAGCACGAACTATGGATCAAGTTGATCGAAAGGGATTGACAATCTTCGAAGATGAGCAATTTAAAGGAAACCCAGACAAAAATTGCATAGAGATTATCAAATGCATCAGATCTTCTTTTCACTCAACATTCACGACTTCATCAATTTCGAAAATCATTTTGATACTCCTTAAACAACATCATATGTTAAAATGGGTCATGCATTTATTGCCAGCAATTCCCAAAATAACTCATACATTTAATTGGATTTCCGATGTTTGTAAAAAGGAATCGCTACAAGATACAACAACTACATTCACGTGAATTCTTCAAGTCTCATGTTTAGCTTTGACGTGCATTTATGACAAGTCATAACAACGGTTTAGGAACGTCCTAAGCAAATACCATGAACATACGATATCGGTGCGGGCGAACAATCGCGAGCCCTCTAATAGACTTATTCCGTCGACTATCACGGACATTACAAAAACTACCTAGTCAATTTGTTTCGTCGACTATCACGAGCAAATTAGACCATCTTTGTGACTTGTTCCGTCGACTATCACGGACAATTCAAAAATTACCTAGTCAATTTGTTTCGTGGACTATCACGAACAAATTGGATCCCTGCTAAGTTTGTTCCGTCGACTATCATGGACATTACAAAAACTACCTAGTCAATTTGCTTCGTCGACTATCACGAGCAAATTAGACCATCTTTTTAACTTGTTCCGTCGACTATCACGGGCAAATAAAAATTACCTAGCCAATTTGCTTCGTCGACTATCACGAGCAAATTAAAACCCCCCTACTAAATTCGTTCCGTCGACTATCACGGGCAATTTAGAAAACCTAGTCAATTTGCTTCGTCGACTATCACGAGCAAATTGAAACCCTCATGCTAAACTTGTTTCGTCGATTATCACGGACAATTTAAAGAACCTACTCAATTTGCTTCGTCGACTATCACGAGCAAATTATACCCTCTGCTAAACATGTTTTGTCGACTATCACGGGCAGTTTAGATAACTAAGTAAATTTGCTTCGTCGGCTTTCACGAGCAAATGAGATCCCTCCTTCTAAAACTTGTTTCGTCGACTATCACGGACAATGTAGAAAACCTAACCCCGCTCCGCGTACCGCGAGGGGGCAACCAAATTCCCGAGTCTGCTTACCGCAACCGAAAGGAAAAAACCCTTCACCCACTCTGCATACCGCAAGGGGGCAACCGAAATCCCAAGTATGCTCTACCGCCATGGGAATAAATCTACACCCACTTTGCTTACCACACCGGGCAACCAAATTCCAAATTCTTCCCTACAGCCACGGGAACAAATCAATACCTCACAGGAGCTGGCGAGCCCCTCTATCAGTCAACAACGCATGGGAGCTGAGGAGCACCCCTACAAAATCAATACCTCATGGGAGCTGAGGAGCACCCCTACAAAATCAATACCTCACGGGAGCTGAGGAGCACCCCTACCAAATCAATACCTCATGGGAGCTGAGGAGCACCCCTACCAAATCAATACCGCATGGGAGCTGAGGAGCACCCTTACCAAATCAATACCTCACGGGAGCTGAGGAGCACCCCTACCAAATCAATACCTCACGGGAGCTGAGGAGCACCCCTACAAAATCAATACCTCACAGGAGCTGGCGAGCCCCTCTATCAGTTAACAACGCACGGGAGCTGAGGAGCGCCCCTACCATTCAATACCTCACGGGAGCTGAGGAGCACCCCTACAAAATCAATACCTCACAGGAGCTGGCGAGCCCCTCTATCATTCAATAACGCATAAGAGATAAAGAGCACCCCAACCAGTAAATACCTAACCGGAGCCGGCAAGCGCTAAAGAAATATAGCAGAAGATGATTGACGAGCATCAGAAAATCCGTCAACGATGTTAAGTGTCAACAAAGTACTGTAGAGTGAGTACAAGAAAATTTATCGCGTTGACGAACGCTATATAAGTACGTAAATTTTCCCTCATTGGTGAAGGCTATCAAAGAAATTGAAGCCCTCGCAATCAGCGATCTCATACCAACACACAAAACTAACAACAGTTCTCACATAAAAAATAAAAAACCCTACTCTCCTTGAAACTCTAACACAACTATCGAGACTACTCTCACAAAATGTGATGTCTTTATAGACACTTTGTATAACTCTTTATACAAAGAGATATACAAAGGGGGGCAACTGTAGACACCACATTTTGTCCGAGATAATTGTTTTATTGAAAATAATTTTGTCACGTCATACTACAATTATATTTAAATAGAAGTTGAAGATAGTTTGGTTGAGACTAGCAGTTGCAAGTCAATATGAATCAACAATTATCAAATTTGCTCCTAGTCGATTCTAGGGCCTAATTAGTTAAGATAGGACCGGTTTAAGTTAAGATTAGCAGTGGCAAATCTTACATATAAATTCTCAATTGGATGGAAGAAATGACTTTAGTGCAAATTTTGTTGCTCGAGTTTGGATTTGAATTCGGTATTTGAAATGGGACAAATTGAATAGTGGAATGAGCTTTATTATCAAAGATTGTACAACTTGGGTAATGACCTCTAAATGAAGCAAGAATTATAATTAACTACAATAACTAATGCTAACTCTACAAAATTTGGGGCACCAATCAGATCAAGACTAGGCCTCTTTGCTATTTCTTTTGGGCCCAAAGCAAACCCAACCTGCAGAAAAAAAGAAGACCAGTCAGTTCTCAAGTGAGAGTCCAAGTCCATAGATTAAGCCCAAATCAAAATAATTCAAGACTAGACAGAGCCCAGTATCGGCCCAGAAAATTTATGACAGGCCCAGCCCAGACAAACGTCCAACAAACAGGCCCAGCTCGGCCCATCGAAATCGGACCATAACCGAACCGGCCTGGTTCGGCCTGACCACATCCCATCCACAGCCGACCTCAACACCAGGCACACTCTTCAAAGTCATATTAAAAAAATGGACGAATTATATAGCGACACGTGGCCCTTTGGTTTGCTTTAAATGAGCTCCTTGAGCTCTTTGTTGTAGGGGGGACGAATGGAAAAAAGGAGAGAAACATACAGAAAATTCTAAAAAAAACAAGAGACTAATCTTTTCATTACAACAACTGAGCCCAGATCTGAAGGGTGGAGCACAAAGAAGTGTTCTTGGAGCAGAATTCCCAATCAGGTTGGTACTTTTGACTCTGCTTTAATGTTGATAGATAGCATTTTAGCTCGTTTCATCCAGTCTTGATCATTATACAGTTGCAATATCCATCAACTTGTATTGAAGCAATTTAATTTACAAACACTTCTGCATTCTTTACGTTCAAGAACTGTATTTACTTGTAATAAGATCTGCTCATAGCCATAGCAATTCCAATTCGGCATTAAGCTTCTTTCAATTGAGTATTTATTTACTTCTCCTATCAATTCATAGACTATTTTAAAGTTATGTTATGCTTTCCATTTCCTTGCAAGCAAATAGCTAGCCAATAGTCGATTTATCATATACAAGCAAATAGACAGAGGTCTTTAGAAACAAGCAAATAGATCCGGAGCAATCCAGATCTAGATACAACAAAAACACCCTAAATATGATAAAATTTCAGATTTCAAACTGTTGCAAAATCAAAAGCCGAGGCAGTGATTTGTAATTATCATTACCAAAAATATCAATTTTAGAGCATGTTAATTACTTTCCCATTACAGGAAATTATTTTCTTAGCAAATTCTAGCATGTCATGAGTTCCTTCTAAAACCACCCACCAAACCACCAAGCATAAAAAAATTCGAGATCATCAAACATATACACAACATATATAAAAATCACAGATCTGTAAACCGATTTAAAACTCGCAATTTATCATTTTTTTTTAGTTTAAGTTCCATAATCACTTTAACCATAGTTCAGGACGTCCTTACCCAAATCTGTTCACTCCCAAAACCTACCAAAGAGCCGAAAAGTAGAAATCAGAGCCTCGAATAAACAAAGAAAAAACCAAATAGCAAAAAGAAAAAAACCTACTTAGGTTAAACCCTCGCCGCCGGCTCTGGCGCAGGCCGCGCAACCGGCGACCGCCGCCCTTCCCTTCCTTCCCTCGGCAGAGATCCGAAACATAAACAATAAAAAAACACCAAAGCTCAAACAGGTTAAATCTCTATCTAATGCATAAATCGAACTAAAAGAGACATGCATGTAGAAAAATCTTACCAGAGGGTAAGAGTCACCCCTCGTCGCCATCGTTTTGGTGAGGAAGGTCGGGTTGAGATACTAGGCGAACAGGCGAGAGTCCCGCCTCGGTTCGAGTCGATTTCCGGAAAAACAAAAGAAAACGAAAAGAAACTTAGTAGAATCCATTTGAAAATCAGAAAATAGAAAGAAAAAAGGCCATGCATGTCTCGATCTTACCTAGATCGAAACCTTCTAGGCTGATTTAACTCGACGCAAGCGGTCTCCTTGGCTAACCGAGAGAAAGAAAGAGAGAGGGGCGGCGGTTGAAAGTCGAAGAGCGTTGTTTTAGGTTTTGATTTTGGTTTTTCTCTGGAAGGGAAGGAAGAAGAAGAGGCTGGCGGCGGTGAAAACCCAGAGGGGTTTTTGGTTCGAAGAAAAGAAGATGAGGGCGGCGCTGTTTTTGCTAGGGTTCTAGCTTGCTCTCTGGAAGAGAGACGAGAGATGGAGAGGCAGAAAGGTTTGAGAGATGGAGAGATAGAGAGTGGCGGCCGTTTTTGGTCTGATTGGATTAGGGTTTCCATTTTCGATTTAAGAGACAAATTTATACCCACCCGAAAACGACTAAACTACCCCTAGGGTTTATGGTTTATTACTTGGCCTTGCCACCGCGTTTTTGGTTATTTACGAAAATACCCTTTCCCCTTCTCTGAAGTAAAACGAAGGATCTATAAAAATTTGTTGCAAGGGGGTTTCGAACCCGTGTCCTCGCGCTCGAACAACGCGTTTAGGACTGACGTTTCGGCCAGTTGGGCTGCTGGCCCATCATGCACTGGCTTAATCATCTTGTTTAATTTTATTCTTATAAAATCCTTAGTACGAAATGAATTGCGGATTAAATTTATCTCGTTTCTTTTCAATACGTCACAATACTTCCTAATAACTAAAATACTTGCATTTGTTGTCATAACCTCATAATAATCTAAATGAATTTTTAATAACAATATTATAATACGAAATTCACGATCAGTGGAACGTGATTACGATTAAATTTTCAAAGTCCAAACGAACTACGTGGACTTTGATCCCGTCTAACGGGTACGTAGGCAACCGATAAGGTTCGAGTCCAACTAATCAACTAACTTTATCTTTAAATTTTTACGTCAGTGGGCGATAATTAAATTACAACTAATACGACTCAATCATTAAATGGTCCAGTGGGACCCTAAAATTACAAAATTATTACTAAAATACACCCAACTCGCATAAAAACTTATCGACTTAAGTAGTACCGATTTAGGGCGTTGTGGGGGTGTTGCTTAACTTCCCCACACGTAACCGTACTCCCGAACCCAGAACTTTATTTTCGCAGACCAGATCTCGGTTCTGACCCTAAGGTTAGAGCCGATCCTAAGAGTGTTCGATCCACTCCAAGTAAGATCGATGGCGACTCCCAAAAACGCCGACGCGACGACGTTCGGACCCCCGGACGGGACGGTTGCGACAGAAGGCATACGATTAATGAGATAAACAGCAGTGGAGAAGGCAAACGACCAAAAAGACGTCGGAAGTTTAGCATAATGAAGAAGAGTGATACCCGTTTCGACCAAATGACGATGTTTCCGCTCAGCCAGCCCATTATGTTCGGGAGTATGAGGAGGAGTGAGAAGATGGGTTATACCATGACGAATGAGATCAAAGCGCAGTTTAATGATAATCACAATACCAATACGGCAATACCAATCCAATGAACACCACCAGAATCAATCCAATATTAAATTTGTACCAATACAATCAGTACATATTCAAGACAACTATCAATGCTGATCACTACCAGTGCAACCATACAAAGTGAGTAACACTATGAATCCAAACCTCACAGAACCCTATGGTGTTTTAATTGTTGTAATAATTACTTTCCGTAATTATATCTCCCTAATTATCACGTAATTAATATGATAGTTATGATTATAATAAAAGCAAAATATCATTCATAATCATATCCTTTGTAACCACGGTGATTATAATTACCATAACTTGTTCACCATTTTAGGGCTCCTGGCAAAACTCATTAGGGGTGGCTATACGGTCCGATCCGGTTAAATTGGCCCAAATTGATCCGGTCCAGTCCGGTCTTTTTGAAAATATAAGGACTAAAGATTGGATTGGATACAGTCCGGTCTTGACCCGGTCCGGTCCCAATTCGGTCTTGATTTTATATTGAGCTTGTGAGGATTTGAGTGGTCTAAGGCCTTAAAGGGTGAGGAGTTGGTTAAGTTTTGTACTAAGTGCAAAGGTTTGTGACCATTTATGCAAATTACTCTTAAGTTTTGAGTGTTGAGCTCTCTTATCCGGTCTTTATCCAGTTTTTGATCCGGTCCCGTATGGTTTTTTACCTCAAATCTAAGCCTAAATATTGGATTGAATTGTTTACTATCCTATCCCGATCCGGTCTCAGTCCAGATTATACGATCCGGTTTCGGGTAAAACCAAATAGCCAGCACTAAAACTCATTAGTCAATTATCGGGTAACTAACTGAGTTTTTTAGTTTCTTCTTCTTCATCAAAACTGAAATTTTATATGAGAACGAATTTCATTATCGTGTCAGGTAATTGTCAAAGGAAAGCTGTACGTGCCACTATTTTGGAGGGAGTAACGTACGTACTATAAACCTAATAATGCATGCAGGTGTCCTTATTTACTACTGTTTCTGTTGCTATCTTTTTTCATGAGTTGTCACCCATTGGAACCTAATTTACTTTTTTTTTATAAAGTATTAGAAGAGACACTCGCTCAGTTGTCATGTGTCAGTTGGGCTTGGACGGTCCTCATCGATATTTAATTTGACACAAATTATGGATCAATTCCATTGTGATCATGGATACACCAAAGGTTATCACAATTTTTCTATAGGTTTGCTTAGGAATCCATCGTATCACATACATACTCGTTGATAGCTTCTCAAACTTTCAAATGTAATTAAATTTACATGTAAAAAATTGTATCAAATTTCAAAAATAGACTATTTGATAAGCCTCTGACCTCTCTCTAGCTAGCTCCATTCTCCAGTAACAAAGTAAATCTTTTAGTCCTCCTCTCGTACAAATTTTTTACTCTGCCACTGCACATATGTTCTGGTTCTATCATGGGACACATGTAAGTTTTGGTAAAAAAAAAAATAGCAAATTCCTATGTATTCGCATGAAAGGGATTGATTTCATCACCTTGTGGCGAAATAAGAGTACTTTCCTACTGCAGTGCAACTCATATTTTGTTACAGGAAAAACGTGTAATTAATTGATAACACAATATAAAATCCTTATTGAATTAATTTATATGATTTTGAATAAAGGACACATGTACATTTATACTTAGTTACACGATAACACGTTACATACGAATACAAAAATAGTTGGACAAATACTTCAGTAGAAAAAGGAGGGGAGAAAAACATCAGAGCTCGTTTGGAGAATTGGAGTCTAAATCTCTAGATTTTAGACAATCCAAAGATTTTAACTCTCTGAATTGTTGAAAAAAGATTTGAAAATGTTCATTGTTTGGTAACTATGATTGTTAACATCCAATGAAAAAAGAAATTATATTTTTTTATAACATAACATGTTTATCTTTAACCAAAATAATTAGATTGGTTCGAAAAATATTGAGAATTTATTGGTAAGGATATTTAGTGGGATAAATGGGAAAAAAAACAAGACATATAATACGAGGGAGAAAATCTCCAAAATCAAGATGTAGAATCTCTCTAATTATGAGAGATTTGATATCTTAAGATTTTATAGATTTACAATCTCTGAGGTTACAATCCACGATGCAAAAAGTAGCAAAAAAAACATAACATTTTGCTAAATCTATGGATTCAATAAATCCACGATCCAAATCTTGTTCTCCAAACGACCCCTTAGTTGGAATGTTTTAAAAACGATACACTTTTACAATGCACTTCATACATTCATTGTATACTCAAATGATACTCTGTGAGACCCAATTTTATCAGGATTAGGGAAGGGTGCAGATACTAATTGTTTTCGCGGGGCATTAATTAATACCTAACTTCCGAATTGGCCCTATCTAACCATAATTAAAAAAATTCCTATTCAATATTAATTAGCAGTGGCTATATGATCCGGTCCGGTTAAATTTGACCAAATTGATCCTGTCCCAGTCCGGTCTTTTCGGGAATATAAGGACCAAAAATTGGATTGGATACAGTCCGGTCTTGATCCGGTTCGGTCCCAATTTTATCTTGATTTTAGGTGTTGGGGGTCTCCTATCCGGTCTTTATCCGGGGTTTTTACCTCAAATCTAAGCCCGAATATGAGATTGAATTGTTTGCTATCCGGTCTCAATCCAGTCCCGATCCGAGTTATACGATCCGGTTTCGAGTAAAACCAAACAGTGAGACCAAATAACCAGCCCTAATATTAATGGAGTAGAGGATGTTCGAAGCGCGAGAGAACCACCTCCACCTAAGTGAAGTTTCGTCACCAATGTACAAATATATAACTCAATGAATGGTTGCGCGGTTAGTTAAATCGAAATTATATAATCTCCTGTAACTGTGAGGGAAAAGTACACGTCAGGGAGTAAGGGCCTTGGGGAGCGGCGTGGCAGTCTGTGGTTGGATGGAGTGGGTGAGGTGGACCCCACTTTCAAAAATGGGGAGGTCCACGTGTACTGCAGGTAGTAGATTCAGAGTTCACGACTTCACGTGAGCTTTGTAGCTGCCGCTCAGTGACTCGCCAGTCGCCACTTAGTAGCAGCAGCGTGAGAGCAGGGAAAAGAAAGAAAAAAAATAAACAGGTCGGATATGGCGGAAATGGTCACGGGAGTTTGGGATCACTAGCAATTATTAGTACTTAGATTTTGTACCTTTAACATTATTTGAAATCGAGGTGAAACAGGGTTACTTGGACGAATATCCTATTATTGTTGGGGAGATGGAATTGGATGAAGTGCGAATTTGCTGAAGCTTAACACTAATAATATCCTATTATTAGTGTTTGTATTTCTCGTTTTAGGGTTTCAAGCTCATTTTAAGGCTTCGTGCATGGAAAATGTGGGAGGAGACTCTCAAATTCTAGAGGGAGAGAGAGTTCACAGGCTCACTAGTGGCTTAAAGGTTTGTAAGGGCATTTTTACGGTTGCCCAGGAATATTTTTTCAAGTGTAAATTCAGATATTTGGAGGAAAAACTCCTAGAGCGGCTTCAGGGGTGGAAGCAAAAGACGTTGTTGTGGGCTGCTAAGGAAACTTTAATTAAGTCCATAGCATTGGCTCTTCAATTGGTTAGCTGGATGGATAAGCCGAGCTGGATTAAAGTTTGGGAGGCAAAAATTCCTCCGAAGTTGAAGGTATTTGTTTGGCAAATTCTTAATCGGGCTCTGCCGACTATGGAGGCGCTTATTGAGAAAAAGGTCCCGGTGCTACAACGGTGTCCATTTTGTTGGGATGGCCCAGAGACAATGGAACACTTGTTCCTTTATTGTCCGGTGGCGCGGGCTCTCTGGGATTATTCTGGGCTGGAATAGTTGAGAGAGGGTTTGCCTCGGCAGACTTTTCCTTTGTTTCTCAAACGTCTGTTGGGTTTGATCCATCACCCATCGATGGTTATGGCTGTTGTTGCCATTCTTTGGAGGATCTGGAGATCTCGGAATCGGGTGGTCTTTGAAGGCAAGCAATTTGGGATCCCGGCACTCATGCGACAGTTTTACCAGCAGTATGAGGAATGGATGGGTCTTCCGGCGGATCAGGCGCCTAGGGTACAACTCCCGATAATGCCCTCAACATCACATTTGGATGATTCCCATTGGGTTTGCATGTGGGACGGGGCTACTAAGAGTGGGTCTCATCCGGCTAGTAGGATGGTTCTTTTTGACCCAGCTCGGACACTCTTTCTGGCTAGAGGGGTCCAGTTTGCTCAAATGGATGATCCTGCTGTGGTGGAATTGCATGTGCTTAGGGAAGCTATTATTTGGTGTATGGAGCAAGATTTGTCGGAGGTCCGATTTGAGGGCGATGCGAAGGTGATAATCGACAAAATTAATCAGGCCAACACAAGAGATAGCCGGTTGGGTGCTGTTCTTGAAGAGATTGATCAGTATTTTCGTGCTCAGCCTGGCTTTAGTGTGCGTTTTGTAGGTCGGGAGAACAATAGGGTAGCTCATTTGGTAGCTAGGAAAGCCCTCTCTTTGTACCCGACTATGAGTTGCTTTTTTGATTTCCAGACCTGGCTGGTTTCCAGGGTGTAACTATCTTCTTATTTGATCAATATATGATATCTTTTGACAAAAAAAAAGATCGACATCGTTCGTACGTAACTAGACAAAATTATGAAATGCAAGTTCGATAAAAGTAGTGATCAATTTGTTAATCGCTCTAGATCAAGTTCGATAAGAGTTACAATTTGGTGCAAATAAGGGTTTGGTTCGATGGTAATATTATATTAGTTTTAAATCCGAAGGTTTAATTAAGGTTCGAATTCATTCAGTAACACCTAACTAAAAACTGAACATATATATATCACCCCTTATTAAAAAATAGTTACAAATCGGTTCTTCAACTGTGAGAATCTACAATTGAGAAAATGTAGTGTGTATTGATTTCTTCAACTGCATGCATGGTCGTTTGGAGAATATAAGTTTAAATTTATAGATTGTCAACAATCTAAAAATTCTAACTCTTCGGATTGTTGAAAATAAATTTTGAAATGTTTATTATTTGGTAACTATGATTGTAAACAGTCAATGAAAATAATTTTTTTAATTTATATTAAATAACATGTTTATCCTTAATAAAAAAATTAGAGTGGTTCGAGAAATATTAAAAAACTTTTTTGATAAATATATTTAATATTATAAATAAATATAAGAAAGAAAGAAAGAGAAAAGGTAGGAGAAAAAAAATCTCACAAATCAAGATATAGAATCTCTCTGATTATGAAAGATTTGATATACGTAAATTTAGAGTTTTGAAATCTCTAAAGCTAAAATCTACCATACAAAAAGCAACAAAAAACATAAATTTCTACAAAAAAAACTACGGACTTAATGAATCCACGCCTTAAATCCTGTTCTCCAAACCACCCCACAGCTATCGAAATTTCATACGAGGAGCTCAGATTTCATTTTTACATGCATTTTTCTTTTTGATGGATTTGTACATGCATTTGAGAAAAGCTAAACAAGCTGCTTTTATATTATTTTCATTCTACTATTTACTAAACAACGATTTTGATTTCATGTGCTTTTATTTGTTGATTTCTAAATTTACGAGCAAGATCAGATATATAGAATTACATATGAATTTTAAATAACACAATGATCGATCAATTTCTAATAATAAAAATTATAATCAAAATCATAATGTTCTCTTCTCCTCCGATTACCCATTAGGAATCAGAACATCCCACAATGAAATAGGGTAACTTGGTTGACAAAGGTCATGCACAAAACCTCCAATATCATGCTCTAGAAGTATCATCTGGTTTCGTACTTTCATATCATCTTTCGGATTCGCTGTAGAGTTTTTGGCGATCAATCAACACAAATCCAGTTATAATTTGTCAAAATATTTTCTAGGAATTACATATGTTAAGTTTAATTGATATGATCTATATATGCCACATGATCCATGCACGTTCAACGAAAGCCTACTCCACCATTTCTGATTTTTCTGACGACAAATTGCCTGTAAGTAATAATTTGTCCAATTTAAAGTACACAAAATCGCATCTAATCATGAAGCAGCGATGTAACGCCATAATTAAAACTGAAATTATACCTACTAATTATTATTATGATATCAGGGTTCCTCCTTTTCCTACTTTAGCGTTGTATCAAAACATTAGATATACTTGTCAAACAAAAATGTAAGCTCATTATGCAGCTGATTATATTTTTAACGTGAATACATATATATGATTACTCGCAATAACATCGGATTAAGGTGTAACCACTAACAACAAGTGCTTAACATCATATTCGTAGACCCAATCTTCAAGAAATTGAGCACATGGAAATAATACTTCGAAAAATCATTTCAAAACGTGTTTCTTGTTACAGATTATTTGATTAATTGATTCCATCAAATAATTACATTAGCACGTTATTTTATCTTTTAAGAACAAAAGAATTTATAAGATATCCCATCATAACCTTTATCTCAAAAAGATCTGAATTGCTATTCGTCGCCCTAAAATTCAAATTTTATCGCCCTAAAACACAACAAATTGACACATTTACCCTTCAGTTCAATTTCAATTCTAGCCCTAACCAAACAATTCCTTCTTCACCGCCGACCAAACATCCGCCGCCCTCACCCAGAAAAGAACTGTTGCATCATCACCTCCCCTCCCATGCTCCTGCCCCAACCCCAATCTGCCGTAGCTGCTGCTACTCAAGCGCCGGAGGGAACGAGGACGAAGAAGCAAGTTAACAAGGTGGGAGAAAAAAATTGCAGAAGTTTACGAGGAGCTCGATATTCCACTTTCGCTTTCTTGAATTCAACTATTGCCTGAAATAAAGTCCAACACATAAAGTTCATTATGGGTTGGACTATGATTAGCAGATATCTAGGGCTTATCCATTTATATATATATACCTTTTGCACCAGTTAAGAGGAGAAAATAAAATGGGTTGGACAAAGTTCAGAAACGAAGGACAAGCATGCTAAGAACAACAGTCTTCCTATTATGGAAAAGTGGATCTCTAGTTTACCTAGGGTTTGGCGAGCCTGCTACAATTTGTGAAAGACAAATAATTGAGATAAGGGTATTAGAGTAAATGTAATTTAATTAGGGCGACAAATAAGAAAATTTTAGGACGACAAATAGCAATCCCCAAAAAGATATCCCATCAGGCCATCATAACAAAAATGTCCAATTGATACTCATACTACATTAAAGTATTAAATATTCCCGCCTTAATTTAGTTATGTCTAATTGAGCAATACATTACATATCTTGCAAAGCCCACGCAGGTAAAAAAAGAAGAAAAAGGGGATGACAAGAAGAAAAATAAAAATTAAGGGTGGAATTTTGAGTATCATTTAATCCTTTAATTTATTAGGTTGAACAAACCTTATTAAGACTTAAATAATATTCTGTTATTTATTATGGTTCTTTTGGATTTTTTATGAGGAATTTTTCAATATCAAATTTTTACTTAAAAAAATTATCATAAAAAATTTATATGGTACAAATTCAACTCATGATTATACAGTTTCGTATGAATTTATTTATTGTGCAAACTAAACATGTACATTAACTTTACCTACAAATTCAATTATATACCTATACATTTTCGTACAATTTTTTTCATGAAATAAATAGAATTTGTACTTTCAACGTTGTAATATAAATTCAGTTTATACCTATACATTTTTTACAAATTCATTTTAAGGAGAAGAACCCATACTTCGTTGTATATATATATATATATATATATATATATATAGGTGACCACTTCGGTGCACTTACAAAAATGAGTGCGTTCAATGCACCAAACTCAAAAACTAGTCTTAATGTGTCAGATTTTGAATTTTAATTTGTAGAATTAGTGTAATATGATGATATAACATATGCTAACAACTAATTAGCGAATTATCCTAAACTCTAGACTTCCAATTTTGAGTTCTATCCCTAAACCCCAAATTGTAAACCCTAACCCTAAATCTCTTAACTCTAAATCCTTCAAATTAAAGTAAATATTTAATGGTTTTTGTGCAAATTCATGTGCGTTATTGTTCATCACATCATAAGTGATGATTGACATCATTTTGACATAAATCGCACATTTAAAATGACGGTTATAAAGCGAGTGCACTGAATGCACCAAAAAAGGTGAGTGCACTGAAGACACCACTATATATATATGTATATATATAAATAAATTGCTGACCATTTTCATGATCATAATGAAAATCTTCTCTTTACTGCGCGTATGTACTTTGTAATGAAAGCGGCCCCGCTGCTCAGTAATTGAACGGCCATTAATATAGTTAATAGAGAGGCGCCTTTGCAGAATAGACAACTAACTCGTCTATCTCTACGGTATGTATGAATTGGCGGACCCGCCTTCTGGGCTTACCTCGATTATCAGAGACGACATGATGAGTGTCAATTTTGAGCGCAACATTGTAATCCCCTCTATTTCCCCCTCCTCCTAATCTGTTTGTATCTTCCTTTTCTTGGCCTTTGGCCTCCGTTTAAGGGGAAAAAAAAAAAAAACTAATCCGGCTATTGACTGCGGTTAAAGGCTCACAAACGAAGAATTATAAAAGCATAGGCTGCCTTTTCCTTGTAAGCAAATCTATACCTATTGAGTTCACACACACGGAAAAAATGCATTTAGTTGATAAAAGGTTATGCAAGTCCCTTTTGGCTCGGTAGTAGTTGCACTAGCAAAGTTATATGAGTTCATTTCAGATCCATTCCTGATAGAATTGCTCGATTTTTCATGATGCAATCCATTGGTGTCTGTCTCCAAGGATTGATTATGACACATAGAATTAACTATTCTAGACCCTCGCATTATGATCCAAAGTGAATTCATTTCATATCATTATCATCATAATACCTTAAATTTGTACCATGAATCTTTAAGTGAGTTTTAGCAACCCTAGATTGCTTTTGGGGGGTTTGATGCGTTTTTTTGTAGCGCTTTGTGCATTTTTAGGTCAAAGCATATATACTATTGGACCACTTGGCAGCCGAAGGGGACATTGAGGTCCACTTTCTGGAGTTGGGATTCAAAGAGAGTACGGACTTCCAAAAAATGGCGCCCCAGGATGGAAAACAGTGCTAGAAACGGCGCCTTAGGATAGAAAATGTTGTTGCCTCTATTTTACGGAGCTCATCTACTTCGTCAGAAAGTTACCTTGGAGCTTCCTAATTTATTGGCCACATGTTTGGAGGATTCTTATTGGCTGGATGGCGCATGAGCTATGAGTTTTTATCCCCAGAAATACTAATAGAAGAAATATAAATAGAGCTCTAGAGGTAGAACTCGGGAGGAGGAGACAAGACGTCAAGGAAGGGTCGTTACTTTGCCGACAGAGTGACTCACCTGACTTAGAGTGAAACCAACATCGAGGGAGGAATCAGGGTCAGAAATGGTGACCCTGGACCTGTTTTCTCTGTTGCGGGCACCAATTCCAATGGTGTTCTGGAAAATTCTTTTCGATCGTTGATCGCTAAGTAATCCTTCCCCATTGTTGGCTAGTTCCTTTAGTTGTGTAGTTATGTGAACCCTAGGTGTTCTTTTCGTTTTAGTTTTTCAAAATCCGGAGGCACCTCAACCTCCTACATTGTTTTCAACTCCATAGAACCGTACCTCGCCACCAAATTAAGGGTAGTCTGCGAGAGGCTCTAGGGAAATACGATCACGACCTTAGTGGCAGGTAAATTTTGGTCCACGCTACACGAAGTGTCAATTGACGCCGATGAGCATTGTCGGTGATGCAAAGGTGGTCATTGACAAGATCACAGGAGGGAAATCGGTAGACGTTCGTCGGGACAGTGATCGAAGATATCCTTGTTCTTCGTGGCGAGAGTGCTCATTTTTGTGTTTGGTTTGTTGAAAATAATAGTAATAGGGGTTGTCCATTTGATTGCGCGAAATGTCTTTTTGTTATTCCCTAAATTAGTTGGGTTCAATTTCCTTTCTTGTTTATTTTCGATCAGATAACTTATAACTTCTTTTATATTTGGTTGTTTTTCTTGGTAATACGATGGATCTTTTGTATAAAAGAAATTCATATGATCAATGTGCTTTTAAGGTAAGCTTATCATTTTATAATAATTTACTTTCCTTCTTACCTAATGGTATGGTAGTTATTGGCATTCAACACCTTACCTTTATGTTTGGATTGTCAATGTAAATAGTAATTACCAATTACTGACATCGCCTTGAACCCCATATTACTTTCCTTAACAATGCTGTCAAAAAAATTGAAGACCCACCGCAACCCTTATTCATTCTCAGGTCAACAGAGTTGTCTCTTACTGGAGAAAAAAATAGTCAAATGAGAGAAACCTGACTTGTCTATAGCAAGTTAGCAAACTAATAATTGACTTGATTTCTACAACCCAGCAAGTTTGGGGCACATACCCTACAGTTGGAGGTAAGTTTTAGCCTCATCTCAAGTATAACAGTGACCCTTTTGGCCATATTTGTTTGAATCAACAGTATAATTTATAGCTGAAAAGTAAAACTGCACCCCCCATTCAAAATTTCCTGCCCATAGAGTGATTTTAGGAAGCTGATGTGGCAGAGTGTTAAGCGAAAAAAAAAGGAGTCCCGCCTGATTTCAGAACCAAAAAACTGTCCACTACCCACTTTTTTCTCCTTCCAGACCCACGTTCTCATTTAATTTGTATTAATTTGTATTTTTTATTTCCGATTTCCCTTCCTTCCACTCTTTCACCTCATTCGAATAAGTTTCTTGGCCTTCAGAAAACCAAACCTTGACTCAATCATCTGGTTCTTTTATCTGCTTGCATCTACCTTTGATTTTCGTTCTCTAAGCGTTAGATCGGTATTGGTTTTGCCGTAAGTTATTCTTCCTCTTTCAGATTTCTGTTTGTTGTTGTCGCTGCTTTTAAGTTTTAGGGATTCGGGTTCTGGGTTCTTTTTTCAGGGATTCGGTTGCAAAGATTCATCCCCATTGCAACCCATTTAGAGAATCGGTCACTTGGAATCGCTATTTTGTTCTGATTTCTACAGGATAATTACAAGATAACCCAACTACTTTGGTTGACAATGATTTCCCAATGCTGTTTTGCGTGCGTCCTTCAAGTTCTGCTGCAACCATGGTTGGATTGAGAGTATTTCTCCGTTGCTTGCTGCATGTTCTTTAAACACTGATAAGAATGGCTCTTTCTGTACTCATCGTTACTCTTGATTTGTTGCTATTCCGTGCTCTGTCTTTAATGTTGGGCACCTGAAGTTACGGCCCACTAATACCCCATCGGTTACCCACCCAATTCGCGGCGAAGAACATAGTTGCCCGAGTCAGCGTCGTCTCCTCCTCCGCTTCACCTGCACGCTTCCTCTGCTACCTAGCTGAAGATCTCGGTGTTCCTCAGTCCTTCCCACCGCCTGCAACTACCTTCCCCACACTGATTCCTCCTCTACCAATGGATTGTCTATAGGTATGCCTTCGTCCTCCCGTACTGCTATCCAAGATTTTGTCAAATATGGAAACTCGAAGAATCGGCTTAAACACTATTAGTTTTCCATTTACTTTTTGTGTGAGGATAGATGGAGTTTGGTCCATCAAGGATTTTTTTTTGTCTTTCTAGAAACGATGGATATATTGATCTGTTCTTTTCTGTTTATGCATTTCGTGTCATTACCTACCACAAACTTCTGATGGCCGAGGAGTTCAGTTTCTGTCTTCAAAGGAACTACACAAGTGCGTTATTATCATTGTCGTTCTGTTACTCCAACTTTGATCTGGGATTTTGTTTGTCAATAGGTCTGCTCTAATGTATTGATCCTTTCAGGTTGGTTCGATTGCGGCTGTTCGGCGTTATGACAACCTTATCGGCATGTTTGGCACCAAGCAAGTCCCTGCTGTTGGAGTCAGCCTGGGGATCGAACGTGTGTTTGCTATAATGGAGCAGGTTCAGAAGGACAGGAACCAGGTAAGATGATGAATGTATTACCAAAAATAGTAAACCTTCTCGACAAGATTTTTTTTCCCCAATTAATCAAACTCTGGGAATTAGAAAGCTAAAAGTGAACGGGCTAGAGAGTGGTTCTGACTTTTGAGACATCTCATAAGTGATTAGGAGCTGATGTTGTGAGGTTGATATAGCATAATTGACAATCTCATGACTACAATTAATGCCTATCAACGGACAATTGGTTTCCCTTTGTGTAAGTCATTTCGAGGGTTTCATGTAATTATGAGTTTGCCTGCTTTCAAATTGTTGAATACCTACGCAACCATTTCAATTACTTCTTCTTTATTAACCTCACAATTGTGATTGTGCAATACCTAGAAATCAATAAAAGACTGGGTAGCTCAATAGTTGTCTCAAAGGATACCACTTCACATGTTGCGGGTTTAATTGCCTATTTCCTCTAATAAGTCAGTACTGTATGTGTTTCTGTGTACGCCAAGTCTTAGGGGAAGAACCACAGCCGGTTTTGATTTTCAACTTCAACTGTCGCAGCTGTTACTTCTCCGTGGAATTTCCTGCGTGGAATTTCCTGCCATGACAATTTACTTACTCACGGCGCACCTGTTACTTCTCCGTTTTCGTGCTTTGCTGTAGTTTCCTTTGAGTTCGAGTGAATTTTGGTTTGATCGTCTTTAGTGTACATTGTTTGAATTCCGATTTTGCAATGGTCTGTCAGACACACATTTCTGCATAGCTATGAATGATAACATGATGAGCTGAATCGTCACTGTAAATGCTTGAAATTGGGTATGCTTACTGGAGTCCAGGAATTATTCGAACTTATAATTCAGTAGCATTTGATGCCCCAGAACGTGAATTTGTTCTGTTGCAGAACGTGAAAATGCAGAACGTGGATTTAGTTTTTTTGTTTAAATTTATAGGCCGCCTTCAACTTGGTTGGAGCATTTTGGATTTATTCGACTGTTATGTTTGTGTGGTCTATTGTATGTGTCATTAACTCGCACAAACTTATGATTGGTGAGGAGTTCAACTTCTGTTGTAACAATTAATTAATTTATATGAATGGCAGCTGCAAAGTTGACTGGAACGGGTGCATCATTTACCACGACCTCTATTTCCGATTGGGTCAGGTTATTAGAGAATTAAATATGGATAGTGCAAATGTCATCCCATCTGCCGAACCACAGATTTATCGATCGTCTGTACCATGTGAGTGTCATGGTTTAGCACGAAATTGTTTCAATGCAAATTGGCATTAATATTTTCCCTTGAATCTCATTTGTTTAGGGAAACGTCGAGCAGTTTTTATTCATCCTGAAGATCAATACCAACGTTGTGTTTTATCTGCTGAAGAGGAAGAAGCATTTGAGAGAGGTGTGTTCTCTGTGTTTTAATTTTGCTAATTAGTTCATCTATTCAATGAGTAATATATGGTTTTACTCATTTGCTAATTAGTTTATCATTTTATATATAAATGTGTCTGCTAATTAGTAATATAGGTAACATATGGTTTTACTCATTTGCTAATTAGTAATATAGGTAAATGTGTCTGCTAATTAGTTTATCATTTTATATCACTTTGCTTATGGATACCTACAATAATTATTTTATAAATTAAGCTATATAAAATGATTTAAATTCATTCAGTAGTGACTCGAGATTAATTAATTAGTGATACTTTAAGCATGGTTCAGTTTTGTTTTTTTTAAGAAACCTGATTTCATTATAAAATCGGAAAATGATAAAGAGTTGGACCATGATTCTTGAAAGATAGAAGTCTAAACAAATCGTAAAGTTGAGCCCACCCAAAACACAAAATGAAAGCTCACCCACAAATACATAAATCAGAAAAAAACACAAGAGAAAAACTCCAAAGCCCACCCCAACACCCACGGTAACCCAACCCAGAAAAAACCCAAACACACCAAACACCACAACCCAGCCCACAAAACAACCCAAGCATGGTTCAGTTAAATAAAATATAGTTAGAGAGGGAATGCCCAGCCAGATTTGTTGAAACTAAATGGCCAACCTATTCCCATAAAAAAAAGGCCAACCTACACTACCTTGGGCGGATCCTTCTCCACTCCCCCACCTCCTCTACTGCCCAGTATCCGATTTTTTGGATCTTCTATGAGGTGAAGGCTGCCGCATTCCAAGCCATTATTTCTTTATTAAATACATTCATTATGATTTTCATTTCATGTTAATTAGTGGTGGTGTGGGGTGGGCCGGGCCGGCCGGGTTGGCGCATCAAATAATAATTAGCAACTTTGAGAGGCAATTTTGGACAAGAATTGTTGACACAGTTGCAATTAGCAATGTTGTTAAAACGGAACCGGACATCGATCCGGATTAGTAAAAGGTTCAAGGTTTATCAAATAACCGGTGGTTAATCGATATTAAAAACCGATCATAAACCGGTGTTGACTTACTTGGTAGACTTAACAATTATTTTTTTTTACAATTATTGTTTCACTTATTAGAGATAAAAGAATAAAGTGAGAATTATTAAAACTGAAAAAGCATAATTTGGGCGGCTGCTAGGTCTTTTTTGGGAAAAGTGAACTGATTTTTCTTCTCTTTATATTTTATTCTGTACTTACCTTCTTTTGTTTTTGAATTTTTAATTGCAACAAAATAAAAGGAAGGCGCATGTTTGATTTTAAGAAGGTGGGTCGTTCCCCTCAAAAAAAAAAAAAAAAAAAAAGAGAAGGTGGGTCGTGAGTTCCATGACACAGCCGCCTCTTGAACTCTAAATGGCCAACCTTCTCCACTCCCCCACGAGGCCACAAATCCTTCTCCACTCCCCCACTATCCCACTTTCCACACACACACGTACTCCACTGCATGCGGCCAAGTAAATCACGTGTGTAGAATCACTTTCTCTCCTTTATATAATGGAGATGCCACTTTCTCTCATGTTACAATTTTTCGTTTACTACTTCCCATACAAAACACTTCGGTTCCATTGACCGTGCAAATTGCATTCAATATGGCGGGCCTGCCTCAATTCAATCAGTAAGTACTGCTCATGCATCCAACAAATACTACATCATGTAATTTCGATTCTTTTTCACTACTTACTGCCAAAACTTACAGTCCAATATATAGGCTTCTCCATGGTTTTATTGCTAATCTGCAATATGATCATGCTCTTGAAATTTGTGAGCGTGCCGACACCATCGATCTCATTATGTTGCAAGTGGATGTCGAAAATCAGGTAACTAAACAAATAAATTTCTTTTTAATCGTACGCCTTTTGTGGCATGCTGCATTTTATCGATTTGCTTTGACAATATTCGTTTCTGTGTTTACATCAGGACACCTCTTTTTTGTTATCCGGACGTGTAACGAATTTGACGACGTCCTGGTCCCCTGCATCTAGAATCCATTTCGTCCACCTCACAATTGAGGACGAATTCATTGGTGTTGACATCGTCTTCCCGTCATCACAGTTACGAACGATTATTGGATCTGTATTCAGTCATGCAGATGTTGTCAATGCTGACTATATGGCCCTTCTGAACATGCTTGGAGAACAGACATTTGAAGTCATGGTCACAGTCGGTCCCTGGAACGATGCATTTGGTTATTGTGAACTTGTGTTGGTGAAATTATTTTTGCATTTGTTGAATTGAGTACCATGTCATGAACAATGAGACAATGTCTTGAGTTTTCTTATTTTGGACTTGCATGTTATTTGTCGTAATACTCAACTAGATTAGATTTGTGATTAGTAAGATTTTATGTAAGTATTTTTATCGTGATTAGCTAATCTTCAAATGTATTTCTAACTTATTATGAATGTTCATTCAAATTACATATTCGTCTTCAACGAATTGCAAAATTGCAACAATCTTATGATAATATAAAACAAGACTCATTTCTTGACACTATCATTATAGATATTGTAACTCCATTTCCTTAAACAAATACGGCCAACGGGCCGGGCTATAGGCTAGTTTCTCTACTTACTACCTAACTCAAGGAAATCCAAAGGAAATAAATTAAACCCACTTATTCATTTTTTTTAGTTTCCCATTTTACTAGTTTGAAATTCAACCTTCTTTTTTGGGAAAATTTAAAGCCACTATAATTCTGTTCCTCCTTCCATGGAAATGTTATTATTATTATTATTATAAATAATTTACACAACCATTTTTATATTCAAAATACTCAAAATTTTCCTTCAAACAGTTAATGAAAATAACATTCTAACGCGTTAATACATTATCTAACTAATATGCGAAAATTACTCTAATACTCGTCACTACGCGAAATAGATTGATCAATAGAAATTATGTGCAACAATTGTGCATGGTGAAAACTGGAAAATATGGTCTCATACTGCACAGGCCACAGTGCACTCCACCCAAAAAAAAAAAATCATTCTCTCAATTTTATTTTCCTAAAAAAAAAACTTTTTCATTAAATAATAAAATTTAATCTGTTCCATCGTCCTGCTTTCGCTGTCCGCTGCCCCCTTTCCTTTTCTAAGGCAGGTTTTGCGACCTTGAAAAGCAAACAACTAGCTGCTGTTAGCTCTCTATCCCAAAACTTACTCTCCGCCTCTCTCTCTCTCTCTCTCTAGCTTGCGCGCGCCTTTCCTTCTCTTATATCATTCATTCAGCAAGCGCAGCATGAACTCAATCTCCACCCCACCATCATAATCGCCACAGCTCTATCTGGAGCTTCAACCTCACAAATTCAGACCCCTCTCTCTCTCTCTATCGGTGCCTAATTCTCAATTAATCCCCTGCCCCCAAAATCAGTTAAGCAGAGTACTGCAACAAATGAAAATGGTGCCCAGCTCCGGCGCCGGCGCCGGTGGAAGGAAAGTGCTGGTCGGAGTGAAGTTAGACTGCCCGAGCAGGGAGCTACTGACTTGGGCTCTCGTCAAAGTTGCTGAGCCTGGGGATGTCGTCATTGCCCTCCATGTCCTCGGCAGTAATGGTGAGTGAGTCAATTTGTTCACTGAAAAGGATGGGGAAAAAGAGGTCCAGACAAATTAAAGCTTTGGTCTTTTGAAATTTTACCCATGTGGGTTGTTTGGGTTCATTTCAATCCTCTGTTGATCTCTTGAAATGGGGTTTCTTTGATTTGCAGAAATTGTGGATCGGGAAGGCAAGTCGCCACTTCTCTCCCTTGTGAAAGCTTTTGACTCTATTCTCGCCGTCTATGAAGGCTTCTGCAACTTGAAGCAGGTGGGTTTTCTTCAGTTTGTTCTGTTCTCCCCGTAAAGTTGCAATTTTTTTTTTTTTTTTTTTTACTGTTGTAGCTAAATATGGAAGATCAGTTTTCACACGAACTGGAATCTCCCCTTTTTATGGCTAATTATAGCTCTAGAGCTACTACTCAGTCAAAATAGTGATGAAGGGTTTTGTTTGTTTGTGTGGATATCCGTGTTCCAGGTGGATCTGAAGCTAAAGATTTGCAGAGGATCATCAATTAGGAAAATACTGGTTCGAGAAGCAAATTCATACACAGCAACAAAACTCATACTTGGAGCTGCCCCAAATTACACAGTCCGCTCGCCGACCTCCGTGGCCAAATATTGCGCCAAGAAGCTTGCTGCCACTGATTGTTCTGTTCTCGCAGTCCATAATGGGAAAGTGGTCTTTGAGCGACACTCTTCTCTTGTCGATTCACAAGGTTCGGTTTTTGTTTCCCCTCTTCCAAAATCCTACCGAAATTCACCATCCAAAAAGCACTCAATGCCTTGTGGGATTCCTGCAGGGACAGATTGTGGGAGGAAACCCCGCCATGGCTTGCTCAACAAGATCCACAGGTCAATCTCCTTGCACAAGAACTCCAAAATCATGAGCGAAAATGGTGGCAATTTGGCGTCAGATGATGGTGGCCAGACTTTGCAGCAGGCCTTGGTGAAGGCTCGTTGTAATAACAGTCTGGAGAATGTCGTGATGAAAGATAGTTGCCTGGTTTGTGGGTCAGAAACCAAAGCATCTTCTGATAGACCTTGTATTGAGGACTCTAATGGAGATGAAGGTGAAGGTTGCGACGATTCTTTGGCCATAGTGGCTGTACCAAAGGTGGAGGACACTACTACAAGTTCAATTACTTTGTTGGTGAAGCAATTGCCTGAATCAAAACCTGGATGGCCACTGCTCAGTCATGTGGTATCGTCAAATCATCAGAAACCTTCCACGGTGGGCAGATCGTCGGTTAGGAAGATCTCTGTGGTTCAATGGGCACTGAGGCTACCCACTAGGCAGCTCTCTTCATCGATTCCTAGTTTGGAGTATAAATGTGAGGAAGATAATAATAATAATGATAAGTCTTCTTGTTTGGATGAAGAAAGTGGTGCAATTGTTCCTGTTGGTTTTGAGTCGTGGGGGACTTCGCCTTCTCCGGATCGTAGCTTCAACACTTTGCCTAAAGAATTAGAGGGCCTTCATGAGAAATACTCTGCAACTTGCAGATTGTTCAAGTTCCTCGAACTCGCCTCGGCCACATCTAATTTCTTGCCAGGTTTGGTTTTGTGGTGGATAAATTAACCTTCAGGGTGCATTCTTGATGTTTGATTTTGACAGAGTAGTGTACTAAACCTTGCTTCTGTTTTTCTTTGTTGGTGATCAGAAAACTTGATTGGGAGAGGTGGGAGCAGTCAGGTTTACAAAGGCTGTCTTCCTGATGGGCAGGAACTCGCCGTGAAAATCTTGAAGCCGTCTGAAGATGTGTTGAAAGAGTTTGTTCTGGAAATTGAAATCATTACTGCTTTGCATCACAAGAACATAATTTCTCTCCTTGGGTTCTGTTTTGAGGACAAGCATCTCCTCTTGGTTTATGACTTGCTGTCCAGGGGAAGCCTGGAAGAGAATCTTCATGGTATATACTAAACAATCTCATTTCCATTTTAAACTTTTATTTCTTCAAATTCAGGAATCTCAGAATTAGATTGTAATTTTGTTGTTCCTTCCGGCTTGTTCAGGTAATAGAAAAGACACCGTTGGATTCGGCTGGGGCGAGAGGTATAGAGTGGCTGTAGGAGTTGCTGAGGCCTTGGATTATCTCCACAATCACAGTGCTCAACCTGTAATCCATAGAGATGTGAAATCCTCAAACATCCTATTGTCTGAAGATTTTGAGCCTCAGGTGATTATTTTGGGCACTGAACTTACTCTAGTGCAAGAAAGGTGATTTCTTTCCCTCTAATACAAAGTGCTGAAGCACACTTCTCTTGCTGTTTTGGTTCCAGTTGTCTGATTTTGGACTTGCTAAATGGGCATCAACCACTTCATCCCATATAGTCTGTACTGATGTCGCTGGAACTTTCGGGTATGTGACATCATCTATTGATTTATCTGTGGCATTCTTGTTCTTTTTAAGCTTTGATTTAATAGTTTGGCACTTAACTGTCATGAAAATGACCACTTTAACGATTTGCTGCAGTTACTTGGCTCCTGAATACTTCATGTTTGGCAAAGTTAATGACAAGATCGATGTGTATGCATTTGGCGTTGTGCTCCTTGAGCTTCTTTCCGGAAGAAAGCCTATTAGCAACGATCACCCAAAAGGTCAAGAGAGCCTGGTCATTTGGGTATGTCCCTTGCACCATTTGAAAACTTTCATGTAGGCGGGTTTCTTGTCTTGCTGTAGTAACTTACATTTCCTCAAAATATTTGCTTCCGTAGGCTAAACCGATTCTTCATGGTGACAAGATTACCCAGTTATTAGACCCAAGTTTGGGTAGCAACTATGATCATGATGTGATTAAAAGGATGGTCTTGGCTGCTACCCTCTGCATTCGACGTGCCTCTCGAGCTAGGCCGCCTATGAGCATTGTAAGTCTCTAATATGCCCCGGAATGCAAGTCTCTTATAGTGTCTAGAGTATGATATCTAATATCCCCTTGTTGCTCGATGGTCAAAAAAGGTTTCGAAGCTCTTGAAAGGCGACCCCGAAGTAACAAAGTGGGCGAACCAGCAAGTGAATATTGCTGCAGAGGACTCCGACTCTCTCGATGAAGGATCCAGCCCACGTTCTGACCTCAAATCGCACCTTAACCTCGCACTGCTCGACGTGGACGACGATTCACTCTCAATGAGTAGCATTGAGCAAAGCTTGTCCTTAGAAGAGTACTTGCAAGGCAGGTGGAGTCGGTCGTCCAGCTTCGACTAACCAGAACTCCTGCCATCCAAAATGGTGGAAGGAAGAAGAGGTGGTCTCCGAGTTCTCTCGGGTAAAACCGAATTCGTTCACCTCTTATGTATATGTGAAATATCTTTCACCCTCCCCTTTTATGAGCTGGGTGTTCTTTCTTTCTTTCTTTCAATTTGTCTGTCTGGTGTTGGATGTGAGGTTGTTTGTGGTGGTTTCCCTCCTCCTTCCCCATTGGCAAGTTTCAGTAGAGAGTGTGATTCATGGCTGTGACCCTCCTTTCTCAATATTTGTTTGAGACAAAGGGCCCAGCCTTTTAGCTTCTTCTCTGTTGTTTTGTTGCAAGAGCTGTGGGTTTTTGGCTATGTGCACCCATCTCTATTTGTAAGGGTGATGAACTGATGATGATCACAAAATGGATCTTCATTGCAGTATCTAAGTGGTGGGTAAAAAACAGGAAATAAGAAACAACTTTGGTGGTAGTTTCTTCAACGAGTTGGTGGTTGTTTCATTTGTTTCTCTCTTTATCTTTTTGTTCCTACCTTGTTTGTTTTGCTCGTTTCAATTCAATGTGGTGGTGTAGAAGATCAACTTGATGACCTCATGGCTTGTTTTCTTCTCTTTCAATTGTGTTTGTCCTAATCCATGGGGTTGAAGAATATAAAGTAAAGTATATGATAAGATCTTTTGTTTATATTGATGACGAAATATTTTGTGAATTGGATAATAAGACATAGATATAGATCAGATACAGATTGATGACTATTTTGTTCTAGTATACTCTGCTGCTTAAGAAATTAGGATAAATTAGTTTGGGTGGCTATGGGTGGTCAAAAGTTTCAAGCATGCATAATACTGCTTTTGGAGGGGATTTCTTAATGGCAAGTGGCCTTCTACTAAAGAAAAGGTAAAATCATTAGATACTATGGTCGTGTTAGTTATTCGTAACGTATGAATCTTTGATGAGAATTTCTGAGTTTGTGGAAATAGTTAGTTCAATTACGATTATGTAATATATAGATCTTTGATGAGAATTTCTGAGTTTGAGGGGAAAATAATAGAAATAGGCGAAGAGGAAGAAAACTAAATTGGATTCCAATCTTTTCGGATATTGAACTTGAAAATAAATACACGCTTATAGGAATAACACCACAAATCTCTAACCATCTATAGTCCTGTGTCGCCGGCCTCTCTTCTCCTTTTCAAAATCCAGTTCCCTTTTTCTCAACTCACTAGAAACAATAAGGGTTAATATTTTCGTATGGCCTGAACTTTGACCAAAATAAACATCTTGGTCAATCTTTTCGATCTATAACATCCTGGCCCGAACTATACACCAAAATAAACAATTTGGCCAGATCCGACTTTTGACCGTTAACTTGGACGGTCAAACGCGTTGACCGTTAGTCAACGCGCCATGTCATTGCCAAGTCAGAAGATCCCACCACCACTACTAATACTCCTATACCTAGTCTTGTTTTGTAGGGGTGATTATACGGTCCGGTCCGGTTAAATTGGACCAAATTGATCCGGTCTCAGTCCGGTCTTTTCGGGAATATAAGGACCAAAGATTGGATTGAATACAGTCCGGTCTTGATTCGGTCCGGTCTTGACCCAGTCCGGTCCCAATTTTATCTTGATTTTAGGTGTTGGGGGTCTCTTATCCGGTTTTTTTACCTCAAATCTAAGCCCGAATATGAGATTGCATTGTTTGCTATCCGATTCCAGTCCGGTCCCGGTCCGGGTTATACGGTCCGGTTTTGAGTAAAACCAAACAGTCCGGGACCAAATAGCCAGCCCTATTGTTTTGGATTCCCTTTCTTCATATGTTTCATGCCCTAAATCAATCAATCCATCCACATGGCTGGCCCAGTGGGCCTCCTCCCATTTTGCCCACTAATTTCTTCTTCAGTGTGACTTCACTGGTTGAGAGTGGAGACCTAAGTGGGAGGGATGGCCAACAACCCCTTGCCTTTCCTTTCCTTCCCTTTCATTTCTTTCCACCGACAGTCTCCCTTTTGTTTAAGACATGCATGCCCTATGGCAAATGCCTTGCCTCCCTCCATTATTGAGGCAGGCAATACAGTTGACATGGTCCTCTCTCTCTCTCATTGTGGTATTACGCTTTGTATGATCATTCATTATCACTTTATGTATCATCACTACGGAAGGCTCAGACAGAGGACCATGTAAAGACGAGTGGTAGAGCTTCAAATCAAATGGCTTTTGGTTTCCTTGACAATGAGAGAAAGTGAGTATCACGAGCATGAGACATCAGACAAGGGAGCTAGAGGTTGAGAAACGGTACCGTCTGGTTTCGATCGGATCATACATATAATTTATGGTCTAGATTTGAGAAGATGAAGTATAGATCAAGGATCAGACTGAATATTACACAATTCGTATCAGATTACGTCTGTGCAGTCTGGTTCGGTACGGTATGGACCATGTATACTATATTGAGTGAAAAATGAACAGTTTGTTTAGTCAAACGTACGAATAAAGAAAAAAATCGAACGAATAATCGAGAAAAAATATGGGTTGTCTCCTAAAACACAAATTCCAACATACATGCATAATTCTGATACCATAAATCCAATTAAATAATAGAAACGCAGCGTTAGAGCAACTCAATAAACATCAACATAATTTCATATATGGAGACACATTTTTCTCTGTTTTGTGGAGGAGCGAGGTTTATGAACGAAAGAGGGGATGAGATTCGCAAAATTAGGGTTGAGACTTGGGTCTCACTGAAGAGTTGTGAGAGTGGTTGATTAAATTGCTAACACAAACTTGGAAGTGGGTTGGGTCCACGACTTGGTCCGTCAAACCACAGTCTGGACCAGAACATACTAAGAAATCAATATATCCTATAATACAGATCATGGATCAGATTAGACCATTTCTAACGGTCTACAGTCCGGACGAAACTGTAGAGTCTGATATGGTTTACGATTTTGTAAACAATCTGGTCTATTTCAATGAAGAATTCAGGAATTTTACAACAAAATCTCATGAAGTATTTCATATTATGAAATTAGTAAAATGCATTCGATGTCGTCAATGCTTAACAAATATCTCTCGATATATCATATTAGACAAGTGTAGTCCATAATTGGGTTAAATCATTATGTTTTGAAAATAATTGGGAATATTTTACTATTATCTAGATTTGGAAATATAACAAATGACTTCTAGTCTAACATAAAATGTGTTTGCAGATACCATTAATAGTCTCCCAAGTCCAAATCACATAGGCTATCACTCAAACATTCTTTTTTAACTATACACAAACTACTATAATGACTTGGATAATTATTTTTTCAAATTTTAGGGGTGTTAGCTACCACTTAAATATTTATTTTAACCATATGCAAATTACTACTGAAGGTTGGATAATTGTTTTTCCAAATTTTAACCCCATCAATCCGCCACTGGTCGATAATCGGTTTTCTAAATTCTCAACCCTAAAGGAGCCCTACAAAGCTAAAAGAACCGGCTCCTAAGAAGAAAAAAAATGCTTCGCTTTGGATTGGATTTTATCGAATCAAACATCGATTTCGATTCTATTGGTTTTATTTAAGAAAAAAAAGATTGATATTAGATCAAATAAGGCGTTGATTTGATTTTGGACCTTAGTTCTTCTCTATTATTGATTGGGTAAAATACATGGAATACCATTAAACTTCTCGTTTTGGGAGCTATATATACTACAAAAATTAAAATATGGCACCGGATACCACTAAACTCATTAAACTGTGCATCCTTTAAATTTTTCCATCCATGGTTGCCTGAATACAAAAAATTGCCACGTAAGCTTACCACATCACCGGAGGGGAGGCCGTCGATCTACGGGACGGGGATCAGGATGAAGAAGATGGATAATTCACGATCAATACACCAGATAAGTAAATGAAATTTCACTCATGGCAACGAGGCGGATCGGGGACGGTTTCCCACTATCCATTACCCACCCGATTGCAAATAGGGTAATCCCCGAACCCGCCCGAAGTGCCTTCTCGGATGTCAAATTCATATCACCTGCAATCGGGTAATCCCCGAACCCGCCCGAAGTGCCTTCTCGAATGTCAAATTCATATCACCCCCGAGCCCGGACAGGTATCGGATTTACCCGACCCCAATTAAATACCCGAAATGCTATGAAGTCAGTGGCGGCGGTCGGCGAAATGAATTGGGATGGGGTGGCTATTTGGTTAAGTGGCGGGTATCGAGTGCTGCCGGAGCTGATACCAGCAAATCCATCACCGTCCGTCAACAGGCTATAGCGGGTATCGAGTTCTCCGAAACCCGTCAACAATCCGGTCAAACAGATTTTCACCGCGAAAAAGCCAAACGAGTCCGGACGGGTATCCGGAATTCGGGTGCCGTTGCCAAGCCTACATATGCATTTTGATTTGACATAGTCACTTAGCTAATCTATGGAATAAATTACATATAGAAAGCGGGCCGTGAAAAATCTTTGCAGTGGCCCATGGGCTGTCTAAGCCCACACTAAGTAAAGGCAATATGTGGCTCACAGGGAAGATCTGAGAAGTAATCGCAGGCGATGATTGTGGACAGTATCCAGCCAGCCCACGCGTGCTAAACAGCCACAATTTCTAATCCTGAAAGTAAGAAAATTCAATCGAAACGACGACGACCACCACCGCAACCCGCCATCGGAACCACCGCGACGACGGCGGCCACTATCCACCCCTCTCGCAGATAAGCCTGGCGAGCCAGTTTAGATAGTCAATCAAAGAGGCGATTAGAAATCAAAAGACCACCGCCGCCGCCTTTTTTTTTCTTCTTCACCGGCAGCATCAATGGATCCTCGTTCGTTTTACTATCATCACTCCACCCACCATGCCGCTTCTCACCCTCCGCCGCCTGCGCATCCTCCTCCGCCTCCTCACCACATTCCCGCCAACCCTAGTTTCTACAACCTCCCACCTCCGCCGTCGTATCCTCCTCCTGTCTCCCAACCTCAGTTCAATCCCCAGAATCCCCAATTCCCTATCCACGCCAGCAACGTCGTCAACCCTAATCACACCGTTCACGACGATTACTATTCGAGATCGTACCCTCAGCATCCCAGCTTCCCTCAGCCCCCTCGGGCCTTGCATCCGGGGTCCCGTCACAGCGATATTCCTCCTCGCCGATTGCCGGAGTTCAACCATTATGGTCGAGATAGCCGTCCAGATTTCAGAGATTCGCCTAGGGTTTTGTCTGATAGTCGAGGAAGATCAGATTTCGTGCAGGATAGATACGGTAGGGAGGTAAATATGGATCATGACTCCCCTGTTAGGGTTAGGCGTGAGCTGGATGGCAAGTCTAGATTTTCGGGAGATGTGAACGGTAGGACTGAGCAGAGTTTGAGAGGGGAAGGTTTCCTGGGCCGTGATGATCCTGGATATCATCATAGTCGTGATCAACACCGGTCTTCCAGGGATTACATGGTTGCCTTACATCATCATAATTCAGATTCCAGAGGTTTTGACTCGGAGTCAATGAACTACGAGAGACGGTTTGGTTTGATTTCTGATCATGGCAGAGCGAGTGAAAACAACAGGGTGATACATGATAGAGAAGTTAGGAGAGATGTTCCCCACTCCATGGTTGTGATGGGGAACGAGGAGTTCACTCATGGCGATCATCTTCGAACAAGCTCAGGGAAACGTGAGCACTACATCAGCAGAGAAGAAAGTACGGGCTCGGATTGGCATAATGGCAAGGTTAATAGAGAGGAGAGCAAAGGGTGCAGGGAAAGTAGTTACGAGTTTGATCATACACCAAAGAAGCAGACACCAAAGAAAAGTGCTTTTCTTAGGATTCAGAAGCCTATGTTCAAGAATAAGGAGAATCACAAGACACATTCCTCTGGTTACTATGGTGATAACAAATCTGGTGCTAGGGGTAAAGACCATAGTTTGAACAGATCCTGTTCAAAGCCAAGCGAGGGTGGTATTAAATTGAACTCTGTAATTGTGAAAAATGCAGCAAGTCCTTGCAAGGACCTTGAACTTTCCAAAGAGAATGTGGGAGCTTCTTCTACTGCTAAGACTAACACTAGTTCTGTGCCTGGTTCCTGTGGGAATGGTGTGGCATCTGGAGAGGCTATGTTGGAGGGTTCGGGAAAGGACAACCCATCAGATGAAGGAAGAAGTTCTGTTATTTCATCCAGTGCTTCTTTGGAGACGGCCGCAAAGAAGAGAAAAGTAGTAAGGCAACTGGTCAAGAAGAATGTACAGGTTAACGTTGGTTTGTCAAGTTCACAGCCAGCGAAGTTTCCTGATGACAGCAGTGCTTTCCAGATCTGTCCAAAAGATTTACCTGTGATGCCTGAGAATGGCAAACTTGAGACATTGGAGAAGGCTGCGGTATCTGATGAACCAAACTCCAATGGTAGTTTATTACATGACGCTTCCATTGAAATTGGTGATTCACAGCTCTGTCCAAATGATTTACTTTTGAGGTGTGAGAATGACAAGCTTGAGACATTTGAGAAGGTTGTGGTATCTCATAAATCAGACTCCGTCAAGAATGTTCTCAACGATGCTTCAGTTGAGGTTGGTGATTCACAGCACTACCTGAATGATTTACCTGTCATGCTTGATGCATCAGAGAAGGGAATGGTGTCTGATAAATCAATCTTTGATAGCAATCTTGTACATGATGCTCCAGGTGAAATAGGTGATTCACTGCTCTGTGCGAAAGGTCTACCTCTGATGCCCAGGAACAGAAAGCCTGAGGCATCAGAGAAGGATATGATCTCTGAGAAACCAAATTCAGATGAGAATTTTGTACATGATGCTTCAGTTGAGATTGGTGATTCACCATTCCGGCTGAATGATGTACCTGTGATTCCTGAGAGCGAGAAACTTGGGTCATTAGAGAAGGATAGCGTATCTGGTAAACCAATTCTCGATGAGAATTATATGAATACCGCCTCAGTTGAAATTAGTGATTCAATGCACTGGCCAGATGATTCACATGTGATTTGTGCGTCTGACAACCAGATATTTCAGAAGGCTATGCTATCAGATAAAACAAACTCTGATGTGAGTTTTGTTCATGATGCTCCGGTCCATGACTTGCATGTCACTATTAGCAGAGTGGATGGTAATCTGTCGACTGACTCAAATGCTGATGTCCCTAGCACAAGTGAGCGATTGTCCTTTTCGGATCGAAAGGGCGGAACACTTTCACAGGGTTTTCTTTCTGAAGAACAACATGCAAATTTTAATTCAGAGAAAAATAAAGTTCTCGAGGATCCTATAAATTCATGTAACAAGGACACAGGGATTGAAAGTTATCCAATATGCCTGCAAGAAGGTGGTTTTCGTTCTGCTATCTCCGTCGTCAACTCTCCAGACAAGCAGGATTTTACAGAGCTTCCAAACGCATCTCGAGAGAATGGTCAGAATCAACGTTCAAGTGCTGGTATTGGTCTTGCCGGGCAGTGCAATGAGATTTTCTGTCATCCGAAGTCAGACAATGTGGGTATTGCGGGTGTTACTGCCACTGCAGCGTGCTATGGTCATGGCATGAGGGCTGTCTTAGGTTCTGATAACAGCTCTTCCAGCCATGAGGTTAGATACGATGTTGTCAGGCAATCTTCTCCAGATGAAGCTACCAAGTCAGTTGAAAATTCAACGCTGAGGTGCGTAAATGATAGAAGCTGTGTAAATTCAAGTTGTAATACACCTAAGGGAGACAGCGGCAGCAAAAATGGTGAATTGAATGCTTTTGGCTTTTCCAGATCACGAGTTGAAGACATGGATCTTGCAAATGAACACAATTCAGCAGCATGGGTTGATACCACTTTGAGGCTATCTTTCAAAGATGCTACCACAGATCTTAAGGATAGTAGTGATGTTGGTTTACATCCTGCGATTGATGGAACTGATGTTGGAAAGTCAGGTAGTTTGACAGCTGCTTTGGGAGCTAAGGTCTTGAGTAGCAGCCCCATCATTGTTGAATTGGACGCGACTTCATTACGGTGTAAAAAGAAGAGAAGAATCTCAGCTGCTGAACTAGATCTATCTTTTGCATTTGCATCACAAGTTAATGAAAGAGCTAACAGTGCAAGTGTTATTACTGCTGGTGCTGAAGTGATCTCAGATTCTTGCAGTGATCCAACCTCATTCGTGGAACCTTTGTGTACCTTAGATTTGTCAGGTTCACGTAAGGGATTTGATGAAGGAGATATGAGCATGGAAGCATCTGCATCAATAGTTAATGAAGGAGCTACAAGTGCAAATCTGCCTACTCATGATGTTGAAGTCTTCTCCCATTCTTGCAATGATGAAAGCAAAGAAGGTTCCGCGCCCTCTGTGGATCCGTTATGTGCCTTAGATTGGTCAGGTTCACATAAGCAGCATAATGAAGGAGATATGAGCACGGCAGTTTCTGCATCGGCAGTGGAAATGACCTCCAGTTCTGAAAGTAGTCCTACTCACTCGGGTGTGGATGTTGCCATCTCAAGCATTACAGATCCATGTACATCAGATTTGCAATTTGCAAAGAAAGGAAATTCTATGTTGGTCGACAACCATCCAAGGGGAGGTTGTTTTAACACCAAGGCCTCTATTGACCGGGTTCATCACGAGGATAAAATAGATATGCCTAGATATGTGCTTCCAATAGTTCAAAACCTCTTCTCCAGTTCCAAAAGCAGAAAGACTGCAGATGCAACTATAGTTATGAATGACAGAATATTTCCAGAATCCATGGATTTTGAAATTGGTAATGAACATGGTATAGAACCAGAGGCTGTTGAAGGCCAAGTAGTTACTAACAGTATGAGTACTCACCCTCAGTGTCGTCTTCCTTCACAACTCGAGTCTCTGATGTCAAATGAGGCATTAACTGCTGTCAATATGGAGACTGACAGTTCTTATCTTGAGAAGAACAACCCTCCATCTGTGTCAAATCATCATTCTTTGTCTGTGGACCTCAATGATCATATCACAGAGATTTTGCCTGACGCAGACAAGGTTGTTATCAATAATGGGAGTGCTCCGGACCATCATGCTTCAGATTTTCACTCTCCAGTAGCAAATGAAACATTGGATGTTGTAGGTACGGAGACTGGCAGTTCCTGTCTAGAGAAGGTCAATCTCCCATCTGGATCAAATCGTCTTGCTTTGTCTAAGGAGCTCAATCATCAAATCATGGAGATTTCGCCTGTTGCAATCGCTGAAATTAGTTATCCAGAGAAGTTGACTGGTGGCACTGAGACTTCCATATATCAGAATTTAACAGGGAAATCTTCTGGAAGTGATGGAATTCCATCTGAGAAGCCTGCAACCGAAGGAAGGTACAGACATAACATTTGTCTCCAGAATAGGAGAAATGTGGTGTGCTCTGATCAAGCTGTTGGAGGTGGCATCTCATTCTTGGCACGGCCTCCAAATCTTATGCCAAAAGCTTCACACGATATTATTCACAAGCAGAGTGGCATAAGTGAACTATCTTGTGGAAAGAAGCATCAGTCTAGTAGTGTGATTAGTAGGACCCAATCACACAGCTCGTCTTTTGTTTTAACTGCTTTGAGAAGTGCATCCCTTTCAACACATATCTCAAAACCTCGAACATGGCATCGAAGTGACAGTTCCACAGTTTCTACTCTCCCAGGACAGGAGGCTTCCTCAAGTATCATTACAAAACAAAGGCAACATCCTAAAAGTACTGCAGGGGCTCAGACTACATCTTATATCCGGAAAGGGAACAGTCTTGTTAGGAAACCTTCTCCAGTTGCTGCTCGATCAGAGGGTTCGTCTGCTTCAGATGCAGTCAATTATAAAACAGTATCTGATAGTAGAGTTGATGTTGTTGGTGCATCAGTTTTTGTCAGGGCTGTAGAGACAAATAGCTCGATTGAGAGACCCAGAACACCTTTGCCAATTGTACCTAAGGTGGCACACCATGGTCCCAAGACTTCGGTTGACCGTAGATCGTCTCCTGTCGTTGAGAGCCATCTCGGTGATTCCGTTAGATCCAAGTCCGATCCATTAGTAGTTGTTGAGACTAAGGATACTTCAAAATCTTCAGAAAGCATGTTGAGAACTTCAGAAGCTCCAGCGATACAGACTGGTCAAGTTAAGAATTTAGAAATTTCAAATGAGGTAAATGAAGGCAGAGTAGGATCTTCCAATGTGAACATAACTTATGTTAAGAGGAAATCAAACCAGCTGGTTGCCACCTCGAGTCTCTCCACTGTGTTGCCACATGGTCCTTGTGATAGCCAAGCTCTGTCCTCTGAAAGCTATTACAAAAGAAGAAGAAATCAGCTGGTTAGGACTACATTGGATGATGGCCTAAAACCGGGATGTAGAAGTTCTGATGATAGGAACTTTGAAGGGAACTCTGCACTGGGTATGAAATCGAGCGGAAGTCTTAGCAAGAGACAGTTGCGCAAAGGTGCGTGTGATGAAGTTCTGTTTCAGTTTTTGTTTCTTCTGGATGCATGTCATGAAGCTGGCGTAGCTTATATGCCTTCTGAGCAGCATTTTCCTTGAATACCATCTCTATCATTCTAGATATTATGCCTTTCCTTGTAAAATCACAGAGGAAACTTATCGTGGTCCTTTACAGCCTCTTTGTGGAATGGGTGATATGGATTTTGGCTTTACTGATCACCCCCAGCTAATGTTGTATCACAAAAGCACTTAATTGGTTTTACTTGTTAGTTTGTGCAGTGTATGTAAGCAGGTGTAATTTGTGCACATGTGTTCCCTGCTATTGCCGCTTTATGTGCTTGCTTAATATTTTTTTCAATGCATTGTCATGTGAAAACTCATACTTGGAGTTATTTAATTTATAGTCCTGTCTACCCTTCTGGGTTTAAACATTTCAACTATCTATGATTCAGCAACAATGTGGCTGTAGAATTTCTTCATTCATGTCGTTTTACTCATTACTGGGAATTGGGAAAGAAATATGAACTATAAAGTGAGAATTATCTGTTCTAATTTGACAGGCCACCTCATTCTTGTTTAGTAAACCTTATTAGTAAGAAGTGGTTTGCTCCCTGGTCTATGAAGCTGGGACCATTTTCAAACTGCACTTCTTGTGTTGCTTGGACTTGTAATATGCAGCAAACGCAATGCTAAGCTGGTTTAATGTTTTTACAGTTGTGACAAAGATAAAGAAACCATCTAAGTATTCTTTCGTCTGGACGCTAAATGGTACAAAGTCATCAAAGGATAAATGTCATGCATTGCACTATCAGAGAATCCTACCTAACTTGTTTCCTTGGAAAAGAGCAACCTACCGGAGAAACTTCTTGCCAAGTTCATTATCCAGTTCCAAGATTTCTTCTATAATTAGGTACCGTAGCATATGGTGCTTTCTTAAACTCTTGTGGTGTGTATTTTAGTTCTTCAGTATTTCCTTCCTCTGAATGGTACAAATTTGCTGCTATCTTTTAGTAAGAAATTGCTGCTCTCAAGAAGCCATGATGCCATTTACACGAGGTCAAAACATGGGTTTTCACTCCGAAAATCCAAGGTCTTAAGTGTTGGTGGTTCTAGCTTGAAGTGGTCAAAATCCATTCAAAGCCGTTCCAAGAAAGCTAACGAGGTTTGTTCTGAGTATTTCTTTTCGTAGCTTTGGCTGATTTTCTTTATTAATTTGAGGGTTAGATACCGGTCTATAATTTTTTTATGGAAGTACAGGAAGCTACTCTGGAAGTTGCTGCGGCGGACAAGAAAAAAAGAGAACAAAATGGAGTTGGGGATCTTGTTCCCGAGACCAAGAATAGAAATAATTCTCCTAGTAAGTCATTTTAACTGTCTAGGCCTTCCCTGCTCATCTTTTATTGGCATCAACTTAGGATTGTAGTCTCATTTGTAATGGATCCCTCAGGTCATACCCTTCATAGAGTATCAGGTTTGTCTTGCTGCTACTCTGGAGTTCCATTTTTCTTTTCTCTCTCGATATGTTCCAAAGCATATTAAAAGTCGGTTTAAATATGCAATGTGGTATCAGCATATCAGCAACTAACTTATTGAACTTTAAGAACAGGATTGTAGTTTGTTTTCCAGTTTCTGACCTTACCCTATGCATGTCTCTGTGATCCTTCAATTAAGATTAGGTTATATACAATTGAATATTCACCCTCTTCCTCCCCCCTCAGTTTACGGTCCGGTGGTGTATGTCATTCGTAGTGTCACTCATAACAGATTTGGATTTTTTTAGCTCTAGAGTGTGAGGTAATATGACCAATGTAGAACGTCTCATCTGGTAGATTGCCAATGTTTCACATTCACTGTTTCCAGGATCTGAATCCTCACGAGTGTCCCTCGTTAATGGTGTCATCAGATGTAATACTTGCCATTTGTGTGCTAATGCCATGAAGCACACTGATTGTTTTGATTGAAACCTACAACTTATGGTCACGAAGTGCATGCTTATTACATCAAATAGGTCTAATGAATGAATTGGCATTTATTATGCGTAGATGAACTATCTGCGTATTCTTGTGCACCACAAACGGAGAAGGAGGCCAAGAAACCATATGTCCCAAGACGATTTACGATAGGAAAAGATGAGTATGTCTTACTATCTTTACTTTATAATTCCTTATGTATTCAGCTGATGATATCTATACATGGTTTTCTAGAGCATCGAGTACCAGATAATCAAAATTCCGAATATTGGCAGATACGTCCGGATTGGCAGTGGAAATAAACTCATTAGAAACCCCAAGAAGCGAAGTCGCATCTTGGCGAGTGAGAAAGTTAGATGGAGTTTGCACACTGCAAGGACAAGGCTTGCTAAGAAGCGGAAGTACTGTCAGTTCTTCACAAGATTTGGCAAGTGCAACAAAGATGATGATGGTAAATGTCCATACATTCATGATCCCTCCAAAATTGCAGTGTGCACGAAGTTTCTCAATGGCTTATGTTCCAATGCTGACTGCAAATTGACTCACAAGGTTTGTCATGATAATATCTGAGCCAGATGAGACTCCTTCCTAATACTTGTGCTACTTTTACATTCAAAGTTTTGGCTTATGATTGTAATGTACTTTAACAGGTCATTCCGGAAAGGATGCCCGATTGCTCTTACTTTTTGCAAGGTGGTCCATTTTGCTTCTGTTCTGCTTTGCATACAATCCTTGGTGAGAAAGAATGCAATAGTTCTAACACCCATTAGTTTGGCAGGTCTTTGCACAAACAAAAGTTGCCCATACAGACATGTGAATGTCAGCCGAAGTGCCTCTACGTGTGAAGGATTTCTTAAAGGATATTGTGCTGACGGAAATGAGGTAACTATTCTGACTCTCAACTTCGCATGCAAATACTGATTGTTTCCTGATAATGAAATCGTGTGGGGTATTTTCAACCCTGTGAAGTATGCCTGGTACACTGATAATAGCCGGCGAACTTGTGGTGCAATGTCTTCAATGAAGATGACAAAATTTCCTCCCTGTTTCTACATGTTAGCTATACTATGGGTTTACTGTTTGCCTTCTGTATTGACATGGAACCAGAGGGTAGCAAATGAGTTAGGTTGGTGGATTGTGTTTAAATGGGTTTTCCGAGTTTGTGGATTGAGCTTTAAATGAGTCTGTGGGTTGTTGGCATCCCTTGGATATTGATGTGGTTTGGAGAGTTGTTGCCAAGTTTAAGGCCCGTTGGTTTAAGCTTAAGTATTGTGGGTTAAAATGTAAAATGATCGCTGGATTAGTTTGTAAATAGCTAAATAAGGCTACTGCAGTATTCCGTGAAGAAGAAAAGTTAGATTTAAATGCACCAGTCGGCGCAATTGTGAAAGTTTAGGTGTTAAAATGTATGCAGGAATCTTTAGGTACTTATTTAATGTTAGTTCTGCAAAAATGCTTCAACCCAACTCATATGCCCACCAACCAATGGGATTTCGATCAAATGGGGTTGGGATTAGATGGGTTTTAAGTGCGTGGGTTAGGTTGGTGGGTTGGGGTTGATATTTGTGACCTCCGTGAAGCAGGGATCATATGTTTAACTCATCTATTGCATGCATCTCTCTCTTTTGTTTGTGAATTTCTGCAACATGAAATGTGGTACACAGTGTCAGAAGAAGCATAGCTACGTCTGCCCAAGTTACGAAGCAACAGGAACTTGTCCCCAGGGATCCAAATGTAAGCTTCACCATCGAAAGAACCGTGTCAAAGGAAAGAAACCCTACAAGCGATTACGGGAGAAGAACCAGCATGGACATGGGCGATACTTTAGTTCAACTGCACGTGTCAGTGCTGCTTCCCGTTCTGGAACTTCTGTTGTCGAGAGGCCGTTGAGCGAAATTGGAGATGCAGGTGCCGACTTTATTAGCCTTGGCTTCAGTGATGATGAGGAAGCTGCTGGAGAAGAATGCAGCAACAACCGAAGAGATGACGATGATATCGATGAGCAACTGAACTGGAGTGATGATGGGGAGGACCTGGAAGACTTGGAAGTAAGTAATCTGGACGAGCTAATTAAGCCAGTCCGGATATTGAACATCAGATGACTACTGCCATTATCAGGACAGTGGTGCGTTGGCGCTTAATAGGAACAGTGAGGTGCCTCTGGAAGGAATCAGAATGTGCAGATTCATCTTCTGTTGTCTTAGTTCTTGGTAACCTGTATAGTTGGGGGGGGGGGGGGGGGGGGGGGGGGGGGTGTGTTTGAATCGAAGATGGTATTCGGTTAGCTCTGCAGTTCCTCAAGATGGCGCAGGTAGGTGACTTTGTTGTTGTCACTTCTCAGTTTTGATTAGGTTCCTTAGTTAGCACAACTGGTCTCTTTTTAAGGTAAGAGGATGTTAGAGCCAAAGAAATAGGGTGTTAGGATTTTTCTAGGTTGCCCAATTGTAATTAACTGTGTAAGGCAGAATGTAATGAATCGATACAGCTTTATGTGATCAGTTACCTAATCTCTACATATACATCCGGCCTTTCTTAGAAGCAAATGAACTTTTCCCATCCAGTAGCTAATTTTGAAAAAACCTCAGCTTTTGCATGGGTATGATAAACTGCCAATTCTTCTGGATGCATTATCATGTTGAAGCAAACAATTTCCAGTATTAGGATTACTTGCTGCAACAGTTGGATTTGATTTTGCTAGCGCGTCGATAGGGGTAGGGCGTTGGCTGGCGCCATAAAATCACACTTCACTACTGAACGGTACAATCCAACGATATCAACGCACGCTAATCCCGATTCTATCAGCAAATTACAGGAACCTGCCAAAAGAGAGAAATTTAGCTCTCATATGGGAGAAAAAATGGACCTGCGCTCTTTCTTCTACCCTCCATTTCTGTAGTGAAATACAAAAGCTTTTATCCTATCCCCAAAAACAAATGGACCTAAAGCTCATTGGCCCTACACAAAGCCTTCCCAACTGAAAATGGTTGTATGTATCCACCAGCTACCCATAGCCAAACCCATCTTCGCATTTTTTCTCTCGACCACCATTCATCAATGGCAGCTTCTGCATCATCATCTTACATGGCCTTCTCCACGGCAGGTATGGTTGGCAAACGACACTTGAGAAACAACAACAGAAGGGTACTTTCAGTTTCAGCACAGCAGCAACAACAAGAAACGCTTGAGGAGACGACCAAGGTAGACACCACAAACGAGACCCTTCCAGTGAAGAAGCAGCCAACCACACCGAGGCCGGTGGAGCCACAGATCAACGTGAAGAGCAAGAACATGGGGAAGGAGTACGGAGGGGAGTGGCTGAGCAGCACCACTCGCCACGTCAGGATCTTCGCTGCCTACATCGACCCCGTGACCTGCGAGATGGACCAGACGCAGATGGATAAGCTCACTCTTATCCTCGACCCGACCAACGAGTTCGTGTGGGATGATGTTACCTGCACCAAGGTCTACTCTTACTTCCAGGAGCTCGTCGATCACTATGAGGTAACTATGCTTCCTTTCAGTGGCGGGCAACAGTCATGGTTGAACCTCATCATACCACTGTCGTCGAAGCCAATTTGATGCTTTATAAGGTTAGGAACACCAATTCGACGTGCCTAAGCACACGTCCTGATGGTGTTCATAACCACAAATGAAGAGGGGTTCTAGAAACAAGAAACTAAACCAAAATGATCCTTCTATTTAGAGCTGATTTCGATAGCAGTTTCAATCACAAGCCAGCCAGAACTACATGATTCACAGTTCGGGTCAAACCACACTGATTTGTCATGTCCTTTTTCGCGGCTTAAATCAAACCAACATGCTCCCCTCCACTTCCTAGTCCCACTATAACAAACAGTACTGAACAATACCTGCAATCTGTTTCAACTCAATGCCATTGCAATGTGTGATCTGTCTTGCTATGGAACAAGTTTCTGACAATTCTGTGTTGAAAGCAGGGAGCACCATTGACGGAATACACGCTTCGACTGATCGGTTCGGACATTGAACATTACATAAGGAAGCTGCTGTACGATGGAGAGATCAAATACAACATGAGGGCAAAGACGCTCAATTTCAGCATGGGGAAACCCAGGATCATATTCAACGACGACAACAAGGGGAGTAGCCCAGATGTACAGTGATGGCAACAAACTACACAGTTAGAGCAGGCAATATTATATAATACATATATTTGAAAGTCTGTTTGCCGCCAACATGAGTCTTTCAAATAGTTAGTTAGACCTCTACCCAAAAGCTGTCCTGTCTCATCTCCCCCTTTCCAAATAAAATGTCTGAATACTCTAATTCCGGGGAGCTAGTTTGCAACTTGGCAGCACTTTCAAACATGACTCGTCCAGCCATGGATGGAAAGATCCAGGAAGGGGTAAATTCTGCAGATGAAAAAAAGGTATAAATAAAGCCCTTCTTAGTAGTAACGACAAGTCAAACTATTACAAGCAAGAAGCAAACCACCAGATATCGTAGTCAAATAAGCAAGCAAGCTCCACAAACTCTAGATTCAAGAGGATAATTAGAAAAAATTGTCAACTAGGGCAAGAAAGAACAGTAGTGAGATCGTGTAATGGTGATGTAGTCCCACACTATGTTGACTCTTAGGACAGTACGATTACTAAAACCAGTATATGAGTAAGCTTCAGAGTTCGGAACCAAATATCAGTTCAAGAAGAAAAGAAGCACTAACCTCCAACCAATAGAAAAACCCACGTAACAAGTTCAACCTTACGAGGCGATTGCACTCCGAATCAGGCTTCAACTCGTGAAGCTTTCTTGCAAAATCTATAATAATATATAACCAAGTTATCAACCTGGAGGAATCCATAACTACTGACAGAATCACAGATTAATGAAAAGAAAAGGAGATAAAATTGTTGTAACAAAATGTTGTACTTCAACTTGTAGCACAGCCAAAGGGCATACCTGTATATTTATCAAGGTAAGATTGCCCAAAAGCTTCCAGCTTGATCTCCACTGTTCGTCCATGCCGGAGTTCTCTATCTTTCACCATTTGCTTCCTGCAAGACACTTCTTTCAACAACTCCTCGTACTCTCTCCGGTCGTAAGGCTTTCTTAGATTCTCAAGAAGCTTCACCCTGAACACAGAGTTGTAGTGATTCCCACCATGGCCTTCTTCAGGTTCCAAGTCAAGATCCTTCAAATGTGAACACAGCCAAAAAAAAAAAAAAGAGAAAAAAAGACGAAATCATTTTAAAAACCACAACAGGAGAATAACAAAATAGCCCACAACAACAACAAGGGTGATGAGAGGAATGCATTACAATGATTCCATGGTTCTTTGCTAGCACGAATGGAGTGTTGACGTCATTAGCAAAGGTGGCGGCATCAATCTCCATTAAATCTGAATCAGATGGGCTCGTGGGATAGCTGGTGGGATAGTCATGATATAACACTCTTTCGCCAACTGAAGGGACAAATTCAATGTGTGTTGGCTTCTTCTTTAGAGAACGGAGGAATATTTCATAGCATTTGTCAATTTGATCCTCATCTATTTTAGGTCTGCAGCATTGGTTTCTGTTTGAAGGCGTTTTAGTTGTCGCAGGTTCTTCGCGGGGAACAGGATTCAAGGACCCTTTTTTCAGTGTTTCTGCAGAAATTAAACGTCTTCTTTTCCTATGCTGCATGTCATCCAGCTCATCTTTAGGTTTGCACTGTTCATTTTTGTTCGAAGGCATTTTAGTTGTTGCAGGTTCTTCACAGGGGACAGGATTCAAGGACTCTTTTCTCTGTGTTTTATCAGGAATCAAACGTCTTCTTTTCGTATCGTGCATGTTGCTCACATCCTTCTGAGCTTTCGTTTTCTGTTCTTCTTTTCGTACCAGAACTTTTTCTGTTCTAGTGTCTCCGGACTTGGGCTGAACCCTGGCTGGCATTGGAGCTTCTCTGCTATGTGCATTTTCTGGTGCATCTCTCTTCTCATCTCTGATCTTTGTTTTCAAGGGTGAACAGCTCCTCCTCTCCCTACCAGACGCAACCTTTGGATCCCCTCGTTCTTCCCCCTTCTTTTTGCTCTCTCGGCAAGGCACAGTTTCAGTTGTTTTATCTCTCACCAAACTGGGTACTAGAACACTTTTCTCTCTTGTGTCTCCGGACTTTGGCTGAACCCTGGCTGGCATTGGAGCTTCTGTCCTACATGCATTTTCTGGTGCATCTCCCGCTTCATCTCTGATCCTTGGTTTCAAGGGTGAACAGCTCCTCCTTTCCCTACCGGACGCAACCTTTGAATCCCCACGTTCTTCCCCCTTCCTTTTGCTCTCTCTCTCCAAAAGGTCTTCCATTTGGGACTTCTCTTCTCTTCTAAATCCACTGCGTACCCCATTTTCAGTTTTGTAAGAGAACTTCCTCCCCGTCAATAAACTCTTGTTGCTTCCATTAGGAACTCTCGGATCACATCCAGCACCTCCTTCATTTCCTATCTGGCAATGACCTTGAGTTTCATCGCAACGTAGCCCCAGACAAATCTCAGGTTCTCCATTGTTTCGCTCTAAAGAAGTCTGTCTTGGCTCACCAGCGTCACATTGACCATGAGAAACATATTGCTTTTCATAAACAAAAGATAGTGACTTTCCATTGCTCACAGGTAGCTCGACACTATATGCAGTCCCATCTTCTCTCAGGTTCTCTAAGAAACTAAGATATGCTGGATCAGAAGCTTCGAGGATATCATCATCAGCAGTTTGATCTGGATCCGAGAGATCGAAATGCCTGCAATGGTCTGCGACTTCTTCAGCAGGAGCTACATTGTCAAAAGACGTATCATCATCACCAGAGCCTCCAATCTCACCGGCTTCTTCCACAAACTCAGAATTACCATGAAAGCTATCTCCCGACTTATCATCACAACCATCATCAGTAGCCTCGTCACCAGTATCACCCTTGCAACTCAACCCATTCTTATCACTGGCGTAGCATGCCCGGAGAAAAGAGTCGTCCACATACTGAGCAGCTTCATTGTCACCATCCATAGACGTGCCACATCCACTGGTAGCACCTGGATCCCTACGGTTACCGACGCCATCATCCTCTGCTCTAATGCTGCTGCTACCACCACCTTTCTCAGCCAACAATTTGAAAAGGTCAATGTCCAAGTCCGGCCAGTCCTCCTTTAGATCAGAACACATACCCCGAGTGGCGGCTTCACTATCACAGCCACTAGTACCACCAACCCGGTCACCGGAATCAGCTGCTGACGGAAGGCCCAGACCCAAGCTATCCAAGAAGAACATGTAATCATCATCTGGAGGATAATGATGGTCGTTACTAGCACCCTGGTTAGGCAAATTTCCCCTAGTTCTTGTCCGGGTTTTGGCAGTGCTGCCACCACTGATACCATTCTTTGATGGATAACCCTCGTGACTTAAATCAGCCATGGGCCTTCTCTTCTTTCGCCTCTGCATCCTCTCATCTTCCATATAATCGGTCCCTCTACTTTTCCTTTTCAGAGACCCCATTCAGTTCACTCCCACAAAACCCTTTTGTCTCAACATTCAACAACCTATCATCGGAATTTTTTTAAAAAGTGAGAAGATCAACAGAATTCAAACTGAAGAGATTCCAAAAACTGTTGATTCCATACGAACCCAGTGAAGGTTCCAAAAGTGCTTGCAAAGGAATCATTCAAAACATGAAATCCGCACATGCAAGGTTAAGATGAATGCAGCTGAGAGGCGACATTGTAGGAAGAACAATAGAGAAGAGAGAAAGGTGAAAGATACTTACTTTTTGGGTTACCGAGGGCGGGGCGGAGTGGGTTCAGCTAAAAAGAAGCCATGATCAACCTCGGAAAGGGAAAAACAAACGAAACCCTCTTGAAGCGAAATTGGGGTTTTCTTTGAGGAAGTAGAAGAGCGGCCAGAGGCTCTCTCACTCTCTCTCTCAAATTTTGGGCTTTTTCTTGCTTGGAGCGCTGTAACGGCTGTTGCTCCTACTTCGCCGCGGCTTGCTGACTGACTCTACTGAAAGAGAGACGAACAGAGGGGAGAAAACGGAAAAGAAAAGAAGAGGGAAGGCTAGTCGGGTCGGGTCGGGTCGGACGGGTTATTGGGTTTTTTTTTATTGGGGTTCAGCTCAACTGATTGGCCCGGGAATCTAAAATGTCTGACAGAGTTATTTTACTGTTTACTATTGTTTACTTACTATCGTTAACTTTTTTCTGTGTGCAGGAAAATGTCTTTCCTGTCCCTTGAGCCTTTTACCTTGGGAGTCGGATTAGATTGCCGGTTTCTGTTAAGTCCAATCACAATAATTACGCTTCTACTTAACAAAACAAATCTCACCATTATTGATTTATTTCAGCTCCAGAGCAATTTATTTGCAGGTAATAAATTATCAACGAGATTTTTGTGTTGGTCTTCTTGTTTCATCAAATCTCGTACCATTTCGCACCTCGTATAACATAACTGCTCATATCACGATTGCAAACCAATCTAGATGGAGAATCAGACGGAAGATAAGCACACAAAACCCAGAAACTTGCCTCAATCCTTATCTCGCTCGACCATTTGCCTTCACAATATCTCTACAGCCAAGCAATAGGAGGAGCTTTAGAACGATAGGCGACCGACGGAAAATCGCATGAATCGAGTCTCTGTCTTCTGATCTCCCAACCGCGTCCGATTTTTTTCACTTAAGGATAGCTTTTGTGGTTGTCGAATCATCGAAAAATATGAACAAAGTCATGCTGGCTTCAGGACTCATTATGACGCCGCAGGCTTCCCCTACTATGAGACGCTATCCACCCAGTAGCTTTCACCCTCGTCGAATCTATTTCCAGGATTTTCTGACACCTATTTCCATGGTGATAATTATGAACTGCACAAAAATGCCTAATACCCACCCACCCGAATTGAACTGTCTCACCAGATCAGACAAATATACAAACTGCAAAAGTCGGAACAAAGTTTCTTTTGCTAGATTCTGAAGGCAATCTTCATGGTGATACATAGCCCCACAGACAAAGAATTTGTACAAATGAGGGTCAGTTTCTCCATACTGAAGAGAAGAAAGAAAGGCCTTTTCTCAACAACACTCGAATTCGTTACATGATCTCCTGAGCTGAATAAAGTTTTGTAATGTAAAACCCTTGTAGCTAAAAAAGGCCATAGATCAGCTGCCCAATAACCAACCTATTCCTGAGACATGGAAGAAAGGAGATCGCATTACGAAACAGGACCGGTAATGACAACGATGATGATATAATCGATGCATGGACAGCATACGAAAGGAAGAAAAACCTTACCTGTTCCATATCTGAAGGTCCAGAAGGGATCTCATCGGTGGCCATTGCCTCTTCTTTTTCTCCTGACTGGGGCACTTCATCGAAAAGTTTCAAATCTGCTGGAAGCTGCCCTGTACTCAGTGCCTGCCATCATTCACCAATAAGGTATAATGTTTAACTTGGATCATAACTTGTTGCAATGGCCAGATCTGGCTAAATAGAAAGTATACCTGCTCTAGTCTGGCAACCTCTTCAAGAGTTTGCGAATTCACAATGGCAGCCTGTTCGGGGAACACGTAGTACAACCAAGTGAATCAACAAGTAGTAGAGCATTACACTAATGCAAACAGAAACATAGACAAGGACTATCAAGTAGTTTTTTCGAGGGAGGTACCTTAATAGCTATGATTTGTTCCGGTGTGGGTCCTACCACCTTGCCACTCTGTTGTTCCCCTGCAACATCCACATCTATAGGAGCATCAGCAGGGGTGAAAGGCTTAACCACTTCTTTTTTAGCTTCCTCTTCCACTTCCTTCGACGCAAACAAGCTCTCTGCCTCTGCCCTCTCCTAAACAACCATATACATTCTTATCAGCAAAATCCGAACATGATAATAGATGCAGGATTGAAGCAAATAGCAAGTAGAGACAAAGCAACTATAGAGCCGATTCAACAGTGGGTTATGTGAAATAAGTATATTAGCAAGTGCTCAACTTTATGGTAGGTGACTACCTAATGGCTGACCGCTAGTTTGCTTATCCATAAGTGGTGATTTACAGAATGACGAATAATATTGAAGAGGGCATCAAACCACATTTGAACTGATTCAAATAAAAGAAACAGCAAATGAATTTGAAGATATGCTTCGAGAAGTGACCACCAGAATATGTAGAAACTAACAACGATTTCCAATATAGAGCATATAATGGAATCCATAAGCTATGCTTAGTTCAAAAAATGAAACAAATCAAGCCAGGACGGCAAATGAAAAGGAATGTTGATGGATTCTTGACTTGGAAATATAAGTATCCATTAAGGAAAGTAACAGGGACAAATATGAGACATACACGATCTAAGAATATGATCTCACCTTCGCTTTCACTTTCTTGAAATCAAGAACGCGAAGGGATTTTAGTTTGAAGATTACATACAGCCTATAATTGGGCCGCTTTGTGATGTTGTTGTCTAGAAGACTGAGGAACTGCAGTTTTGGAAGAGAGGAGAGAGGATCAATCTCCACCAAATTAACAAGTCTGTTGTTTGTCAGAACTAATGAATGCAGTTTCGGCAAGAACTCTGTACCAAAGAAGAAACATAAGAGTTGATGAGCATTGCCCACACTTAAAGTAAAATGTTTACTTCAATATATTGTGCACAAAAAGCCAAACAGCCATCCGAAGTTTAAAACATTACCTCCGATTCTAGCGCTAATACGAGTAATCCTGTTGTTATTCAGAAGCAAAGTGCCCAAGCGATTAAGAAATGGCAGGTTTTCCAGCTTGACAATCTCATTATCAGACAAGTCAACTGTATCAAATTGGTCCTGCAAAACAGATGGGTGGACATCATTTACTGTTGAGAGCTTGAACTCAATCTTTCTAGCATAACCTATCAAATAAAGTAACAGAGTACAATTAACAAAAGAGCAGATCAACTACAGCTGCAGGTAAACATATCTGTTCTTAAGGGACAGAGAAACAATTTCGAAAGTAGTAAAAGAGAGTCCTCAGAAGAAGGAACCACAATGACACTGTGCAGGCTTGTTAGCTACAGCAGACGGGGAAGACTAAACTTTTAGGAACTATAGAAGTTCAACTTTGGCATAGGCTTCAATCAATGATAGGTCTGTCCACAATACACTACAATGAGACCGAGCAAGTTGCATTTGACCCACAACCAAGATTAGCATTCTCACAATAAGCAGGCTTGACGACTAGCACAAAGGGCGAGTGGAATGCTCAAACTTGAGTAACTAGTAAACCTCCAGTTTGGCATTCGCTTAATCAGTGATTGTTCTGACAATACTTCAGTACAATGTGAACAACAGAGTAAGCTTAACTTCACCCATACCCAAGATTAACATTCCTAAGTCTGTACTTATCCTGTTTACAAAGCCGAGAGTAGTAAAGAGTTGGAGAAAAAGAAAAATTACCTCGGTAGCACCCAAATTCTCAATGACAGGGATCTTGTTACCTGAAAGCCAAAACGGGAAAAAAGAATAGCCCCTCTGAGTAAGCAAGTATACAACTTAAACATGTTCCACAGAGAGTGGTATGCAAAGAACAAAACCCTAAACCCGCATGGACCAACCTAAAGAGCAAAACCCCAACACCCCGCGTAAGGAAAGTAAAGGGTTGAGAACGCAGAGCAGAATCTCTCATGTACCTCGAAGATCCAATTCACGCTCCTTGATGGCGTTGAAAAAATGAGGGCTCTTCCAAATCAAGTCGGCGGTGAGCCTCACCATCTTCCTATCCTCTGTTTACTCCGGCACTGAACCCAGAAAGCTGAAGAAGAATGCCTCCCCTTCGTCCTTCTCAATCTAGCAAGACCCAGAGCAGGAATTTCTACAGGAAGAGTTGTATTCTAACGATTTAACCTTTCCTTTGCTTCTGATTTGTGATTTTAGAATTCCCGGCTCGGAAGGGAAGCCGCCGAGATACCTCCCGTTCGGCGGGGGCACAGTGGAGCGGGAAATGGGCCGTGGCAGTAACTCAATCTCAGGCCCACAACAGTCATTGGGCCAGCAGAATTTGGCCCAAATACGATGTCCGAAACCGAAACAGATGCTCGGTCAGAACCCGGGTCGTGGTTTCTGCGTTCGAATCGGACCGGTACGAGCCGAGTTGAACAACACAGCAGCGGTTTAGCTCCGACGCGACGTCAGCGCCTATCTCGCACAGTCCCAATCCGCCACGTAATCACTACGTAACTCTGAAAACTGTATTTATCGCTTTCTCTTCCTACTCATTTCCCTTTCTTATATAAATCCACACTTCTCTCCCCCTTTCCTATCTGTGATCCGTTTTCCGTCCGTTCCCCGAACCAATAACCGCAGAAGATCGTCCAGATATGGAATCCGCGACGGAAGCCATTTCCAAGCTCGGCATCAATGGCGATTTCGCGTCCTCCGTCCCTAATCTGCACAAGAACCTCTCGCTTCTGTCGCCTGATCAGGTGAGAATCTTTGCGGCCTCTGGTTTTTTTTGCTCCCAACGGCCCGTTTCTTTCCGACGTTGGCTAGTTCTTGCTCTCATTTCTGTCAATGCACATGGAATTTGGCTTTTCTTTCATGAATTCATTGCGATATTTGTGGTTTAATGCGGTGGTAATGGTGGTGGCCGGGGACGATAGATCGAGTTGGCGAAGATGCTTGTTGCGATGGAACAAAGTCATTTGTTCAACCACTGGCCGGAGCCTGGGGTTGACGACGGCGAGAAGAAGGCATTCTTCGATCAGGTTGCCTTAATTTTCTTTTCTTTTATTGGTTTAATGATAAATAAAATTTGGCGCCACATTGTTGTACAGAATTCCACTAGCATCTAACTCTACAGAATTCCACTAGCATCTAACTCAAGGCTGTGTGTGTTATCGATATTCCTCGTAGGTGGCTCGGCTGAATTCAAGTTACCCGGGAGGTCTTGCATCTTATATTAAGACAGCCAGGGGACTCTTATCTGACTCCAAAACGGGGAAGAACCCTTTTGATGGGTTTACACCTTCGGTAAGTTAGTCCATACTTCTATTTGTTAGAATCCGTGGCTTTCTTTGCTGCAATTGATATCATTATGTGCTTGATAGTTTAGGGAGTTGGAATCAATGCATGCATAGGCCAACAAATGCTTAAGATTAAAGTTATATGTGTCTTGGAATTTACTTTAATTGTTTCTCCATGATTGTTCATGCTCATATGAACCAACAATAGTCTTGTTGAACCTGAATGGCTTTACAGGTAACCTTTTATGGTTACTGGTTGGATGGCTAAATTTTTTGTTACTTGTTGAAGGATGTCCCTAATACTTTGATCTCATAAACAAATGATTTCATTGCGAGATTGTGATTCTTTTGTTCATTGCATTCCTAACCATGTAAGCTCATATGAAAGAAGACGATAAAAGGATGCCAGTTTAAGATAATTAAACTTAGATGACGCTGATGCATTATTCTTGTTCTTACGAGAACGTAGATTATGTATACCAATGCTCTTAACTTTCACAATAATGGTCATAAGAAACCTCTGTAGTTTGTAGCAAAAGATTGTGAAGACACCTGTTCAATACACAGATAGATGTGAAATTAGGGCTAGTAGATTGCTGACTAATTGGAAACTGTAGGCAGAACGCAGAACCTCTGTTGCTATGTTAGCACTTAAAAGTTGGATAGTATTTTTCTCTGTATCTGTGTCACCTGAAGTTACTCTATGCGCTTTTGAGTGTTATAAGCTTTTGAAAGCATTGGCATGTGACCCTAGTTGTACTTTGCTCTTGTGCACCCTTGTTTCTGCCACTTTCTGTTCTTTTCTCTTCCGCACATGAAAAAAATGGATCTTCATTAGGAAATCTGATGGCTAGCTATGACATGCATTTGGCACGTTAGTTAGTGAAAATTATCTAGATTTTGTGCACGGCATATAGTGGAAGTTGACAAGATCTTGTTATTTTCCTTTCATCATCTCCAATGATTGGAATGGACTATATGTAATTCCATATGCAGATGTTAGTGACCATGATTATCAGTTTCTTTTGCTTTCCCACTTCATGTTATAGACTACAGCTTATAAGAATTCAGTACTATGCATGATTTTCTATTAGGGCCATTTCACTATGTTTAAGAACATTTAGTAAGGTGGAATGCCTATTTTCAGGTTCCAACAGGAGAGAACCTGAGCTATGGTGATGAAACATTTGTGAAATTTGAGGAAGCGGGCGTGAAGGAAGCTCAGAATGCAGCATTTGTGCTTGTTGCTGGCGGGCTTGGGGAGCGCCTTGGTTACAATGGTATTAAGGTAACACTCTCTGTTTGCATAATTAAATTATCTGGTAAATCCTTTTAGGAATTTTGGCTTCCTTCTGCATCGTCGAAGAACATCTTATTCAACGTGTGCTATTTGAAATTCAGATTCTGTTATTCCTCTCCACTCGCAATGTGCACTATAGCCAATTTCCAATGCTGCGTTCTCTACTTGCTTTGACCTTGCACACATACACTCCTTACCTCTATGTTTGCTGTTTCTTCTTCAATTTTCAGCACTAGAATCCTTCAACTCTTATAACCATTGAGCGAACCACGTTCCTGGCACAGTTCAGGATCTTTCTCACGTACCAAAGAAAACAGTAACCTTCTAGTTAAATAAAAGAAAGATGGCTGTGTCAAAGTCATTGATGCTATTTGTTCACCAGACTGTTTGCTTTGGATATGTTCTTACTTCTAAAGTATGGCAGGTGGCTCTTCCGCGAGAGACTACAACAGGAGCTTGTTTCTTGCAGCACTACATTGAAAACGTTCTGGCCCTTCAGGAAGCTAGCTGTAAAGTCACTGGAGGTTTGTGCGAATTTTGTGTTTTTCCAACCATTGGCATCCTGCTTAAAGTTTAACTCTAACTGGATTTGTTTGAATGTCACGGCTATCCTAGTGCTTATGCTTATGAGATAAGAGTCACTTGACTGGAATTTCATAAGCTATTGGAAAGGCCTAGTGTTTTAACTGTGTCATTATTCATGTAAGCCTCTGTCCTACTATTAAAACACATTCTGGTCTGGTGAGAGACAAAATGCATGTGTTCAGCACATGTGTGTTGAACTTATGTGTTATGCTGGTTAGTTTAGCTTCTAGAGTAGTGGAGATTCGAGAATCACCCATTTTAAGCGACCTAAAATTTGGGATTTTTTCTATACACCCTCTAAATGCAATTTGAAGGTTGAATCGCTGAGTGTTGGCTTTATTCTGACCTCCTTCCTTTGGCAATGCAGGTCAATCTGAAAGGGATATTCCGTTTGCAATCATGACATCGGATGACACACATGCACGTACAATGCAGCTTTTGGAATCAAATAAATATTTTGGGATGAAACCTGCTCAGATAAAACTTCTTAAACAGGTATAACTGCGGTATTTGAGGACTGTTTTAAGATTGGAAAACTAATGACTTCGTTTAACTATTCCATTTTCAGGAGAAAGTTGCATGCTTAGAAGATAATGATGCAAGGCTTGCATTGGATCCTCAAAACAAGTTCAGAATTCAGGTGGCTGTCCCTTATATTAGTGCCCTAACTTTGGTGTTACTGTAGTTTCTTATATATTTTCTGCTCAATTACAGACAAAACCTCATGGTCATGGTGATGTTCATGCACTTCTTTACTCAAGCGGGGTACTTGAAGAATGGTATTGCATCTTCTGCCATATCTGAATTTCGTTGTTCCGATCCTGCACTTCCTTGGTTTTCTGTTTGCCCTTTGTTTGATGCCTATCATGTTATTTATCATGTCTTTTGGAGTATGAGAGAATAATGTTGGTGCACCTTATCGTTTATATTTTGTTTATTAGAATTAGTGTATCTTACATTTGTGTTCATCTTTTTTGTCCACATAGACAGCAGGCAGGGGTTCTTTAGTACTATACGTGTTGTCTGGCCCTTAACCTCTGCCTTCCATTTTATCAACGTTCTATTTACGAAGACGTTGGGTCCTCTTTAAAATTTGTTGTCATCAGTACTAGCAAGTGCAATGTACTAGCAAAAACATATGTAATTGATTTGATTGATTTCTTGTCTTCTTAGGCAGCGGGGTGGTGTGAGGTGGGTTCTATTCTTTCAAGACACCAATGGACTTCTCTTCAAGGTTTGTTTGTTTAATTGAATATTCTATCAAAAGGTGTTCGTATACATGCAAGAAGAGGTGTTTTTGTGCTTTAATGAATGAAAGAAATACTCATTTGCAGGCAATTCCTGCTTCATTGGGAGTCAGTGCCACAAAAGGGTATCATGTTAACTCGCTTGCTGTTCCTCGCAAAGCTAAAGAAGCTATTGGTGGAATCACTAAGCTTACTCATACGGACGGTAAAATCCTAGCCTAATTGCATAACTGAGTTGAGTTTGAAGTATTTTTATAGATCTTGGTTGCATTTTTGCTGTGGTTTTAGTCACGGTGATGAGCGTTGAGGGTACAATTTGTTGAGCTGACAATATGTGATGTCCTAGTATTCTTATGTAATTTTTTGGATGGTACATGGTTGGAACTTAATTGCTGTCTTGTAATTGAGGATTAGAGTATGTGAACCTTTACGGTCCAGTTTCCAACCAAGTACAACATTGATCCAGGCTTGGTCATAGATACATCATCAGATTGGGAATCCTGTATCTTATTTTTGTCTCATAGATACTAATTGATCCAGGTCTTAATCTGTTCAAATGATACTGATGTTTCAGGAAGGTCAATGGTGATCAATGTAGAGTACAATCAACTTGACCCATTGCTGAGAGCAACTGGGAATCCTGATGGAGATGTTAACTGTGAGACTGGCTATTCTCCTTTCCCAGGAAATATCAACCAAGTAATTCTTATGGCTCTTCTTAATGAGTACATCTGCACAGAATAGAGGATATTTATCCTTGTTTTTTCGCTATTCCTTTTGTTTTCAACTACTTTTGGGTGTACTTATGCTATAATAAATTTATAATACACATGACAGTATCCTGCTTCAACCTATGCACTTATTACCATCATCAAATGATGTTATGGTAGAACCTTTCCTCTATTCTTTTCATTCTCCCAGTTATTTTTAACATATTTGCACTAGATAGAGAGGGTGTCATAATCTTGAGTAGAGTAGAGGGGAATCCTATCACAAGTTATTAAATTCCTCTCTATCATATATGGGCCAATATTTCAGTATTTCTAGTTGCTAATATTGGTTGCTAACAATAGGGCCAGAGTACATTGATCATTCTTTTATGCACTATAAACTTCATGACTTGATTTTGGTTTTTTGCTGAAATGGTTATTGTTCATTCTGAGAATGAACTTTGTACTCCTAACTCCGTACATATATTTAAGTAACCGTTTTCATGAGTTTTATGCTTGTGCCAACATTTCTTATTTTTAGTCCATTCTGATAGCTATAGGTTGTCTGTTTTTCCAAATAACTGATGTACATGATATCTTAATTAGTTTCATGCTTGTGTCTAGCCTTCGTTACCTTAGTCCAATTGGGACGATTAAACTATTTTTCACTATTTATTTTTCTGCTAAATTTGTGTATGTTATCATCTTGATTGGTTCTTGACCTTCACCTACCCTATATTGACGTTATTGCAGTTGATTATGGAACTTGGTCCTTACTTTGAGGAGCTGAAGAAAACTGGAGGAGCTATAAAGGAGTTCGTAAATCCAAAGTAACTTCCCTGTCACTGGCTGTTGTTTTGCGACATATTGTAAGTTGGCCTTATTTTGCCCAAACCAACTTAAGAGGAAACATGGTTGCATTCTTGATGCAGATACAAAGATGCCAGTAAAACTGCATTTAAGTCATCCACCCGTCTGGAGTGCATGATGCAGGATTATCCAAAAACCTTGCCTCCATCAGCAAGGGTTGGATTTACGGTAATGTGCCAAAACATGATGGGAACTTGATGTAGTCTGACTGTCTTCCTGATATCCACCTTTTATCTTATTTTTGGCTTAGGTTATGGATGCATGGGTTGCTTATGCTCCAGTTAAGAATAACCCTGAGGATGCTGCCAAGGTGAGTCTGATAGTTCCTATGTGAAATTTTATTCCACTGATGTCGGAGGAAATTGGATACTGGTAGGAGCGTGGTAGGTGGAGGTCTCAAATCGTATTTGGTGACCTTTCGAATAGTGTAAAAAAATCTAGGCTCATATGGGCTTGTTTCTCACAGCCACGGACAACTAACTTCATCCTCTCGATCCCATGGATGAAACCTTAATTCTAAAAGATGGGCTTACATTCATGTTCCACGGTTTCTGTTGTTGTCCTCTCATCTCAATCTCCGCTCTTTGTTTCCTCATTTTGGAATATCATTCTTGCTCTTAATAAACCGTGACTAAATGAAGGTACCCAAAGGAAATCCATATCACAGTGCGACGTCTGGAGAAATGGCTGTCTATCGCGCAAACAGCCTCATCCTCAGAAAGGTACTCGTTGCTGCATATTTATGTTGAGACTGCTTGAAGAACTGATATATAGTTTCTCCTACGCTTATCAACTTTCTTTATGCTCATCAAACAGGCTGGTGTGCAAGTAGAAGATCCAGTGCGGCAGGAATTCAATGGGCAAGAGGTGGAAGTGTGGCCTCGTGTTGTATGGAAGCCAAAGTGGGGTCTAACATTTGCAGATGTCAAGAAGAAAATTGCTGGAAGTTCGTCCATTTCCCAAAAGTCTACCTTAGCTCTTAAAGGTCGTAACATATTCATCGAAAATCTATCGTTGGATGGAGCTCTTGTTGTCGAGTCTGGTGATGGAGCTGAGGTAAGTCGATCGCCTTATAAAATAAACCTGACAATTATGCTATGCATTGAAGTACTCCGTTTTCTAAATTAGAAATCCCGTGGACAGGTGAAAGTAGGGGGTTCGGTCAAGAACAAGGGGTGGGCCATCGAGAAAGTGGACTACAAGGACACCTCTGTACCCGAGGAAATCAGAATCAGAGGGTTCAGATTCCAGAAAACGGAGCAGCTCGAGAAGCAGTACACTGAACCGGGGAAATTCGAGTTGAAAGCATGAGCTTCTAATCACTACTGAATTCAACAACAACAAAGAGGGGAAAGACTTGTTCAGTTTATCTGTGTTCTGGTTCTCTATAGTTAGATGCATTTCTGGCATTCTATCATTGTGGCAGTGCACAAATAAAAGTAGAAATATTGTTTTTTTTAGAAGAGGAAAAAAAAGAAGCGTATATAGGTCTATCAAAAGTGATGGTCGACCACGTCGTACAGGAAATTCTTGCTTTTTACTTGTTTCGTTCAGGAGGAAGAAAGGGGGAAAAAGGAGTGTCTCTTGCATTTTACTTGTTCAGAATAGGAAGATAGAAGCTTCTTACGTTTGCAGCCTGCAGGTTTTTTCATTTTTTTTTAATCTTTTGAAGAATGTTTCTGTAAGACTTGGCGATATTTGAAGAAGGTTTCTGTATTTTGGTAGCATGTTGATGTGGAAGTGCAAATTGCTGAGATAACTTGACGATTGTTTCTATTTGGACCCATTAGTTAGTGGAAGCTGGAATTGGTCTCCCTCTGCCTTTACTATTTCGACAGAGAAGTGCTGGTTTTGGGGCAAACTTTGTAGAACTAATGTGTGGCAACCGGCGAGCAATCGTAATGTCAACCTCCTCTTATCGCTTTCAATGGTTGTTTCCATCCACAACGTCGGAGATTTACCCATAAAAAAAAAAAAAGTCGAAGATTCACCGGCATTTGGTTTGTTCTTGGTTGGGTGTGTGGAGAGAAACCAAACAAATACGTTTAGTTCCAAGGAAACAGCTAGGGTTTCTGCACTACTCAGCGGATGATTGAACTGTCGGATTCAGTAGAAATTTCTCGATTTCAAAATGTATTGAAGGCTTGAGCAGTATAAAAAATAACTGAATACTCTATTTGAAAACAGAAAGAATTGTTGTTGAACGAACAATAATTAACAATTATAAAGATATAAGAAGGATTATTCGAAATCGAAAAAGAAGAAAATTCGAACAATTCAGAAGGATCATATAATTGCGCAAAATTTGTCAAAGCTCTAACCATATTAGGTCTTGAAAAATGCACATGTCCGATCCGGTCTAGCTAGGACTCCGTCTGAGACTGCTGTATATGTATATTAAGAAGCCTGTTGGAGAAACCAATTAAGAAGCCCAGGCATGCTATATATTTTTCCATGACAAACTACAATTTCTTCTCACAATTGAGTACGATGTAGCTTTCTAAAGTATATATTATGTAGCTCCAACCAATACGACTCGATTAAATAAAATGATTACTTAGGCAGTTAGGCCAAATAAATACACCCAATTAGTTGGAGGCATGTTGAAAGGTAACTTCTTGTAAACCCTCTTTTGCAAACATGTAAATAGGTAAGGTTGGTGGTGGCGACGCCCAACTATCACAAAATCCGATTATGAAATCTCTTTTTTTTTTATATATAATTGGACCACAATTTTCATTATTTATTTTGGTATAGCATATACTTGCACTTCCCTAAAATTGAGCAATCTAAAACTCGATTTGATTGGACTTAATCGATTATAAGTACCCTAGCAATTAGGAGAGAGGGTTTAAGTTGACCCCGCCATCAAATTTCCATCATTTTATGTTCATACACATATTATTAATTAATTAAAAGCACAAGTTTTATTCCAATAATTTACTGTTAATTACGACAAAATAGGGAAATCATGAAAACAAAAGTATTGTTCGTTGGAGATTCATACACTGTATACCATAGTTAGTAAAATACGGTACGGGAAAGTTACGTAAAAAATACGTACGGGTATTTTACGTCGTCTCTAAGCTAAAGGTACGTTTAATAGTACGTTAATAGTAATAAATATATAAAAATAAATTATTTTTAAAATAAATAAATATATAAATAATAGTAAAGTTCACAATTTAATTCATTAAATACGGATATTAAACATGTTACACGGGTTTTATACGTGTTTAGTACGGGAGCAATCCAATGAACGAAAAAAAATGAAACGACTTGACAATAATACGGATACAGAAGTTTTAAACGGATAAAGTACGTACGGGTACATATACGTGTATTAAACGGAGTATTTACTAACTATGCTGTATACAGTTGTATCAAATGGGAAAAAAAACTTGGGCTATTAATTACTCCCAAACATAGCTTAATAAAATGTGAGATCGTTAATTTGATTCTATTATTAGACCATACATTACGGAAGGTTATATAACACTGTTATATAACAATTACTAAAATATACTTTGTAAACCTTATAAACGTTGAACGGATAGTTATTTCTTATGTATCAGTCGAACAAACGTGTTACATACGTCTTCCATAATAACTAAGACCCTACGCAAAGCTAATGAAAGTGTTTACTTTAACAAATTTGTGAATACTTTTATTCTTAAATCTAAAGCCGTCGCGTCCTCGTACCCACAATCCTCGGTCGTGCTGCCCCCGTAGAGCGATGGCCATAAGCCATGGACTGTGAAATAGTTATGCGCTGGCATGTAGCACGGAATGTCTCCGACGTTGCATCTCCCAACAGGCCACTGGAGAGCGAATGTGTAGTAGTCAAATGTCGTCGCGCACTGCCACAAACAAGTAGTAGTACAACACACATAAAACTTTGGACGATATGTACGTAGTAGGTAGTAGTACAACACACATAATACTTAAAATCAACTAATTTGCGACCAATCAAGTTTTCCTTTTGACTCCGCCGCATTGATCCAATCATAACTTTTTCGAATGTGCTTTTAAAGACTTCCCATTGTAAAAGAATCCAAAACACACAGCAAAATTAAGACAAGAATAAAAGATAGACGAGCACATGCATGAGCCACTGTCTCCCTTTCAAATCTTTTTTTTTTTTTTTCCTTTATGGATTTCGCCCTTTCAAATCTTGAATCCATTGTAAGTTATTGATTCTGAATATAACTTATTATATGTTAGCTGTTGAATTAAATTTCAATTATTCTTTTTATGTCTTTCATCTGTAAACAATAATTGTATAAAATACTGAAATGAGTAGTATGGTGTATGGTCTGTAAAAGCACATTATTAACCATCGTTAAGATTGTTTGCAAGAGTATGCTACACATACTAGCTAGTATACATCTTTAATTAGGCTTAATTAGTCCAATATAATATGTTAATCGTCACTAAAACTGGACACGTTGTCACTTTTATATTGATGGGTTGATGCCACGTCTAGATGTAGTAGTTGGGCTACGATATGACAGGTCTAGTGAACTAAACGTTTTAAGGGGAGAAAATATGATGATTATATATATGTTGGTGATTGAAATTTATACCAACTTGTTCTAAAACAGGTATACCACATTATAGCAGTGCAGACGTGAAGTGGTATATTGTCAGAAATCCTACCCAAAATAGAGAATTTCTATGTTGTGGAATTCTTTTTCTATATCTTGATAAGTAGCTCTTAATTTAATAAGTTCAATCCATGTTGTTCTAACAACTATGTATTTCTATTAGGAGTGGTAATAAATAAGTTTATCGTATTGTGTATCGGTTAGTAAACTTTAGCTTATAAAACTCTTTCCAAATCATGTCGGTAAATTGTTCGACCCAAATTAACTTATAGTATGCTGTTGGGAAAAAAAAATGTGTTCCTCAATCCAAACTCATTAAGGTATTGTTTGCTAATGGGATTTGGATGTTGTATTTGGTTTCCAAATACAAACCGTCATGTTTTTTTCCAAAGTTATTGTTTGTTAAGATAGGCAATATGTGTGGCCCACGAATTTGGTCAATTTCTTTTTTAACTCCAAATCCATGGATCCCACGTATTTGTAAATATCACATTTACCATTTATTTGAATTTTATATTTCAACTCGAATAAATTATATATGAAAATACTCTAAAATTTGGGCAACCAACCTATATTTTAGTTGATCACAATTTAGAGCATCCACATTGGTATTGCATTCTCAATTGCAAAATGACATGTCATAGGTGTTTGCAATTGCAAAACCAATTACATTGATGTGGCTATCAATTGCATATTTGCAAGCTTGCAACAAATGCAATTCCATATGCAAGTCAAAAAAGCCTAAAAAATGGAAATTTTGTATTTTACATTATTTTCTTTTCTCTTTTACTTAATTTTCTATAATTTAAACATAATATTTAATTACATTTGCAAGTTAATTGTATTTATGTAGGTGAATGAAATGAATGTGATGTCGATGGCAAAAAAATTTGAGTTGATAAGAATAATATACAAATGCAATTTTTTTTTAATTGCATTGATGAAAATGCGGGATGAGTTAGCGTGGTTACTTAATTTTTAGTAATCACGGTGGCTACCTTAATCTACACCATTCATTATTTCTTTTTCACCCTAATTTTAAATTAACGATGAAGATTATATTAGGGTAATTTTGGAATTGAAAAATATATCACACCTGATTACTCTATAAATTATATTCAAACCCTACCCTACTGCAACCCGCCGCCAACTACCAAGCTTCCTCCCCCGTTACCTCTCGACGTCCCTCCTCCCTCACGAGAACCCCCTCCACCGCCGGCCGGCCTCCCCTCCACCGCCCTCCTCCCTTCCCCTCCTCTCTCGCATAATCTTCCATCCCTAGCATCCCCCCTCTCTCTCCCTCTCTCTCCCAGAAGCTGCAGCACCATCAATGGACGCTCGCGTACTAGATCGTGACCTCCCCAACGACGACGATTCCCCCGGTACTTTCGAATCTTCCTCCGACGTTGCTGACGGCGGAGCTGGACAAGGCAATTCAATATGGGATGCTCGCCAATTCAATGGACAATTTTCCCCCCAATTCAATGAATGATTCCCCCGCCAATTTGCTCGACGATTTCGCTGCCAATTCAATGGATGCTCGCGTTCCAGATCGGGACCACCCCGACGACAACGATTCCCCCGCCACTTCGGAATCTTCCTCTGATGTTGCTGATGGCTACGCTGGACGAGGCAATTCAATATGCTGCATCCCAGAATCTTCTTTGGTAGTGTGTGCATTACGCTTTGGTAGTTACCTGCATTTGTGTTAGTTAGATGGAGCATTATTTTTTGGTAGTTATTTGCATTTGGTTTGGTAGTGTTTGCATTATGCTTTGGTAGTTTCTTTGTATTTGTTTTGGTAGTGTTTGTATTGATTTATTTATGCAATGATATTGTTTTGATTTCACAGTAGTAGTGGTATTGGTTGTTTTGGTATTTGTTTGACTTTTGTAATGATATAGATTGTTTATATTGGTCGTTTTCGTGTAATGGTATAGATTTATTTCTGCAATAGTATTGATGTTTTTCAAAATTGTAGTGGTTGTCTAATGGATTGGTAGTGATTTCGTGTTTTTTCTTTTGCAGAAAGATTAAGAAAAATATGGAAAGGAGATCTAACTGGAGATTACGGAAGTGAGAGAAAGAAAAAGAATTGTAATTAATAGATTTTTGTAACTAAAAAAATGTAATTTATTAAAATTAATTAATTAATATAATTTATTTTTCCGTTTCCAATTTACCTTAGTAACTATGGTGATTTGTAGTGATCACCGTAACCGCATGAAAATGCTCCAGTGGCCATTTCATTATTAACCACGATCTTTAGTTGTATTTCCTGGTATAGGAAATTTCCTACGAGCGCCACCGGCCCCCGGAAAATTAAAACCCTGTCTTTTAGTACGGCACCAACGTCAACGTACTACTTCTCCCAATCTCTCTCTATATATATAAATCTGAAAGAAATCAATCTTTTCGAGAACGAACAATCAACGCCCCCAACCTCTCCGCAATTCCGTCAAAACAGGCCGAAATCATGCTCTTTTCTTCCCCTTCTCCTTCTCCTTCTTCTTCTCATTCTCCCTCCACACTTTCCTCGTCATTACACCCTAATCTTCCTACCAATCCCTTCATGACCCCGGGGCTCCACGCCGCCGACCTGCGCCGGATCTTCCACCGGCTCGACCGCAACGGCGACGGCCTCCTCAGCATCGACGAGCTCGGCTGGCTCCTCGACCGAATCGGATCGTCCCTCCACTTCACCAGCGACGAGCTTGAGTCCTCCGTCGGGAAATCCGCCCTCGACTTCGACGAGTTCCTCGCCTTCTGCCGCTCGATCGAGGGCGATGGCGGCGAATCGGCGGCGGCGGTGGAGAGGGATCTGGAAGAGGCGTTCCGAGTGTTCGACTTAAACGGCGACGGATTGATAACGAGCGAGGAGCTGCAGAAGGTGCTGTCGAGGTTGGGGCTGTGGGACGAGACCACGGGGAAGGACTGCCGCCGGATGATTTCGCCCTACGATTCCAATCTCGACGGCGCGCTTGACCTTGAAGAGTTCAAGAACATGATGCTCCAAACGACGCCGTCCTCAGCATCCGCCTAGAGAGAATGGGCAGAGGAATGGAATTTTTGCCGGATTTTTTTGATGAATCGGACGGTGGAGATTGAGTTGAGAGCGGTTGCATCGTGGGTTGCATGACAGGAGATCCGGTTTGTAATTGTTTTTTGTTTTGTTTTTTAGTTTATGAATTTTAATTGTATGTTAGGTGTAGATAATTGAATGTGTAGGGATTATTATTGTTATTAATTAAAGATCGATGGGAAATTAATGAAATTTGGAAGTTGGGAGGGGGGCGTTATTACTTATTAGTTCATCGGTGATCTATCTACCGGATTCTAGACAGCCCACGCGGGAACGGCTACGGTGCTAATTGTACAATAGTTAGCACCATCCTAACCAAGGAAAAAACTATTACTAGTTTGAATTAGTAGTGATTTAACTTAAATGTTGTACAATAGTTAGCACCATCCTAACCAAGGAAAAAACTATTACTAGTTTGAATTAGTAGTGATTTAGCTTAAATGTTGTATTGATTTTATAATAATGCGTAGTGATTTCGTTATTTTTAGTAGCGTTTTTTGCTAGTTATCACGGTGCTAACCCCTATAAGGGTTAGCACCTAATCCCATCCCCAGCCCACGCTTATTTTAGTCGATTATTTACGTGTTGAAAACTGAAATTTTGAGCGCGGCACTACCTATTGTTTTCCCGGTGAGAAAAACTAGATTGAATAGAGTTGAATGCACCTTGATTTCCTTCCAAAACGATTAACAAACACATTTCTACACCTTTTTGAACAAAGTTCAAATAAGGGTATTTAATGTTTTCATGAACTACGAGACATATCTACATTAAATTATTCCTGCTCTTATGGAGCTTCACTGAAAGCTCCAGAACTACGACTATGGCTAAAATTGCAAGGAAAATAGAAAAAGGATAAAAATGCACAAGTAGTGCCGAGTTGTGATTTTTGTGAACCCCTTCTCTATCATCTTCACCCTCTATTTATAGCCACAAGAAATAATTGTCTCCGGGAATTGCTCCGCTGACGTGAAGTGACGGTTGTCCTCTCAAATGCTCAGATTATGCCGGGACATTGGTTGTAGTCCCCTCTTCAGTCTTGACTCCCTCCTCTTGATAGCTCCTCATTACCTTTGCTTGTTAGTTGAGAAACAAGACGAAGACATGAAGACCGTCTTGCCACATGTGGGTGGGTGTTTGGGTCACACAGGATAAAAATAGCAAAATAAATTCACCACTACGTAAGCGGCATACTTTGCCAAATTTTGACCATATTTCATCCACCAAGGGGTATATTGTGCCGTCATACCATGGGGGTGCATGTTTATCATGACCACACCATGGGTACCTCATCTTCTTTACCCCAAATTACCCCCTAGTGTGGCACCATGGGATATGTTGATGACCCCCCTAATCACACAAGGGTGTCTTCTTGTTTTGACCAAATTCGGTCATCGATCCCCTTTAACCACGCTATCTCTTAGTATTGTATCATGGGGGGTGCTAGGTTGATGTCTTGATGATCCCCTCGACCATGCCATGTGGGTGCTCCACGCCATCTCTCTCCACGGGGGTGATATGTTGATGACACCCGGAGCACACCATTGGAGGTGGTATGTGGATGACCCCCTCGCCATGAGGCGGAGTGGATCTTCCGGTGGTGCATACATAATGGTATGGGTACCCATGGGCTCAAAACTCAATCCACGTGGCTCATCTTAATTTATTTTAACTGTTATAATTAACTTTACCTTATAGATTTATTTAATTTAATCCTTTGTAGTTAATTAATGTGATATAAGATTAAATTTTGATGTAAACACCTACTAATTAATGAACAAGGATTTGGCCTAGTGATAGTACCACTAGTTTAAAACCTGTAGATCACATGTTCGAATCCATTAAATAGTACCTTAATAACAAAAATGAAACCTATATTAACATTAAAAAAAAACACTTACTAATTAAGCCTTGAAGCCACTCAGTTTTAATTTCCAGAGCCCAATACGCACAAGATAGAAATGAACTAATTTCTCTTTCATTCTGTTGGCGGCAATAAATCCAGTTCGAACCGAGTCCTCCAGAGTCTAACCAAACAAAGATATAAACTTGTAGGAAAAAATCCCACTGTACACACGTTCTTAAAAAAAATTCCCAAAATACATGAGTTATAAAAAAATTTCCCAAAGTACACATGTTTGAGCATCACCGTTTTAGACAAACGCGGTGAAGAATATCACCGCGTTTGACGAACACGGTGAGTACTTCATCGTTTTAAACAAAAACGGTGATGTATTCACCGTTTCAAACTAAAACGGTGAAGTATTCACCGCGTTAGTTTACAACGGTGAATACATCACCGTTTTGGTCAAACGCGGTGAAACCATTCATCGTTGTCAACCAACGCGGTGATTTTTCCCACGTTTCCCACCCCTGGTAGGTCAAAATTTAGGTCGCAGCTACCACCTATTCACCGTTTGAGACAAACGCGGTGATAGTGTTCACCGTTTTCGACAAAAACGGTGAATAGTTGGCAGATTTTCCTATAAATTCCACACCACCAGCAGTTGTAAGAACATAACCTCCCCTTTCTTCAAATTTCAGCAGCCAAAATCGAGCATAATACACAGAACAGAAATTTTTCGGTATGTTGAGACTTTTCGTATTATAGTCTAATTATGTTCAAATATGGAATTAACGACCATTTACTTTGACAAAATCACAAAAATTCGGAATTAACGACCATTTACTTTGATAAAATTGATCTTGTTCAAATATGGACAAAACATGATTACCTGATTCCACCATGGTTTATCTAACTCAGAACGATAAAACAGTAACGAATGCTCAGGCTGATGGTCATTCGTATTTTCTCCTATCCACCTTGTAAGTAAAAGTACGGAATCAATTTAAATTCAATTTAAATCTAGTTAAGCATGTAATAAAAATTAAATTGGGCTAAGTACGGAATAAATTCAATTTAAATCTAGCTGAAGCATGTAATCAAAAGTTAAATTAGGCTAAGTACGGAATAAATTCAATTTAAATCTAGCTCAAGCATGTAATAAAATTTAAATTGGGCTAAGTACGGAATAAATTCAATTTAAATCTAGCTCAAGCATGTAATCAAAATTTAAATTGGGCTAAGTACGGAATAAATTCAATTTAAATCTAGCTCAAGCATGTAATAAAATTTAAATTGGGCTAAGTACGGAATAAATTCAATTTAAATCTAGCTCAAGCATGTAATAAAATTTAAATTGGGCTAAGTACGAAATAAACTTACTTGACACCGTAGGGGAGATTTTGCAGAAGGTTGAGCTCATCATCGTTTCTCCGGTATGGACGTGGGTCGAGAGGTGCGAACATTGGAAGATGCTCCCATACCCACAGTTGAACGATGAACATCGCAGCACCAGCTTGCTTTGCCCCAACCTTCGAGCAAGTACACAGCTCCCGGTATACGCCCGCTAGCACGGCCGATCCCCAACTCTTCTCTCCAATTGCATCCCAGTCACCGGTGAGCAATGGCAACCATATGCCTTGAATCCACCGGTTGGACTTGTCGGGGAACAAAAATCCACCCACCAAACCGATGAGGTAGATGCGGGCGTAGCGCTCGACTTGTTCTTCCGGTGTCTCGTCATTGATTTCCACCTCTTGCTGGATGTGAGATACCAGCCACGGGACCGACACTTGCCCCGCATTCAACGGTGGATGCCCCCGTCCTTGATTTGGTGTGGTGGTCGGCATGTCGAAGCCCAAACGATCACGGATGAGCGGCCCCCAACCTCCTCCGGGTTTGGTCGTGTTCCCAATGATGGCATCTCCAGATATAGGAAGCCCGGTGAGGATCGCCACGTCTTTGATGGTGATCGTCATCTCCCCCTCCGGAAGGTGGAATGTATGGGTTTCGGGACGCCATCGTTCCGCCATTGCCGTAAGCAGTTCGTTGTCGATCTCGATCCGCAAGAAATGGCGCAACATTCCCAACCGGTCCTCGCTATATAGGGCTCCAACCTTGGATGCCAAGCGGGCAAGTTATTGGTCCCTTTATGAACCACGGGAACAAGAGATTCCTAAAAAAAATAGGAAAAATATCAATTTATTAGATTAAATAAAGCAAAATAAAACATTAGAAAATAATAAAATAAAGCAAGTCAGTTCATCAAATTACCGGATTGTTATCCCAAATGGCACGGGAGCGATGCATTTCTTGATCGGTTAAGAGACTCGCATCCCTTGGGCCATAATGGATATACAATCGAGGATCGTATATCTCGGCACCCATCTATAAAAAAGTAATGAAATCAGAGATTGTTTTGATAAAAAAAAAATCAAATTGTTTCGATTAAAAAAAATCACAAACCAAAAACCTACACGAAGAGCCTCTTCGTCCATTATTGGCGGAAGCCGGACAGAGGTTCGACGGGTTTAGCTTTGTAAGGGACGGGAACTTAGCGGGACGGGGGCTTTAGGGTCAAACTCTAGTAATTCTTTCTGATGTGGAAGATCGGACTTAGCCGCAACCACAGAGCATACTTAGAACGAGACTAGAGCGGATAAATTGAGGGAGAAAGAAGTGAAATGTTTGTGGGGTGAGTTGAAAGTGAAAGGGGAAGGGGGTATTTATAGTTTGGGGGAAGGGGGGAGGAGCTGCTGCGCAGTTATTAGGGCTCCATTCACCGCGTTCATCAAACGCGGTGAACTCATCGCTTTAACCAAACGCGGTGAATGCATAGCTGACGTGGCGTGCTGTGAGGCGTCGGATCGTGGGAAGAAAACCACGATCCGCGTCTCACCGCATCTAACGGCCACGGTGAAAGAACATTGGCGCGGATTTCTAACGCAAACAAACACGGGTTATTCACCGTGTTTGTCTAACGCGGTGAATACCCCGTGCTGTCCACGTCAGCAACTTTACCGCGGCCAACAAAAACGGTGAAGCCTTCACCGTTTTAAACTAAAATTAAAACGGTGAAGGCTTCACCGTTTTCCTTTAAAACGGTGAGGTATTCACCGTTTTTAACAAACGCGGTGAATCCTTCACAGTTTTTGTTTGAAACGGTGAATACATCACCGTGTTCGTCAAACGCGGTGATGACCTTCACCGTTTTTGTCTAAAACGGTGATGCTCAAACATGTGTACTTTTGGAATTTTTTTTATAACTTATGTATTTTGGGAATTTTTTTTAAGAACTAGAGTACTTTGGGATTTTTTCCTAAACTTGTATACTTTTTTCGTGAGTCACTTATTCCAATCTTCAGATTCTTTGTTGGTCATTTTGTAGGAAAAATGGGGTTGGAAAGATGCACCTAGAAACTTCTCATACCTTCTAGAATAAATGCAACAAGTGGAAGTCTACGGCCACGACCCCACAGGTTGTTTTTCAGATCAGGATCCCTAGCTATAGTTGCCTTGGATAAGTGAACAAGTCATTTCCACAGAAATCCTGCGGCACAAGCTAGCTAGGCTAACCTATATTTGATACACATTACAAATTAATAAGCTATATTAGCCAACTGTCTAAATTTTATGAACTTACCAAATTATTATCTAATTTTTTTGAAATACAAAATATTAGTCAAATGTCACTTCCATGTTAGCAATTTTGTTAATAATGCCGATTTGACAATTAGGGATGGCAATGGGGCGGGTTTGGGGCGGGTTTGCCTAAACCATCCCCATCCCCATCTTCAAACACCCAAACCCATACCCGCCCCATACCCATGCGGGGAATGTTTTGGAAACCCATCCCCATACCCGTGGGTTTCGGGTACCCATGGGTAATACCCATCCCCGTACATCCAACATTATTATACCTAAAACTTACAAGAAAAGTTTTAATTATAACCATAAATAAACCTATATATCATGAAGTCAACAAAACATGGTCATTTTCTAAATACGATTCAAAGAATATGATCCTAAAACATCCATTAATACATAATATAGACTATAATATTTTTAAATTATTATGCTCTAACTCTTGATACATTTACTAAGTAATAATTAACTAACATAATCTTGTTGACAAGGGGGAAAGTGAAAGAGTGGAAGGAGAATTGAGGGAAATGAATTAGGTTTTGTTTAAGGTGGTTACTCAATTGCATTTCTACTATTTATTTTCTCGAGTTATCATCATCATCATTGATAGATTACAATTTAATCCACATATTTTTTGATATGTGAAGAAATTCTCTTGGTGGGGCGGGTATGGGTGTGGGTATGGGGCGGGGGAGGCTAAAACCATACCCGCCCCATACCCATCAAACTTTTTGCGGGTTTTACCCATACCCGCCCCATACCCGGTCAAAGCGGGGATTCCCCGCGTTGACTGGGTCGGGGGCGGTCGGGTACCCGCGGCCATGGGTTTGATTGCCATCCCCATTGACAATATGATACGGAGAGACGTTGGAAAAGACAAGTACGGTCAACATTCCGAAGTTTTAGTATTTTAATTAATAAACAAATAACAAATTATTAACGGTAACAGACAAATTGCTACTGTTCTGATACGTAACAAAGGATTCGAAAAGTTTGAAAGCTCTGTATTTACTTAACTAATAATTAATTTAATCCAACGTCAAAATATACACGACCACTAAATGGTAATGATATTTAAGTAATAAACGTGTATGTGGTTTAATATTGACCTGCAGCTGTAGTGCTAATAAACATTCTGCAAAATGCAAATTGATTAACAAACATGTCAGAAGACGTATTTGTTTACTGATCAGATTTTAAATTAATTATTATTAAAGTTATAACGTGGTAAGTGGGGGATGTATTATAATTTCCCTTTTGTCCAAAAACCCTGGCAGTGGACTTTCGTCCCCTCAAGTAAATTCATTAGCCGAGACCCAGGGAGGAGAAATCGAGAGATCATGTGCACCATTTACTCAGACGCAAGGTTGTCAACCCGCGGGTTGACCCGGATCCGGTTGAGCTAGTGGGTCAAGGGTTAATGGGTCACTCGTTTTAGCCCGGTTTAGCCCGGAAATATGGAAAGCGTCATTATATTGTACTTATCCTGATAAATTATATCAAATCTCATCTAACATATGAGTCCGGTTTAGCCCGGAAATATGGAAAGCGTCATTATATAATTTATATTGTACTTATCCTGATAAATTATATCAAATCTCATCTAACATATGAGTTATAACATATAATATTACACCAAAATAACATTTCGTACTTAGATTCAACATATAATGAAAATTCACACACACTTATATAACATTAATATTTTAATGTTCAACTTAGGATTCCAAAGATTGAGTTAGGAGAAAAGAAAAATCGGAAAATATGCGGATTTCGCAAAACAAAGAAAAAAATGACACAATTTGACCTCCAACCCGATACCTTGTGGCAATCGACCCGGCGGGTGCGTGCGGTCCGTTTTTCTCACCGGGTCAGGGTCAAAGTGGGTCAACCCGCGGGTCGACCCGCGGGTTGATAAAGACGTGACTCTTATTATATATGCTAATCTATCGGACTCTTGTTCGATTCCGGCAGCGACAAAAGCCATCGCCGAGAGCTTCGGCAGCGGCGCACCAAGGATACAACAGTGGGCTGGCACCACCGATAGCTGCAAACTCGGTGTCGACGGGCGGCTCGAACCCGACGCGTAGACAAGGGCAAGGGAAGCTGCTCGGCTGGGAGTGGGGGTGTCCATTCGGGTTCGGTTTTTCGGGTTTACCTGAAAGCGACCCGATTATATACATTTTTGTTTTTTTGGGTTTGAGTTCGTTTTGGGTTTTTTGGTTTCGGGTTCGGTTTTGTTTATCGAGTTTTCGGGTTCCGGCTAAAACCTCCAATGAATAGAACTCAGCCCGTATTCTTAGGCGTTCGGGTTTTGGTTTTGCTTTAACCGAACCCGATAAGGAATTTTTGGGTTTCGGGTAACCGAAACCCGCAAGTCCTTATCGGGTTCGGGTTCAGTGATTTTCGGTTTTGAGTTTTCGGGTTTTTCGGGTTTCGGTTCGAGTAACCAAACCCGACCTGAACTGACACCCCTAGCTGGGAGGAACAACAGCTCTGTCGCGCGTATGGACTGTGCTTTAATTGTGATGACCGGTTCACCATCGGTCACAAGTGTAGGACGACCAAGGTCATGCTTTTGTTCGAGGAGGAGGGTGACGATTGTCAACCTTCGGGACAAGATTGATTTTGGAGGGGGAGGAATGATGGGTATACATAGTATGCGGGCTTGGGAGGAGAAGGTTATGTTGGATCTTATAGCACTCTCTAACACGCCCCCTCGAATGAAAGCCAATCTACGGGCTTGAAGTTTGCACAGACCACCATACCTTGTGCTTTAATTAATTGTTATATTGGAGATTCGAACACTTGGCCAAACTAGCTCTGATACCATGTCATAAACCAGTTGGTCCCAATAACTCGAGTTGTTGGGAGAAGGTTATGATGGATCTTATAGCACTCTCTAACAATTAGCTAGGTCGTTAACAAGTTAGATGTCGAGTAGGAGGGGGTCTCTTAGGGGGGCGAGTTCGGCTAGGTCTGGTGTAGGGTTTTTGCTTCTATATATTGTAAGTTCCGCGTTAGTTCGGATTATCGAATAATAAACTTAAAGTTTATCGACACCAATATCGTTCTCTCTCTTATGAGTTACAAGCAAATCGTTGAAACGTGGGTTACGCTTAATTTCCACGAAAACCGGTGATCAACAAGCCTATATTATATATCACATGAAACTACAACAAACTATTGATATAACCCGATTGATTGACACAAATGAGTACAACATTACATAAACCGTTAAATAACAATAGTTAATAGCCATTATTATTACCTTCGTATCCAAATTTCTTCCACCGGAAGGTCGACGGAAGACGGCACCGCGCATGATTGGTTGATAATTGAATTGAGAATCGGGACAGATTCACAACCACCTTTGTGGCCATCGGATACGTTCTCTCTCCTGTCTTTTTCTTCTTTTTTTAAATTAATGGTTAAGATTAAACCAAGGGCAAATTCGGAATGGAAAACTTACCACATGAGATCCTTTCCATTTTCCATATAAATACTTTTTATTACCCAAAAAAAAAAACCAGACCCTCCCCAATTCTCCTGCGTCTCCCTCTTCTTCCCCTCTCACATATCTCTAACAAAAAAACCCTAGCCGTCAAGAGCTCCACCACCGTCGCCGCCTCTGCCTCCCCTGCCGCCGCGCCGCTGTCCTCCCCTCGCGCCCCGCCCCGCCGCTGTCCCCCCCCCCCCCCCCGCGCCGCTGTCCTCTCCTCCCTCTTCCTCTCCCGTGCCCACCGTTCACAGCCTGCTGTCCCCGCCATCATGATCGAGATCTACGCCGTCGCCTGGCTCCGCGACGTCCAGATCGGCTCCGTCCGCGTTCTCATCAGCAACGTCCAGATCGACGTCCAGATCGTCTCTACACCAAGCTCTCTGCCTCCGGCGTCGGCTTCAACGACCTCCTCGACGCCAAGGCCACCGCCGGGGGTGCGAAGAATCTCGAGGAGAAGACCGCCAATGCTAGTGGTACCAATTCCTATTGGTACGATACCACTACTCACTGATACGTACCAGTGGCTCCCCTACCACTACTCACTGGTACCACTATCATCTAATACCACTGTTATCTGTTTTTTTCTGTTATTCTCTACTGGTACCGCTACCAATGCTAGTGGTAGCGCTACCAGTGCTAGTAGCGTTGTGTTATTCTCTACTGGTATCGTTGTACTGGTAGCGTACCACTAGTATTGGTACATTTTTTACTGGTACCGTTAGTACTGGTACATTTTTTAACGTACTGGTAGCGTACCACTAGCACTGGTATATTAATTACCAGTAGACTAATAGATTGGTACACTTTTTAACGCATTGGTACATTTTTTCAGGTTGCCGGAGGGAGTCTGCCGGAGAGAATTCGCCGGAGAAAAAGTTTGTCAGTCGATGCGGAGTGGCTGCTGGAGAAAGGAAGAGAGAGAGAGAGATAGATAGAGATATTAATGTATAAGATTTAAATTTCAGAAAAAAATTGTATTTAATATGGGTATTAAATTTCCAATATAATTAATACAAAAAAGGTAATTAATATATTCATTTTTTCCATACCCAAAATACCCTTGGTTGTGAATCTGACAACCTTGTCACCGTATCCTGTCCCTTGAGAATCACAACCACAGCTCCATTCAGAATTAATCAGTCTACTCTTCACAAGTACGTACATGTGTTGTACTTTGATGTTCTGCTCTCATTATATCTCAGCTGACTCGTCATCAATTTTCAAAGCGTTTCCACGTTGAATAATGGCCGGCCGGCCGGCCAGCCTAGAATTTTGTCAGGATGGAATTTAACCACGTAACAAATTTGTTATGTACAGACTACAGACAATTGAAGACCTTTATTGGACAGGGCTTCGGATAGCATAACAACACCATAAGTGTTGTTAGTATAACAACAGGGGTATAAGGGTCAATTGCACACATATTAATTAATAAGTTATTTTCTTTTAGCTGGTATTAAATTTGAAATTCGAAATTAATGATAAAAATTCATTGAAGCGCGCAATTTGCCATTTCCGTTTTCCCCTTCCCCTCTGCTCACGAACTGCTCTCCGACTTCTCCTTCGGTTGCTCTCTCCCTGTTCTCGCGATTCCGTTTCCTCCGTCGGCGATTCCGTCTGCGGCTTGTGGATTTCGTTCGCGCGATTTTGTTTCCTCCTTCGGCGAAGTTAATTTCGAGGTATTCCGCCGGTGATTTCCTCCGCTAAACTGTCTTCTCCTCTGTCGTCAGTTTTGGCCTTCGAAGTCGCCGTTGTCGTTGTGGCGTCGCCGGAGTTCCACTTGTATGGTGTTAGTTTGGCGTCGCCGTTGTCGTTTTCGTTAGCATTGTCGTTGCTTGCTGCTGCTATTGAATTTATAACTGTCGTTTTCAGGTTTGCTCTCTATTACTTTCGTTTTCCACTTTTCTGCGATGTTTTGACGCATGCAGTCTAGATTTGTTGTAGGAGACGAGGAAATTTCATAATTGTGCGTTGTGGTTAGGTTTTGTGTGTTCTGATTAGGTTTTGTTGAATGTTTTAGGGTTTCTGTGGTGTGCTTTGCATGTTTTAGGGTTTCTGGTTTCTCATGAGTCGTTTGTGGTGGTGTTCAGTAGTGCTGTTGTTTTGTTCTTATTTTTGGTGGTTTGCTTTGTGTTTGGTGACGGTTAGGATGTTTGTGGGTTTGATTGGGACCTTTCTGGAGGTTTTTAATGAAACTATTGTGTATTTCCAGGCTGCTGTTGGTGGTTCTTTTAAAAGGTTTTGTGGTTAGTGTTTCGGATTTCACAGTTTCGTTTAGGAGATTTACTGGTGTGCATTTGCAGTAGTTGTTTGTCTCTTTTACATCTGATTATTGAGTTGTTTGTGGTGGTGTTCAGTAGTTCTGTTGTTTTGTTGTTTATTTTGGTGGTGCGTTTTGTGTTTGGTGACATTTAGGGTGTTTGTGGGTTCGATTGAGGCCTTTCTGTATGTTTTTAATACAACTATGGTGTATTTCCAGGGTGATGTTGGTGGTTTATTTGCAGTTGTTTGTCTCCTTTAAATTTGATTAATGGATTGTTTTCATGGTTTTACAGTTTGCATTAGGCCCTTGATGGTTTGCATTTTATATGTTCTGGTATTAGATTGCTTATGTTGGTTTGTGTTTTGGTTGCTTTGTAGGCAATGGCACCTGCTAAGAAACGTGCAGTAAAAGGGAAAGAAAAGGAAAAAGTATCGACACCTAAGAAAGATGGTGTTTCTCCTGTGGCTGGAAAGCCGGATAAGAGGCATCGCAGTAATACTAATCGTATTCTTGCCATCATGGAAGCTGACAGTACAACTGAAGAAAAATTGCAGATGCTTGATCCTCTGGGTTTTAGGGGTGTGTCGAGGGTTAAGCTTACGAGACTCCCGGATAATTTTACTGAATGGATTTGCAAAAGTTTTGATGTCAGTTCAAGGTCTTTCCCGCTGCTTCGGTCAGGGAAGTTTAGAATTGGAGAGGCAGATGTGGAGAGAGTTTATGGTTTGCCGCGTGGACCGTATGCTGTTAAGCTGGATATGTTTAGTGCATCCCAGAGGCACAAGTGGGGAATTGAGTTAGGGCTTTGCAATACTAGGAAAGGAAAGGCGACATTGGCGAATGTTAAACTGGCATTGGAAGAGGAGAGGGACAATAAGAAGTGGAGGGATCTTTTTGTGCTGTATGCAATGGAGGCAGTTCTGTGCCCCAGTGGAAATTTGAAGATTGACCTCTCCTATGCTGGGTTTTTGCAAGATGAAATGGTCGATGACTTCAACCAATATAATTGGTGTAAGCATGTGGCTGACCATTTCAATGAAAGTATGGTTGAAGTGGTTCAATCAAAATCAAAGTTCCCTGGTGACGTTCATCTTCTTTTTGTAAGTAGAAAAATATACCTCTTTTCGAAGTTTGGTTTACTGTTTCATTTATGGTTTGTTTATTGACGAATGTGGTGTGGTTGAAGTTGTTTATGGTTTGTTTAATAATATTTATGGTTTGCTTTTTGCCCCCCTTTGTTATAATGTTTCTGGTATAGTTTATCATTTATGGTTTGTTTATTGACGATTGTGGTGTGGTTGAAGATGTTTGTGGTTTGTTTAAAGCTATTTATGGTTTGGGTTCCCTCCTGTTATAATGTTTCTGCAGTTTGTCATTTATTGTTTGTTTATTGACGATTGTGGTGTGGTTGAAGATGTTTGTGGTTTGTTTAAGAGTATTTATGGTTTGGTTTTGCCCCCTGTTCATTTTATGTGGTGTGTATTATAATCTTTCTGGCACGGTTTGTTTGTGGTTGCTTGACTTCTGTCTGTTTGTCTGTGGCAGATTTCGATTCTTGATCGTTTGAAGAACCCTCCTGAGTTGCCCATACCAACCTGTAGGCACAGGTCGTACAAAGTCGCAAGTGCTGCTTTTCAAGTACTGATGGAAGAAGGTCATCTCTCTATTGGTCATCGAGATGTAGTGGCGGAAGAACAAGCAACCACCAGTCAACCAATGGGACGAGGACGTGTGAAGGGTACAAAGAGGAAAAGGTCAGTAGATGATCTTGATATGGTGAGGGAAGGGGATCTTCCGAAGCTTCCCTATCTTGACATCAACTTGGATGGTATTCATTCGGTTGAAGATGTGAGTATTTTTTGCTGTTTTATTTGTTTTATGGCTTTCTTTAGCATACTTTCAGTGTGCTTTAAAAGGATAGTGGTTTGCATTAGTTTGTTTACGGAATACTTTATTTAATTCATGTGTTGGTTAGTTGTGTTTTCTGTTGTTTGTTCTTTGGGTTGCTTTAGTGTACTTGTGGATTTTGTTAAAAGAATAGTGGTTTGCATTACTTCGTTAAAGGAATGCTTTATGGTACTCAACGTTTGGTAGGTGTTTTTTTGTGATTCAAACATATGTGGTTTGTATACGTGTGTCTTAGGTGTTCATTAAAAGGAATTTGAGATTCTTTAGAAGGTTTATGGTTTGCTTTTGGGCTGTTTTCGTGTTTTTGTAGGCATATCAGTTGAAGAGTGACATGGAAAGTTATAAGAGGGCTTTGTTGAGGATGGCTACTCATTACAGTTCGAGCATTGAACAAGTTGATGAGCATATAAAGATGCTGGAGGGGCAGCAACCAGAGGATAGTCCTGAAGATAATGTCGATTTCACTGATACTGTTGAGGATCTTGCTGTTGGTAAGGGAACCAATGATGTCGGTCGCAATGCAGATGCTGCCAATGCTGATGATGAGACTGGTGTTAAGAGAGTATCAGATCCAAAGTCCCCGGGTCTTGATGATTTATCAATGGAGATGGATAAGAATGGTGCGCCGCCAGATGTTGGTCGCAATGCAGATGCTGCAAATGCTGATGATGAGACTGGTGCTAAGAGAGTATCAGATCCAAAGTCCCCGGGTCTTGATGATTTGTCAATGGAGATGGATAAGGATGGTGCGTCGCCAGATGTTGGTCACAATGATCCTGCTGGCATTGCTGATGATGATACCTCTGCTAAGGGAGTATCAGATTCGAAGGGGCTTGATGATCATCTTGATAATCTGACAATGGAGATGACACAAAAAAGTGTTGATTCTGAGAATGCTAAGAAGGTGGAGATGGACAGCTGTGAGGGAAAGGGAGAAGGTGATGATGGAGATGACAATGTTGATGATGTTGACGCTGCTAAGTTGGATAACTTGGTTGAGAAGGTCGTAAAGGTATTTTTACTGTTTTGTGTTTGAATATTTGTGGTGTGGATTATACTGTTTTTGGTTTGTTTTTCATGTCTTTTGTAGTAGGTTGTTTTGCATTTGTTAGTAGTGTGGTTTTCATATATCTGGTTTTGTTAAAAACTTTTGTGGTGTGGTTTCTGTAGTCTGCTATGGGGGATGTTCGTGAAGATGTGGTGGTTGATGAGAAAAGGAAAGAAGCTGATGCCGGTGAGGTGCTTGAGGGTGGTGATGATAGTGCAGATTTACGATTTAGTCTGGTATTTGAGAAGAGGAAGGGAAAGGTAATTTTGTTGTACAATGTTTCAGTTTTGGTTTGTTTTTGTAGTGTGGTTTATCGCATTTGTGGTTTGTGTTAGTTGTCTTTTGTACTGTTTTATCTAATTTGTGGGTTGCTTTAAAAATCAGAAAAAATTGAAAGTGAAGAATGCAGGAGGCTCATCAGGTGTTGATGATGATGTGTTGAAGGGTGCTGTGTTGCGATATGCAAGGCTTTCAACTAACTTGTAAGTTAATGTGTATATATTTCATACATATGTGGTTGTTTGTGTATATATATATTTATATATAGTGCTTATTGGTACTTTTCTAATGCCCGACTGTTTTGTTTGTTATGGAATTATGAAAAATAGGAAGGAAATCCTTTTCAGTCGTGTTGATGGATACGATTGCTTGTATAGAAAGGATACAGAGACTTTGGCACATGGTCAATGTGTGAGTGTGGATGTTGTTGACTGCTATGCTGCCTATCTGAATCGGGAGCAAGTGAGAAGCGGGCGACTGAAAAGATGGGTGTTCTATTCAGGGCTGGCGGTGAGTTACATTTTCTGCTAGTTCTGGTTTGTTTTAGTGTTTTTGTGGTGTGCATTATAATACGTCTGGTTTGGTTTAAGGTTTTTGTGTTGTGCATTATAATACGTCTGGTTTGTTTTAGGGTTTTTGTGGTGTGTATTATAATACTTCTGGTTTGTTTTATGGTTTTTGTGGTGTGCATTATAATACGTCTGGTTTGTTTTACTGTGTTCTACCTTGTAGCAAAGAGTGCACACGATAGTGAAAGAGTCTGGACCACTGCCTAATTTTTTTGAAGAGACTGACGAAATCATTACAAGTTGCAAGTGGATACCAGATAATGTGGACTTCTCAGAATGTGATTATGTATGTATTTTTTTTAGTCACATTTGCTACATTGTTTCATGTGTTTTTTTTCTTCATTGTGCTTTTGAAGTACTGACTTGTTTTTGTTTTGTACTATGCAGTGGATATTCCCGCACTGTTCTGATGAACACTACAGGCTGTATGTAGTGAATCTGAAGAACAAACGGTATGATTATCTTGACAGCCTTTACCCTGATGAACTTAATACCAAGTTTCGTGCTGTTGCGGATATGGTGGTCCGCTATGCCACAGAATACATTCCTGCCTGTAGACAAGAGTCCTTCAAGTTTGAAGAATTCAAGTGGCTTAGAATGCGAGGGTTAAGACAACGTGGTGGGGTTGACTGTGGTGTTTTTGCTATGAATTTTGCTGAGTTTTGGGAAGGCAAACTGATGCCAGGTATGAAGAATTGGCAAAAAGATATCAATCAGAGGCGGGATGAGATCACATTAACATTGCTGCTGAATGAGGAGAATAGTGTACTTGAAGAGGTGAAGAAGAAGAGTTTGGATTTTGATCGCAAGGTGGACTAGCTGATTTTAGGATGCATTTGCAAGAACAGTTTCAGATTTCAGTGTGTTAATATGTGTTTTAGTGTGTTAGTGTTCTGTATATGAAGTGTTGTGGGTGTGTATTATAAGACAAGTGGATTGTTTAACGTGTATTATAGTGTGGTTCATAAGGTTTATAGTTTGTTTCTGTTTCCCTGGGTTATACAATGTATGGTTTGTTTTTGTACATATGTGGTTTGCTTAATGAGTGTTCTGGAAAGTTTCCATATCTTTGTGGTTTGGTTTTGTTAAGAGGTTTCTTAGTTTGTTTTCTTCCTGTATGGTGTGTATTATAAGACAAGTGGTTTGTTTAACGTGTATTGTAGTGTGGTTCATAAGGTTTATAGTTTGTTTCTGTTTCCCTGGATTATACAATGTACGGTTTGTTTTAGTACATATGTGGGTTGTTTTGATGTATCTGTGTTATTGTTTGTCTCAAAACCTTCAACTGTTTATATTTGTCTCATAGTTGTCATTGAAATCTAAAAGTCTATGACAGATAAAAAAAACACGGATAACAACAAGGAGACTAATCATCACTCATTTTTGCTTTTGTTTGTTGGCAGCCTGTTCATCAATTCTTTGCTTTCTAGCCCTCTCCAGCGCTACCTCAAGTCCACCTTTTGGCCTCTTCTTTGATTTCCATGGGTCTTGTCGAGCCTTGAATCCCTTCACATTGGCATACTTGTCATTTGTAGCTGAAGCAGCAGCGCTTTGCGAGGGTGATGTACTGGTGGTTCCAACTGTTAAAAAAGCAATATGCAAGATACTAGTGAATATAAGTAGGGATTAAGCAATTAGTGGATTGGATTAAGATGTTTATGGTTTGCATTAGCTCATTAGTGGCTTGGATTAAGCAATTACTGGTGAATATAAAAAGAGATGCTAACAAGATGTGTGAAATTACCAGGTGCTGTTTGCTGAGTTTCTTGAGTCTGAAGGCTTTGGAAAGCAAGTTTAGTGAGCTCTGCAATCTTTTCCTTAACCATTGAGAAGACCTTGTCATTCATTGAGACTTTTGTTGCTAGGATAACCATGCTAGCACACAGTTCTTGATACCTCCCTGCATAAGTATCTGTTGCAGCACATTCTGTTGTGTTTATTGTGAACTTCTCTCCAGATTTGGCATCTCTCGTCCATCGTGGCAGAATGTATTCCTTAGGGATGGTCAATTGCTCAATATCATCACCATTGAATCCAACCATCTCTATCTGCCTGATTATATGTCTGCACAACCAGCCTGAACTTTCAAACAAACGACATGAGCACTTGTATTTCTTCTCCTCTTTGTTCACTAACACGACTCTTTTGTCGAATCCTCCTAGTTTCTTCACTTCATAAGCTGTCATTCCATCTCTATCCATAGATTCATTCCGGAACACAAAAAAAGCAAGGCTTTCTGAATACTCCTCAAGGAAAGAACTGTAGATCTTAGTTGTGTATAATTTCGCGACTTGCTGAACAAGTGGGCTTCTGTCATACCTGTTGGAAGATGACATGCAACATACAATCATTCATAAGCATCTTGTCTACATTAATGATTTTATGGTATGTATTGTACTGTTTGTGGTGCGGATTGTGGGATTTATGGGTTGTTTTACGTTGTGTGTGGTGTGGATTGTGTAGTTCATGGTTTGTATTAGGTGGTCTGTGTTGTGGACTGTAGGGTTTTTGGGTTGGTTTAGGTGGTATCTGGGTTGTTTAAGCTTGTGCGGTGTGCATTGTGGTGTTTATGGTTTGTATTAGGTGGTCTGTGGTGTGGATTGTAGGGTTTTTGGGTTGGTTTAGGTGGTATCTGGGTTGTATTCAACTGTTATGTGGATGCATTCTACAGTATAAAAAGTTCAAATAAAGGAAGTAATACGTACATGGTGTTTGGGACTGTGTTTGCCATTTGATAATCCATGTCCATTTCGTCTGATCTTTTCCGTTCGACAAACTTGTTGAAGTATGTGAAGAACTCAACTAGGTTGTCATCTGATTGAAGGTAGTTTCGGAGGTTGCTGTTACAAGACTCACTCAGCTGTGAGCTTCGCATACCAGCTGTGAAGTGGTCCTTAATCCATGCTGAAGACCACTGTTTCCTCACCTTGTAAATTGAATCCAACCAGTTCCTTGGATTGGTGCCTTCTTCTGGATAATGTGTGTCTAGCAACCTTGACCAATTGTACTCAAATTCTTCCTCATTTTCTACCCCAAAAGTGACATATTGCAGATCTTCTAGAATGTTTGTGTTTGTGGTGTCGAGATGCTTCATTGCATTCTGCTTGATATGAAAAGTACATAAGCCATGGAATGCTTCAGGAATGACGGATCTAATCCCAGCGGCGATTGCAGCAGCTTGGTCGGTGAATATTGATGTTGGTCGGGTGCCTGACATACATTTCAAGAATGCATCGAACAACCACTTGAATGTAGCGGTTGTTTCATCATAAAGGAGAGCAGCCCCGAAGATGCAGAGTGCTCGATGGTGGTTGAAGCCAACAAACAAAGCTGTAATTTAAAAATAAAAAAAAGAACATAGAATTAAACATTGAAACAAACAAAAGACTGTCTTTTATGATATATATGGTGTGTTTCAGGACGTGTTTAGTATGGTTTATAAGGTTTCTGGTTAGGATTCTCAAAATGAATGTTTCATGTTTTTTTGTTGTTTGTTTTAAGAGTGTTTGGGGTGGTTTTATGTTACTTATGGTATGCATTGGGTAATGTTTGGTATGCATTCAACTTCGAAATATCAAGAAAATTAAGCAAGGAATACCTCTTAATGCAAACCACAAACCTTTTAATGCATACCACAAATCTTATAAAACAAACCACAAACCCCACAAAGCAAACCACAACATTTGCGGAAGCAGAGACCATAAACCTCTTAATACAAACCACAAACTTCACAAAGAAAACCAGAAACCTCACAAAGCAAACCACAACATTTGCAAAAGCACACCAGAAACCTCCTCATGCATTGTGTAATGTTTGGTATGCATTCAACTTCGAAATCTCAAGAAAATTAAATAGTGCAAGGAATACTGACCTAGTGGACGATAATTCTGGTTTGTCCTGTATGTTGTGTCGAAGCTGATCGTATCTCCAAAGCAACTGTAGTCAAACCGCATTCTTGCATCAGCCCAGAATATACTTGCAATATCTTCGTTACTATCTACCTCAATTTCATAGAAGAATGATGGATTCCTGTAAGCTTCGTGGCGAAAATATTCAAGAAGTATAGTTGCTTCGCCTGGTTTCATTGATTTCTGCCTTGTCCCTGTGATATAGTTCTTCAGATCATGAGGGGTAAAAGGTACATTCTCCCTCCCCCCTGAAGTTGTGGTGAACAACTCATACGATTTCCGTAGTGAAACTCCACAATCTGCATGCACTTGTGCGACCATTGCATGCATTTCTGAGATCCCCTTGTTGGACCTCAATAGATGTTTGAATTTTGCAGGGAGGAGATCATGGTTGTGTTCTGTTATCCACTTGTCCAGCAGCCATTCATCCTTCTCGATATCATATCTAAATTTGATTATAGCTGGGCAGCCAACTCTAGTTTCTGGTACAGCACGTTGATAAGCCTTGACATCGATTGTTCCTTTATTCTTGGGATTTGACTTGCTTGTGGTCTTGTATCCTTCTTTGCTGCAGCAATACCTAGCATATCGTGCTGTTTTGGTTGGCTGTCTTTTTGTAGAACGTTTGACAGCTCCCATGTCCCTCACACTGAAGCCAAGATCGTGAGCATAGTTCTTGTAGAATTGTTTTGTTTCCTCAATGGTTTTGAATGCCAACCCCAAACAAGTGTAGTCTAACTCGGTCCTGTTTGATGTCACACCTGTAAGCAATGATGAAAGAAATGAGCACTTGATCATTTCATCTTGCGATAATATTTACAAGAAAAGTGAAATGTGGTTTGCATTGTAGTTATTCATGATGCTTTTATGACATTTATGGTGTGCATTACAGTGTATGATTTTTTTTACAAACAGATTGTGGAATGTAACGATTTACGTTTTAATGGTGTGTATTGCAGGTGTTTTGGTGCGTTTAAGAAGTTTTATGGTTTGGTTTTTAAGTGTTTTGGTTGATTGTCTCTTTTTTTCCTGTGGTTTGTTTTGGGAAACATGTGGTGTGTTTGGCGATGCTTTTGGTATCGTTTGTGGGATTTTTGTGGGCGGTTTGATCATTTCATCTTGCGATGATATTTGCTAGAAAAGTGAAAAGTGGTTTGCATTGTAGTTATTCATGATGTTTTTATGACATTTATGATTTGCATTACAGTGTGATTTTTTTTTTACAAACAGATTGCAAAAAGTTTTTTTGCAAACAGATTTAGGTTTTAATGGTGTGGATTGGAGGTGTTTTGGTGCGTTTAAGAAGTTTTGTGGTTTGGTTTTTAAGTGTTTTGGTTGATTGTCTCTTTTTTTCTTGTGGTTTGTTTTGGGAAGAATGTGGTGTGTTTGGCGATGCTATTGGTATCGTTTGTGGGATTTTTGTGGGCGGTTTGATTGGAAGTGTTTATGATATGGTAAATGGCTTGTATAAGCGTGATTATGGTGCTCATTGTAAGAAAACAGGAAAGGATTGAGTTGAGCGTACCTTCTTCCTGTTCATTGTTGCCACTGTTGGTGGAAATAGAGGTTTCCAGCTGATATCCGCCTTCTGTTGCTTCAGAAGATGTTGCAATTTGCACGAGTTGTTGAGCATCTACAGAACCAACAGAAACTTCATCTACACGATTCTCGTCCATCGTCAATGTCTTAGCTGCGATCAGGAGCTTTCTCCGCCGTCGCCGCCGTTGCGATAGCTGGTGCGATCAGATCTCGTCGCCGCCGTTGCGATCAGATCTCGTCGCCGTCGTTGAGATAGCTGGTGCGATCAGATCTCGTCGCCACCGTTGCGATAGCTGCTGCGATGACGATCTCGTCCCCGTTGCGGTAGCTGCTGCGTCAGGATCTCATCGCCGCGCGTTGCAATAGCTGCTGCGCGGGATTTCGTCTCCGCCGTTGCAGTAGCTGCCGCGATGACGATCTCGTCGCCGTTGTGGTATCTGCTCCGTCAGGATCTCGTCGCCGCGCGTTGCGGTAGCTGCTCCGTCACGATCTCGTCGCCGCCGTTGCAGTAGCTGCTGCGATGAGGATTTCGTCGCCCGTCGTTCAGCCTCGGCGCCGCGCGATTGGAGAGAGAATGGTGAGAAACGAGCTGCACTTTTTCGGACAAAAGGAGCTGCAACTTTTCGGTAGGACAAAAATACCCTTCCTTTGTTTTTTACCCTAGTCAACGCATGAATTTCAAAAGTATGCAGAATGGTGCGTTCCTATTGGTCCACCTATGTTGTTGTTACAATAACAACAAATATAGTGTTGTTATAATATCCGGTCCCATTGGACAGGGCCTCGGCCCATGATGATTTACTCACAGCTGCTCCACGTCAGGGTGACGTAGAGGTGGCAATTTGATTGGATCGATAAATTAGTGGATTGGATTGGTGTATCCATGTATCAAATTGATTGGTGGATTAATTCATTAGCATAAATGACATTCAAGTTTTGGATCAATATGTAAATTTTGAAAAGTTTGAGTACTAGAATGTTCTAATGAAAAAATTTAGGTACCATATTGTAATTTTCCAATGTAAAATCAAATATCAATATCTCAATACAAATTATCCATATATAAAACATCATTCTAGAAAATTCAAGCAAATCACAAATTAACTATACAAATTGTTCAACACCAATCCAGAAAACTAAATTCAAGCAAATCACAAATTAACTATACAAATTGTTCAACACCAATCCAGAAAACTCAAGAAAATTGAAACAAATCACAAATTATCCATAAATAACATGATTAATTGAAAGATTCTTCCTTTCAATTAAGTTTCTTCACTCTCCACTCGATAACATCAACTTCATTCTACACAATTAGAAAGAAAAATTAGAAATATCTCCACAAACATAAATAAGATTAGTTGTTTAGATTATTAAATATACCGAGAAAATTAATTATATGAGTATGGGCGGGTACCCATGGGTCGGGTTTATCTAAACCCAAACCCACCCCGATGAATAGTGAACGGGTTTAAACCCAAACTCGGCCCAAAACCTGTCAACGGATTTTACCCGCATTGACTGGATTGGGTCGGGTGGGTGCCCGTGGGTTCGGGTTTTGTTGCCATCCCTACCCATACCAGGGTGGTATTGTATGGTATTTTTTGGTCCTGTAATTTGTTCACCCAGAAATTTGTAGATCCAATAGATCATGATGAACTCGTTCTTTATGTGCAAACGTTTTCAAAAACGAATTAAAAATGAAGAAAATACCATATGGTATGCAGTTGGTACCGAGAGGCAAAAAAAAATCTAAAAAAATATTGAAAATGGATCTCATTTTGTAGAGCACAACGAACTCGTTCCATCTGTGCAAAAAAAATTAAAATCCGAGTTAAAACGAAGAAGATATGAGTCGATTAAAAAATCTAGGAAAAATAAAAATGACCTTTAATTCTCCGTCCTTAGATCTGGATTATCTAAAGAAGGGTCCAGATTTAGTTATTGATGGGTGCATAACCCATGGTTATGCACCCTATCTTGAGCCGATCCAGCCAACGTCTCAATAAGTATTAGTAGCCCACTCTCCCATCTCACACAACGAGACCCAAGTCAACTCAAATTTTGAGAATCTCGCCCTCTACTTCATTCACAACCACATTTCACTGGAGAATAGATCAGACGATCGTGTCTCTATATGACTATGTTAATGTTTATGACGTTATGGTACAAGTTATGACATTTTGACTTTGTACCTTTGTTATTTACCAAGAAATATGGTGTAAAAAATATTTGTGCGCGTTTGAATTCATGTTTTAATGCAAAAAATATTTTTTTCTCCGTTATTTGTTCAAATTTTAGTGTGGTTCACTAAACAAATTGTTCATTTTTTGTTCAACGTGGTCGTACCGGACAAGACTACACAAGCGTGATCTGATCTATATCGTATAGTACGTGGTATGATCTCTGATCTATACTTGATCCTCTCGTATAAACCAAGATCGTGTATATATGATCAGCTCTACACCAAACCATACCATTTTCCAGCACTAGCCACTCTCTCATATAAGATTCAAACTCTAAACGAGTAGATTCGAGAAATGAAACAACGAAGAGCTTTGTTGAATTGAATTTAGTATAAAATAAGAAACAAGATTCTAAATAACATAGAATCATCCGTACCGTCATATATAATGTCAGATCATCTTTCCACGAAGAAAACAAATGATGATTCTACGTACCAAAACAAAATGATTGGCAGAATTACGTCAAACAGAAAACAAAATTAACCTTTTTCTCCCCCTCTAATCGATTTCACCATATGTGCCATTTGCTGGACTTACTTCCTTCAAAACCTTCTCTATATATAAATTCACATCAAAGAGTACTAAACACACCCAAACAGAAAACCAGACAGCAAAGTCTAAGAAGAAAAAAGAAAAAAAAAAATAGAGCCTGAACACGTACTCTCCCATACTTCAATCCTTCTTTTCCAAATCAGTCCACCGCTTGCCAACGTGGCCGTCGCAGCACCACATTTGACCTCCATATGTCTCCTCTCACATGCAACGAACTGCACGACATGTTCCACGGTCTGGACCACGACCGTGACGGCCAGGTCAGCCTGGAGGCGCTTCGATGCCAGCTGTTCGAGAGTGGCGCAGTGTCCATCACGAAAGACGAGCTGGCTTCCCTGATCGGGAAGTCCAGCCTCAACGTGGACGAGTTCATTCTGCTCTACAACTCCATCGAGATCCAAAACGACGACGTCGTCGTGGACGATGGTGGAAACGGCCTGAACAACAACACTCTTGAAGGAGGAGGAGGAGAAGAAGATTGTGTGAAGAGGGCGTTCAAGGTGTTTGATGTGGATGGAGATGGGTTTATTTCGTGTGACGAGCTGGAGGACGTGCTGAAGAGGCTGGGGCTGTGGGATGAGAAGAGCGGCAGGGATCCGGCGGCCATGATTTGTAAGTTCGATAAGAACTTCGACGGGTTGCTTGATTTCGATGAGTTCAGGACCATGGTGATGTAATCTTCTAATTAATTTCTGGCCATGATTGTCAAAGTTAATTTCTTTCCTAATAAAATTGCAATTCTAGATCAGATTGTATCAATCGTGGATGAATTTATAGTATTTTATATTTATAGGTTCTATTCTAGTTAGTCTTTCTACTATACTTTACAAAATTGGTGGTTCAAACTACAAGTTGAATTTGTAACGGAACGTTAAGAATACAAGTTCAGTTTGTACTTTAAGAGAGAATTGTGCATTTATCTTATGATACAAGTCCAGTTTGTACCATAAGATAAAAGGTATATGGATACAAATTTGTACTTTATGTAAAGAAGTTTTAAAAGTACAATTCCGGTAGCATTGTTTTAAATCACCGTAAAATTCTTCTATATTTAATTGGAAGATGGATGGAATTCTAGATTGTACAATGTTGTTGTCTTTTATGGAGTATAATGTCTATATATTCATCAAGGAAAAGAACATTAAATGACTTGTGTCTGTTGGACCGATGAAGAGATCCTATTGTATAACGTTAAAAAATTTATAAATTTAGTTTGATCCAACCCATTATTGATGTAAAAATTGAGTCAAATTATACCTTGAGTCCACCCGTTATCATTCATAAAACACCAAATTTTACATAGATGTGTCCTCTTTCAAAAAATAAAGTAAAATAAAAATAATTCAATAAGAAAATATCCAACTCGTACAAGTTAAAAAAAGTCTATTATGTATTTTCATATTCTGAAAAAAATTGTAAAATACACTTGGTGTCTACACTGCTCATTCACGAACTGACGCATATTCGACCTCTAAATTTGTTCTTGAAGTAACTCAAACTGAAAAGACACTTTCAGAACTTCTCGTAACACCATAAAATCAATACAAATTAAGAGTAGCTTGTAATTAGATGAATTGTTAGGTTTGAAAATGATTAAAGATAGAGAATAGGATTTTGCTATTACAAAGTGTTTAGAATAGAACAACAAAAGAGTTGTAGCCTAATGAAAATTATATTTATTAATAATAGTAGTGTCCCGGGTTTGAATTATCCAAACTAGCACTTATATTCTCATACGCAAACTACAAACGAGAGTAGGATAATCGTTTTTCAAATTTCAGGTTGTCACGAACTATCAATTATAATTTTTTTGTCCATACGTAAATTACCACCGAAGGTTGGTTAATCGTTTTTCCAAAATTTAGGGCTCTCCCGGGCCCTCTGGGTCCGCTCCTGACCCTAATATATAGAGAGCTCCCAAGAAGAAGAGAATTGGGTTGCTTGATTGATCAGATCACTACAGCCTCTTTCTTTCCTCCCAAATTTTGAACAAAATCTTGGATATTTTGATCCCAATTCATCTCTGAATGACGATCCTCCTCTTCCAAAAGAAATCTCTATCTTCTGAATAAAACTGAACTAGTTCCTTTGCATTCATGGAAAAAGGAAAAAAGTCCTCTGTAAACGTTCTTCACTTATTCCACAAAAAAAGCAGTTGTCTTTCTCCTTATGCAAACTCCTCTTAGGTATTCAATTACTAAATATTGCACTAACAATTCCAGACATTGTGAAATAGTACGGGAAAGTTATACCATGAAAATCAATAATAAGATATTTTTGTAATAAACTCACGATTTAACCGTAGTACATTATATCATATCGCTAAAACTTCCTTCAAAATTTATACTTAGCATTTCCAGTCGGACCGACCGGTACGATAGGAAACCTACGTACGTCAAAGTACAGAGGATTTTGCTACTTCAGTCGACTAGTGTTTAAGTACGATGACCGATCTGTCATGTAGAAATAAGTTTGATGATCATATTGGTAATTAACCTCGGATCCTAAAAAAGCACCAAAATGGGCTGACATCGATTTCAGCGGAAGGAATCGCGGGGCCCACTAGGCAGTAGAATAGAAGCAGAAGAAATCAGAATCCCGAAACTGAACGACGGTAGGCCCCACCTTTCCCCCTCCCGCATTCCACGTCGGACACTCCCTTCACTCCTACTCCTTCGTTCCCCTTCTGTTTCCGTCTTCTTCCCCAATCTCGCCGCGCCATTTGCAACAGTCTCTCAATTAATCACCACAGCGGCCACCGCACCGCCTCTCCACCTTTCCTTCACCCCTTCCCACCGCAGTCGCCGCCATGAAATCCACCAGCCCCACTGCCGCCGTCGGCACCGCCTTAGTCAAAACCCCCTACATCGTCAAATTCGCCGCCGTCGCTCTCCTCTCCCTCTCCGTCGCCCTCCTCTTCTACCACCACCCTTCCTTCCCCTCCGCCGCCTTCTCCGCCTTCACCTCCCTCTCCTCCCCCACCGCCAACAACTCAACTTCCACCGCGCTCAACTCCACCGCCGCCGCCGCAGTGAACTCCTCCTCGACCATACTCAAAGTGAAGAAACTTCCCCCGCCGCCTCCGTCGGTGGCGCGGAGGACGGGGATAGTGGACGAGAACGGGGCCATGACGGAAGATTTTGAGGTCGGCGAGTTCGATCCCAGCTTGATGGAGGAGCTCAGGAATCTCAGGGGAGGAGGAGAAGAAACGGAGAAGAAGGAGAACGAGCCCAAAATTGTCAAGTACGACAAGTTCAAAGCGTGCGACGGAAGCAAAATCGATTACATTCCATGTTTGGGCAGCTTCGAAAGGCATTGCCCCGATTCAGCTCTTGATTGCATCGTCCCTATGCCAAATGGCTACCAGAAATCGCTCCCCTGGCCCAGGAGCCGGGACGAGGTAAAAGATTTGGAGCTAAAGTTTTTTGATTTCAGGGTTTCCAATTTCAAGCCAATCAGGGTTTTGATTGAGCTTGTCGTTTGTTTTGTTTAATTTCAATTTTCAACAGGTGTGGCTTCATAATGTGCCTGATACACGCCTGGTTCAAGATCAAGGCGACCAGTATTCGATGTTGGTGAAAGATGATAAGATCAGTTTTCAGGATGGTGGAGGTGATCAATCTGTGAACTTGATCTCACAGGTAGGTTTCCTGGTTCAAAACACAATGGAACACTTGATTGATTGAGTGATTGCTGAACTGAATTTGGATAATCTTCAGATGGTTCCTGACATCGATTTCGGCCATCAAACACGCGTTGCATTAGACATTAGTCCAGGGATTGGAAGCTTTGCAGCATCTTTGTTCAAGCACAACGTGACAACACTGTCGATTGGGACGAAAGGTGTTCACAAGAATCAGATTCAGTTTGCATTGGAGCGAGGATTTCCTGCCATGGTAGTGGGGTTTGGTGCTCGTAGGTTGCCCTATGCGAGCCAAGCTTTCGACTTGATACGTAGCTCAGGATCTGGAATCGACTGGACTGTTGACAGTACATTTCCACTCTCAGAGTAGTTGATTATTGACTTTAATTTGACAGTTCGTATAAAATGTTTGGTGATCTCTTGTTTCCTTTGGATGTAATGAAGATGGAGTTTTGCTTCTGGAGGTGAACAGGTTGCTGAGGGCAGGGCGTTACTTCGTGTGGGGAGGGCCACAAGTTGATAGTAACCATGAACTAAGTTTAGATGACCAATGGAATGGTGAGCTAGTACAACTGTAAATCCCCACAAGTTTATTTTTTTACCAGCACAAAGATTAGCATTGAAACAAACATTTCTGCTTATGATCCATAATGGCTCAGAAATGGAGGGCCTTGTTGCGAGAATCTGTTGGCAACTTGTGAAGAAGGAAGGCAATATGGCGATATGGCGCAAGCCATTGAACAGCAGCTGCTATCTTGGCCGAGAGATTGGAGCACAACCACCAATGTGTAATTCTGATGAGGATCCAGACAATGTCTGGTATGGCTGGACGTTGACTTTGTTTTACTGAAGATAACTACCTCAGTTGACAATAATAATGCCTCAAACTAAACGTTGTGGTGTGTATTTTTGCAGGTATGTAAATATGACAGCATGCATAACTCCGTTGCCTGAGGTCAGGAATGGAGGAAACGTTTCTCTGTGGCCAGCACGACTTCACTTTCCTCCGGATAGGCTCCAGAGTATTAAAATGGATGCAATGATATCGAGGAAGGAGCTGATGAAAGCAGAATCGAGATACTGGAACGAAATAATAGACAGTTACGTTAGAGCTTTCCATTGGAAAGAGCAGAACTTCCGGAATGTGCTAGACATGAGGGCTGGATTCGGAGGGTACAGTACTTTTCTTCTCTCGTATCGTTGAAATTAGAACACATCGAAACATTTTAGATTATTCCTCTCTAATCTCAAGACATGTTCCGCTTGCAGCTTTGCAGCAGCCGTGAATGACTTGGAACTAACTTCCTGGGTTATGAATGTTGTTCCCGTTAATGGCTTCAACACATTGCCCGTTATATATGACCGTGGACTCCTTGGTGTAATGCACGACTGGTACGCCCATTTTTCCACCTCTGGGTTTTTGTGTTTGAATCGACCTAACAAATGATTGAGACTAGTAGAACTTTGCTAAATGGATAATGTGATGACAACAGGTAAAAAGAAGTTGGAAATATATAAAAGATGTAGTGTTTGTCCAATCTCGAAATATTTTTCCTTTATTAAGTTCAGCCTTCTGAGTCTTTCAAAATTATGACTATTGATCCCATTGTCTTCAACCCAGGTGTGAGCCATTTGACACTTACCCCAGATCGTATGACCTCATCCATGCAGCAGGTCTATTCTCCGACGAGCGGAAAAGGTCAGAAAATTTTTATTATTATCATCATTCCTGTCCTTACAGCTCTGGATCACATCTGAACATCCTTACACAAAATTTCCTTTCTCGCCTTGACCTATGCTGCAGGGGAAAGTGCAACTTCTCGACGATCTTGCTGGAGATGGATAGGATGCTACGACACGGTGGAACTGTGTACATTCGCGACTCCTTAGCAGTTATAGGTGAAATCCACGAAGTAGCATCCGCGATGGGATGGGTGGTTATGGTTCACGACACGGGCGAAGGGCCTCACGCCAGCTGGAGGTTCTTGGTGTGCGAGAAACGTATGCCCTGACCTCGCCCCTGTACTCTTTTTCCTTCTCTTCTCAAGAGGTTCCCACAACTAATTGTGCAGTTGTCTTTATGATCACTCATCATTGTAACTTGTTTCACATAATACTAGCCTCTGGATAAACTAACCAACCGGCTATAGAGTACACTTCCAGTTGATCATTTCAGTACCAAGAGGAAAGTAATGTTGCTACTAAGAGGCTAAGTTTGGCTCTTTTTTCCTCTCTTTTTGCATTGGTTCTATAGATAAAGAGTATATCAAAAGACCTCGAAAGGGAAGAGGGCATGGGAAGAACAAGAAAGGCCGCAAACAAAAGAAGCCTAAAACTGGCAACTCCCAACTGAGAGTATAGAGAACTGCAGATTTACCAGAGCAGAACCCGTGGTAGTTGGCTTCTACATCTGCAGCAACATTTGTTTGCTCTGCTGGAAATTTATGCAAGTAATCTCAAAGCTAGTTAGTCCAATGTTGTTAAAATCACAATTTCACTCAATTTTGGGTATTGTCTAGAGATCTAATGATTCTGAATTCACCCACGATTTAGATTTAATATAAAATCTCCATCCATAGGGCGACAAGTAAACCCAGGTTGTTATATGCGTCCTCTTAAGAGAACCATCCTGCGAAAATATCGAACAACGAAAGACTGGACAAAGAACAATCATCGACTAATCACTACCCACATTCACAATCTAAACTAGACCGAAAAGAGAAAAGGATGAAAAAAACCCTTATGCCCGCTAGGCTGCTACAGTTTCTTCTGCTTGGAGCAATCCCCACGAGCTGCAGCTGTATTCACCTGCTTCCCAAGATATGCTTCGTAAATCTCCACCACAAGCCTCGGATCTTTCTCCACCAGCTCCAGATACTCCTCCCGTGTAGTGAGCTTGTCCATGTTCTCCGTGATAAGAGACAACGAAGCTTGGAGCACCTGCTTTGCATTGTGCTGGTGAGCGAAGGCGTAGCTCATCAACGAGCTGTCCCAGTTCAATCTGGACACCAGAAAGGTCTCGCAGTAACCTTTGAGATACTTGACCTGATACTTCTCCGCCAGCACCAAAAGGTCGCAGGCCATCTGTTCATCGAGGCGTGCTTCAGCTGTGTACATGTAGTTGACAAAGGTTCTGAGTGCATCGTATGATACGTCGGGGATTTTTATGGTTCCACTGATGCTCTCTTCCATTTGGTTCTCGAGCATTGCTCTGAATACTGGGGATCGGCTTGCCTGATCGGGTTAAAGAGAGTGTTAGAACTAATAAAAATTACAGGTGTATTTTCACATAACTAAAGCCTCCAACACTGACTTTTTCCCAATTCAACATTTTATGTTATGCCTGGGTTAGACTGCACCACATATGCTGAGTAGTGCTAGAGGTGACAATTTCGTATCCAATCCGCCAATCCTATCCAGTCCATTTAATCCAAATGAAGACAACAATCTGCCCTAGCTGCTTCATATCTTTAGACAACCAGGTTGAATACTCAATAAAAACATTGAAGAAAGCTTCCACGAAGAATAGAAATACACAGACAAAAAGGAATGACAAGACAGCAGCAATTCACAGCATCAAAATTATCAATAACTTCTCACAGCTTCACACTGTATCTTAACATCTTTGTATATGGTACCTAAGTAGAACTGCATTGAATGTGAAAATCAATCCAGAAGTATCCTTTTGCATTCAAAAATTTGTTCCAAAAGTGGAAAGAACTCCTGAAAACTGGGAAAGGGTGTTTAAGCAAGGGAATAATTCAGATCACAGAAGACAGAAAGACAGAATTTAAGAAGTTTAGTCAATACCCTCTTTCAATATACAAGTTATTACGAGAGAATGAAAGACCCTAACCATACCTATGACACTAGCACAACCATACCTTCAAGAAAAAAAAAAACACAATCATTCAACTTGTTTCTTCTTTTCCTTTTGACAAGTAGTTGCAGCTGAGACGTGATTGATCAGTTGGGATTTAAAGCATGTTTCCAAGCCCAACCAAGAATTCAAGCAATTTTCCGACTCCAAAATCATGATTAAGCATTTTCAAGGTAACTAGTTTCAATTTTCCTACAAAAGATTCATATACTATCTCTCGAAAAACGCATTCAAAGTGGTGTAACATTGATCTGGACATGTCGTCTTATGTTCGACAAACTGAAACGACTAACACAAAACAACAAACAAAAAATCTAAGAGGATGATTACACATGACAAGTTCAGATTTCAGGAAACTAACGACCAGCATTTGACACAAGCTTATTGCACACCACCTTCCAATATACAGCAGGAGTACAGAATCGAAGCTCTGCCCATGTCTAAACCACACAAGAACAACCACTCAACCAGACCTTCCAGGAAACAACACATTCCATTCAACCAAAACACCTAAAACCCTTCTTCCAACTCTAACATCATGCTTACGATACACTTGCTGTTTTTATGGGAGAGCTTACCACCTCATTTCTATGCATAGTCAAGCTAATTAGTTCCCCCATTTTCCAACAAGAGTGGGGTATTCCCATCTAAAAGGTGCCCTAAAGTAAAGGAAATGGCTACAAAGGAAAAGGGCATTATACTAACAATCAACGCTCCCATTGACAAGAGTCTCTCTTTTAATTAAGACATAACAAAGAGAGAAATGGGAACGCAGGATGTCACATACCAGAACGGCCTTGTGAGCCGGGACGGGCAAGGGAGACAGGTCGTCGGAGGCGACCAATACGACGTCGGAGAATTTGCCGTCGAAGTGGTTCTGGCCGACAGGGGAGCAGAATTTCAAGAAGGCGATCTTAGCCTTGAGATCGTCGATCTCTTTCTTGAGCTCTTGCTCGGTCTCGGTTGCCTCGTCGTAGCACTCCTTGCAGGTCCCGGCGTCGACCGAGTCGTACTCTTCCTTGCAGGAGAGACATCGCATCGTCTCCGAGTCGGAATCGGTGTCCGACTCGACGGTCTGCCGCCGGTGAGCGTTCATCGGGGAAGGTTGTTACTGTTCTTTCCCCCGTCTGATAATTTTTTTCCTCGTAATTTGGTGTCCTATATGTTTCTGATTCTTCCCTCGAAAATGACCACTATATAAATCCTCACACGGACGGTAGATATAAAATATACACACTATTGTTAAATATGTCCTACGTGGTGGTCAACCGTTATGTTTGACCGTTATTTCGTTAAATAGCTTATATGTCAATTAAAAATAATTATTCTTACTTTGCCACATCATATTGGAATTGTTTTTAATGGAACTAGGCGGTGAGTGACCACAGATGACATAAATGTGTAGTGTCGATAGCTAAATTGAAGGGGAAATGATTCGAGTGGCAAACATGTAACATGATTGACCAAACTTGCAATTCTCGGTTAGCATTCACGTGAATCCTAACCCCACTCAAATGCGTACCATTACTATATGTTTATAGGAGTCATCATTGTGCTTATAAGCGTTTTTTTTTAGCTTACACTCACGTCTCCTAGAGGTGTTGGATAGTGGATACCAAGGAGTGAAAAGACACGAAACTGGCACGAAGGACAGTAAAAGAGAATGAGCTTCCCTATAAATGGCTCCAGCTCCAGGAAGACTTCCTCGATCCAGGATGACTAGTTGATGCAATAGTCGATGTCAAACATCAAAGAAAAAGGATGAAGTAATACGTTTTAAATCGTATAAACTTACTTAAATCGTATCACATCATCTCTAATTTTTATTCGAGAATCTAATGAACTCACATATATATGTTAAGAATTCCAACTCTCTGGTCTCTGCCCAAACTAAATTCACAAGATTTTCAAAGTTTTGTGGCATTGAACTTGGAGAGAGAGCGTAGGAGGTGATGTGGAATGCGTTTAGTGCACATTATTGGTCACAATGGATCCAATTTCGAAATTTCAGTAAGAAAAATTAAAATAATGAACAAGGGACGGAATAACACGGATAAGAACTTTACTACTGCAGCACATTAGAGACATAGCCAAAAAAAAAAAAAACAGAAAAAAGAAACCTATTCTGGCTCTCGTTCTTCGTTCTTCTGCAGATTTCCGAGGGCTTCAATTCTCTTGGCGCTCAAGGAATCCATCTTTCTGTCTCAGGTAACGATTCTTTCCTTGCCCTCAACTTCGTGGCAGTGCTGTGGATTCTTAGTTGTTTGCTTTTTCTGTTTCGCTGGCTTGTTTGGGTACTGAGAGAACAATGTAGCGATAGGGAAAGGAAAAACGGGTTAATAGAGAAGGACGAAGAATGAAGATGATGTGGTGCTCGTATTAGTAGTGAATGCGAATCCTATGCAATTTCGAGCAATGATAATCTTCAAAGCTTCGTTCAAGTAATTTGGCTTTGAATTCCATCTCTTTTTGAGAGCAAAGCCCAAGGAAGTTCCAGGCGTTAGATTCGAAGTTTGGTCTCGCGGGTTTTGGTGTTCTCGTCATTCGTTTCTGAAATTTCTGGGCTTGGAAGGTTTTGGGTTGTCCTCATTGAAGATTGACAATTTGTGTTCTTTTCTTGAGTTCACTGCTGCAGTGTTCTGTCTGGGTTTTCTTGAATTTTCTACAGTGAAACCTAACTGGGTGTTGAAAAGCTTGAGTTTTGGGTCTGGCTTCTCTTATAAGTGCATTGATTTTCTTTCTTTTTGGTTTTCTTTGGTGTTGAAGGGATGGTTAGGGAAGAGGGAATGAGCAATGGGTCGGATGTGGATGGTAGAGGGAAATGCTTGATGAGCGAAGTGGTTAATGGATCCGGGAGAAATAATGGTCAGGGGCTTCGCACTTATAAGAGGAAAAAGCTTACAGCTTCTAGTTCAGAGAGCAAAGATCTAGGGGATGTCAGTGTTTCTGGAGAAGCTGCTGGGAAATCGGCAGATCAGGAGGTATGGCTATAATTATGGTATTTTCTCCTTTAGCTTACTGTGCTGATTACCCGACTCATGATTAGATTGGCTACTGTTTAGTACTTCATTCTTCTTCTTGATCATTAGGATCTTCAGTCTAGTGTTGGATGATTTTGGTGTTCGGTTAAGGGCATCCAAGGTTAAGTAAGTATCATGCATAAGTGACCTGACTTGAGTATTTAATGTTAAAGGCGGAATGTTGTAGAAAAGGAGTCAACTTTTAGAATAGGGATGATAATGGTATACTTGCTATGATGCTATGCGTTCTTAAAGAGTTTATTGAAGCTGCTTCCAACTTAAATGCAGTCACAGAAAAGAATAAAAAGACTTAGATTGAATCCATCAGTGAGAGGACAGTAATGAAGTTGTAGTAAATGATGCTTTCCTTTACCTGGATTTTTTGTGCTAGTGTGATGTTCTCCATGCTACAAGGATTTCAATGAATTTTACGATATTGGAAGGTCCAGCATGCTCAGTTTTCTTCTATATTTGCAAATTGTTTGCCAGTTTAATGATGGAGTATATATTTGATAAGACTTTTGGTATTTAGACCACTGTAATCTAACTGTGCCCGGCACCCACGTGTTTCTGTCGAACTTGATCAGTGACTTTACTTGTTTGTGTGAGTGAATTGAGACTTGAGCAAAATAGCAACTGTTCAGATTTCCTGGTAGATGCTCTTTTATGATGCCATGTAGATGTTGGATGCCTTCTGATTTATTTCTTCAATTCCTTTACAAGGCCATAGTTGTGAACAATATGGTTTAATTTTGAAAATCTGGATAAGGATGCAGAGAACTATTGCTACATTGGCCAGTTTACAATTGACGCAAAAAATGTGTTAAGCATTTCTGCATGTAAATGGCGGTAGGTTCAGTTGGCTATTCTTCTATGTCTAATGGCCTGTAGGTTCAGTTGGCAATGTTTATATGTCTAATATGCATATCCATGACAAAGAACTATAAATTCAAGCAAAGCGAATAAAGAAAAAGAGTATTCTGGACTTACTGGTTTCTCACTTTTTGTTCCTGTCATATGGAGGCAAGATTGTTTATTTGCATCTTGTTTGTTGTATTCACTTCTTTCCTGTTTTGCATAATCCACCATTATGTTGTTTGACTAGCTAAAACTGAATGCTTGTAGATTATGAAGGAACCCCCGGACCATCCTGCTGGTGGTCAAGCTGATTTAGCTAGTTCAAGTGATGTTTCACGAGGGCAGTGGAGAAATTATATCCTAGAGCAAATGTATAGGTCGTTAAGTGATGATGAAGGTGGTATACAAGGGTGCATCCAAGATGTACTTAGGACTTTGAAGGTTTTCACCAAAATCATAAAATATAGTGGCTTGCAATATCTGCTATTGATTTCACCTCTCCATTCTGAATTTCGTTTACTCTCTGTTCTTTCAGGTTTCTGATGCTTGTGACAGAGATAGGTGTAAGTCAAAGAAAGTATGGTTGTCAACTCCCAATTTGGCTAAACAAAGTGATGGCCATAAATTCAATGAGGCTTCTGATGAACCAAATCACCGCACTGTAACGGATATGTGTCGGCTTGCATTCCATGGGATTATATCATCTGAAAAATTCACCTCCCTATGCAAATTGTTGTTTGAAAATTTCCATGAAAGTAGGGCTGATAACCTTTTCAGCCTAAGTCTTATAAACCGAAGGATGAAAGATGGAGCTTATGAGGATTCACCCTGGCTTTTCTCTGAAGATATCCAACAGGTTTGTAAGATAAGTCTGTTGCAGGTTATTTTTCCTGTTGCCCTAGTAGCTAATCAATTTACTTGATTTGAGGGCCATGAATTTGCTACAGGATTCATTACTATAATATCTGCATTGAAAATGCTTACATACAGGTATTACTAGTTTAACTTCTTACGGAGGTGTTAATCTAATTGTTAGTTTATATGTTAATATGTAACCCAATAGGAGACTGCTTTCTATCTTTTTCTGTCTTTTGGTTCCACACCAAAGATCGTGTGTACTGGAAACGCTGGTTCTAGCCAACAATGTATTTTTGTAGATTGATCTATAACTGACAATTGGAAGAAAAATGCTTTGTGTACTCTGATCAGTCTCTTCCCTTCATCCCATCATCTGCCACTTTGCAGCAACCCCACTGCAGGTGGCACTTCTGTTGGGTCGTTGACTGATGGCATTTTCTGAAAATATTTGGCTCGGGAATTCCTTCAGTCTCTAAATTGAACCTGCTCTTAGTTCCCCTCTCGATTTACTGATACTATTTTCTTAGCTTCACTATCTAGTATAAGCAGTCTTCCTTTTACCTGCTTTACTGGGAACATTGAGGGAACTTCCTTGCTGCATGCATAATTTTATGTCATTTTTCAGTCTACACTATGTTCGGTTATAGTTTTTACTCAGATTCGTGTGATTATTAATCTCTATTAAATTTCAGTTTTGGAAAAAACTTGAAGGGATTGGAAGTGAATTGATTTTCCTTGCGAAGAGCCTCTCGGATCTATCGAAGACTTGCTTTAAGGATAAAGTAAGATGCCATTTCTCATGAACTTCTGAGCATCCTAGCATTCTTTTATTGCATTCCTAATGTTAATCCAAAGCATTACTTCTGACCTTATAGTTGGTTAGCTCAGTGGACAGCATATATTGCTTCCAAATTTGCATAGTAGTCGTGCATTTTCTTTCTTTTCTTCTTATGATATAGTTGGTTCTGATGCCATCCTTTTTTCCCCTCTTTCTACATGGCAAAGCAGTTACCCACACGAGAATCTGATTCCTTTGATAAAGCAGATGAAACAGCAACAACCACTCTGTGTGCGTGCAGGCACTGCGGGAGCAAAGCAGATGGATTGGATTGTTTAGTGTGTGATTCATGCGAGGATATGTATCACATCTCTTGCATTGAACCTGCTGTTGAAAAGATTCCTCCCAAGAGTTGGTACTGTTCCAGCTGCTTAGCTAATGGAATGGGTTCTCATGAGAATTGCATTGTCTGCGAGAGGCTAAGTGCTCCTACCAGTGCTCTAGATAATCAAAATGCCCTCCCTACTGCCTGCCAGACAAATGAAGTTGCATTCTCTGACTTTGACCAGGCATCAGAAGATGATGCACATCAGATTTCAGAAGCTACCGAACCTTCAAACCCTTGTAAGATTTGTGGGAGTGAGGTGGAGAGTGGTGGAAAGGTGAAGATTTGTGAACATCCCTTTTGCCCTAATAAGTATTATCACGTGAGGTGTTTGACGGCTAATCAGCTGAACTCATATGGTCCACGTTGGTACTGCCCTTCTTGTTTGTGCCGGAGTTGCTTAACTGATAGAGATGATGATAAGATTGTTCTTTGTGATGCCTGTGATAGTGGTTACCACATCTATTGCATGAGCCCGCCACGTAGTTCTATACCAAAAGGGAAATGGTTTTGTAGGCAGTGTGAGGTGAAGCTTCAGAAAGTGCGCAGGGAAAGGAAGGCGTATGAGAACAGAGAGGGGAAAAGGGGCTTCGACGGGATGCATAGGAAGTCGAAAAGGAAGATTGAAGACATGGTTGATGGTAGGGAAGGTATAAATTTGCTTCTGAATGCTGTTTTTATTGAAGACAAATTGGCAGGCGAGCAGACAGGGGGTTGAAGCATGAGCAACAAATGAGTGAAAGAAAGGTTCCTTCGATATCTTTCAGTCTGTAAAGAACTTGTAGCTTTTCTTCCTGACTTTTTGATACATCAATTAGGGCAAGGTAATGGCTCTCGAGACTTTGTATAACAGCTGGATGAACTGACAGGTTGGTCGGAAAATGTAATTACCATTACTGAGGTTATGTATGAGGCGATGAGACGATTCTGTCGAGGAAAGAAGGGTTGTGTGCCCCCTCCCTCCAAGTCTTGTACTTGATAGTTCTAACCTTTACGTGGGGTTTCCAGAAAGCTAATTGGTCAATCAAAATTTTCTACTTGATGCTGCTTCTGAATAAGAATAGTTTGTGAACAATTTCTACTGGCGAAATGCAGCCAATTGCTAATCCTTCAAACTTGCTGTTTCATGTTTGTCATTCAACATGTACAATTGTAGGACAAAGTTGGTAAGTAAAGCCACCCTATGTGAGGCAGCATGACTAAAGACTTTAAAAAAAGATGAGCAATTTCTTTACATTCAGAACATGACGCACAATAGTTTGTAAGAGACATCTCAGAACAACAGCGCATTACTTCCAATGATCGGCTTCCTGTGTGCTGGCTCCTGCCCTCTAAGAAAGTCTGTTACCATTTCGAAACAGGAAGGCATGATCGAAGTGAAACCCACAAACTAAGCTAGTGCTCGAGAACTCCCTCTCCAGACTCAGAGTCAACTGTCTTGTCCTGGACAACGTAGCGGCTTGTGCCAACACTCGAAGTAGCAGAGTGAAGTTGCAGTCGTTTCCTCACCAGCTGCGATGCAGCACGTCTGTCAACTTCAGCTTCCTTAAAATCAGGCTGTACAAAGGGCAATCAAATTAAAGCTATTGAACATAACATTTCTGCAATTGTTATTTTGCTCAAGAACCTGATTTTAATGCTTAAGACTTGAAGAGTTCCAAGAAAGGAACCTTATAAAATGCGAAGCGGATAGACTGTTCAAGCACGACAAATATTTACAGAGCTCAAGCAAGATGGCTATACCTTGATAGCTAGTGCTCTGTCAAAGCTGTCAATTGCACTATCAGGTTCCCCAAAGTTCAACTGTGCTCTGCCAAGGGTTACCCATGCCTGGAAACAGACTGTAAACCATCAGCTTGGCATCTTTAGTTTCCCAGTATTAACTTCCACACTTGAAATACCCTTTGGAACTGAACAGAATGAAAACTCTGTGCACTGCATGGATTTAGCTACAAATGCATATATCATATGCATCTCCACCCAAAGGGTTCTAGGTCAAACAAAAAATTGCATTCACCAGAGTTTTTTGGGAGCTACCCAAAACACTCAACATGCAAATTTTTAGGGAACACTACATGACAAGAGATCTGATAGCACTGATGGCCATCTAGTTTAAACTTCACATGCATTCTTAGAAATCTATTTGATCTATTCCCACCAGATAAGTTAATATGTAACCTATATATACAAGAGAAATTGATGTAGTGTATTACTGTCATACCTCAGCCCAAGATGGTCTCAACTCGGTGGCTCCTACCAATAACAATTCAAGCAACTATATTAAGGTTCTGAAGGGTAAATGTTCAGGAAAGAACTGCTATATAAACACTGTTGGTTCCTGTAACAACATGCATGGGAGGAGAACTTGTTCCGTTAACATGACCGAACCCGAAATAAGCCTGAAAGGAGATAGTGGAAAGCAAAGGTCATACGAGTTGCTGCCTTGAGCGAGCTCCAAGCATCTCCAACTTCAAGTAAAACTTGTGCCTTCTGCTCATGCAGGACTGCATTCTCAGGCATCAAATTGATTGCAGCCTCCCATTTCCCTAGTGCTTCTCTGTATTTTCCCTCCTTCAAAACAAATTGAAGGCATATCATCCGTTGAACAAGAATCGCATAGACCCATTTGAGCATATACCAGACCTATTTAGGAGAAAGCTTCTTATCAACAGCTGAAGTTCTTAGAATGAAAATTATACTATTCCCTAAAAATTTAGTATAATTTAGAAGAAGCTTGTACAATATAGTCTTCAAACATGAGAATTGCAGCTTGCTGATTATATACCCGTAGCCTCAACGGCTCAGTAGCATCCAATACTCGATTAGAGTTAGCTGTCGATCTATCTTCACGATACACAAGCCCTAGGGTTCTTTTCTAAGTGAACTGAAGGATGATCGACTCGCCAGTTCCAAATATGGTGTTCTTGCAAGAAAGACCCTTTTCATTACAGAACTAAAACTTGAGAAATTTGAAGTGCCCATTTCTGTTCCAGCAGAATTACCTCGGCTAACTCGTCTCCCTGAGCTTGAAACGACTCGCTGAGTTGAATATTGGATTCTGAATTCAAAGGCTCCCCAGCAGCGACTCCCGGTTGCTTGTCCTGGCCGCCAGCGTCGTCGTTGCTGTGACTGATGGCTTCGTCGTCATCTTTGTCGAAAGGAAGATTTTGGGATTTGGAAATGGCTGCCAAAGGGCGCTTCTTGTTCACCTTCTCCTTGTTCCAAGTAACCTTCATATTTTCTCTCTCTAGCTTCAAGTCTGCGTTCTCCACCGTTTTTTTGTCTTCTTCCGCCCGTATAACGAGCGAGGGAAATTTCCTCTACCCATAGTGGAAAGTGGTAATTATCCAAAATCTAACTTAATTTTTTGATCCGTACAAAACGATTACCTAGGTTTTGCGTTTTTCAAAATGGTACCATAACTTTAAAGAAATTACAACTAAAATGGTCACTTTGTAGATTTCCGTTTCTATCCTTTCAAAATTCAAATAAGTTTGATATTTACACGCTAAATGGTAAAGTCGTGTGACCAATTTAGCAATGTGATCTGACCTGCGCGTTTCGACCTGTCCGATATGTTTGAGACGAGTATTTATTTATTTATTTATTTTTGTTTCAATCACTATATGCATGTAAGAATTTTACATTCCTATGTTTGGCCCGGCTTTTAGAAGTGCTTTTCGGGTTCAAAAGCTGAAGCAGGACCAAACACTTATAAAAGTTCGGCTTTTGAAAAGCCGAAAAGCGCTTTTGTATAACATAAAAGCAGAAACTCCGATTTGGAGCTTTTCGGAGCTTCTGCGAAAAGCTGTTTTGATAATACAAGATTATCCTTACCATATTTTAATTTTATTTCAGAAAATATAATTTTTCTTCATTTATATCATTTTTTAAAAATAAAATAAATTATAAAATCATATTATTTAATATAAAAGAAATCTAACAAGATCCATTTTGACTACTTTTTATTGTTTAGAATTTTTATTTTTATTTTATATTATAAGTCCTTTATAGTCATTTTACACAATCTCTCACATTAAAAAGCACTTCTAATAGTTTTACAGCCAAACACTCAACTGTTTTTTTTTTGAAAAGTACTTATCTAAAAGCTCCAGCCAGAAGCTGCTTCTGCAAAAGCTACAGCTAGGGATGGCAATGGGTCGGGTTTTGTCAAACCCAAACCCATGGGTTTATCCGTGAAAAAAACCCGGGGTAAAACCCAACCCGCTGGATATCCGCGGGTTCATGGGTACCCACGGGTTTTTGTCGTAAAAAATTTACAATAACATGTTCCTATCAAAATTAAAGTCAAATATCAATCTCTCAATACAAATTATCCATATTTAAAACACCATTCTAGAAAATTCAAGTAAATCACAAATTAACTATACAAATTGTTCAACACCAATCTAGAAGACTCAAGAAAATTGAAGTAAATCATAAATTATCCATAAATAACATGATTAATTGAAGGCTTCTTCCTTTCAATTAAGTTTCTTCACTCTCCACTCGATAACACAAACTTCATTCTACACAATTAGAAAGAAAAAATTAGACATGTCTCCACAAACATAAATAAGATTAGTTGTTTAAAATATTAAATATACCGAGAAAATTAATTATATGTGTGGGCGGGTACCCACGGGTCGGGTTTACCAAAACCCAAACCCAATCCAACCCGGTGAATAGTGAACGGGTTTAAACCCAAACCCGACCCAAAACCCGTCAACACGGATTTTATCCGCGTTGACCGGGTTGGGTCGGGTGGGTACCCGTGGGTTCGGGTTTGGTTGTCATCCCTAGCTACAGCAGGGCCAAACCAAGTGTTGACGAAAACATGCATGGAAGGATAAGTTTGAACTAATACCGTGTGATGATAATCATTGGTCTCAACGTCATCATGATTAAAATTTGGGTTAATATCTTATTTTGGCCCGAACTATGACCATGTAATCAACTTTGGCCTGTGGTTTCAGAAATTAACATATTGGCCTCAACTATACAACATATATACTCAATTGGCCCGATTCGTGAATTTCTGTCAAATTAAACGGTCAATAGTGTTAACCGTTAGTGAATCACCATGTTTTGCTGACGTGGATGTCATTTAAACATTAAAAATTAATAAAATATTAAATAAATTAATAAAACTCAAACTATCAACTACCATTAATAATAATAATAAAATAAAACTGTCATTAATGAAAAGAACTCCCCATCTCTCATCCGCCCCACTCATCTCTCAATTCCCTCCTTTGTTCTTCTTTCTTCCTCCAGAAAACTTATTCTTCCTCTGTTCTTCTTACTTCCTCCACAAAAATCATTCTCCTCCGCCTCTACATATCCTCTTTTCCAATTTTCATTTCATCACCTCCCTCAAAATCATTTTGATACCTTACTTCCCCCCAGATTCCTCTGACCGTCTCCCACAAATATCCTCTGCGTAGTTTGACGGCGGAGAGGCTGTGAGAAACACGGCGCGGCGGGAGGCCGACCTCGTTGAGGAAAGCTCGAAACTTTGGGTGCTCGAGGCTATAGAATGAAACGGTCCCACACGATTCGTAGACCCAATCAGTTAAATGTTCAACGGCGGAGTCGATTTGGGTTTTGCTCAGAGCTGGACCAGGAGAAGTCTTGGGGCTCTTCAGCTTCTTCACGCTGTCTTCGATTTGGATTTTGCTCAGAGCTGGACCAGGAGGAGTCGATTGGGGCAAGTGTCGCGCTTGAGATGCTCGGAGGCGGTGCGGGAAGGATTGGAGGCTGAGAAAAGAGCGTCTCAAAGGGAGTCTGGTTCTCCACCAAGAAGAAATCCCACGGCTCCGCAGTACAACATCGTAGAGGATGCCGCTCTTCGGGGAAGAAAGGAGAAGAAGAATGGTTAGGGTTAGGAATTTTTTTTAGTTTTGCTCGAAGAAGGAAAGAGGTGAGGGGATAAGATGGTGGGTGGCCGAAAATAATTTTGTTTTGTTTTTTTCATTTTTTTAATTAGGTAAATGAAATAATAAAAGAAAATTCAAATTCAAATTTTTATTTCCTTGTTGCTTATATGGCGGTGACCTGGACAGTTGACTAACAGTCAACCGTGTTGACCGTCCAAACAAACGGTCAAACCACGTTTCCGGCCAAATGAGACTATATGATGCAAAGGTCGGGCCAGGATGTTAATTTCTCAAACCACGGACCAAAGTTGATTATATGATTATAGTTCGGGCCAGAATAAGGTATTAACCCTTAAAATTTTATTGAAATGGTGGACGAGAAATAAAATTATGTTATTTATATTTCCAAAAAGTCTATATCCAATGGACACAAATAATGCAAAGATTCTACTTTCCAGTGGAACCATTCTATTTTACTTCCTACAAAATATTAGATATGTATATAAAAAAACGTTAAGCACATCAACTGAAGTTGACTCCATTCTCCCCGTAACTCCCTTTCCGAACAACAGTACTATATATGATTGGGACCTCGTCGTGACCAATTCGTTTCCCACCTGTCCGCTGAGCCACACGAATTCCCCAAGGTCACAAGCTTACACACAACAACATAATGTTATCTCCAGAAACAAAAATGTCAAACCACATGTAGCTTCTCATGCAGATTCCACAAGTCAAGTTCACACCCAGCCCAAGTAATTTCTTATGCAAATTCGACTAATAAGCTAGAAAGCAGTGGGAAGAAATTCATACTGAAAAAAAGTCCAATGTCGAAAGGACACAAACTAGTTAACATTCTGACTCAGACGCCTCTCTCTCAACATTCTCTATATATTGATTCAACAAGAAAGGCCATAAATCAATCGTGGGGGAAAAAAACAAACACAAAAAGCTCTCTAGCTAGGCGCTGAAGATGGAACTTCGCCGAAGTGAAGAGCAAGGAGCGGCAGTGAAGGTGAGAGCGAAGAAGAGAGGTGGGAGCGTTATGCCGGCGAAGAAAAAGCTGGTGAAGAGAATGGTGTTCGATAGCATTGTGGAGTCCGTCGCCTCCTTCCTCGGCCATTTCTGCGGCGGCGGCGGCGGCGGCGGCCATGGTTACTCTAATAACGAGCCACTTGCTAAGTTACCGAACAACGGTGGTGGTATTATTACCGTTGGTGCCTTCAAGTGCAAGGCTTTTGAAGAAGATCGTAGTTCCTTTCGGCCACTAGCTAGATAGCTACAGGTAGAGGGCTGGATTGATTTTATTGGGTTGATGTGATGGATTTGTCTATTGGGTGAATCAAAGAGAGATTTGTTTAAGGGTCCTAATCTATGTCTTGAGATTTGTCTATTGGGTTGATATGATGGCCAATTTTCCTTAAGAAATAAGTTTTCAAAGGCTCAAGTTCTGCATGTTATTAATTTGTTTTTGTATGATATTGTTGTACGTCTATTCATAAAAAGAAATGATACTGTTCTATGCCATTCTTACGGATATGGCAGTAACTGTCTGGTGTATATAGGGTTGGTCATTCGGTTATCGGTTGCCGGTTAACCGGCCGGTTAAACCGATAACCGCCAGTTACCGGTTAACCGATAACCGAAAAACGATGTCGCGGGGCGGTTGGCGGTAGACGGGTTGAGGAGGCCGGTTAACCGGCTAACCGTGGCAAATAACCGCCGGTTAAACCGACTAACTGGCGCTCTCCCTCACCCCCTAAAACGACGCCGTCTCCCTCACCCCCTAAATCCCTAAACTGCCGCAGCCCGCAACCCTCGCGATTCCAGAATCCAGAGTTCCATTTTCGATTTTCCAGGACACCATCGCGAAGTCGCGCCTCTCCCTGCCGCCACCGGCCCTCTCCCTCACTCTCTCACTGTCGCGAACCGCCGCCGGCCCTGTCACTCTCTCCCTGCCCCGCGGCTGCCCCTGCCGTCGCCGACCCACTCCCTCCTCTCCCTCACTCTCTCCTGTCTCTCCTAACCCTAATCGCTCTAATCGAATGCAGGCTGCAGCCCTCCTCCTCTACCTCTATAATCGACTTCAGCCCTCCTCCTACCTCTGCAATCGACGCCGCCGCCCCATTCTCCCTTCTCCCTCCCCGACCCTGAAGGGCGCCGCCGCCGCCGCCGCCCCATTCTCCCTTCTCACTCCCAGCAACCGCCAATCCGCCATCGCCACTCCTCTGCTCGCCACTTTGGGCAAGAAAATTGCTTCCCCCATCGCCACTCCTCTGCGATTGAATCCGCCATCGCCACTCCTCCGCCTTCTTCTCCAACTCCCTCATCTCTTCGATCTCCTTCACTCTCTTCCTCATCTCCTTCTCCCAATCAAACGGATCCTCTTCTCCCTCCTCGCCGTTCCCGTTCGCATTATCCTCGTCGCTGTCGAAATCTACCCCGTTCACCTTCGAATTCTCCTTCCCTCGAACCACGAATCTCTGATTCTTCGCTTCCCCTTTTGATTCGAAGCCCTTCCCCCCGGCCAGAGAAGAAGAAGCATGGACGTTGCTGGAACCGGTGAGATGATGAAGCTCCCGACATGGGAGGGGTCAGGGGAGGACAGAGCAGATGGATTTTCAGTGTGCATTGTGTTTTGCGGTTACTGCGGTTAACCGAGAAACTAACCGGCAACCGACCGGTCGGTTGCCGGCTAACCGATGGCTTCCGTCGGGCGGTTGTCGGTAGGCAATGGTGATGTTGCGGTTAACCGGTAACCGACATTTCGGTTATCGGTTATAACCGAACTAACCGAAAATCCACCCCTAGGTGTATAACCTTACATAACAATATCCGTGAATAGAATTTCTAGGCTAAATTTAGAGTAGTGATTTGAATATGTTGATCTTAATCAATATCCTAGTTATACACAATCTTTATTATAAAACAACATTGGAACGAATGTAAAAAAAAAAAAAAATCATAGGTGTAATACTCGCTCCAAACCCAAAGGAGGGCTGGGCCATGGCCCGGCGTGGCCACCCACTAGCTCCGCCACTAATAGTGTGATACTATTTCCAACTCCTGTTTTGGATCAATTGACTAGTGGATACATTTTCATTTCAGAAAATTTACAACAAGATATGGTCACAAAATAATCAAGCGTTAATACCTTTAATTCTCCCGAACTTTACACAAATAAACTACTTTGGTCTGTGGTTTATGAAATACCCATCATGACCTAAATTATGTACCATCTACACTAATTTGGTCCCATTCCTGTCAAATTTGACGCTTAACATAATTGATTTTTAAAATGATTATTAAACAAAATGATAAGATAAATAATATATTAAATGATGGATTTTTTTTATATTTTTATTGTCTAAGTGGCATCCATGTCAGTGAAGTATGCTGATTCACTATTGGTCGATGTTATTGACTGTCTTTTAGGAAAGAAAATTAGAGGCCGAGCCAAATTATTCTTTCTGGGGCATAGTTTAGGCCTAAATGGGTATTTCAGAAATCACGAGGCAAAGTTGTCTATTTGCTTAAAGTTCGGGCCAATATTAGATATTAACCCAATAATCAACTTTGTAAGTTCACAATAATTAAATAGTTTGCTTTTTTTTATTACCGGCGAAAAATCAGCCCCACGTGCCACTTTGTGACAGCGGGTCCTACTAAATCCGGGAGCCACCTGTATTCACTTTGACGCCAACGGGGCTTCGCCCCCAAACAACCTTATACCTCCTGGAACATCAACGAGTCTCGTTTGGATTCGAACCTGGAATCTGCACCTCCCAACCCTTCACTGTCGCGGCAGCTTACCGTTAGACTATCTTACCTTTGGTAAAAAAACGCGCAGTTCACTTTGAAACCAATGGGACGAACCCCTTTACATTTTGTAACAAAATAGTTACACTTATTTTTGCAATGTAAAGAACTTATCATAATAATAGTAAAATACATATGCAATATTAGTTTGGCTCCGGGGGAAAGGGTTAGTCAAGATGGTAAGGTGTAGGGTTTTAATTATTATTTTTGGATGATGTGGACGGTCGACCTTTAGTATTGACGGGCATCAACTGAAGTTGACTCCATTCTCCCGTAGCTCCCTTTTCCGAACACCAACAGTATATGTGATTGTGACTTTGTTCGTTTTGCCAGAATTTTCCAAGGTCACAAGCTTACACACACATAACTAATGTCAAACCACAAGTAGTTTCTCATCGCACAAGGACATCATCAATTCAATAGTCAAGTTCACACCCAAACCCAAGTAATTTCTAGTGCAAATTCGACCACCTAGCTAGAAAACCGAGTGAAAAGAAAGTCCAAACGACACAACTAGCTAGCTAGCTAAAGCTCAAATCAGCCCCTACCCTCCAACTCAGTAGCAGTCATTTGCCTTACGCCTCTCTCTCTCTCTCTCTGTCTCTCTCCTAACATTTTCTATACATATTCAACACGAAAGGCCATAATTTTCAAAGCAACAACAAAAACAAAAAAAAAACAGACACAAAAAGCTCTCTAGCTAGGCGCTGAAGATGGAACTTCGCCGAAGTGAAGAAGAGCAAGGAGCGGCAGTGAAGGCGATGAGCGCAAAGAAGAGAGGTGGGAGAGTTATGCCGGCGAAGAGAAAGTTGGTGAAGAAGATGGTGTTCGATAGCATTGTGGATTCCGTATCCTCCTTCCTCCACCATTTCTGCGGCGGCCGCCATGGTTACTCCAACCAGCCCACTTGCTAAGTTACCGAACACTGGTAGTATTACTGTGGTAGTAAAGTACTGCATGTTATGATTTTGTTTTTTTGTATGATATTGTATTAGGTCTTCGTCAAATTGTTTGTGAAGATAGAAAGATTTAACAGAACTGGGTATTTGATTATGTGTTGTATAGTAGAACTGGGTATTTGATTATTGGATAAAAATGTAAAACATACGTGTTGTACACAAATAATATTATAAATACGATAAATGTAACATGATTAGTTATAGATCGGTCTTCTCGGCTCATGGGTTGGACTTGACCAGTTGCTCAACCCCAAAAGTTTAACGAGATGAGCTCTGGTCCTTATATGGTCGTCTTCAATCTTAGATAAGCAAGGTCGTGTACTTGTTGAGAAGCAAATACGTACAATATAGAGATGAGTAAGGTGAAGTACACGTAAACAAGATGTTTTATTAATCGAGTTCGGCCTACTGCTTTACGTCTCGGCTCAAAGGTGGCTCACCCTTTGAGACTTAGTGTCTAGGTTTTTATCTTATTCCGATCGATCAACTCCAAGTTGAGTCCCTTTCGGTGGAACTCAAACCCTTGACAAGAATGGAGCAATATATCCCTTTCTCACTTCCTCACAAGCACTCATCATGTTAAAGATAAAAACTACACAACCTCACAACCATTCAAGCAATACAAATCAGTGAACTCCTACAACTTTAATTTAGAAGACAAAGGATCCACTACATCATCTTCAAAGATGGAAGGAGAAAATAGAATAGTTGCTTCGTCAACTCTCTATGATTATTCAAGGCCGAAAGCTTTGAATATCACTTCAAGCATTGGTGCATCACCAACGAATGTTGAAATTTGACATCACTCATGCAAATGTTGCAACAATCTGGAATATTCGCTAGAAAGCATATTAATGATGATCTTGTGCAACATTTGAGATTTTCTTAGAGTTCGTCGGTTCAGATCCTGGACATGAAGCCACTCAAGACGTCATCCAAAAAAGAGTGCTTCCTTTCTCGTTAACTATGAAAGTGAAACAATGGTTGGATTACTATCCACCAAACACTTTCAAGTTTCACCACATGAAAAGGTCTATCACAAACTTTCATAGAATAATTCTTTCCACTATTCGAGCAAACATGGACAAGTGTCATTGTTCTGTCCTGAAATTCCAAGAGTCAGGGAAGTGGATGGATTGGACATCGAATCTCCTTCGGTTTGACGATGGAGAGGACCCACACGGCTAGAATTGGAAATAATTAATCCTGATGTGAAACCAGAAGAAATGTGCAATCCTACCGAGTATATATGTAAATGATTTGATAAGCTCAAGAGTCAGGACGAAATTCTTTACGCGGTGATCTTTATGTTGGTCTCCAAAGTCGAGACTGTAGAACATTTATAAGAACCGGATCTATTGATAAGGATCATACGTAGCAAGAATTGACTAGGACTGAATTGATGTTATTTTGAAGTGAAAGTTGAAGTGACATGAATTTATTAGGGATAGCTAGGCTAGCTAGTAACAGGGACGAATACATGGGCCTCTAGGGGTGTTCCGGGACACCCTAAAATTTGGGGAAACGATTATCTAACCTCCTGTAGTGGTTTCGTATGGGTATACAAAATATAATTGGTATTTCGGGACACCCTAACATTTGAAAAAATGATTATCCTACCCTCTATAATAGTTTGCTTATGATTAACAAAATATAAGTGGTAGTCCGTGTTATTCCAACCTAGGACACTACTATTATCAAACATATTCTAATTATGTTGCTACTCATTTGTTATTCTATTTTAAACATAATGCAACAGTAAAACGCTATTTCTTTATCCCCAACTATTTTCAATACCTAATAATTAAACTACGTACACGCTACCCTTAAATTTGAATTGATTTTATGGTTACACGACAAGTGTTGAACGAGCCTTTTCTACTTTGAGCTACATTAAGAACATGGTTAGAAATCGAATATGTGATAAGTTCGTGAAGTATTGTCTAGTAGGATATGTAGATTTTTTTTTTGAACAGTGCAGACACGGAGTTTATTTATATTTTTTTCAAAATATGAATTTTAATTTATTATTTAATAAAAAATTTATACAAATTATACAAGTATGATATTTTTAATATGCGAATTATTTAATTTATTATATAATTAAATTTAATTTTTGAAGAGGACACCCTGTGAAAATTTTCTGAATCCTCCACTGACTAGTAATGTATGAAGATATGAACTCCACATATCGGAATGGCCGAATGGGAGATGGAGAATTGAGGCCTAAATTTTTTTTTTTCCTTTTAAAATGTACCCAATAAGCCTGGAATCGAAAGGAACATATAGTAGAGCATATCAGAAAAGTTCCAATCTAAGAACAAGATACAAAGGAATGAACCCTTGCATGATTATCATGATTAGCCGGAAATCTTGTATCTCAGACTGTGCTCGACACAAGATTTACTAAATGTGGACCCTGTTGTGCTGAAGCGTCAAACTATGTGTATTTGTTTTTAATTAGTTAGCCACATGTGTAACTATAAACATGTAACATATATAATTAGTGAACCAGTTAGCGAGGCTTTTGCTGATGAAGACTATGCTGGATGCAAGAATACTAGGAGCTCTACCTCTGGATGGTGTGTACGTGTATGCAGATCATTTGTGCCTTGACGGTGTCAGAAGCAAGATCGAGTGTAAAAGTCATCTACATAGGCAAAATGTCGGTCTATGTATGAGATGATCTCTGTGATGGGATGGTTACAATGTGGTTGCTTGGTGAGTTGGGCAGGTATGTTTTCTTCTTGTGAGGATATGTGGTGATAATATTAGTGCAGTACAAATTGCTATTAATCATGTATTGCATGATGGAACGAATCATATCGAGATGCATATTCATTTAAATTTAACGGTTGATTGTAGAGGGTACAATACGTGTTGGATATTTATCTATAGAGGATCAAACGACATATATCATGACTAAGGCATTGGCTTCAAGTAAACATTGGTTTATCTCATCCAAATGGAAGTTACGCACCCACATCAATTTGAGGGATGATGTTGAAATATCAAACCTATGTAACTTGTTTATAATTAGCCAATCGCCTATGTAACGATTAATATGTAACCTGTATCCATGAAAATCCTAACGCAGTAAAAATTTACCTTGCAGAGTTATCTATCTCTCCTTTGGACTAGTACTGATAATCGTGGAAACCACGTTAAGTCCCTCTGTTCTTTAATTTTTTATATGAAAATTTAACATGTCAATCCGCCAAATATGAATATTTGATTCGCCAGATGTGGTTGAGTGTCTGGTTGTGAAAAGTTTTTTGAATAGGAGGATTAGGATTTGAGATTTGCAATGTTGAGAGAAGTTGAATTATAAATCATTAGATCTTATACGATTTGCTAACAAAACCAACCGAAGGAGCAAACTCAACCGAGTTTTCAAGAATAACACTCACATGCATGGAAGGCAAAGTGATGAGTGTTTGGTTGTGAATTGTTTCAGGATTTATTTGGATAGGAGGATTGGATTTGGTATTTGGGACCTGGAATTCCAAATTCCAAATATGTTGTTTGGATACTAATTTGAAATGGTATTTGAATTTGTACCAAATATATGGGTGAATTTGAAATACATATCTAGAGCTTTCTTTGTGACTTTTAAATACACATCTATAATTAGTGATTTGAAATTCCTCTTGGCAAGATATTGGAACTTTTTGCAAAATTTTAACAGCTTAGGTACTGCAGCGCAATTTTAAGAATATAAACGTACTAAACATAATTTCACCACCAAAATTTATGGACCCGTTTGTAAAAATATAAAGTTTAGGTGCTAATTTGTATGAACATTTAACTTGGGTACTACATGTAATTATTCAATAAATTATAATGCATCACCAAGAAACTCAAAATAAAATAAAAAATATGAAGAGCCAAAAAGTTCAAAAGAAACAAACACAGACGAGATTACAAATTAGAGAAGTTTAACTCCCAAGCGAGTGAAGGTGTCACCTTAATCCAAAATCTAGGTGTAAGCATCACACTGGAATCTCCTTATCCACGTGGCGTGACAAGCGTCAAACTTGTTGCCCAAGTTTCCCCTAAAATCTCAGTTCCTTCGAATTTAAGCTCATCTCCTGATGCCGCAACCGCACTCATATCATAAAAAACTGCTAGAGAGACAAAGTAACTGTCATCTGTGACTGTGAGCGAGAGAGAAAAAATGACGGCGGCGCTTCATCCGTTCAAGGAGAAGAAGGGGAGCGTGTTTCCGAAACCGAGGAGGCTGGTCAAGACCATGATGCTTCAAGCCATTCTCTCCTTGTTCCTCCCCTCATCCTACTCCTCCTCTTCTTCATTTCCTTTCTCGACTGGATCTCGGGACGGCGGAATTCATGCCGGCGGCTGCTGTGGTGGCTGCCGCCGGGAGAGATCGGACAAGGTCAGGGATGTTAATTTGTAGTTCAATTATTGGGAATTAATGTTGCTGTTGTTCACTCATCTCCCTCTCTGTTACTGTGGCTCAGAATTGAAGTGGGAAATTTGTTCTGATTTTCTAGTTGGTTATAGTGTGAGTAGTGGAAGGAAAGACGAGAGAGTGGATTCTCATTTCGGCTGTGTTATATAGTGAAACCCCCCTTTTGGGTTGTGTTGTAATAAGAAAGAAAAGTAGAAATTGCGTTACTTTTGGTGGTGTTGGTACTAGTGTACGGACACTCTGTTTTTCCGTTTCCTCTTTGGTTGTCCAGAAAAAAACAGAGCATGATTGTGCAAAGGAAGTTTGTTGATTGACAGTGCTGTCCAGTGGAAGCCATTTTTATGTATATATTATTTGTTCGTTCAATGATTATATCTCTGGTTGAAGGGGCTCTTTTTTCCCCTTTTCAATATCTGATGCATATGTATTGTGTTGAAGTAATTGTTTGATGCAGTATGAATCTTTCCAATCGTGGCTGGGTTGTTTCTGTTAACTCCCTGTTTTGGCCATCTGCCCATAACCTCCTCTGTTCCGATTTCTTCATACGGGCAAGATCTCTCCACTGTTTCTTTCTTTCTTTCTTTCTTTCTTTCGCCCATTTCATTGTGGAAGTCAAATTATTATCTCTGTCTCTCTCCCATGGAATTGCTCTGACAAGTTGTCCCTTCCTCGACGTGCCAGTGCACTTTCATTTTCATCCCACAATGGATGGCATATCGTTGTTGATGGTTTAGGGGCCACCATATGAACAAGTGTTAAGTACATAACAGTTCAATCCGAAGAGTTACGTAACATTTTCATAATGACTAAGCACTTTGGAGGTTTAATATAATTAAATAAAAGAAACCTCCATTATGTAAGGTTTTTCGTAATGATACTTTACAATTGTTATGTAAAATGCACATCCATAATGTAAAGGTTACAGAAAGATACTTATTTCTTACGTAATAGTTTAATCAGAAGCGTTATGTAAGATTTCCGTAATGACTTATCACTTTACGTAACGCGATGATAAAATTCATTCATTATGTAAAAGGACAATCCATTACGTAAGACTTTCATAAATGACATTTTACAACTGTTACGTAAAATAAGCATGAGTTATGCAATGACTGCTGTATTTTAAGTAATGCGACATGTGAACCTTGCTATAGTAGATAATAATATTCAAGTTACCTTACATCAATGCATCATAGGAAATTCGCATGTAACTATATTATCAAAAATCATGGAGGGAGTGAAGATGATGATTGACTTCGACACTCTTATTGTTGGCTCAGCTTTCTCAGTCGCAACATGTGGCAGTGAACCTAGCTGCCATGCCATGGTGCTAGGGTTTAAACGAGACAAAAGCAAGATCCGGAATTTCGGCAGATGTTTTTTTTCCATCTATACGACGAAGTTAATTGTAGAGAAACACAAGCTACTGTAACTAACGGCTAATGAAAAACATAATTTTCACCATGTAAGAATGTATTACTGACATCCATGATCCATCTTATGCAAGTGTGAACTTTGCTTGGGGACAATTCAAGTTCAAGTGTGGGGTTATTTGATGACACATAAAAATTACTCTTTTAGACTCACATATTATTACCAGAACTTCATATTTTTTTATATGTTTATCATCATATATGATCATTCAAATTGTGATTTAGTAGCGCTAAGGTTGATTTCATCATTTTGCTGCACTCTTGGTAATGTTTTGTGTGCTTTTAGGGAACAACATCCTAGTGGACCATGTTGTACGTGCTAGGGAACATCAAGACTCGACTGCTTAGGGCCAGAAGAGGGAACAAAGAGATTATAGAAAATGGTACTATATTTAGCATCCCAAACTCCAAGCCGACACCTTGGCCTCCGTTTTTGGGCTCATTCATAAGATACCAATAACTTTTAAGAATACGCATTTCATGGTGGCCAAGTTGGAAAAGGTTGATTGGACTGGATGATGCATTGAATAAGCAAGCATCCTCTCTCCCAAAAACCCTTGTAGAAAGTCTATAACTAGAATTCTAGGGGGAGGAGTTCGACTACAAGTGATAAGAGACATTAGTGGGTCATTACTCTACTGACAAAGTGACTCACCCGACTTAAAGTGAAATCGGCTATCAAAAGCAAATTGGCACCTGAATTCCCAAAATCTATATTATGTGCGTAAGTGCGTTGATTTATGGAGTGACTTGGGAATCTCATTTCCACTGGTTTATCCCTTAGATCTCGTCCCCAAGGCCGACTAGTTCCATTATTTGTGTAGGTAGGCAAATCCTGGAGGTTCTAGACTATGTAAAGATTGATTTTGAATTTTTGATATATATATACTGGTTTTATTCTTATTCTTTCCTCTTTATTCTTATGTTTGGTTGATTATTGACTTGATTGCGTGCTTAACAAGAGGACTGACTTTAACTGTCATTATCCTCAAACCCGGCTTTGTGGTTAGGATTGGACTGGACACGACGTTCCTCCCATGATGGATCCTCAATTGATCAAACTGCGTTGACTTCCTCAATGGAAAAAGTCGCAGGCTCCATATCGTTGCCTACTTAACCTGACATTTGTTTTAGCATATGGCCGGAGTACACCTAAAAACTGTCAAACAGTTCATATATTGCCAAGATCGACAGTATAAATCAAAGGAACTCTAGGGGGAGCATGTCTATGCTATGCCTCGTTCTCTTGCTTCCTTCACCAGCTAGTAGTGTAGTTTTCCGTTGTTTCTTGCCAATAATTATGAAAGTATAAGATAAATTATTTTTATTAATATATTTGATATTTTATTAATTTTTAATGTCAACATGGTATCCACATCAGCGAAGCATGCTAATTCACTTACGGTCAACATTGTTGACCGTCTAATATAACGGAAATTCAAGAGTTAGGCCAATTGAGTCTATATGCTGCATAGTTGAGGTCAGAATGTTAATTTCTGAAACCACTGGCCAAATTTGATTATATGGGTATAATTCAAGTCAGAATAAGGTATTAACCCTTGTTTTTAATTTAGATATTATATAACCAAGGGAACTTCAACTCTGCAGGCACCTCAATTTCCACAGTTGCGTTTTCAAAGCATATGACTTGTCCCTCACCACCTCAGTAAGTATTTGGTACAGACCTTAGTGAAATATAAAATATGACCCTAGTCTTCAGACTAGGTATGTTTGACTACTCACTACGACGAGATCAGCAATGCAATTGATTTTATTAGCTCCTCTTTATTACTATTGTACCCCGACCTCCATGTCATTTTTACTATTTTATTTATCTTTTTTACTGCCAAGACATGACCAGCATGGATTAGCCTGTCAATGAAGAACAAAACAAGAGTGGGGCAATACACAATCTGTATATATTATTCCTAAAAGAAACTACAGTAAACAAGTGGAGGACAATATGATAAAACAAAATTAACACATATCTTATTATTGTTCCATAATATTATTAACGTTAATTATTTTTGGTAGTAGAAAGGAAGTTACACAGGAAAACTGTAAATATGCATGCATTGTTGATCAATCTGCAAACATATATATTCGGATTTGTTGAAGTGCATAAAAAAGGATAAGATAGAAATACATTATACTTCAGAAGTACGCCAATCATTACCATATATAGTTATTTTTCTGTTTCTTTTTTAACCTCTAATCAAGCTTTCACGCAAATCTTGTTTCTAGGTATCAGCAGATCGCAGTCCATTTCAGGGTTTAAAGTCTCAAGCTCTTCAACGTCCATGTTATAGTCTGCCGCTATGTTATAGCAAATGTCGCCTTTTTTTATTTTGTAGTATTGACTACAGGACGCCTCGTCATCTGACCCTGTTCAATATTTAATCCAAGACACAAAGCCAAAAAGATCACAATGATGATCACAAAGAAATATATTGATCGACGACATCAATATCACAATTGTAAATTCGTCAAAGGTTTACTTAACCATACCATGTAAAGATTCAATTCTTTACCATCAATTAAAATCACTTTTCAATTTTCTTCCCATCAAAACCCATAAGAAATTCACAGAGCATCTCTTTCTTTTGGATTTCTGTCACTCGGGTTGGCAAAGCCAGCTACTTGGGTTGCCGGCTCAGGAAGAGCGGACGTGGAACTCGGGTATTTGTTTCAATATACAATCATAAATATCATATTTTGATTATTCAAAGCTATTCCACTCTGCGATTGATGTCCTTCTATAGTTTTATATAAGAGAAGATTAATTTGTTGAAGAGTTCTCTTTGATTTTCGAAGCTTAAAAAGTCGGAATAAAAGAACAATGAGCATCACGAACTTGAGACGACATGCATAAAAAAAAAACTTACTGCTAGTTATAAGAAAGCCGATGAGAAAAATGAGCATCACGAACTTGAGATTAGCCTTGCCCATCATCATGATAAATCGAATATATATGTGACTCTCAGGATATCTTAATCAGTACTCTCGATCTCTCTTCCTTATACTTGTTCTTCTTTGTAAGATTGAGTGATGAACTTGGGAAAACCACCTCCTTTTTTATACCATCAGAGCCGAAGAAACTACAAAAAAACTAGCAATTTCAATCCATCTATCTTTGCAATGTATTGCTAATGTCGTTTACGATTGCACAAAATTTCAAACAAGACAGGCCATTGAAAAAAGCATCGTTTGATCATGTAATTAAGTGGATGTTGTTGTTGGACGTTAGTTTAGTGGGGATTCGGCAGCATACAGTAGCCGCGCGTGTGCTTAATTGGGATTTGGGCATAGGCCTGCAAATTGGCGGTGTCGCCATGGGAGGAGTTTTGAATGTATAAAATTCTGAAGTGTTGTAACCAGCCATGCAACTTATTTGCCAGCTATGTACTATATTCTAAGGACCACTTGGACTTGGTTCCCTTTCTACAGCATTGTTATACTTTCGGCTGAAAATGGGGGATTTTTTTGATGAATAAATGTAATTGGTATTTAATATATAGATAAATGAGAGTCGACCAAAACAAGAACTAACCCACCTTGTTGATAGACCTCATTTATAGGGGTCGATCGAGTGGGTTTGGTTAGGTTCATTGGGTTACGGGTTCAATCGGGTTACGGGTCATTTGGGGTCTTGTTCATTGGGCTACGAGCTAGTTGGGTTGCAGTCTTGCAGGTCATTCGATCAGGTTCAAGTTCATCGGGTTATAGGTCATTTGGGTTAAGGGTTCAATCGAATTATGGGTCATTCAGTTTTTGGGTTCGAGTTCAATCGGATTATAGACAAGTTGATCGGGTATGGGTTCATCAGGTTCCGGTCAAGTGGATTACAGTTAATCGGATTGCAGGTAATCACTTTATGGGATAATCAAGTTGCCGGTTGATGGCTTACGAATCATATTAAACAAAGAAAATAATTTTTGATTACTAACAAATGGAAAAATCAATAATAAAGGAATTGGGAAAAAGATAAATTTTAGAACACCACAACTCAAGATTCATACCATATCAAAATTTCAAAATTCATATTTGAAAGTACCAAAATTGTAGAACACCAAAAATGTGAAAGCACCAAAATTCTTCGTTCTTTTTTACTAAAAAACTGAAAACACCAAAGCCCCCTCTTTCCCATTCATAAATTAAAAGCATTTAAATTTTCTCTTTTAAAAAACCCAACACACCATTTTTTTCTCCTTCTATCTCTTCTACAAAATTGAAAACATCATAATTCGCATTTTTCTTTTTCTTCCGAAAATTGAAAAACTCAAATTTCTCACTTTTCTATTCTCAAAAAGTTGAAAACACCAAAAATAATATATTATTTTGAGATAGTCAAATGGTTTATATATAATGGATAGCTTTGTGAAATTTTTTAATTAACTATAATTTAATTTATATATACTATATTCATATTATACACGGTATAATTGTTAATTATTCATAAAAAATGGCTTCACCTAGATTCCGGACCAAAACTTTATTTGGTAAGTCTATATATTATATAATATTAGTAATATTTTGTTAAGTAGGGCGGGTTCGGGTAGAGTGAATTCGATTACGGATTAGTCGAGTTGTAGGTCAATCGGGTTCATGTTAGTCTGGTGGTGGGTTAGTCAGTTTACGGGTTGAATATAATCGTGTTATGGTCAAGTGAGTTGTGGATTAATGAGGTTAGGGGTCCATCAGGTTGAAGGTCATTCTGGTGATAGGTTGTGAGGGTTACGGGTCACTGACGTTTTTTAAACTCAAGTTGAGGTCGGGTCGGGTTGATCAGGGGAGTTAATCGAGGCGGGTTCTGTTTTGGCACATATAACCTCATTGAAAGAAAAGAAAAACATACACTAAAACCTCTACTAATTAGTTATGAATTAATTGATAAATTAATAATATAATTAATTTAAAAGATTTTTATATGTATATAGTTAACATAAATGACTTTATAAACCTCTAATAAAATTCTAACATGTTGTGCCAATTTTATTTAGTACAATTATAATTTGTTAGACTAGCTCCAAGCTTGTATATTAAATTTAACACCTTCACTATACTAAATACCTAATTTCCATTAGCAATTCATATTTTTACTCCTATTCTCCAATTATACAACTCTCTAATCTAATATCCTCACCTTTTCCCTTTATGATTTTTTACATGAATTTTACTTGTATGTATGCTAATCTATGTTTTTTTTACTTTATGGTTTGTCTTTATTTTTTAAAACAAGTCTTTCGATATAACTTTTATTTATTTCAGACATACATTTTTTTAAAGAAAAATAAAAAAACAATATACATATAGAGTTAGTAAATAATCCATTTAATACACATATATTATATGTACCCGTACATATTTTATCCGTTTAAAACTTTTTTATCAATAGTATTGTCAAGTCGTTTCATTTTTTTCTCGTTCATTTGATGACTCCCATACTATTAAACGTAACATTAGCTTAGAAATAAAGTAAAATACATGTACGTATTTTATACATAACTTTTCCATATCGTATTTTACTACATTACCACCCATTTGTGCATTGGGTGGGAAAACCTACCACTTTCCCACTTCTTACTCATGCTTGAAGTTATATTTTGATTATTTAAATTCATACATAATTATTTTGAATACCCCACAAAAAATTTATTGTAACTTCCAAATATTTCAAATTCATATGACTAGTGGTATGGATTATCCTAACCATATGGATGCAAGTAAATTGTTGGAGTATCTAGGTGAAAAACTAAACGAATAGAGGCACGGAATTTATAAAAAAATTGTAAACGACATCAATGGAACTTGGATTGAGGATGAAAGATATGATGATTCTACACCTTTGGAACAAGTCATGCGAAAGGAAATGCATAAAACCGCATTGACTTTTAAGAACTACTTGTTTCAATTAGAGAAAAATACCGGAGATTTTGAGTGCAATGAGGAATGTTTAAGATGATCTTTTACTAGTTTTAGAAAGAAGAGAGAGATTAATTTGCTCTGATTATCAAGGGTTTGAATCTCACCCGAAGAGATTCCACTTGGAGCTGGAATTTGAATACGATTAAAATCCTAGGAAGCTAGGTCTTAAAGGGTGGATTGTTTGTTATCCGCTCTCGGTTCGGTCTTAATCCAGGTTATACGATTCGATTTCGGATAAAACCAAAAAAACCCAACTGATCACCTTATTTCATGCCACGGCCGTAGATCACTAACGGTAGACTACTACAACTGATCACCTTATTATTATTAATATAACTATTATTAATAAAATAATACGGTAAACAAGTGGAGGACAGTGATAAAACAAAAGTAACACATATCTTATTGTTGTTCCATATTAATGTTATCACTAGTTATTCATGAGCGTAGGTAGAAAATTACACCTTCAAACTTTTAAATATGCATGCATTGCTTGTCTATCTGTAAACATACATGTATCAAGATTCGTCGAGATCGATCAAAGTAGATACATCGATCATATCGTTAAAATATACTATGGTTTACCCCAGTCACTACCATGTATAATTATTATCCTTTTGTTTTTAACCTCTTTCTTAAGCTTCCACGCAAATCCTGTTTGTAGGTATCAGAAGGTTGCACTCCATTTTAGGGTTCAAGGTCTCAAGCTCTTCAACCGTCGTTCCAAAGGCGTCCGCTATGTCATAGCAAATGTCACCAGCTTTTATTACATAGTATTTACTACAGGATCCCTCCTCGTGACCTGCACCTGCCCAATATTTATTCCCAGACACAAAGCCAAAGAGGTCACATAGTATTTTATACGACAATTTTCACACCCTATTTAATCTATTCAAACCATAGAAAATGAAACTTTATTCCCAAATCATTTCTATGGGAGATTCGGTGGTCTTTCTTTTCTGTATTGCTAAAGGTCGTCGTAAAATTACTAAATATCGTTCTAATTAACTCTGATAGCCAAATTACATATTTGATCATAATAAAATTTTCAAAATCAAACAAACCAAACATCCCCTCCCTTTCCTTTTCCTTCGACAACCGATCCGCCCCTTCAACCTTTCGATAGTAATTTTAAGATGACCGATAGTAATTTTAAAGATGACATTTATATCAATTATTCCCTACGTTTTCTTCGCGCGGTTGCGCATGAACGGTGAACCTCACCCACACCACATATGCTTGTGAAAAGATTTCTCTTTGATTTTCAAAGTTCAAGAGTAAGGAATGAATAATGATTTTGATTTTTTGAGAAGGGTATATGCATACTTAAGAGACTACATGCAAGTTGAAAACTTACTGCTAGTGATGAGAAAGCCGATGAGGAAAATGAACACCATGAGCTTGAGGTTACCGTTGCCCATCTCTCTCCCTCTCTCTAATACTTCTTCTTCTTTGTCAGATTGAGTGCTGAACTTGGAAAAACCACATCTGCCTATTTATACCACTAGAGCCGAAGAAACTACAAAATAGGTTACCACGAAATCGAGCTTTCTCAAATGAAAGCCTATATGTATGTATGTAATTAATGGGATGTTGTTGTTGTTGCTGCTGCCTGCTGGACGATTTGTTTATGGGGATCTAGTCCTCCGGCGGCAAATCGACGGTGCCGCTGTCGGAGGAGTTTTGGATATGTGAAATTCTGAAGTTTTGTAACCGACCATATTGCAACTCATGTGCCGGCTATTTACTATATGCTGAGGACCAAATTGGATGCCTTCGGCAGTATTTTGATACTTCCTCCTTCTAATATTAATGAATAAATGTAATTTGTTATTGATATTAGATAAAAGACAGTCGACCAAAGCAAAAAAACTTGAGCCTGCACCCTTGTTGTTGGGAAGAAAATATAAACACACATACTATTATTGCATTTTAATACTTTTGTGTACGTAGGTGTGCAACAGTCCGCGGCACTGGAACTCATAGAAATTTGCGGTCTACTACTGGAAGGCGTTTCATGTTCAAGAACTGGATCAGCATTGTAATCGGTTCCGATTTTCGGTCCGATCCGAACATTAATCTGGCGTAATAACCCGGTCTTGTACGGACCAAACCAATGCCTTCAGCCATGGCGGCGGTCTCTAGTTCACAGAGAGGCTCGCTGGTCTCTTTTGGGAAGAGGGCAAGCTTGACACCCCTCTCCTTCTTCGGATTCTGAAAGGCGATGTTGATGTTGTTGTCAAGAGGCAGTAACCAGTAAGTCCCCCGATTGGCTGTAACGACCTAAACAAAAGAAGCCATGGCCATGAAACGCAATGATGTGATAAACAAAATGCAGAAAAATAAAACCAGAGTAACAAATGTTCACTTTTCCTAATAACCTAGCTCGTTCTCTGGCAACGGTGTGAAATGATAATCGAAACAGAATAGATCGAAACGGAACAGAAACCAGACATGACTTTACGTGATTTTCTCGTTCCATATGAACGAGACTAGTCCACGACCGAAGCAAAAAAGTTTATCATTCAGCTTTAGTTTGTGTTACAATATACACATATATGTATAGGCTACACATACGAGAACCCTAGGGATGATTCTTGGCCGCCTAACCTATACATATCATAACCTATACATATCATGGGCTTATAACTAATCATCAAACCCAAGACAAGCTAATATAATTGTGGGCTTCGTATGAGAAGGCTCATTACTTAACAACCTCCCCCAAAGATTTGTTTACGAAAGCCTTTACTGCTAGTTGATAGACCGTCATTTACACATGTTTTTACCCCCATTCTTACACCGTTTGAGGTGTTGATTCTCGTGTTTTAGGCCGATTTCACGCTAGGTTGTGCTTGTTTGTGATATTTCAGGTCCTGGTACGTGAATGAAGGCTTAGGAGCGAGTCTGGGGTCGATTGGACGAAGAACGGACGAATGGCGAGGTTTTTGGGGAGCTGCACGGGCAGACCAGGGAGGCTGCACGGCCGTGCACGTGAGCAATATGGCCGTGCGCCTTATGCCGAGGACACGCACGGGCAACCCCTGAAGCTCGCACGGCCGTGCACCCTGGCCGTGCGAGAGGGCTGAAGTTCGACTAAATGACACGCTGCGTTTTGAGTTGCACGGCCAGAATGGTGATATGCACGGCCGTGCACCCTGGCCGTGTGAGTCGGGATTTCCTGGTTTTAAGCCAAATTCCGAACCAAAGAAGAGAGAGCTGGGTTTTGGATCCCAAACACCCAAGGGACGAACCCTAGAGAGAGAGAGCGACTTGGGAGCATTCTGGGAGCTATTTTGGAGGATTTCTTCGCCATTGGAGCTCGGGAATCAAGCTTGGAGATGGAGATTGAAGATCTAGATCAGATTTCTGCAGTCTCTCTCTTCTCTATGGAGTAACTTCCCTTCACTTGGGTTTTGAGGAACCCTAGTTCCATGAGTTAGGAGCTTGCTTGTATGAAGTTTTGGATGCTATGTTGTTTGATTATAATCGAATGATGCATGTTTATTGAGTCAATTGAAGTCTGATCAACTTTTCCTGATTCCTGCTGCAATCTGAGATAGATAGAATCTGATTAGGTTGCTAGAGTCTCATCATTCGGTAGTAGGAGATTGGCTATACGAGAGTTAGCCAGTTTACTGCTTTGTACTGGAATCCAATTCCAGTAGTGGAGTTCTGTGCTTATTGCTTCAGCTGTCTATCCCGGTGAAGACTAGTCGTCTGCCGGATAGTTAGACTGAGAGGGCTTGGTCAGCTTAAGAGATTCCAAGCTACTGTCGGATCTTCCGCAGTTTAATCAAAAGTAAAACAACCAAAAGGAATTACAACTTGGACCTAATTGAGGAGCTAGGGGGAATCATACCTAAGTGAGTTCCCAAACTGTAATTAGTAGTTTTACTTAGTTGAGTTAGTAGAGTAGTTTAGTTAATCAACCCTTAATCTAGTTTGCTAGATAATGAACTGAAGCTGAGTAATAGTAACTCTAGAGACCCGTGGATTCGATATTTATTACTTGTGCCACTATACTGCAGTCCCTTTCATTGGTTACACTTGGCCATTGTTAGGTGTTGTGTTTTGGCGTGTCACTAGTCGACACTCCTATCTGGCTAGCAAATTGATGTTGTGTAACCCCAAATCGCGAATATAGTGTAGATGAATCTCAATATGCTTCGTCCTATTGTGCAGTACTGGACTCGTTATTATCTGAATAACACTGGTGTTATCAACAAAAAGCTGCATTTGAGTATCGCATACCACACCTAGATCACCTAACAGTCGACGAAGCCATTCGAGCTTTGAAGGCACATCGGACATGGCTCTATACTCTGCCTCAGTCGAAGATTTAGACACTCGATCTTGCTTCTTACAACGCCCAGACAGAAATGAATCGCCAAGCCAGACACACCACCCAGTAAAATACCAACTAATTAATAAAAATAGATGAGCCCAAAATTTCCCATTTGATACGATGGCTCGTCTCGTAACAATCCTCCCAACTTAAGCACAACCTTGCCCTCAAGGTTGGTCTTCCTCGTCGATGAATTGACAATCCTCTCCTTCCTTGCACGACCCCACCATAAGAAGAACATTAAGATTTGCACAACGGTGCCCAATGGTGAAGCGCTCGTCGCAATGGAAGCATAACCCCTGAGCTCTCCTACACGCCACTTCCTCCGGCGACATTCTTCTAGCTGTTGGATTGCGAGGCGGCGTGTTTCGAGGTGGCGGGGTTGGTTCAGCTGCCGGCTCCACAGAGACCCTTGAGAAATTTTGACCACCTCCTCAATGCTTAGAAAGCTCCTCACTCTTCACCTTGGTCAGTCGAATCACCTCTCTTACCGTGGTTGGCCTGAACATACGAATGGCGTCAGAAATTTCGACTTTAAGTCCACCAATGAAGGATCCTATTAGAGCCTCCTCGGTCCATCCATAGCATCGGTTCCCTAGTTTCTCAAAATCCAAGAGATAATCTCCCAAAGATCCAGTTTGCTTGATCTTTGCGAGAGCTTCATGACTTAACGCGCTCTCCGTCGGTCCAAACCTTGCCCAAAGTTCCTCTTTAAATAGCAGCCACGTGATTGCCATGTTCGATGTTTGGTAGGTGCGATCCATCCATTCCCACCACTGGTTAGTGTCACCCTCCATATGGTAAGATGCAAGGAGCACTTTGTGGTCTTCCCGTGTCTTTTGAATTTTGAAAAACTGCTCCACACGTGCAAACCACCCAGAAGGATCCTCGTTCCCATTAAATTTAGGAAACTACAATCGTGTGAGTTTGGGTTTGAATGGTCCAACTCGATCTTCTTCAAACCTTGGCCACCGGTCGAACCCACCTTGTTGTCCTAACCCATACGGTCCGCCCGGATTGGTCATTAGTTTGCCCCACCCAATTGAACCCGCCATATTTGGCCCATACCCCGCAGATGGGCTCGAATTTCCAGCCCACAACCCTCCATTGTTGCCGCTTGTTCCTCCCACCAATTTGGCCCACTCGGTCTGCCCTGGCGTCGTAGCCCAAGGTGTTGCGGCTCACGATGGCGGTTGTTGAAGACCTGCAACCCCCCTGCGCCCTGCGTCCCTGGGTAGTGGGAGGCACATGGGTTTGTAGTGACCCAGTTGGGCGGCGACGACCCTTCCATCGTCGGCCCAATTCCCGGAGTCCCCCCAACTCGTTCCAGCAATTCCAGCCTGACCTGCTCCCCATGGACTAGGGGTGGGCATTCGGTCGGTTCTGTTCAAACCGAACCGAAATAATGCATACCGGGTTTCCGAATTCCATCAAACCTCAAACCGAATTATAATTTGGTTCGGTCGGTCCAAACCAAATTATAATTCGGTTCGATTTTGTATGAAAAACCGAACTTGTGAGGTTAGCTTGTATTTTTTCTCTTTTAAATTATTTTTCACCTCTAATGTAAACAATAAATATACAATTAAATGCATCATCAATGATAAAATCAAACATTTTAACACATAAGTCATCAAACACTAACATAATTCAAATATTTAAGTCTCATAATAAGTACAAACATAAAAATTCACCCGCCCTAGGCCCACCGGCGACGATCCCGGCGGCGGAGGCGGGACGGCGAACTCGCCGGCGCGACTCTCCGTTTATGGTGGGTTGATGGTTTTAATCATTTCTTTGAATTCCGAATTTAGTATCTTTTATCACTTCCACTTCTGTTGGATTCTGACGTTTGTCTTATTTTTACAGATTTCTAATATTTGAAAGACAAACTAGGGGATACCCTCTTAACTCAGGATTCCTTTCACTCGATCAGGTGCTAGAAACCAAGGGTTTAATTGTAGGCTTTTTAATCTGGTTGGGTATCCAAATCTTGATTTTATCTCGCTGAAGCATGGAAAGACAAAAGGTCTCAGCCTCAAGTCGAACAAGAAGGCGGTGACAGTTCCAACCAATGCCAAAAGGGAGCTAAAGAAGGAACTAAACCGGAACGTAAAGAATGCAGCCTTCCCGATCACCGTTCAAGCTATTGAGGCGTTCTTCGCCAAAACCCCCAGCTTAGCCGCGCTCGCATATAAACAAGGGAACGAAGGCGGTGATGATCTTATGGAAGAGCGGACAGTGGAACGGGAAGCTGTGGTTAATCGGGAGCTGATCGTCGGTCAGCAGGCCACCGATTCCAGCACTACCCTGGCTGATTGATCTTTCGCCTCTTTTCTTCCTCTCCGCGTTTCTTCGTTTTCCTTCTTTTCGTCTGCTTCCCTCCCCTTACTCTATGTCCATGTCTTTCTCAAACTATCCTAATTTCAAAGTTTTGTCTTGGAATGTTTGCGGTGCAGGTAGCAAAGCTTTTCATCGAGCTATGAGGCTCCTGACCAAAGTGTATTCCCCAGATTTTCTCCTGATCATCGAGCCCCAAATCAGTGGGGATAGAGCCACTACAGTTTGCAGCAATTTGGGTTATGGAGATGTCATTCGTGTGGATGCGGAAGGTCGCAGCGGGGGTATTTGGTTGGCATGGAGATCCTATGACTTCCAAATCCAGCTCATTGATGCTAGCCAGCAACATTTAACTGTCAAGGTCTCCAACAACTCGCAGCGTGAATGGCTCCTCACTGGGGTTTATGGCAGTCCCAACTACAGATTCCATCATATGCTGTGGAATCACCTCATCGATTTCGGTCGCAATTTGGAAATTCCCTGGCTGGTGACAGGAGATTTCAATGCTTACTGCTCTCCTTCGGAGAAGGCTGGCACCGTTTCTACCGCCTCCCTCCGTAGATGCCAGCAATTTACAGATTGGATAAATGAAGCAAACCTTTTTGACTTGGGGTTTTCAGGGGCTCAGTATACGTGGTGTAGGAGGGACTCCAACAACTCTTTTAAAGCCAGCCACATCGATCGAAGTCTCTGCAATTCTGCGTGGAATGCCGCTTTTGCCAACACCTCGACCCGACACCTTCCCAAGCTGCACTCTGATCATCTTCCTATACTTACCTCTTACTCTGGTCTCTCTTATAATGATGGGGGAGCCAAGCCTTTTCGCTTTGAAGCTGCGTGGCTGCTTCATAACAATTTCTCGAAGTTTTTTGCAGAAAACTGGAATATGGATGGGGATTTCAATCAAGGGCTAAAAGACATCTCTATCAAACTCCAAGAGTGGAATAGACTCACGTTCGGCATCATTGGACATCGTAAGAAGAGAATTTTGGCGAGGATTCAAGGAGTTCAAACCAAAATTGCCACCTCACCATCTTCTGGTCTTTTCAAGCTGCAAGCGAAGCTGGAAAAAGAGCTTGATGACCTTCTTGCGTAGGAGGAAATCATCTGGTTTCAAAGAGCAAAAGAAACTTGGGTTAAGCTAGGGGAGATGAACACCTCCTACTTCCACCAACAAGCCAATCGTCGTAGAAGAAGGAACAGGATCATCTCCTTGCGGAATCAGAGTGGAGAGTGGGTAGAGGACCCTGCGCAGCTCCGAGACTTGATCGTCTCCTTCTTCAGACTTCTATACACGCAGGATGAGCTCATTTACAGTGACCTGATGCCGAAGAATTGTTTTCCAAGGATTAGAAACGAGGATCTTCTCACTCTCTTGCGTCCTTTCCAAATAAATGATTTTCACAGGGCGGTTTTTGATATGAAACCTTACGCAGCCCCTGGTCCGGATGGCTTCCAAGCGATCTTTTACCAGAAGATGTGGTCTCTAGTGGGAAAAGGGTTAACTCACATGGCTGTTAAGTTTTTTGAGACAGGTGAATTAGAAGACGAGGCGTTGGAGTCAACAGTGGTCTTAATTCCCAAGACGGAGAGCCCGGAGAGCCCAGCCCAGTTTCGACCTATCTGCCTCCACAATGTTCGCCTTAAAGTCATCACCAAGGCGATTACCAACCATCTAAAGCCTCTAATGAAGAATTGGGTGGCTCCAACCCAAAGCAGTTTCATCCCCGGCCGCCAAACTACGGATAACATCCTGATTCTGCAGGAAGTCATCCACTCTTTTAGGAAGAAGAAGGGGGGAAAGGAGGGTTGGTGATCAAAATTGACCTGGAAAAAGCCTATGACAGGCTCAGATGGGACTTCATCAGAGACACTTTAGCGCAACTTGGGCTCCCCAGCACCTGGATTAACCGGATCATGTTCTGTGTGGAGAGGAACAAGATGCGCATTAACTGGAATGGGGTTCTGACCGAGCAAATTATTCCCACTGGAGGGGTCCGTCAGGGGGACCCTCTCTCCCCTTATCTTTTTGTTCTCTGTATGGAACGGCTTTCTCACAGGATTCAGCAGGCAGTAACCGAGAAACTGTGGAAACCTCTCCAGCTATCAAAAAATGGTCCTAAAATTTCACACTTGTTTTTTGCTGATGATTTGGTTTTGTTTGCAGAAGCTGAAGGTCGCCAGATTGACATTATTCGGAAATGCTTAGACGACTTTTGTTCTAGCTCGGGTCAAAAGGTCAATCTAAGCAAGTCCGCGATGATGATATCTCCTAATGTGTCCCGGGACAGGAGACAAAGGCTGGAGAACCGAGATGGCATCCCTACCACGACAGATCTGGGAAAATACTTAGGGATTCATACAATCAACGGAAAGGTCTCCAAAGCTAGATACAAGGACCTCACAGTTAGAATTCAAAAGCGCCTGGCTAATTGGAAAACCCGACACTTTTCCATCGCGGCTCGAATGACCTTGGTGCACTCTATATCCTCCTCCATGTCGGTTTACCCTATGTTTACCGAGCAACTTCCTGCTTCTGTGTGTTCCTCTCTTGACAGGATCAACAGGCAATTCATCTGGGGGGATGAAGAAGGGAAGTCCGGTTTCCACCCCATTGCCTGGGACCAAATGGTGGTGCCACGAAGCCAAGGAGGAGCTGGTATACGACCCACTAGACTGGCTAATCAAGCTATGCTGGCGAAAGGAGCTTGGAAGCTGGCGACAAACGATAAGGCTCTCTGGGTGCGGATCATGAAAGGGAAATATGGTCAATCAAGGGAGGGCTTAGATGTTCTAAAAAACAAAAAGGGAAGTTCCTTTGCCTGGCGTAGCTTTAGTCAATCGACTGAATTGCTACGCAAAGGTTGCGCTTATAATATCAATAATGGGAAGAAAACTAAATTCTGGACTGATGTGTGGTTGATGCAGGTTCCCTTGGTTTTGGTGGCAACACAAACGATCCCTGACGAGTTCCTCCAACGTCGGGTGGCCCATTACTGGCACGAGGATCATGGCTGGAAAATTGATGAGTTGGCCGATTACCTTGGAGCTGAAACGTTGGAAGTAATCCAGGCCTTCTACTTTGATCCAATAACTAGGGATGAAGATAAGCTGCGGTGGAACCTTACAACGAATGGCTCCTTCACGACAAGAACAGCCTACCAAGCTCTATCCCCACCTCTGATGACTTCAGCTTCGGCTTCCTTCTGGAAAAGCATTTGGAAACTACACCAACCGGAAAGAGTGAGGGTTTTTATTTGGATGGCGGTTAAAAACAAACTAACCACCAACAGTATAAGGAAACACCGGCACCTCACCACTGATGATAGTTGTCCATTCTGCGGGGACACGGAAGAGACAATCATCCACTGCCTTCGTGATTGTGCTAGAGCAAGAGCAGTTTGGTCCAAGGTCATTGCCCCTGAGTTCAGAGATAACTTCATGTCAACCGATTGGGATGGCTGGATGAGGAACAATCTGGCGGACAACAGCTCAGGTTCTTGGCCGGGGGAGTGGGGGAGTTATTTCAGCTTACTCCTGTGGTTCATTTGGAAACAGCGGAATGAAACTGTGTTCAGGGGGAAGACTCTTAGCCTGTCTTCGTTATGCAACTATGTGGTGACCAAAGCTAAAGATTGGGCTAACGTTTGGGAGTCGGCCAAGAGATCCCTTGATAGAAACAATAAGCCTGATCGGGTTGAGAAACTGATTGGTTGGTCCAAACCGGCGGCGGACTGGTTTAAACTAAACACGGATGGCGCTGCTCAAGGCCATAGGGGGGATCATTCGCGACAGTGATGGTGATTGGATTGCAGGGTTCGTCCACAGAATTGGTACAGGCACAGCTATTATGGCGGAGCTCTGGGGCATTCTTCAGGGCCTTAAACTTGCTTGGAGGAGGGGTATTCAGTTTCTAATCTTGGAATCTGACCCTGCCTTAGTACTGGACCTGATCAGACAACCAAATGAACCTTTGCATCTTCATGCCAGTATCCTTGGAGAGATTAGGCGTCTTCTTTCTCAAAACTGGGTGGTTCAACTAGGACATACTTACCGAGAAGGGAATAGAGCCGCGGACTGGCTCTCGAAGCACAGTCTCGTCTACCCCCTTGGTATCTATGAACTGGAAGATCCACCTCAAGAGCTTGCCCGGATCATTAGAGAAGACATCATCGGAGTTAGCTTTCCCCGATGGGCGGTTAGGGATGATTAACTTTGGCCCGCTGTTTCCGTCTTTGTTCGACGGTCGAGTTTGTTTGGTTTTTGTTTCCTGCTTGCGAGCGGTTTGTTAAGTGGTAGCTGGGCGTTCTTGCCTGTTGTTCTTACCTCCCTTTTATAAAAAAAAAAATCTAGCTGAAAACATTTTATTTGGATTGATTAAAAAAGAATACTGGTTTTATTAAATTTGAATTTTCTAAAATGAATCTAAGGTAAACTAAGGTCAAAGCCACTGCTTATGACCATCATATTAATTTGAAATGTCTTGTTGTAGCATTTGGCTTTTATTGGATCAGGGTTTAGGATTAATTTAGTATTGTTTGAACTGTATGTAATGGATTGTTTCTATAAATTGCATAAATGGGTAGAAATGACCTTGTGGTGCTTCCTCGGGGATGTTGATGCCTAAATGCTCGCTTATGAATCGGCCCCAACCATTCAATGGTTTATGTGAACTCTCTATTATGGCATCACCATTGATTTGTATGCTCTGCCAACATGACCACGTCCTTCAATGTAATCGTCATCTCTCCCTCTAGAAGGTGGAATGTGTGCGTTTCTTTCCTCCAACTTTCCACCATTGCCATAAGGAGGTTGTTGTCCATCTCCATCCCCAAAAGTTCCGCATCCTCAGCAATCCCGCTCTTTCAATGAACGGCTCGATCCGAACATCTCATTTAGGCAAGCGAGATAGCGACCAATGGATGATTACATCAATTTGTTCCTGTAGGAAAGAACCCTTAATTATTATACGAAAAAATTAAAAGAATAATATCGCATTCAAAGAAAAAAATGTACGCGAGGAAATGCTTACCGGGTCTGCCGCCCAAACACTTTCAAACCGATGGTAAGGTTGCTCATCCAACAAATCGATTTCTTGCAATCTGCCTTGAATGTATAATCTAGGATCCAAATACTCGGATCCATCTCGACAATTTTGAGTGAAGAGGTACCAAACTAAAGAAAAAAATTTGATGCCAATATCGGGTTTAGCCGCAACCACTGAGCATATTTTTTCTTCAAGAGTGGTGGAAGGAAGAGAGTAAGAAGAGTGGAGTGATGTGGTGTGAATTTTGGTGGAATAGGAGGTATTTATAGTTTCTGTGGGTGGTAGTAGATCGAGTGAAGGAAACTCGAACTAATGGATCGAGTTTGCTGTCGTCCTGGACAGGTCGGGTCCTGGACACTCGATCTATGATTGATTGTTTCCCATGTCATCGATCCATGTCAACTGGAATGAGTCCCAAGGCGCCGATCAACATTCATCGAGTTTTTTATACTCGATTCGCGTCATCCCCAGTTCGCTGCAAAGGGAATCGAACGGCCTAGATCGAGTTTTGCACACTCGATCAAGGGTGGAGCGAGTACCAAGTCATTGATCCGCATCATTCAGATCGAGTCCCGCTGCGTCGATCTACCTTGATCGAGTTTCTTACCCTCGATCCGCGTCGTTTGGCCCAGAGAACTACCTTGGTAGCTTGATTCGAAATCCCTTGGCCTAGTGACCGTGAGAGTGAGTTTGTTCACTTGTTGCAATTCCCTACGGTTTACAACCGCTTTTACCACACATTTGCATTCGATTCGACAAATCATGATCACTAGCTAGGGGGAGCAACACACGAGTGAAGCCTTCTCAATTAGTAATCAAACAATTTACTTTTCTAATCACTTTAGTTATAAATCATAGTTTTAACCAAAAATTATTTGGTAGATAATGTTTCTAACAATTGAAGTAGGGGTACATGGACAGGTCTAGGTTTGACTTTTAAAACATACTTGCCCTATACTGCACCCGGTTAGGGTTTATATTGGGCCTTAATCGAGATTTTTATTGTGATATTCGGGACGAGTCAATACAATAGGCAGCCACATCAATGCAAATATGGATGCTCTTAGGGTCGTTTGTATGAGTCATTTGGTACCAAATGACTAGTTTGCTAAAGAAAAAAATGCATGAGTCATTTATTCCATACAAAAGACCCAAATGACTTTATCGAGTCATTTCCACAAGTCATTTGCAAATGACTCATTATTTAGCCAAATGTTCCAATTATGTCCTTACCTTTTTTATGTAAACCCATTTCTATAATTCTCTTTCTATAATTTGTTTTCTATGTCATTGCCTTTTCTTCTCTAATAGTTATGTTTTCTTTCTCCCAATTTACACAAGCGACGAAGAGGGTCATTTACATAGCGACGCATCTTTTTCGTCAAAAACACCATAATTTGTAATTAGTTTAAAATTTGAGAGTTATGGAGGTGTTACTTTTTATAAAGAAAGTTAACATAAAATTATTATTTAAAATTAGAAAGTAGTATTATACATGAGAAACCCCCAAATAATAAGTTTTGTTGATTTCAGAATAATTTTCTTTACGTGGTAGGTTTTATTAGAATACGACATAAGATAATGGAACATATTAAATGGAAGGACAAAATGGTAATTTTATACAAATGACTCATTTGAGAACTTTTTAATGGGCAATATAAAAAAAAATTATTGAAGCTCAATGCAATCCCCCTTTACACTAAAGCGAAAGCATCCATTACATGGACCGCACTTTGCAGAACTACTAAAGTGTAAACTATCTCCTACCTGTCACTACTCATCTACTACTCCTTTATCTATAAAAACACCTTGCTACAATCGGGATTAGGGGTGATAAACGGTTGTCGGTTAACCGTATAACCAAACTAATTTTTTTGGTTAATCGACTAACCGATAATCGTTTATTAGATGCGGTTTTCTCCGTCGGTTAACCGTATAACCAAACTATTTTTTTGGTTAATCGACTAACCGATAATCGTTTATTAGATGCAGTTTTCTGTGTCGGTTAGTGGTTTAGAGTAAGATGGCTAACCGATCCGTCTTCGTTTAGTAACCGAAAATCAGACGATGCACCGACTAACCGAAATCGACCCACAACCCACCCAGCCCTAGGGGTGGACAACGGAACGGGACTAGGTACCCGTCCCGTTTGAAACGGGTACCCATCTATCTATACATAATATTATGGCAATTCAAAAGTAGTTTGTTGCCACATAAGCATTTGGAGAATTTACAAGGTGCCATGGTGTACACTTTTTTTTACAACAAAAAAAGTTAGTTAATGATCAATTAATGTAGCTATATCTATCTTCTTTTAATATTTTCTTTTTATTTTAATGATCATTTATGTAGCTATCTATATCTTCTTTTAATATATTTTTTTATTCAATAATTGTTTTTTGCAATATATATGTATAGCAACAGTATACGTATGTTTGGAGAGTGACATATATTGTAATCTTTTAACAAATATATTTGATTAAATATGATCAATTAATTTTAATTTTAATTTTTATTAGAACTTAATACAGTGAAGTTTAGATAATCAACATTTAATAATTAATTGAATTTGAAAAACCAACTATATAATTTTATGTTTTGGTTATCAAACACTATCTTTTTCTAATGTTTGTATCTATTAATGAAAACAAGTATTAAATAGCAAAATGCTTCAAAAGTTGTTTTTCATTTAGATAGAAACTTGACGAAGTCATAATATAGTACATGATTATACAAATGAAGGCGATAAAGAAAAACAACTTTTCTTCTCTCTTATAATGCATGCTTCCATACCTTATTTTCTCTTACATTTGTTCATATTTCCCCTTATTTTTCTTAATAGTTTACATATTTCGGTCAAACAAAGGTGTTAATTACACTTAGAAATACATTAAACTCTTTATATTTATATATGTATATTATAACATACTTTGAGTAAGAAAATGATATCTAGACCTTGAATTGACTGGAGTTTGGCATATGGTATTATTCTCAAACCCTTCAAGATTAAAATCTAGGTCTTAAATTCATAAATCTCATACCCTAAGATCAATTTAATTATAAACAAAAATCAACGGTCATGCTTCGTCAAAATATATGCAACATATTACATGCACAATCTTAGGGGTTAAGCTCTATGATTTATATAACTAAGACATAGGGTTCACTCATCAAGAATTAGGGTATAGTATCATGCCCACAAATCCGGTTAATTCGTGGTCCAAATAGCATGTTCTTACTTAGAGTATAGTATCATGCTTAGATATTGACAATAGATGTGGCATTACACCAACAAACTGAAGGTATTAGTATAAGTTTAAGCAAATGCATATTTGATAAGTTAGAAAATTATACACCAATGGACCATGTTAAGATTAGAACCCTCGACAGTGTGTGAGTATCTTGGACCGAGATTCTAAACCAACATCTAAACAACGATCATTCGTTGAGAGTGAGTCTAAATTAAACTTCAGGAATTAACAATTGGTACATATTGTATAAGATATTAAATTGAGTGTCTTGATCGACAAATATGATCTTACAATAAGACAATAAACTTTCAATTGGGATGACCAAATTTACCTAATATTGAAGTACCTTTATAAAAACATTCTAACTAAGTTGTCGTCATCTGAGCAACATCATTGGTTGAGAGTTTGTTTAAACTCGAGATTCATTGAATGACATATATTGTATAAGATAAAAAAATTTGAGTATCGTTGTTTTAATTTATAGACGCACCACATACTCACGCATTTGAGTATCGTGATATATCTTTGTGACATGATTTATGATCAGAGAATTGAAATATAATAAGTGAACATGCTAAGCATTGAGAATTTTTAATTTACAGACGCACTGCATACTCACGCATGAATGCAAATGTAAAAAATGTAGAAGATCCAAAATAGTTTAAACATATAGATAAATTGATTAATATAAATGATAAAATGAAACTCACCGGCTAACAGGCCGGGTAAAAAGCTAGTTCCCATTTGAAGAGGGAACTCCATCCCATGTCCCAAACTCTTATTGGTTAACGGATACCCATTACCCGTACCAGACGGATAACGGGTACCCGCGGGTAACCCATATAATAGCTAAAATAAAATGACAAAACACAATTGGTCCACCTTAAATTACCGAAAAAGCTACTCACAAACAAAGATACTTAGAAAACTAGTCTTCATTGAAGACTCTGAATTCATAACAAATCACCCCTATCATTCTAGATAAGTTCATCTCAACTAATCCAATCTAAATCAACTTATGACGATTAATGCTCGATTAGAACCAAATAGCAATCAGGATAATACACCTATGGCCTGGGCGCCGAATACAACAGAAGCATCTATGAGAAAAGAGTTTAAGTAACATGAAGTCAGACATTCAATTAATTAAGGTACACCATTGATTAATGCCAGTGGCGGACCCATGTTATGCTAAGGGTATTCAATTGATTAACCTTAGCTCTTATTTAGGATTAAGAAGTAGTGGAAATATTTATTGTTCATCATGTTAGTATTAAACACTATATTATTTGACAACCCTTGTAATTTATAATTGCGTCTTTCTTTTAAACTCCAAACTAATGTATTTGTTACCACTTGTATTTGAACAACGTGAATTAATTTACAAATATATTAATTATTTCAAATTCAATTCTTTCGTTAATTCTTTTTATTCCTCTTTGAAAAAGCTCTCTTAACAACTCTATTCTATCTCAATTTTCATAGGATGAGATATCAATATGTCAGTGATTTATTGGCTGCATTTTTTTATTATCGAAACCTTGTGATTTATTGGCTGCATTTATTGAAAGAGATACGAGTCATAGTCCAAATCGTGCTTTAAAACTTAAACGTTTACGTTCTTACCTTTTACACTTTTAGGTCACCAAAATGATTCTATGTAGATTCTCGTTTTTCATTTACAAGTATAGTCAGAATCTATACTCTAGGTCACCAAAACTCTTTTACATAGAATCATAATTTTGACTGCATTGCGAGTCATGACATAAATAATAAATATAATTTTCAAAATTTTCAAAATGTGAAAACACATATGATTTGTTATTGAAAAAATGACATTGTGCGTAATATAGATTAAGTTTGTGTTATATTCTTGAACACCCTTGTAAGATTTTCTGGGTCCGCTACTGATTAGTGCTCACCCCATTGAGATTAATAAAGTCCAGAGATAAAATGAAACTACTTGAGAGGTTAGGCTAAGGAGCTAACTATAGACTAATATACCAAAGATAATGGTAATATAACAACAATTAATTGAAAAAAAGATACATGATACGAGTATGATATCAACTGTGCAGTGGTAATGCAATTCCACCGGTCAATTATTTCATGGATCGATCAATGTGTATTTTTCAAGCACTTAATTGATTCATAAATTGTGAGATTCCTTTTTCTTGTTAAATTTGAATGATAACTATTTAGAACTAAGAACATGATTCGGGGATAATGATATGCATGAAAGGAAAAAACCCCATCGTAGTATTCGTCGTGGTGGGGATACAAGAAACCCCATTGTAATTTGGGTATCCATTTGCAGTAGCGACATAAGTCCAAGGATTGTAGGGAAACGATCCAGTAACTGGAGTCCACAACAATGAAAGTACCCCTGCAGTTCTTACAAGAAAGTCGCTTGTTCACATACTTACGAAAATCTACCTCCAATGGCTTGCTGGGGCAAGCTGGGGATGGAGCTGGGCTCGAGCCTCAGACTGGGTTGAGGAGGGATTGGGGTAGTCAATGTTTGAGCTGGTGGATTCTGGGTAGCATCATATATACAATGGATTGTTCCTGTTCTTTGTTCAGAAGACTGTATGCAAATCTGCTGGTCTAAGGAAAGCTTGTCTGGTGTTTCCATGTATCATTCAGATTAGAAACTGTTCTTAGGAATGTGGGTAGCCTGTATGACTGCAGCTGTTCTGCTGGTGTTCAATTGCAGCAACTGCAGGTTAGTAAAGGGCAAGGAAATAGATTCATGCTGATTTTTAAGCAACTCTGTGTTGCTGATGGTAACTTGATTATGTTTTCATGGATATGGATCACTGAGTGGATACTTGTCAATTTGATGATGGTGTATATGCATTTCTACTAACTAAATCTTCAAATGTGGAATGTAGTAGGTGCTTACCTGTTTTTATAAAAGGTCGAGTTCATAGCAGGCGTAGGTTTTATGTATTCCACTCTTGTTTTCCTGCTGGAGTTCGATCGTTATAATCTCCGAGTCTCTTCATAGGTGGAGTTCGCAGCTCGAGTTAGCTGCAGTACTGAAACTGCTTGGTTTAGTAAATTAGATAAGAAACTAGTATCGTTTCCTTGGTACTGCTTCTTTTTCCTAAATCTCTTCATCCCCAACTAGGAGAAGATGTGTAGTAGCCTTGTATTCTGGTTGAGTGGTTCAGCAACTCTATTATTATGTAGACTTGATAACTAGAGACCACTTTAGTCATTAAAATGGATCGATTTAGTAAAATAGTTAAAGATGAAGTGCTTCTACTATCTCATTTTCTCCTTAGGTTAATGTTGGGTGAAGATCCTCTTCAATACTTTCATGTACTGTTGCTAACTTCTTTCTAGGTCGCTTTTGATGATTTTGAGTTGATACTGTCTAAGTTACATCTCAAGGTCTTAAGATGGTGAATACCAATCCTTTGGGAGCTCCAATAAGTCGAGAGCTGGCCACTAAACTGAAGAAGACTTGCTATGAGCATATCTTCGAATGTTACTGTGGTTGCCATAATTTATTCTCTCCACTATTTGTTTTGGCTAACAACGAAATACTAACAACTTAACATTTTATTTCAGAGGCAAAGAGAAATTGCACAATTGTTTGAGCCACGCTCTTTGACCCGATTTGACATAATATGGTTTTGATGTTGCTTTTGCTTGTGAATTTCTATTAGTTTCACTCATGTTTTTGTTTGTTTGTTATACAGTGATAACTTGAGCATAGTACTAAAGGATTCAACCTCTCATTATTATGCGTCCTTTAACCATGTTGGGAAACCCTACATGATGATTATAAGTTTGGAAGATTGCTACTTGGTGGATAAGAGTTTTAACATTCAGAGTGTTCAAATGAGATTTCCTAATCGGTTGGAGGTGAATGTTTTATTTATCTTGCAAGTAATTTTCATTGTTATACGACATGTTTATTGAGCTGCTTCCATGACTGATATATTTGTTTCTCGTGTCAAGTTTATCTTACTTCTTGGCAAGATGGTGATTGACATTGTGGACAACAAGAAGGCAGAATGCATATACATAATTCACGATTTGCTGGCCATTAATGGTCAAGTTTCAAAGGTGTGAGCAAATTATAAATTAGATCTGTGTCAACTTGTCTTCTGCAAATATATCTGTGGAATTTTATGTTGTCAACTGGGTTGGACATTGCAGGAGTGTTTCCGTAAGCGTAAGGATTTGATTGAGAGTTTGGTGATTAATCCTTGAAATGATGAACGTATTTCTCAGAAGCGTCTATATGCATCAGAACCCTTTAAGGTATAGATTTTGTTCTTGTTGAAGTGAATGATTTTAGAATGAAATACAAGAACTGTACCTTGATTTGGTAACAGTTGTGCCAATATCGGTGCATTTAAAATCGCACTTCAAGTGTTATGCTGCTTATTAAGCTTCTAACGGTTATCTAGAGTTGTTTACCAGGTTAGAATGCAGGAGTTTTGGAAGCTTTCTCGTGGTCTCAAGTGTTTGAAACCGAAAACTTTTGCACATGATATTGTTTTTCAGGTAATTAGATAAAGGAAAAGTAGCTACAGGGATAATCTATGTCTGATATCTTTTCCATATATTAATTTGAGATTTGAATGTTCTTTGTTAGGAATAGGATTCTCTTTTGTTCACTTCTTCCAACAGCCGTTTACTATGGTCATTCCTATGGAACAACTCCATTGATTTCTTATTTGAGGTGTGTTATGAAATATTGCAACGACCAAATAGTCTCATTCTAAATTTTCTTTGTAATAGTTGAGACTAATACCTGTTAACAGGTTGGTCCCAATAATGAGCATAAATTGTGCATGTGGTCTGGTGACTGGAAACACGTACTAGAGACTGATAAAGTGGTATTCAAAGGTGGGACGGTTTCCATGTCAGATTTCAGTTATTTAATCATTGTCTTGGTTGTTTGAACGAAGCTAATTCGAACCTGCGCGTTGCTCAAACAACCAAGACAATGCTTAAACAACTGAAATCTGACATGGAAACCGTCCCACCTTTGAATACCACTTTATCAGTCTCCAGTACGTGCTTCCAGTCACCAGACCAAAGACACAATTTATGCTCATTATTGGGATCAACCTGTTAACAGATATTAGCCTCAACTATTACAAAGAAAATTTAGAATGAGACTATTTGGTCGTTGCAATATTTCATAACACACCTCAAATAAGAAATCAATGGAGTTGTTCCATAGAAATGGTCATAGTAAACGGGTGTTTGAAGAAGTAAACAAAAGAGAATCTCATTCCTAACAAATAACATTCAAATCTCAAATTAATATATGGAAAAGATATCAGACATAGATTATCCCTGTAGCTACTTTTCCTTTATCTAATTACCTAAAAAACAATCTCATCCATCTCATGTGCAAAAATTTTCAGTTTCAAACACTTGAGACCACGAGAAAGCTTCCAAAACTCCTGCATTGTAACTTGGTAAACAACTCTAGATAACCGTTGGACTTAATAAGTAGCATAACACTTGAACTGCGATTTTAAATGCATCAATATTGGCACAGCTATTACCAAATCAGGGTACAGTTCTTGTATTTCATTCTAAAATCACTCACTTCAACAACAACAAAAACAAGAACAAAATCTATACCTGAAAGGGTTCTAATGCATATAGACTCTTCTGGGAAATATGTTCATCATTTCGAGGATTAATCACCAAACTCTCAATCAAATCCTTACGCTTACGAAAATACTCTTGCAATGTCCAACCCAGTTGACATAATAAAATTCCACAGATAGATTTGCAGAAGACAAGTTGACACAGATCTAATTTATAATTTGCTCACACCTTTTGAAACTTGACCATTAATGGCCAGCAAATCGTGAACTATGTATCTGCATTCTGCCTTAGTTGTTATGTCAATCACCATCTTGCCAAGAAGGTAAACTTGACACAAGAAACAAATATATCAGTCATGCAAGCAGCTCAATAAACAAGTCTTATAACAATGAAAATTACTTGCAAGATAAATAAAACATTCACCTCCAACCGATTAGGAAATCTCATTTGAACACTCTGAATGTTAAAACTCTTATCCACCAAGTAGCAGTCTTCCAAACTTATAATCATCATGTAGGGTTTCCCAACATGACTGAATGACACATAATAATGAGAGGTTGAATCCTTTAGTACTATGCTCAAGTTATCACTGTATAACAAAAAAAAAACATGAGTGAAACTAACAGAAATTCACAAGCAAAAGCAACATCAAAACCATCTTATGTCAAACCGAGTCAAAGAGCGTGACTCAAGCAATTGCGCAATTTCTCCTTGCCTCTGAAATAAAATGTTAAGTTCTTAGTATTTCGTTGTTAACCAAAACAAATAGTGGAGAGAACAAATTATGGCAACCACAGTAACATTCGAAGATATGCACATATCATATCATAGCAAGTCTTCTTCAGTTTAGTGGCCAGCTCTGGACTTATTGGAGCTCCCAAAAGATCGGTATTCACCATCTTCAGATCTTAAGATGTAACTTAGACAGTATCAGCTCAAAATCATCAAAAGCGACCTAGAAAGAAGTTAGCAACAGTACATGAAAGTATTGAAGAGGATCTTCACACAACATTAACCTAAGGAGCAAATGAGATAGTAGAAGCACTTCATCTTTAACTATTTTACTAAATCGGTCCATTTTAATGACTAAAGTGGTCTCTAGTTATCAAGTCTACATAATAACAGAGTTGCTGAACCACTCAACTAGCACACATCTTCTCCTAGTTGGGGATGAAACAGATTTAGGAAAAAGAAGCAGTACCAAGGAAACGATACTAGTTTCTTCTCTAATTTACTAAACCAATCAGTTTCAGTACTGCAGCTAACTCGAGCTGCGAACTCCACCTATGAAGAGACTCGGAGATTATAACGATCGAACTCCAGCAGGAAAACAAGAGTGGAATACATAAAACCAACGCATGCTATGAACTCGACCTTTATAAAACAGGTAAGCACCTACTACATTCCACATTTGAAGATTTAGTTAGTAGAAATGCATATACATCATCATCAAATTGACAAGTATCCACTCAGTGATCCATATCAATGAAAATATAATCAATTTACTATCAGCAACACAGAGTTACTTAAAAATCAGCATGAATCTGTTTCCTTGCCCTTTACACGAATAACCTACAGTTGCTGTAATTGAACACCAGCAGAACAGCTGCACTTATACAGGCTACTCACATTCCTAAGAACAGTTTCTAATCTCAATAATACATGGAAACACCAGACAAGCATTCCTTAGACCAGTAGATCTGATCTGCTGACAGTCTTATGAACAAAGAACAAGAACAATCCATTGTATATATGATGCTACCCAGAATCCACCAGCTTAGACTAATCCCACTTGCCAATATGACAGAATACGCTAATTAATTAAGAAAAGGCAATGACCAAATACGGCAAGAATACCCTGAAATAGTAAGCAAGCTACAAAAGTCTCATTATCTGTTGTTTCCCTAATTTTTCATCATCGATCAACAGTAAATGGATCAAAAGAGCAAATGTAAGGGAAAACAGTTACCTGCCGAAGACGAAGAGGTGGAAATCGGGAACTCCGAAGAAGAGAAGCGTTCCCTCTTTCAAAAGTGGAAGATGCGGCGATGGGCGGCCGCTGTGTGTATTTGCTACGAATTCCAATTTTTGAGGGAATGGGATTTATGGTTCCTCGCAAGTCGGAAGTGGGATTTAGGGTTCCTCGCGAGGTAGCAGGGAGCGAGAGGTTGTCTATTGGAGTTCTTGGAGTGGGATGACGATGGAGTGAAGTCGTGAAGATTGAGAGGCTTGGGGTTGGAATTAGGGGTTTAGAATTGGGGAAAGGAGAGAAGTGTTGGGTGAGGTCGATAGGAGGGAGATAGGTGGGAGTGGACTGGTAGTGGTAGGGCGGGCTGGGTAGGGGTGCGCAACGGTCCGTCCCGTTTTTTTAGGTTACTGGTACTCAAAATAGTGGCGGATCCAGGGATTTATAATAGGGTGTTCTTTTTTAAAATAAAATTAAATAATTCTTAAATAAGAGAAGTATCCGAATAATATTCAACAACACAAATATTTGATTAATACAAGTTACAACAAATTACCACGTCGTGTTTTCATATTCTGAAAATATTCTAAAATACACTCCGTGTCTACAGTGTTCAGCAAATCTATGTAGTTACTGGGTTGTTTCCCTACAATCCTTGGACTTATGTCCCTACTGCAAATGGATACCCAAATTACGATGGGTTTTTTTGTTTCATGCATATCATTATCCCCGAATCATGTTCTTAGTTCTTAATAGTTATCATTCAAATTTAACAAGAAAAAGGAATCTCACAATTTATGAATCAATTAAGTGCTTGAAAAATACACATTGATCGATCCATGAAATAATTTACTGGTGGAATTGCATTATCACTGCACAGTTGATATCATAGTCGTATCATGTATCTTTTCTCAATTAATTGCTGTTATATTACCATTATCTTTGGTTTATTAGTCTATAGTTTGCTCCTTAGCCTAACCTCTCGAGTAGTTTCATTTTATCTCTGGACTTTATTAATCTCAATGGGGTGAGCACTAATCAGTGGCGGACCCAGAAAATCTTACAAGGGTGTTCAAGAATATAACACAAACTTAATCTATATTACGCACAATGTCATTTTTTTCAATAACAAATCATATGTGTTTTCACAATTTAAAATTTCCAAAAATATATTCATTATTTATGTCATGACTCGCAATGCAGTCAAAATTATGATTCTATGTAACAGAGTTTTGGTGACCTAGAGTATAGATTCCGACTATACTTGTAAATGAAAAACGTGAATCTACATAGAATCATTTTGGTGACCTAAAAGTGTAAAAGGTAAAAAACGTAAACGTTTAAGTTTTAAAGCACGATTTGGACTATGACTCGTATCTCTTTCAATAAATGCAGCCAATAAATAACAAGGTTTCGATAATAAAAAAATGCAGCCAATAAATCACTGACATATTGATATCTCATCCTATGAAAATTGAGATAGAATAGAGTTGTTAAGAGAACTTTTTCAAAGAGCAATAAAAAGAATTAACGAAAGAATTGAATTTGAAATAAGTAATAGATTTGTAAATTAATTCACGTTGTTCAAATATTACCAAGCTGGAGAAGTGGGAGATACAGGTTCGTTCCTCCCCCCTATCCGCTTGCACAAGTGGTAATAAATACATTAGTTTGGAGTTTAAAAGAAAGACGCAATTATAAATTACAAGGGTTGGCAAATGATATAGAGTTTAATACTAACATGATCTCCTAAAAAAAAATTACTAACATGATGAACAATAAATAGTTCCACTACTTCTTAATCCTAAATAAGAGCTAAGGTTAGTCAATTGAATACCCTTAGCATAACATGAGTCTGCCACTGGCACTAATCAATGGTGTACCTTAATTAATTGAATGTCCGACTTCATGTTACTGAAAATGCTTCTAGTATAGCGGGGAAATTGCTATAGAAGAGTCCCAAATCTTTGGATCTTTTCAAATAACCAAAGACTCTTCCTATAGCTTTCCAATGATCAACACTAGGATTACTAGTGAATCTAGAAAGTTTGCACACCGCAAATGCAATATCGGGCCTAGTACAACTCATTGCATACATCAAAACCATGATGGAGAGAAATCAAGCTTCCATATCAAGGCAATCAACATGAACTCAAGCTGCCCAAATACCAAACAGGCAAATCCCACATGACTCCAGAATTGAGTTGTTACAAATACCACGTGACGAATCTGTGTTTAGATAGACAGAGAACTTACAACAATGTCAATACGGATGGTGATGGAGACGACATATATATTACAGTCAATTTTATTTTGCAGCAGAAATCGACAACATGAACGTCTGGTCTGTAAAATCATCTTATCCATGCATCCATTTGCATATGAGAACATCTTGATATCTCCTTCTTAGTACGTATCATCTCCGCCAATTGATAAGTGATTTTATTATTTTGAAAGTGAAATATGAAATGGAACGGTCTAATGGGTTGACCCGCTAACTCATCCAACCCGAATAAAAAAATACGGATTAATTGGATTCGGCTCATTTAAATTTCAGGTTTTAAAAATCTCAACTCATTTATAATTTTCCGAACTATTTCGGATCGGGTCAATGAGTAGGATACTGATTTGTCAGGTGTAAGTGAAATTGTAATTTTACCACATACCGACTCTAGAGAATAGTTTACACTTTAGGTTATACTACCCTTCATGAAAGATAACAAAATCAACGGTATTCTCCAAGGTTCATTCCATAGCAAGGTTGTCAAACCAATTTATATCGTTGTGCCGGTTTAACAAGTGGAATAATTTAACAGGTGTATAATTGGTTTGTGCCAGTTCATGTCAGTTTATAAAAAATATAAAAATGTTAAAACTGTCAACATAAAATAAATTTATCATATGTAAAACATATTTGAAAACAATTTTAAGTACAACATTTAACGCCAATACCTATACATTGATGCATGAATCCAACAAATAATATTCATATTTAACTTTTAAATTCATAAAATCAATAATAGCAAACATGCAAAGTGCGTAGTGCGATTTAATATGCCGAATTAAATAGCCCACACTTTTTTTTAAAAGCCCACTAACCACTTTATCCAATAACTAAAGTGGAAAGCAAACTTAAAAACCACTTGCGCTTTCATTCTCCCACCAATGTGGTATTTCCTTTACTCTTTTTGACTACTCTAACAATCCCCACTTAGTCAATAAGAGTCGAGAATACCTGCCTCGAACAAGTAACACATACATAAAGGTATCTTTTTTTATTTGAACCTTTACTTAGTGTAAGCATCTCAAAGTTCATAGCGAATTAATGACGGGTAAGCCTAGGAGTCAAGATATCCAAAGCTAGAACCGGAGATACCACACACATATTTGTCTCTTCTCTAAAACACAACCACCAACAAGGGCATCACTATTTATGGTCATGTGATGATCATGTTTCACGAGCATATACAAAAGTTGACCTTTACTTTTGTTAGAGCGGCACCACTCCTAATGTTCACATAGGTGACATTCCAAACGAACGTCATTAAGAGTTCTATAACTCACCCTTCTTACATCTAATTTACTTGTACAATAAATTACTTCCCAGTTAGAGTAACTTGTGATTACCACATTGAACCTTTTAATTAGTGAATATCTAAAGAAAAGGTTGGGTTTCCATTACTTCTAACTATACAAAAGGTCTCAATCCCATCCATTGGGATCTCTCATAGATCATGCCTCTTGGCAACCCCTTCGTAAGAGGATCTGCCAAATTGTTGCAAGACCTTATATACACAATAGAAATGATTTCGTTAGTAATCAAATACTTAACGTAATCATGTCTTTGGCTAATGTGTCTAGACTTACCATTGTAAATCTTGTTATAAGCTCTAAACAATGTAGCCTCACTATCACAAAAGACAGAAATGGCTGGCATCGGTTGTGGCCACAACTCTATATCTAACAACATGTTTCTTAGCCATTCTGCTTCTTTTCCAGCCGCCGCAAGGGCTAGGAATTCAACTTCCATAGTGGAGTGTGTAATACATATTGTTTCTTCGAAGCCCAAGAAATAGCTCCACCACCTAGTGTAAAAATCCATCCTGTTGTGGATCTATTATCACTAGCGCTCGTGATCCAACTAGCATCAGAAAATGCTTCTAGTACAGCGGGGAAGTTGCTATAGAAGAGTCCCAAATCTTTGGATCTTTTCAAATAACCAAAGACTTTTCCTATAGCTTTCCAATGATCAACACTAGGATTACTAGTGAATCTAGAAAGTTTCCACACCGCAAATGCAATATCGGGCCTAGCACAACCCATTGCATACATCAAACTTCCAATAGCACTAGAATACTCAGCCCTTCCCTCATTCGCACAAAGCTTAAAAGATACATCGTAAGGGGTGTTAGCCTCCTTTATATCCAAATGCTCGAATTTCTTGAGCATCTTTTCGACATAATGTGACTGACTCAAAGCAAACCCCCCACTATGTTTCTTTACTTTGATGCCCAATATAGTGTCCACTTCTCCAAGATCTTTCATTTGGAAGCGGGAGGTTAGATACTCCTTGGTCTCATTTATGCCTTTCATTTTAGTTCCTATTATCAACATATCATCAACATAAAGGCATATAATGACCATATACTCTTTTGTGCACTTTGAATAAATGCACTTATCAGCAGAGTTGTGAGAAAATCCATGAGCAAAGACAATAAAATCAAATTTCTCGTGCCATTGCTTAGGTGTTTGCTTTAGTCCATACAATGACTTTTGCAATTTACATACCTATCCTTCATTTCCAGGTAACACGAACCCTTCTAGTTTCTCCATATACACTTCTTCATCTAACTCACCATTTAGGAATGTCGTCTTTACATCCATTTGGTGTACATGCAGATTGTAAATAGAAGCCAAAGCTAAAAGCACTCTTATGGAATTGATTCTTGCAACTAGTGCATATGTGTCAAAGCAATCTACTCTTTCCTTTTGCCTAAACCCTTTTGCAACCAATCGAGCTTTGAAAGTATGTATTGATCCATCCGTGTTATACTTAATGCGAAATACCCATTTACATCCAATAGCTTTAGATCCAGGAGGTAGTCCACAAGAACCCAAGTCTTATTCGTTAATAACGAATCCATCTCATCATTAACAGCCTCATTCCAAAAAGCAAATATCTAGAAACCATTGCTTCTTGATAGGTTTTGGGATCGTCTTGCACATGGAACAAAACGGGTATCTTTCTTGTAACCTTATTTAACCTATCTCCCTCTACAAGAAAGACTATAACTTGAGGATCAATAAATTCTGGACCAAAACTCTTTTCCATTCTAGCCCTTTGACTTCTTCGCGGTTCATTAGCAACAGGGTAATCTAAAGGCCTTTTGCTACTAGAACCAATGTCAAAAGCGAGAGTAGAGATAGAATCATTTGAGGAATCTGCAGAAGTAACTTGACATGGTTCTACATTTGCAGAGTCACGTAGAAACTTGTTTTCAAAGAACTCAACATCTCTCGATTTCACAACCACATTAGATTCTAAATCTAGAACCCTATAGGCTTTCAAGTTTTCTGCATATCCAAGAAAAACACCTTTCAAAGCCTGTGGACCTAACTTAGTTCTCTTAGGATCTAGGACTCTATAGAAAGCAAGACAACCCCAAACTCTAAGATAACTCAAGTTCGGTTTCCTTCCCTTCCACAACTCATAGGGAGATTCCCTTATCTTCTTAGACGGAATCCTATTGTGTACATGGTAGGCTGTTAGCAACGCCTCACCCCAAAAATTGTTTGGAGCACTAACATTAATCAACATAGCATTAATCATGTCAGAAAGAACTCCATTTTTTCCTTTCTGCTACTCCATTATGTTGTGGGGTGTAAGGAGCAGTCCTTTGATGTATCAAACCATGTTGCTCACAAAACTCATTAAAGTTATTAGGAAAATACTCTCCACCTCTATCACTTCGAAGGATTTGTATTTTCCTACCCTTTTGAGTTTCGACAACAGATTTATACAATTTAAACTTATCAAAGGCTTCATCCTTGGTTCGCATTAAATAGACATAGGTAAATCTACTACTATCATCAATGAAAGTAATGAAGTACCTACATCCTCCTTTAGTTAATTGACCATGAAATTCACAAATCATAATGTACTAATTCTAATAATTCTGAATTTCTGTCAACCAACTTAGGAAATGGCTTTCTCTTCATCTTAGCTTGCACACAGATTTCATATTTGTCTCCACTGTCATCACCAAAAACTACTAATCCATTTCTAGACATGTATTCCTGAGTCTTAAAGTTAACATGCCCAAACGATTATGCCATAAATCAAACAAAGTACTTTCTATACTATAATTTGCATGCACATCGATATAAGCAAAACCATCAATTTTATTATTAATATTACCATTGTCAATACTTAGCTTAAACATATCATCACTAACATAGCCCATTCCCAACAAACATACCAGCCTTGGTCAGAATCACCCTATCAGATTCTATCACAACCTTTATCCCATTCTTACAAAGAATGAAACCAAAAACCGAGTTCTTTCTAACATCAGGAATGTGAAGGACATTGGTGAGAACAAATTTCTTCCCCGAAGTGAAGAAAAGCTCCACGGTTCCAGATCCAAGAACCTTGATCGTGCGATGATCACCCAACAGAACCTCATGTCCCCCCGCCGACTTTGTGTAGTCCTTGAATGATTCAGGCCTAATTGTACATGTTTTACCCCCGTTTTACTTAGATGTTTGCGGCAAATTCGCTCCTAAAAGGTTGTTTTACGCTAGGTTTCTTGTGTTTTAGCATGTTTCAGGATTTAACAGGTGAAACCAGCCTCATAGTCGAAAGTTGGACGAAAAGGATCGAAAACCGGGAGCAGAGGTGAAAAAGGGCCAGTTCACGGCTTGGACAGGAAGTTCATGGTCTTGCATGACCGTGAAGAGGAGCTGCTGACCGTGAAACACAAGGCGTCCAGAGCATTTCCAGAAGTTACTGACGCATGTTGTGTTCACGGTCACTAAGACCGTGAAAAGAGGTCGTTGACCGTGAACGACGCAGTGCGTTTTGGCGCACGCCTGAAGTTCACGGACGCGTTTGATGGTTCACGACCGTGAACTGAGCTCGTCTCTGGGTTAAAAGATGAGCTGAAAGGAGGAGAGAGGGGAAAGCCCACTTTGTGTGAAAAACCTTCTTCTGAATTCTAGAGAGAGGAACACGAACCAAAGGAGAAGAAGGCTAGGGTTTTGCTCCAAGATGGATTTTGGGGAGATTTCCTTCAAGGGAAGTTCAACACAAGGATCAAGAAGAGTGGGAGCATACTCCAATATGGTTTCTATCCTTTCCCTTTGTGTGTTTCCTCAGTTCTAGCATGGAGTAGTTTTCCCTTCACTTGGGTGTTGTGAAACTCTAACTCTACCATGTAGTTTCTTTTATGTGAATGTGAATGATTGTCATTGGGTATTGTTTAATTTAATGATTGAGGTATTATTCATCTTGATTGTGCATGTTTATGCTTAGCATCCTTAGGCTTGTGCATGTTTAGTGCTTAGCAACCTAAGGAATGTGCATTTTTATGCTTAGCAATCCAATTAGCCATTTAACCTAGTTGAGAGAGGGAAACCTCCCCTTCCAAGGGAGTCTCAATTGAGTTGGTATTCCTGGTAAATAATCCATTTTGCTTGCTAGAAAAAAAAGATTGACAAGGACAGAAAGCGAGGCTATAAGGATTAAACTTAAACAGAGGCTATAAGGATTAGTTAGTTAGTTAGATAGCTTCAAATGCTAGTAATTCCTCCCTATCTAGTTAATATAGCCAATCAAGCAAATTATGCATTGCCATTAGCTGAACGAAATAAGCAGTCTTGTAAAAAGCAGGATGACTAGCTAGCTTGGTTCTGTGAGTTTGTCTAGATTGATAACACATTAGCAAACACTTAAATTACACAGTGAAACTCAAATAGATGCCATCTATCTGTCTGTCTATCGGTAAGTGTAGTGAATCGGCTGCATGCGATGGTTGAGGTCCCGGAGCTGAGATTCCAACTCCATCCTTGCTCGGCAAATGTCACTCTCAATTTTAGCTGGGAGCCTGCATTCAACCGTAGGACAGCGCATCAAATGTGGGGAGCGGGTGTCAATGTGGACCTCCCGCAAGGCACGCGATCTGGTGATAATGCAAGCAGCAAGCTCCAGATAAACCGAAAGAGCATCAACTTCCGATTTAGAGCGCCTCCACGAGGAAGATTGACACACCCCGGGCCCGTGCAGGTGAAGTAGCTCCAGAGATGTGTGCGCCCATGTCCAAAACATTACCCTCTCCCCAGGAATCCGTTCGCAGCTGAACATGAGGTAATCGAGAAGATTGAACCATATCATTAGAAGGAGAGAAAAAAAACTCATGCAATAACTTTGTTGTAAAGAGTGGGGACATCCATATTTTGAGAGAAAAATTAATAAATCTCCATAGTAGTTTGAGAATGGGAAAATGGACAAAAAATAAATAAATAAAGGTAGTATATGTGATTTGAATCTTTTACATAGTAGTTATTAATGAGCATCTTTTCTAATTTGACTAGACTTCATTTGTTGTTATAACTTCGTTATAAATATAAATTATAAACGTGTAGTCCTCACTTTCGGCACTTATTTGTAAAAAAAAAAATTAGGCACTAAATATTAAGATACATAAACTTTGGATATTAAAACTGTATTTGGTACATAAAACCCAATAAAAGCTACGAGGGAAGGCAAAGAGGAAGAAAAAGGGACAGTGATAGTTACTAACACCTTATTCGTTATTACAAGTGTTAGTAGGGTGCTAATACTAAATCGGTATTAATATATTTTTAATAAAATAACGGTAAACATGGAGAGGACTGGACAGTGACAAAAACAAAAACTAACACATAACTTATTATTGTTCCATAACATTATCATCACTAATTATTCATGGGTGTAGATAGAAAGTTACACTGTATTGCACGTAACAAAAAAAAAAAGTTATTAACTTTAGATATGGGTGCAAACATATATAAATATTCGGATTCGCCTAAGTCCATCAAAGTATAGATTCAAAATACCAGAACATTAAAAACATATTATAGTGTAGAAGTACGCCAGTTTCTCTGCCATATAGAGCTTTTTTCTTTCTTTCTTTTTTTAATCTCTTCTCAAGCTTTGACGCACATCTTGGTTTTAGGTAGCAGAACTTTGCAGTCCATATCAGGATTCAAGGTCTGAAGCTTTTCAACGGTCGTGCGATAGGCTATCGCTATGTCATAGCAAATGTCACCGTCTTTTATTACATAGTATAGACTACAGGATCCGTCCTCATGACCTGCACCTGCCCAATATTTATTCCCAGACACAAAGTTAGTACCTTAATAAATATCAAAATTTCAAATTATTAAAGGCTATTTCCAAAATGCTATGGTTAGGGATGACTAAAATATCTGTAACCATGGATATCTGCCCAAACCCGACCTAATCGGGTAGGGTGAAACCCGAACTCGAAGGACTTTTAGTGGGTACGGGTAAAACCCGAACCCGAATATTGCGGGTAATGGGTGGGCATGGTTTTCTCACTATCCAACCCGAACCCGCCCGATTATACACATGCATATTTATTTTGTCTAGAAATAATCAATATTTTTCTCTAACATATTTTATATTTATCATATAAATATAAATTTTTTATGAAATTGTGTTGTTTTAATTAATTTTATTCGTTCTAGTGAATTATTGTTGTACTTTTCGTCTTACATAACGTGAGAATACGTGTAAATATTAACATATTAGTTGGAGTTATAAAGAAAAACTATTACCCATGGATAACCGTGGATACCCGAAACCCCAACGAGTATGGGCATGGTTTGAATTTTCTACCCGTTTCTTATGTGGGTATGGGTATGAGTAAAATCCGAACTACTTTGGATAGGATAACGGATATACACTGTCCGTCCCCGTCCCGACCCATTGCCATCCCTGCTATGGTTGGCCTCTTTTTTTTTCGTAAATAGGTATATGTATGTCTCATAGTATAGCACGAATTTTTTGACAACAATGGCATGTATATTAAGAGTTATGGGTATAACACTATACCCTAATTTTTAACGCAGGTGAACCACAATCGCTAAATCTTCAATTCAAACAATAAAATTAACTTAATCTAAAATTAATAACCAACCGTTTTAATTCGTTGAAATATATCCAACTAGATTTAGTAAGTATGAACTCAAGCATATCACATATAGGCCAGCCTGAAGTAAGCCAAGCTTTGACAGAAAAACTTACTGTTGGTGGTAAGAAAGGCGATGAGGAAAATTAGCATCACGAACTTGAGGTTAGCCTTGCACATCATCATGATCATAAATATTAAATAGAATATGCTTCGCCGGATATCTTAATCAACTCTTTCCTTGTTCTTGTTCTTCTTAGTTAGATTGAGTGATGAACTTTGAAACCCTATCTCCTATTTATACAACTAGAGCCGAAGAAACTACAAAATATGTTGCCATGAAATCCAGCTTTCTTAAACTCATGTGCCAGCTATTTACTTTATATATGCTGAGCACCACTTGGTTCCTTCTGCAGCATTGTGATACTTTCGGTTTCGGCTCAAAAGAAAATGGTTTTTTATATTTTGCTCTTTCTATTATGAATAAATGTAATTTTTTATTAATATAGATAATAAAAAAAATAACAGAGTCGACCAAAACAAGAACTTGAGCCTGCACTTCGATGACCCTTGCTGATAGAACTCAATGGAAGAAAAGAAAAACATAGGGTAAAATCTGATCGTGAAAATTATTAATTTATAGTAATGAATGAACTAAACGATAATTTCATATATTTATTCATTTAAAGAGGTTTTCTAGTAGTGTCAATGATTAACACAAGAGAATTTATATCCTTAAAATCATATTCAAACATGACATGTTAATTTTATTTTAGTACAAATATAATTTGTTATATCTTGATAAAGTTAACTTTTAATATTCATTGTATTATCTTCGCCGTTCAAATTTGTATATAATTACTTTGAATACCGCATGAATATTCATCATATTTTTCAAATATACAAATTCATACAATTAATGATGTGAGTTATCGTAACAAGATGGATGTAATTAAGTCAGTTGTGAATTCCCAATTAGTATTCACTAAGGAGGCACTAATAAGAATTTGTTGTGGCTATTTTATTATGTTTGTGAATTCTGTCCATTGGGTTAGAAATCCATGTTGGGCCGCAAAGATTGCTAGCAATGATTGCACTCGACTTGCCCATAAAGAATAAACGAAGTAGTCCATCCCATTGCTAACAACAATGAGAATTGCTGCTTTGTAAAAGAGAGACAAACATCAAGCAACGACCCCATCTTGAAACTCACAAACAATAAGCAAAAAGGATTCAAGAAGATAGAGAAGTCAAAGGTATAGGAAGAATTTAAAAACCATATTGTATCAGTGTATCAGAAAAATCTCCGATCGGATGCTAAATCGATAACGGTATTTAGTAATATGAAACTGTTGAACCACACTTAAATTATGATTTCAACATTAATAACTATACTACCGCTTACTTTTCCGATGCAACCTTTTGTCGCTAAGTTTTAAACTGACAAAAATTTCATTAAAAAATGAATTTGTACAAATTTTATGGAATTCATCTACTATAAATAGTATGTAAAACTTGTAATTACTATTCCGTACTATCTTATGTTTCCTATAATTATTTTATCTCGAGCATTTCATTGGGGAAAAGCTCATCTTAACCCTTGATTATGTTGTGACAATCAACAATAGGTATACAATAAACTCAAATGCTTTTTCGATTTATTTTTGTGTTGTCGACTGAGATACACATCTATATAGGTTCCCGTGTAATCGTATTATCATAGGTATACATATATACTCATTCATACACTCGGATCCTATGAGAACTTCCAAAACACGCGTACTTAAACGAGAACAAAAATACTAAAATAAATAACCTAATTAAACATTCAAAGAAAATGGAGTTTTTTTATGGTTGACTTTTAACGGGGGATGATGTAGGTGATCTTATGAAACGTGACCTTATATTATCATATCTCTATTTAACCTCAATCACTTGATTATTCGCAAATCGCAACAAACTAATTTTTTATTAATGTAGTAAAAATCGTGATTTAAAATCTTACTCTTTAATACATTTATATCACCCCAAACGTTTTTACTTAGAATAGTGATTTTCACGTAGAAGTGTAGTCAGAATTTGTGCTTAAGAGTTTAGAAGTTTACATTTTCACACTTCTAAATAGTTCATCAAAATGTTTCTATTTAGAATCTCGATTTTGACTGCCTAATATTATTATATAACAATGTATACTTTCTTTTCCCCATGAAGAAATTTGTATATATTCATAAAAAAAAATCTAATTATGTTCTTATAAATTGCGTGGCAATACGGTGAAAATTATGGATGATAATAATTCATACGGTGTGCAGTCCCCATCATTTCTTATGAACATCATCGCTGCATCCAGCATGGCAGCTTCCACTCATAAAAATAAAAAAATAAAATAAAAAACGATACATTGTTGTATCCGCCTGTGAAATAATAATATGAAAAAATAACAGCCTTGCCTTCTGTTTTCTTGCACTTGTAACCTTTGGTTTGGAGTCGATCAGATGACATAGTCAAGCAATGTAATAAATTCAGTTATTATATAAGTATTCATGAAATATAAGTGTGCATCCGCTATGGTATTTTCTAAATTTGTTATGAATTTTACATGTAATTTTATGAATTACAAACATGTTGATTGTGTATGTAATTGGACTCATATGAGCATTGGGTTGAACCCAAATGGACTCATATGCACTATTAATAATATTTGGGAAGGGATAGGGTACAAAACCACTACGAAACCTTATCATTCACCCTCTATCCCTTCCCCTGTCTAATAATCCAAATAATTCCCAAAAATAAAGAGGCGGACTGATAATTCTGTCACATTGGGTTTTTTTTCTAACAAACCTTACATAAATCAAGAAAAGAGAGAATGTACTTTTCCTAATCCCTTATTTTTCTAAATCGGATCCTACATAATTTTTTTTAACTCCAAATTTAAAAATTTATGCAAAGAAAGAAGGTATTAATCATGATCTACACATTTATATCCATTTTGCTATATGAGCAAAGAAAAAAATGAAATCTTTAAAACACATATTGGTTGTAGTATTATCACTGTCATATCAATCATATCATTATGATATGGCAATGATATATGATGACCCATCTTTTTCATTTCAACTCAAAAATTGAAGAAAAAAATTGTATATAAAGGACGCAAAGAGGATATCATCTTGAAGATCACAAAAACTCTGATTTTCTATGCAAAGATTTTGATTCCAACATAAAACGAACATGCTATGGGTCGCTAAATTCACGTAGGAGATTTAAAAAATGCATAGCAATTCGTGCTAGTCCACCCCAAAATTCGAGCAGTGAGCAACAAAACCAGGCAGGGCACCGTTTTCCCCCTCGCTACCCCTTTGTAATATTGACCATTAGATCTCTCATTCCCAAATTACAACCATTAGATCTAATTTTGTAGTACTACAAAACAATGAGGTTTTGTACCATAGCCCAAGCCATAATATTTGAATTTGGATTGGGCTTAATTTGGGTATATATAATCATATACACGAAAAAGCAATATCGATCATCTCACTATTTGCTGTCAACCAATTCACACTTTCAATGTTGATGTTTCCATATTTATGTGTGTTTTAGAATAAATAAAAAAGTGAAAATCACATTGGAATTGGTTATCCATTTTGTATTAGGTCTAATTTACACCCAAACTAAAAAGTTGGATACGAGTATAACCCAAAAGTGATATTACTCAAACTTGATTTGAGGCATGAGAAATTAGGTTTCGGAAATACCCAAATTTTGGATGCTTTTTTTTTTTTTTTTTTTTGCCATCCTAGTAACTTTACCCAGTGTTTATAGTACCGTATCAACGATCCAACCTAAAAAAACCTTCTATCAAAATCTAAACCGGTAAAAAAAAAAATTAACGGTATGAAACGATTTAACCATACCCAATCTCCCATACGGTTTTATTCGTTCTTGATTTTATCAATTTTAGAACTATTAACTATACCATGCCTCCACGAGTCACAGTCCAAATTCCAGTCCCCACAAGTCCACAACTGTAGTAACTTGGTCGACATGTTTGTGAGAGTAGAAAGCTGTTCAACTTGTCTTTTCCCCCCATTTCCATTTTTTCTGTCCTCTTCACAACCCAAAAATTTCCCTATCTCTCATCACCATTCATTTCCACTTGTCACAAACCCAAATTTTACTACTTAAATTACTTATATCACCATCTTTCCATACTATAATTGACACATAATCGCCAAACCATGCAACCTCCACCCCGATAGCCGCCCGCCCTAAAAAAAAAAAAACAATGCCTCATCACCACCACCACTTCCTCCTCCTCCTCCTCTCCCTCTCCCTCCCCCTACTCTCCACCGCCGCCGACCCACCGCCACCGCCGCCCTCGCCACCACCACCGCCACCACCACCGCCGGAATCCGCCATCCACACACAATCCACCGACTGCCCCACCCACTGCGGCGACGTCGCCATCCCATTCCCCTTCGGCACCAAACCGGGCTGCTACCTCAACCCCGACTTCCTCATCACCTGCAACGCCACCAACGTCCCGCTCCTCGGCTACTCCACGACACGTGTCCTCAACATCTCCGTCCCCGACGGCGAGCTCCGCATCGAGTCCCCCGTGGCACGCGACTGCTACAACAAGTCCGGCCAGAGCGTCGCCAACGCGCCCTCGGGCATCTGGGACCTGAAGTTCCCCATTTCCAACACCCGCAACAAGTTCACGGCCGTGGGCTGCGACACGTACGCGCTGGTCCAGGGCGTGGTGGACCAGAAATACGCCACGGGTTGCATCTCGTACTGCAGCAAGCGTCGCGACGTGGTCAACGGGTCGTGCGCCGGGGTCGGGTGCTGCCAGGCGCTGGTGCCGAAAGGGGCGCGTGGGTTTTTGGCGACGGTGAACAGCTACAATAGTCACGCGTCGGTGTGGAGGTTCAATCCGTGTAGCTACGCGTTTTTGGTGGAGGACAGCTTGTTTCAGTTTTCCACGTCGGATTTGCCGGATTTGCGCGGGGTGACGAGTTTCCCGGTGGTGTTGGATTGGGCGGTGGGGAACGAGACGTGTAAGGAGGTGGCGGAGAAGGGGTATTTTGGGAAGAGTAGTGTTTGTATGGAGAATAGTCAGTGCTATGAGCATGAAACGGCGCCGGGGAGTGGGTACCGGTGTAGGTGTTTAGCCGGGTATCGGGGAAACCCGTATCTCGCCGGCGGCTGTCAAGGTATGTGTGGCTGTGTGATTATGAGGACTGATAATTGACTATTAAATATTAATCCATTAATTTTGAATTTTTTATAAAAACGGTTGTATGAATTATTTTAAGGGGTATTATTATAACGGCTTGTATGTATTTTTATTTAGTTAGGGCTAGGTATCATATGTAACTCTATTGTAATATTATTTTTATCAAACAAAATTTTCTCTGCTATTTTTTTTTACATCAAAACACACTTCTGTATTTTAGAAAGATTATCTAACATGCGTTTTTGCTAAAATTTAAATATAAAAATCGATAATCACAATAGTAGTGTTTTAGACATTTATATCGTCCAAAATATATACGATTATAGTGAAGGTTATTATTATAATTAACTCCTTGTTTGGTTGTATCATTTTTCAGACATTAACGAGTGCGATGATCCAACTTTGAACAAGTGCACAAACTATTGCAAGAATAGCAAGGGGAGCTACACTTGTTCCTGCCCCAAAGGCCACAACGGAGACGGCCGGAAAGACGGCTCCGGCTGTATTCCCAATCGTGGCTCTTCTTTTCAACCCATCGTCGGTAATATCACCGAAATACCCCCTCCACTATTAAACGCATGAAAAATTCTTAGCTCTAATCTTGCTTAGGTGTAGAAGTTCTAACCATCTATATGTCAGTTTGTTACCTTTTTTTCTTAATATTTAATATTCTGAATTATGCTAAAAAAATCAATAATTAAAATATAAAAAGAAAATATGAATCCACTAACAAAAAACAAACATGTAGTTGGTTGAAAGTTCTGCGTCCAATCAAGATTGCGTTGTAACTGACGTGTACCCTCTACACAACAAACCATATTCGCAGGAGTCAGCGCCAGCGTGTCGTTTGCATTCCTCTTCATCTACCTAACCTTCATGGGCGTCCACAAGCGGAAGCAAATGAAGCACAAGAGAGAGTTCTTCAAGCAGAACGGCGGCATTCTCCTCCAACAGCTCCTCTTCAAAACCAACCCTAATTCCTCCTCCTCCTCACTCAACAACAACAACACCGCCAGAATCTTCACCGAGCACGAGCTCAACCTCGCCACAAAAAACTTCAACAAGTCCATGGTCGTCGGCCGCGGCGGCTTCGGCGTCGTCTACAAGGGCACCTTCTCCTCCTCCACCTCATCCTCCGCCGCAACCACGGTGGCGATCAAGAAGTCGATGGCCATCGACCGGAGCCAGATCGAGCAGTTCGTCAACGAGGTGATCGTGCTGTCGCAGATCCACCACCCAAACGCGGTGAAGCTTTTGGGTTGCTGCCTGGAGACGCAGGTGCCGCTGCTGGTGTACGAGTTCATCACCAACGGGACGTTGTTCGAGCACGTGCATGAGGAAGGTTTTAAAGGGTCGCTGCCGTGGGAGACGAGGCTGAGGATCGCGGTGGAGACGGCGGCTGCGCTGGCGTACATGCACTCCAACCAGATCATACACAGGGACGTGAAGTCGGCGAATATATTGCTGGATGATGGGTTCACGGCGAAGGTGGCGGATTTCGGGGTGTCGAGGCTTGTGCCGTTTGACGAGGAGCAGATTTCCACGTTGGTTCAGGGAACCTTGGGGTACATGGATCCCGAATACTTCCAGTCAGGTATATAAACCCTTTTTACTATTATACTATATATGCGTTGATTCGTGTCCTTGGGTGATTATTCACGTATTTCGATGATCATTTTCATGTTCAATGTAGTCAAATCGCGCTGAAATGCGTATGCTTTTACACTACTAGGTCACCATAATGCTTCTATACATAGAATCGTTCTTTTCACTTGCAATTTTAGTCAGAATCTACGCTTTAAAAAGCTTATCATCTTACGTTTTTACGCTTCTGGATCACCAAAATGCTTCTGATTGATTAGAATCGTGGTTTTGAATGCATCGTTCACGTTGGAGTTATTTTTATTCACATAAGAATAACATAACCTTTTCCCTAACAATTTCTATTTGCCATATTATATGGAAATAAATTTGAAATTTCAATATTTTGTGTAAAAATGAGGTGCATTGGTCACAATCTACACAACAATATCCAAATTATCCATTTTGATACACTTCAACATTTAAAATTTGATATTACAGCGGAAAAATAACATTGTACATGAATAAACACTAGGTTTCATAAATAATCATAACTGTTTGCACGAATAACTACCATTATTACGTGAATAAACACTAATACACCGTGCATAAGCATAAATTTACATGAACAAAACTTGAAAAAATGCGCCAATTAGATGTTTTTGGCTCTTTAGGTGTCACCAAACCAACCTTTTTCCATTTTTTTAGACATTCAATTCTATAAATATTCAATCTCATCCTTAATTTACCCTAGAGTAGTAGCTAATCTGCTACATGCATGCACGTTGTGGTACAGGGATCCTGACGGACAAGAGCGACGTGTACAGCTTCGGGGTGCTGCTGGCCGAACTTCTCACCGGAAAAATGGCGATATCGTCGGAGTGCAAGGAGAAGAGCCTGGCGCTCCACTTCCTGTGCTCCCTTAAAGAAGAATACTTGCTGGAAATTCTAGAGGAACGAGTGAAGGAAGAAGGCGACGTGAAGCAGCTGTCGAAAGTGGCTGAGGTGGCCAGGAGCTGCCTGAAGCTGGAAGGAGACCAGAGGCCCACGATGAAGCAAGTGCTTCAGGAGCTTCAGGATCTGACTACAACGACGACGGAGCATAGCTTGATCGCCGGCGGCCCAGGAGGAGATCAGTCTCCACCGCTAAATACTGTCGGCCGCCGTGCTTTCGGCGAACTCAAGGCCAGATAGCTGCGGACCGGGCCGGCCAGAGAGATAACTGCATGTGTTCTGATTGTTAATAAGGTTCTGACGATAAAACGTTTCTTTGGTCGAAGAGACAAACCCTAGTGTATCAATACATGGTTCTTATGGCATTTGTTGATTAAGTGTTGACATTGTAACTTATTTTCCCATGTTTTCTGTTAAACAAATAGGCTACCCCTATAAGTTCATTCGTTTGAAGATTTGCATAGTTTTAATGTACTTGAATTATTAGCTAATATTTATAGCGACGTAGAAGAACATAAAAGGTATAGAGATTTTCAAAGATTATGGTATCTAAGAACTAGTTAACCAAATTAATTTGAATTAGAAGAGATTAGGAGATATTAAGAGTACGTATCTTATATTATTTTCTTACATATTTATTAATGTTGCCTTTCAACTAACTAACGCGAATAATTAGGGTAGTAGGCGGCAAAAAAAAAGAATCTTTTAACTCTAACCGGTTATCGGTCAATAAATATTCTCTCACACCGAGTGGATTCACCAAGTCCAATTGACTCAGTTTCTTCTATTTTTATTCTTGTGGGGGAAAACTAATGCTTGTGAAACTGGAGGTTAAAAAATTAGTCGTATGATATTTTGTACAAAAATTATAGTTTAATCATGATTTAACTGTTTGACACCATTAAAATCATCTACTAATTAAAATTCTATCCTAGTATTCATAGTCCAGCCAAACTATAGGTAATAGGATGCGATTTCTAAAACATTGATAAACATTCTGCCGGATTCATTGGGGCCGGGCGTAGCTAGACAATACTTCAACTCAAACCGGCAAGCCGGCCTGCCGGCCGGCGTATATGCTCGGCACAAAGCCAACTGCTAGCTCCAAACTTAGCTTCAACCGGTATCAATCACATTCCAATTCCAATATATAATACAGATAGAAGCCCAATTAAATCGCCGGCCGGCCTTGATAAATAAAAATTAGCACTTAAGAACTATCAAAAAGATAAACAATCTCGTTAATTAACAACATCCCATAATAAAGAAGGTCATGATCAAACCGACTGTTTCTTCTTCAATTCTATATGTATATTCATCCCTGGATCACAACTCATCATCATGATATATATATTCTCACCATGAACAATGTACAATAGTAATTATCACCCTGTTACCCAATTAATCCCACCCTCTAATTACAGTTCATCCTACAATCCCAACCCACCTATGGACCAAAAAAAAAAAAAAACTGCATAACAAGAAAGTCATTTTCCAATATTCTTCTCCAAGTTATCTTCTTTACACACATAACTCTCCTTTGGAGAGATGTATTACCCCAGTACTCCAACGCATATGGCTGCAAAAATTTCTCAAATCCTCCTCTCCATTCTTGATCAAGAGAGTAGCTAGCTAGCTAGACTTTGCCATCCGACGAAGAGACGACGGCGTATCTATCCTTTTTCACCATTGATGAAGATGAAGCAGTGGTGATTGAGTTGGTGCCCTTGGAAGGAGCAGAAGAAGGCGTTGGAAGCTTCTTGGGCAACATCTGTTCCCATGAATAGGGTTTGGGCAATCTGGATGCTTCTGACACCGCCACCAAAACAGCAAGCAAAGTGATGAAGATCAGGCAGCACTTTTGCCTCCAGGAAACTGACATATTGGCAGAATTTTGATGAGGAGATTGAAGAGGAGATGATGAAGTGCAGAGAATAGAGTCAGAGTCAGATCCCTTTTTCAGCATTTCCCCAGTGGGTTTTTGGCAGGCTTTTAATTAACAAGGAGGAGGGGAGACATGGTTGAGTAATGTGAGGAGAGGGATGCAATGCCAACTTGTTTTTGTTCGACAAAAGGTGTGTCAATGGCAGACAATGGTGTAATACATTACTATTACTTTTTTTTTCTTCTCTTTTTCACTTTGTGTGTTGGCTGTGTTTCGAAGTTGTCCCTATGGAGTTTTTTTGTCACCTTTATTATTGGCCCCTAGCTCGTTGGATGTGTGGAATTGTATGTATGTAATAATATTCTGTGGTGGATTCTTGCGATTAATGGTGGTGATCAGTGTGTGGTTGTGTGCAATTGAGAGTATGAAGGAGCATGATAAAGGGGATGAAAGAAATGACAATTTAACAAATATTTGATATAAGGACCACATTTGTGTGGTTAGGGGACTGAGAGATTTTAATCTCCGACAAGAAATCATTCTTTTGTTGCAGTTAGCTCAAATGGTATGATTACTGATTTGCCTGAGAAAAAGTAGGGTTGGTTTTCAACGTTGCGATGGTTAAATAGATATATTATTTCTGGTGAATACATGCATAATAGTGTATACGTATTGATGAATTTGATACATTGCAAAACGTACAACGTTTGATATGTGTAATTGTGTATGTCATATCATGTAAGAGCTAAAATATAACAATCTCAAATCAACAATATCACATCAGCTAAAAATATAGATATAACAATCACTCATTTTAACTTTTAAGTGATAGTTTATGTAAAGCAAAAAAAAATGATATATTCTAAACAATACAAATATAGTAACAATCTCATGCAAACGAATCACAACTTTCAAACAACCATTGATTTGTCTTCGGGGAATGCTTGGGGTCATTTGGAGATAGAAATATGGGAGGATGTATTTAGTCCATACATGCATGTATTATTGAGAGTAAGTCGTTTTCTGTTTTATTTTTAGCCACAATTCATGTATTGACTTTTTGATAGGACACTTCTAATCCCTCAAAATGAAGTATTTTCAATCTAAAACATTGTGAGATTTTGTCTCGAACCCACAAATCCACAATGTGCAAATTGTTCACCATGATTTAACCATTGAGGCAAACCCTAATTGATGATGCTAATAATAAATCTAATATTATAAATTCCATGGTGATATAAATCACAGCAAGATTGGTACTATCCTACATGTTTCACACTTAGCTTATGATCCATAATCTCTTAACTCCATCAATAAAATAGATATTGGATAAAAAGTTAGTTAAACGCGGTAAATTTTTTTTTTTTTTTTTTGTAGAAACGCGGTAAATCTTATACTACAAGTACACATCTTATTTGACAAAAAATACATTAACTATTATTATAATTTGATTAAAAATACATAGTTAATGAATATAATTAATTAGTTGGTTTTTGCTTTCTTCCTGCAGGCTGTAGCGGAACTCCGGTAGCTTCCTGTAGCTTTATTCCTGCTAATTAATATCAATGGTTCATTGAAATTATTAAAAACATAGCATTGATTTTGTGTACAACTAAAAAGTTAGGATTAATTGGTTCATTGAAATTATTAAAAACATAGCATTAATTGGCTGTGATTCATTCATTCATTAGGAATATTAATTTGTTGAGATAAATGGATGGTAGTAAACAAAAATGAATCTTTGTCAAAGATTTCACAGCTTTGCCTGCATATTCTTGGTGGATGTGGACAAACATAAATATATAATTGTTGCATGAGTATATATATATATATATATATATATATATATATATATATATATCCACCACTAGCTATCACAAATAACTAATATATGTATAGTCAAGCGTGTGTTTATGTAACATATTTCGAATACAAAAAAAAAGCTATCTTTCTGGCCATTCAGTTATCAAAACTATTCTCCAATTTTAATCATGCAAACACGAGGGATAGTGCTCTCTTTTTTTCATGATGGTTCCGAGCAGAACCTGAAAAGAAGCATCTTCGTGCTTTTTGTGCCCTACTTTCCCAACAAAGTCGCAGCTTCGACACTAGTTTAAGATGAACAAATCCTTACATGTAATAATAATATTAATGGGGTATCCCAAAAGTAAAGTCATCTTTGCCGGAACTAGGGGCAGTCACTTGAAGGCAGCTCGTTTGTTGGAATGATTGTATAAATGTATCTTCCTTATTAATTAAGAGCACTAACTAGTATAGCGAATCATGTAGAGAATTCCGTTAAAATTCGAGTTGTTGAGAGAAGTTTCAGAATATGAAATATATTATTTTTTATATACTTTTTTCAAACGAAATCCAATGAATTATGATGTGAAAGTTTGTGCGGTTTCATCATTTCTAGTACTTAAAATTTAACTACTGATATTTGGAGTCACGAAAATTCGAGTATGCATTCTTTCATTATCAGCGCAAACTCTGCTATATATCATGTCAAAAATCAATTAAAACTATTGTATAGGTTTAAGAGATTCAGTTTCCAACTTCAAAGTACAATGAACATACCTCATAATCAAACGGGTAATTATTGGAAGTTTTTTCTGCCCACTTCAATTAACAAACCAGCACCTGCTAACTATCACCTAACCAACCCACCCCAATCCCTAACCGGTTGATTCAATTCAACCAACCTGTGAAGGAAAATGAGAATAAATGGAGGCACAATATCAACAAACGGTGAAGACATATATGTCAGGTCAGCTTAAAAAAAGGTGTGTGTTAAGGGTAGGGCTGCAAACGAGCCGAGTCGAGTCGAGTTTTTGCTTAGCTTGAGCTCGGCTCGTTTATTAATTTTTCAGCTCGAGCTCGGCTCGAACTCGAATTTTGATAATCCAGCTCGAGCTCGAGCTCGAGCTCGGCTTGAATAAAAATAATCTAGCTCGAGCTCGACTCGGTAGAGCTCGATAAATGCTCATTAACATAGCTTGTTAAGCTGAGTACAAGCTCGGCTCAAGATGAGCTCGATTTAAAATCATTTTTGCTGGAAAAATGTATAAACATAAGAATTTAAATGATAGAAAGAACACTAGAAACTAGAAATAACATCTAAATTTCATACACATCTGTATTATAAGACAATGTTCATGTTTAAAAGAGTAATTCATCCTTCCACAAGCTCAAAACAAGGCAGCTCGCGAGCTTAGCTCGACAAGCCACCGAATCAAGCTAGCTCGCGAGCTTATCAAGCTGAGCATGGTCTAGCTCAGGCTTGGCTCGTTAACTAACGAGTTGGCTCGCGAGCCGGCTTGTTAAATAACGAGTCGAGTGTCGAACGAGTTTTTTCCGATTCCAACGCCGAATTGCTCGCGAGCGGCTTGGCTCATTTGCAGCCCTAGTTAAGGGTAACAAATTAACTTCTTGGATATATCAAAATAAAGCTTTGACTTCAAGTAGTAGTTAGGTTGCCTTTAGAATTTAAAAAAAAAAATACAGCAGAAAGTTGAGAATGCCGGGTAGTATATATGTCTCCCCGTCCCCACTCTCTTCCCCTTTTCCATTTTGTACTTTGCAAGTAAAAAAACAACCCAATGCTTCCCTGAGACTTGAGGAGTTTCAAGCGGTCATAATTAGGCAGAACTAGGTAGTCAGTAATTAAAATCATTTACAAACTCAATATTCTTTTTTATAAATCTTTTCAATAGTTCAATAAAATTGTTAGCTATTGAGTTATGGTTCTATGAACTCGTAAGATATTTTTTTTTTCCTTAATGTTAGGTATTAAGTAAGTAATTAAACATCTTAACTGAAGTAGAAGTGTTATAAAAACATATATTTCAATTATCGTTTGACTGCAAGTCTGCAACTGCTATTTTTGCTTCTAACGCCTAAGCGCCCATAAGCGACGCCGAGTTAGGAAATAGGCAAGGACACAATATCTGTCTTACTCCTAATGCCTTCTTGAACCTTAGTTAGAAATACAAATAAAACTTATAAATATTTTGTGAATGAAGTAATTGGTAAGTCTTTTGACCCTCCTCTCTAATCACCATGCATGGTTTCAGTCTCGAGCTTAGTAAGTATTACAATATCATTGCACATTACCTATTATTAGTAAGCATTTGAGATTATTGGTAAATATTCAGAAGTCATAAATATGCAGATTGTTGTAAGTATTCAGAAGCCACAAGTACACATTTTAAAAGTAACTAGTTTTCTGGCCTACGCTTTGCAACGATAAGACCCTAAATATAGTTTAAATCAAACAATTCACAAAATATTTGGGATTAATATACCTCTATAAATTTGTGTATTGATACATAAAAAAACAATTATCTCTCCATAAACTATACATAGTCTTACTAATATGAAAAGGTTACGTAATACAGCCTACTAAACCTGGGGTTCACCTGCAATTAATTCGATGCCAACGAGACTTCGCCCCCAGCAACCTTGTACCAACGGGACACCAACTGCTTCTCGTGTAGTAAAGATCTATGTTTTCTAGAATGGATTAATGAAATATATTTTAATATTTTCTATTTAAATTACATATAAATATCCATATGAATTGACTTGCATGGATCCGAGTCCCATGATAAATTTCCAAAGCCTGCAATATGATGAGATGGATATTGACATACCTTCCCCATTATCATTACTATACTTGAATTGAGCCTCTTATTAATGGAAATTGGTAAACAAATGTTTTAGGACTTAACGCAATTAATAAAACTAATTGACATTTAGAAACTCCAATACAGTGTTTAAATTTTGAATAGAGTACCACATTTTGATCTTACTAAAGGTCATTATCCTCGGCACAAAACAGCTTATCCCCACTATAAATGTAAACATACATCGACTCACTGAAAAACGTAGGAGATCATACGGTTAAGCCAACAAGAAGAATTGAAGATTACAAATTAAATTTTACAATTCCCTCAACGTGTAATAGCTATAAATCGTCACAGTAAGTAATAACAGTAAAAAATAACAAATGATGATAATAACAGTGATAAGAAAAAACATCTTCCCATACGCCTTGCTGCAGATATCAAAACCATATCCTACTTCCAACCTCAAAATAATGCCAAGCTACATTCTGGCAGCCACAGATGATTCCTCTGCGTGCAGATGAATAGCTCTGCCTCTGATCTGATCTGCTCTGCTCTGAATCTAATCTTCATGCCTACATGATGGCCGAGGTTATCAACTCAGCCTCCTTAGGACGCCACATTGTCTTCTGAACACACAGCAACCCCTCACCCTCCTTCGAGTAAATCATTCGGATGTCCCAGTTCATCGATTTTGCCAAGCTCTCGACCTCGGTTATGGTCTCGACATTGTCCCTTACGATAAGCTTGCCTCCTGGCCTCAAGATCCTGTCAACTTCCACCACCAGTCCCACCAGGCTACACCTGCAATAGAAAGAGGAAGGGGGAAAAAGCATTAACGATTGAGTTTATAAAGAGATTGATTTCAGCCGGAATGTGAATAGAGAAAGAGTGGGGAGCGCGTCTTCTGACCTCTTCTTGACAACCGATAGGAGATGATCTGCGTGCAGAACATCAAAAGTTCTGGGGTAGGTGTTGAACGACTGGCACCAATCATGGTACATTCCGAACAAACCACGCTCGTATATAATGGGAAGCGTGTCTGGAGAATCGATGGGAACCACATTCATAACCCACACTTGCAAGTCCTTCAGTGCAGCCGCAAACCTAGCGACATAATAAACCAGCATATGAGTGCATGACGAAAAAGGCAACTTCGAAGGAATAATAAGGTTGTGGATGACAAAAGGTTGTTTGTCTTACCCTCCATAAACCGCTCTCATGTCCATGACATTTCTTACAGAAGACCAGTTGATGCCCATTCCGTTGAGGTATGACTGCGAGACGACATTCTTCCAGTGCTTATAGTCAGCAGCAAAATCTTCCTGACCTGGTTTGCCATAAACTCCGACCTGGGATTTCAACCAGTATGGTGGATTCTCCAATCTCTTTGGCCATTGCTCTGGCCAGTTAGATCCTCGTAGAGATTCATCTCCGGGGACTTTGTGCATGCATGCCTCGAGGGGCACGTTCCTGAAGACGAGATACAAAATGAATTATGTGAGCAATCAAAAAAGTAGGGAACAGCAACCAAAAATAGCAGCATGCAGAGCCAATGTCCTCATTGAAAAACTCGAAAACAGCTGTAAACCCATTTTTAGCAGTACATTGCTCATATATTGAATATTAAGCACAGAAATTATTCCCAAACTTGGAGTGACATCTTAACGTTGCATAATCCTCTATTAGGGCAGAATATTTACCAGAAAAAAGCAATAATACTACTAATGGTCAGCTAATCATCCCCAGTTTTTCTTTGTTGTTTTTAATCATAAACAATCACGAATTATTCAGCCTCATAAACAAGGAAAAGAGGATAACATATATGCACAACAACCTTCTTGAACTTAAAAAATGACAAGACAGTGAAGTGTTTATCCCTTGAATTTCAAGTGAGTGCCTAGAGTATGAGAGTTTAAGCAAAAATGGATAAAACTTGAACAAGCAGGCGTTAATTACAAAGGGCTAGTCTATAGTATGCAATAACTTAAGACAGCTCACTCCTCTCTAGACCAGATTTCTAAGGACTAGTCGATAGTATACAATAGCTTAAGATAGTTTACTCCTCTCTAAACTACATGTTATGCAAAGCTCTGTGTAGCCTCTTATAGTCATCAGCAAGACTCTGGCAAGGGCTCAATGTGATAAACTCCATCAAAATGAAACTTAACCTAAAAGGCTAGTTGATCTATCACTTATATTTCATTAGAGATAGATGAAAAGCCCCAAATTTTGCTATATGGAAAAGTCTCTGCATAATGACTGAGAATAAGAAACAAACAACTCTTGAAACTGTGAAGAAAGTACCAAGCTGCATTTGGATCATCAGATTCTTTGCACAATGGTGGCTCATTCTTGGTTCGCTGGTTATAGCACTCATTAGACATCGGCTTTCTGTATATTGCAGCACCAACACCGTTCAGTGTATCCTTCTTGATAACCACCAGTTCCCAGCACATGGCCTTTGTCAACTTAGTCATTTCTGCAAACAATTTTCAAGAGCGAATAAATGTCACATCATTAAGACGAATTCAGAAATTCCATCCAGTTCACTGAAAGATAAATAAGTTACCTTCCCAAATTCCAACATCTTCTTCCAGCTTTTGGTAAACTGGAGTTGCAGACCACACAAAGTAGCCACCAGGTCGCAGCACCCTGTTGAGTTCCAAAAGAAGTTTACCGCCTGCAAAATAGAACTAAAATTAATCTCTGGAAGATTAAAAAAACAAGCTGGAAAGTTAGAATTATTTTGAGCAGGAGTTAACTATCACCTTCAATATGCCAAGGAACCCTGCAACGTGCACAGTGCACGACATCGAAAACATATCCCGGGAAAGGTAGCCTCTTGGTACCCATAACTGCTAATGTGGCAGGAATTCCCCTCTCTAGAGCAAATTGAACTTGTGCCTCATGCTCATCTTTGGGAGCAAAAGACATAGCAAGAACATCTCGCTCAAATAAATAACCACCAAAGCTTGCCACACCACATCCAACATCCAATATCACGCGGGTCCTTTTTCCCCAAGCAATATCAGGAAGAGACTGCAGTTGTAATAGAATATAAATTAGGCAACCAATTAATCCATAACTTAAATGACACAGTGACCAAAACTCAGGGGATCCAATGACAACTCACTTCTTGAATGAAATCGATGTAATGAAGAGCACCATGCTTAAACTGAGTTCCTCCACCTGGGAAGGTAAGATATTCACCACTAACTTTGACCCAATTTTGATGTCCTTTAACCTCTGCAAGCTTGGTATGGGGGACATTGTAATACCAGATCTGCATCATGTAAAAAGAAATGATCACAAGACAAAAAAAGATAAAACACTGGGTGATCTTGCAAGAGATAGCTATGAAGTAATAGAATTACCTTATCCCTGCTCTTAGGCCACTTAATTGACTGCTTATACCCTTCCGGCACAGGAACAAGGCAGGTAGGTGCTTCATCAGGGCAATGCCTCTCCCTATGTTCATAATGCTTAGTACTAGATAGCTTTCTGATAGCTTTCCAGTTGTCAAGGCAAGGGATATAGTCCGGCCCAGCAGTGGTATTGCATACTTTCCAGGCTTGGCCATCTTGTTTGACATCTGAAGGACTCTGCGAGCTTTTCTCCTTCTGTGATTCTGCAGCTTGAGTAGACCAAGCTCCATTCTGTGTACTAGTCTCGTTAAGAAGCTCTGACTGCGCACCCGCAGGGAAAACCTCAACTGCCTTATCTTTACCCTGACTTCCCTCATTACTCTCACTAGAATTTCCCTCTGTCTCACTAACGTCCTTATTCTCACCTTCCTCTGTGGACTTCTCCCCCTCATCTGACTCTGATTTTTCACCTGAACCACCCTCTGTCTCACTATCATTCTTATTTTCACTTGAATCTGTGGTGGTCTTCTCCCCCTCATCGGACTCACTCTTTTCCCCACTTGCATTTTCTTTCTCCTCAGAATCTGTATTTGATCCTGCCTCTCCTGAATTTTCATCCTCTTTTTTCCCATCACCATCCTCTTGAGACTTCTCAACTTGATTTTCTTCACCAGCTGGGTTAGAATCGGTCTCCGTCTGAGTTTCGGTCACCTTGTCATCATCCTGGAGATCCGATTGGTTGCCAGTATTAGGATTTTCAGTGCTCTCGCCTTCTTTACTTGAACCTTCTGGCATATCACCAGAACTATCTTCAAATCCCTTGGTGTTCTCAACAGTACTTTGTTTGCCCTGACTGGTGGCAGACTCTTGGGATGCCGGCACAACTGAACTCTGTCCAGGGACGACAGATGATGACATGAACATCCAAACTCCAACTAGACACAATGCAACAAAAGCAACCATACTGATCGTTGAACAATAGTTCGATGACTTCCTGCCATCGACCCGTGAGTACTTCCCCATTGCCATTTCGTCCTCAAGTAAAGAAGTTTACAGTGGCTTAAACACCCTGAAAATGCAAATCAAGAAAAGAAGTAAGCTCAATGTCACAGTGATGTGATCTTCCTCTTGAAGAGATTATTAGGGGAATGTTAGTTGCTACACGTCCCCTACCCAAGATTCAAACTAAATCTTAGATTGCATCTCTAGGTGGTGGTAGTGGTGGATCTAATGACAAGTGGGTACTTGTAAACATCTCCCTTTCTCCTCTCATTGAATCTCATGATCTCACAAATGAATCGGCCAATCAATCAAACAGACACAAAAGGACAACAGCAAGAACTCTAAAGAGGTCCACGTCACTACACTATCTTTTCCTGCACCACTTCGTTAGAATCAAAGTGGAGATCCAGCAGATCCGTTGACATACCATCTACAAATCATAATGACCAACAACGCACATCAACAATTAAGCACAAAAATACTGCCGGCACTTAAAAACCAAGTCAAAGTTTGTACCAAAAAGAAACAATTCTCCGCCATTGACACAATTACGACTGTGCATCAACCAACGATAGCAAGAGAAACAAGAAGAAAACAGTCCAATCTAGAATTAATCGAGCAAGACCCAGAAATAGAAACCCCTCCACTAATACTAATTTACTTCACTCGAACAAACGGAAGCGAAAATCCACCAGTAAAGAAATCGGAAGAGAAGAAACTTACCCTTGTGTCAACTAACACGACATCTGGAGGACTTGGATCTGACTAAAAGGAGCGAGGAGAAATCGGAAGAAACCCAAGTAAACCCAGTAGCCCTTTTCGCTGCTGCTGTCAGTTGCCGCCTGAAATAGCAAATGGAGCAGGCCAGGGGGGGAAAGGAACTGGGTACCCAGATGGCAAAGTAACGAGCTTTTTTTATATTAGGCCGAAAGGAAATCGACCAGCTAAGAATGAGAGTGAAACTCGGAGCAGCAAGTGGGATGAACAGTGGAGGATTAGTGGTGGTGGGAGACCATGAATGATAAGGAGATGGGGAAAGAGAGGAGGGGGAGAGGGATATTTTTATATTTGCTTTTTCACGCGTATTGGGACGAGAGAGACACTGTTGAGATCGGACTCAGAGCAATTTCAGCGCCATTTCCATTTATTTTAGAGTAAAATTCAAGTCACAGTTAGTCGCCACCGACGCTGCAAAATTTGACGCAACTCCCAGATCTGGATCGGAAGGGTTAGTTGCGGGGGGGATGGGTGGGGAACTCTGGGGATGATCACTTTTTTTTATAATATTCTGCCGGTGATTTGCATAACGATTTTATTAATAATTCCCCTTTCAAAATCAAAAGGTTAAATAACACCGTTTTCTAAAACATTCTTGCTTAGATTATTAATTTACCCTAAAAGTATTTATGGTACACTTTTTGATAGTTGAAGATTTATTATAAATGTACTTAATGGTAAAATTTTGATAAGTTTGAAGTTTTATTATACTCGTAAATGTATCTTATTGATGAGTAGAATTCAAGTAGAAGTTGTAAATTCATTAATAAGTGGAATTCGAGATAAATACGAGCTAATATTATAGTAAACGAGTCGAGGTGCAACCAACGTTTTCATGAACTGCAATTTTTATTAGTGTAGCATTTTTCTCAAAGGTGATAATAAGCCTAAAATTGTCTTCGAACCCCCTAAAATCCAAAAATATGCCCTCTTCTAAAATTGTCCCCTTATAAAAGTTACATATATTGAAAAGTTTTGCAATTTAAACAAGATTTTGCCTCAGTCATGTGGCAGAGCACAAAATTGCGTCATGTGTTTATGATTGCACTACCATGATGCAAAGAGATGAGGTAGAACATTCATACCACATATACTCACTATAACTATTCAATCAAAAAACTAACTATTGAAGTCGTAAACACGTATTTCCCAAGGATTAAATAACTATAGCAGAGGTCATATAGGAAAAGTCAGTGGTAAACTATTTAATGTTTAAATTGTGATTTAACAATAGATCAACGATTTCAACCGCTAAACACCACCTATCGATCTTGCTTCCAATAGGAGGTTTTTCTAATAAAAAACCGTTACGGTACGATTTTTTCATCCTTGGTATTCAGTCGCCTCAACAAATCAAATTGATATATAGAACAGATCTCTCTCGTTGTTGATGAACTAACTTTTGGTCTCTCAAGTTTCATTACTAAGATATATAGACCACATCACTCGAGTGAAAACGTGAAATCCACTCCAAAAGCCACGTATGAAGTATTTTATCAATGGTAAATTATAATTATAGTGAGTTATGAGGTGATTTATTACATATATGTCAACTTCAACGGCAAGCCGTTAAGTTAGGTGATAGTACAATTCCAAAGTAACATTAATATGAATCCATGCATCAATACTCATCATCATCATCATCCTTCACCTAAATGGAAACCACCCATACTGGTAAAAGCTGACGCACAGCCCAACTTGCCAGAATTGCAAAACTGGTTCATCCTCTCTTCCGCCTCTTTCTTCATCAAATTTCCTTCTTTGAGAAAGATGGAAGACAACAACCGAGCAGAGAAGGAAGGAGTAAGAAATGTGAAATACAGAAAGAGGATCCATTTGAAACCTCTTTTTGACGAGAGAGTGCCAAGCATCATATGGGTAGTTTGGAGAATTAGAGTTTAAATCTGTACAATTTGAATTATTAATATTCATTGTTTGGTAATTACGAGTGTTAACAAATGTCTTTTCTCTATCACATTTAACAGGATGGGATGAACGGGTCTCTTTCTTTAGTTTTCAGGTTATTTAGAAAAATAATCTTCTTAGAGCCTCAAATCTTAATAAAAAAAAAAGGTCTGGTTCACAACCTGATTGTCAACTAGACTGCCAAAATACAAGAGGAAGTGTTGGATTTTGGGATTTGTTGGAGAAAGTGGAAAAGTTTGTGTTTGTTTTTTGTAAAAGAATTTGGGGGAAATTGGTTTGTGGGTTTTATAGGGAGAAGCAAAGAAAAGCACTTCATTTATTAACTATTTCAGTTATGAATTTCATAGTAATAGTAATAAAAAGAAAATACATGTATATTTGTTGTTTAATATTTTTAGGGTTAATAGCATTTTCTATCACTCTACTATTACAAATTAATAAATATATCCATCTATTAAATTTTTACATAAATATACCATTTTAACATTAAAACGTAACAAATAATCCTCCATCCAATTAAGTAATTATATGTTAACTAACCGTTTAATGAACGGTAAAATTACCCAAATGCCCTCATTTAGTTTCTAAAACTAAATGGCGCCGGACTCTCTACGTTGGTGATTGAGGAAGGCGAAAAGGTTAAAGAAAGGTGATGGGTTTTGTTTAAGGGTAGGCTTTAATTGGTTTGACTTGTGATGAAACAAAATAAAAATGAAATGAGAACTAAATGAGGGTATTTTAGTAATTTTTCAACTCGTTAAATGGCTGATTAACAGATAATTAGACGAAGGGGTATATTTGTTATGTTTTGATATTAGAAAGGTATGCTTGTGCAAAAATTTAGTACAGTGGTACAATTGTTAATTTGTAATAATAGAGGGGTACAAAATGCTATTTTTTTACATGAAGAGTACTATCACAACAATGGACCATTATGTCAATATTTCAGAACACTCTACTAATAGAGGGGTACTCGCCCCATTGGAAATAGTGATGGCAATGGGGCGAGTACCTCAATACCAATGTCCCACCCCAAACTACTGCAAGTCAGAGCGGGTAATACCCACGCAGGTAAAGAAGCAGGGTGGGTTCAAATTGTCATCTCTAACTGTTAATATTGGGTACTAGACCCTAAAATTGTTGACGATTTTAACGGTATGAAACTGTTGAAACACAATTAAACTATGATTTTAGTACAGAACACTCTACCACTAAATTCTCGATATAAGCGCTCCAATACGAGTTCACAATCCTTCAACTATTAATTATGCTCTCAAAGTGAGCGTCGCATATCGTAACAGACACCACCCTTACCATATGTTAGTCTAATCATTTGTTTAATTTTTGTGAAAGTTTCTAGAATTAACTTTCCCAATTTAACTCTTGCTCATAGAATATTCATTTTTTTGTCATTTACTTCATGAGATTGACCATGACTTCTATGTTTGTTTCATTCATTTTTTGCATCAATGGTTTCCTTCTTCATTTGCTTTTTAACGTCAATTCCATTTGTTTTTCTTCTTCAACTCCTCTTTTTAAGATAACATTGCACTCATAAATAATCGTCAATAACCTTGTTTTCTTGACAATTGTGTTTACTGCTTAATTCCCAAAACGTTGGAGTAAGTTTTTTTTTCTAATAATGAAGTAAGTTTTTCTATACTAACGAGGATGATTCATTACTGGAAGTTTCAATATGATGTCTAGAGGAAGCTTTTAATGTTGTTGCTGCAAAGTGTTTAACCTATAGACTTATGATATAGAACTTATTGATAGAGATTACAGTTTCTTTATTGTGATTATTTAGCAATGTTAATTCTGTTGTTGTAAATGCATCACATAAGTGTGGTTTATAACTGCAGCTTGTGTTGCTCTTGTTCATGAACTAATTTTTTGTATTAACAATAAAGTATGTCATAATTATCCAAAAAGGGTTTTCTACAATAATACCAATCTTGTAATCTCCATAATGATCATGTTCTTTATTTTAGTGACACCATTTTACTGTGGATTTTAGCACACTTTTATCTAAAATTGCACGACTTCATCTTCACACAAAAAAAATCAAACTCGTTTGAGGTGTATTAGAGATTGAAAATCCAACTCAATCACATGATAAGAGAAACTCGATTGTAGAGCTTCATTGATCCCTAACCACAAAGTCTTCGCTTTAATCATCTCAACCCTACAAACTGTAGCGGGGAATGAAAGAGAGAGTCATGTGGTTGTGATATTTGATGAATGTCAAATCAAATAGTTGGTTATTCCTTTCTCTTTCGTTTTCTAGAATTTTGTTTGTCTCGGGTTCGTTTATCAAGTCATAACAAAAAGATGACATTGCTTCACGAGAAATTGGATGATTGGACAGTTGCTTTGATTATGCTTTGGAATGAGAATTGACAATGGTATATTGTGTATTGATGATTTTGTTGTATGTTCTTTTCGCTTATTTGTCATTGGATCACTTGTTATTCTTTTAAGGTTGGTTAGATTGCGTATGGATGGTTTGGTTGTATCTTTTGTTTTTTCATTTGTTATTATATTCATTACTTGTTTTTTAAGACTTGTTTTGAGTAGAGATTTTGTTATCACAAAGCTAAAGAGCTGGATGATTGGGCTATCGGGTCGTTTTTTTTTTAATGAGTTGGATGGTTGGATTGTAGATTGTATAATGTTGTTTGGTTGCACTGTTTGTTTGATCCTTAGGTATTAGATTTCTTATTAGTCTTTAAGGTTGGTTTTGATACCGTTATGATTGAGTAGCAAGTTTTGAATTTGTCTTTTTAATCTTCTTTCTTTTCTGCTATAGTAAGCTTTCTGACTAGTTGATAAACTTCTTCATTTTCCAGGTTCAAAATGTCAAACTCTAACTTCACACTTAAGCAGTTTATCTCAGCAGCTAGACAACTTGACAAAGTTGTGGAGACTGGGATAGTTGATAGTTTTCTTCTTTATTTTTTGTTTATCGTCGATTTCATTTGTTTATCTTCTTCAACTCTTCTTCCAAGACAACATTTCACTCATAAATTATTGGCAATAACCTTGTATTTCTTAACAGTTGTGTCTACTGCTTAATCCCCAAAATGTTGGAATACGTTTTTTAATATAACGGAGTAAGTTTTTCTATACTAACAAGGAGGATGCATTGCTGGAAGTTTCAACATGATGTCTAGAGAAACCTTTTAATGTTGCTAATGCAGAGTGATAAACCTATAGACTTATATTATAGAACGTATCGATAGAGATTACATTTTCTTATTGTGATTATTTAGCAATGTTAATTCTGTTGTTGTAAATGTATCACATAAGTGTGGTTTCTAAGTGCATCTTGTGTTGCTCATGTTCATAACTAAATTTTTGTATTAACAATAAAATATGTCACCATTATAAAAAAAAAGTTTTCTACACTAATACAAATCTTGTAATCTCCATAATGGTCATGTTCTTTATTTTAGTGACTCCATTTACTGTGGATTTTAGCCCACTTTTATAAAAAATTACACTACTTCATCTTCACAAAAAAAAAAAAAATCAAACTTGTTTGAGGTGTATTAGAGATTGAAAATTCAACGCAATCACATGATGAGAGAAACCTGATTGTAAACTTCATTGATCCCCAACCACAAAGCCTTTGCTTCAGTCATCTCAACCCTACAAACTGTAGGGGAAATGAAAGAGAGAGTCATGTGGTTGTGATGTTTGATGAATGTCAAACTAAATAGTTGGTCATTCCTTTCTTTTTGTTTCCTAGGATTTTGTTTTCCTCAGGTTTTTTATCAAGTCATAACAAAAAGATGACATTGCTTTACTAGAAGTTGGATGATTGGACAGTTGCGATGAATATGCTTTGGAATGAGAATAGACATTGGTAGATTGTGTATTGATGGTTTTGTTATATGTTTTGTTCGCTCATTTGTCATTGGATCACTTTTTATTCTGTTAAGGTTGGTTTCGAATAGAGATCTTTTCATCACGAGGCTCGAGAGTTGCATGATTGGACTGTCACTTCATGAAATTGTACTTTTACAATGGAAGAATTCGTCATCAAAGTTCTTTACATTTGTCGCCAAAAAATTTTGTACGGATTCTAGCGGTGTGGAGAAGTGCACTTCCATTCTCGCACCACGTAGGGGATCCAAATAAATTACACTATTTTCCAAAACATTCTTTCTTGATTATTAATATATCCTGAAAGTATTTATGGTACACTCTTGACTCTTGATAGTTGAAGATTTATTCTCTTTTTTTTTATTGTTGAAAAGAGGCGCAAGGCATTGATGCTAACTAACCATTAATAGAAAGAACAATAAAATAGAATGGAGTCATACAAAAGCCAATGTGAGATCATGGGGTCTTCAATGGATAACGAATAAGACCATGGTGCTAAAGCAAGGGATCCAACTTTTGATAGCAAAAAACAAAGTCATAGATAGAAAGTGACGAAGAGCCTTACCTCGGAGCCGATTGGAGCCTAAATTTCACCATTGGAGCTCGGATTGGCCCCTCGAAGAGCATATCTTCAGAGGGCTTCAAGACTTTCACGAAGTAACTCACTGCTTTCTACTCTCCCAATCACATTTTTCTACTCTCCCTATCACGTTTGATGATAATATATGCAGTCAAAAGACAAGTATTAGGAATGTATGAAGGCGATCTTTCCATCGAAGAAGCCCAACACATGACTCTGACTGATCTTTATATGATTGCATTGCACACTCCAACCATTGTTGAGCTCCCCATTGAAATTGCATTGATTACAGAGGTAACAAGTACAAGCAAAGGGATAGACGTACACTGATACACAAGGAAGAGGGAAAAAAGAAAATGATAACTTAGTATACTAGTCCAGTTAGAAACCGAACAGAAAAATTAGGGTTACCGATCTGGCTGAGTCGCGGACTAGGTCGCTCTCTTTAAGACGTTCGCGGCACTGCCTTCGTTGCGCACGGCAGACTATCCGACGGTCGCCTCCAGGATAAAACAGCCAATCTAATGATTTGCTCATCGGGTTTGTGCGAAAACCGGAGCTCTATGAACTCACTCTCTATCTCGTGTTTCTGCTCTCTGAGGTGTGTTTAGAGGGTCTGGGGCGTCTCCTATTTATAGGAGCAGAAAACCCAGAATATTCCCTCTTTCTTTGGGAATAAGTCACATTTTAATTAGGGAGATAATTACTCCCATAATTAAAATATAATCTATTAAGATAATTATTTCTAATTATCTCCATAATATTCCTTTTATTAATTATCCATCTTATTTTCGTATTATGGGGAAAATACTGGATAATTAATTAGGAATTTCGTTTATAGCTTTTCAAGGCTATTCATCCCAACAATCCCCCACTTGAATAGTTTTGAAACTATCTCTGAGCATCAACAATTCCATAAGATCGGGCATAAGCTAAGGTATCGCGAAGATTTGAACCTTAGCGTAATGGTTACACTTCCGATTTCATAAGGGTGACTCGTAGTCTTGAACCCTATCTCAGACAATGTAGCACACCGGATCTTTTCATTAAGTGATATTCTCTCATAGGTCGTGCGTTTATGGCCATGCATGTTATCCCGGTTTAGTGAACGCTCTAGCAACTTTGTGCCTCCAAAGTTCCATAGGGAGCGGCCCCACTCCCACATTCACATAGGTGAGTCTATCAGAAGTACCCCCAAAGTAAAGTACTTCACTCCACATAGAGTATAGATCTCATTAAGAGTTTAACTCAACCTCCAAGGCTTTGGGATTCATGCTCTACTATGCATGAACTTTTCTCAATATTACTCATGACTTGTTATTACCCATTGAACCCGTTTCTTGGGATCTCCAGTCTATCGGGTCGGGTTACCATCACTTGTAATCCATGGTTCGGTAGGCATAAGTCTCATACCCTTTGTGGTATTTTGGACTTTCTCTCTAGATAATCCTTTCGTCAAAGGATCACCTAGATTCTGTTAGGACCTTACAGGATCCACCCTCATTGCTCCTATCGTTAGGAGTTCTCTTACAGTACTGTGCTTACGACAAATTTGTCGTCTCTTTTTGTTCTAGAACCGGTTCCCTTCTATTGCAATAGCTGCGGTGCTATCACAATTAATCAACTACCGGAGGGATCGGTCTTTCCCATAAGGGAATCTCTAGTAGTGACCCTCTCAATCAACTTTCCTCTTTACTAGCCATTGCTAGTTCTATCATTTTCGATTCTTAGTTGATTGAGCCAGGATCGTTTACTTCTTATACTTCCAAGACATAGCTTCTCTATCGATGTTTAAAACACATCCTCTTGTAGTCCTCTATAGGGTATTCTAATCCGCATCACTATACCCTACCAATACAGCAAAACCTTTGATAACAAATACCAAGGTTTTTTCTGTTCTTTTAAGGTGTCTCATGACCCTTTCAATAGCATTTCAATGCTTCATAATAGGACAATCAATAATCCTGCCAAGTACCCCCACTAAATCGGGTCTCATGTTTATCAGCTGCCTCTCGCAGACTGTAAATGCTAGTATATTCTAACTTTCTTACACCGTCTTAGGTGTTCTTTAAATTTTTATACTAGCACCATCAAACATGTATGCAGGTGTACATCTTGTATTTTCCTAGTTATTAGGATCTCTTAGCATAACATTGGTTTCATTCAGATCATTCACAATCAAAATTCTCAACCATCATGGTTTTTCAATATTGACATTACGAGTCTTTGTACCAAAGATCGACGTGTCATTCATAATGCAAGTGTCATTCTCAAATTTGTACTAAATGCACTTGTCAATTTCACTTTTAAAACCATGAGAAAGAACTAGTTTATTCATGCCATCGTCTTAGAGTCTATTTCAAATCTTACAATGATTTGTCTAACTATAGACTCCCTAAGCATGTTCAGGAATAACAACCCTATAGGTTGTCCCATGTATATTTTCCTATCTAAATCACCATTCACAGAAACATGTTTAACAATCCATCTGACACACAACACTAGCAATCAGAACATACATGGATGTTATTCTACATATTGGTGAATAGATATCAAAGAAATCTACAATTTATTTTCCCTTCACCTAAAGCCATCGCTACTAGGCGATCATTATACTCATAAACTAAACCATCAGGTATCAGTTTTCCTTTTAGGAATCCATTTATTACCTTGGCTTCATTGCCAAGAGGTAATTCTCAAAGATGCCAAATCTTGTTCGATTCTATCGATATCTTACCAAAGGCTTTTCAACCAAGAGGTAACTCTACAAGATTTTAAGTCTTATTAGACTCCAATAATTCCATTTCGTTAATAATGGATTCTCCCACAATTATGCATCTTTATGGAAGTTCGAACTTCTAGCAGACTTGTAGGATCTTTCTTTTTTAGGGTGTAAATAACAATTTCATAACCAAAATCCTTTCGTGATTTATGGTTCATTTGTCTCTTCTGAGTTCATACTCAGATTCATCACCCCCACTAGTTATCCATTATCTCTAATATTTGGCAGGATATCACCCCCACTATTTCTTAATATAAATGGAATCTATTGGCATCAATGGTTTTCACAAACTAATGAGTATTTCGTTTCATAGGATTATGTGTTTTACAATAACTTACACACTCATATGCTCTTCTAGTTATCATGTCACTGATTCTCTAATGCTACCACATGCATGCCACATATCGAATAATCAGTGCAATCATAATGCAACTAGGCATTTCAAACTATTTCCAATAACTAGTTAGACAACCAGAGCACTCTAAAGAGCAATAAATCATTTATTGTCTTTTCCATCAAGTTTACCCATATCAAAATAAATCAGATCTATCGATTCTGATTCTCTAACCACATATTTATGGGTCATTTAGCTTGAATATACAAAATTCATATTTTTCTCAAGCATCCAATAATAATATGGGAATGCAATATAAGATATTCTAATTATTCACAAAGACACACTTGGAAGAATTTATCTTATCAACTTAACCATTCCTTATGTCTAGGAAAGTCAATGACTTTCTAGAGGTAGGATTCTCTTCCACTTTCCCAGAACCATTAACAATAGTGGTGAGGGTCTTGCCCAACAACACTTTCTCCTTCAATATGCGTCAATGTATGATTGAGCTTAGCTCGTTTATCAGATGCATGCCTTGAGGCGCCAATATCCAACCACCATTCTTCAGAGTTGCCATTAAGGCCTATCACCCCATTAGTGATTTTTACCACCAAATCCTCTTATTTAGTCAATTTAACACTAGGTTAAACTTTTTCTTACACTTTCGTGTCTTATGACCTAGTTTCTCACAAATAACAGAGAAACATAGCGTCATTCTTAGAGGATTGGGTGGCAATCTTATGGTTACCACGATGGGTACCATTCTAATTGGTGTGGATCTGGTTCAGCTTGCTGCTCTCGTTCTTGAAACTTTAATGTTTCACAGCAACCTAAGTGGTTCGTGTAGTACTGATAATAGTACTTCTTATAATATCGTTATTATGGGCAATAAACCCATTCTATTCCCATATATTCTTCAATGCCCACATTTAAACAAAATCATATATTCTTTCCATAGCATGTATTCAATTTATGCTCTAATCATCGAGATACGTAATATATCTCAATATCATGCATCAATTCAAGCTTTCATTCTAGCATTCATAACTCAATTTCATGCATCAAGTTATATGTCATATATTCTAATTTTATCATTTATAATGATTCAACGAAAAAGGTTTCAGTTGTTACCTCTTTTCTCAAAAGTCACTGCCTGATTCTTTATGCTACTTAGCTCAAGAGCGGAAGCTTTTGGGAATCAAACTTACGTACTCCAAATTGATTCTTCTTTTCCGGACGAGGAACTCTCTGAACAAGAGTCTTCCTTCTGAGATTGGCTACCACTCCGGCAGTAGGTAACTTGAGCTTTGGGTGATATATAATTCGTCTCAATAGCTAGCAACGCACAACTTCCTTATTGCTTTCACTTTTGGCCGTCCTTGTCCAATCAAATTGTTGAGGTAAGCTGTGGCGACGACCAAATCTGAAACCCCCGGCAGCTGGACACCAAAATATTTCCGCGAAGATTGATTATGGGCTAGAGGCAACTGGTCACCGAAATCTCCTTTAATCCCCGTGGTTGTGTTCCGTCTTGAAATTCCCACAAGCCCCGTGGTTGTATTATGGGCTGGAGGCAGCTTTCTCTACTTGCTTTTCATGACCTCCTGTCTCACCCATTAATCGTAGTCATAGTGGAATTGATCCACAGCTAAGAGATATATACATAGTATACATAACATAACCGCAGAGGGAAAGAAGACCTAAATTGGCCAGGCGAGAAGCGGAAAAGGAAAACCATGGAATAATTATTCTTTCAAGATAAGTAAATCAGAAAGATATCCACTCATCGATTGATCATCCATGGTAGCTTCCGTTTGGCCGGGTACGTGGTCGAATTTATTGTTCGTGGAAAAATATGGTCCAGGTAGCCTCCACTCAGCTTTCCTTTCGGCTACTGGTATAAGAACAGAGCGGAGACGATCGATGCTTGTGCCAGCGACGGGATTGGGCCGAGTTGAAGCCAGACGCAGCAAATAGCAATCGAATCTGTTCTCTTGGGCAGCGATTAGAGCAAAATGAGTAGCGCTAGGCAGAGCGACAACGATGGTTCGCGCTAGAATCGGCTTCCTGTTCGATAGATTTGACAGCAGCAAGCGATCGTCTTAAAATTGTTAGAAACCGAACAGAAAAATTAGGGTTACCGATCTGGCTGAGTCGCGGACTAGGTCGCTCTCTTTAAGACGTTCGCGGCACTGCCTTCGTTGCGCACGGCAGACTATCCACCGGTCGCCTCCAGGATAAAACAGCCAATCTAATGATTTGCTCATCGGTTTTGTGCGAAAACCGGAGCTCTATGAACTCACTCTCTATCTCGTGTTTCTGCTCTTTGAGGTGTGTTTAGAGGGTCTGGGGCGTCTCCTATTTATTGGAGCAGAAAACCCAGAATATTCCCTCTTTCTTTGGGAATTAGTCACATTTTAATTAGGGAGATAATTACTCCCATAATTAAAATATAATCTATTAAGATAATTATTTCTAATTATCTCCATAATATTCCTTTTATTAATTATTCATCTTATTTTCGTATTATGGGGAAAATACTGGATAATTAATTAGGAATTTCGTTTATAGCTTTTGAAGACTATTCATCCCAACAAGCCCAAGCAGTATCCTCAGGCCAGAAGATAATAAAAGAACAAAATTACAATAAAGCCAAAAAAATTATCATACTACTCCTAGCAGCAATACGATGCCTGAAGATTTGCGAACAACTATTTTACAACAAAGTCAATTGCATGGGATGCTCTTGATTTGAATTCCAATGCACACTTTCTGGCTTCCTCAAGTTTTTTCTCGCTGCAAGGAATAGGGAACGGCTACGGTGCTAATTGTACAATAGTTAGCACCATCCTAACCAAGGGAAAAACTACTACTAGTTTGAATTAGTAGTGATTTAGCTTAGATTTTGTATTGATTTTATAATAATCCGTAGTAATTTTTGCTAATTATCACAGTGCTAACCCCTATAAGGGTTAGCCCCTAATCCTATCAAGGAATATTTGGCATGCCACCAGTCGGATTGCTAAGATCAACAACTATTCTCTCCATCCCCACGAAACACTCCAGCACATACTCCATACACTCGCAGTCAACTGGATAGCCCTTAAACTCAATAATCTCCACCGCGTTAATGCTTTGATGAACTACTCTAACATCACTTGGAATCAACACTCCTTTAAATTTATCTAACGTGCATTGTCTTCATGTGATCCAAGGTTTTAAGTTTTAATGAAGTTTGTCTTTCAACTTTTAAATTTCAATAAGGTCCTGAAGACTCCGTATGTTTCTATTAAGCACATGGTGTTCGGATTTGTGCTTGTGCAAACTCCAAGCCTATTGAGTGGATTGGAATTGAGGGGTATGTTAGTAAATGTTATATATGATCTCTAATTGAACCTCTCCCAATAACTTGAGTTATTGGGAGCAACTAGTTCTTGACATGACATCATTATTACCATCAAATTGGGGAGGGTATTAGAGTATGAGTATTATGTCAAATTACGAGTACCAGTATTATGTAATTTATCAAGTTTTCTATTCCATATTAGTGTTAGAATTACTATAGGAGTTTGTCCTTGTACTCTATATAAACCCTAAATAGTATCAATAATAAGATAGAACAGTTCTACCGTACTCTGAGATATCAAAATGGTATCAGAGTCTTCTTTGACTCGTTCGAATCCTGATGACCCCCATTTATTCTATTAAGCGCATGGTGTCCGAACCTGTGCAAACTCCAAGCACATATTTTTTGACCGAAAGGTCTTTTGTTTGAATCCCGATGACCCCATCTATTCTGTTAAGCATATTGTTTCCAGACCTGTACAAACTTCAAGCCCATACATGGCGGCTTTCGTTTGAGGGAGGGTGTGTGTTAAGATATGATATATGATCCATAATTGAACATTTCCCAACAACTCGAGTTATTGGGACCAACTGGTTATTGACAGTTTTTAAACGGCTACTGAGTCGCTAAAAAAATATGGTTGGTGAGAGTCATTTGTTTGCCCGGTTCTTGTCCAATCCAATCCGACCGAACTGGTCAAACTTTGGTTTGACAACCTTGGTTTTAATATACTCACACCATCCAATCATATCATAACTACCACAATTAATGAATTTGCTAGGAAGGGCTTCTCCGTAGAATTCGAAAGGAACTTGTAAATTGTACTAGATAATCCCTTCTCACTTGCGCTTCGCGGTAGTGAAAGATAACACAGTAAATGCGTTGTCATGAAAAGAATTGTTAAATGTAACTCATGCAATTTTAACGACAAGAAAAATCACTAAGATAGAGTGGTAGGGTAGCGCTAGAAGAAGTGGTAGCGCTATCACTCGACGAAAATCACTATTGATAGACTGGTGAAGTGGTATATTTGGAGTGATACATTTTTTTAACGGAGTGTTACAATTTTTCAGGTGGTTGGAGGGAGTCTAACGGAAAGATTTTACCGAAAAAAGTCAGTTGGTCGGAGTGAAGTGCTTGCTGGAAAAAGAAGGTAGAGAGAAATATATTTATTGTAGGATTTAAATTTCAAAGAAAGCAATGTATTTATTATGGATTTTAATTCGCAAAGTGTAATTAATAAGATTTTTTTTTGGACTATCCAAACTGTCCTTGGTTTTGACCGAATCCGGTCCCCATATCTAGCATTCAATTTTTTAAGATATTATATAAAAAAAATTAAAGATATATATCACAATTAAAAAGCAATAATATATGTCAACCCCATAAATACTATTCCGAAAAATAAAATCTCATGTAATAAATGTTGTTAAATGCATAGTGTGAAGAGGAATCTCATGTAATAAATGTTGTTGAATGTATATAGTATCAAGAGGAATGAGACCAATTTAGAATTTGCTCCAACTAAATCCTTATAAATAGATTTCCCATTTCTCTTCACGTTGTACATTCAACAACATTGTGACTAGGGGTACTTAAGTTAATTATTAGCACAATTACTTATTCTCCCCACAAAAAAAAAAAGGTTCCAATTAAATTAATCCCAAAGTATGAAGTTCTCCAACATCTTCCTCCTATTCTTACTCACATTTGTTGTCATCACTGGTAACTATCTAAGAATCTTCTTCTTTTTCGATAGTACCTGTAGACCAAGCTAGCCCTTGTTTACTATGGTATTTTCATCATATTATTGATAATAAAACTTCATCCTTGTTATTATAGCAAATGAAGTGGTCATGGCGAGGAAGACAATCACTACTGCTGTAGCTTCTGGAAAAAACAGTACGAAAAGAGCAATGCCAATGGTCGATGATGGGTGCGACTCATTGATGTGCCCAGCTAGGTGCAGGCGGATCTTTTGTTATGGTCAATGTGAAGGTGATAAATGTGTTTGTTATTGTCCAAGTTGATTAGCAAAAATAAAATTGCTATGCTTTGTGAGAATTAATTATTTATCATTTGTATGATATGCATATGATTCTATGCTAGTCGTTAGCAAGAGATGTTTGAAGTAATAAAAAAAATTACTACAGTAATAAAAATGTTTAGAAAGAGTTGTATCGTGTGTATACTGTTTTTTCTATATGGGGTCGTATAAGTTAATTTCCTTTCTGATGGTTGGAAGTATTATTATCGTATCCAACATTCAATACATTTGGGATTATGAGCGGTAAATCTATTAATCAATTAGCTAATAAATTATATCAGTTAATTAAATGGAAACAGGGCCAATTACCATTAACTAGACACCTAGTGATACTACCATGTATGTAGAACACCATAACTCAATTTTTATTATTCATTTGGGAATGATAGATTTTACTGAATCAGGCAGGAAGTTCAAATATCTTTCCATTTCATCCTCTCTGTAAGAAGGTTGGTCTCAATCATCTGTGCTTCGCAGATGATCTATTCATCTTTACTACAGGTTCTGGGCAGTCATTGTTGAAGGTTAAGGAGTTGTTAAATAGATTCTATGAGTTCTCTGGTTTGAAGTGTAATCCAGAGAAATGTGAGGTGTATTTTGGTGGGGAGGCTGTGAAATTGAAGGGGAATGCTTTGACTGTCTCTCAATTTAAATATGGATCTTTACTTGTTAGATACTTAGGGCTGCCTCTGCTATTTGGAAGACTAAAAGAAGCTGATTGTGAAGTGCTACTTGATAAATTGACCAAGCGTATCCGATCTTGGCAAGCTAAGAAGCTGACGTATACAGGGAGGTTGCAACTTGTTTCCTCTGTTTTGATGGGCATGGTACAATACTGGTTCCAACTTTTTATGTTTTCTAAAAAGTTCATTTGGATAACTAAAGAAGACTTGCTATGATTTTCTATGGCATGGGGGGATACAGGTCGAGCAAAAGTGTCATGGGAGAGAATTGCTTGTCCACGACAGGAGGGTGGCCTGGGTGTACGTGATCTCATTTCTTGGAATAGAGCGTGCACTGCTAGGATGCTCTGGCTCCTCATGATGCGCTCAAGTGCCCTTTGGGTCGGTTGGATGTATGCTTACAGATGCAAAGGGGTGGATCTTTGGAGTATGAGAATTGCATCTTCTAGTTCCTGGGCTTGGAGGCGAATTCTGAAGCTTCGCCTTGTTTTTCAGCCTTTGATGGGTGTACCGGATGGGGTTGGAACATGGAAGGGTAGGAAATGGATATCTTACTTTGTTCATGAAGTTTGGAACTCATTGAGGCATGTGAACAGTAAGGTCAGCTGGTTCAAGTTGCTGTGGGGAAACATCATGTCCCAAGATGGAGTTTTATTGCTTGGATAATCACAAAGGATGCCATGGTTACGAAGGTTAAGTTACTAGTGGACAGAGCACATGATGATGTATGTGGGTTATGTGGTGCTGCTAGTGAGACGAGAGAGCATCTATTTTTTGATTGTGTCTTCTCAAGTTGTTTATTGGGGAAAGTGGGACTGCGGTTTGGTTGGTAATTCTTGGGAGACTTGGATATCTGAGGCAAGTGCACTAGTTGCTGGGAATAATGCATGGAGTCGAATGATAGGCTTAATATGGTGCTTTTTGATCACTTTCATCTGGCAGGAGAGGTGTCGAAGAGGCCATTGAGACAACCCAAGAAGTGCTGAAGTTGTGAGTGCCTTATGGTTGAATGATATTCGGTTTGCTGTAGGAGGATGTCCAGATTTATTAGATGATTGTGTTCGACTTGGTTTTTTGTTTTTGTGAATTGCAGGTCGATAGAAGTGGTTTAGACAGTTTGATTTGTGTGTAGCAGTAGATAATATAGTAGGTTGGCTCTCTAGAGAGGTCCTTATGTGAAACTCTCTGCTTCATTATATCATAAGTGATTTTGATCACTTGTCCGTCTTTACTTGAAATAAAAAGAGGAAACTGATTCAACGAAAAAAGAAAGATATATTAAAGTCAATTATGATATTTCTTCTAATATCAAACCATACATTCGCCATATGCTAGATTATTTTTATGAAAAGTTTGAGAGTAACAATCATATAAAGATGTGAAACCTGTTAAATTAATTCGAGTATTTATATATAATTTTTTCATCCAATTTTGTACGTGCTCGTATAATTATTATGGACTCACGTCATAATAGTACACTCTCAATTGAAGGTGCATAATCTGATGTTCATCATTTTAATCATCATAACAAGATTAAATTTTTTAATTATATTTATTTCCACTTTACAAAAATAATTGTTGGTTTGCAATCCAAATACTACATAAAAAAATAAGCGAAATGTTCCTCGTATAGAAGTGTCACCTATCTGCATTAGTACAATTTTTTTCGTAAGATACAAAACCACATATGAAACTACTAGCTTTGCCTAGAGCGAATACAATCATACTAATGCGAAGTTTTCCATCTCAAAATACAAATCCAAACTTCTTCCTGTCACATTTTGTCAAAACCATAAATATTGCATCTCTTTTGCCAAATATAAAATTATTTTACTTAAAAACCAAATGTTTGTGGTAATACATGATAAACATAATCCATATATAATTTGGTCGTGTTAATTAGAAGAATATCGAGACTTTGCTCTTTATAAATAGATCTCACATTTCACATGGCTCTGTACATTTCACAATAGCTGATCTTCTGACTCACCATAAACAATTTTTGGTTTCATCATATTATTATTAGTATCTCAGTTACTATTATTCTGATTATTTTTCGAAATACTGGGAACTGTTCATGTTTTCCCCCGGTTTTATTGAAGAACAATTATGTGGAGGAAACAGGTTGAATAAGATTTTGGAGATGTGGGCTCGCACCACAAGCAGAGTCCCACCACAGGCCTTCCCACAGCCACCGTCGACCTCTGTTCACCACATACTTCTATTTCCCATTTCCCTTTGTTCCAACAAAAATCCATTAGGAACTGCAAAGCTTTGTGGTCAGAAAACGAACAAGAAGAAGAAAAAGAAGGAACAATGATTATGACGATGAGGAGCAAAAGATGAAGAAGACTAAGGGCCAGAGCTTGTTATGCCTCTCTCATGGCATGTCATTCTGCCTTCTTTGCTCCTTCTCCGCCCTCTTCTTCATTCCTCGCCAATCACAACAATGACAGTCCTAGTCCCTTCAGGATTCGTAAATTGAGATTCTTCCCACTCGCTTTGTCCTCCATTAACGCCGACGCCTCCAGATCTTCGTACAACGGCCTCGTCTCAGAGGTACTTTTCGGCTTTCTGGTTCATCTTGTTTCTGGGTCCATTTTGTGTAAGCCAATTCTTCTGAATTTCGCTCGTCAGTGTCGAAATTTGGCATCTGGGTTTCCTTAAAGCTCGAAGCTTTTCTTAGGGTAAACTTGCTAACTGCCGGATTGGGTGTGTTGCCAGGCAGTCAGGCTTCTGGGTCCGTCAGCAAGATTCGATGCTTCAAAGCTCAAAGTGGTGCTGGTAGGAAGGGAGAATGACTACTCGAGAATCATCCCTAGAACTTACATTCTGTCTCACTGTGACTTCACTGCAAACTTAACATTGACGATTTCCAGTGTCATCAACTTGGACCAGGTAACTGAAATAGGGTTCTTCTTCTCTAGTGAATGAACGCTTTTGCTGCAACTTTTGAGCTTTAGGATGATGAATTTTATATGCTGAAGTCACTCGTGTTTTTGTAAGGGCAGCTAAGTGGATGGTATAGCAAGGATGATGTGGTTGCTGAATGGAAGAAATTGGAAGGGCAGTTGTGCCTGCACATTCACTGTTATGTCAGCGGTCCAAATCTCACATTCGACCTTGCAGCCGAGCTTAGATATCACATTTTCTCCAAAGAAATGCCTCTGGTGAGTTTGTCCCTGCATCCTGGGTTATTCATTCCAAGAGTCGAGCTTTTGCTAGTTCTAAGAACTCCTCCAGCTACTGCTACCATGACTTTGTGACAATGTACAATGCCTTTTGCTTTTAGGGATGTTCGAAATGTATAATGAGTCTGCGCACCATGTTTTTATGGCTGATTCAGCTTTTAATGAGTATCTGTTTCGCATATGTGAATGGCAGGTACTCCAAGCTTTGTTATATGGTGATGCAGAGCTCTTTCAGGCGAATCCGGAGCTAAAGAATGCTTTAGTTTGGGTTTATTTCCATTCTAGCTCACCAAAGTACAATAGAATGGAATGTTGGGGATCCCTCAAGGATGCTGCTCAGGTTAAGATTTAGACTCGCATTGATAAACTGAACCGATTTTGATTCTGTGTTATGCCAAAAAGAACGATCAACTGCTGCATAGTTTTTGTTACTTCTTATGTTGATAACTTCAATTGCTCTTATCAGGGGAGACAGGGAGTTAAGTACAGAGGCCTTTTAGCCGAAAACAAAGGCAGTCCGAGGAAACGCCCACGTGCAAGGTCCATTTTCCAGACATTGTTTGCATTCTTGCTCTGAGCAGCTGCTGCACAGCCTGCACCGAAACTCAAATTGCAGATATATCACTCTAGAGAATTGATACTGTTATCCCCTTTGTATCAGAGTGCGACAAGCCTTGCGGCGGAATAACAATCTGATCATTCTTTTGTAAACCAAGTTCATTTACTGTGAAAGCTAGAGATGCCAAAAACAAAGGAGAAACACTTCGAGTAAACTTGTTCATTTTGTTAACAAATCGATAACGTCTCGCTGTTGCTTTCTGGTGATTACAAGATATAAACCCAGACCGAACTCTGATAGTCTTTTCTTGTACATGCATGTGTATGTTCGGTGAACAACCGACGATAATCAGCTGCTCCTGGCATATGCTTTTGATGTAGTCTAGGCTGAATGATGTTTTCTTTCCACTCATTCAACAAACTAGGAATGAGGTGGTTTCAGTTTCACTCAATGATCGAATTACTCAGCAGTTTGAGAAGAGCTTAGTGCGACTTCGTCGTCTACATAGGTGGTTGGGTTCTTTGCTTTTATTTCACTCATCAATGAGTGGGATCAAATGCTGGGAGAAGCTTCCTTTGTCCAATTACAAATGCCTTCAGCATGCACGCAGCCGCTGCTCATGGCCCAACTGTAGCAAGAAAACTTGCTATACAAAGGGCACAACAGGAAGGTTCCTTCCATGGCGCCACGTACAAACCATTTCAATTTCGTTCTCTAGAAGATTTCTCCTTTACCAACTGAAATAACTATATAACCAAGCATCTGAGATACAGTCTACAATCTGTATATACTATTGAATGCTTCCTCGTTCGATCATTTAACAATCAGTGAGGGAGCATAGATTAGTGCAGAAATCATGGATCGGCAGCAGACGACAGTTGTTAAACATCCTAATCTGCTGGCAACCACAGTGTTTGCAAGCAATATCAACAGCGACCGGAGGAAGACTAGTGTGGTAATCATTCCACCTCCACGAGGATGCATCAAACGCAAGATCTTGTACGTCGTTTGTCGGAGCTTGAAAACCGCACATCCAAAATGCTGCTACTAGCCTACTACCAGTTAGCCTTTCTCGATGACGGTAAACTGCATGCGCAAATCAGCAATGTGTCATCCACTCTTGAGCACTCGCATATATACAAATGTCCATCGTAGAGGCTGATCTAACAATTGAAGTGATAATGTTTGGATTGCAGGTAGCATATTCTGCATTTGAATCCTGATGTCATTTCGTGCATGAGTTTGTTTGAGTAGCTTAAGATAAGAAATTATCCAAGTGCAGTAAGTACAATGCATTCATCACTACCAAAAGAAGAATCATCATCCATATAGATCTTGCTTCCTAAATCACTCGACTAACGTACATCACCGATAACAAACAAAATGCTCATCACTTCTCCTCATGCTTCGGAAATGAACAAGAGCAGTGCATAAAGCAAATAGTAGCTCAAAAACCTAAACTCCGTTTTCTTACCTCCAAAAATTTAGCTTCAGTGTTCTGAAGTCCCGGAAATGTAGTTGGAAGAACTCTGGCGTCGTTTGGAGTCCAGAGAAGATCCACCTTTTGTTCCAGGGCTCTTCTGAACGTGCCTTCTCTTACTAGCGCTCGGACCATCCCTGCCAGTATGAGTTGAGGCTGCAGGTCCCCTTGATGAAGTTGAGTGCTTCAGCCTACTACTTTCTGTAACATCTGAGGAATGGTGTGAAGAATTTATCTTCGATGACGTCATCTGATACAGCCTTTTTGACTTCTTCTCGGCAACTCTCTGCTCGATTTCCTTTGGGTCGGGAAAGTGCACCAGGGATACTCGGTGAGAAATATTCCCAACTGTTCAATCAAATTAAATGACATCATATAAGGAGAAACGCTTCAAACCAAAGCTTACAGATAATAGGTTTCTTTATGCTCGGGGGCAGCTTGGTGACAACCTTAAATAGTGATAACTTCGGCAATAAGGTTTCTGTAGATACAAGCTGAGATATTGTTTCTCCAAGCTCGCAATGAACCAGCGAAAGGTGCATATCACTAGAAATAAATAAGCTTCTCCCTCGCCATCTCGTACTCTCTAGTTCCCCTATTATTTGCCTTGCTCAGCAAATAACATGATAATTTTAATAGGAGCTGCCATATCTGATATCTCAACAAAGAAGGATAGCACGAAAACAAACCACCATAGAGAAATAATAGCTAGCAGATCTTATGTCCTTATAACCTTGATTGACTACTAAGCGGTGACAATTTTCCAGTCACAAAGAGGGCATGGCGTATTACTCAGGCATTCTGAACCCTACTATCTACTCTTTCCCAGAGATATGCTACACTAAACTGTACCAACTAGCCAGTTACCTTAACAGGATTAGAGGACCATACAATTTCCATAGGCAAACACAAACAGTTGTCTAAATCCCATCGCGCATATCAGATAAGCATTGCTTCAATAAATGTCAAAGAAAGTGAACAAAGGGAAGGCTTACCGATCTCGGTCTCTGAACCAGAGGACATGAAGACTGCTGCATCTCGCTCTACATCAGTGCCGACTATATCATACATTTTCCCTGCCAAAGACAGCAACTTGAACATTGGAACACTATAATTTGGTAGGCAGAGCTAATAGAGTACAGAGTCAAGGATGGATGGAAAACCTGAAAGATCCTCAAAGCTTCCCGAGCTACCATTGTGATCAAAATTAATGCATACTTCCTTCCCGTGGATATCAGGAAGCTACAATATATACAAAACTGCAAATTACACGTATAGACTGAAGCAAGAAAGGACAGGCGGAAAACAGGGGAAGAAGAGGGAAACGTACGTCGTGGGGCGGCCATTGGATAAGCCAAAGCTCTGTTGAACTAGAGCCAGCACTGGTAAGATCAAAAAGTGGCTCTCTTGTATCCTGTTCGAATCCGACGTCAGGCTGGTAAGCCGGCACCTCCTCACCGTCCATTGGGGATGCAAGTCTAATGAAGCAATTCAAACCCTAATCTTCAGAAAACTCAAAAGTTCGAACCTTGACCTGAAATTTATTTCCAATCGACAAAACCGAACTAGAGCTCTTACCTTAAACCACAGAAATTGATGGGAAAAGAAGAAAAAAGAAACACTGGGGAGCTCAGAACAGAACTTGCTGAAGTCCGAACTAAACAGCTGGCCCGAGAAAAGTCCGCGGCGGTGAGAGGATTTTCGGAGGAGGGTGGCGGGTGGTTGTCGGCCGGAATTCGTCGCCGGAGTCCCTAATAGGGTCTTGGGCTCTTGGCGGCTAGGGATCCTGCAGCCACTGAAACGAAACGCGAGTTGAGCCCATAACTTACACCCGGTTTGGTACTTTAGTATTGTTATGTTGGAAAATATGGGAAACGATGAAAAAACATGTGAAAGTCACAAATTTTGAACTTTTTTATACTTGGTACAAAATGGTATACAATATTTTTTTAATTTGTAACGACACGATAATATATATGAGTGTGTACAAAGTAATTGTTGTTTGAACATAGAGCGTAAGTGACTGTAATTTGTATGAACTAAGTGACAATGTCAAAGATGTCAATGACTATCAGACTTGCTAAAAAAACCACAAGAGGAGAGACGCTTTGAGAACAAAACACATTAGACACATGATAGCTGGACGATGACTTGATAGTTAACGATCCCGATTGACACGAGGGCTCCTCCAATGTAAAAGTATGACCAGGCTTACACCCTCTAACGATCGGCCTTCCCATTGTCAGATCTTGCACAAAACTTTCCGATGGTGCGAATAAAATAGAGCAATTCTCGTCAATGAGTTGGCCAATCGAAACAATATTATGACATATTTTATTAACATGAAGCATATTGGGTAATTCTGGTCAATGAGTTGGCCAATCGAAACAATATTATGACATATTTTATTAACATGAAGCATATTGGGTAATTGAATGTGTGGCTAATTTACTAGTAGGGCTAGGAAAATAGACCAAACCGTCTGAAAAATCATGGACCAAACTGGACCGCACAGTTCCAGATCGTAGACTGTTAAGAATGGTCTGGTTTGGTCCATGGCCTGTATTATATGATGTTTTGATCTTTTGGTCTAGTCTGGTCCAGAACAAGGTTTATCGAACCAAACCGTAGACCCAGTCGACTTCCCAATACGCGTAAGCAATCCACTCAACCACTCTCTCAACCTCCCCAACGAGACCCAAGTCTCGCCCCTTTTCAAGAATCTCTTTCCCTCCTTCATTCACAATCACATTTTACTAGAGAGTAGAGACTATCGTGTCTCTATATGACATTATGTTAATGTTTATGATGCTATGGTGCAAGTTAGGATGTTTTGAATTTCTGTTTTTGTATTTACTAAGATTTAGGGTGTCAAATTTATTCATGCATGTAGGAATGCATGTTTTAAGGCAAACACCAACATTAATCACCCACACCAATCACCCATCCACTGCGGCTAAAATTATTTAAGGGTGGATTGATATTAAACCGCGGATTAATCACCCACACACCCAACCCTAGTTTTTAGTGATTGAATGAATGTAGTCAAAAGCGAGTTTTTACGTAGAAACGTTTTGGTGATCTGGAAGCGTAAAATCGTAAGTTTTTAAGTTTTAATGTGGAGTTTTTAACTACATAAGCTATAAAAAACTAAGATTTTGTGTAGAAGCGTTTTAGTAACGACCTAAAAACGTAAAATCGTAAGTTTTTAAGTTTTAAAGCGCGATTTTGACTACATTTGAATCAGTTGGATTATCATTTCATTAATAACTATCTGTAAATCTCCATTACTCTTCCAAATCGTTCAACACGTGGATCACACAATACATAAATTAATAGTGACTTGATTATTCATACAAAAAACGATCGATAATACATAACGAGAGCATATACTTTTGTGGCGACGATATGCACGCGGCCACGGAAATCAGTCATCAACTGATCAACACAAAGACTCCATGCTCAACTTTTGATAGCCATCTTCTCTCTTTGGACCAGAGTTGGTAGCTTCACATCATAGGCCAACCCCATAGCTTGAAGGAACTTCACGACGTACCAAGTCACGTCGATCTGCCACCATTCTAGACCATGCCTTGCCGAATTGTTGAATGCATGGTGATTGTTGTGCCAACCTTCACCAAACGTCATAATTGCCACCCACCTATTTAATTTTTGGTCCAAACAAAATCAATTATACTTATGTCAATTGTCAAACTAAGTTTGTAGCAAAACCCTAATTAACAAAAATATTTACCAGTTGTTCCTCGACAGGTCGTTGGTGTTCCAATCCTGACTTCCCCATATATGAGCAGCCGAGTTAACCGACCATGTCGCGTGGTAACAACACACCACCCTCACACCCTGAACCAATATAAGTTAGTCAAGAGGTAGTCGTTATTATCATATGCTACATCTGGGTTAACGAGATCTGAACATACGCGCGCGTTCATACACGATACGCAAAATCTAATCTGATTGCATGTATTTGAGTGATGCTAGGGGAATATTGAAAATGCTCACAATTCCCCAGCATATGTAAGGAAATCCACCAAGCGAGTAGAGGAGAATGGCAAGGCTGAGAGGATGTACGACGTAGGTTTTACGAATCCATCTATAGAAGGCTTGCTTTTCCAGATCACCCACGTTTCCTCTTTTCCCACACTGCAAGACATGCATGAAGATGGTTAGGAACTTATTAGGTAGGAGGTATTTTTCATGTAATGGGTGACGACTACAAAGGTTGTGCATGGTAACAGTTGGTTTATAGCTAGTCTAGCAAATATGACTATATTATAACAATACCATGATAGAGATGCAAGCACATATAGCATGGATTAAAACGGCCGAAAAAGTTTGTTGCTACATGCAGCAAGGGTTTTCAGCCACCGTCGGTGGAAGTTCTTTGCATATGTTTGTAGCAGGGGTTGTAGTTGTTGTTATCGTAGCAAGGGTTTAAACTCTTACTACACGTCGCCATTGTGAGCAATTTTTGCATGGATTCAAATCGTTTGCAAAGTTAGCTAGTAAAGCTAGCAGAGGTGTAAGTCATTGATATACAGTGATGTAATTACAACGAAGGACCGTTAATTACAAGGGTTTAAAACCATTGCAGATTTCGTGCTGAGACTGTACGTTCATTCATTTTGAATAAATGTTTTTGTCACATCATACAATAATACATGTATTGTGTGCATACATGAAAAAAATGTATTCTAAAGAATACAAGCATTTTAAAAATCACACTAATTAACACTACCCTAAACAATGTTTTTGTTGAACTTGATTATCTAGTGATACCTTTTCCTTGATAGATGAGGAGTCGAAGATCCAACCCATATGACTATGCCAAAACCCTACCACGGGGCTATGTGGATCTCTTTCTGTATCAGTATATTGATGATGAAACCTGTGGTTGCTAACCCATGACAATGGATCTCCCTGCATCATACCACTCAAAGTTATTATGTTTAATTATTACTATTTAAAAGAACCCCACTATAAAAAAATCTCACTAAAATGATGTATTTTAAAGAATACAATCATTATAAAAAAAAGCTCACTAAAATATATTAATATAACATGTAGTTTTCAACTTGCTAGTACTAAAAACAATACCAAAATTGAAAGTCTCTAGTCTGAACTCGGGAGAAGCTAAATTGTTTTATGTTCATCCTAAAAAAAACAAGACGATCAAATGCATAAGAAATGATAAATTAATACATACGAATTTCGGATAAAACGGGATGTTAAGGTTTGCATTTCACGGCCTTGAAATAACTCGAATTATTCAGAAAAGAAAAGAAAAAATTAAGATCTAAAGAAATTACAATACTACTTCAATCTGTAACTTCTTCTAATTAACTAAATAGTTACGTACCTGAAGTGCATGAACGCCGCAATAAGCAAACGTATATTCAAGCCACTTGGGGAGCTTGAAGCTCTTGTGAGTGAGATGCCTGTGGTAACTGAGGTTGATACCCAAGAGGCTCGTCACGATCCCGATCAAAAGCCCGACCCCGAACCTACTCCAGCTGAAGCAAAACAGACCGCAAAAGCCCAGCAGATGCGTCGCGGAAACGCTCACGACGGCGATCTTGTCCCATTTCGTCCATTTCTTTTCGCGACGGCGACGCAGGCGGTGGTCATTAAAACCCTTCTGGCCTTTAGCTCCCGCTTCTTGTAGCAGTGATTCTCCCACGGCTACCATTTCTCTTCTCGTTCGTGCTCAATCGTTTTCTGATCTTTTGATCTTTGTCTAAGTTATCTTGCTGAGTGTGGTTGTGAAAGGAGCTAAGTAGCCCCGTATTGGCACGTATATATAGTTATATAATATTACCCCATGCGATTTTATGGCCACCAGGACGGACCCATGGGTGTCCGGGAGATCACTTAAATTTTGGAAAAGCGATTATCTAACTCCGATGGTAATTTACGTATGCACAAAAAATTATAATTAATAGTTCGGGACATCCTAAAATTTGAAAATTCGATTTTCTTACTCTTGTTTGTAGTTTGCGTATAAGAATATAAGTGGTAGTTTGGGTAATTCAAACCCAAGACACTACTATTACTAATATATATAATTTCTATTAGGCTACAACTTTTTTTTATTGTTCTATTCTAAACACCGTGTAATAGCAAAATCCTATTCTCTATCTTTAATTATTATCAAAACCTAACAATTAATCTAATTACAAGTTACCCTTAATTTGTGTTGATTTTATATATATGGTTGTATACGACAAGTGTTGAAAGTGTATTTTCAACTTGGAGTTACGTCAAGAACAAATTTAGAAGTCGAATATGCGTCAGTTCGTGAATGATTGTCTAGTAGGATATACCGAGACAAATTTGTTGAGCAGGGTAGACAACAAGTGTATTTTACAATTTTTTCAGAATGTCAAAATACATCATGAACTTTTTTTTAACTTGTACGAGTTGGATATTTTCTTATTTAAAATTATTAATTATTATTTATATTTTAATTTATTTTTTGAATAATGACACTCTTATATAAAATTCCTAGGACCACCACCGACTACCACTTGATGTTTGGATGCATTTATTCTATCTGTATGTCCGGATTAGAGCCAAGGTATTGAGATGCATTTTCTTATTATTATGTTTGAAGATTGATCATACAATATTAAGTTTTGGGATATTGGTAAATGGGAGAAGATGTGGTGCTAACATCACTTAGTATTAGCACGTTGCTAACACTTTTAATAACGTTACTATAGTAATTATATTTTCTCATTTCCCTTATATCTTCTCCTAAGTCCTATGTTACTTTCATTAGGCTCACCACAACCCGAAGGCTAAAAGATAAAAAATGCCATTTTAACCTTCAAAAATCATCTTCATCAAGGGGCATATGAAGGGGCTAAATGACTAAAACTAGTTTTTGGGAACTAAAATAACTCCAATTTGTGAAGGAGCAAAAGAGGGGCTATATGGTAGGACCCGCCAGCCACTCACTCCATTCCCTTTTTATTTTTATTTTTGTTTTCTTATATGTTTAAATGGGTTTTTATGTTATTTTAGCCAACGAAATCGATTTCGATGGAACTTTCATCTATTTGATTTCAATTTGAAGACCAGAAGTTATATTCAATGAACAATTTTCATCGAATAACAAAAGTATCTCATAAATTGATTAATTAATTGATTTCTATTTAAAATAAAATGTACATGTTTGTTATAGTGTTTTTTAAACCAACGAAACTCATTTCGTTGTAACTTTCGACCATTTGATTGTCATTTCAAGTCTAAAAAATATATGATTTTTTTTGAAAAGTTCGTCCATTTCAACTAAAAATAAAAGTGTCTCCGAAATTGTTCAAAGTCTTGAAAATTTTGATGAACTAAGCTCACTTCGTCTAACTTTCGTCCAACTAAAAACAAAAGTATCTCGAATTATCATGAATGAATATATAAATTTTAAATTTAAAAATACAAGTTTAACTATTCATAAGTTTGTATTACTAGATGCGAAACAAACAATTATAGCCCATCGGGTTGCCGTCGTTTATGTTTTTGAGGGTTGCAAAAATTATAGCCTAACTTATGCAAACGGGGGGGGGGGGGGGGGGGGGGGGGGGGGGGGGGGGGGGCTAAATGCCAAAATCAATCAATACATAGTCTAGAACTTTTAGGGTTCGCCTACCTATGCAACTAAGAGAACTAGACAATGCAACCGGGGGGGCTAAATGCCAAAATTAATCAATACATAGTCTAGAACCTTTAGGGTTCGCCTACCTATGCAACTAAGAGAACTAGACAACCTAGAGATATCTCCAATCCAACACCCATAACAGAGATTTTTTAGCTTATTCCACCAATTATGGCGCCACTTTCCCTCTGGTGCCAATTTTCCTCTGGCAGTTTTGCTCTAAGTTGGGTGATTCACTCTGTCAGTAGAGTAACGGCCCTCTAATGCCTCATATCATTAGCTACCGAACTCCTACCACTTATAAGTCTATGTATAAACTTTCTAACAGGATTTTGGAGAGAGAGAGGGGATGGTTATCTAATGTGTCTTTGAGTTCCAATCAACATTATTTAGCTTCGCCACCACGAAAGATATATTCTCTAAAGGAGCTGGTGTTTTCTGGATGAGACTCAAAACGGCAGCCCAATTGCCTTTTTGGTGATTAGGCTGCAGAGGCCAACACTGTTTATGTCCTCTCTTCATTTTCTACTTCTGGCTCGCAACAGTCGAGTCATGATGTATCCAGCTACAAAGTGGTCCACTAGGTTGCTAAATGCCAAAATCAATCAATACATAGTCTAGAACTTTTAGGGTTCGCCTACCTATGCAACTAAGAGAACTAGACAATGCAACCGGGGGGGCTAAATGCCAAAATTAATCAATACATAGTCTAGAACCTTTAGGGTTTGCCTACCTATGCAACTAAGAGAACTAGACAACCTAGAGATATCTCCAATCCAACACCCATAACAGAGATTTTTTAGCTTATTCCACCAATTATGGCGCCACTTTCCCTCTGGTGCCAATTTTCCTCTGGCAGTTTTGCTCTAAGTTGGGTGATTCACTCTGTCAGTAGAGTAATGGCCCTCTAATGCCTCATATCACTAGCTACCGAACTCCTACCACTTATAAGTCTATGTATAAACTTTCTAACAGGATTTTGGAGAGAGAGAGAGAGGATGGTTATCTAATGTGTCTTTGAGTTCCAATCAACATTATTTAGCTTCGCCACCACGAAAGATATATTCTCTAAAGGAGCTGGTGTTTTCTGGATGAGACTCAAAACGGCAGCCCAATTGCCTTTTTGGTGATTAGGCTGCAGAGGCCAACACTGTTTATGTCCTCTCTTCATTTTCTACTTCTGGCTCGCAACAGTCGAGTCATGATGTATCCAGCTACAAAGTGGTCCACTAGGTTGCTAGGCCTTGAAAACTTAGGAAACACTACCAAGAGTGCATCAAATTGATAAAAGCAATTATAGTGCTATTAGAGTGCACTTTGAGTGGTCACATAGCAAATTCAATATATTATGAAAGTAAATGTGTGAAACCATGAATTTGTGTTTATATCAAGGTTCTAAAAGGTGCTAGGCGTAAGGAAGGCGCTCGGCTCTTGACTTGCGCCTTGCCCGATTAGGCGTAGCCTAGGCGTTTAGAGCATACATGGAAAAATTCTCAAATATTTCCTATTTTCTAGAATAATTCATATAATCCAAGTGCATATAAAATTAGCAATGCCTAGTTCTTAACAGTAAACACTTAACATAACAAATAACAAGCAAATAGTGACCAATCATCTGCTAATAGGTGCTTATAAAGGCAAGAAGCTTGTGCTACGTACCGAGGAGAAGGAAGGAGCAGCAATTGACGAGTTTCGACTTTATTTCCCACTATAGAAGCGGAGCAGTGTGAAGGCGAGAAGAGTGATTGATGACTTTCTCCGGCGGCGGCAGAGAGCAGCAAATGGGGCGAGAGCTAGGGCGGTAGGCGGTAGCAGATGGGGCGAGAGCTAGGGCGGCAGGCGGCTGCTGATGTTACTTCCCTTTTTTTTTCTAGGGCAAGAGGCAAGTTTCTGATTTTCTAGGACAAAACGAAGAGTATTGGGTTTAACCGCCTAAGCTCGCCCAGGAACGCCCAGGCACGCCTTCTCTCCACTAGGCACAAACTAAGCGATCCTCCACCGCCTAGCACCTAATTGAGCCTAGGCGCGCCTTCTTGAACCCTGGTTTATATACGAGGGTCTAAAAGAATATTTTTCACATGTCATCAAACCTCTAGAAAAAAATAAATTTAAAATAATAATTATAAAATAAGATAAAATTCTTAAATAAAAAAATATCAGACTAGTACAAGCTACAACAAAATACCATGACAAACTCTCATATTCCGAAAAATTGTAAAATATATTCAATACGTATATTGCTCAACAAATCACTTTCAGTATATCCTACTAGACAATTTGATTCCTTTTCTCAAGCATATAATAGATTCTAAACATCTCTAGCTTTAATTGAGAAACATTAACCAAACATAATAAACGATCAAATTAAACCCATCATTTGTCAAGCTTACAATATATCATATAATTAAACCCATAATATCTCAAGCATAGAATAGATTAATAGCTTTAATTGAAGGGTTAATTGCATGGTTGGTCACTAACATTACAAAAAGCGTTCATGTTTGGTCACTCGAAATATTTAAATCCATTTGTGGTCACTAACTTTACAAAAACCGTTCATTTATGGTCACTCTCCGTTAGCTGCCGTCCAACGCCGTTAATGGCGTCCGTTAAGTGATGATGTGGCTGACGGATTCGCCTAATCATCACCTTTTAACCCAAAAATTGACTGACCCGACCCGCCACGTCATTTAAACCCTCCATGTCAGCCAAACCTAACCAAACCTCTAACCAAACCAAACCCGACCCATAAATATAAAGAACTGACCCGACCCACCAATTAATCTACCCACCTTTGACTAAAACCCTAATCGAAGACAAATCCCGGCCACCAAGAAGAAGAGCGGCCTCCAACTTCAGCTTCGACAAGAAGGACAGCCCCGCCGCCGGGGACAGGAATCAGACCATCCCTCTGGCCTCCGATATCTGGAGCATCACGGGCGTGGCGCCCATGGTGGCGCCTCCTAAGCGAGGTAATCACGGCATGGCGGCGGCGATTCAGCTTTCTTCTGAGATTTGGAGCATTGTCGACGGTCCTCCGCGTATGGCTCCGCCACCGATGATGATGATGATGAATTCGGCGGCGGCGGAGAGGGAAAGGGGGTCGACGATGTCGCCGGTTAAGAGGGAAGCGAGGAAGAAGAATTCGTACGGATCTCCAAGGAGCAGACGTGTGGAGAGGCAGGGTCCATACCTCGCTGGGAGGGAGAGGTCGTCGCCGCTGTCGAGGGAGTAGGAGAGAGAGCGGCGGCCGGTGGCGATTTCACCTCAGAAGCGAGAGAGGGAGAGGAATTCGTCGTCTTGGTCGGTGAGGAAGGATTCGGGAAGAATCGGGGAAGTCCGGGACACATTATTGTTGGTCTCTGTTTTGGGGTGAGGGAGAAGTTGTTGTGGGCGAGGGCAAGGAAGCTCTGGCGGACAATTTCTTCCCAGGCTTAGTGGAGCAGCGAGAGGGATAAAAACCCATATGGAGCGGTGAATTCTATGATTGATCAAGGTTTTTGAACTGGATTGGATTGGGGGAAAGATTGGATTTTTTCTTTCTTGCTTCCAAGTTCAGGGGTTTCTTTCAAGCTTGGGGAAGGATGAATGAGAATGAATAATGGAGGTGGGTTTGGGTTTCTGATGACCAGAAACCCAATGGAGGTGGTGGGTCGAATCAGTTCTTTATTTATGGGTCGGGTCTGGTCTAGTTTGGTTAGGTTTGGCTGATATGGAGGGTTTAAATGACGTGGCGGGTCGGGTCAGTCAATATTTGGGTTAAAAGGTGATGATTAGGCGAATCCGTCAGCCACGTCATCACTTAACGGACGCCATTAACGGCGTTGGACGGCAGCTAACGGAGAGTGACCATAAATGAACGGTTTTTGTAAAGTTAGTGACAAAAAATGGATTTAAATATTTCGAGTGACCAAACATGAACGCTTTTTGTAATTCAGTGACCAACCATGCAATTAACCCTTTAATTGAAAAAACATTAACCAAACACAATGAACAATAAAATTAAACCCACCATTTCTCAATCATATAATAGATTCTAATGATCAATAGCTTTCATTGAGAAAACATTAACCAAACGTAATAAACGATAAAATTAAAGCCTTCATTTCTCAAGCACATAATAGATTATTAGCTTTATTTGAGAAAACCTTAACAAAACATAATGAACGATAAAATTAAACCCATCATTTTCTAGCTTATAATAGATTCTAAAGAAGTAAAGATCAATACCTTTATTTGAGTAACATTAACCAAACATAATGAATGATAAAATTCAACCCATCCTTTTCTGAAACATATAATAGATCAATAGCTTTAATTGAGAAAACATTAACCAAACATAATAAATTATAAAAGTGAACCCATCATTTTCTCAAGCATATAATAGATTCTAAAGATCAATAGCTTTAATTGAGAGAACATTAACCAAACATAATAAACAATAAATTTAAACCCATCATTTTCTCAAGCATATAATAAATTCTAAAGATCAATAGGTTTATTTGAGAAAACATTAACCAAACATATTAACAATAAAATTAAACCCAACATGTTCAAGCATCTATCTATCTATCTATCTATCTATCTATATCTATACTATATATTATGGCAATTCAAAAAAAAAATTCTTGCCACATAAGCACTTGGAGGATCCACAATTTGCCAAGTTGGACAACTTTTTTACAAACAAAAAATTAGTTATTAATGTATTTATGGAGCTACCTCTCTCTTCTTTAATATTTCCATTTCTTTTATCCAATTATTCTTTTTCATTTATCCATTTATTCTTTTTTGTCTTTTATAATAAGTTACATGTTGATAAACTTAACCAAACACACATAAATAATATTTTTTTTAAATAAACAAAATATAAATAAGAAAAAAGAGAGTGACATATATCACATTTATTTAAATAAAAAATATCTGATTAAACCTTATGAAATAAATTTTCTACTCATTTTTACTAAAATTTAATGATAAGTTACATTTTGATGAAAAAATAAACAAACATACACATAAAAAATTATGTTTTAATCGATTAAACCAAAATATATATGAAAAGAGAGAAAATAAACATTTGTCATTCAATTACCTTTGAAAAATAAACTAAATTACTTTATATTTTCTTGCAATGAAACACTCTCTTATTCGTACAATATATATCTATAAAATAAAACAGTATTATTTAGCAAAATGTCAGAGTATAATCTTGATCGAGTAGTTACAGTTATTTATTTAAAAAGAATTCTTATTTATTCAGATCATGTTCTACCTTAAATTCGTCAAATGAAGAGGAATCGCATGTGCAATAATTTGATAATGTGACCTAAGTTCACATTAATAATATTTGCTCTATATCATGTTGATTGAGCAAGCTCTATTGAGGTTCTAAGTCGTATGCTAAGAAATTTTCTTTCAGACTTGGAGTTATCTTCGACGATTATAAATCAAAATTTTCAAAATGACTTAAGTATGATTGTTGACTAAATTTGACTTCATACCCTAGGATGAGACACAAGATTCATTGAAAAATAATAGATGTGAAGGTTAGAAAAATCTTTGTTCAGAATCTACGATAAACATCACGTTTCATCAACTACTAACATAGACATTTACCAAATAAAGGTTGGCAATTTTTAGTAAGATCGTCAATTGGGATAAACATACTTATCCAGCAATCAAGTATCTTTATCCAATAATCTCAACTCTCAAAATTGGTTTTCAGTTCGTCTAGACTCGAGAAAAACGAATTAATATATGTTGTATGAGATAATAAGTTAATGCAAATAATCAAATGAAATACACTGATATTGTTCAAATGATAAGACATTTTAAATGCACTTAAAATATGTGTGTATTGGAAACACTCTTTATCAATTATTAATGTATAAGCGATAAAATCTTTGAAAATTACACATTCAACGACCATGTTAAGACCAAAAATCCTCGATAGTGTGTGTGAGTGCCTTAGATTGAGATTCTAAGTCGACATATAAACAATGACCACCGGTTGAGGTTTAGTATAAACTTCAAAAATTAACAATGGATACAGATTATATAATATACTAAATTTAAGTGTCTGGATAAAAAAAACAAACATCCAAAATGGAAATGAGTCGAGATTAGAGAATTTAGTCATCATGAGGGCTACAGTGTGTGTCAAGTTTCAATATGGATGAATAAATCCAATAATGAAGTATCTTTACTAAGAATTTCTCACTAAAAAGTCGTAATTGTTGTAAAAATTACTAAGAATTTCTCACTAAAAAGTCGTAATTTTTAGACATTGGTCGAGAGTTCGTCCAAACTCGAGGATCATGAATGTGTATTGGATTTCCAAAAGACCTTAAATCCCAATCCCTTTTGAGGGCTAAATACCTCGATCACAACCATAGGTGCTAAAGTAGAATGAAAAAGAAGCCAAAAAAGCAAAAAAGAACATAACCTCTGGTAAGATGAACATAATAAAACATATCGAGCTATGATCCCGTCATCCCTACCTTTTTATATATTATATATCGAGCAATAGACAACCCCAATGGTTTTCTGGCATTATGGGGGTAAAAGCGAGATCTCTAGATAATTTTGAGTGTAATATACATACACACATATATACATGTATATGTAATATCAAGGTATACTATACTTTTTATTTAACTCAAGATATGATAGAAGATAGGTATTACGAAGTATGTGCATAAATTAGAGGTTATAGAATTAGGGACTAGAGTTCACCTATTAGAGGTTAGGGTATAGTATAATGCCCCAAAAAATCCGGTTAATTCGGGTCTAAATAGTAAAACTCAATTTCGTATGGTAGTATGAACGCAAGAGTATAACGTACTCCTGGCACATGCTAGCTTGAACTATATATGTGTGTGTGTGGTTTAGGTTGGCGTACGCTAAATATTAGTGTTTTGGTTGACAAATTTTGACATAAGTTCTAAATGGGACGTGACAGCGACATAATTTATGATTCGAAAACCAAAGCATCACAAGTGAGTGTGCTAAATATTGGAAATTTCAATATAGACATACTACAGACTCTGTTACAAAATATTTAGAAGATCCAAAATGATTTAAACATATAAATTATAAAATAAATCTCTCCGGCCAACGAGCCGGGTAAAAAGCTAGTATAATAGATTTTAAAGCTCAACAATAGCCTTTAACTGCGGAAGTGGCTTGAAGAGAAGGAGAAAAAAGACGTTTCTCTCAAAGCTGCCTTGACCCTTGAGATACCTAATGGTGGACAATTTTTAATTGTGTCTTATGCTAGATCTCATAAACTTTTAGGATCTATTCAGTTTTCTTTCCCCCAGTTGTGTTTACTTTTTTTTTTTAAGTATTACAGTTTCATTATTTAGGAGTGTCTGAATCCTAACAAAAACATCTCCTAAACCAAACATTTTAAAAATTCTAACAAAATTAAATTATCCAAATACTACCGATTAAAACGGTTATCATAATAATCATTTTGTTTGAACACCCCTAATAAGCATTGCTGGTTTTCTTCCAGGAGTGGACCGTGTTGCCTGCTAGTTCCTACTTGTCCTGTATTTTTTTTTTAATTTGTAGATTCAATATATCACGATGAACTCGTTCCTTCTATGCATTTTTTTTTTGGAAATTTGAGTTAAAAATGAAGGTGGTACTAGGTGGTAACGAGTGGTATGAATTTTTTTTCTCGAAATATATTGAAAATGAATCTCATTTTGTAGAACACTACGAACTCGTTTCATCTGTAAAAAAAATTGAAATCCAAGGGTTATGCACCTACCGGGAAGTGGAAAAAGTATGAAAGAGAAGAATAGATAGATGTTGATTACATATGTTTTAGTTTTTTTTTGTTATTTATTGATATTAACACGGTAGAAAGCAAAAGTATGACTATCAAATTTGTTATTTTAAAAAAGATAATTGGACATTATAACACTCTTTTTTCCTTGCAAATTCTTTTATTGATAGGATATAGATGCATGTTTTTAAACATCCCTTTTCAAACTCCATTGGAATTTAAAAAAGGTGTTGCACTTGGTGGTACATTGCAAAGACATACATAAAGTCCCAAGTTACAGTGACAATGAGGGCCCCAAGAAGCACAATCCTCTTGACTTCCGCACGGTTTGCTAACATATCTACCTTCTGCTCCAATTTGATTCTTGTTTCCACCTGTATATCCCAAATTGTGTATTTTAGATGATTATATGAACCACATTATTGAAGAAAACAATCTATTTATTCTGTTAATAAATAAAATTTACTTACTTATATGCAATCACACAACAAGGACAAAGATATACTTACCGGAAACAACAAAAATCAAAAGCAGGATGTAAAACATCTTGAAATAAGTCTTCTCCATTATATCGGAATATGGATTGTAGCTTGATGAATTTATGAAAGTTTGTTTCTCTATGAGATTTCAATCGGTGATTTATGTGGTACAAGAGCATTAGTTTGTTTATATAGGAAAAGAAAAGGAGAGAAAATCTAACAATACCATATTTGTCTTTTGTTCATTTGGAAAGTGATAAATGCCTTAAACATTATTTTTTTTATTTTTCATAAAAATTAATTTTCCTCTTCATTATCATAATTTATTTTCCCAAAAAATATAATTATCAAGTAGAAATTAAATATCTTAAAAAGCAAGTGAAAGGCTATTTTTCGCCACCGAGCACAAGAAACATCATCGTCGGTAAGACCAAGCTTTGCCACCGACCAACATTTTCTCTCCTCTAGCCAGATCAAACATCATCGCCGCCCAGCCAAACCCGGCTTCCACCTCATACTCGACCTTGGACAAGTTGAGACTATTTTTAAGGTGTTTTGACAATTTTCGGGCAAAGTTTGCGATTTTCTAGCGAAGATGACGATTTTCCACCAAGACTTGGCACAAGCCGAAGGTTGAGTCCAATGTACAAAGTGTGTCAATTCAAACCCTAGAGGTTTTGTGTAAGATACCCACTTATGACACCGTTCATATCACATGCAATCACCATCTTAATGCTTAGAGAAAGCATTGATAACCATAAAAGGACAAGGAGAATTGATTAAGGTCTAAATGTCTCACCTACTTTAATAAACACTCCTTCAACAATGTTCCACACACGATTCATTCATTCAAGGGAAAAGGTACAAACCGATGTAGGAGAGTCTCCCAGCTGCAACTAGTGCGTCTATATAGTCTTTTTGCTCGACTTTGGTGGAACAGGTGAAGAGTAGTAGGGAAATATCATGGAAATGAAGCCATGTATGTGCTTTTCCTTTTACATAATAGGCAAAGATACATAGGCGTGTTGTGTTAGGCTTTCTTGTGAGGTATCGCTCAGAGTCACATACATTTGGAACTTTATGATGAGATCGATATAATTTTTGTTGATACATTGCGAAAATAGTCCAGATTCCTGGATTTTGTGAATTGTGTGGAGTTGCACGCTGAAATTGGGGTATGAAGTGGATGAGGGACAATGCTAGATCATGCACCCCTAGCTAGAGGCCTATTGTACCTATACATAGGTTGAATGCCCATGTGTATGGCCTTCTTAGTTACGAAAGACCTGCTGATCCCACTTTACCTGTGACGACTTGGATTTAGTGGAATCAAACGTTCTACTTGACATGTGAATATATGTTTGAGGGAATCCACAATGGATTTCCCACTCATTATGCTTCTATATCCTACCATCCTCCTAAGGAGGGTCACTCGTGGGATCCGTGCTAGGAAGACACGTGGGTCAGCTAACAGTTCATTTTGCATGTGTCAAGTAGTAAAAAGGGTTGGTGTCAGACGTGTATTGAATTTGATGTGATATAATCACGTGTACAATGATATTCCCAATGCAATGACCATAATAAGGAGGATTTAAAACAAACAATATATATATATTCAAGGATTGAACTATACATCATCTGAAAAATTCTAGGATTCTCAGACCTAGAAAACTAAGAACTAGATGTGCCTTCCTTTCCTCTACGATAGGATGGTTTTTTGAACAACCTGTTTGTAGCATAAATCCACAACCCGACATCCTCCTTGCCGTTGATTTTAAGAAACACAATGGTCGATGGCCTAGCTCTACAAACTAGTTCATCTTCACCCTCATACGTAAAGTTATAACCGCCATACCTGTCGATGTCATTGCTACCCTGACGACCTCCTTCTCTATCACCATAATCCCGACCCCTCATGGGTTGACTGCCGAAGCTCTATTCATCTTTCTCGTCACTCATCCCTCCATCTCCAGCCCCTGACCCTTGGTCGATCTTTCACTACCTATCCAACCGATGCTTGTCTGCTTTTGGTGTTGCCAGGGGAGGGTATACACCTTCAGAAGAGTGACGAGACAAGTTTTGTCGAGAGGAATTTCTATTTCATCAAGGAATGAGTTCAGTCTCAGGATATTGCCAGGGGAGGGTATACACCAACCAGTCGACTGATCTATTCACAAAGGGGCTCGGTGTGGACCAGTTCCATCACCTCTTTGTCAAGTTTGGACTTCTCGACATTCACTCCTTCACACGAGGGGGAGTGTTGGTGGTCCTTATTGTTACATGTTGCTTTATTAGGACCATTACGTAATTGGGTTATTAGTTGTTGGACTAAACTCGAGAGAGATAGCCGAGCATTTAATTTTTCTTCGAGAGTGTTCATGCTCTCCGTGCAATAGTCCCACTCCAATTGAGTGGGGAAACCACATGTAAAGTTGTCTTCGTCGCTGTTATCTTTCCACGTTTATCGTATTTTACGGATAATAATCTTGGGGGGGGGGGTGTTGAATGTTGATTTTGGGCCGAAATTGAGACGAAGACTTAGGTAATAAGGTGACGATGGTGCCTAGTGTCCGCCAAGGGCCGAAACAAGACCTTCTTCCACTTGACTCTTCACCTCCCTCCCTGGGACTCATAAAAATGAGACTCCTTGAAACTGACACTATCAGTCGCCTGAGATTTCCTCCATGTGTGCATGGTGCACGCCCTGTGCCGGTTTATCAAACCGGCACAGTATGAATTTTGGCAACCACAAGTTTTGAACTGAAAGCAATGGGAACTTCTTCGGGAATCAAACCAAGAGCCTGGATTTTGATTTTAGCATATGACGAGCTCCAAGAAAACTTCACCATGTCAATGTATTCGCCGCAAAAATTCTTGATGCCAGAATAGTTAGGTAAGTGTTGGGATGGGTGTCAAGAAAGTATCTGTACTGATATGGCATGCTTGATCACATGGCTAAGCTTAATGAAATATTTGGTGGAGATAGGGCGGGTTGCCGTTTTGTTATGGATAGAATAACATATCTAATCATTTTGATATTCAAAGACGATTTGTTAATGTTGAACACAATTTAGTGACGAAATTCACCTGAGATAGAATTGTGCTATGAGTCTTTAAGTAAAGAGTCATGCTATCCATTAGTTACAAATTCTAAAAATACGAGTGAAAAATGTGGCCAAACTTGAAATGTTTATAGACTACCTTTTCAGTACCAAAATGTTTTACAAATTATATATGATATTTGTAAGCGTGTATGTATCTCGGAGAGGGATTTCCAAAACTCAGCAGCCACATATGGAAGGAAACATATCTCTAAACTTCCAACCTGATAATATTAATTATATGTTATTTCTTATAGCTATAAACTAGTGATAATACTAGTATGTTATGTTGTCCAAGGTTCCTGGAAATGGCTTCAGAAATAGATGGAACCATTGAGTTATCTGAGGTTCCTGGAAATTTTCATTCGGTGTCTGCTGGAAAATAAATGAAAATACTATTTAATAAATGAGGGACACTTTGGTCACTTTCCATCACTTTTCATAGTTTGTTAATGGAATGTTGGATAAAGTGGTACGTTTGTTACATTTTGATAATAAAGGGGTACATTTGTGCAAAAATGTAGTAGAAGAGTATATTTGTTAACTTGCAATAGTAGAGGGGTATAAAATGCTATTACCCTATTAGTTTCATGTATATTTATGTCAAGGGTTAATAATTTATTGATTGTTATATTTTGTTATATTATATAAATTAAGGATTGGTGCATTATAAGGATATATGTTTCTTACATAATGATAATGTTATGTTATATTGATTAATCCGTTTAACCAATTCACCAAACCGATTAAACTTTAAGTTGGTTAATTTGATTGTTGTATTAGCTTGGTCTGTTTAGTTATAATATTGTATTTCATGGTTAATAAAACTAGTCTTAATTTTATTTGTTAATTACCTTGATAAACATTTGAACACCTCTAGTTAGATCTCTTCTTAAATTACAACCTAAGTGATGTTGGCTCAACAATGAACACACTGCCGATTTGACACTGCTTTCTCTTCAGTAGCTCATAACAATGATATGAACCAGGGGAAAGAGGACTGAATCATTGATCATCTCATCCAGAGAATGTATATATACATGGACTATAATACCTAAACGACCGTTCTCACTCATTATGGAAAATAAGTAACACTCTCTTGATCCCAATCACTAACGCTGTTTGGAAGAAGATAAAGGTGATTACGAGAGGGAGCGACATCAACAACATTTCTCGGGAAGAACAGCCCAAGCTTCACTGTTTGGGTACATAGATGTTTGCTGCCTTCAAGCTTGCATAAGAGAATAAACAAGGGGTGGGTCAGCAATACTAGCGAAACAAAAAGGAATTGACCACCAAAGGATGGAAGGAAAGATTCTCATAGGATTTTATCGAACTTATAGCTGTAGTTAGTCCATCTGATCTGCTGATGCACCATATCATACACAATGATCTTATCTTTCAGAACTAGATCTGCACATTAAAACCAGACAAGGAAATCAAATTGAGAACAACATTCTTAATCAGCCAAAAAGAATTCAATGTGGTGTTTTGCAGCACCACTATTGGAGGAAGGCATTCAGACTTTTAAATACAAAAATACACAGACTAACCTCCTAAGATGGTCAATCCTGGATTCTTCACAAAGCTAATGCACCATAAGCCACCAACATCCATTTACCAGGAAGTATGGCCTATTAGACTTTGTGGAGGGAGAAATTGAATTCCATAAACTAAGGCAAGAGAATCAGAACGCCCAAAGTAAGAACTGTAACAACTTACAACAGACTCATAGAGGTAGTCGGCTGGTTTTAATATGATAGATTCTTCGTTGGTAAAATTGAAGTTCACAACAGGATATGCTAGATTTGGACTGCACATGAAGGAATACATTTGTAGGTAATAGTGCAACATTTGAACATAAAGCAGATACACCCATCTAAGAATTTTTCATTATGAACATAATTCAGAAAAACAATAATTTCATGATAGGAATAGGACACCATACCTAGAACTAAGTAGCTAACAATGGCGTCCCCCACTTATTTTAGGAGTCGTCGACCACGAGACAACACCAGTAACCTAAATAAACAAGTCATTCTCTTGTTAGTTCCATAAGTATTCTCACACAGTTTGTTATACTAATACGACTACTACTAGGGAATTCTTAATAATGCTTCAAGATTCTCTTGCAAGAGGTTCACAACTGATATAGCCAGCTTACTACCAAAAACCACAAGTTCAATGTAGCTTGCGCCCAATGAATATTTTTTGAATAATGGTTGACACTCGTATTAATGAGAAAATAACAAAGCACGGAAGGCAATGCAAGGGAACCTCTTCGGAAACAAAGAGGAATGATTCCTGACCATCCAATTAAGAGTGAAGGAGAGACAGGGAGTATCTTGCAAATGCATATCCTACTAATTCCATCTTCGATACACCCGAATAGACCAATTATCTATTATTCCTTGAGGTAATAAAGTAAATGTGTAATTCCATTCCAATGTCTTCTGGTGGGAGAAGAGCTATGTCTTTCAAATAAATTCACAACAAACCATGCACCGAATCCTGTATGACTAGCTAAATATATCAATGCTCCAAATGAACTAAGATACGACACTTCAGGTTCGAGTAGTTCTTCAATGCTTCCTCGAGGTCAATATGAATTTTTCCCCCCGTAAAGTGACCTTACAACCATTGGGCTACTTAATGGATTTGCTTTATCCACATAAAATCGCTAAGATACATTTTTAAAATATCATTCATGATACAGAAATGTACCATCTCTTTCATATTTCAATTTGCTATCCAAGGCATAACTTCGTTCTTCGAAAAAAATTCATTTCGAAACTTTCTTCAAGAAATCAAAGGCTTTTGGGAACTCTTCAGGAGTTCTAATAATGTTTATGTTGTCAACATAAATTGAGATTATAACAAAATTACTGCCCAATCTCTTTGGGAGGAAAACATGGGCAAATAAGGTCATTTTTTATCCTTCTTTCATCATATATTCATTGAGACAATTGTACCACATTCTTTCATATAGTTTGAATCCATACTAGTATTTGTTTAGTTTGATTGAACTTTTTTTCAAGGATGTATCTTATCTCATTTTTGCAAATAAAGTCCTTCAAGGAGCTTCCCCTTCAAGTTTACCTACTATGGTTGTCGCAACATCCATTAGACATATGTAGTCCTTCTCAAACTATTAAGCTAATCAAATATCGAAATGTAGTTGCATCCACCATGTGGGAGTACGTCTCCTCGTAATTTATATCTCCTCATAATTTTTTCTAAAATTATATTTCTATAAAGACAAATAAAATCAATAATGATTCATATTGTTAGAATTTTACTGTCATAAAAACTAATAGCATTCCTAAATTATTTATATTGTTAGGGTTAGATGTACAAAAATAATATTATTTTTCCTTCCGGGTGTGGTTCGGGTGAAAAGCAGGTTGAATTTTAGTGAAGCCCGCTCCAAACCCAATTCGTGAATTCCAAAAGCGAGTTTCATCCACACTTTGTCCAAAACCCGCCGACGTCGGGTTTTTCCCATTTTTACCCGGATTGAACTAAGTTGAGTACACCTACTTGCGGGTTGAATCACCAAAATTTGACTATATAAGGATGCTAACTATATAAGGATGCTAAAGCACCAAAATTTGTTAGGAGAGCAAGTAAACATCTGAACACCCTTGAAAGCAAAAGTAGAGCTATCCACTTTCTGCAATGTTAGTCGTCTTCCAAAGGAAATTGCACATTAGCACTCATGATTCATTCCTACTCGTTTTAGGGATTTTTCCAATAATAGCACCTTTAAAAAAAAAATTACAAAAATAGCACCTATGTAAAAGAAATTCCACTAATAGCACCTTATTTTTTGGAACGCACCCCTAAGATGCGTTTTAAATGTAAACCGCACCTTACAGATGCGATCTACACGTAAAACGCATCAGAGGAGTGCAATCCACAACATAAAACGCACCAGACTGATGCGATTTGGGGAGGACTCGTTGCGATCCACCAGATCGTCCGATTGACAGCCGATCCAACGGCTAAGCGCACGCCAGCGGAGCGATCCGCGCCTTGGATCCCAGATCGCACGCGGGTAATGCGATCCGCGCCGGTGGCAGTCAAAGCGCATTGGGAGAATGCGATCTGCGCCTGGGGAAGCGGAAAACGCATTGGGAGAATGCGATCCGCCCGGGGCAAAATTCCTACCTCGCCCCTGGACCTTGCGATCTGAAAACTATATATAGCCCCCCTCCCCCTCTCATTTTTCTTCACACCTTCAACCCATTCTTCCTTCTCTCTCTAAGTTTTATCTCTCTAAACCCTCCCCCTCCCAAAAGCCTAGGAAATAGTGGTCTATTGGTTGCGGCAAAGTCCGATCTGCCATTAGAAAACATTTCTTAGGTTTTTTCCTCAAAACCCGCCGAGCCGAGCCGAAGCTCTGTCCGAATTGCGCCGAAAAAATGGCCGATTGGTGGCAAGGAGAAGGAGTTTTTGTTGATGAATTTCAAGCGGTACGTACTCATTATTCGGGTTTAATTTTTGTCTTGCTCTTTAATTAATCTATTTACTAACCTCGTTGTTATTTTCTCGTAGGCTGCGGAGGACGTCGATATTTACAACCAACGGTATTATCTCGAGCAAGGACCGTTGGATCCAATTGACTTGTACGACCAACCCTACTCATGTACTATGGAATCTGCTTGTTTGTTGTCTAAGGCAGGAAAACAGTTTGAGTTACAAACTTTGAGCTCGAATTCAAGGAGTTTGTGGCATGACTAGCTGGAGCTCGGAGTTGGGAATGGAATGAAAAAAAATTAACAAAGCAAACTATGTCGCATTAGCTGAGTCTGGCACATCAGGACCCGCATTGTGCGGACCAATCGGGCCTGGACATCTTCGTTTATCATGTCCTGGAACTTTGCATATTGAACATCGTCTTGGGCCTCGTGGTGGTCTTCCACTTTGATCCATTTCGTTCTGAATTCTCTTTTTCCTCGGGCGACCCGGCTCACGCCTCTGTCCGAACGGCGGGATGATCAATTTTCCTTCGTACATCGGCCAATAAACTTCATCAGGCAATGCACGGAAACTCCGTCCATATGTGTTTTTGAGTGAGTCGATATTGTAGAACGGACTAACGAAGTGACGTGGGTCTTTGCTCCTGTTTTTTATTACGGCCATTGCATGAGAACAAGGCCACCCTCTCCCTTGATACTTCTGGCAGGAGCACTCACCAACTTTTGTCCTGAAATTGACCACAACTTCATGGCGGTGGCCCCCCCGTCTACCGTCCTCCCGATGCCCGGTCGTCACGCTATACTCGCCATTTGCCCGATTCATAACGGTTACACTATGTCGACTGCTCTTGCGATTGTCATTCTCCATTACTTCCATGACTTTATAGGCATGGACCTTACCCTGTGCCTCGTTCGTTCTTGCCCAGTGGAGTCGGTTGACGAACCATGCATTCGTTTTCCAAAAAGTCATCTCGACAATGACAGAGATTGGCAGTGCACGAACGGCCTTGTAGACAGAGTTGATACTCTCACCTGAGTTCGTTGTGGCAATACCCCATCTTGTCCCTCCATCTTTATGAAA